AAAATCTATGATCGGCTACGTTGCGTAGGAAGCGTCTACTGATGCTGCTGTCTTCTGTCCAGCGTCGCATGGAGATGAGCACGAAATGTCTAGTGCGTCCACTCCTAATGTCGCTGTCGACAGTTGTCGCCATGTATGTAGCACTCCAATGTAATAGTCAATGTCACAAACTATTTTCATCGCTCTTCGTGAAGCACGTACCACAGTCACATGACTGCCTAGGTGACGACATCGAATGCACCTTTGCGTAGCTAGGTGTTCGAACCGGACAGACGAACTGATGCCACGGCGATTGATCGAAGAGTCTCTACACAGGCCTGCGATGTAAATCTGGGATGGCGCAATTACACACACACACACACACACACACCAGGTACTCCGTCTTGGACGATGGATTCGTAATGACAAGACAACGAGGCAGAGCCGTCTGACGACTTCTTCGAACCCAGGTCGCTATCAAATCATCATAAGCTTCTGGAGCTTGCGGGCCTAGGTCTTGTTGGTGACGGTCTGCGAGCTGCCGACCCTGTCGTGATCATGGCAATTCACGAGCTTCGAGATGAAGCATGCTGTCGCTCCTCCTCCAACTGGCCGCCGAGACTACTAGTGATAGCTTTTTCGAACATTGAACCTGGAAAGCGCGCGCCTCGCAATGGTTATCGCTTCCTTGTACGCGCTTTCTCTGTTTATCAACCCCGCGTCTACTCACCTCCACCGTGCCTTGACCGCAACCTCTACCTCCATCTCCACCAGCGGCCATACAGTCACCACACGCGTAAACTTACTGCACTGCCCTCAGCCTCAAAAAGCGAGCTGTACGCATACAAAAGATTACATCATGGCGCCCAAATTCAATATACCGAACTTACCTCTACCAACGCCCTATAGTCGCGATACCAGTCCAGAACTAGGCAGTCCCTCCAAGATAACGCAATACAACCAAAAGACAGGCCGTCCTGTTCGTAAGAGCGCGGGGAAGATCCAGAAGGTGCCGGGCTACGTCGATTTCGAGGACAGCGAGTTTGGCACCTCAGCCGACAGCGAGTTGAGCGAGCTGGACGAAGAGGACGACATGGAACCACGCAGTCGTTCAGGCAACAAGAAGAAGGGCGCATCAAAACGTAAACGCAGTCCTTCGCCCCCATCACCTCTCTTAGAGCCCGTCATCCTCGAACAGGAGCTTGATGACCTTACCGACAACGAGGACGGCGGCGCCTTTCATCGAAATGCTCCAAAGAAGCCGCCGGTGACCTTACAGTTCAACGTTCCGCTAGGCTTCCACGGCCCACTCTTCGTCAAGCTTGATAGCACCGTCCTACAGATCGACCAGCAAGGCAAACTGCATGAGATGCAGCCAGGCAAATCGAAGAAGCACTGTACTGTGAGCCCAAAGCCAACAGGAACAATTGCGGTACGTCCTAGAGGCTTTACGGATCTACCAGGCGAGCTGCGTAACACCATATATCGGTACCTTTTCTCCCGCAAGGACAAAGATTCAAGGCTTAGAATTCCCTTGAAGAGCAATGATCCCAAAGACAGCCTGGTCAAGTCCGCTCAGTTCCTTAGAAGCTGTAGGCTAGTGCACAACGAAGCCTGTTCCATCCTGTACGGCGAGAACACATTCTCTTTCCATCGTCATTACGATACCCGTGGACCGTACTGGGAGCCAGTACCCAAAGAGATCGGTTATCAGGACGTTCTGCACTTCCTGAAGAAAATTGGACCCGAGAACGTCCAGTACTTGCGCGATGTCAACTTCGTCTTCGACGACGCACGTCCCAAAGATACACCCTATGTCACCTCCAACGAGCAGCGTCGCTACCTGAATGATGACTACCTGATGAACTGTCTACGAATTCTCCGTGACGCCAAACTTCGCAGGATCACAATGTACTTCGGTGGGCGTCGACAACTGGGCCGCACCGATGTCAGGTTCTTAGGCTACCTGGAGCAGGTGAAGGCAGACGAAGTGTCGCGGAACACAGAGAAATATTACCATGGCGCCCACAGATACATGAGCCAGGTCGCCTGGAATCATTTGAAGGAGATGATGACGCGCAAGAAGAAGCTTTACGAGAAAGAATAGCCCACTGCTAAAGTCTGTCTCCAAGGTCCAGCTTACGGCATATTGTACATTATGTGTACTTCACGATACGGTCCCAGCAGGGATCACAACTGTCGGCTTGTATCACTTTCCATTATTCCCATGTTACAGCTTCATGTCTACTACCTCAGGTTGCTTCAAACGCCTCAGACAGATCTAGCGCTTGCTTCCACCTACCTCGAGCGGGAAGACGAAGGGCGACAAGGCGTTAGGGACCATCATCTGTGCTGAAAGGTTGATCACGTACAAGTTACTCCCGGGTTCATGTTTGTCATCCATCAGCGGGTGGCATTGTCAACCCTTGTAAGGTGTTTAGGGTATATATATTTCCTGCAACACATCACATCAATGTGTCTTTCTCAACAAAAAAGATCAAAGCATTAGATGAAAAATGTCCCAACCGACTGCAACGATTGGTCCAAACCCCCATTATCATTCCCCCAAATTACCACCAATAGAATGTCTCTAGATTCCCAATATTGTGCCAACGGCTAAAATGTAATGATCCTAGCCCCGACCCCACTAGCTATTCCTCAGCCAGTCGCGCAACGTGAACTATGGAACACGGGAACCTGCCTTGCATAAGCGAGCCGTGCGAACGCTTTTCTCGTGGTACGCGATATGGTAGCTGCAGGGCAAAAAGGCAAATTGGAAAGTCGGCAGGAACCTCTTTCTACATGAAACATTGCTGCAAGTATCCGCCGCCGCCGCCAGGGTTTCTTTCGTATGCACACAATATACCTTGGATGCCGCATTCGCATATATCCTGTTACCGGGCTTCGGGAATGCGATCTAGACAGGCATGTGGTCAGATAATCGAAGTAATATTGAGCCCTGTTTAGCCACCGTGTACTATGTGGGCAAGTTCGTGCTCGGATTCATAAGACTGGTTTGATATAGCCGGTTTGCCTAATGAGCATACTGGGCAGAGGAAGTTCATAGGTTGGGGATACGCGATGCACGATTAGATGGCTGGTGCGTGGCGTACGTCAGCGATCATGTACGGAGATTTTGTGAACACTAATAAAATGACGGGCAATGTGAGTCGTTGGCACCATGGGATCGTAGCTCGCACGTGCCTGTTCTTTCATTCATCAATTCGTCTAGACATCGTCATCATTCGGTCCGAGGAGCGATCGGGTCAGACGGAACTGTCGTGCCATGACCCTAGGTCAATCTATGCCGTCTTGCCCTTGCGCTTCTTGAACTCTTCTATCCAACCTGCAGCCTTGTCCTTTGGCACCACGCTTATCGTTACCAAACCGTCGACGATCTCCGGCTTCCCGCTTCCTAGTACCTTGCCTAGACTCATCTTTTTTCCAACTTTTATCAACCCACCTGCTGCGGTCTCCATGAACGATTCCACGTTGTCGATCGTGTACTCGTGTTGCTCGTCCCATGGTAGCGGGAAGATATAGTCGAGATGTTCATCTAGCTTCTCCTTCTCAGAGAAGGCCTTGATAAAGTCTGATTGCGAGTGCATTGGATAAAGCAGAATGACCGGAATCGTGAGTGTCGAAGAGGGATCTAGGCTGTTCTCCAGCTTGACAGTGGCGTCTTCTAGATCTGGGGGCTTCTCCGTGCTCCGCGTCAAGATATTTCGGCTCCTCAAGGCAAGCTTCAACGTTACCCGCTCTGATGCAGCCTTTTCTTCTCGTTCGCGGCGCGCCTTTTCGACGGAATCTATGTACTGTTTTCGAGCATCGATCTTGATTTTGAGGGCTTTGAGAGGGGCGTTGCTAGCATCCAGGGCTAGTCCTCGATCGCAAGCCCAGGCCGCCTCTTGTAACTTGTCTAGGGCAAAGCCGGCAGTGGCTGATCTGTAGAAAGCTTTGATATTGGTGGGATTGATCTTGAGTGTTGATACGCAATCTTGAATGCAGGAGCGGTAGTTCTCTGCTGTATGTTAGCAGCCTGCAGTCGAACCAGTATTGTGAAGAAGCCGCGATGCACGTTTGCAGATCATGCCTCCCTTTCCGTACTTACTCTTTTCCAAATTGCATAATGCTCGGTTGACATAGACGGCCTCTCCAATCACTCTTTCCTTCTCTGCTTCCTCCTTCTCATCAAGTTCGACAGGGATGACATCTGGTCCTTCTGCATCCGGGTCCGGGTTGCTTTGTGGACCTTTGAGCGCTGCTATTGCCTTATCGTAGAACTCTTTTGCATCCGACCATTGCTTTGCCCGTGCGCATTCGTTGCCTTGTTGTCGGAAGTTTTCAGCGATTTCGGCACGGGTTCCTTCGTACGCCATCGCTTTCAACGCCTCTAGCGCCATATTCTCGCCTCCCTCGCCATCTGTTTCATCTAAACTTGTCATGAATATTGGCATACGGTTCATCTCTTTTATCAGATCGTCCACCTTCTGCGACTTGACCTCAGCCATCGCCGGTGGCAATTCAGCGGTCGCCGCTTGTGGTCCATTTTGATTTGATTGTGCCATGTTGCCTGTTCCGATCCGTTTACATGTGCTGTCGAGAATCTCACGATACTGCTTGTTATGACTGTATGCTTGAATTTTCGGCAGATGGTCGCTTAGTCACGCTGTGGTGGGGCTATCGAAGCCTGACCCACGAATTTGGCCATCACTGGCTGCCAGCGACCTGAGCAGATGGACCACTGAGAGCACACCACCAGCCAGCCAGAAGGGATGGCGCAGGACAACGAGAGGGGCACGCTAAAATCATATGGGCCGGCACCGGCGCTTCCGCGTCATGCTATACCGTCTAAGCTTCTCGTCGCCGCCGAAAGTTCAGGGAGCCGTAGCCGATTACGACGCAAATCCCCTATTTGCTTTTCTGAGACGACCGCAAGCTTAATAACACCGAGCGATACCGACTGACACCTGATGAGGCATACAATCTTTGGTTGTTGAATCGTAAGCTGGTATGTCGCACATCAGTGGGAATCGTGGAATGTTCTGCTGATTGCAGACGGACACATAGCGCCCTGCAGCTGTCCGCACATCAGGTCCACTCTCCGCTGCTGAACCATATTTCCCTTGCAGACTATCGCAACCTGCATACCAAATCGACACTTTGCCCGATGGGACTCAGGAATAATGGGTCCCCGAATATCTCCACCACCCGGCAAGGCTGTTTATTAGGAGGCGCTCAACGAAACGTCACTCAATCACATCTTGAACGTGCCTTCAAACTGTGTCTATCCTGTCTGCGGGGGATTGCTCAACTAGCAGGCTCAGCCTGGCCAGAGGTCTCACGTCATGGTAGCGCCGCTTCGCTCTTGAGTTTGTTGGGGTAAGTAGATGGTCCTTATGATGTTAGGATCTTCAACTTTCACGCGTGTCGATATCTCCTTCTAGCTGCCTCGGCTGTCCATGACTGATGGATATGACGCCTCTGCTTTGGCATGGCATTGTGATCAGGCAACTTTGAAAAAGGAAGTTGAGGCTGGAGTCATTCGGCATTTCCAGCTTGGAGAATTGCGTCGTCGATCTGGACTCGAGTTCGGCTCCTTTGTACCGCCAAGAGTGCACGGACTCATCCTTTCGTCTCAAAGTAGGAAACCCTCTTCTCTCACCTGACTCGGCAGTACAGGATAAGGCTACTCATTCATGCAACTGACTACCATTTCGGTAGCCTACATACATCCCCTTTTTGAGAGACCTCAGAGACACCAAACTGTCAGGCCGAAACAATATCAAAGTATGAAGATCAAAGTTCTAATTACAGGCTGTAACATAACGGTTACGCACCTGCGCACCCGATCGTTGGGCGCCATCGCGAGTGTGATAGCTCGGACCGGGACACGAACGTGCCACATTGTCTAAAGCTTTCCTCGGAGGGCCAAGTGTGCGGCGTGGTCAAGAGGCTGAAACTCCCAGTCACGGCTCATCATCAGCGCCAGAAGTAGTCCAGAGTTACTGATGAGGCGAGCCTTTTGTGGAGCTTTGGACGGCGACAATAATCACCTTGCAAATTACCGTGGACGCGACGCGACTTCTGTTTGAAGCCAACTGCTCTCCAGGACTTGGTATGAACGTACGCCTCACATTTGCTAATGCTCTCTGGGCGCACCCCCTTCACCAACGCCGTTACCACCCGCATTCGTTACCACCTGCCCCTTGTCGGGTCATTTCCTTCAATTCGCTAAGGCATTGGCCGTCGTCGCGGGACGCATTTGAGGGAACGTTGGACCTAAATGCACAGCCAATGAAACTTGCCTGAAAAGCGGAAAGCGGGCGGGCTCGAGCCAATAGTGTGCTTGTAGTACAGGGGATCCTGGGCTGAGTCTGCATGCAGGGATACTTGTGCTCGCTAGTGCGGAGACGTGCATAAGCAAATGGACTCGGACATCGAAACAAATTTGACAGGCACAGATGGGGTTTGATTGATCCTATGGATCCTATTCGCGCCTTTGGCCATAGTTCCGCCTCCCCAATGGACTGTGCGGGATTGTGCCTGAGTTCCGGGATCCTAGCTGATGCATGGGCGATCACAGCGATTTCATGCTCAAGTTGTGCCTTGTCCCTCTCTCTCCTCCTTACGCTCCGTGCCGTTGACGACACACGGGTATCTTTCTTGTAGGGCCCGCTGCCCGTTGCTTGACAGTTCTTTTCTTGCCATCAAAAGTGTTTTAGCCTGCGCCGTTAGTCGCTTTCCTCATCTCATTCTCATCGCATGTATCAATGAATTGAGCGACGTTTCTGCATCTGTCGACCATCGCCAACTATTCACGTCATTCCTTCAACTGTAAGTTCGACTATCTAGTTTGTAATCGAAGTTCGGATTTACCTGGTACTGACATTTGCTGCAGAACAGACACCATCCGAACACTGCCTTACCATCGATATACCTGCCCCACGTAATACGATCCGACGCTCTTATTGCTATATAACTCGACTTGTGTTTTTCTAAGTGGCAAGACTTCCAATACCTGGTTGCGGTACAAAAGGCTCGACCGGTACGTGGTTCATTGTCACGCATGTTGGAGGTTGGTACTGTCATGATTGTTGTATAGCTTGGTTGAGGAGACGCGTCAACCAAGTCTTCGTGGACACAAACCCTATCACAGCACCAAAGACAACCTATTTAGTCTTGACTGTATGCTGATCCCGTTACAGGCATGTGTTAGATTCTACGTACCTACAGCACCACTTCGTTGTGGTTCTGAACACCTCAGTATATAATACCAACCCGCCGACTGAGTTACGTACCTCCAACCATGTCTACCGACTACTTTTCAGACCAGGAGACCTTCCTTACCAACCATCCCCTACCTACACCGGTTGGAACTCCATACAGTTCCTTATCGCGGACGACTTCAAAATACGACACGCCAGGGAGTGACATTCCTAGTTCGCCGCCTCCCTTCCCACCAGACCACAGTTTTAGCTCCGAAGATGCTGCCAACGACGAGAACATCTCGGTTCTAGACCCACGTCGCTTTACTCCAACCTTGCACGCAAATCTGGTTTCTGAGATCCTGAACCTCCGTCGGGAGCTTGATTCAAAACATAGGTTCATTGATGACCTGGAGACAAGTTTGCACACCGCCCGCACAGACAATGACTCCCTTGCAAAGCAGCTGTCATTGTCTACCAAGGAAAGCAAATCAGCCAAACGCCAGCTCCAGCACTTCGAGACCGAAACACTCGCCGCTTTAGAAGAGATTGCAGGTGAAAGAGACAAGTTCAAGGAAACTAACGCGGATTTGCGGGAGAAGCTAGCAGCAGCAGAGAAGAGAACACGAAGTCAAGATGACGATTCGACCAAGGTGCACGACATGTGGGCCCGAGAAAAGGAAGAGTGGGCAGGTGAAAAACGAATTCTGGAGCGACGCGTTCATGTGTCAGAAACACGGTTAAAGATGCTTTTGGATGAGATCGCTATACACGAAGCTGCCAATGAGGACGCTGGTGTGGAAAGTGAGGCAGATGATCCAAGCCGGGATACTGGTATACCGGATAGTGATACAGGAAGCGTACGGTCGTCACCACAGCGAAGATCGTCCACCCGCCTTGGCCGTCATTCGAGAAACCGAAGCAGCAGCAGTTACAAGAGTATTGGACGCAACTATCGAATGTCTTTGATGAGCTCCGATGGACACTTCCGAGGCAACGGTATGAGTCTGGCAGACGAGCTTATATTCGACGAAGAAGACGAGGAACTGGATGAACTAGAGCTCGATTCGGATGATTTTCCTGAAAATGAAATGCGGGCAAGAAGAGCTCGCGAATCCCGAATGTCGATGTTACCAGACGAAAAAGCAAAACGCATCCTAGGATTGAGCAACGACACCCAGCAGGCTGCCCGGGATAGCCCTGTTATGACAGCCGAAGATACCGAGCCGCGGAAGTCGTCGTATGAAACGGTTCAATCATCTGTAACACTAACGCCTCGCGATATCACTCTAGTATTCCCGCCAACACGACCAATCTATGTTGACACAGGCGTTCAACCATCGCCTCCACCCTCACCTACGAAGCTTGTTATGGTTGAAGCGGCACCACTAACGATTGAACCATCCGCTCCGATGAAGTCGAACGATTTCTCATCCACTGCAGCTGAGATTGAAGCGAATCAGAGCCGGAAGCGTGTTTCAGTACCCTTGGCCTCTAGTCCACCCAGCCAAGCCAGCCCTGAAATTTGCACTACGACTTCAAGCTCGGTACAAACCGTTGAGCCTCTAAGCCCGCCGCCTACTCCCAGGATCCCTATGCCAACAGAAAAAGCACATTTGCCACCTGTCATACCACCTCAGCTCGTATCTACAGCCACGCAAACAGACCCTCTGGTAGAGCCTGAAACTGTGCCTGAGACGCCCAAGAAAGCTCCATTACCGACCCCGATCACAATTCCTTCAATTGCCATCCATGCTCCTACGTCCGCTCCTTCGTCGCCGAGAGCTCCTATCCTTCCTCCCGGCACCAAGACTGTGTCAACTCAGACGAGCGGCGATCTTGTAGCCCCGATGCGCTCAACTGCCATGCAGACTGAGCCAATCAGAATCGATCAGAGACCTGTCAAGCTCCCTGCGCATCTCCTTCCCTCCGCCATATCTTCCAAGCCTGGAACGCCCGAGGCTGAGAGTAAGGTCGCAAAGAAAGACTCTCACCATTCTGCTTCGAGCGACACAGAGCACACTACTCTGAAGTCAACAACTCGTCAGGACTTCATCGCTCGTCTCGAAAAGGCTGCCGAGAAGAAGATTGAGAATCGTTACCCCGGAAACAACGACAATGGACCTTTGTCTCGTCAGCTTCATGCAGACGTACTCAACCGGCCTTTCCGCACAAGCAGTCTCTTCGCCGGGTTTGATGGCCCCTCATCTGATGAAGAGGATGAAGAAGCCGATCTGAGCGACGATGACTACAGACCATTCTCTACTCCAATGCTGTCGTCGCGTAACGCGAAGAGTGGACGGCCAGTGAACCCTCCTACGCCGGTCCCAGAAGACAAGGAAACTACACCCATGTCCAGGCCATCAGAGGACTCCGTCAACAGCGTCTCATTAGCATCTAAGCGTAGCTCGATAGAGAAGCCTTCGAGAGTTGGCAAGACACAGCGCAATTCGATCAGCCGCCAGCCCAGCATTCGACGATCTGCAATGATTCAAAGCAGTACTGCAGCTCATGCCCGCTCTCGTAGCCCCAGTATTGGAAGCCTAGGCTCTAGTAACCACATCCCGAAGCCACCCTTCCCAGTGCCTACTCGATCAAGCTCGCGCAACAAGCCAGTGAGCAAGAGTGAGGGCTCGCAGAGCCCAACGCCTCGCAACAGTGGCTCATATGCCGGCCGCCGTCCGTATGGCGTCAAGCATCAGCGGAAAGATAGTCTACGCAAGGTGCGATCTGCTGCTCCTGTATCCAAGGGTACACGCTCCCGTAGCAGATCACCCACACTGCCCGCGACTCCAAGCAATGCCGACACATCTTCAATACCTCCACTACCAAGCGACATTGTGAGCGCGAGTGGCTTCCGCCACCGACACCAACTATCGACAGCCACTGCAGCAACGGCTTATACAGCCAATGGGTCCACCAACAGCTCGGTATCACACACTAGTGTGGTCGATGCAATCGCTGCAGCCATGATTGGAGAGTTCATGTGGAAATACGTCAGAAAGAGGAAGGCTTTTGGCGGTCCTGACACGCCGGCAGATGTCAGTCGCGCAGCAGAGGAGGCTTCGTTGGCCAACCATGGTGTAAGACACAAGCGCTGGGTCTGGATCTCACCGTACGAGAGAGCCATCTTGTGGAGTAGCAAGCAGCCAACCACTGGTTCTGCATTGATGGGGAAGAGTGGTCGCAAGCGTGAGTTCTTCAAGTCCCGCTATAACCTTGTCTGTACTAACACATCACCAGTCGTCATCCAGTCTGTCCTTGATGTTGCCGACAACTGCCCCCCTCCCAAGAACGAGACTCTTTTCAACCGCTCCATCCTTATCCTCACTCCTGCCCGTGCGCTCAAGTTCACTACCTCATCACGCGAACGTCATTACCTGTGGCTGACAGCACTTTCCTTCCTCGCCCACTCGAGCGCACCGATGCTAGATCTTGGATCTTTGCCGCCTGTACCACCGCCAGTCGACGAACCACAACGTCAGCAGGGCGCAACACTCCGCCGTAGCCGCGTTCAGGATTCTGTGCGTCTTGCCAAGGGCAGGACCAATCCGGTTATGGCTCGATATGCGTCTCAGGATGAACCAATGCCCAGTCTACCCTCTCTCTCTGGGTTTGAAGGAGTTGTGCCAGACGCTGCCAGTCCTCCTGTTATTCCTCGTGGCCCTCAACACGGTAGAAAGAGAAGCTCCACCGGACCAAGCGCACCTCCTCCAAGTGTCCCCTTTCGCAGTTTCTCACACCAACACGTACCGTCTGTGTACTCAAACGTCTCCTCCGATATGTATAGTGCTGGCGTACCCCCATCAGTACCTTCATCGGTCTACAACCCCAACAGCGGCGCTATGAGCTCTCGAACATCAGAGGCCAGCACATCGACTCGTCAACACTTCTTCGATACCATGGGCACCGTTCGCATGGAAGCTTTCATCGACAACGCTCTCGGTGACCCAAAGCAACTGAGCAGCTACAGCGGACGAGCACCGCATATGCAGCACCGTCGTCGTCGTGGCAGCAGCCAATGGAGTGCCAGCACACGCGACCAATCCAATCGTGGCGGCGGTCTATTCGACTTTGACTCTAACGATCCTTTCCGCGGTTTCTAAGAGAACGCACTGCACTTACGACTCGCTCATGTGTGACGGGCATGCCTTACGGCCGATCGATTGTTGTGTTGCTCTGTTTGTCTTTGGGTTATTCTTCAGTCTCTCATTTGTATCTTCTCGTGTTTTCCTTACTACTAGGGCTACGTCCCAGACGACTCGACGTCATCACTGCGGAGGCACATTCACCTCGACTGCACCTTTCCTTGTTGTCACTTCATTTCTCATACTCTTGTATTCCCTCACTCGCTCAACATACCCTAGGGGCCTTATTCCAAGGCTAGAAAACGGTCGTGCTCGCGCACATCATATCGTCTATACCGCCTATTTGTAATGTTTCTTCTCCAAGCCGGCTTTCGCAGTTGCGCACCCTTGATACCCCTCGCTACCTTTACCATATGGGTTTTTAGCGCCTTTTATCTCCTTTTTGTGTCCTTTCCTTGCACCAGAGTTTTATATCCACTTTATCTTGGTAGGGCGTTGTAGTCTGGGCGAATCTCACTCACTCGCTACTTGGTCGTGGAGGGTTTCCGTGGTTAGGAAGAGGCCAGCTCCAGGGCACTTGGTTGAAGTTGATAGTTTGCAAAGAATGCTACAATCAATACCACTATGATCAGACCTTATGTGTCTGTGTAATGTCGTAATACTGAAGTAACCGTTCCATTCGACGCCCGGTGTACATCGGCGTCCTCGCCCATACTGAGGTAGCTGAACTCCACCCCTCTGCAAATTCTCACCACAACCCCACTATCGTGGACTGGTGTGCCCGATTAGCATTTTCTCAAGCCCATCAATTTGTACTGTCGATATATACCGTATGATTTTCTTCTTGCACCATCAATCAGTTAAGCAAAAGCGCTTACAATCGGTTTTGTAGTGTATGTCGATCAACATCCACTTCCAACTTGCCCCCGCTAATAACCATCCAGGTAGCGGTTATCACTCCGGATTCTGATCACGTGATTAGTGTCTTCCGGCAACCCCGGTTCGATTCCGGGCAAGACCTTCTTTTTGCTGAAATAGAGGCTCTGGGTAGATAGAGAAGAGAAGGGAATGGAGGTGGGGCGTGGTTTCGTGGTTGCGGATTAGCAAGATTAATTTTTGGCCACTTCAACATGCAGCAGCCCAAACAAAATCGTATCGCACATAGATGAACACGTAGACTTGCTTGCATACCGTAGATTAATCTATAACTCTATCATTTCTGCCTGCATTCTGCATGCAAAGGCTTGTCGCATCGCGTTCTTGAGATTCGACTGCCGAAGTTTCGCCTTTTTTTGTCTCCACCTTAGTTACCACACATTTTACCCCCGAAAGCAAAAAAAAGTGTTGATCTATCGTGCAGAATATATCGCTATATTGCTATAGTTTATGTACTGCACTTGAATGTTGATGTGCTTCTATGTAGCCTTTCTCATCATGTCCAAAATTTCGAGCACAAAAATCTCAACCTGACAAACTCCTCCATCACAAACAAGTCTTCCACAACAACAAAAAGCAACTTGCTACACGATGTGTAGCTATTACAGATGACTCAGCCGAGGTTTGAACTCGGGACCTTCAGTGTACAGAAACAACTGTCGTTGTTAGACTGACGTGATAACCAACTACACCACCGAGCCGCTCTTGATGACAAAGCATAAAATTGTAAATGTTATATCGAGTTGTAAAAAACGATAGAGATCAAAAACGTGGTTATGATGAATATAGCTCTCGAGAGGTATGGATGATGCAGTGGCACTATACCCACTTTGACAGATCAGGGACCATCATACGTAATACGAAGAAGAACCTAGATGTGTGCAGAGATAATAAAGCTCTGCAGCCTACAACAGCTTAATATGTACAGATATACAAAGTCTGACAGCAATGTAGGCTCCAAGGTTGTGTATCTGGATACGTAATACTTACTGCATGCTATTGTAGTAGGCAAGAAAGAAATTACGCACCTTAGAAGTGCACAGCTTTTGCCTTGGCTGGGGTAATCAGCTCCTCAATGCAAACAAGTTGCTACAGGAGGAAAACCTGCCATCCGTGGTACGAACCGATTGATAGAACAGGGCATGGGCTGCCATTCGTTAATCGGAGGCCGATCCAGTTATCGCTTTCGATCTTTCCGTGGCTGACGGCATCTTGTACTTCAGAGGGTACTAGGCGTGTTCCTCTTTTGGAAACCGTCCCCTCTTCTCAGAACTCTCTATTCAAATCAGTGAGTCTTCGGATGTGAGTCGGCAGTGGTAACAAGCTACTATTAGCAATGAGGAACAGTTGCTCTTCCTCATTCACGCTATAACCCCTTCTAAGGATACCAACCCTTAATTTAGGTAGGAGAAAAATATCAACAACGATTAACTTCTAGTAACCACATCCGTGGTAATTACTAGCGTCGCGGGCGACAATTACTAGCCATCCAGATGCATGTGAGGCCGCCGTACGGAATCCTCGAAAAGGACAAGTATGGGAATACAATGTCAGTAGTCTTGTGTTGCACCCATTCGAATTGTTCTTGTATTGCTTCGATTCTGGTGCAGTATAGCCAGCGTGCATTCGGTAATCTTTGGAGTTGCGGGGACTGTGAATTAGAAACGATTATCTCTTCCTAGTGGGCGTTGCTGTGTGTCGGAAGAGATGTAAGCTGGCGAGTGGAGGTTGGCAAATGGATTGCTGAGGATTGTAGCTTGTAGACGCCTGGATCAGACTTGTAACGGGAAGAGGGGACAAATTCTTGTGGTAGAAGTAGAAGAAGACAGCAGTGGTAGTTCATCAGTCCAGCCCTACACCAAGACGAATCAGAAAAGTTTTGCGCACGTCTCCAACATTTTGGGCAACACAAGTACTACATGTATCACAAGAAGCGTTGCTGGAACAACTCTAAATGTCTTGGTTGTGGCTAGCTATGTATATAACGTTCTTGATGGTATCTGGTTGCGTCAAAAACAACAGCAACGTAGTGACCACTCACAACAAACATCGCGAAAACGATGGAAGACTGCATCAATATGGGCTCCTCTCCTACAACTTGCTACCTGCTTGCCTCCTCTTTTCCTTCTCCTTATCCCTCAACAGCCGCCGTAGGATCTTTCCTGATGGCGACTTCGGTATCTCGTCAATGAATTCAATACCACCGCTTATCCACTTGTATCGCGCCTTGTGTTCTTCGACATGCTTCTGGATCTCACGAGCGAGGATACGGTCGTTCTCCTCCAGACCGACTGATGGCGATTTGACGACGAAGGCTTTTGGTACCTCTCCGGTCTTCTCATTGGGGATCTGAATAACGGCGCAGTCATTTACAGCAGGATGTGTTAAAAGGTGTGCTTCAAGCTCCGCGGGTGCGACTTGGTGGCCCTAAGGTATTGTCAGCATTTGTCGTTTCATATAACAAGTGTAGTCCGTACTTGAACCTTGATGAGTTCCTTGATACGATCGACGATGAAGACGTGTTCGTGTCCATTCGGCCCCTTCTTGAATACAGCTTCGTCTCCGGTACGCATATATCCATCTTGGAATGTTTCCGCGTTGGCTTTGTCATTGTTCAGATAACCCAGCACAACCGAAGGAGATTTGACCAGCAACTCGCCAGGCTGGTCATAGCCGGTAATCTCAACACCCTCGATAGTCACAATCTTGCACTCAGTGCTCGGTAGCAGAGAGCCGGAAGAGCCGAACCAGATATCATCGGGGGAAGATGATGAAACAACGGTACACGTCTCAGTGAGGCCGTATCCTTGTCGAATCTTCCAAGTGGGGAACAGCTTGGAAAGGTCCTCGGCCGTCTCTTGCCCTAAAGGTGCGGCACCCGTGAAGATCGACCACACAGAGCTGAGATCGTACTTGTCTAGTAGAGACTTATTCTTGGTCATCAAGATGATAATCGGTGGTACCAAAAACAACGAGTTGATCTGGTAGTCTTGAATCGCTTGTAGGGTTGATGCGAACTCGAACTTGGGAAGCACTACCACACCATCTCCACGGTAGACGTTCGCATGGCAAATGACGACCAAACCATAGATATGTGACATGGGTAAGAGGCCCAGGGCGATCTCAGTATAATCGGACTGGATTCGTACATCCTTGATGATGGTGTCTCTGTAAGGCTTCTCATAGGTCGTGATTTGCACTGTTTGTGATTAGCTACGGTTCTATGTGAATTCGAGGCGTCTTACTTGTGTTGGCGATGACGTTCTTATGTGAGATCATGACACCTTTCTGCGCAGAACGTTAGTATGAACTTGCATGTATATGGAGGGCATTCGCTACTTACGGGTAATCCAGAGGTACCGCTAGAGTAGCACAGGAACGCGGTTCGCCGAGCACCGTCGCCCTTCTTCCAGTTCAACCGTGGCAGACGATCAAGCTTCTCGCCCTCACGAATGAGGTCGTCCACTGTCTTAAGCCCCTTTGGTGTCTTCTTTCCAGCAAATGATTCCGGCACCTCGAGTATGTATATGCGGTTCTCGGGGATACCGCTGTTCTTCGCTGCTTGTCGTGCAGTCTCCAATAGAGGGACACAGGTAAAGAGGGCTTTTGCGCCAGAGTTCTTCAGTTGGTATTCGAGTTCAGCGGCGCTGTATGCGGCATTGGCGGGTGACTGGATACCACCCAGTCGGTGCGTGGCCCATGCCAATGGAAGTGTGTCGATCTACCCAACGTTAGCATCACCATAAACCCATCAGCCAAGACGTGCTTACCGTATTGACGGAGAAGACGGCGATGACTTTGTCCCATTCAGTCGCCTCGTTTGGGTGGAAGCCAAGCTCCTTTGCCAGACCGCGCGCGAGATAGTCAACACGGTCTCGCATGTCCAAGCATGTGTATGCCTTCCCAGTTAGTCCGCAGATGAAGGGCTTATTCGAGTAGCCGAGCGGATGACGGCCATAGTGCTCATCTAGCATGAAGTCGCAAATGGGAATCGAGTCCGGCGGGTCGAAGGGAAGCTTCGGCACCCATGAAGGAGGATTGAAAGGCATGTTGGGCGGTGTCTAAGGGTCTGTTAGCTATGCGCAAAGCTTTGAGAGAGATCCAGGTACGCACATATATAGTAAGCCTCAATTGGCGATGCAGGGAGAATTCTAAGAAGGAATCGTTGCTCCAGCTTTAACGCATGCGCCCATCTTCCTGAATGACGTTAGCATCGTCGGGTGCCGTCTATCTTCGTAGCCGATAGCTATGCCAGCCCCGAGATGTGGAGAAACTGGGGTACCTTACCGAGGTCATGGCCCATAGGGGCTTAGCATCGGGGTTAGGTCGGAGACAGCAAAACACGACCCACCACTCAGCGACATGAGCACAGAGAATAAAGTTGCAGATTCGCGACCAAAGTATAGTCAGGGGTTGTGAGAGTTGTGATTCTTTTCAGCCATGGCTACCATATGCGCTCGAAGTGGCTCTTGTGACATAGTACAGTAAGTGCGTCCCTCAATGACGTTCCGCACTGGCAGCCCTCTTCACTTTCATCACCTCTTCTACTTTGGATGCTCTCAAGAAGTCAGGCACCAAGGCATAGAGTGCGAGGAGAAAGCGGATACCTAAGGAGTTGGTTGGGACTCAACAACAGAGGTACCGCGAGGGATGCGCTGACCATGCAGCTCGGACACGGCGATATTGTCGCCATGCATGGTGCGGACGTACAGAAATATTATGAACATAGTGTAGAACATGGGGATAAGCTACGGTTTGCGCTTACGTGTCGGTATATTGATTTGGAGTCGCTAAAGCATGAGGATCAGCCGAAGTATGAGGTTGAACGTGATGTGGAAGGTTACGATGGATCAGGATTAATGTGAATACTTTTAAAGGATTGAGAAGGGGATTATGATTCTAGTTTATACGTCGGTCAAAACGAAGCAACATTTAGAGAGTGTGTTTGGCTGGGTGGTTGTACCTGGTGGATACCATGTCATCATTTGAAGGTGAACATGCTTTGCGTTTCTATAGATGATTCAGAACGGGTATTTAACTTTTATTTTCATGCACATGACCTCGTTACCTTTCTGATCCTCATATTTCTTGCTTCCACTCCTTGTTGAAGGCCCGTCCAATAACCATTCTCCTCACCTCACTTGTTCCAGCACCAATCTCGTACAGCTTGGCATCCCTCAATATCCTTCCCACAGGGACCTCATTCATGTATCCCATGCCACCCATCAACTGCACCGCATCAGCCGCAACCTCACTCGCTCTTTCTGCGGCATACAGGATCGCTCCTGCGCAGTCCTGTGTCTTGATATCAGGGCTAGCATGCGACTCATCCACTGCGCGCGCCACGCTATACGTGAATGCCTGACTGGCACGGTACTTTGTGTACATATCCGCTAGCTTGCCCTGCACAAGCTGGTTATGTGCTATCGGCATGCCAAACTGTTTTCTTTGATGTGTGTAAGGAAGAACGTTGTCGAGGGAAGCTTGCATGAGACCAAGAGGTCCTGCGGAAAGGACGAGGCGCTCGAGATCCAAGCCTTCCATCAGGACGCGGACACCGCGGTTTATCTCGCCGAGGACGTTCTCACGGGGGACGAAGACGTCTTCGAAGACGAGTTCGCCGGTGTTGGAGCCGCGCATGCCAAGTTTGTCTAGTTTGTTCGCGACGCTGAAACCCTTGGTGGAGGTCTCGAGGATGAAGGCTGTGATGCCCTTGGAAGCGGCATCGGGTTCGGTTTTGGCATAGACGACTATTACGTGTGCATCTGGGCCCTGCAGGTCTTGTGTTAGTATGCCTCTTCTTCTCCAAAAGACCTATGGTGAGGGACGTACATTCGTAATCCACATCTTGGTTCCGTTGAGCAGATAGCCGCCATCCACCTCCTTAGCCGTCGTCTTCATACTAACAACATCACTCCCCGCACTATGCTCACTCATAGCTAGTCCTCCAATCTTCTCCCCACTGATCAGACCAGGTAGGTATTTCTTCTTCTGCTCAGCATTGCCATTCAACATCAGCTGATTGACGCACAGCTGGCTATGCGCCGCGTAGCTCAATCCTATACTACCGCTCGCCCGCGATAGCTCCTCCATAACAACGCAGTGTGCTTGGTATCCCATGGCTAGTCCGCCAAACTCTTCGTCGGCTGTGATGCCCAGGAAGCCGGCTTCGCCAAACTTCTGCCACATTTCGTTTGGGAATTCATTCTGCTTGTCGGTGCGCGCGGCGAGCTCTTCGGGGATTTCTCGCTGAGCAAAATCACGGACCGAGTCACGGAGTTCGTCGAGGTCGGATTGGGTGGGTGGTGTGAAGGCTTTGGGGTGTTTTGTTGATGCGTAGCGGGTGGTGGTGGAGAGGACGGCGGCGGGACGGATGCGTGTTTGGCGGATGCTGCGTGTGAGGAGACGGGGGGCTAGAGACGCCATTGTTGTTGTAATTTGCTACAGAAAGCAGAAAATTGGAAAACAATTCTTCGAGGAAGAAGAATGTGGTGACATGCTTGACCAAAGGCACAAAGTTCGGTTTGCGACGGCTGATGGACCGAGGCACCTTCCTAACTCATCTATTGCGGAGAGGCTAGCGTCTGGGGAAGAGGAAGCGGCGCAATTCCGCTCGCCATTCACATGTATCCATGAACATCTGCATTGTCATCTACCTTTCAAAGCTCATCAACGCCCTTCATGCGCCTGCCATTGCATTCTCCCACATCCAGTGCCACCAGGAACCTACTCACGGCATTATACGCTGCAACCGTCGCTGTCAACTCAACAACCATGGTGTCTTCAAGCACGGCCTTAACCATCTCCGCAACACTATTCTCAACCTGCACACCCACAGTCATCTGATCCGTATAAACCATGACCGCATACTCTTCCTTGCTAAAACCCAACAACCCTTCCCTCTCCACATCCCCATGTCTCGTAACAGGTAAATCAAAGATAGTCTGTAGCACTTGTTTGGAAACACCTGCTTTCAACGCCAGAGCGGCATGTACGTCCCATTCGTGGACTGCGTGGTTTAGCACGGCAATGCGGCTTATGGCTAGCTCTTTGAGATTGGCGGGTAAGCTGGTCTTGGTGCGGATTGCGCCGATGAAAGAGTTCCAACCGTCTGCTACCGCGGGGTTGTGTAGGAGAGCGAGGTCGAGGGGGATGAGGGGGCGGGGCTTTCGTCGTTCGGCGATGCGCTCGTAAATTGGGCGAGCTTCTTCACTTGGGGGCTCACTTGGGGCGTAGGGGACGCGCATCTTCGGTGAGGTTGTTGAAGTAAAGGATCGTAGGCCGATGTTGCGTAGGATGGGACAAGGTTGAGGGCGTAAGAGGTTTGAGAGAAGTGGGCGGAGGGACATTGGAGGTCGAAAAGCACGGCAAGATCGAGAGATTTATAATGTTTACCTCATGCACCTGCAGGGACTACTACGGATATGCTTTCCGGTATCTGGAATAGCAAGATATGCAACGCTGGGCAATGTCAGCTGTAGAAACGGCGACAGCCATGGCTTTTATTCTACCAAGATCAAGTTGTGAGAGAGAACATTCGATTAAATATTCATTTAGGCGTAGTTTTCCGTAGATCTCGCTATATGAAATATATACACATGTAACGCCGCAAAAAAGATCACTTGATTTACAACCTGCTCTGCTCATCAAACACATTCGGCAACCTAGGGATGCCCTCCAATCTGCTTGTCTTCTTGCCAGCCGGTGCGAGCGTAACGTTGTATGTCAAGTCGAGCTTCGCCTTGGGGTCGTTGCTGGGTTTGAAGTCTAGCAGCAGGTCGTCCTTGACTGCAAAGACAGTGTCGTTGGTGACCCATTGGTCATCGCGGGGGTATAATTGTGTGATGAGTGGCTTGTAGTTCTCGGCTGAAACCATGAGATGGATGTGCGCGGGGCGGAAGGGGTGGCGGTCGAGAGTCTTGAAGAGTTGGCCAGCGGCGCCTGTTGTGTGTCAGCGATCTTCGTACAAGGTCTTTGGGGTTCAACATACCATCAGTAGGCAGCGAGTAGGCAGTTGGCTTGTAGCAGTAGTACCAGTACTCGCCCTTTTCGTTGGTAGTAAACTTTCCCCTCAAGTTGTTTGGCTCCTGGTTCTCGGGATCTTGGAAATCGTACTTTCCATTTGCGCTCGCTTGCCAGATGTCGATGACTGCGTTGGGGATGCCTTTCTTGGTGTCGAGGTCCATGACTACACCGTGCATGAGAGTTGTCTGGCCATCGGGATGTGAGTTGCGAATGATGGTGTCGCCAAGATCGCGGAAGGGCGAGTGCGGTGACCAGAAGGGACCGAGGATTGTGGATGAGGTGGGTGTCTCGCCAGACTCGTTGATGTGCTTGTGTGCGATTTCGTCGACCAATCTGTGTCCAAGTCAGTATGATGCTTAAGCCCGCTCTCGAGTTTGGAAACTGACGATTCTACACCTAGAACATCTGAAATACGATGCGCCTCATTGCGGGTGCTGGTTGTGGTTTTGCCAATGGAATTTACAAATCGCACACCCTCAAACCACTCCTCGTTGGTCAGCTCAACCTCGCGGATGAAGTCGTGCAGGTGCCTGATGAGCTTTCCCATGACAAATCGCGTCCTGTCTGGCACATTTGGTCCAATGGCGTTGATGACGGCGTCGGTGAAGTTGGGATCGAAACGGTGCGAGCCATTCTCCTGAACCTGAGGCGCTGTTTGTGTGTTTGGGTCCATTTTGAGTGTGTAGGAATATAGTATATCAAGCAACAAAGGGTATCAAGAAGATGTTGGAGGTAGAGCAATGCAGTCAAACATCAAAGTCCGGGGGCACAAGCAGCTTAATAAATACTACCTGGAATCTAGCCATCCGCAGCCAACCGAAGCGATGGCCTTAGCAATGGCCGTCTTTCTAGCCGCGCATCAGGCGAGACTTTGTCAAAGCTGTCTGGCGGCATGCTCTACCGGCTTCTGAGCGTGCTGTGAGCGCGAGCAGCCATAGTGCCGAAGGTTGCGCCATGTCGCGACGGCTGCCCCGCCTTGACCTGACTGGATTGGCGAATCAAAAGAGAGCCGATGTGGAAGAGAACTTACCCGCCGTTTTTCCCTCGTATGTAGCGTCATCCGCACGCGTGCCCCGCCTTCGGAGCAGACCCCGGAACTTCGACGACGCGACGCGATGGCCAAATTATTGGGAAGTGGAGGGCAGACCCGGCAAACATCCCATCGCTGCAGCTTCTCATGCAACTTGTTCGCTGACAAGAAAGACCCTTTCCGCCAAAACAAGTAACCGCCAATATGGTCAAACATCATCTTATGATTGGCACTTGGACGCCGCCGGGTGTGATAATCACGGTCGCGTTCGACGATGAAACACTCAAGTTGGAGCTGGTGAAGAAGACGGAGATTCCAGAAGATGAGCCTATAAGTTGGATGGCTTTTGACGTATGCGCGCAACTCCCGAAAGTCGGTGCGACCAACAATGGCTGATCACCAGAGAAACAGCACAAGAGGAAGAACATCTATGGTGCTTCGATGAAGAAATGGAGCTCGCACGAAGTAAAGAGCCCAAGCGAGATTGTGCATACAGGAAGCTTTCCCATGGGCGGACATCGTGAGTAATACGACATGGAGACTCGATGCCAGTACTGAGAAGCTCCGTAGCCAAAGCAAATGATGCCGACACAAAGACACGCGCCATCTTCCTCCTTCCCGCTCAGAAGCCTCCGTACGCCGTATACTGCAATCCGTTCTATGACTATGCCGGCTACGGCAACATCTTCTCGGTCAACTCCTCTGGACATATCAAAGAAAACATCCAGAACTTTGAGTACTGCGACAGGACTGCCATCCATGGCATGGTCTTTGATCCATCTGAGACCTATCTCTACAGCGCGGACATGTGGGCAAACCGAGTGTGGTGTCATAAGAAGATAGATGATGAAGGTAGGCTAGAAACAGTAGGCTTCACCGAGGCTCCCGCACCGAAAGACCATCCGAGATGGGTAGAGATGCATCCATCAGGCAACTACCTATATGCCTTGATGGAGGCTGGGAACCGGCTGTGCGAGTATGTGATTGATCCACAAACCAAACTGCCTGTCTACACACACAAGACGTACCCATTGATCCCACCCGGTAAGGCTTTCATTCAACCCTGATCACTTCAAAAGCTAAATGAGAATCCTAGGTATCCCCAATGCAAACACCATGTACCGCTCCGATGTTTGCTTCCTTACCAAATCCTCAAACTACCTTTTCGCGACCTCTCGATCCAACTCCTTCTCCCTCACCGGTTACATTGCTGCATTCAAGATCGCCCCATCAGGAGCCATTGAGCGACAAATCTGCCTCAACCCTACGCCGACCTCTGGTGGCCACTCGAACGCTGTATCGCCATGCCCATGGTCAGATGAGTGGTTAGCGCTTACGGACGATGAGAAGGGCGGCGTGGAGATATACAGGTGGCACGATGAGTTTCTGGCACGAGTCGCGAGATTGGAGATTGGCGAGAAAGGCTTTGGTATGAACGCTATTTGGTATGACTAGGTCGATGCAGGCAAGCAGCATGTTTGTCTGTAGTGGACACTCTTGGGTAGAATCAAATATGCCGGCAGCTCAAATTTGCTGTATGCAGTACATTTGCATAAACTTCAACAGTCTTCAATACTAATGGTCCTCCACGTCCCGAAACTTAGCGTGGTAGTGGCGGGTCTATGTTCAGCCTCGGAAGAATGAGGGGCATCGGTAGCGCCGTCGCCCGAACTAACGCCAGCCGGCAAATGTCATCGGGGAAGCTCTTCTTTCCCCAACTTCGTCATGGTTCGCACGAGGGAATTGGAGTAGCATAGTTGCATTGATCAAATCTAAACACATTCTATCCTCTACCTTTGATCCGTTGATTACCTGCTGCTTGCCACACTCACACTGAAGTTACAGCTCCCCCGCACCAAAAGACATCATGGCATCCAAATCAACACCAGGCATCTTGTACGTGACGATGCAGCCCAAGGAGGGCTTGCCTGAGGCACAGTTTCACGATTGGTAAGTTGACCCTCCACAGCTGTATTCTTACCTCCTCACGATCGCACCTGACGCTCTTTCCACCAAGGTACCAGAACGAACACGGCCCTAACCGTCTCCGTCTTCCCTTCTGCAACAACGGCTTCCGCTATCGCGCGACCGACCTCGAGAATGCATCCGGTTCCAAAGACAAACCAGAGTGGATGGCCATCTACGACTTCGACGAGCTTGAATGGCTGACCAGGGAACCGTATACGAAGCTTCGGAGTGCACCAGTGCAGTCGCAACGTGAACGAGATACCATGAAGCAGATATTCGTAGACAGGCGATCATATGACTTGCTCGGAGAGTGGAAAGGCAATGATTTCAAGGACCTACAGAAAGTAGAAAATGAAGGAGAGAAGAACGTCATGATTGCAGTCAGCTTTGCGCTGCAAGACGGTGCTGACAAGGAAGAAGAACTGAAGAAGTGGTATGACGAAGAGCACGTGCCGCTTCTACAAAAGGTCCCAGGATGGAGGCGTACTAGAAGATTTGTTACATCATACCTGGATCTAGAGAGTGGACACAAGTCAGAGAAAGAATACCTCGCGCTTCATGAGTACGCGCCGCAAAATGGGCTAGGAGGGCCGGAGTTCAAGGCTGCTACCACAACTGAATGGTGCGACAAGATCTACAAAGATGTTGTGAAAGAGAGGAAAAGGAGAGTTTATGATTTGTACTACACGTTTGGGGCTGCGCAGCGCGACCTACAAAGTCTGGCGAGTAAAGACACAGTACCAGCGGAGAACACAGAGGGGATGGTCAAGACATATCCAGCGCATACAACACCAGACAAGCGACCGGTGATTGAGAGCTTCGTTACAACCAAAGATGGTGTGCAGCTCCCATACCGTCTCGAAGGCTCAAGCGATCCCAATGCGCCTTTACTCGTTCTCTCGAACAGTATACTTGTTGATTACGGTATCTGGGACGATTTCGTTGCTGAGTTCGCAAAAGCCACAAACAACAAGTACCGCATCCTCCGATACAGCACTCGTGGACGCCACGCCCTGCCATCAGAATCTACGGCGCCCATCACAGTTCACACACTCACGGACGACGTGATTGCACTGCTCGACGCGCTCCGTGTCAAGAAAGCATACATCGTAGGCGTCTCCCTCGGCGGCGCAACAGCACTCAACGCAGGTCTCGCTTACCCAGAGCGCATTTCAGCATTCATAGGCTGTGACACCAATGCTTTCGCCCCTCCCTCCAACGCCAACGCCTGGAACGAGCGTGTCGCCGTCGCTGAGAAAGAAGGTTTGAAAGCTTCATCAGGTGAGCCCATTGTCGGCGAAGAGCTCGCAGAGGTGACAGTCCGTCGCTGGTTCGTCAAGGAATCTTACGACGATGCGGAGCTGGCGAAGAAGATTCAACGCGTCAAGGACATGGTCAAGACAAACTCCCTTGCTGGTTTCCGTGATTCGGTCAAAGCGCTACACCAGTATGATATCAGGGAGAAGATGGCTGGGTACAAGGGCAAGGGCGCGTTCTTGGTGGGTGCTGGTGACGGTGTACTGCCCAAGACTATGAAGGAGAATATGGCGGATAAGCTGGGTAGTGGTGTTGAACTCAAGGTGGTTGATGGTGCGGGACACTTGCCTATGGTGGAGAGGCCAGTAGAGGTTGCGCAGTTTGTTGCCAAGTTTTTGGAGGGTTAAGTCATGGGATGTACATCATCTACACCACTTCCAAATCCAGAAAACGACGTTAAAATACGCATCCCCAGATAGAAGCGCTATCCTACTACCCTCTGTCCTCCCTCCCATCCACCCAGCTAGTACAGTTGACACACCTTTTCGCCTTTTCACTAATGTACTTTCTACAAAATTTACACTTGACCTGTTTCTTCACAATGTTATCCCCACTGCTCCTCGAGTACGCCAACGCGACCACCCAAAGCGCCAACGCAATCGCCAAAAACCTAACAATCTTGTCTAGGAAATCACCGTAAGCCAGTACCACGGCGCCGTCGTCGATGGCTTGCTTGGGCGTGTTGTAGCCGTTGGATATGGAGACGTTGTAGTTGGGCCCGGATTGCAGGATGGCGAACTTGGAATCGAGGTTGCGGGAGAGAAAAGGCAAGAGGGAGATTATAGGTAGGATTATGGAGGAGACGAGGGAGTTTGCGCAGGCGGTGAAGGAGGCCGCGAGGCTAGTAGTTCGCGTCAGTACGGCAGATGTGAGTGTCTTGTTGTTGTTGGAGTGTTGTTACATTAATCCAACAGCTACCTCGAGCACGTTGTCACGTAGAGCGAAGTTGCTGAAACTGTCCCAGGCACCCGCTGTTCGCCTCTTGATTCCTTGCTCTGCATTGCGGAGAGTTTGCTGCGTGTCTTCGTCTAGACGCGGCATGATGGTACTCGAGGGGGTTGAGGTGATGAGGGTTGATGCAGATGCATGTGGTGCATGGTTCATCAAAGCTCGAGTCGCGTCTCAGGTAACGACGTCATCAAGACGCGTTAGGCTGGAACCAATCACGCGCACGCGCACGAGGATTGCTTGTACGAGTCCCTCGTCCAAAGAGGATGGCCTTTCCCTTGCAAACACCATCTTTATTGTGTGTTTTGCAGCAAGGACTGTACCTAGCTAACGAACATGTTCCCTTCCTCGATCATTGTAGCGACATCTTCTCCACTCTCTTCCAATGCATCCCGAAACCTAGCCTGCTCATTCCACGCCTAAGCTTCCCCAGCCTGTGGTCCACTTAGCGAGACGCCAGATAGATCGGCTTTCCTTGTTGTCATTGCCCTGCGTCGACCACAAAGCCACGCGGCTGCAGCGCTGCGCACGACATGTACTTCGACATGACAATCTCTTGCGCATCATCTCATGCCTCCGCGGTTCAACATGCCGCACACCAAGTTCTCTGCGATCGCATCGAACAAGATCATCACGCCTTCGGATACACAACCTTATATCTCCTACTCGTCCACCAATCCAAGACATGGCGTACAGTAATAACCCCACAAGCTCGGCCCGTCTACGCAGAAAGCCACTCTTCTCTCCCCAAACACAGACCACATGCCCAACCTACACCCCACCCCACCCCACCCTACCTTCGTAACGAGAAACACCAAAAAGAGGCCCCGCCTGCGAAACCACGCCAGCCAGCCTCATGATTCAGTAGCATGGTTAACTTTGCCGACCCCAGATCAAAGCCCGCCGCGTGACCCTTTACGGCACTCCAAGATCGCCCGCCTAGATGAAAGGGTCAAAGGGAAACCCCAAAACGCAGGGTCTGCCGTCCCTGGGAGATGGAACAGCATGGACATGACAAGTGGTCAGGTTATGTCATGTCACATCATGTCAACTTCGGGACAGCTAAGCCAAGTAGATCACCGCAATCGCTCCGTTTCGCGTGCAAGATGCGCGGTAGAAAACACTTCTTTTCTGTAAGAATTTCGGCACTCTGCGCTTCGTGAATGGGTAAAAGTGAGGGGGTGATCGCAGAAAACACTTCATGCCGGTAAATGTTTTTCTCGCACGCGCTCATGCGCGAGGCTGCATGCAAGAATACGACAAAACGGTATAGCCAAACCTCATTGTGGTAATTTCAAACGAAAATCTCGATCCCCTCTACTGCAGGAAATCGTGAGGCTGAATAGAAGAGAAGGGAAAGGAAAAAAAATTGAGCGGGCTGGTTGATAAGATAATCCTCGCCTCTTCTTGCGATGCAGCGGGTGCCGATAGATCCGATAGCTTCTGTGAAAACCACCGCGGAGGTTTTTCGGAAGCTTCAGGGTTGGAGCGGTAAGCGCGCGAAGAGGGATGTTCGCTGTTAGGGTGTGGAGGGGTACATTTGGGTTGTTGGTTGTTTTCGCTATCGTGGGTTATGCGGCATGAGGTCACGGTACCGCACGCTTGCTTTAGTGTGCAGTAGTCACGTTTGGTGCGAGGGACCGGTTGCGTGTGCTTGACACAGTATACGCGCTTCGAAGGGTTAGTTACAAGAAGTCGTGCCGGGGGAATCTTCTTCATGACCAAACTAGCAATTGATGTCCATGGAAAGTGTGCAATTGCGCATTAAGATATTATGAAGTGGAATTTGTTTTGTTTGTTCGATCGATCTCATGCTGCCGCGGCACGCAACCAGTAAAGTTGTAAATGCTCAGTAAAACACCACCCAATGCGTGTAACCATAAAATATGCAAACCCGTGGTATACCAAAAACGCCTCCCAATGCTGTATGCGTAAAGTCAAAAGGCCACCAACGCCGTGCAATGCTGTGCATCCAACCTTGCTACTTCTTCCCTCTCCGTGATTACAATATTGACTCTCCCGTCACCGAGTCCACTCTTGCTCTTGACTTTGATCGTGTCGATGATCTTCTTCGTTCCGCGCCATCCTTGGGCTTCCTAGTTTTTGCGCGCCGTAGCGCAGGGACATCTTCCTCTTCAGATTCGTCTACAGTGAATAGATCCGGGCTGGGTTCCCGCCATGAGTGGCGATGACCAGATAGTGTGCGCGAGTATCGGCGACGATTTTGTTGTTTGCGAGTTGCAAGATCTTGTGCGCGACCTCGGGCTGGTTCAGTGATGCGGATTCGTGGAGGGCTAAGTTGAGACACAACATGTGGCGTATCATTCAGTCGATCGTCATCGAGGCCCATGAAAGACTCTTCCTCCTCTTCATAGATGGTAGGTGCGTGGTACTGGTTGTGAAGCTGGCCGTGGTTGTGCTTGACGTATCTGGCCCATTTGTTGGCCACGTTGGACTTGAACTTGGAAGACTTGGTTGTGCGGGGCCCTTCCTGGACGTCGATGCCTGCGCTTAGCGACAGTTCATACGGGTCGTCAGCTTCAGTGATGGGTGGTGAGATGAAGTGCGAGAAGGGATCTTCGTCAATGTCCGGAAGATCGTTTTCATGTGTGTCCTCATTGCCCGTCTCGACCCACGGTGGGAACGAGTAGGAACGAGGAGCGCTTCGTAGATAGGAAGGCATGATTAATAAGATATCCTTGAACTTTCGAAGGAGTGATGAACGTCGGACGGGTAGTGCCGGTTTAGCGCTAGATTCAACCTTGACAAAGGCGATGTGACCGAAAATGGTGTTTAGCTCTCCGGCTCCCTGGCCGGTCCTTCCTAAAACAACAGCTTGCGAACACTCGGCGACGAGAGCTCACAAGTGGTGGTGGAAGGTTGTTTTTGTAGTTTCGCCAGTGGTGAGTGGCACACGCAAGATATTATGCGTGACTTTGGCGTAAGCCTCTGAAAGAGTCACAAGAGGGCGGAGTGGATGAGGAGGCTGAGATGAGACAATGGTAGTGCTGCCTAGGATGTATTTGCCTGGGAGAGGACGAGTCAAGAAGCGACTGTTAGTAGAGAACCGTGGTCTATCCTCCTCGAGATATCCAGATGCCGAATACATATTCTGGAGGATTCCTTGGGTACTTATGTTTGCAGGCCAGAGATGTTGCCGGAAGAGGTGCCCTGCATGTGCAGTGCATACGCATTAGCGTGCGGTGTGGATTAGAAGCTTAGTGCAGCGTGAACAGAATAGGTAGGGATCCCAGGGCGCAAGGGACTGGGTGACAGGCAGAGTGATGGCTGGCGGACCACATGAGATGGTTGGCGGCACACCATCTCGGTGAGAAATGACCTGCAGGCTGCACGCGCGCATTGGCCACTAGGTGTTGCGGACAAGACGGCCGTTAATGCAGGACTGTCGATCGATGTATTACCGCTAAGTGTCAAACTATGGCCGGAGACTGACCAGCGCAATCGTGCAAATTGTAGCGAGGCGTCAAGAGGAAAGGCGACTAGTGAGTGAGTTGTGGTGGAGCCAAAGGCCCGAAGACACTACGTAGTCACGATTCCACGCTAAGGGCGGGGCAGATCACACAGCATACCATCACTTTCTCTCCATTACCACTCAGCCTCATTCTAAGCTTGCCCTTTTTGGTCCACCACACACCCTCTTTTGCTCACACGCCTCCTCGCTTGCGTCTCTGAGAGGCCGTGACTGAACTGCTTAGAGTCCCGCTACATCCGCCCTACGATACCTATCGTGAGCATGACGAGGCTGCTTGCGTGAACCTTTGTTCGGTGCCTGCAGCCGACAGTGTACTACACCGAACTTGGTGGCGTTCATCCAAAAATGTTTCATGAACAGGTCATGGATGGAGTTTCAGCTGGGTGTATGATTCAGCTGATGTGGCTCCAATACACCACAAGCAACATTTGATCTTGGATCACCGTGACATTTGCTCACCATTCATAGTATGATAAATTCGTCTACCAGGGGACAATTATCATATCATTTGACAACCTGGGATAACGCGGCATCATCACTTGGCTCCACTGTTCAGTTTCCCAGTATTGCGAGATTGCTACTGTTTTCCAAGATCCGTTTCCTCACGACACCGTTACGGCCCGACTCCGCTTGGGCTTTACAAGAGATGGACTGACGTAGTCTGCATACACACGACCTGTCTGTTGGGCCTTTGATTGTTACAGTCACTGTTCTATGACGTCTATCAGTTAATGTTGACAATGTTGACAATGTTCAGATGGAGGTCAGTACCGCGGTTCCCGGCGCCAATTTGGGCGTGCGCCTCAATACCTGACTAAGAACTTTATTCCACCCACCGCAGTGTCACCTGAACCCTGAGCCGCCTGATGAGTCGGACTCGCCTGAATTCCTTGGAATTTAATGCGTTCTGCTCGCTTAAACTCACAAAAGAGGTCTCAAGGGCTCAGCATCAGCTCTTGACACGGGTCTCTAAACGCCTCAGTAGCTTGTAAGGTTCTGACTGAATTTCGGCGTGCACGAGTGTGATGCATCCGATTATTCAAAATACCACCCACCCTGTTATTTGACTGTGCATATACATGTCAATCTCGGCTCCTCTCTCCAGATACTGCTAGAAGTCGCTTACGCCGTCAACAAAAGGCGTTCTAGCAGCGGGATTGGACAGCCCTATGGTTATTCTTTTAATGCGAACCAAATAACGTGTACGAATAGAAACTTCTCCTCCCTCGAAGCGCATATCCAACGTCCAAGTTTTGATTTGATCAGCCTTCTCTCGGTTTGGTACAGTATTCGAAGCGCATAACTCTCCCTGTCATGCTGGCTTCCACGCTACTCGGGCGTCGCTGTTGCAGCGCTTCTCACTTTCGCAGCATTGCATCTTACTACTTCTGGTGGACTACAACTCTGCATGTTGCAGTAGCGCTCTCTACATAATTTGCTTTTTTGCAACTCATTGGGTCCTTAGATTACACAAATCGACCGATGCCATGGCACGCGTACCGTGATCTACCACTCACTGCTGAGACCACCCTAGACAGACTAGATATCTTTACAACCGACATCTACATCCTCGTCGAATAGTCCCTCAACGTCCCTCAAGTCGCATATCCTGAAGCCTTTCACCGCCCTACACCGCCATTTCCGCCCATGTCTTCCGCGATACGATCTACGAGGCGTGAGCGCTCGGGAGCTAACTCCTTCACTAGCCTACAAATTCCCAGCAGGGATTCCCCAAACCGTCTGCCTGCATCTGTACCAAGGAAGAAACACCATAGCTGTGGGTCTTTCAACATTTCGGACTCTTTTGTTCGAGATTTCTTGAAACACATATCGGACCAGCATCGGCCCACCTCGGACCTTTCATGACGTGCGCCTTGGGTTTCGGGCGAGAAGATGGTCATTGGTCGACTATCTCGTTTCGTTTCGTCTCCGTTCATACATACGAGGCGCTCACCGCTGATGTCCCTCCACCAAACGCCGACACACCGTGCCGATGGCGACATACCAATGCCGGCCATCTAGGTATTTGACTTGTGCCGAAGTCAATGTCAGGGATGGTGTGCGCGGGGTGCATGTTGGAAAGGGCCCCGCTGCCTCTCTAATTCTGCAACACCACGGACTCAGATCGCCCCTCTCTACCCGAGAATTATTTTGAGATGCGCGCGCGCGCGTACTGACTACCCGGCTCTTGCGCCCAATGCATTTCCTTGGAACGATGAGGCTCTCACCGACTACGTCATGTCTCTTTACCCTCTTCTCTTCGCTATGCTTCTATCCTCGGACCATGGTGGGTAGGAAGCGCTTCTGGCAAAGACTTGATCAATCTTACCCCGCTTCTCCGGTGTCGCAAAAAAATGTGCTGGACGCGTGTTCCGCGTGACATAATCGACAAGGTGCGAAAATGCCGAGTCTGTATGTAGTCGATCAGCTGCAATGGCAGAATAAACGAAGTGGTTGCAACAAGCACAAGAAAGAGAGAAAAAGAAACGAAGAATAAGCTTCGACCTAACGGCTTCGTCGTAATATATCAACATCAGCACTTGCGTGTACTTCCTACCCCAGCTTTACGTCACCAAGCACACGCGTAACAGTCACGATCGTCGCATTAGACTCTCAAATCTTTACTCTTTACTCTTTACTCTTACTGCCCAATCACAAAAAGTCCACGCAGACCACCTCATCAAGGAACGCCATGCCAAACGCCGCGAACAATGGGTATAGTATCAGAACGCTTCATGCTAAGACCCGATGCCGATCTCATAGCCAAGCATCACCTCGGTGGATGCTCCCTCCCAGCCTCTGTTTCCACCAGTTGAGATGAGGAAGTTGCATGTCGGGTCGAGGTACAGTTGCGATATGACGCCTGTGCGATGTCCGGGGACGATGAAGAAGGGCGTCGCGGCCGCGCCGGCTTTCGGGCCCGCATCGTCGTGAGTGAGATCATAGAGGCGGAGGATGTCGTATGACGCGCTGGTACACGTTAGTACTTGTCTCACGTTGCGTATGTATCTGTGCGCGTGTAAAGGGGAGGGTGTAGTTACCAAATGAGATGTCGTCCGTTGGGCATAGCCCGAACAGCACTTACTGCGCCACTGACGCTGGGGAATTTGAATGTTCGTCGCGGCTCTCGTAGGCTTTTGTGCAGACTGTACTCGTCCACTGTGCCGTTTCGCCGACCGGCGTAGATGAAGTTGCCGTCTGGTGACCAGCATGCATTCATGCACCATGGTGGTGTGTTTCGTGGGGGTGTTATACGTGCGACTGGGTTTGGTTGCCGGCGGTCCCAGATGCGTAATGTACCGTCCATTGACGCGTCGAAGAAGGTTGTCTCGGAGGAATCTGGCTGTTCGGTTTGGTTTGCGGAGGTGATGGCAGGTTGTTCGATATCCTCTGCATGTGGTAGGCCGTTCGAAGTGCCGTTAAGTTGCGCATCTGCATTTCCATTTACTGCTGGGTGTGTCTCAGCGGCTGCTGGAGGTTCCTTCACTTGCTCCGCAGCTGGCTCCTCGGGCGCTTGTACAGGGCCGCCCATGTCCATCATATCCATATCAGCATTGGCGTCCTCGTCCGCCTGTTGTATTCCGTTCGCAATGGCTCTCGAGAACTCGTCGTCATCGTCACCGAACGAAGGAAGAGTCGCGGAGAGGTTGTTCTCCTGGCCGTCGCCAAATAAGGAGTCCTGGTCCTTGTCTCCGAATAACGAGTCATCTGGAGATCCTTGAGCATCCTCTGTGCCTTCTTCTTTTGGTATGACGGGCTTTGTGTCGACACCATTCGAGAAGATGCCGTTGGGCCGGGGCCGGGCGGAGTTGTTGGACGAGAAAGTGCCGTTGGAGAGCGGGAGAGTTTCCGTGTCTTGGGGTATAGGAAGGGTAGAGAGCGGGCGTTGCTCAATTGCGGCAATCTGACCACCGCTAGTCTCAAACTTCCTCTTGACTTGGCCGGTGTTCAAGTCCCAGTCGTTGATGGTCTTGTCCCAACTACCGCTCAATACCGACGTCTCATCCTGCGATAGTGTCAAGACGGACACGGCTGAGGTGTGGTTCTTGAGTGTATGTATCCGCGTTCCTTCCTGATGGCGCACCGATTGCAGATTTATGCCTCCTGAATCTAGACCTGATAGCAGCCATAGCGCTTGGTGGTGCACTGCGAGCGAGTATACAGGGGACAAGCTCTCGGCCGCAGCACTGTCTTCGTTCTCCCAGTATGATAGAAGCACTCCCGCCTTTGTGACGGAATCCACAAAGGGATGCCGCTGGGCCACGGTCAGCGCAAGCTTCCCGTTTGCCGTGTCTACCCAATTGAACTTGCGTATATAGCCGTCTGCGCCTCCGCTGAAGACCCACCGCATATCCGGCGTTGCCGTAATCGCATTGATCGAAGTACTGTGTGGTGCGGCGATGGTGGGTATTATGTCGTATATGGGCGCGTTCAAGGCCTCTTGGCGCACGCTGGGGTGGAAGGGCAGGTTGCCGAGGACGCCTGAAGCCGCCGCTCGAGGGCTGGGTGAGGTGAAGGTAACGGCAGGGTTCGCGTCAGACTGGCCAGGTGTACCTCCGTTGGGTATGCTACCGCGCGGTCGCTGTGAAGGGCTGTCCGGTTCATCCTGGTCTTGATCTTGGTCCTGATCCTCATCGTCGTTGTCGTTGTCCCCTTCTGCGTCGTCATCATCATTGTCGCCGTCGTCTCCGTCGTCGCCCTCTTCTTCCTCGTCTACATCCATGGCATCTGCCTCCTCCTGCTCATCTTCCTCCTCGGCGGAGCCTATTGCGCGCCGTCAGTCAACAGCTACCATGAAGAGTTCGGGGTGCATGTACTTGCGCCATTCTCGTAGTCGTCCTCGTCATTCATGCTGAATCCATAAGCATGAGCTAATTTCGCATGCGCTCAGCTGCTGCCGTGCTGTGTCGCGTCGGAATCGATGCGCCGATGTTCGCGTTGAGGGACATGGATGAGGCTCGGCCTAGCGTCATCCGGCGCGAGCAGCGCGGGTTACACCATTCCGCTTTGGAGCTAGGAGGCTTCACATGACAGGCATCTATATACAACCATCTGTTCACGAGTTTTATTTTGTTCATGTTCTACGGCTACAAAACAAAGACTCGAAGACTTGGTATACCAACCAGCCAATCCTACTTTCAACCCCATTCAGAAAGCTCAAACCCGTTATCGCGAACAGTAGAGACCTTCTACCTCCAACTCGAAGATCCCATACCACCTTCCCTAATGGCTTCCTTGTCATCCTCGATCCCGTCGTAGCCCAAAAAGCCGGTAAAGCCGTTGTTAACGAAGGAAACGCTGATCTTCGAGCCAAGAACCCGGATAGTGCGCGGAAGCGAAGTACTGTCCAAGAAGTGAAGTCGCTCAGGCCATGTCTTTTATGCAAAACACGAATCTGTATCGTCGCCATCTCGACACTTACCGTGGCCGATGCTGGCCTTGTCAAGGATGATATGGTGTAGCGAAGTAGCCCGGATTTCCAGAGCTTTCAGCCATGGTTGGAAATGGAATATGAAACAATTCACCAATGGGCTGAAGTAGAATTTGTGGTCAGTATCTAATTTTCGTGTCTTTAACAAGTATGCAGTCATTATTCATGATACCAAGAGAGGTGCCGTTGACGGAGCAGGAGCTATATGGACGTCTTGTTATGTTAGGTAGACATGTCAAAGTATAGGGCCGCTTTCTGAACTAGGGCTCTGGCTGCCAACGAGGCTGAGCGACTTGCGACCCCAGCGACCCCGAGGCAGCCTAACAGTATGCCCAGTGCTGCCTGCCGCCAAATCCGTCGCTGACAGCGGGAAAACCGAGCTTGCGTCCATTAGTCTTTACAGGGATGGGGTACTGTAGAAAAGAAAAGTAGAAAGGTTTCATCAGATGCCGATGAAGAGTTGCAGAGTTGGGTAGGATACTGTTCGAGAGGCACCCGCCTAGAGAAGCTTTGCGATAGCACTGAGTGGGCAATCCCTTGCTCGATACAACAGTCGTTCCAAGTGATGCACAAACTACACATATGTAAATTCAGTCAATGGAAGCGTGATGTTCGTGGTTGCGGAAGCCTAGCAGGCAAAACCCACGACGTTCTACCCTGTTACTCAACCTCCACACCCGCTTACCGTGCCGCAACACCAGCATTCAGCCTCATGCCCCTTGCATTAGACTGACCCCAACTCCTCTCCACTACTCGAAATTTATCGTGATACCCGTCGCACAGGCTTGTGCCGCGTTCCATGTCTGTTGCACTGCCCTTACGCGCTGGGCCATGGTTGGTCCAGAGCAGCGTGTTCATGCCCCAGTCTCATAAGCTGTAGCCGCCGAAGCCACCTCTGGCATGGTTTCATTGCCAGGCTGGTGCGGCGATCATGCAGACTTTACAACTGCGCCGCAATATTTGCCCCGATCATGTACTGCATATGACCGAGAGCCGCACTCTGCGATGGAGCATTTAGTTTTCCCTTTTTCCACATCCCGTGCATGAGCGAAGCGTCAAGTGAATCCCACAACTATGGCGACGTTCGCACCATCGCCCACCATGCCAGCTTCGAACCTGACGACAACTGAGGCGGAGACCGCTCTAGAAACTGACTTGGCTCTCCCCGGCATCAAGCGTGGCATTGCCATTGGAGTAGCATGTTCAGTGTCGGTCGTCGTTATCGCCATCCTTGCTTTCTTTGCCATCAGACGAAGAAACCGTGTGCTATCTCGAAGAGCGCAACTTCACACGACAAAAGCAGAGACTATGGATTCTGAAGCCGGGCTGCAAGAGAAGGCTTGGTGGGCCGCTACACCTGCGTCGTCACCATCATTACCTCCACCGCCACCTGTCGAAGCAGATGCCCAGATCATCTACGAGCTGGACGCAGGCCAGATACCCGAATTACACGGCGACACCGCTGCGCAAGAAGTAGATGGAAATGACAACCACCACGACATGTCGAAAGACGCAGAGGATTTGTACGCCCAGAAGCTTGAGCAATGGAGAGCTTGGAGTATTGCAATCGAGCCGAATCCTTCGAGCCCTACCATCGAGCCTGTGCATTCGTGTCTACCACTACTCATGGTGTCACCACCTGAAGCTTCCCCCGGTGAGGTGTCGCCGTTGTTACGCTCATCGTGGGATTATTCCTCGCAGGATGCTTCACCCATCTCACCGCCTCCAAGCGCGCATTTTCCATCGGTCCATCGCGAGCATGCAAACACTTGAGCGACGGACTTATGGAACTTTCCCACATACAAACCAAGTATAGCAAGTGAACCAGAAATCCCACCCGCACACGAAAAGGCCTGCTGGATCTTAGAGACTGCCGTTCATAACGGGGAAGTTGCGAAGGGTATATTCTAATGACGCCTATAACGACCACATGAAACACCAGCAGAAACCAAGCCCCAGCTATCACAATGGTGGTCTCTTCTCATCGACTGGCCTAAAATGCTTCTCGAACCGACCTTGTTCTTCATCAATCGGCGAATCTAGAAAGAGCCGTTCCCTACTTCCTTTCCTTCCGCCTTGTGGAGGAACTTCGGAACCTTGCAATTCTGCAGCAAAATTCCGATCACCAGCAGCCTCCACGGAAATAACGGGACTGGCCAGCTCAGAAGGGTGCCTCTCACTTGTGCTTGCCTCCATTTCTGCTGGGCCAAGCGCTCTATGTTCCCTGATCTCCGGACCTGTCCCCTTTCCGGCTGTCTCTAGGTCGTGCGCAGTGTCGGTGGCGGCTGAACCTTTGGATAGGCGGCGCAGTACAGACCGTCTTCTTCGCACACAAAACCAGCCTCCAAGTAGAAGTAGAAGTATCGCAAGAGCGGCTCCTATACCGATGCCTGCGCTGGCCCCAACACTAAGACCGCCATTTCCAGACGCGGGAGCTGGCGTTGACGAAACGGAGGCATCGGTCGAAGTTGGAGTAGGGACACTCGTTGGAGACGATAGTGCTGATGGTGCTGATGGTGCTGATGGTGCTGATGGAGTAGGGACGTTCGGTGTTGGGGCTGGTGGTGGTGGTGGCCCAGGTGCGATAGAGGTCACATCATCGTCGTCATCATCGTCAATGTCTGTCGTGGTAGGGAGCGGCACAGTCGGATCTGTAGGTGTGGCCATTTTAAGTCTAATTAGAAGAGTCGAACAAGGCCGGGGATGCCAGAGTGTATATCAACGACAGATTTGTATATCTGCTACCAATTGTAGATAAGTTTGAGGATACCTTAAAAACTAGATCACGCTTCTTAAAGCAGGAATGCCATACCCCGCCTCCACATATATACCAATGTCTCAGAATAGTGGGTGTCGAAGACGACATTCCCGCCCACGTCTCCGGGTTCAAGCATCGGCGTTGTCGCGGCACCCATCGCTCATTCGAACTCGGCATCGTTAGGGCGTCTTGTCGGCGACTCAGCCTCCTCCCGTCGCATGTACTCGGGCCATCGTCAACTTGGCCTTACCTGCTACAGGCCTCAGTCTACCACTGCCGTTTGTTGAGTCTCCGCTAGCCAAGTAAATCTATGCTCCCTACGTGCAAGGGGAGACGCGTCGTCCGGGGCTCCGCTGTTGTCGAAGTTGCCAAGATGCGGAAGCCACCACCACTGGACGTACATAGCCATACATCATTTGTTTCCGAGGTGTAGTTATACCTGTGCATTGATTGTATATCGTCCGTGTGGCAGGCATTGTTCGGCCTGGTTGGGCAGCGAATGACGCAACGAACTACATGTGAGAGTAACGGGGATGATGGTATGTGGAAGCTCCCAGAAAGCTCTTGAGAACGAAGGTGGCAGACCCGATATAAGATAGACTTTAGGATGTCGGAATCTGGTGATAAAAGACCTGGGGAAAGGTTATGCTATCCATGAACAAGTTGCTGGGCGAACATGTCGACTAGTTGGTGCCGCTGAAATGACAAGGTTTAGCTCACCAAAACAGGAATGTGGCGATGAGCGATGCATTTGTGGGTGTGAGCGCATCTATGGAGATTTGTGCGACTCTATGGACATTTACGCCCAACTTATGGAGATGAACGCTGTACATAAAGAGACGGATGATTGCGGCCTCGTTGGGAGAACATGGGTTGAAGCCCGTGCCGGCAAGCGTGCGGGATCAGCATTCCCGGACACGACTCCGTCCCGTTAGGATGCTTCCCTCTCCATCCCCACACTCATCGCGTCGCACGCCGTCAACGTAGCCCGACGCCATCGTCTGCTTCGCCCGGCACCGTTCCACGGATTGAGGCTTCTCATCGAAACACATTGTTGCTCACGCCTGTCCACTAAAGTGGTGAGAATACGCTTCTCGGCCGAGTCGCTTTACGAAACACATCAATATGCAGTGTGCGATCTACCTTGATACTTTATCGAGTTCTGAATCGCCTGAGCACACGGCGTAAGGGAGAGCGCAGCTATCGCTGAGCTACAGCTGCCTTAATGACTAATGTCAACGAATAGGATCATCTGCCAGCATAACACGCGGAAAGGAGCAATTGCAGATCAGATGGCGCCACAGGAGATCCACCTGCAGTATACTTTCACCATCCCCCAAGGCAACCAGTAGTTCCGCAAACCACTTGATCTCGAACTTGCATGGTAGGCTATCGAACTGATGTCGCTGGTACCGTACCAAACTAAGATCGACACTGCATGGCCGCCCAAAACATTTGGGCCACCATACCTAAGGAATGCATATGCCCTGACACCTGTTGGTGTGTTTACTATGGCCAACCAAGCCGACAATTGGCTGTAAAAGTAGTGGTGCTGCTACCCTGGACCCCTTCTTTGGCTCTATTGGTTCCTGCATATGGTAATATGGGCTCGTTCTTCCGGGGAAGGGGTGAGATCAAAGAGGCTCGCAGCTAGCCGCACAGCGCACGCCCGCACACCCATGATAGCGCGAACTTTGGAGTATGGCATCATTGAGAAATCTCTCTGTGATTTCAGAGCGGGAACAGTGCCATCCGATGATACAGGAGCATGGGTTCACGTTGGGGAAAAGGATATCAGAAGTATGTTGCGCATATAGTCCAGTATCGGAGATCCGAGTAGCTGGGTTACATCTTGCTTGTCATTCCGGGACAACAGCGTCGCCATGTTCTCGACTAGCGTCTAGCGTCCATCGGTGGTGGCCGGCCGATGGAAGTATGGTCTCAAACGAAGTTCTGATGAGAGACGCTACGCACGGGATGTAGTTCTAGATGGTACCAAAGCTAACTAAATCTACATGGCGTCCATTACGCAACTATTGCAGGCGGCTCGCCTCTCTAACATGCGCGGGTGGCGGCCTGAATCTTTGTCAACTCAAATGCCCATAGGATTCTTCAGTTCAGTCATTCTGATGCGGAACGACCTTTCCCTAAAAACCTTGTCAAAAAATACCAAGCCCTTGCAGCATGGCGAGCCAGTCGGGACCTAATCTGAATCCTGTCTTCTTCGGTGGCATCGAAGTCGATATCAGCCAGTTCGATTTCAGCGACCATTCATCACGACTTGGTAGTGTTACAATAACTTGCACCATCTTCATCGTCCTGGTTGTCTTGACTGTCAGTCTACGGATCTTCTCTAGAGCAAAATATGTCCGACATATCTTTGTAGACGATGGTACGTGTCAAACAAAGGATAAGAGATTCTGGCTAACGGATAACAGTTCTCATCATCTTCGCTGCAGTCTTTACGCTCGCTCTAGCGGGAATGTGTATTGCAGGTAAGCAGTAAATACTTGGTACATGGGCTTGAGTTGACGATACGATAGCGACTCGACACGGTCTAGGTCAACATATTTGGCTTTTGCCTGTATTGACGCTTTTTGACACGCTGAAGAACTGTATACTGGTAAGTACAAACTTCTTATCGAGGGCTACATTTCTGGGAAGCGATAGGTGGCTGCCAGATTCATCGAGCGTATCGGAAATGCTCGAGTCGAACTGCAATGACTAATACAATGTAGTATCTCTTCTTCTGCCAGGTGTTGTACTGTTTCGCTATTGCGTTGACGAAGATCGCCATCATATCACAGTACCTTCGCTTCATCCCCGACAAATCGTTTCGCGCGACAATGTACGCGATATCTGTGATCATCGTAGGTCTATGGATTACGGGTAAGATACACAATGCCCACCGATTGTTTACATGTGCTGAAGAATTTACAGGAGTTTTTGTCACTATCTTCCAGTGTCGTCCTGTTCAGGGAGCATGGAACTTCACTATTGAACCAGTGTGCGTAGACTACGTTACCTATCTCTACGCCAGCTCCGCCGTCAATGTTGCAACGGATGTCCTCCTCTTTGTGCTACCCTTGCCCCACCTCTGGAAGTTGAATCTACCGAAAAAGCAACGAATCATCCTCTGTGTGCTACTGGGAGGAGGTGCAAGGTGTGTAACGAACATACGCGGCATGTTGTCGAACTATGCTGACCCATGGTAGCGCATGCATTGTAGGCATTGTCCGCATCGCTTATCTACATCAGCTACGCGTCTTGGATATTACCTGTAAGTTAGCTTTTAGTCTGAGAGTCAGCGGGAGAGACTTGTCGGATACAGCACGTAAAGAACCATTCGTCGTGTCGACCAGCCGCGAGACTTTCATCAATGTCACCCATTCTGCTCAGGGACACCAGCTAACAAGCATCTAGATCAAAGCGTCACGTGTCTCATGATGACAATAGGGGAATGCAGTTTAGGAATCATCTTCGTCAGCATTGCTGCTCTTCGTCCGATGGCACGGCAATTCTTTCCAAAGGCAATGCGAAACTCCCCTTCTTCATCGGCTCCGCGACGCGCATGGCCCATCCGCCTCCACCATATACACCCCAGCGAGGACAAGAACCAGTATTCTTCAGACAGCAAACAAAACCTATCGGGGTCATACGAGTCGCGCTCGGGAGGGTCATGCTAGTTTTTCATAGACGACCAATTCAGCGTTCACGAAGGCCTCAAAAGTCACATCCTCAGATGATTTGACTTCGAGCAAGATTATCAGGATATGGACGATCCATCCGCGAATCTTCGTTAGCCGCATCGCTGGCAACCTGTAATGCCATGCCCAGATACGCATATCTTCCCAAGGTCATCATTCGTCGGGAAGTTCGATTGGTTATAAGTCGGATGAATTCTACACACGACCCGATACCCAACTCGATTCCACAAGCTCTCTCGACAGGCGATCGAATACGGGACAGGACGCTTGTTCAGCTGACCGCCAAGAAAGCCAAGTTGTCAGCCAATTTTGCGGCTAACTACAGTTGGTAGCCCAAACTGTTGTTATTGGTGCAAACTTCACGACGTCACAGACCATTACAGGAGTCGCGACAGGCTGAAAGCAGGCTGTGTTGGCGATCTTACACTTATGTGCAGGCTGTGTAAGGCGTCCATTGTGTGCATCATGGAGCACACCGGTCGTAGCGACGATACATAAATACAATACGTGCCGCTGCTCTTGAACCTGCATACAAAACATTCGTAGTACGCTTCAAGTAACACGAAAATATAACCTATCAACTCATCTATCAAACGATCATCCTTGATACATTCATCAGTCTATAAAACTTCGACCTCTATACTACTGCTCTTCCAAAGTTTACCTCGGAACCTCACATCAATCCTTATCTATAATGAAGTTTACCGCGGCAACAACTCTACTTTTCGCGGCCCTTGTGCTCGCCAGCCCAGCCCCCGATGCCAACCCAGACGCGATGGCTGAACCCATAACCATCGAGTCTCGCGCACAATTCCGCAACGCATTATCAGCACGTAATGTGCTTACAGTGCCAGACATTCAACTCGAAGAACGAGCATCTAGCAGCGGTGGAAAAAGTGGAAAAGGTGGCAAGGGTGGAAGCGGCAACTCCAGCAGCGCTGCGTCGGACATGCTATCACCAGATCGCGTTCTCCAAGTCGCTGCGCTGGGTCTGAGTTTTGCGGAGGTTGTGAGGCTGTGGGGTTAGACCATGGGAAACCTTGAATGGGGTATTTCAGGGACGTGTGAGTGAGCCAGCGGCCAGTGCTTTATTCGACCACGACATTTTACTGAGCGATGGAGTTATGTTTGGATGTTATTGTACGATGATTCAGCAAGATACCACAGCATGGGAATATGAAACTGGAATCTCACAACACTACGATCTTCTAGTTGCAGACTTGGCTCACAACGCCTACCACGTCACTCTGCATGTATTACACCTCAGTCAGGTTTTCGTGGTCAGCGCAACATGTCTATCTACTAACTGGCTTTAGATGAAACACCAAGGTACTGGCTCCCACTGATGAACTTGATACGTATCAGCCTAGTGCCTTGTGTTGGTGATCGCCATAGTGGACGAACATAGCCACAGTGTGGCAGTGCGAATCGTCAGACAAATTGAACATGATTGAGATGATCATTGCACAGCCACACACAGCTGATTGAGTAACACAAAGGTAGTATTTATCCATGTCGAGGGACTAGACATAAACAGCAAGATGATGAAGTGTTGAACTGAGTAAACATTAACATTGGTATCTGCAACCTAAACGCTAGAAATAAAAACGCCATGCAATGCCCTAAACGCTACGCTATGCCATCGGACTGTATCCAAATAACTTTTCACTGCAAAGATCTATGCATGAAGCAATGCCTATAAGAACTTGTTCATAAACTTCTTCCATCCACTGGCGGAAGACTCTTCCCAAGTTTCACTTTCTTCGTCCTCGAACTTTCCAGTAAGAAGGTCAGCTTCAGCAGGGTTGATGAACTTGCTCCTGGTAACAATCTTGTGACCAAGGTAAAGAACAGCGAAGAGGATCAAACTGATGTATGCGATGAAGAAGTCTTCGGTGCTCCACGGGACGAATGCGGTAAAACCTTGGGTGATGGTGATGATGGCGCAGAAAGTGACACCGTAGATGGCAAGAGGGCGGCCACCCCATGATTTGAAAGGGAGGGTATCGCGATCAATGTTTTGGGCCTTCAGCGCGCGCATAAAGGAGAGGTGGCAGACCAATACACAAGTCCAGGCGATGAAACCTGCGACTGAGACAATGTTGAGGAGCCAGTTGAAAGCCTCTCCACCGTTGGAGCTGAGGTTCATGTAGGCCAGCAGACCCATGGCAGCGGTGACTGCGGTTGCCCAGTATGGGACACCTCGCTTGCTTGTGGTCTTGAGGAACGCAGGAGCACACTTCTCTTCCGCAAGACCGACAAGAATACGGCTGCCGGAGTAGACGTTGGAGCTGGCCGCTGAGAGAACGACAGTAAGCAGGATGGCGTTGAAGATATCGGGAAGTGCGGAAACACCAGCGAGCTGGAAGGCAATAACCATGGGCGATGAGCCGGCGTTTGTGTCACCAATCTGCAAAGCCTCATTGTCGTATGGTACCAGTATACCAACGAAGAAGATGGTAAAGACGAAAAGGGTAAAGATGCTCCAGAAAGTCTTGCGAATAGCTTGAGGCATAGTGACACGCGGGTTGGCGGATTCTCCTGCACCAATAGCACAGAGCTCAGTACCCTGGTACGCGAAACCAGCCTGGATGAGAACAGCCCAGAAACCGACAAACTTGGCAACAGCTCCTTCCGCGAGGTACGGGGCGAAAGCACCGGGTGAGTCCCAGTACTTGAAGCCGATGTAGCCCTGCGCGCCAACACCTGCGTTCATGCAGATGGCGTAGATCCAGAAGCCAACAAGGGCGACAACCTTGATCAGTGCGAACCAAAATTCGAATTCGCCGAAGATGTCGACGGGCAAAAAGTTGACGGCGGTGATTGGTACCCAGAAGATGGTGATGAAGATGCCGATGCTGAGGTCCGAGTCCCACCATTGGATGATAAGACCGGCGGCTGTGAGTTCGAGCGCATAGGTAATGGACCATGAAAACCAGTAGATCCATCCCATAGAGAAACCAAGCGAAGGGTCAACGAAGCGAGCAGCATACTGTGTGAATGCACCAGAGATGGGTAGGTAGGTAGCCATCTCAGCCAGACTGAGCATGACAGAGTAGACCAGGGTTCCAACGAAAACGTAAGCCAAAAGTGCTCCAGCGGGACCAGCAGTAGCGATAGAGCCACCGCTGGCGATGAAGACACCAGTTCCTACTGTGCCGCCGATAGCTACGAACTGCAAGTGTCGGGATGAAAGCTTGCGCTGTAGCTCATCCTTGGGTGCGGCGGCCTGCTTCTCAACGTCGCTCGCTGAGTGAGGGACCGACTTGTCCGACCGCTGATCCATCTTGGGGGTAATCTCCTCAGAAGCGGATGCCATTTTGGTGGTGGTGGTGTCGGCGAAGAACCCGAGGACAGGGCTTGAGGTTCGAAAAGAGAACAACAACAACGAAGTCGCGATGTCAGATAGATGTCAAGTGCGCAAGAGCCAGGGACGAAATCGATATTTCAATCAAACACACGGTCATAGGAAGTGGAGTCATCGCGCAATACTCCATGAGCCATCATGTTAGCCGTCGGCGTACTCCACGCTCTGGAAAGCCAGTCGGCCGTCCAAATTTTCATTGTCGGTCCACTTGGCGGGCAACACAGTGGTTTCGCCGCGCATGATGCAGAAGTTGAACCGTGATGGTAGGGTGATCGAAATTTTCGAGCCAGGATTACGTCGGCTACGAGCGGGTCGCCGCCGCCAGTTCGCGTCGCCCTGGACGCGACAGTACAAGCGGCAATGCTTATCGCGGAATTACCGTGTGGAATGTGTAGCTTGGCCGTTCCGTGTGTTCCCAGCAGGAAAAATCTGCAGCTTAGCTGTATCATTTTTGGGGAACTTTGTGGCGGCGGCATTCTTTTAGGCATAGTGGGAGGGCCGGCCCTTCATCGGGTGACGGCCTTGGCGTGGAGCGAATCAGACTCTATCCATCGGAAAACCTCATCAGGCCTATCATGACTCCGTCGCATGTCATTGCGTTCTTCAACTTACCCCATTCTCCAACCAGCAATTGGAGAGCTCTTCATCGGTCGTATTCCTGAGACTCGAATGATGCTGAAGTTGCGTTCCATACCCACGTAGCTTGAAAGCACATCACGCGACCATCCCGAGGTCGTGAAGGACAAGCTTCAGCGTAGTGAGCTACATGTGGAAGGAATCAGTAATTTCCACAAGAGATCCTTAGTATGATCGTGTAGAGGAAATACTACCGTTCTCTTCAACCCATCGCCTCACACGGACAGGAGAGTGTAACATTTGGCGTGTTCACATGTAGCTTCACGCTTTCTCTCGCCTCGGACGTCGAAAGCTGTACCTGCTCTTAGTCATGTGTCAAGTGTAGCACAGAGACTAGCCCCCAGATATCTCCGCCCTATGCACTCCAGGGCGTGCCTAGGTGTGGTGCTACCGTCGCGCTGAGACATGGGACCCAGCCGAACGCTCGCCGGATCTTTCAGGCCTGGATCCGGTGATGCCTAAGTGCGTTTGAGTGATCTGGGGTAGATCCGCCCATTGCTCGTAATGAACGACTGGAGTTGAGATTAGCGTCTCGTTCCGTTGCCACAATGCCTTGTCATCAAAGTTTTATCCAGCGCAGAAGCTACACTGGACTAAACGCTATGTACCCACTCAGCATAGCCTTCACTCCAACCAGAAAACAAACGACTTCATCTTTCTTAAAGTCATTCGAGCTCACGCGCTAATTGAAGGCAGCAGTCACTTCGCTTTTCTGTACCCCCTGTACCCCCTGTATGTCGACTCAGTCCTATCGACACTGGAGATCCTTAATGCTGGTACCGCATAAATCCACCGAGATCTTTCGAATGAATTCTGCGAAGTCGCCTGATTCTCAATACACGATGCCGACTAGTTGTTGTCGCCAGCCAAGACTTCACATCAACTTCTTTCAACCACGCGACGAGACATGTCGTGCAATCGGCGAACAACCTGATTTAAGCTCAGCCTGGCAATTTCGAGGAGGCTATTGTAAATACTAGGATCGACCGCATAATCGTCGTTGCTGGGATCGTGTATGTCTGTTTGGACGAGAGAGAGCAGCTTGGGAACGACTTCCATGACTTTATGCGACTGGACTACTCGTGGGACTATATCTGGCCAACAAATATCTTGGTCGCCCAGTTTTACGTGACATTCTCAGTCTCTTTAAAACGCCGAGGATCGATAGCACTCCTCACATGTCCATTCACGAGGTAAACATGAGCGTCTCTTCGGTCAACTCCAGACATCTCGTTACAATGAGCAATACCGGTTATAATTCATTCGCTGCGTCTCCTCTTCTTTTCGTCTACAAAATTTCAGAGTCGCGGGCAGAATAAACATCGTCCGGTGGCTAAATCAGCTCGGGGGTGCTTCCATGCTCCGTTCCACTAGCGGGAGGGGATAATAGAGGCCTTTTCGCAAGAATGGATGCATCCTATGCTGTTAGCATGCTGACGTCTAGAAATTGTTCGAACTGGGTTCTCACGATTATGCGACCGATGCCTGCTATGGTTGGAGTCAATAGTCGCGCTGGTGATTGTTTAGCAGCAAGCTGATTGACATTCACTTTTTGTGTGGTGAAAGGTCTTCGTCTTAGCTAAGTACTATGTACAAGCTTTACTATAGACAAAGACCTTCGTAGTGGCATCATCTGAATGTATGTCTACTACTATTGAATCTCCATTTGAACACTGATAGACTACCCGGACCGTACAAAGAGATTGCTGGCTACTTTACCTTTGACATGGCCAAGCGAACTGAGACGGAGGACGAGGGAGCTGGATCTAGTATTGATTCAATGAAACTGTGAGTTGGGAGCATGTGAAGGATGCATCTTGGCTCATGTACTACCGTGAGACCCTTGAACTATTATAATCGCCTGTAGTGAACAAGGCCATCCAGGTGCCGGCTGAGTTGAACATTCTCAAGACTTTTCGAGACACTCAATGTGTCGCTCACTGCTGCCACTGTGATCCATAGGCGCATGGTGTTGCCCTTTCTGCTATGGTGTCTCGATCATCCGTGACAATCTCGCTGCTGCTCAGCATCGAGCGGGCCTGGTCTTGGATTCTTAATGTCAAGGTGAGTCAACCGGATTCGCATTAAATCGTGGACCTGTTCAGGGTGACGTCGCAGTATCTAGTTGTGCCAAAAGAGAGATTCATTTACAATGTGTTTCCTGTCCAATTTCTCAACAATGAAATAGCGTAAACTATGAGCTGATACCGAGGATGATGACAGCACCCCTATGCGCAGTAAACTTTGCTTGTGCATAGCCACAACCCATCACGATACGGAAGCATACTGCCAATATTTCCATGTCGCACCGTGTCCGGTTCGCCGACAGTCCGCTACATAGCCTACACTTACCGTCCTCAGATGCCGAGGATCCGCTCGCGGTTTCGCCCCTGCGCCACGGCAGGCCGGGACACCAGCCTCGCGTAGACAGGATCGCGTGGAAGAATGCAATTCGCCTGAAAGAATCTATATTGAGCACTTATGTGATTGGATACTTCAAATATCAATGATGTAAATCATCCTACACGACTTGTTTGGATTCTGTTGCGCTGTCAGGAACCGGTCTTGGTGTGACGTAGATCGATGTAAGCGAGGACGGGCTGTCACGCTTGGATGAGGCAAGGCGCGGCCAAGGTGGATCCCAACGGCCGCCTGGGCATGCACCTGCAACGTTCCGTTCCATACGTTTTCACAACGTCTCCTGAGATGAAGACGTTCTTTATTGACGCTTTAGGACCAACTACATCCACTGTTGGGCTTACCGGATGGCTACGGATTGCCTAGTTGAACTTTAATAGAGTTTTTGGATGTAACTATCAGCCTTGGAAGAATCCACAGAATCTGATATACTTCATTGTTTGTATGTGCCTATACACCATCATCCTTGTGCTATATCACCCGCTGACCGAACCATCACCAAGTTTTCGTCGGTATTACAGGGTTTCCTTGGAAGCTGGTTCTAGATTTCCATTCGTCACAGCGCCCTGTCGAACCCCTTAGCCCCATGTTTCGATTGTTTTTCTGGACTTCGTCACACCCTACTCCTTGCATGCGTGCATGCTCTGACGGCGCGCTGATGTGGTTAAGAGCTTCTCGCCACTGTTGGCCGTGGCTGACCAAACCTTGGAGATCTACCAGTTGCTAAAGAAATATTTGAGATGAATGTGTGGTGTGGGTAACAATGGAGCTTCGCCTCCACCAAGTTGATCTGTCGGGAGATGGTGTGGCTGCGCTCACGACACCGGGGAGCCTCTCCATGCTTGCATTCATGAACTTCGTCATGTGCCTGCCGAGTGAATGGTCCATGTGCAACCACTTATCTATGCAGGCGTTTGATGGTTAACTTGACGCTCGGAGATGAGCATCATGCAAGGTCTGTGACCGAGTTCTCCGTTAGCCGGTACCCCAGCTCCATGTACGTCATTGGCGCTGGAGCCTCAGATCTTTGATGGTATCTGAATAACCTATGGTATTGTCCGGGGTTGTCGCAGATCCCTATGAGCGGCTCGACGAAAATATCGTGCATACCACAGCCAGGACACCCTGCAGCAAGTGTAAGCGCCAGGGGCAGCCAAAAGATGCCCAGTCTGTAGGCACCTCGCGTTCGGCATCTGATCCCTACCACAAACAGCTAAAGCCCCGGTAAAGATCTACACTTTAGAGTATCCATTCTTCGTGCGATAGCAACTCCAGCCGTGCAGGTTTCGAGATCAACAACCCTAACGGATGCTCCACCTTCGGGGCCAACCAGTCAACAGGATCAGCCAGGAACATTAAAGCTGAACCAGCTCCGATCGACGTCACTCCTTACTGGGTACAGACTCGCCATGAAGAAGTTGGGGACGCCAGGTGGACCCCGTCGCCGTTATGTTGACCGTTATGGACATGCGTTCCCCGTTGTTGACCTGAGCCCCTGGCGGCGATGACGATCGTGGTCTAGGGATGCTGATGTTTGATGACGATGTCAATGTGATCAAGCGTCGTGTACTTGGAATGAACCATGAACCAGATGACAGTTGAAAAGGTATAAAGAGGGCAACAAGACCTCAATAATTGGAACATCATCACACACCATCAACTCACATCAACAACCCCATAACACCTCTTTAAACCAACACCTTCTTCTTTCTCAAGAACCAACAAACCCAACCTTCAAAATGCAGTTCACCATCACCGCTGTTTTGGCTTTCGCCGCCACCGCCGCCTTCGCCGCTCCCCTCGACGAGCGCCAGGTTGGTCTCTGCTCTTCCGGCAACCCCGTCTGCTGTGCTACCGACGTCCTGAACCTCGCCAACTTGGACTGCGCTCCTCGTATGACCTCCCACCTTCCATCTTTCCGACAATGAGATCGCTAACATTACCTTAGCTTCTACTACCCCAACCAGCATCAACGCGTTCATCGACGGATGCGCTGCTGAGGGCCAGCAGGCCAAGTGCTGCCTCATCCCCATTCTCGGCCAGGCCCTTATCTGCTCCGACGTCAACCCCACTGCCGGCACCACTACCGCCGCCGCCAACAAGCCCTACTAAGTGCTTCTCATTGCTTCTCATCCAACATGGCGCGAGTAATGGATGATATCAAGAGACGATCGTGCCTGGGTTGCTTGGATACATGTACAACTACTTTTGTTTCGAATACTTAGCTAGGGAGTGATTCTAATGCAAGATTTCACAAGAAATTACTAGCTCCAATGATGTGACATTGAACCCTTTCTATTGATACAAAGGCGGGTGCGAATGCGCTAACCCAACGTCGACTGCTAAGCAAATGAACGCTAGAAACGAGGTCGTACTGTGAGTACGCCTCGGGTATCTTCGCCAAAAACACCAGAGACGCAACTGTGAAACGAGCACAGGTGTTGAAGCATACAGCCAACATTTGTGTTGAAAGAAGCAATCGACACAACGTAACGAGGAGGGAATCAAAGGCTGTGAAGATGTTAGCAGAAAGTACCATAAGTTGGTGAAGATTTGTACAAACCTGGTGAAGTAACTACTCAGCGAGGCACTCCGCTATGATCACTTTCCACGCCTGCCTTAGCGGATCCCATTCATCTCGGCCTATGTTTGGGTTGCTTGTTGAGCCTCCGTATCCTTCGTACAGCTTCTTTCGGATGGCTCGATCCCCCCTAACATGGTAATGGAAGAAGAAAGCGGAATTATAAAATTCGTCGCCATCATCCCACTCAATCTTCTCTTTGCATTGAATCATCATGATCCCAGCCCTGCGAACCATCTCTTCAACTTCTGCGAGTAGTGGCATCATAGGCAGGTCGTCCTCGTCGGGACGTTCACAGTCGATGGCTTGTAATCGGAATATGACAGCCGCTCGTCGGAATTCGAGGGCTACTTTGTCAAGCTCTGACTTTAAGTAGTACCCGGTGACAAATTTCGGAAGCTGCTCGGGCAACTTGAGACCACCCATGGAGGAATATGACCATATTTTGGTTTGGCCGTCGACAGCATCAGGCCACCGAAATGACTCACAGGTCAGTTCAAGGAGCTCCTCATCTGAATTCTGGCACCACTTATAGCTATTGAAGTCGAGTGGGCCTGGTGCACCTTGGGTAGCTTGCGGCTGTTGAAAAGATTGTTGTTGAATAGGCGCGAAGGTAGTCGATGTACTCTGTGGCGTTTGCGCTACAGGGTCTAAGGGAGCCTGGATGGTGGCAGTGAATGTGGAGGGGATGGACTGTGTCTGCATCTCGGGTGCTGGCGGAGCTTGCGTACTCAATGGGGTAGGTTGTGGTAGATGTTGTTGGGGCTTTGGTTGATATGACGGCAGTGGGTAGGAGATCATTGGCGCTGCATTCTGCTGCACGGTAGATGATGAAGGCATCTGTGCCATCGGCAAAATCTGTTGGTTCTGAGCAGGGATCTGGACTGAAGGCACAACAGACTTCGTGATCATCATCAGGTCTCCAAGATAATGTCCTATTCCCAGCCAGATGGCGATGGTCTTGTACTGTTGCGAGAACACCTGCAGCGTTTTGTCGGGATGCTCATAAATCTCAAGCCCATGGGGCCGAAGCTCGTCCCAAAACTGAACGATCGACTCTTTCCAGATAAGCTGGTTTTCATCAAGACCGAGCAGTCCTTCAGGAAAGAACTTTTGAAGATATTTGCTTGCTTCTTCCATGAGATCCAAGATTTCAGTAGCGGGCGCGTCATAGCCGGAGTCTTTAGAGGCAGCGTGCAGGAAACGCTTCATTGCAGCAATGATCTTATATTTTTCAGCCTCCACAAGACGCAATGCCTCTAGTGATTCAGCAGCTTTTCGGTGCTCGTCGGAAGAGGAAAGGTTCAGTGGAAGCATCGCCCCACTGTTCCCGTGGGTTTGGATTTGAAGGGGATAAGAGTTTGCTAGAGGAGCTTGAACTACCTCGAGATTCTGGGGATATGAGACTGTTGCTGGAGGGACGAAGGTTGGTGTTATTTTGGCTCCATAAGAGGGCGCTAGTGTGTGAGCAGGTGGTGTTGGGGTCGGTGCGGCAGCAGATTGAACAGGTGGCTCAACAGCCTTACGAGCAGGCGTGACAACTACTTCCTTCTCCATGGTATTCGTTGCAGACTTCGCAGTGTGATGAATCTCCTCTAGCTCCGATGTGGTAGTTGCTGCGTGGACCTCCTCATCCTCTGTAGACTTATTGGCTGCTAAAATTCGCTCGTTGGTAGACGTCCACTCATATTTCGCGCGATGAGCCTCTCTACGAGAATTCGGAAGTCAGAATATTGGATATTGCATCGGGCCCTTTCGACCGGGATGAGCGTATGATTCGCCGGTCCCGCGGAAGTTCTTGAAAGGGAACTGAAAAGGCGGCGGGTATGAGGGAGGGACTGGCAAGGGAGGCGGCAGTGCTATGGGAGCGACGATAGGTGTGGTAGGTTTCCTCGTGTTAGGCGATTCTCCCTTATCGGCAAGTTCTTCAGCGTGTTTTTGGTATGCTTTCGGAAAAAGGTCTAACCAGTGCAAGAACTCACCCAGAACACGTGGTGTAAAGGCACAGATCATGAAGAGAGCGAGGACACGGAGGTAGGTCGGAAGTCCGTTGTTGGAATACTCGTAGCAGAAGTCCCAGTATGCATAGTTTACTTGCCAGTATAGGGAGTCAAAAACGTCGCCGAGGCGGTCGACAACCTTGGAAACGACGCCAGAGGTTACGATGGAGTGGCCGATCCCGAGAGTCACCAGGAGGAGGCAGCAAAGAACAGCGATAGTATCAGGGCGCATCTTGGCGACAAAGTGTGCGACGCGCGAGGTCAGGAAGCGGGACATGGAGAGGTTTCAGGCGCAGGTAAGTTCTGGGGAATGTTTTGGTAGCTGTGAAAATGTAGAAATGAAGTGTTGAGGCCGGTGATCGCGCGCAGTCGAGCGAAGCGTGTGTGTTGAGGGGCTGTGTCGTGTTGTGCATAGGCAGAGAGATATTTCGACTACAATTGTGGCAGGGCCCGTGCCAGACTATCGGTCACTATTGAGATGGCGACACTGTGAGACTGTAAGGCAGGAGCGAGTCGCAAATTGCGGTGCAGAGCAGTGGACAAACGATGGGCTTGGCGTGATACGGTGGCGCGTGGGAGGTGAAAGGAACAGTGACAAGACGTGCCATTCGTCGGATCACATCATCAGACTCTCGATAAAATTTGAGAGTAGAGTAGAACACCAACTGGAAGGATAGTCCACGAGTCGGGGCGTTTACGATGTATTCCTGGACTTGGTGGACTGGGTAGTTGACGAGCCTCCATCACCACGCCAGAAGGTGAGGAACAGATGCAAATCTACTTATGTCAGTAGTCACTAGGACGTAAACTCTGCATTCATGTTCTTCGTCCGATCTGAAGATCCAAGGCCTTTGTGAGAATGTAGAGCATCTCCAGCCGTACACATGCCACACCCTTCTCTTTACCCATTCGGACCAGGTTGCCTACAATGGCCTCTACCTCAATTCTCCGATTCGACTGAACATCTTGGAGCATACTAGGTTCGATACCAGCATTCTTCGGAATCCTGGCTTGCGCCCGTCCAAGCTGGAGGTCCACATCCTCCATCGTAATTTCGTATCCGTGGGCAGCTGCGATATCGCGAATCTCCACCATCACGGCTAGAACAACACTGTTCGCTTCATCCGACGCAGTAAGCATATCCGTATCTTTACTCAAGGCAAGCGCACACATAGGGTTCCATGATGCGTTGATAAGTAGCTTGAACCATCGCTTGTGCTGAACATCGTCATAGAATTCTGCTGTACCGCCGGCTGCAGTGATGAGTTCCGTAAAAGCTTTAGCATGTTCACTTGTTGCGGATGAGGGATAAGCTCCGACTTGGAGTTGTTCGACTTCGCCGTGTTTGATGACGCCGGCTGGCCGTTGGGTAGCGGGCATATAAACGACAGCGCTAATGATCGGATTGTTTGGATATGCCTTTGAATATTCTTCTTCAATACCGACGCCATTCTGAATAAGCACAATAGCCGTATGTCCAGGTGTTACAGCAGGCGCGATGAGCTTCGGTACCGTGTCCGGGATAGCCTTGCTACAGACGATGATGTAGTCAAATGGGTCTGAAAATTGAGACACCGCTTCTCCACAGTCCCGAACTACATTGGGTTTGAAGTGTAGATTCTGACCAAAAATCGAAGAATTTATGATGAAGCCGTCTTTCCTTACGATCTCGTAGTTCGAGCGGCAGACCGCAGTAGTTGAGGCTAATTTGCTGAGCAGGTACAGATACACTGTTCCCACGCTGCCAGCACCGAAAAGAAGAATCCTTGGTTGTGTTGTAGAAGACATGATAGGAAATCGGGTTCGAGGATGATGCTAACTCCCAGCTGCAGTGCGACATGAAAGATGCATGGATGTCAGTTTAGCTCCACGGCTATCTCCGTGCCCCCCGATCCTTCGCCATGGAATTAGTACCCGCCATCTTCCCAAATCATCTAGCTCTCCGTTACCCAAGATCAGTAAGCCATCCTGCGGCCACAACCAATATTTCATTTCGTGCTCAAGGCAAAAGTATTGGAACGGCCCCCTCATTTATGAGCCTACTGCTGGGGCGAATGCAATCGTAATAACAGCTTTTTTTTTTTCCGGGAGCAATGTCGCATACGCGTTCACATAACATCCACCGATATACAGAAACTCAGCTAACAAAAGGAAGTAATATCGGAACCTCAGCCGCACGCTGGACCCACAGAGCCGGTGCGTGGCTTTTCATGCAATCTAAATGCTCGTCTCCATTCGCTGCCCTCGTTCCCCATGTCGCACCCTGCATACTGGGGCAGGGAAAAGAGTGGTCAGCCCCGTGAAGCTATTATCGATACGTCTCCCAATATGATTAGTGGTTAGCAGCTCGGTACGCCAGTTGTGGGTTATAACAGCAACGAGCTGATCCGGCGCCCTCGTATTCTGGTAGTCCCTTCAGCCTCGTCAAAACGCAATTTGCGGGTAAAGCAGCGCGCGTCATCCCAATGATGAATAACCTCTCCTTTTTCGTTGCGATCGCATTCGCAACGTCTGTTTTCGCGAAAAGTCAGATAGCGCTCTTCTCAGATGACAACTGCCAAGAATCGCTCCGAGGCATTGAAGGTCCTAATGGCTACCCTAATGGAACTTGTACAGATCTCAGACGTAATGGCGCGTACGGGAGTTTTCAGGTCGTGGGACTGGACCCAGGATGCACAGGTATGTTACTTTGCGAAATTATAGACACGATAGTCCGGACGGCCATGCTAACTATGTACATAGTCACCATCTACATGAACGATACTACAGTCGATATATGCTCGGGCTTCCAAGAAGAAATAGAACTGGTCGATTGCTACAACTCAACCTTCGTATACTACAGTATCGACTTCTGCGACGCCGGCGCCATCGGCGATTCTCCTACTGCCACACCTACGCCTACCCCCATACCGACAACGACACCAACACCGATATCGACACCACCTCCCGTAGCCTCCTCGGGCATCTCGACAGGCGCAATAGTGGGGGCAGCAGTCGGCGGAGGTATAGCGCTGGGCATAATAATTGGACTGGTTGTGTTCTACGTCATGAAGAAGCGGAACTCAGGACGTTCAAGAGAGAATCTAAGTTCTGCAGAGCTTGCAAATGTCACACCAGTTGAGGTGCATGCAAAGCACATTCAGGAGTTAGGGCCAGGGGCGGTAGCGTACAAACACAGTCCTGTGGAGGTTGAGCAGCCGCCTGTTGAACTTGCGGGTGTGGAGATGAGGCGCGACGAAGGGAAGGGGCTACATTAGGACTGAGTAACTTGGGTACGTTTATCTAAGTTGTCATATACATGAACGTAAATGGTTGACATGAGGTGCGTAGAGATCATACCCTATAATATATTCCGAACCCGCTTGAAAGTGACGACCATATCAAGTTCAGGGACCACATGCCCAAAGTAAATGCCCGAGTAGACAAGATTTCCTCAAGCGCCGAAAAGCTTCTCAGCTGTCTGATTATACTTCAGCAAACATCCAACTGCCATCTCGATAGACGATATCTCCTGCCAACGCCGCTTCGCCAACATCGGATGCAACCCTGTGGGGATATACCACGCCTGCCTCACTCTTGATACCAGAATCCATAAACGCTGCTCTCGGCTGGCTGCGCATGACATCAAGAGCAAGTTCTACCTGCTCTGGGTTGAACAGTCGCAAGACGCCATCGTCGTCTTAGCCCCAGCGTCTCACAGTCATCGACAAATGCGGGTAGGGTGCTTTTTCTAGCAATCTGAAGAGCCTAAGGTACTCGATCCGGAGCGTTGTTTATATGATCTGCAATGGTTCGATCTAATTCCCCTGCGGAAAGCCCACAAATGAGCATGATAGCTGTTTCAAGGTCGCGGCGTGCAGGCGCACGAAGTTCGTCCACTCGTTATGTGAGAAGAACAAATCGTCGAGATGAATATACGAGAAGCTAGACCATTGAAAAGGCCCGGCCGGTTGGTACGATAGCTCTTAGATATGATTGTCGCCGTGGAACTCGAGCTTGCGTAAATCTGAGGCCGTCATCGACGGGCTCAGGATCAAGACAATAGAAACTGATGACGTTGATCTGCACAATCTCTAGGTTCTCAAGCTTGTACAAGAACTGCTTGAGAATCAACGAATCCATGCCAGAGCGCTCGACGCTGACCTGCAGATCCGTGTGGCTTTTCGCTTCTGCTATCTTGTGCATGGTAGTACAAGATCGGTAGTGGTGGAGAAAGTAACGTTGAGAAGTGTGAGTCAATTCCAAGGTGAGAGAAGACTTGTTTGGCGAACAAGACGTTATGATAGTGCCAAAACCACACGTCTGCAGATGACCATTCAGGTAAAGTTGTTCTTAACACATCTGGACTATCTCACAGATTGACAAAGCTTAAAAAATATAAAGAGACTGATGCAAGACGATGATAAATGTACAGAAATGGAAGTAATCTATGGCCCCAGACCAGAAAACCGGGAATACCAAAAAAGTACAAAGCCGCCGAATGAGACTCCCAACCCCGCAAACCGATGTATACTCTAAAACGCCATAAGTGCTTGGTAATATCCAAACCGGAAACCGAATGTGATCAGTCTAACACTGGGCCTTCCAGATGATCCATTTCATTAAGCTTTATTACAAGCGTAACTCTTGTACGCACCTCATGCCACGACCAGCAGCCTCAGTGATGTCTTAAACCTTCTTTTTCTTTGTGTGAAACATGTTGTACTCTGGCCTCTTTCTCTTTAGAGCTGGCTCAGCCGCCGACTGTCCATTCGGCGCCCTTGGTTTGGGTGCGCTGAACGACATTCCGGGTGGTAACGATGTCCGAGCGGGTGGTGCATTGCGCTGCTGTGGTGCAGGCCTCTGTGTGATGTTTGGGCGGTTTGCGGATAACGATGGTGTTGGCTGGGATTCGGGTTTGGTGGTAACGGACGCCGAGGCTTGCTTGGACACTACCATATTTCGTGGAGCCTCGTTCTCCGCCATCCTAACCATCCTTGCCGGTGCTTGCCTGACGATGGTCTTCCTCTGGGCTAGAAGATGTTGCGGTATGTGGCTAGCTTTTGGGCGCTCGCGTCCGTGGTCAAACATGCCACGCTTCAACTTGTCGAAAGCAGCTTTGCCTGTCTTCGCAGGTGCACCCGAGGGTTGGCCCCAGCTGCTGGTAGTACGGCCAGTGAACATCTTACTGGCGCCAGCGCCGTATCCGAATCGGGTTTCAACGATCAATGTCTTGTTCTGTGCGCGGTCTTTCTGCAGCGCTTGCATCTGCTGTTTGAGGGCCTCTTTATCGGCCTCTTTCTCCAGCTCGGCATCTTTCTTCAATTTGCGGTAGACCTTGCTCCAATTTCGGGGGTCGCGCGGTTCATGCGGCTTCTTCTCCCAGTCCGGAATGTCCCGCTTGATGAAGCGAAGCCATATCTCGCCCGTCTCTCCGAGTAACTGTGGGCAGTTTGTCTCGAGCTCGAGAAGCTGGTCTGGGCTTTGTACGAATCGGAGGACCGGTTGGAGGAAGGAGTAGGGTAGATCGCCAACGTCTCGGAGCATGTCGATGTTCTTGATCAGGCGCTGTCGAGCCAGCTCGAAGAGGCTTGCGACGGGCATGGTGATGGCAAGGTCTATTACGGGGGTGTCTATTCAAAAAGCGTAGAGTATAATTTATTGCGAAGCGAAACTCGAGAGTTGGACGATGGGGTGTCCCAAGAATCGTTGGTCGTAGAAGGGTGGTTTGCTGAGAGAATTCGATGGCAAGGTGACTGTTATGTGTGGTGAATCATGGATAGGTGGAACGAGGGCAGCGTTGACCGTGAATGGGGCTGAGGACCCCACGGGGCTCACAACAGCATCTTGGTAGGCTAGTCCGGAAAGAGAAGATTATTGTGTGAATAATGCTTGCCAGAACAATGCGAAGCGATGACTATGAAGGTAAAGCAAGGAAGGCGAACGTGAACGTGACGGGGAAACCGTCGTGAATGTGTGTCTGACGTCTGGTGGTGATGCTAGACGCTAGCGGAGACCCTTGTCGCACGCGTTCATCAACCCGCGGAACTTCGATATCGCGACTTTGACAACGACAACGACGTACCCAATACGAACGTCCTCTTTACACCATTCAGCTAAAAGAAAAATAATGGCGATCAAGGACTGGGGACTTTTGTCCCAAGCAGACGAAGGTAGGCCATCTGATACACGGCATCTATGTAGCTCGTACTAATCTCAACAGATGCGCTTCACAATGTATCCCGCCTACTCGCTGTCGAAGCTCGCCCATACACAAACACCGCCGGTCGCATACTCAGGCCAGACTTCTTCGAGGACGCGCGCCCCAGACAACTCCCTTCTCCGCCCCCAGATGCCTCTGCCGCAGAAGAGGAAGCAGCGGCAGTCATTGTCGAGCGCGAACAACAAGCGCACAACATCGAGATATGGCGGAAAGACATCCTGAACGAGCTGTCGCTACTGGACTTTGCGATATTGCGTTCCGAGTTCACTACGAATAGCAACCACACTGAGCGTGAACGCTATGCCGTTGAGAAGACGGCCATTGAGGCAAAACAGGAGCACGTGCGCAAGACCATAGAAGATCTGCGCGTCAGACTGGTCGAGACAAGAGAGACGCTCGCCGTGCGTAAGACGTATGACGAGCTCACAGAGAAGATCACTAGCAGCAAGATGCTGAAGCCGCGGGACGAGCAAGCACACGCCCACGAGAAGCTAGACCAGGAGATAGAAGAACTCAGAAACGAAGTGCAATCAGCGAAGAATACCTGGAGCGAGCGACGCACGCAATTCGGTCGAATCGAGGAGGAGGCACGCGGCATGTTGCGCATGATCAAGGATGAGAAGGAGGAGGCTGAGCGCAAAGAGGGCATGATGAAGCATGGTGACGAGGATGGCGAGGGCGAGGGCAGCACTTCGAGGGGCGATGTTAGCCATGCTGGTACACCGAGGCCAGACGGTGGCATGACACCAGGGCATGCTAGTCAGAGCGGAGAAGGCTCATCGTCTCTGAGGGTACCACCACAGGATCGCCTGAAGCCTTTATCACGAGAAGTTAGTGCCGCGCCATCGCCAGCCAGGTCTGGTGCTGCCGATGACACTGAGATGGTAGACTTAGGAGCAAACTCAGGAGACGGCAATGATGGCGACTCTTCCGGTCTAGAAGAAGGCGAAGATCTCGAGGACGGGGAGGATGATGGCGAAGATCGTCGAGAGATCAAGATGGACGAGTCGTGATTACATCTAAACGACAGTCTGTTTGGTGATTTGATTGCATAGCGTGGTGTTCAGGGTATCATTCCATCATCTTTATAGCAGCGCCAACTATCTCTTCAGTTGTCACGAATCTAAGCGGCCTCACGCATAGCCGTCTTGCCCTTCTCAACTGCCTCTTTTGCTTTGGTGACTTCCTCTGTTGATGCCTGACTGCTGCCTTCCTTGTTGCTCTCCTGCAGATCGTTAGTACAAGTTAATTAATCTCTGTGTGCCTTGAACTTACAAGTTCCTCTTCCAATCTCTCCACTGCCTGTTCGATCTTGATCTTCATACCAGGTAGAACGTTCTTGGTCTCTTGGAGGGCTTGACGCTGTGCTGTAATTAGACGTCATGCATCGAATCTCTCCTATGATGGTCACACATACCTCTTGCCTCAAGGTATACTCAGCGTTTTCATCGCCCTCGCTAGTCTCGGCCTTCTTGATGCGCGCCTCTTGCTGCTGGATCTCCTTGTGATAGCTTGCTTCTTCCTTAACTAGGCGGGTTACGACGCCAGTTGCTATGGCGAGTTTAGACGGAGGTGCCATGATAAAGATTTTTCTTAATTAGCGAACGATTTAGACGTATTTCTGGTCGAACAAGGTGTCAATCCAAGTGTTGAGTAGATTTGTGTTGCTTTTCGTTGTTGCCTGCTTGTAAACATTTGTTCACGGCGGGGCTAGCTGCTGCCCCACTAGGAATTAGTCTGTAGCGTATTTACATATACATCCACTGAATATCGGGATACTACACTAAGATTACGTTGTATCTATTCCCATTCTTTAACGAAAAGATAGTGGATTAGTAGTCGTCCTTCAGCCTTCAAGCTGTGTCTTCGAGTGTAATGCCAAGACCACTTAGGTCCATTTGCAGACTAGACTAGAACGCGTCCCACGCGTCGACGTCGAAAGGAGTAGGCGCGACAAGCCCACCTTCCCCAGCAACCCCTCTACAACATCAACACATTCACTGTTGCTGCCACATAGAGCGCCGCAACCATGTCTTCCCCAGCGAAGCGCCGCTCCGAGCGCACTTCTGCATCGGCGACTCCCCGACGAAGCGCCCGTGGTCAAAATTCTCAGATATCCGACAGCAGCCCAGCGCCAGCAGGTCCAGATGAGCAGTTGCAGTCTGAGGCTTCGCAGGCTTCACAGCGTGGATCGCAAGCAACCCCGCGTAATGCAAGATTCCAGACTACCTCGACACAATCCCCGCTCTTCTTCCGCTCGTCGCCTGCAAACCCCTCCGGTGCAGGGCCAGCTAACGGTGACGATGAGAGCGATGGTGGTGCGACACCAAAAGCGTCTGCACAAACGATTGGGGGTATGGAAAACTCGGAATCAGGTACCGCGAGCAATGCTAAAACCCTCAGATTCATCGCCCATCCACTATGCGTCGAGCTCTAGCCCTGGCCGTGCCCGCAATGCCCAAAGCAACGTTCCTGGAAGCAGCAGTAGCGCCCTTTTCGTACGCGGCTCTGAATCCGCAGCTCGCAATCGACGAAGCGATATCCACTCAGACGTCTTCGGTACCAGCTCTACCAATCGCCGGCGCAGGCTGTTTGTCGATGAAAATGGCATGCCTGTGCAAGAAGCATCAGATGCGCCAACCTTTTCCAATATCAATCCCGATACATCAGACGCAGAAGTCTTAGGTGGGAACTCTTCACGAGTCATTTGGGGAACCAACGTGTCGCTCGTAGATGCCAGACATGCGATGAGAGACTTTTTGATGAACTTCCGACGAAAGTATCGCATGATTCAGGACGGCGAACTGAACGAGGGCATGAGTCTTCCGGACAGTCATCCGGCCATGGCTAGGGAATACATCGATATCATGAAGATGATGCTGGAGCTCGGCGTCACGCCTTTGAACCTGGATGCACGCAACCTCAAGGCTTATCCACCGACAAGGAAGCTTTGGCACCAATTGCAGGCCTACCCGAACGAAATCATCCCCATCATGGACGTTGCGATCAAGGACACTATGCTCGAGCTTGCTGAGAAGCGTATGGCAGAGATGCGAACTCAAATGTCACAAGCACAGCGTGCTGCTCAACCCAGGGCTCGCGATTCAAGCTCTCTTCCACCCATGTTGAGCTCCGATGCCCCCACGCCTGGCGCTCCCTCTCCTGTCCCTTTCGCAGAGATTCCCAATCTAGTCAGCGAAGTTGACCAGAAAACCTACAACGTCAGGCCGTTCGGTCTCGATCACACGATTAACCTGCGCGAGCTCAACCCTGGGGATATGGACAAACTTGTCAGTGTGAAGGGACTGGTGATCCGGACTACGCCCATCATCCCAGACATGAAGGACGGTAAGTTGACCAAAACAGCGCCAAATTCTCCTGCTAACTTTGCTAGCCTTCTTCCGCTGCTCTGTATGTAATCATACTGTCAGGGTCGACATTGACCGTGGCAAGATCACCGAGCCCACCAAGTGCCCGCGCGCTGTGTGCGAGTCGCCGAACTCGATGCAGATCGTGCACAACCGCTCCGGCTTCGCGAATAAGCAGGTCATCAAGCTACAAGAGACACCAGATGATATGCCGGATGGCCAAACACCACATTCAGTGTCCTTGTGCGCATACGACGAACTCGTAGACGTTTGCAAAGCTGGTGACCGTGTTGAGATTACTGGTATCTTCAAATGTAACCAAGTCCGCATCAACCCGCGTCAGCGATCGGTAAAGAATATCTTCAAGACATACGTTGATGCGCTTCACATCCAGAAAGTCGATAAGAAACGACTTGGTATCGACGTATCGACAATCGAAGAAGAGCTTGCTGAGCACGCAGCTGGTGACCTGGAAGAGACCCGCAAGGTCTCCGAGGAGGAAGAGGAGAAGATCAAGGCTACCGGTGCTCGCCCTGACGTCTACGAACTCCTCTCTCGCTCGCTTGCACCCAGCATATACGAAATGGACGATGTCAAGAAGGGCATCCTACTCCAGCTCTTTGGTGGTACCAATAAGCAATTCGAGAAGGGTGGGAGTCCAAAATACCGTGGCGACATCAACGTCCTATTGTGTGGTGACCCATCCACGGCTAAATCTCAGATCCTACAGTACGTGCACAGGATCGCGCCGCGCGGTGTGTACACGTCTGGAAAGGGTTCCTCTGCTGTTGGTTTGACTGCATACGTCACCCGCGATCCTGAGACACGACAGCTGGTGCTTGAGTCTGGTGCGTTGGTGTTGTCCGACGGCGGTGTGTGTTGCATCGACGAGTTCGATAAGATGTCGGAAGCAACGCGATCCGTTCTCCACGAAGTTATGGAGCAGCAGACCGTTTCTATCGCCAAAGCTGGTATCATCACCACCCTCAACGCTCGTACTTCGATTCTGGCATCTGCCAACCCTATCGGTTCCAAGTACAACGTCAACCTCCCTGTCCCCCAGAATATCGACCTCCCACCTACACTGCTCTCACGTTTCGACCTTGTTTACCTTGTTCTGGATCGTATTGACGAACAGAACGACCGTCGCATGGCTCGCCATCTGGTTGGCATGTATCTTGAGGACACGCCTGAAAACGCATCGAAGAATGAGGTCATGCCTATCGAGTTCTTGACCGCCTACATTTCCTACGCGCGCTCGAACATCCACCCCAAGATCACTGAGCCTGCATCGAAAGCACTCGTAGATGCATATGTCGCTATGCGTAGTCTTGGTGCTGATATTCGCTCGCAAGAACGAAGAATTACAGCCACCACACGTCAATTGGAATCTATGATCCGTCTCGCAGAGGCTCACGCCAAGATGCGCCTATCAGAGGAGGTCACGGCTGACGACGTTCATGAAGCCGTTCGTCTCATCAAGTCAGCGCTCAAGCAAGCAGCTACAGATGCACGTACAGGTCTCATCGATATGTCGCTTCTCACTGAAGGCACGTCGACCAGCGATCGCCGCAGGAAAGATGATCTCAAGCGTGCGGTGCTTGCCTCGCTCGACGAGCTTGGCTCTGCTGGCCAGAGCGTGCGTATGAACGACCTCATCAAGAAAGTCAGGGAAGGTGCCAGCGAACAAGTGGAGAACCAAGAGTTCCTTGAGGTATTGCGCAGTGCCGAGCTTGAGGGTGCTGTGCAAATCAGTGGTGAGGGTATGAGGAGGATGGTCAAGAGAGTTGTTGGCACATTCTAGGCCAGCTATGTAGACACGGCGTTCGAGGGGTTATGGAATATGCATACCTTTATGAGGTGATGATGCGATGTGGTGGATTGGATAGCTCAGCAAGCATTTCAGTAGTCGTGTTGCATTATATAGACATTGTGTTGTCTCGAATTATACATTGGATGTCCTGCAAGGCTCGACCCTGTCGCTGTGTCCGTTAACAACTATAATGTGAGGAAAGTGAGATGCTTGCGACTCTGGTCCTCAGCAACTGTGTCGTTCCGGTGACAGCAGTGCCAATCCATCATTTGCTCCTTGACCATTCTGTCGACACCGACTGCGATCATTGTGTAATTGGTTCAAGACGTGGTCACAGCGCTTGCGCAACGCCATACCATGCCGCAACACAACACGTAAATGATATAATTCTGGATTGAGAACGCATGTGCAACCCTACACTCTTGCCTTCTACCTGATAGTATGTCTAACACTTGCTTCGTCACTCTTCTGCCTCACATCACGTCCATTATCGATGCTGGCAAAGCGTCCGGTCTATCCGAGTCACAACACAATTAAGAGTCCGAGCCCAACTGTTTTCGCTGCTTACAGAAGACTTTACGTACTGCCTGAGGAGGTGACACCCCTCAGACCAGTGTATGTTACATACAATAGGGGTGACATTAATTTTCTATATTTGAGAGCAAGAGATATGTAGGAGAGAAGTAACAGAGCTTGTATCTAGTCTTTCTGGCAGATATAAGCACAAAAATGACGTCTTTGGCTATATACGTAGCAACTTTCCCACCTATAAGGCTTCTGATAGGCCAGTTTAGAGCCATCATCTCATTTCTTTTTCGCTCTCCCTCGCTCTCCTCTTTCCTCTCTTTCCTCTTTACACTGTCATATCTTTATTGGACGTGATGATGCCCGCAATAGAATACAAGTGATGAGACGCAATGCAAGAATGGCCGTTTTCTAAATACTGGTATCAATCTTTTAACATTTTAACAAATCTCAATGATCACTTGTTATTTTTAGGAGGATCCATAGACGGGAATAGCCTTCTTGCTCTCTTTGCCTTGTCCTCCTTCTCAGCTCCTGAGTCGGAGCCGCTGTCGCTAGACGAATCGCAGGATTCGCAGCCTGAGTCGCTCGAAGATAGATCGCTGGAGTCACAGGAAGAGTCGGACCCCCCACATAGCCATTATATACTCCTCATTCCAGAACTCTCGCCATTCCGCTTTGTAATTGAGCTTGGGTTCCGCTAAGTTCCCAGGAGCATCAGTTTTAACATTAACATAGGCATCGTCGTCTGCCCCATCCTCAATTCTGACCTCGCCACATTTGTTTTCCCGAGAGAGCATGCGAATAGCGGCATACTGCTCCCCCAGCTGCCTCTGCCAGATAATGGTCTCAAGAGGAAATGTGATAGGGAACTCGAATTGACTTACCACGTTAGCAACCAGCCAGTGTTTACGTTTGTCTATCTCGAGAGTAATAGAAACACTAGGTGTGTCCGCACAACTGTATGTATGCCTTTAGATCCCCAAACCTTCGAGCTTCGGTACCCGCTCACGCAACAAAGGCACTCGGTCTTGATGCCCATAAATCCACATGCTGTGACCGACGAGCGTGGTACGGTGTCCATGTGAATTGTGACGAGGGTTGGTTCTTTTTCTTCACACATCTACGTACATGGATAAGTCGTGAATCGCTTAGGTGCTTATAGATCTCGAGGCGCATCTCAGCCGGGAGGCCTTCGAGAGTCGCGCAGGGACTTTTTGGTGTCTCGAAAATAGTGGCAGAATGTATTTCATCGGAATCGACATCATCGGCTACAATAGATTCTCTCGTCTTTCTCTTCTTACTAGTCCTAGCATTTCGACGAGTAGCTCCGCGGGAGCTCGCTTGCGGCGTGCTGGAACTGGTCGGTAATGCTTCATTGGGGGTACTAGCAAACTTTCGCTTCTGACTTTCGTGCGCCATGTCGCATATAGGAAGTGGAATGGAAGGAGAAGCGTGTTAATCAAGTATGGCCGGCATATGACCACACTCCTTCCCCTTGCATATCAACTAAATGCATGGCTGAGGCACAGCAGCAGCATGCCAGAACTAGTGTGACATCGATTTCATGCAGCGACGCGCTCACCCATAGCAACTTGTGGACTAATGCATCGCAGCCCAGACGATGTCAATACTGCATCGTTTTCGTGCGTAGGCGTTAAAGTCTTACACGTATCCTAATTGACTAAAGAGTGGAGGTGCTGGAGACCTGAGGATGACTCAGCGGCAAGCCTCGACACAAACCGTCAACTCCAGCTCCCTCACAATGTCCGCAACATCCCGCGCTCATGTTCACGCTGTAATCGTACGATGCCCAACTTGTCTAGTGAAACTGCCGTGCAAGCCCGATGCGTCTCATATCATAAACCCTACCTCTTCCTAAGTGCTTTCCAGTTGATAGGTAGTTAATCGCTTGACGCCTACTCACTTGCGCAGCTTTATCCCCACCTCCACCCCGACTCAGACGAAGCTGATCACGACGACAATGAAGACTTCCAAGTATGCACCAAAGACACCTGCAGAGAGCCTAGCGCAATCAAAAGCCGAAAAGATCAAGCAGGAAAAAGGCCGAGTTACGCGATTGTTAGGACGCGTCCGTTGGAAGGCAGAAATGCTCATGGTGTCTTACATGCGAACGATGGAGATTGTACAGGCAGCCGCTCAGCAAAATGGCGATCACAAGTCCCAACACGCAATGGGTAGCGGCGCGTCGAGTGTAAGTGGTTATCAGTCTCAACAGCCTGACCGCCGCGAGACTGACATCGCGCAGAAGCAAGCCGAATCCATGTTCAAGGTCGATTTCTTCGAGTTCTACACGCTACTAGAGCGCTACATCACAGACTGCCTCGCCATATTCGGTGTTTCTGTATCCGCCTCCGCACCGCGTACAAACTTCAATGCCCTACGTTACGAGACCAATCCCGACCTTCACCGAACGCGACCCATGGCTTCACATGCATTCCACGCCAACCTTTTAGAAGCATTGGATGACGAGAAGTGTCCTTTGGCAGGATCACTGGGTCTACAGGACGTCCGCGTACAACTAGGCATTGCAAAGGAATATCGTAATGCGTGGAAAGACGCTGATAGCAAGGCAAGCGTATCCAGCGTCGACGCGCGCGCAAATATATCGCTTCAAGATTTGCAGCTAGAACACATGTTGCGCAATATCATTGGTGGATGTGACCTTGCTCACGAAGTAGTGCAGCAGCATTCTGATGGTACTACGAACGGTCGTAGTCTAACTAGCCAAGACTTCGAACCTACGACCTACGGGTATACTAGCATGGAGATCGAAGATACGCCCTTCGAATATATGGATGACGCTATGGATCTGGATTGAAGGTGATCTTTTGACATGTATAGCGTCATCTATTGGGGAATCCTATCGCATACTACCACAATATTTGGTTATTGCTAAAGCCTACCCACCGCTCACGATGTAGGTGTTTACGTTTCCCCTGTCTTTCCTCCCGCCCGCTTTGTTGTTCACATTCTCAGCTGCGGCCTTCTTACTCTCTTAGTCTTTCTTCAATGCCACCCATGACCTCAATCGGACTCATTGGTCGATCTTGCTCAATACCAACCTTTTGCATCATATGCTCCTCTCCTTGCTCTTCGTCTTGCAAAACACTGTCCGCGCGATATCTGTTGCCATCCGCTTTGCCCGCTGTTCCCTCAGACGCAAGCTTCTCTTGTGTCAATTCCCATTTGCACCTCTCTTTACAATCCCAGCATACACTTCTCTTACATACGCGCATGTCGTACTTCCACTCATGTCGGTTCAGCATCTCTTGACAGTGTGCGCAATCCATTGGAATGACGATCGTTTCCATGTCGCCACGTCGACGTGCAATGCTAAGACCCTTGCTTGTGCGAGTATGTATCTTCATATTCCCATCGCTACCGTCATCAATGCCATCGAAGACAACGAGCTTGTCGACCTTGCACCACCACGCTGGCCGACCTCCGGCTTCCGTTCGTGCACGAACTGATGTGCTGGTGAAAGCATCCACCTGCGCGCCCGGACCTGGCAACCAGCAGCCATTTGTCGTCTGCCGTGGTGGTGTGAACACGCGCGTCTTCTCTTCTCCAACCCTTTCCCTCTTCGTCGGCATGTTGAGCCGCTCTTGTAGTAGTGTTGTGGGGGATCGCAAAGCAGCCTTCGATTGTGTCTTCGAATTACGAATCAAATCGTAACGCTTTTCGAGCTCGGACCTTGGCTTCGACGAATCGGATACCGGGTTTGCTCCTAGGTTCAGCTCTGCAGGTCGCTTCAGACGTGCGATTGAGTCTGTACGTTGTCGAGGTGAAGAAGTCGATGTTAAAGCGGGATGCTTTGAAGAGACGGATGCGTTTCTTGATCGCTGGTTGAAATCGCCTAGAGCAAGGGATGTGGGCCGCGATTGTGGTGGTAGACTATCGTCATCTGAGACGTACACACCAGAGTCTCGGTCGCGGGATTGAGTCGTGGTTGTGTCCGTTGCGGACCATACTGGTCGTTTCAGGGGCGTCTCTTGGTTGATGGGTTGCTTAAGAGAGGCAGGTACAGGCTCCGATTGCTGTAGAGCAGTGTCTTGAGCCGGCTGGAATATTTCCGGCTCGTCTTCGATGGCGATGTACGGCTCGACCTTTGTAGCAGTACATTGAGGCTGGCTCAATGGTGACGATTTGGGTGGTGGCGCTGGTGGATCATTGTTGTCGACGGAAACTAACTTCTTCGAGTAATTCTTAACTGGGACTTGAACTTCCTGCTCAGACCCTCGAATCAAACTTTCTTCTTCGAGAACAGATGGAGATGTTACGAGCGGCTCAGCCTCCGATACTTGGTCAAGTTGTGGCGATCGTAGTGGCTGGGCTTCGTCGTCGAAAAGGAAAACACCGGAATCTTCGCCGTCTGGATTCAGGTCAAGGTTCTTGGGTACCAAAGGAATGAAGGTACTAGGTTTTTCCGTTGTTACACCTTCGGTAAGCAGCGGTGCGTTTGAGGGGTCGGCTTTGGTGCTCTTCCAGAAAGCGAATGACGGCATGTCGAATAGGAAAAGACTGTGAATACGATGTTTATCGATATCAAGAAAGATGGAACTCTATCTCTTGCGTACATGCTGTTGACGACTGCTCTTTACATACCCAGAGTCACCACACATCCAACATGGGCTACAGGCTCAGCCCCAGCATCACACGCGTACCGGACCCGCGTCGCCATTTCCTTTTGATGCACGAAACAGTACTTTGAGTAATTTCTCTTTCCCTTCTAGAAGGTTGTTCAGCTTCCGAGATGCTGCGTAGTGTGGAGATGGTTGATTCGAAACACTGACAGCTGGGATCTAGTTGGTGGCATGTTTGACACATCCTAGCTCGGACCTGTATCAGATGGAATTACGACGTTTATGCACAGCCTACACAGGCTTACAGGGACTGGGATTATGCTGTTGGCTATCGATAAGAGGATCCACGACGGGGATGGGGTTTATGCGTGATGATGGTGATTGTTGGATATAGACGATCTGCTTGATTTTACATGAACGTTTTGAAACGTTCACACGGGGAATTATCTATGCAGGTACATTTCTTCCCCCATTGTCGTTGCGATAATGTACACAGATCCCGACAGCCTCCTTACTAGTACCTGGATGCCACTTAGACGACGCGTCCTTTGACCTGTTTGATGTTCTTGACATTAATGTCGCGCCAGAACGCAGCCGCAACGAGAGCGCACGATAACATGCAAATACTTGTGATAAGCATGAGTCGCTGCGAATCCGCATAAGACTGTGCGATGCCAGTCCTCTCGGGCGAGCCCCACTTGTACGACAGCTGCTTCGGCAATGAAGCGTAGATTTCCGCAACATTGACACCAGACGGAACGTTCTTGACGAGGTTGTTGTAGAAGGTTCCAGTCCAGATGGCCGCTGAGACTGTGCTTCCAACCGCGCTCCCAATAGAGCAGAAAAGGTTGAGAACGGCGATGATGACAGCCATGTGCTGATGATCTGAAGGCGCCATCATAGCCAGCTCACCGGCGATAACGATGCTACCTCCAGCGACAGCTGTGAAAATCTGCGTCATAACGATGAAACCCACCGACGTCCCCGGCTGACGGAAATGAATCATTAGTCCCAGCGCCAGTATGTCAATCGGCAGCGCAAAGAACACGGCAACCCACTTGAACCGTCCCGTGATCCTAATCGCCGGTCCAACAGCCGCCAAGCACCAAAAGCAGGATACAACGCGGTAAATGCTCTGGACGTAGCTGGCAGTGGTTACGTTGAGATTCCAAACCACCTGCAGCATGGATCCAAAGTATGATCCCCAAACCGCGCTGTTGAAGTAGACAAAGACGAACATGATGCCAGCGAGGAAGACGGTTCGGTCTAGGAGTAACTTATACGGGATGAAGGTGACGGGTGCGAAGAACCTTTCCCAGATAGGGAAGGCGATTAGTAGCACGAATCCAGCGACAATCATACCGATAATCATAGGACTCTTCCACTTCTCTGCTTGGTAGCTGTACAAACTGAATGGTAACAGGAACAGTGCCATGCCCGCTACTAAGATCAGTATACCGACGGCATCGATATCGACACAGAACTTCTTGATGGCTGCGGCGCTCCAGTCGATACGGCGTGGCTCGAGTAAACCTTGTTTACGCGCTTTGCGATCGTTGAAGAGGACCAAAGCGGCGAGGGGAACGACGACGACAGGGATGATTATGGTGAAGATACCAAAAGCCCAGCGCCAGCCAGGGCCAGCGAGAACGGATTGGGCGACTGGGCCACCGATCCAGGTTGTGATTACGTAGGGGGAGGTTGCGAAGGAGAGCATAAGGGCGCGGTTCTTGAGGGTTGATGTATCGGCGATGAAGACGGTCAAGATATAGGATACCGCTTGTGATCTAAATATCATCGTGTTAGTGTTCATTTCTTCGTGCCTTGGTCGATGATGAACATGGAGTACATACCCCGTAGACGAGAAGACTTGAGCCGCAGCATATGTCTCCACATTCTGACATGAAGCCATCATGATGTATCCTACCATCCAGACACACAGTGAAAGCAAGAGCCCCTGAGGTCGACCCCACATGTCCAGTAGCTTAGCCAAAGGAATCTTAGACAGCCCACCGATGATGGAGGACATGATTCCTGTGGCGGCTGTGAGGGAGTGTAAACGGAAGGCACTGGTAACGTAGGGGTTCATGGCGCGGACGACGACTTCTTGGAGGGCGGTGACGAAGTAGATCCACCAGATGCTGAGTGGGTGTTAATGGGGGTGCTGCATGGGGATGGAAGTACAAGGGGCTGTAGAGGCAAGGGCTCTAACTAACATGACATAGGCGCCGATGAGATGGTATTTTGTCCATACTGATGCTGCTGCTTCGACGGCTTTGACACCGGCTTGTGCGTTGCTGGAAAGGCTTTCTTCGTCGGTGGCCCTTTCATGGGGGTTGTCCGTATGAACGCCTTTTTCTGCGTCGCTAGTTTGGCGAGAAGCCTCGATAGGCTCGACAGGGTCGGTGGCCTTGTCCTTGGCGCGACTGGGGAAATGCATGATGGAAGAGAGCGAAGTGACGGCAAATCGATCATAGAACAGGGCGAAACAGATTAGCGACGAGAGCTGCCACGTTCAAGCATTGCATATCTTCGCAGTATACTCTTATACCCCTCTCAAGCTTCTATAGCCCTAATCCACCCGTCCAACACTCGTATACGACCTAGAACCGCACTCCTTCAGACCACCATCGATCCACCACCGCCCCTCTAAAACCATATTACTGGAAGCACCTTCGGTTTTTGTACCGGTAAAACGGCTGTAACAACTGTCTCGAGGACTTGGCATTGCTTGGTACGAGGCACTCGATACTTAGAGTAGCAACCAGAACGAGTAGGGTGGAGTGAAGGCTTTCGTGAAAGAGACTAGCGTGGAAAATTCGATCTGATTAGATGCAAAGATGATCTTATCAGCGGTCCTTCGGGGTTCGCGATGCCCGCGGGAAACTCGGATCTTGGGTAGATGAGGAAGATGCGACGTGTTGCTTATACGTGAATGTGACGATGAGATGAAGCTGCTGTGGTGCATCCTTTCTTTGTCTTCAGATTTTGAGACTTTAACTGAGATTGTTTGAAGATGCTGAAGGGTACATGCTGCTGCCGATGCAGTCGGCTACACACAATTGATGCCGGTCCATTTCGAGGACCCGAGCGCAGTCGGAATTAGATCGTCATCATGATCGTGATTGAAGGCATCCATAACGTTGGGCTTAGAAGCACTGCGCCTCTTTGCTATTACAGTTGTGGCAACGCGCTCCTATGTTGCAGCGTCTCAATGGTGTTTCGGCCGGCTAAAGGTCTGCGGTACACAGTGACATGCTACAGCGGGCTATGCGTCAGATGACATATTAACCCGTACCCGTCTGATGTGAGACCGTGCCGACCCTCGAGCGGCAGACAGGAATCGACTCGTGAGCAGCAGGTGGGATGAATGATGCAGTCCGTGGGGTGTTCTGTTCACTTGCCAGTTGTGCATGAAGAATTGCTTCTGCACGAGTGCCGACATGCCGCCCCTGTGTATGGTTCGCGAACCCCTAGAAGAAACCTAGCGCTCCTGCCTATCGTTATCACATAGAATGCGTTGTACAGGGCGTGGGTATCTATGAAGCCTCTTCCATAAGACGGTCAAGCCTCAGCTGACAAGGCGAGGAGTGTGTTGTTCGTCTTGTTGCGGGCGTGCAGGTCTTTGTGCGATGCGCTGGCAGGCTTCGGTTCGTGCCTGAAATGCGCGCCTCGGGTGCGTCAGCGCTCCCGTCGACGGGTCCAGGGCAACAATGGTATGCTGGACCTGCCGTCCTTTCACGACGTTAAACCTCGTACATGATCAACTGCAGCGCTTCAAATGCCCACGACGTCTGCGCGCCACAACCCTTGTACCGACAGCGACAGCTCAGTCCCCGCGCTGCGGCCCTGTCCAACGGCTGTGTGCCGCGTACTCAGTACAGCAGCCTCATCTACTTTGACCGCCCATTCGCACCCGGGCCTCGCTGCTATCCAGGCCCCAACCAGCGAAGACGCGCCGGAGCCCGCACAGGATGCCACGAGTGCTCTGGCCCATTGAAGCAAAAGCACGTCCATGATGACTTCGACCGCACCCACTGCCGATGACCTCGACGGCTTCCAGTCCATGACCGGTGTTGAGGAGAGTGCAGAGCCCACGACGTCAACGCCCACCCGCGACGACCCCACGACAAACATGGCCAGAGACACGTCTGCACCGCCCATGCGCCAACATCCGCTGGCCGGGCAGCGTCCTTTCAACGTGGCCAGCTCGCCATCGCCGCTGTCGTCGCGAGAGGCCTCTCCAGCTCGCCCGCACCAGCGCAATTCCACCCCGTCAGGCGCCAGTGTGAGACCTGGCTTCCGTTCACGCAAGAGCAGCGCCGATGCCAGCCCCAGTCGAGGTTCCAGCAGCTTGTCCAACTCGACGACGGCCCCGGGCCATGCCTCGCCGACGGTGCAGCGTGCTCTGTCGTCGACCAGCATACCTGAACTCACTCCTACATCATCGACCGACACTGTACGAGCCCCGCGCCCTTCCAAGCCATCGTCAAAGTCCAATTCGGGCGAGACGACACCCCATTGGCCCCTCTCGCCGCGCCTCAAATCACCACCGCCGGGCGATGACGGCCGCTCACGTTCGCGCACAAACTCGCTCCGTGCCCAAATCAAGAAGCCAGAAGCCCAGTCTACGCCCTCGATCGTCGTCCAGAGCTCATCGCCAGCCTCGGTCTCCCGCTTCCCAGTGAGAGAAGAGGCGCCCGCGAGCGACCCCGACGAGCCTCAGCCACAGCACCCAACCAAAGCACCCTCTCGGAGTTCCGGCGGCGTGGCTCCTAAGCTCGCAACGGTGCAAGAATCTAGCTTGCCTGCCACACCCGGATTTGACGGTCTAGAGCCGCAAAGGTACGCTTTCCCCGCAACGGCCCCACTGTTTGTCATCGCGACGCACGTTAGACTAACCACGGAGCCAATTTCCGTTGCCATCCGCAAACTTTGTTAACCTCGCTATTAGCTTTGTTCCCTCAGCGACTGCCCACAAATTCGATCAGGACCGAAATGACGTCAATTCGTCCAAAGTCACCGAAGACCTCAGCACCAAGCACGACAGCACCAAGCACGACAGCACCAAGCACGACAGCACCAAGCACACGGAGAGTGGTAGCGACAGCGCGACCAAAAGCGCCAAGAAAGGCAAGATGCAGGAGCATCGTTCCACCTATACTCATCGGCCACACACCGTCTCCTCGAAGCCCTCCCTCTCCTCAATGTCGACACGATCGCGAGACCCGCCCCTCCGCAATATGACGGTCGAAACCGAGACCGTGCCCTCAGTCGCACAACCATCCATTGTGAACCAGGACAGGTCCGCATCTGGTCGCGTAGATGGCGGCGTAAGGCTAAAGGCCAGCAACGAAACAATTCGACCTAAGAAGGAAAGGAGAGCACCCAAACGGAAGGCCGCATCCATCAATGCAGGCACTGGTAGGTTGCAACAGATTTCTTACCACTACTATTCCCCGAGCCGGCCGGAATCCGGCTCTCGCTCCAGCATAAATCCGTGGTTCGGTAGCCCCGTCTCATACCGTTCGTATGACGACCGGCGGTCATTGTTGACCATGTCACCCCCGAGTCCAGAGCCACGCATGGCTCCTCTCCGCCCTCCCCATCTCAAATATTTTTATTCCAGCACTAACACAAGTTTTCGCACAGCTTCATCCAAAGCAGATGTATTCGAACAAAAGGTGGCCAGCGCCGTCGACGAGGCCGACTCCTCTGACTCCGATGCCACCTTCATTTACGAATCGAATCCTCCCGAGCAGCCGCACCGAAGCCGCCAACATCACTCGCGAACGCCAAGCATGACGTCACTAGCCAGTCTCACGGACCCACGACTCCAGATCCGCGATACGCACAAGCACCCAAGCAAGAAGAGCAGCATAAAGTTTACGAACCCGTACAACAATCCGAGCATTGATGGCGACGACCGAGGCGAGGGCACCATGCGGATAGGCTCTGGACGAGCGGGTGGAGGTAGCCACCATCACCACATTGGAAGGCATGGCCAGGGTCGTGGCGCCCTAAGCCACCTTGCCATGGACAGCGACACATCCGTACCACAATCTTCGCGCGCACGTGGCCCATCTTCGAGACATGCGTCGCAACCCAACAGCCCTCGCTTCCATACTTTCAATGTTGGGAACGGTCATAGCAACGGCAGCAAGAAAAGTGGGGAATATTCTGCAGCGTACGATATTGACGCCGAGAACATTGCCGATGATGAGCGCACGCCGCTGATCCAGTCCGGGCGAAGTCCACGTTCAGCCCGAACATCCCGCCAGCGAAATACCATCACTATACGCCAACTAGAGCGCAGGCATCACCGCGACGGCGGATGGTGTCGCCGGTTCGCTGGCTGCCTCGTCCTTACGATTCTGCTGCTCGTCGTTGTATTCTGCGCCATTGGACTCGTCTTTGCTACCACGAAGCCTCTCACTAGTCTCGTGGTGCGAGATATTCAGAATGTTGTAGCGAGTCAAGAGGAAGTTATGTTGGATCTCATAGTCAACGCGGTCAACCCTAACATCATTGGCGTTACTGTATCTGACATGGACATTTCCCTGTTTGCTAAGAGCAAGCACGTCGGGTCGGATACTTGGTGGCGCGAGCACGGAAACGGTCCACATGACGACGTAGAACATTGGACACCGATCAAAGAAGAAGCAACTGCGGAGATCTCGATTACCGGTGTAGACGAAGGGACCGATCCTATCGAAGGCGAACCTCGTACCATGCTGCTAGGCCGCATTGCCCACTTCGACTCACCGCTAAACTTTGAAGGTTCCTTTTTCCAGCGGAAACGCGCCGAATCTATTGGCGAGCTCCGACTTTCGCATCCCGGAAACAAAACGGAAGCCGGAGGCAGCGAGCGATGGGAGGAGGTTCTGCAATATCCTTTCGAGTTGATTGTGAGAGGCAACTTTAAGTACACGCTGCCTCTCAGCACGCAGGAGTTCAAAGTCCCTGTCACGGCATCCCATTACTACGATCCGGACATCGAGCGCAAGAAGAAGCTCGAAATTTCAGAGAACAATGAAAAGAGGAGGAATGTATTACCTGTATCAACAAAACCATGGGGACGTTATGACCGCAGAGCCCTGCCGTTCTGGAGTCTCCGATAGCATATTGTTCATTTTTGTAACACAATGGTCACCGAACGAGAGGGGTCTGCACAACCGTGCGACCCCAGCATCCATCGCCCAAAAGAAACTGATACCCACTAAACACGAGTTCACGACCCAATAGATCTGTCCGGCCCGGCAATTGCGACATCAGCAAACGCGTTGCCCTTTTTCTTCGGCTCCACAGCCGTTCACGAATTTCTTTTTTGATCTGCAAACCACCACACCGCCTCATTGAATTGGCTGTGCGCATTCTCTCATAGCGAGTGTTTTCAACCCCCCTCGACTTTGCGCTTCAGCGATGGTGTTTGTATCATTACATTTTCAGCATTTTTCAACTTTTGGTGGACTTGGCCTCCGTCCCCTCACAGTTTCCGTGCTTTTCTGATTTTACGCTTGGAGGTGGATCGCTTTTGTGTATCCAAACACACTCATTTTGATCTCTCTTCCATGTATCCATAATTTAGCCCTTTTTTTTGTTTTGCTTGAAGCTTTGTTTGTTCAATAGCGGCTAGGGTGGGTGCATAGGTTAGGTATGGCATGGCATGGTAGGAACTGGAAAGATATTCGCATCGCACTGGGAGTAAGGGATTGTAGGAATGATATTGAGTTACCCGTACCAATTTTTCTTCTCTTGTGTCATGATTCGTGTTTGTATGGCCACGAGCTTTTCACTGTCAATTAATGGGGGTAGCTGGTTGAGAAGGTGAGTCGTGGGAGAGATCATCTTGGATTATCTACCGAAAGCTGACTAATCTAACTGCTACTGTTTACTTTCAGCGTTTGCAACGGGGACGCTCTGTACGTTAAGAAAACTCCACAGCGAGTCTTGATCTAGTGACCTTGGAAGTGCGGTGACCTTGTCCGGGAGCGTATTCCCTGGATGATTCCTTGGGTAGATCATGGAGTTGCTCGGGCTCGGCCGTCGTCTCCTCCTCGATGTCGGCGTGGAGGGACTCATCGCCCGAGGCTCCGTCGGCAGCTGGTCCCATCTTGTCTGGAGGTATCGCTTTTCCTTTTGTCTGCATGTAAGTATCGGAGTTGGAATTTGTGGACCCAAGAAACCTACAGATTGACGTAGCCCTATCTCAAGTCTAGATGGGTTGAGCAATGGATCGTTCGTTTGCGTGCTCCACAGCAATTGCGAAGGTGATATTGTAGTAGGACTGCGCTAATCAATTGGCGGGGAATGAGAATAGGGCCCAATGCGGTTACGCAACGGGAGCCTATTGTGTAAAGAGTCGCATAGATAGTAGTGAAAGCAAGTGGGTTGCATTGTATATGGCCGCCAACGGCCTCATGACAGTCCTTCAGAAGCGCTTCATTAGCTAGTAGACTCCAGTATTGATTTCTCATATATATGCTACTTGAACTAGAATCAAACTGGGGTCTGCGACAGGCTGCTTCTAGCTGGATATCTAGTTCCATGTTGAGGAGCGTCACAGGCCTAGCACATGTTCAACTGACAGGCAAAATACTCCATGCTCAATTCTCTGCCGTGTAATGGTAGAGGCGAAACTATAGCCTGGATCATGTGGAGAAATTTTGACACGTTCGGCCCCGCAGGTTCATCATTCACTATCGGTTGCGACTACAGTCAAAGCTCCAGCCGGCCCAAGCTTCTGTCTCGCGCCACTCGCTCTTTCTTTTCAGTTTCCTCATCTTGTCTGCTCTTCTTTTTCTTCAGTCGTACCCACATCAACTAGATGTAGTACGATACGCAACCTGGGTGTATGTTAGCCCGCGCCAGCCGCCGCCGCTTGATCAACTGTATTCCCTGACAACTCGATATCCGTGACTAAAGTAAGCGATTGTATCATTCACAGGCGGCCTCTACATATCTCACCTTTCATATGTGCAGATCGCCGGGTTCTGGCGTACTCGCGAGCGCGCAGACACCACAGAAACGAGAACACTATTCGATTGGCGAACGCGACTGAGTGAACCCAGCAGGTTTGCTGGACCCCCACAGCGGCTGGTAGTTTTATCTACCAGTCGGCTGGCCTCTAGTCTTTTTGGATTCAGGTTTGGCAGGGTCTATGCTGAGTTTGGGAAAGTGATAGCTTCCCTAACACCACATAGGTCGGAGCTAGAGTAGGGTCGCAAGATCACTATCTCTATCTCTGGCATCTTTCGCTTCTCTCTCCGGGGATGGCGAGGTGCCCCGGCAGATCGGCTTCATGCTTTAGGGTCCGTCGTCTGGTTCAGGTAGGAAGCAGTCTCTGCGTGTATGTCAGGTTGAATGTCGGAAAGAGATCGGCAGTCCCAATTGCCTTCTTGGTGGTCCTGATACAGGCCACAGCGATAGTGGTTCAAATCCACTTCCGATTCGACCCGCCGCCGGTATCCCTCTCTCGGGCGATGCGCGCGGAAGATGTCTACGACAAGAAGTTTTCTTCGGAAGACTTCTGACAGGTCAGATGACCCACGATATATGGCATACAAGCACGAGGCCCACCTACCGACGACAGAGAGACGGAACGATCGTCTGAGATTGTCACAAACCTAAGATGCTCTTGTGTTTCTCGAACCGCGGCACTTGGAGGGGTACTTTAACACGTTCCTATCCAAGACTGCCAACCCTCGTGTGGCTGTTCGTTGCCCTCAATGGAAGATCCTATGTCTCCGTAGGTATCCTTTTGTGTGTTTGGCTACAGTCGGGCGGGCCTACGTAGTCACAGCATCACATCCGCCATCCTCCTGAGGTCCATCTGCGCGACGTAAGACTCGCGTAGTGACAAGAATCATACCCAGGAGTTTCCTGTGGCACTGGGGGCTTGGCGAGACTTCAACATCTCAACTCATGTAAGTGTGCGCTAGCATCAGCAGCGATAACTCTCGCACTTCAAAGACCATGCGTAAAGCCACACGACGTAAGCCGTCCATTGGCAGGTCTCTACTGGGATTCAACTTCCAGTATCTTTTTCATTGAGTCGTGTGCCTTCAAGGCGGGTTTTGAGGAAGAAGAAAGTAGCTTAATAGTTAGGACTAGATGTATGTATTAGCACAATAACTTATGGCTTACCCGGTTAAGATATTCTGAGTAACTTCCTGATGTGTCGCCTGCTAGACCGGAGTAGCAGGACGGTGCTGTCACACCTCCTGGGTTAGTTGAGTGATGTGACGTTTACATCCAGAAGGACGCTAGTCTAATCAAGCCATCTACCTCGGCAACTACGCAAAGCAGGGAAATCTGATAAAGGCATCATCACTGAGATTATGCTCCCGAGACACACATAGTCTGTACATATGTGTTGCATTATAAACATGATAACCTGTGCTATTTACACCTGATCCAAGACCAAGCTATCCCAAAGCCACCCTCTCCATTGGGTAGTCCTAGTAACCTTGATATCTATGCGGTTACTTCCATTACTCTTCAAAGCGCCTTCTGCGATCGGAAGCTCTAGCAACCTCCATTCACCTGCTCGTGTAGCACCACGATACGTATCTTGGCTGTTCAGTAGACTGGCACTCGTGATATTTCCCACTTTGACATCGTTGAGCAGGATGTCGCAGCTTGAGCCCTGGGAGAAGCCAGCGAGGGATACCGTCAGTTTAGCGGCGGCGGTGCTCTTGGACGGGAAGAGAACGGACCAGGTGCCGAGGGCAGATTGACCGAAACACCAGTCAGCGGGAGAGCTAGTACCGACGGTGTAAGTAAGATTTGCAGGGCACTTGGAGATGCGGCCGTGTTCGTATGGGTGGGCCGGGTCAGCAAGTTTGAAACCATCAGTAGTGCGATCGAAGTCGCCAATCTGGAAGATGCGCTTCTGGCTGTCGGTAACCTTCCAGGTCATTTCTTTGAGGTTCGTGTTCTTGCCCTCGCGGATCTCAACATCGTTCTGGGTAAAATTTGTTGTGACATCGCCGATTGCGCCGCCGTTGCCCCAAGCGTAGAGCGCATATGTGCCGGTGCGTATGTCGTGAATATCGAATTTGCCGTCCTCATCTGCGTAGGTGGTATAGTAGTAGTTCTGTCCTTGGTCGAGCGTTGACACTGTGGTGTTGCGGTTGTCTCCGAGGAAGACAGCAGCGCCGGCAGCTGGACGTCCGTCGCTCAGGAGAAGCTTGCCCTGCATCTTGCCGCGGGATTGGTAGGGCTTGTTCTCGAACCATTTATAAGGCCAAGCTGCTTCTTCTTTCTCCCAGCGGGCTGCAGCGTCGTCTTTGCTTCCATCGTTCAGGTACCAGAGCCATGGACCCCAAATCTTACCATCAGCGAAGGAATCACGCGCAATGGCCTGGTAATGTGTGCCATGAATCATGTTCAGCTGAACTGCGTCTCCGGTCCGGGATTCACGATGGATCTTTAAGAAGTCAGAACAAAGTCATCTGCCAGCAGGACAACTATATCGAACTTACCATGAGCTCCTGCTTGAGATGATCGCCGTTGTAGTAGTCCTTTCCAGGGTTGAAGTACCAGCTTCCCACCTCGTCGCCATAAACACCGTAGTATGTCTGATCCCGGACGAAGCCACTCCAGTCGTACTTCGTCAGGAAGGATCCGTCAGCTTTTTGCCAGGTTTCATCCTGCACGTTTGTACCTTGAAGGTACTCTTCCAATGCGGGCAGCACGCCATCTTTGACGTTGTTATGACCGCGAGGGAATGAGGTATTGTCGAGGCGCCACAAAGTACGGAACTCGCCCAATGTAGGTAGGGCATGATTCACAAAGTACTGGTATGCACCTGGGAGATCATCGTAGATTACCCAATGAAAGTCGCCTTCCTTCGCCGTGAACTTGACATTGATGTAGTCGGTATCTGAATCGACAATCGCGGCGGATGTCCAGTTCAGATCAGATGCGGCACCGTCTATCCACTAGTCAGTTACGTGATATTTTTGTGTTTCGTCTAGCGCGCTGCTTGCACATACTGTAGCTAACATAATGCCCAACGGCATTTCCGACGCGATCCTTCCCGTTGTACCACAACTTATTGGCATACTGGCGATTCTGTGTAACGTTCCAGATCTCGTTACCAATAACCCAAGTCGAGTCTCCAAGCTCTTTCAGAAAGCTCTTGGGCTTCTTTGCGCGCTCTTCTACTGGGGCCGCAGCAGCAAGGGCAGCAAGACCGAGTAACTTGAATGCGCTCATCGTGAATGCAATGATACGCGAGTATGATTGGCGAGGATGGAGATAATAAATCCATGGTTTCTCTAGGTATTATATATCGTTGCGCATATGCGCGTGGCTGGATGAGAGCACCCATGTCTCTCGGTGGAGATATCCCGAACCTATTACCGGGTAACCACTGGGGTCGCGGGGTACCTGGAGTCTACCCCGGACGACTTGATCGACAAGAACATTGTTCCTGCAATCGCGGTTCTTCGCTCTTTAGTAGCGCGTTCTTAGGGCGATGTACAGACGCGGACGCATTCTGGAAATAGGAAGGCGTTCGTAGTGACACGAGTCGTTCAGGGTCCGCGGCATGAGGCTCGCTGCACAACGTGGTCAACGGCTATATCGTTGGGCGAAGAAGCACCGAAATTAGCTTGAAAGCGTTAGTTAGAGATAAAATCGATATCACGAGGTACCAGTAACCGGGTCGGTGCTTGCGGTAGTGTTGAATTCAGGAGGCGTGGAAAGACACCGAGCGGGACGCTTACCATTTGCGGACAGCTTCCACTAATCCGCCATACTCGCACCGCGAACACTAAATCCCCAAAGATAACAACATTCAAGAAACTGAACTTTGAAAAAACCTTGAAATTGAGCACAGGATATAAAACAATCTAATAGTGACTACAGAGCGTTGTGGATAATCCTCAATTACATGCAACGCTTACTCCTCCAATGCCTTCGCGTCAGCCTCCTTGGGCGTGTGCGTCCCTGATTCAGCCGTCTTTTCACCTTCAACCACCGTAATCGGCCCTCCGCGACGACCGCCCTTACCGGTGATATCGCGCCACATGCCACCAAAGTTCCTTGCTAAGCTCTCACGGCCTTCCCATAGAGGATACACACCTACAGCCATAGTACTGCACATCAGCCAGATGATGCCAACGACGACCCAACCCGAGAAGAACGATTGGCTGAAGATATAGCCTGAACCATAGAGAGGCATTGGCCAAAGTACGAGTAGGACGAGTGTCAAGGTTGCAGTAGTGATCTTTGCGATCTTGGAGGCGCGGAATAGTTTGGCTTGCTCGGCGGCTTCGGCTTCTGGGGAGAGGGCAGCATGACGGCCGTGCACGGCTTCGAGGTCCATATGAGCGGCTGCTGTGACGTCCGAATCGTCCACAAGGCGAATGTTCTTCATTGATACCCAGTCATAGTTGTCTTGGTCTTCATCAGCACGCGCTCAACACAGAAGTAGAGTACAACTTACCGACTCCAAAAATCAGCGTCAAAACTGGGATGAAGATGACAGGCGATAGCAACGCAACGACGTTACCAGCCAGCATGGGGTTGTTGGCGCCAGATGTGGCGACGGTGATGACACCATCGTTCAGCTTAGATGTGGTGACGAGCCAAGCGGTGATGCTGCAGCAAAGGCCCAGTACTGGCGACAAAGTTGCCGCCCACTTGTTCTGACCTTTCCACATCAATGTGAGAGTTGCTGGAAGCACCGCGGAAGAGATGATCACGCCCATGAAGACGTACAGCCAGCCCATGCTTGCAGATGTCAGCAAGTTCGGGCACAGCAGCTAGTAGAGACTTACCTGATACCAGCATACCAGAGCCCCGTTGAGAATGCAGCCATGACGAGTCCAAATCCGCATACACATACATGTGACGTGTATACGAGGCGTCGACCACTTGCGCTGGGGTTGATATAGGTCCCGTAAATGTCGTACGTCAGGATACTGGAGACGGCAATGAGTTGTGCAGAAAAGGCGGACGTCACGGCCATGAATACGACCAGGAGCGTAGCCACTGCACCGCCAGATCCAAGAAGCGCAACTGCAGCATATGGAAGTGTGAGACCGGCACTGATTGACGCTTCATCCATGCCGTTGGGATAAGTGGGGAAGTACTCGGTGCTCTGTAGTGCAAGCGCGGCGAGACCCATGGTGGTTGCGCAAAGCCACTGGTAATGGCATTAGAACGAAGCCCAGATGGAAACTGATGAGAAGCTTACCGGGATAGCGAACCAGGATAAACCACCAATGATATAGCCAGGAAGCGCATGCACTGGAGATGCGGCAATAGCCTTGTTGTAGTCTGGGAATTGTCAGCTTTCACTCTCACTCTAGCAACGAATGACTTACATCCGTTGTCCATAAACACAGTTCCAAAGTTCCCAATGATGTTGATCACGAAGAAGATGGCGCCATCCTTACTCCTCATTGTGAGATAACTTCCACCAGCGTTACCAGGAACTGGTGCCACCGCCGATAGCTCCTGCAACCGCTCATAAACAGCTTTTGGCGATCCAAGCCGGTCTCCAGTCGCGTAAGTCGTGAAGGCGAAGGTAAGCAGGATGATAAGAAGAATGACCGTGTGCACATAATCTGTAAGGAAGGTAGCCTTGATGCCACCGAACATCGTGTAGACTACGACACCCAGAGGGAGCAGGAAACAAGCGGCTGCTGTAGGCACGCCGGTTAAAGAGCTGATTACGGCCGATCCGCCAGTCAACAGCATGGCTGTAACGAGTATGTTGGTAAAGAGACCAAAAGTGATGTATACAAAGTGTGTAGCCTTTCCATAACGAGCACGCACAGCTTCCAGGAACGTCTATCGCATGATTAGAATTGATACTAGTACCATGAATCCATTACACTCACATGGGCGTTGGGAGCTCGCCTCTTTAGTTCGATCGCGACGGTAGCAAATAGCAAGATCTGAACAGTGGCTCCGGCGGCATACCAGAGAGGTCCAGAAACACCTACAGATGATCAATACTTGTCATCTTGGGGTGATTTCGTTTTGAACATACCGTAGCGGAAAGCGACCGAGGAACTCTGCAGCAGCGTAGCTGCCCATGTCCAGGACGACACTACTGCTGAGGCTACAAGACCAGACTTGACTGTGCGACCAGCAGTCGAAAACATTTCAGACGTTTGCACCTCATTGTTGTAGCGTTTAAGAACCCACGTAGTGAAGACCTTGAGATTGTTAGCCCTTGATGCTTGTGATGAAAAGATCCTCCATACCATGCCAAGTGCGAAGAGAAAGCCGACACCAAGCACAATGCCATAACCCCAAGCCTGACCCAGAGGTGAGGCTGAAGGCCCTATAGGGGTACCGCCGCCAGCCATGTCGGAAGATGGAGCGTGCTTCAGAGTCAAGCTTTAGAGCAGAGCGTTGGCTATCAAACCATCTCAGCGGGGCATACGAAGTATCTATACCCCAATCCATCCCCCACGATTACCGTTCCCCGGCTTCATCTCGGTCCCAAGACTGCTATCTCGAGCATTTTCAACCGCACACAGCAACCGTCTTCACGGCGCAATTGAGCCGGCGCATAATTGGCTGAAGATAGGCACATATCAATACTAGGTAACGTGTAACGAAGGCCAAGCCTAGAGGCTTGTCGTTTTCTACGCAATTTTGAAGCTTGTCTCAGCAACGAAGTCTTGTTGTAGGGTCTTTTGAAGTTCTTAGCCGACTGGGCACTGCAGGATGGCTCGCCTATGCTGATAAGGAACGAGGGCTCGCAACGAACATGCATCGCGCTTGTCTCATAGTGGCGGGCAAGACCGAACGGTGCAGCGGAACCTTTCTTGCTGCAATCTGAGTGGCTAGCATAAGTGAGTGTTTGCTTGGGCAGAAAACCTAGGTCTGGGCGTGGAGATGGTGGTCATGTTAGAGGCATGTTGGGGTTGGTGGTTATGATGAGGTAAACAAGAGACTGAAGATAAGCGATAGCGTGGTAGCCAATAAGAAGGTGCTCATAGTGGGGTCCGACATCGGCTTGCAGGAGCCAACCCCCTGTGTCCCAGCTTCCTCCACAGTGCTGATCGACGTGTATCTTCGTAACGTTGCTGTTACTCGATTACTTCGACAAATGCAAGCCCATTTCCCTGAGGAGGTACTTTAGTAATTATGCACCCTCAAAGAAGACGACTAGCGTCCTAAGTTCATACCCGAAATGACTGAGGACCTTTCCGTCGCTGACAATGCACTCAATACTCCCACTTCGCGAAGATCGAGGGGCGCCACATCGACCTTGCACTTTTCTAGGTCAAAAGAATGATGGACCTGCTTGGACGTTAGTTTGCAAAGGTGTATCGCTGCCACCAACTACAACAAAAGGATCGGAACCATCCTCACGCATCTACACCCCAACCGAAACATCAACTAGCGTTTTTTTGCAGCTCGTGATCTTTGCAGGCTTTAGTCATTTGCTAACTGTATTTAAGGATAGACAAGCGCCCGTAGGAGATCAAAATACATGCTTATCTGGTTGATCATAGGGCTGCCCCCAAGCCTGCTAGACTTATAGTTCCATTCTTGTTGAGTTCGCTCATCCATAACACTGGTCTCTCCATTGTATCGCCATATGCGCTCAGCAATTTGAGCCTCATATTCGTTTGTCACATTGATCAAGGCAGCATAATCGTCATCGTCCAACGATAGTTCGTCACTAGGGATCGATGGCCATGCTGCGTCCAATAATTGGAGTAAGGTCGTACTCTCTGGTCGACGTAATCCAGGTCCTATTGCGATACTCGGGTCAAAATAAAACGCCAACCGTTGACATTCCTGCTCTTTGGGACGCCTTGAGAGAGAGCTGGGTTCATTTCTCTCTACTAGTGCCACGCTAGTAGATCCTGAAGCCATCGGTAGCTCAGATAAGGGGATGAGGCCTCTGGTGGAAGACGTCGAGGGAAATTTTGAAGGCAGCACTGTCCAGAAGACCCACACAGTCAAAGACCGCAAGCCCAAATCTGCTACGGCACAACAATCAATCAATCAATCAACACCCGTTCGTCGGCATTTATCTCTTCTCGAGGATGTTCCTACCCGCCGGGATATGCCTGAAGAGGAGACTCCTGCCTTTGCGCAAGAGACATTTGTAGAGATAACACCCGCTTCTGCATGTGAGGACACACCAGCGGAGAAGACATACGCCTCTTCACGAGGAAGCATAGCTCGGTCTGAGACCGTAACATCATCGCCAATTGACACTTCAATCGCTCCAATTCCAATCTCAGAGCAAAGGCCTCTTCTCACCGGCTCCTCGATCTCGCACATCAAGAGTGACATACAGGCAAATATATCGAGACAAACACAAGCTTGACATCTCCCATCGTCTAGCTCAAACTCGCCACCAAGCACAACCCTGCGGCTCTCTGCCCCCATGACATCGGAAACTCACTAGAGTGGCAACGCTTGTATACAAGAGGATGAAGATGATACCACATCCGATATGGTGGACGACACCCGACAAAGCGAAGCTCGTAGTTCCTACAATGCGGATACGTCGGAATCCGCACTCTATAAGACAATCAACGAAATGAACGCAGTAGAGCTGTTGTATTGGTGCTTGCGAGATCGACAGAACAAAGCTTTTGGTGGGTACAGCGCAGCAGCACGTTTGTTGGAGCGACCAGAGATATTCATACCAGCGATCCGGACGCTGATGCTCCGCGTGCACAAGTATGTTGCTAAGGAGGGCGAACCGTTCCTTGACCTGAACATCGGTGGAAGAAATGACCAGCGAAATGACCAGCGGGTGTGAAGTAGACACTGGACAGAAAAATATGAGGTGTTTAAGCACACTGCTGAAGAACCGGAGCCAGAGTCCTCTTAATTGAAGATCAGGGGGCCATCGATCGGTTCGAGCTCAGACTTGGCCATTAGTGCGATCTAGTAGCAGTATGCTTACCCCCAGCGAGCAACCGACTGTGACTGACTCTTGCAGACCAAGTGTCAAAGGCTCGCGGCTTATTTCACTCACCACCCTGGCCATCTTGGTGCAGTGATCAAGACTAATACGAATGTTTCCGAGCACTGCTTTTCACAGACAATCTCGTACGATGCTGTAAGTGTACTTCGATTTGACCTTAGTGGACAGCCATCAGGCAGCGACACTTCCACAAACCGAACGTCACTGCACAAGATCGATGGTACGCGATCCGGAACCAGTCTCGTGTCAGCTGGGGAATGTTGTCCGATTTTATGGTATGAACGCTCCACTGTCTATTTCAACCCTCTTTGCTAATGAGTCAGACTTGATAATCGAAGCTGCTGGAGAACAAGGCAGCGCTGTGCATGAAGCCTGTTCAGTTCCTCTCCCAGCTTTTCACTCTGATCCACCTGAACCTCTTCCCCGTAATTTACCAGCGGCACTTGAGGTCTCGGACGATAATTACCTGGTGTACATCGGATGTACCTCGCACTTCACGTGCTGGTAGCAGGGCGGTCCAGAGCAAGAAACAGGCTGACTATGTTCTCGACTCTGAAGCCAAAACGAATGTTTTAATGACATGCGTGTCTCCGGGAGCGAACTTGACGGCTAAGATAGGAACCACTCGCCGCACGAATGAGATCGATGTTCAATGCAGGAGGCGTGTATGTTGGCGTCGTGCGATAGAGAAGCAATCGACAGTTAGGGCCCGGCCCGGCTTACTCATGGTGTCACAGTGCGGTCTGGGTTGGGGAAACGCCTGTCCAAGGTTACAGCTGCAGGCTTCCCACAGCATGTCAGACATCCCTGGAGATGACAGGACGGTCGGATCGAGGCTAGCGTCTGCATTCATGGCTTTGTAGCTGTCAGCACCTTCCTACGCAAGAACCACCGATTAAATGGTCGGAGCAGAGAGTTTTTTGGGGCAACTTGAGCTCTCAATCGAGAAGATGTAGCAACAAACACCAAGCTCGTACGAAGTTCGCCTTGTGTGATGTAGTGGCGTCTCGAGCTCCGCGGAGTGTGTCTATCTCACCGAAGTACTACCGCTATATGCAACCACCCCAGGCCTCTTTCCTGATTTGGTAAATTGCTTACGGTATCATTGAGGCACCTGGGCTTATATTCAAGGATGTTGGTTCCTGTCATTCCTTGAATCGGCCACCAGTATTATGTTGCTGCTTTTCATCGTCCTTGCATTTGCGATCAGTGTCATTGCTCACTCCACCCAAGATGGATGCCCGCGGAGGCTCGGTGCGAAAGGCGTGCGGGTTCGCATACCACCTACTTTCAACACTACCGATCGTAGCCATCACGGAAGACCATGGTCTGCGCCACCTGTTGGCTTCTACTTCAAGCCGTGGTCAATGATCCTCGCGTCGAATCCCCAATATGCTGCTATGCGGAATGTGCAATACGACCCGACACCGATCGACCCCTCTGACCCTACCGGACTTGCGAATGATCTCTTCTCATTCCAGTTCCCAGGCAATGACAGCGTGATAACAACATACGGCGTCGATACCCCGCATCCCCACTTCCCAGCAGTGCTTGACTACGCAGGAACCGGAATTCTAGTCGGAGCTACCAGTCAATACAGCATTCTGGTTTGGGGGTGCGACGCCAATAGAGTCCCGTACTATGCGAGCTACTCGACAGCAGCCGAGTTCACTGGCACACCCGCGGGTATCGATCTGATGAGCACGAGTGATCAAGGGCCTGATCAGGATACCATCGACGCTGTTGTGACGGCTTTAAAGAAACTAGGCAGCGACGAGATTACAAAGTATGTTGAGGTTTTGGAGAGGATGGTGCAGGATGGCTGGAGGAGGGGTATGCCCAGGGTATGTATATGGGCTGTAGGGAATGATACAAGCTAACGTAGGATCGCAGGCTACGTGTGACGATTATTGTAAGACAAATCAGGGCTTGATTGGGATTGTAGGATGACAAGGATCTGAAATAGGGTTAGCAGGTGATGCTCGAGGATCCACTGGTGGTGAGGAATGACTGCTCGCAAGTTTGGTTCAGTGTGGGCTTCCTAACTGGTGCATATGTAGAGTTTAGTCGATGATGAGAGGTGTTTCTTGTCTCGTGTTGAAATGTGCGTGATGTGATGCCTACGGGCCTCGAATAATGCAGCTCTATAGAAGAGGTTTCATGGGTATACACCTCAATCTTGATGAGAAGTGTGGGGGTGAAGGTGCTTCGCGACCGGAGTTCAGCAGGCGCTCCTCCGCTGTGGGCCCTGCCAAGTCTGTCCGGCATTAGCGTCAAAAAAGTGCAGAAGTTGCTGTACAGAATAACTGAAACTTCGACGGGACAACATTGCAACCACCTACCGTTATTTGAAATTAAATATTGACACAATGGCGAAGCGCAAACTCAACGAACACGACGTGCCAGAGGAAACTTCAGGCGACGAGTCGCAGTCCGAGCCCCGCAGCTCGCCCGAACCTTCGACATCTACCGAGACTGCGACCACTGCCACAACGACAGTGACACCCGATGCGAAAGCAAAGAACAAGAAAGGCTCTCGCGCTGCTAAAGCGACGTCTAACGCCACCACTTCAACGCCCATCGCCGCTTCCTTCGCCGAACTACAACTCGAGCCGCGCCTGTTAAGAGCAATTCGTGATCTGAAATGGGCATCGCCGACGGCAGTACAGTCGCAAGCGATACCGTTGGCGCTGGAAGGGCGTGACATCCTTGCGCGCTCTGGAACTGGCACAGGCAAGACTGGCGCATACTTGCTCCCCATTCTGCACAAAACGCTGCAGCAGAAGGGTCAATCCCTCATCCTAGCACCTACACGAGAGCTATGCTTGCAAATCGCGACGGTCGCCAAATCACTCTCTCAACACTGCGGACAAGAGATCCGGGTCCGCAACATCGCGGGCAAGGAGTCGGAAGTCGTCACAAAGGCAGCCCTTGCCGACAAGCCAGAGATCGTCGTAGCAACGCCAGCGCGAGCATGGGCAAACATCAACAGCTCAAATCTAGCGGTCAGCGATATCAGGACACTTGTCGTCGACGAGGGTGACTTGATCAACGGTTACGGTTTTGCTGAAGATATGGAGAACATCGCTCGCGAGATACCCGTCGGCGTTCAGAAGATTGTCCTCTCCGCTACCCTCTCAACCGACGTTGAGTCGCTCGGTAGCCTACTTTGTACCGACCCGGTGGTACTTAAGCTTGCAGACCTAGACAAGGACTCACAGAAGGTCAAGCAATACGTCCTGAAGGTGGCAGAGGACGAGAAGTTCCTCTTGATTTACGCAATGTTCAAGCTAAACCTCATAAAAGGCAAGACTATCGTATTTGTCGGCGATGTGGACAGGTCGTACCGCGTTAAACTCTTCCTCGAACAATTTGGTGTCAAGGCAATCGTACTCAATTCAGAATTACCGTTGGCATCACGAACACACATTGTGGAGGAGTTCAACAAGAACATCTACAACATCTTGATTGCGAGCGACGAGAACGATGTTGTGGGCATACAGGATGAGTCACGGCCGAAGAAGAAGGCAAAGAAGGACAAAGAGAGCAAGGATTCCGGTGTCTCTCGCGGTATCGACTTCCTCAATGTCAGCTGTATCATCAACTTCGACTTCCCAGGAAACTACAAGTCATACTTCCATCGAATTGGACGAACAGCACGAGCCGGCAAGTCTGGCACCGCTATTTCGTTCATCATCCCGAAGGACAAGTACCGCAAGCACAAGCCGACCACCTTCGCCGGGTGCGAACACGACGAAGAGGTATTGAAGAATGTGGAGAAGCATCAGCTCGAGGGCCAAAAGCTGGAAAACTACAACTTCGACATGAAACGCTTGGAACCTTTCCGATACAGGTTCGCGGATGCACTGAAGTCGGTGACCAGGATCGCGATCCGCGAGGCCCGTATCAAAGAGATTCACATGGAGCTGGCCAAGTCGCAGAAGCTCTCTAGATACGTAAGTCTCCCCATACAATATACTGCTGGGCAGAGCTAACATTGTTACAGTTTGAAGAGAACCCCGAAGCGCTCGCGCACCTCCGCCACGATCAAACCCTGAACCATCCCGCCAGGATACAACCGCATCTCAAACACGTTCCGGATTATCTCCTACCAGGTGGAAAGAAGCCAGAGGACGTTGGCTTCGTCGGCCTGAACATACCCAAAGTGAACAGGAAACAGTATGTCAAAGGTAAGGGCAGGAGGGTGGTGAGAAGGAACGGCAAGGTTGATCCATTGAAGACATTCAATGCGAGAGGCAAGGGAAAGAAATAGAGAGCTATTCACGTCTTTAGATTAGGTACACGCTTCTCCACGAAGGTTCATCATCAATCTTACGAATTGTAATAAATCAGTAGCGGCGTTTCGAGCCTTGTTGCAGATGACGAAGTCCGCTTCTAATGAACATTACTTTGCGTTATCTGATGTTGATGGTCGAGTTGTTTGGTGGGCGTGTGCCGACCTAATCCGCTAGAGCTTGAGCCGCTAGAGCTCCAAATGTCGCCTTCCGATGCGCGACTAAGGTGCCATCCCACCACACATGTACAACTTTGTGCATTCACGACCTTTATCGACGATCACCTTGCGGGTGTCACCAGCATGAGTTCGAGCCAATTTTACCGCCTATCAAGCTGCGACTACGGTCGGAAGCTCGCGTCAGACGACGATGGCAGCTACGCGCCACGCCTGTACGTCGTGTTACTCCTAGTTCGGGTTTTTGGCTTGATAGTCCATGCGCACATATCTAGCGACCGCATTCCTTCGGTCGCGAAACAGAGGAATCATTTGCGAGGCCGACATATACACGATGACGATCTCTTTGGAATGCAACAGCCACCACACCACCCACCTCCAATGTCCCGTGTACTATCCGATCGAACATCTCTCCTCCTAGTCGTGTTAGACACATGTGGCGTGCATGCAAAAGAAGACAGAGCCTAGCATTCATCATACGCATCACCCGCGAGGGAGTTACTCTACCCCCTCGATTCGCGCAACGAGCGAGGACACTAGGTTGAGGATGAAATAATGTCCAACTTGGTTAACGAAAACGTATTTAAGAGTTCTGAACACCGAAATGACAGTCCAAAGATGCGGCATTCCTCTCTTATACCAGCTTTCGAAGCGCTCAATCATTCTCCAGGCCGTTATGTTCATAATATTATGTGAATGACTGAAGAGTCGGACGATTGATGGGTGTACATCGCAAAAAGACGTATACAACGTATAGGAGAAGGGAACATTGAAAACATAGTCACCATAGAGAGGCCTGTCCCCGCAGCCATCTTCTTCGTACGATAGTCTGCACTGTATCGTACGACGGGCTAAGTTGGAGAGTGTTGTTCTGCTTACTAGGCCTCATCTTTATTGGTCCACTTCTGCTTCGTCTTCATCAGTCCAGTACTGTAGAAGTTTGCTCTTGTGGCTTGGGTGGACCCGGCCAATGTCTTTGACTTTGACATTCTTCTCAATCGGATACGTTTTGCCGAATCGTATGCGTGACTCCCGTCGTATCCGGATTGAAGAGTCAAGCGGTTCGATCTCTATAGGCTCCTTAATCATCCCACTTTCGTACTCGCCAGGGAGGTAACAGGACGCTGGATCAGTTCCGGAAAGGTAGACAATCGCATGTTCTGATGGGATGCAACCTTCCTTTAGAGCTCCACGACCAGAGTAAGTACCAATACCGCTGGCTTGAGTCAGCGACCAACCTCTCTGTCAAAGCTCCATCACATCTTACCAGGCATACACGAAACCCCGCCTGACTTCGACCACGACGAAACGGCGGATGTTGGTGTGCGCTCTTTCGTTAAATCGAACTACAGTGTATGCGTCATCATTTGGTCGTTGTGCAGAGGTTTCGCTTGCAGTCTCAGAGTAAAGCATTGCAAAAACTTTGCCCACTATGAAGAATGACTGAGCCTCGGATCCCGTCCGCATTTGATAAGCTGAGGTCGCAATGTCAGCTGGAAGATGAAACGACCTCGAAATACTTACTTGAGTCCAGAAGATCGCACCATCCGGTATGTGGCGTGCCTGAGATGAAGCCTTGCATTGCACGGGCATCTTGTGGCGCTGAAGAAAACGAATTAGGCGAAACATTTGTCGTCTATCGGGAGACTGTGACATACCAGGTTCGGGCATCTGTGCTACATTTGAACTATAATCTTGCTGGTAGAACGAGTCGTTCCTGGGACGCATATCTGGAGCGGGAGCTGACAGTTGTGTGCCCATCGTCTGTGTCTGTTTGTACCAGTGGTACACAGGGCGCCCTGTAGGATTCAGCGTGCACTCTTGGAGCCCAAGCTTGATGAGACACGGCAATACTAACTATAATTGTCGTACGTGACAAAGTAGTAATCCTGGTATGGCTCGCTCCATATCCAACTCGAGTTACTGGTGGACATGTCGAATGATGTTACTGAATAGCAATATTGGTGTCGCACGGATGTAGATACGATGGCGACCGCACGCCCAATGTTGACACAAGCTAGGTGTATAGGCTCAAGATATGGCTGGATAAGAGGTAAGCGAACTTCATACTTAGTAGTCTAACCTGCCTTTATACGACACAGAGCTCAACGTGTCAAGTGATGCGGCTCTGCGAATCGTCAAAGTGAATTGAGGAGGGTGTAGTGCGTACCGCGCCAGAAGGATTGCATCTTTCTCCACCTGAACGATTTCCTGCATATGCACTTCATCTGTTTTCACTCGCACATCAAGCACATGCGTAGGAGACAGGCGAGAATTCCACAATTATCTGAATACCACGACTGATCCATACATTAGACTGGTTATGCGGTATTGTAACGGGCCGAACGGTACCCCGCAGACTTCCAATCAAATACAGCCTGTGCTAGCCTGGCGCACGACGCAACCATTCGCGCGGCAAACAAAGCAAGTGCGTGCATACGCCCATCTTCCGATTTGCTTTGCATATGAAGGTCAGGCAGCGGGCTTCAGCTTTATGCTGTGCACGAATCTCCCGATCAGAAACGTGCTTGTTTGCGGCTGGCTTAGGTGTCAGACCGCCCCTTATTTGCCGCGAAACGCCATATGACGGCCACGTATGCCAGTTTTCGTCTTGGAGTCTGCTTTCCAACGCCGAGTCTTATCAAGGTTGATGTCCAGGTCATTTCAAGGGAGTTCCTGGACGGCCAAAACAAGCTATTACCACCGTCATGCAAGGAGGCAGCACCCTTTCGAAACGGAGTGTTTCTCAAGAACCTTTCCCCCGACAATCGTATGTGCCAGTCTTTGAGCAATTATGGAGCAGCAATATCCAGTAAAACATGAGGAAACCCGAGTATCGTATGTCGACGGAATCAATGCCTACACCCGACAACGGTTGGATGAGTTATCAGACTCTCAGATATGTATATCATCCGCCAGAAAGCAGCTGCTGATCAAACGAGAAAGAGTAAGAACAACTAGCCGCGTAGTCCAGCTGAAGCGGGTCGATGCTGGAGATGCAGAAGCCGCATTCATGAGTCGCTTAAGGGAATTCGTCAACAAACATCCGGGGGCGTTATCTGTTGCCTTGATGGATGCATACGACAAAGTTGAGCAAACTCGCGATGATCTAGGGGAAACAGAAGAGAATTACCTCGAAGCTGAACGGGACCTGGCGGGTGCCGAATGGAATTTCATGGACCAAGAAGATCGGTTCTATCAGTTCGATATTTATAGTGTCTTACCCGAAGAGCACAACGACGATTCCGCCCCCCTACAAGCACAGACGAGTGAGAACTCTCCACGTCTCACAGCCTTCAACACCTCTATATATCCAACGAGTTCACTGCCTCTAGATCAACTCTCAAGGCTAACGCTTTCGCCGCCGCCGCCGCCGCCTCCTCCTCCTCCTCCTCCTCCTCCTCCTCCACAGTCACCTTTTCTACCACGCGTGTCTTCTACTGTTCATATGCCAAGCGCTCTGCCTCCTTTAACCAATAACGATCGAGGATATGTCTATACGATAGCAAAGGTTGACACGTTGAAGAAGAAATTTGACCAAATACGACAAAAACGAGCTTGTAAGATTGAATGGGACGAAGGAGATGAAATCCTTTTTCCTGATGGGGATGATCTTCCTGTCGCCGACTTAACAGAGTCTACAAGTGAGTACGGGGACATTTTGCTCGAGATTTCTATTCACGAAGCGGAAGCTCAGCGGCTGAAATTAAAGGATATGGTCCCGGCGCTAGATGCGTCAATGTTAGGGAGACGATCTTCAGATCCAAACCACATCTCCCCACCTACGTCGGCGCGTTCGACATGCTCGACCGCAATGAGACGAACACAAACCGAGAGTGCCACTTTGTTGATGTATAGTGATTCTACTGTAAAAGAGAAGATCCGAGAGTGGTTTCTACTGTACCTCAAAGAAGGCGCATTACAGAAACGTCTGTATTTGAATACGCTTGAAGCTCACGATATCGCAAGCTCAAGTGAGAGTGATTGGAAGGTTCGAGCGACACGATTCTGGAGCAAGGATAGTCTCGTCGAGGGCGGGGATGGCACCGAATCTTATGCGGCTTCCGCCAACGAAACAGGGTACGAGCCTGGGTCTTGCTATAATCTGAGTGTTACTCAAAGCGCAACTTCTTCACCTCCGACGCAACATCTTCTAGAAGGAACTATCGACCGATCAATCATCGAATGGGAGGCTCACGAATCACTCGAGGTTCTGCAAGAGAATCGCAAGAACCCTTCGCCGAAAGAACCTCCTTTCCCGTCGCTGTCGCCACATCATCATATCACAGACAGCACGGGGATCCACAATGGAAAACAAACAATACATCCAGCCAAGCACGTTCCGAATGCACTGCGAAACGAAGCTGAGAACGATGTCCTAGCACATAAATTCGTAGATCAAACAACACGTACTTGCTTTGGCAATGCTGAGCAACGGAAAGATAGCGTCCAAAGTACAATCAAGAATCAGCATTCTGACTGCGCAATAACGAGCAAAGACGATCGTCAGGTCAGAGCACACCATTCAGCAAACGAACGAAATAGCGTCGAGATGAGCATGGAGACCACAGCACCTGATGAGGGCTGCGACGAGCAGCATCGAAACCAATCGGTCGAACTACATTCGGCATTTCACTCCCGTTCTGACCGTGGGGAAAATGCAAGCGTTGGATCGAAGTTCGATATCATGGCGCAGTCTAGTTCACCAAGGCCTTATGTACAGCTTCCAATGCCGTCTTCTCTCAATGACACGATAAAATCGCAGTCAACCAACACTCCATTCAAGCCTGACCCTCGGCCAGTGCCTCGAGAACGGAAAAGTTACGGCGGCTGGTTTCGTAACTTGCTTTCAGGAGTCAAGACCAAGCGAAGCAAAAGCACCCCTTCGATTGGTGAACTTCGTTCCGGAACCCATGCAAGGAATCAGTCAGTGGCGTAAAGGGGTCTCGTATTCTTAGTTTCGAGCCGTTCGCATGCTTTCTTGGCTAACCCTCTCGCTTTTTTTACCGACAATCGTCATCAGGTATTGTTCCAATACTGTATAGTTCAACGAATTAGGGCCGTGGAGGTGTGTCCTTCGTTTCCAAGCATCGCTTTCAGAACGATTTCTCGGCTTCCAAGATTTTCTCACAGGGCGGCAATTGGTTGTTGTATCTTGTCTTTCGATTACTTCAATGCATCCATTGGTTCACCAGCATACCCTGTCACTAAGTCCGAGAGCTCATGAAACTCCGGCTTGAATCGCGCTGATAAGCAGCTAAGAAGGGCAAGTAGTCAATCGCTCCACTCGTGACAGGCTTCATGTAGACGTGCACTCAGGCTGGGTTGTGCGACCACTCTATCGGGCTCAAATCACTATGTCTCCCTCTGACGGTGATCAGCAGGGCGCTCGCTTACATTACGTATGGGTGACCTATGCTGACTTCTGGTCAGCACATCGGAACCCGAGAACTTGGCCACCTTCGCTCTTTCGGCCCGATAGAAAGATAACTGCCGCTGCCACAGAATCACGGGTACACAACAGCCCTTACCAATGATTGCCAACCGCGCGATATGCCTAATATGGAAGGAGTTGCTAAAGCTCACCAATTGTGTATCGATGGGTATCGTATGTTAAGATGAGCCTCGGAAGTAGCGTCTGAGCTTTATTAATGGTGACATGTAACCTAGCGGCACGCATTTCGAAGTTTGGTCCGAGCTTATCACTCGCCTACTAAATCAGACGTAGAGCTGAGATGGAGAGCAGAATAATATGGTGTCGCTTGTCGTTCTGTCATGTACGGCCTCATCGATGAAGTTCCAACGGCCCGCAGCCCCACTCAATCCACCACGGGATGCAAGAGTGTGCCTAGCTCCCGTCTTACACGCCGCTCTAACGACAAGGCCAAAGGCTAAGACCAAAGCAGTGCATGCGCCATGCAAGGCTGGAAATATAGTCCGCCCTAATCATTGTACGAATTGCTCCGTAGCATAGAGCAAGGCGCCAAATACAACCCCAAGGATCGTGCGCGTGCCCAATATCCTGCAGCATACTTAAGTTCGCTAGCTGCTCGCCCGCTGCCACTTTACCGATTGTCGCCTTACAACCCCGCACAACCTGAACACGGAGGTGCTTTTATGCCTTGTTTTTTCGGTTTGACGATGCATCGTGTCGTAACAATCAACCAATGGCAAGCTTTAACTCAGGCTATTTGCTTATTCAGATGCGACTGGCAGCACGACGTGGGCGGATGACTAACTTTGCGACAGCAAGTGAGGCAGCTCTCCAGTAATAAAACTAAGATGATACACATGTCTTTCCGTTCGGTCATCGGATGTAATTATGTTGCGATAAGCCTACCCGATCTCACCAATCAGCCGTGCGCTGCGCCATCCACATCGGTGAGCGAAAGCGATACGGCTGAAAGTACGGCTGAATGTACTCGAAAGACTACTCGCCCGATAGTAGGGTAACCACAATTGAAAAATCTGTTGGTTAACAGTAGAATGAGATTCGTGGAGGGGATGAAGACTAGAATGTGATGTGGGTAAACGGGACATTTCCCGATTAAGACAATGGTCTAAGCGCGGTCGAAAGGCATGCGGCTCTGCTATCTATTGTCCATTGGTGGGAGGGAAGGTTGATGGAGGATATGCATGCGTATGTATGACTCATGACCAGATGTGCATGCAGGAAGGCTTGCTGGGTACGTGCATGCCGCTAAGGTAACGCGCTCTCCAAGTCGTGGCTGAGACTATTCATGTTGTGGCCAAGACGCCTCATTTACACATAAACTCTCGCGAAGAATCTCGATCGGGATTGGCTTAGTCATAAGCTAGTTGGTACGTAAGACCATGTCAAAGAATAGCCAGCTTGGTTTGAGTTCACCGACAATAGAATCGGAAGGCTCCAAGTACAGTATTGCGAGTCAAAGCATATATCTGATCATGAGAAGAATATCTCCATGCCTCATATCAATTTGCTCTCCCAGGAACTCATTGGGCTAATAAAGCCTGATTCACCAGTCCATGCTGGCTCGCTCCTTCCGAGGGTCTCGCGCTAGTAATCAGTCGTCACCATGAAGTGCTGAGGACCGTTCGTGCGGCTTCAGCTTGAAAGGCTCTTGTGGAATCTGGTATAATAGATTTGGTGTAAACTCTGCGGTAGAAAAAGTGGACGACCGGGGCGCTAACCACATATCGTTGTTTGGCCAGCCGTGTGAACTGCGACATTCTCGAGGACATGCTCCATGATACCCAAGAGCTTGAAGGTTTTCGTAGCTTCCTTCAAGCTCGACTGATCCTTTATCATACATGTTGTCGTGTCCAAGACTGTCATGCGGCCACGCCTTGAGCACGGATGAAGCCCCGTGAAATGGTTCTCCCGTGTGTTCCGCAATGCTTCTGTGAAGATTGTATATCTCACGCGGTGAGATGCGAAGTTGTTGTAATGTCCAGCGGTTTACTCTATCAGGTGTGCTTTCGAAGTTTACAAGATAGTCGCTGAGTATATTGTGAGTCTCATTGCTCTCGCCGAGCAAAAGCAAAGGATCGCCTTCTTCTAGCCCGGATTCACGGGATAGTTGTCCATAAAGTCTGGCATTGCATCAGTTATGTCAACCTAGTTACTCTTAGAAAAAGCCGAATCATCTTCGGGCCGCTCTTGGAGCATAGCATCAGTCCCAGTCGAACCCATTATGTCAGTGATCTAGATGCCGATGGAGCCAAGCGTGCTTGTCAAATGACTGAAGGACATTTTCTTATCTGTGAAACTGCTGCTGCGAGGTCTGGGTATATCAAATGATTCTAAAGATACGGTCCTTCTGTGAGAGCCTCCGGGCTCCCAAAGTTCTCGTGAGCTTGGCTTTAGCTCTCCGGCATGCCTTGGTAATTGACCGATCTCAAGATTCTCTCCAATCAGAGCCCCATGCAAGTGGTCTGTATCTTTAACGGAGGCTCTCTCGTCGACTGCAGAGGCCACTGACGAAGCCTCGTATTCAATTTCGGATGGCTCCTTCGGCTTAGTCGTTGGAGCTATATTGAGTCTGAAGAGATGCTCAAAACTTCCTTCAATTCTGGCGTACTTCTCAACTAGCTGGTGCTCTTTCGACCCAAGCATGATCTCAAGTGGTTCGTATTCAGATTTGATAGGTCCAATCTCATCCCGTACCACTTGCGATGCTTCGAAGAGATTGAGTACGACACGTTCGTCTGACGGAAGGCTCCCGTTGATTTGCTCGCGCAGACAGTTAATAAGCACCATATCGCATATGGATACGTGTTCTCTCAGTCTGTGTAGCTCCTTCCGCCTTTCCCGGACAGCAAGCCGCATTCTAACTAGCGAAGGAGTTACAACTCTCACATCTATAGCACATCACTCCTTTGCAAGTTCCGGCCCATCTCAACAAACCCCCGTAACGACACCGCCACTGACAAGGACATACACCTCCCAGTCCTATAACGCGAGATCGCCGACCAGACAGCTACATGGATCCACAGGACCTGGATACCATACAAAAATAGAGGCAGGCCATTATCAACAACCGCAATATGGTTATAGAACAGGAGTAGATGTGTCAAGAGATGGAACAAGTGCAGGGTTTAACTATACAACAGGGCCATACGGTTCGCCAAGCGCCCACTCGTACCCTTCGGCTCATGCTTCGATGACAACTGCTTCAGGAGGCTCACCATACCCGCAACAAAATCACCAAGCTCAGAACAGCTACCCTTTCACTCCTTCTTCACCAAGACAATACCAGAACACAACTTCAAGTGGAGCTACAGGGCAATTGCCGCAGTATCCGGTACCACGTCGATCAGTAGCATCCCTTCCCATTGACGTACAGTCTACTATACAAAGTCTTGATCGAACATATATTCATACGAATCTTAAAGAATGCTCTAACGATGAGCAGCTAGACACAAGTAAACAACGTGACGCGTGGCTCAATTAATAAATGCTTATGTGTCTCAGGATATCGACGGGTGGCGCAGCCGTCGCGTGCGACTTTCTTTGTTCGTGGCCGAGTAAGTTCGATTCACTAATCCGTAGAGTCATAGCACTGATCAAGTGCACATAGGTCTTCAAGATGCTTTGGATAGGGCTTACGGGTCGAGTCAACCCTGGCAAGACGCGCAACTCAACGCACTTCAGCACTGTGCGATTCACAGAAACAGCGTTTAGTGGAATACATCGTTTTGTTGTCGTCCGCAACAAAGGCCAATTGAGCCAGTGCATGTGCGTAGCTATCTCTAGAAGTCGTACCCTGTAGGCATCTAACAACTTCCGTAGTCTAATCCAAACTTATAGAGGCCGCAGCGCCGCAAAGCCAGGTCTGAGAATGAGTGACCACTGTGTCATTCACACCACGATAGCCCCCCTCCCCTAAACTTCTTCCAGGCGAGGTACTCACGAAGTACTCGATCCAAGTACAGTCCACAGAAGGAGAATACCTTGAACCCGAGAGCCGTGTTAACTATTGTAAGGCATATGCCGTTGAACACAACGTCAAAGTGCTCGACATGGGGATGGTAATAGAAGGTCGTCGATACCTAATCCAGGAGTACTTCGACGCTGCAATGCAGGGAGACTAACGGCATCGAAAGTCTTGCACTATACGCAAACTACTCGAACTCTCGTTTTGTTGTTGGAGTTATCTTGTTCTTTCCTAGTTGGAAAGTACTGCACCATACGCAGGCTTCCAGAATCACTTGTCGCACTTTTGACACTGACGGTTTGTTTTTCCATACTTATCTTCATTAAGAGACCAACTCACGACGCTGTCTCATAGCGCGCCTCGTGATCCGGTTGTCCAGCACTCCGATCTTCTCATAAATCCAAACGGTCGGGCACCGCTGGCGGCTCACTCGAATGATACCAATTTTATTTCTTTGCTTGGGAATCGACTCTCATACACGGCGATGAGTTTCCCTGCACAGTGACACGGTGTCACTTCTTGGCGTAAGCACGATCACGACACAGATATGGTGAGGTGCGTTGGGCTTGAGCTAGTGTACACATGCTGCTCATGCAGGCCGCTAGAGAAGGACCCAATACCCGCAGCGGAAGCTAATGTATGCTCATCATCGATCGGCGAGAAGCGAGGAGAATATGTGGAGATCGCGGTAGCTGCGGTTAAGGAGTGGGTGTAGGCTGTACATCATATTTTCAATGGAGCTTATCGATAAGAGAATCTTTGATCACTGCAGCGTCATTGGCTTGTGCTGAACGCGCCAACTTCAAGACGCGATCGTTCCTATCACCATCACCGAACACGGTAACGCACAAAACGAGTCCCAAGCTGACCGACCCAAGCATAATATACATTACTGCGCGAAGAGTTGCTCAGGTACGTTGCTCGTTTTGCACCGTTGCGTGCGAGAGTCGCCCAGAGGGGGCTGGTTGCAGATTTGAAGCACGCCTCTGGGTGCGCGAAATGAGAGTATTGACCGGCTGTGAGCACCAAGTCATGGCAAGCAAGATATTTGCGCAGTCGAATACGTATGACATCACGTCAATCAAATTCGGAACGCGTTGGTGACCTTCATAGGACTGCTCTTGCGTGAGCCGTGAGCCATTGCACCTTCCGTGTATAGGACGCCCTCAGAAGGTCCCAGGTGATGATACCAACATCGAAATCATCTTGTTCGTCGGTAGGGCCGGGGCTAACCTGAGGTATACACAGCGCTCTCTGAGCTCGGACAAAGCCAGCAATCTATCTTGATGGACTCACTGAAGGCAGACTATATCGCTAACGCGGACAACCGGGCGCGACCCGCATACAACAACACGGTAAAGATGTCATAAAGGGAGTCGTCGATGATCAGAAATTAGTGCAAGAACGAACGAAAATACAATTGCAACACCACGATTGAAAAGGGATGCGACAAGGCCATTTGTGATTATTGCATCAGGTCAGGACGGATATGCGCTAGGGTTGTACTAAATCAGGGTGTGTACAAATTGGCGCTCTTTCCTCGCCCTCTGGGAGGTGAAATCACTGTACAGATGCCGCGTTTTGGCTTTCGTAGTTTCATAAAATCGAAGCCTTTAACCATTACCTTAAGAAAACTTGTTGCCATGCCTCTCTATATCACCTTCGACATCAATAATACCAACAACCTTGCGAATAACAGAGATGAAAAAAACCAAGCCAAATGCGAGTAATTACAAGTACACCACCCCATCCGCTGGATCCGCCAAGTTGTGTCTCATCCATGATATAGACAACTTGGTTGGAAGGTCAAGATGGGCGTTGTCAACACCTTAGTGGTCAACGAAGTAGTGGCCTACACTGGAGAAATCGAATAACTTAACGTCAGGACTGGAGTTGATGGTAGGACACGATATTTGATACCTTGTAGAATACGAAGCAACCGTGAAGATTATAACCCAACGCGAAAACGTACCCTGGAGGCACTCGCTGTGGCCAATCCTTATCTGTCAGGAGAATGAAAGACTACAAACAAGTCTTGAGTACAGCCTAGAAGATATGAACTCAACTATGCTGGAGATTTGTACACTCAAGCCTGGCATGCGCATTCTGTGAACATTTACTCCGGCCACGCCCGGTTGTCCTACGCAAGCCACAAGGCTAGGCTACAAAGCTTCGACGTCATGTTGATCACTGACAGATGATTGGGAATTACCGTTTTCAGTATCGTATCTCTTCGGCTTTGGCGCGTACGTAGTACGGGGGTGTATCGCAGCTATGGCGGCGGCAAGCGCGCTGACGTGTTGTGAATCCTGTGACTCCTCCGCCTGTTTATGCCTGAAAACAGGCAAATGGCATTAATAAACAAAGCCACAAACATGGAACAACCCAATGCACGCGGGAACGTGCTTGATCCCATAGGTCGAACTACAATAGCTAGGCATATCCTGACATGCGCGTTTTCGGCATGACGGGTATTTTTACTTATGATCATACGCCTTCGTCCTCGTCACTTTTCGACCCCCACAGATAGCGATATCCAGAGGGTAAGCAAGCACTGTAATCACTTTAGCACTCGAACAGTAATGTAACGGGGCTGCATGCATCGGCCGGGCACGACCGCGGGACGCTCGTTCCCGCGCTGGGTCTCAGCTGGTCGCCCTACCAAAACGCGACCCGCCATCGCAAGTTCACCGGAAACCTTAGGCAATGAAGGACCGATACATGACGAGAATAGCTAGATATGATCGCATTTCGCCACTGAACTAGACACAACTCTATTTGAACGTCGCAGCTGCATCAGAAAGGTAAAAAGAATTCTGTGCATTTTGAGGTGCTGAAGTGCAGACTAGGCATGTGAAAGTCTCAAGTGCCCGGTTCCGCTGCAACCGGCCTCCCCGCAGCTAATTGGATTTATTTATTCGCGCCTCACAGTCTCGTCGCCCTGTGCAGCCTGGTCCTTGCTCGATTGCCTTCTCTTGTAAGACCACCGATACTTGTAAAACCTGGCTGTTTCGTCTTCAGTATGTGTGTCCAAACAGCATGGCTCCTACGAAGTACTCTACTGTGCTGGGTATGCTATCTTCCCCAGACATGGTATGTATGGCTGTTGGAGGAGTTGCTGGGGCTGAAGCTTGCAAGTGCGGGGTACGACCGCGATTCTTGAGCAGGCGATAAGATGTTATGTGCTGCAGACTGCAGGTCATCTCCACATGCGCATAATTCTGTCAAAGCGGCGCTGGTTTCCTCACGATGGTGACGCATGGCAGACGCCTATGCGTCGCATCTGTACGTCAGGACTGCGGCTGGGTGCACTGGAAGACTGTCTGCCCGACCCATAGCTGCGATCGATTGGCTTTGGCTGTAATTGCACGACTTTCTCTACAGGCAACTCCGCTCAAGACTTACTCCCTGGTCGAGATTCACACGCCGAGTGGCAGCTTGATCATATGTAGGTCCAGCGCAGCCACTCGTTTACTGGCCGTGCACGTTTCAATGATGATTTCGAGTGCTTAGGGGCCAAGAGAGCGGAAGACAATGGGTCGTAGAACAGGTATGTCGGGTCTGAGCGTGGAGAGGCTCAGATATCGTGATTCAATTGGCGAAAGAATGTAAGGTAAGTGTTGCGAGCCTGTTGCATTGCGCAGGCTACGGGCAATGTGTTATAAAAGTGTTGCCTAGACACTTACATACTATGATTCGCTCAGCTGTATGGCTGCTGTCTGCCGATTGCTGTCCAGATTGGTAGTCAACGTGCCAGGATACTATGAAATGAGTTTCCTACAAGAACACTGAAACTGGAATAACTGTATACAAGTACAGACTGATGTTGTATATAGTAACACGAAGATCAAGCCGACACAAAGCAGAAAGAGAAAGGCCATCCCAATATACAGACCCAACTCCGACTACAAAAAAGAAACCCCTATATCGAGCGAAACTTTGACGATACTCCAATAACTAATGAAACTTGTGCTGTAAACGAATGTCGAAGGCGAGGACTTTTATGACCTGAAGTCAACTTAGTGTGCAACACTAGAGTCCTTCCATTTAATTATACATGGTATCGCATGATAAGCATACATGGTCCAGATAAACCTAGCAGAAAGAATAGTAAAGAAACCAAGCAGAAACGTGAAAGCAACACAATCAGATACTGAACAGACTACATTACAAGACAGAAGCCCGTCCTTGATGTTGGGTCCTTGGTTTGTGATGGCTTCAGAACTGGAGTGGCAGACGACGAAGGATTTTCCAGTTCCAAGCATTGTCGAAACATAGTCTGAGTGTGACTAGACAGTCTTCGACGGTGGTTTCGATTGTGGGGGTCAAGAAAAAGCCGCGAAAAGTTGTCTGGCGAGAAGAAAGTGTTTTTAGGGTTCATTGGTAGAGCCATAACTTTTGTGGGCTCTGCTTTCTTGAATTCAGGAATAGTATGTCGCTTTTGTAGGCGAGTTCGATTCCGTGGTCTCTGGAGTCCGCTCTTCTGGCGCGAAATCCCTGGTATTGTGTTCTGGTTAATCTGATCCATCCCGGCGCGCTCGATGTGTCTTGGCGCGTCGCTGAACGATAACGAGCGGGTATATTTGGGATAGTGATAGTGACGTTGCGAACTAGCATCACTGTCTGTGGCGATGCTTCTGCGTAACATACGGCGCCTTGGCGACTGCGACGTGACTGCTAAGCTCGTAGCTTCTTTGCCTGTAGTAGCGGAAAGCTTACGGGGCATTCGCGCTTGATCGTTCGTCTCTTGGTAGTCACTTGACTCTCTGATACTTAGTAGAGCGGCTGTATCAGTTACAACCGAAGACTGTATGCCAAGAAGCATTTGGTCTGTGCCACAAGACCCGAGGATGAAGGACACTGAGCTCGACCCTTCGTCCGTAGATTCGGATACATGTCGGTCTATATCATGGTTGAAAACTGTAGAGTCGCCAGTATGGAAATAAGTAGAATAGTCTTGGATCAAAAGCCATTTGGTGTGTTCCCACCATGTTGTTGTGTCTGCAAAACCAAAGTCATGCACCGCTTGCAGGCACAACTTCTGGAGAGGTGAATCCTCCACGATATCAAATACCCACTCATCAATGTCGTTCATCTTCTCCACCCAACGCAAATGGTTATGTGTCGGATGAAATCTGTTCGCACTCTTGGTTTTGACTAATGCCAAATCGCTCAGGTTGCTCCATGGTGAGCGACGTTGCGGGGATTTTATTCTTGCACTATGTGGGATTATGATATCTTGCTCTGCTAGGAACGCGGATAGCTCCTCGATGGATCTGGTGCCTGTATCATCACCAGAAGCTGTGAGGTCCGAGATCGACGGATCGTCACTGGTGGGACGTGTCATCGAATGTGTCAATTGCAGGATTTCCAGATTCTCTGCACTTCGACTTCTGTCAAGTGTATCGCTTGGTACGAGTTTGTTGTTCAAAAGCTCTTCGACGAACCTTGTCTCTCTGCGAGAGTATTTCCACTCTAGTGTGTTGTAGTTGGCTTCGGCTTCGTCATATCCAGCTTCTAAAAGACCCAGCCGGTCTCTCAATAAAGACGCGTCAGTGAGAGCATTCTCGATGTCTCCAGGCAAATCAGCACCTATCTCATTCAGATACTGGCGTAATAGGTTGAAAACATAGCCATCCTTCGCACCCGTCTTTATATGGAGATCACGGAGCTCTTTGCGCTTCGCGGCCACGGAGAATCGTGCACCCACCAATTTGTCACGAAGATCCCGCAAAGATTGCTGCTCGTTATCCAGTTTATCCAGTGACGCACTCCGTGGTACTACCGGCGTTAGATTCGAACGACGTTCATCTGGAAAGGTCATTAGATGTGGTGGTGGTGGTGGTGGTGGTGGAACGTTCAATTCAGTGGTTGAGATTGGCGGCGGTGGCGGAGGAGGATAGATCATTACGGGTGGTATCTTTGAACGAGGCTGAGCTGTATCGTTTTGTAAACCACTGCCGTCGTTGTGAAGCCCCACGGGTCGAGTATTGGGAGAGCTTTGTTCATCATCATGAAGAAGGTTTCCCTCTGGTGACACCGCCAAACACGGTGGACGTGCAGGACCTGGCAAATTCGGCGACCCAGTCAATTCTTCGGACTTCGGACTCTCATTGACAGGTGCTATGCTCATTAGAATGGTCACCAGTCATTGAAGTGCTGGAGAACAGTATGCACTATGAGCAGACAGCTCATACTCACCAGTGAGTTGCGGTTCGCACTGCATTCCTGGAGAGGCATCAGACGTTGTTATGTTGGGGGGCTGAACTAGACTGAGTATGAGGCAGGATGCGGCAGCAGCAAACGTATTATCCGGTTGTAATCTAGCCGACGCCCGACTACATATGCTGATCCGCAAGGGGTAAGCTCAGGCCAGGTACTTCGGATTGGTGGGCCCAAAAATGTGGCACTCATTTATGCCACGCCCCCGATAACAGCGTAAAGCAGCGTCCGCAGGGTGGTCGCCAAAGCGTGCTAGCCGACAAGCTAGTCTTCCTGGGCGCGGGCACATGCCCTTCGCGAGCCTGTCGTAGCCTGGCCCGCGCGCCAACGCATCCTGCACTTTCACTCTATCGCCATCTGTAGGAGGGTCGCGTCGGCATCATGTCCATTACGATAAACGACTTTGCGTTGATGCATCCGTATAGTATGCGGCTCTGCGCGATCCAGTCATTTGACCATACGTACATAAATACCTGCAGCGCAGCGTTGTACATACCATCTAAGTTGTCGCGCACGGATTATGTGGCACCACTTACGCCATGTCACAACCACAGTCTGAATGGAACGTCCATTTCCAGAGATACCTTATCACTCTATGGGACCCACAGTACGAGCGCAATTACTGGAAGCATTATGTTGAAGGTCCGTGGCCGTGTCCCAGTATGTACCTCGGCTAATCAGAAGTAGGCCAAGGTTGGGTATTCTTCGACTGGGTCCCTTTACACACACGCAGCGACTCTCTGCAAACAGTGACACCATCCGCAGGCGGTCCCGCAGGTTACGGGCGAGGCGAAACGATTCAGGGTAGCTATCATCCGGGGAATCCACAACTTAGTAGCCACTATGAGTCGCTTGATCCTTGTTAGCATCCGGGTGTCCCTTTGTCAACATGATACTGACGTACTATAGCTTTCTACGTCAGACCCGGTGCCTTTTTCGAGGAAGGAAAGGTGAGTCACATGGGCCTATGGTGAGGTGAAGATTGCTTACATCCCTACAGGTCTTTGCCGTTCTGTTCACTGAGTCGGCGGGTGCTAACGCCCTGAACCCTATGGCCGACTACAACACCAATCTCTCTAAAGTAAAATACAATGAATACGTACACACCCAGGTACGAAGATTTATCGTCACCAGACGTAGACGTGAGTTCTGCTTCGCCGTGTATGCACACCCTCAATCCTGCTCGGTGTTTCCACATGGCTGATGTTGGACAGCCCGATATTCTCTTATGGCAACAGGGGCACCACCAAACGTGGGGTGGTTGCCAGTGAGCATGCCATTGCTTATTCTTTTGGAACGGAGCCGCAACTGGTATATGGTGAAGTGCCGCTCATAAAGGCTCCAATTCCTATCGTCATGGACGCAGACGCCGATACGCTAGTTCCAGCATCCAGGATATACTTCGCCATCCACCACCCAATCCAATATAACGTCAAGGTAAAAAGCCTCGGCCATGTGCACCCTGATTACCTGCCTACCTTCCTTGGATACTGGAACCAGGAAAACTCCGATTCAAGGCAAGACTTGGATGTGACCAACAATACGGACGATGTCTGATACGCAACGCCTTGACGGGTCAACCACTTCTTTCTTACGATTAACTATCATACGTTTCGGGTTATGATTTCCTTACACAACGACCTTGCTTTTTTTTTTTTAGCTCGCTTCCGCTTTGTTGCACGATATCTACGCGTAGTTGGTCCATTTCTGTTAAGATACGCTGCTCACAAATAACGTTTCATTAGTCTTAGTTAGTCGCAAATACGATTCATGAAAAAAAATGCAGCGCCTTTCTCACTGATTAGTTATCTCTCGGCAACGCCCTTGAATTTTACTCAAGCTTCATGATGTCGTAACGAAACCCAGGCTGCTACATGGTCCGGCCGAAAAAGCGGAACAAGTCTAAACCAAACTATTCTCGACTACCCACGGCTAGTCCAAGCATATACACTGCTCTTTGCTGATCTGGTGTACATCTTACGCCTATTCTGGATCTAGAGATAGTGAAGATTTTTGCTAGCGTCTGCAAAGGACCTAATCGCCACCATCGGCAATCAACCCCTGATTTGCGGGCAAGAGCAAATCCATGGAACAAACAAACAGTCGATCCTCAAAGAGAGAACTAGATGGGTCGAAACCGTCAAGCTCAGCTTGGATTTCTAGAGCGCGCTGCGCTTCTGGTAAGCTGTAAACCCAATCGGTGAACAACGTGCACTCGCCGAAACAGCTCCGCACAGTTCGTTTGTTATTGACTATATCCAACACAGGGTCATACCAAGCGGAACGATCGCCCAGTTCATTCACCTGGTAAAATTGTCTATTGAACACCTGCAGCGCATGGGCGTCCGCCTCGAGTTTACTGATGTACTGTTCGAACGTTTCAAACTCTCCAATTGAAGCGTCCATTACAGGAAGCAGCTCATGCCTTAGCGCAAGCATAAGCTTGTCCGCCTTAGCAGCTGATGGAACATGTTGCGCTCGTGTGCGAAGTTTAGTGAGGCGCTTGGCTATCTCCGTGAGAGGAGTAAAGATACCTTCATAGCTGTCATGAAGAAAAGCTTTTTCAAGATTAGCGTAATGATCCCTGAAATTACGTTCATAGGAAAGACGGGCTGCACGCTCTGTCTTGTGGAAAGCAATCCCTGCATCTCTATAGCGGTCTTCAAGGTTGCTGCACATCCGTAAAAGACGATCAGCGCCTCCAACAACGTCTTGAATACAGGTGCGGGCTTTTGCGGCCACCTCCTCGGCTAGCTCTGGGTGTATGGAAGTGCAGTTCAGACACATGGTGGCTCTTTATCTGATTCTCTGCGGTGCCGGTATGCTCGGTTGAACTGGGCTGGGTGGTTTCAGGTGTACTGTCCTGAAGGCAGTGAAGAAAGATTCCGCATCAATACAGCTTTTGAGTCTGCTACACTGAGCGTTATGCAAACTCATGAACTGCAATATAAGAGTCGTCGACATTGTGTACTTACTTGTCTTCATTCGTCACCTCAGCGCCTTCCTCTGTTATCGTCACGAATGTCGAATGCAACATAAAGAGGGTATCCTGTATAGTGCTACAAATACAAATCTATGTTGTAGGATCATCACTATTGAAAGTGTGGTCACGTAAAAAGCCGCCCTTCCATGGTTGCTCCGTTCCCTTCTCATACCCATCGTCTCGTCACCGTACAAAGTTAGGTGGCGTCAATTACCTTTGTCTACTGATCTAGCCAATTAAGTGTATGGTGATTTTGAGCACGCGTTAGCGCGAATGAAGCATAAGGTGGGGAAGTACGAGATGTACGTTGAGCTTAAAACTCTTTGCGTTAACCGACCTGGTTTAGAAATTACTCTTGAAAAGGGTGGTACGATGAATGTAATGCTGTTCCGGAGCGACATGCCTCGTAGAGGATCTGATTGCAAGGGCAAAGATTGATCAGTTCTCAATACCCCATCGACGTGCCTAATGACTAATCCATAAGTCTAGAAGAGAATGCTTTAATGAAATAAAGTCTCGTCTACTACATAGATTTATGTAGTTATTTTTGTTATTTTAACCGTATGCTGTAGGGTGCAACACTAGATATCTCCATCGCATCCGTCCGCCAACACACTCCAGTATGCGTCCTCTACAATACCCTCATCTCTCAACACGGCATCGACGAAACCTTCCGTGTAGTCGGACTTCGATTCTACCATGCCATACTCAATTTCCAGGAAGGTCTGTATCCATATCCGAAATAGGCCTCCTTCGCGGCTGTGCTTGGCGGCCAAATTGACGCTTCCGTCGAGTTCGGAGCGCTCGGTGAGGTTTGCAACTTGTTCTTCGACCCATAGCAATGCAGCCTCCAGGTTGCACAGTGGCTTTGGCAGCTGAGATAGCACGACTTCAAATCCGGACTCCAAAATGCGAAGCCGGTCGACATTCTTTGGTGTGGTCTTGTTCGCTTTCAGTCTAGTCAATATCCCATTAACAACATTGAAGATCTCATTCCATGGGCGGAAGAATGACTGCTGAGAACGCGGACGATCGGTCTCGAAAACCTGGCTTAGACGTACTAGAATAACCTTATCGATCTTGGGGCCATGGACAAGTGTTGAAGAATGTCGCAACGCATATGGAATCTCGTGATACGCGACTCCAGCAATCCGAAATCGGCGCTCAAACTTGTCGAGCTTACTGAGCCAGGAGAGCGCCTTGGGCTTTGACCAATCTAACCAGTCTTCATACACTATGACAGTAGCCGAGTGAGCTGTGTTTGCGTCCTCGAATTGCCAGTCATAGGGTAGACGCTCAATCCACATTTCCATACGGTTATTCTTCTCCGGCGATAAGCGTTGTCCGTATGTCTGTATTGACGCGATAGCCATTGCGTACTCGTTCGCGATCCCGACACGATTCCGTTCATCCGGCTCTGATGTTGAGTAGTCTCTTCCCACTCTATCAAGTGTCTTCTGCCTTTTAGAAGATGCTAAGCTCATGATATGATTGGTGTATCTATATCCTTATTACGGCCACAAGTCCAACGTGTTCACGCAGGTTGGGAGGGCCGAATCCAGGAAGGTGGCTAAGTGGTGCGTGTAGGTGCAGCAGCAAGCATCGGGTATTCGTTTGTTTTTGTGATGGAGGAGCATCTGACCGTTTGCACATTGTGGCATGTGCATGACGCACCCGTAGTGAATGCGACTCTGATCATGGCGGTGTGTCCGCAAGAACGATATGAAATGAGATGTATCGTATCGGGTGAATCACGGGTGTATCCTATGCTGTCATTACATGTGAAATATAGCGGGTACCCATCATGTCAACTGTTCGGGTCGGAGAACGTCCTGTCCCAAACCAGTTGAAGAAGTGCTCCCATGATTGGCAGTTTACTCAACAAGCCGGGCAGGAAAGATACGTGCGAACCAGGACTATACATCCTGGGAGATATCGAGTAAAGGAGATAAGAGATTAGGCGCACTTGGTAGCCTTCTCGAAAGCGATACTCGTCAAAGGCTCACCCGCGACCTTTGATGCTCAACAGAGTCTCTTCATGGAATGACTCTCCCTTCATATAGTCATCAGACTTGGATCTTGAAACATCGGCGTCGACAATCTGACCCATCTTGCTGCGATGATGTGAAGCGGGCGATACATGTCATCAAAACTCCACGGCAGTTTGACGGTCTCCAGAGTCATGGAGTCCAATGATCGATGAGAAGAACGAAATATTGAACCTAGGCCGGGGAACGAGGAACGAGATCGATCGGTGCTCGCAAAGATGCGATAACGTAGATACTCCAGCGGATAGGGCCTGAGGATGCGACAGTCGAACTCCACGCCTACTAAACAACTCTGGAGTGCTACGTGGACACGGCGGATAAGCTATCGGGTGATCTTGGTGACGTCATTCTCCGTTCATTATACCACCGTGGCTGATATTCGGCGAATCTGGATGGGAAACGACCACTTCAACGTGGTATGCAGCAAGGAGGCCGTTTCACATCTGCGCATTGCGCGTGGGTGGAGTTGTAGCCAGTTGGCAGGACAGGTCCGCGAAATGACCGGACCAGTGACGTAAGGGCTAGCGACTCATTTGCATGTGACATGCACGTCAGACCTCAGGGCATACACACTGCTGGGCAATCATTGGAAGTAACGAACTATTAGGCAGAATGATCAAAACGAATAGGCAAATTTCATTAATCATCAAATATGTACCAGAAGCCAACTATATGCCCTATCATCATCTCCCAAATCCACCCGTCATCCTAGGTCTATGAACAAGCGTATACAGAAGCACAGAGAATATGTACTCATCACATCGTGAAAACACCTAGCATCGGGTGCATGCGCTCACTGGCCGCCAACAGCGATAGTAAATAGCTGTGGGCTACCATCGAAGATCGTGCCAGCAACATCCTGGCCACCGTCCGGAACAACGTCATCGTACGGGAAAGCATACCCACGTCCATCCTTCTGAACTTGATGAACGATACGCGAATAGTGGTTGGTCGTCTGGTCCTTGTAGTACTGGCCTGGGTTGCTGCCGTTGGGAAACTGATTGCCAGGTGTGTTCAACAAAATGCTACGATTGAATGCAGCAGCGAGTCGAGGGATGACCGCGTTGCGCGCTTGATTCGACCCTGTTGCAAATGGCCCGGTGCTACAGGTAAAGATATCTCTAGCTGAAGGTGTGGAGAAGTTGCCTGCTTCACCTAGTTGGAGCTCGTTGCCATGAACACGACCCTTGAGGTTACCAGCTGCAGCCTGGGTGTTGATAATCATGTCTTCATTGCGGTACTTGTTCCATACTGCCTGGATGTAACCGTCCCAGTAGTTGCCCCAAGCATCCGCGTTTCCGACGAGTAGGTTGTTTGGACTCAGCACTCGCAACGGCTGTCCGTTGGCCTCGTAGATCAGCTTATCCCAAGGTCGACCATCACGCTGGGCTTGCGCGCGTAATTCTTCTATGACTCTCCGCATGCCATCAGCTCCCATACCAGGCACTGTTTGAGTCTTGCCCTGGGTGTTGGTCAAGCTGAGCGCAACAGGAATGCTGACAAAGTCGACATAGCTGATATTGGCGAACAGCTGCGCGTCGTTGTAAGTGAACTCGCAGAAAGACCAGTTGATGTTGAAGTTAGGGTCGCTCGGGTTGGTCACACTGGGCTCTACGACTGCAGGGCCTGGGTTGAGGAGGAAGGTAAGCTTTGCGCCGATGCTAAACCAGATACGTCCGCCGGCAATCTTTGGGATCCTGACATTGACAGTATTTCCGGGAGCTCCAAGTGGAATGGCAACATCGGCCTGGAGCGGTTGCTGAATTTCTTGAGGCGCTGTAGGGTAGTAGATGGACTTTCCGTCTGCTTGCACAAAGAGGGGAGTATTGTTTCGCTCAAGAGCAAGGCCAGTAATGTACGCGTATACGGTGCTAGAGTTGGACTTGTTCTGCAGTGCAAGCTGGAGAGTACCGGATGCGGCTTCAGCTAGTACTTGTTGCTGTTCGCTGTTGGCTTGTGGTGCGGCTGCGCGCTTCTCGTTCTCGGTGTTGGCGGGCGTCACGCCGTTCTCTTTCTTGCTGCGGTTTTGGAAACTTTGGCGACGCTTGTCGACGAAGCTCTTGAAGGCTTTCATGGTAAAGTGCGTGGCAAGTAGGTAGGGTAATAGAGAAGCCCGTGCAGATATGAGGTAAGTATAATGCGATTTGCAAGTAAAAGAGGAATGCTGTGAATATGAATGATGTTGTAAATTGCAACAACAGCGAGTACGTCACACAAGATATATTTTCGACCTGTTATAGTCAATACCCCTAAACGCGTTAACTTCCTAGATTTCAAGCAAGGTGTGAATGCAGGGTCCAGCTGATGTCACACATGCGACGAAATTCCAGGGCGGCGCTGCACGTGCAAACCGGTAACATTAGCGATCGCCGACTCACCCGCCTAGCGTCAGCAATTTTCCGTTAGCAGCCAATCACATTTTGTTCTCAACACCACCATCTCGCGATCTTCAAACCACGCGTGGCGCGCTCGTGGCACCTGGAACTGACACCTGAATTGTGGGGTGCAGTGTAGGTGGTAACTTGGGACTGGTATTGGACGACGCCAGGTCGGCGGGTTAGTGTTAGAAAGGAAGGTATTAATGAGCGGCAAGCGGAAGTACGCGATGGTTCGCGACTGCATGTTGCGAGGAAGCCTGTCCTTTCTACACTGTGTCCTTTTTGAGGCGCATCTGTTACTGAAACATATCTGAACGTATTAACCGTGGTTGATGCTGATTTAATTTGAATGACTATGAAGACGTCTGTACCTTTACAGCAGTTATAGCTATAATACAGGCTGAAAAAGAACCAGCTCCTTTGTACAAATAACGTAAAATCAGCAGTCAGGCTACATATGCTTGGACAAGGGCCTCGAGGCATGTCCACGAGTGTGTCAATAGATGATCTGCGATGCCAAAAGGGCAGTCGTGCGAGCCAACGTCCTGCAGCGCTTCAAGGCGTCGTAATCACTCGCGCATGATTGCTTGTGTCACACTGTCGATGGTTTTAGACTGGGGATCAGAATGATGCACCACCTCCGAAAGCCATGCCATTATAGTTGTTGTAGCTTTCATCACCCCAGATACCTCCAGCCATGTCGAGGAACTGCCCCATGTCGAAATCAGCACTCCTCATGAGCGCAAATGGGTCACTGTTAGCCTCGTTCTCGGCTGGCATATCAATGTTGAAATCTTCCATGTAGTGGGTGCCCGGTAAGTTGTTGTATTGATCGCCCGCATGGTGGGTTGAATGCATTCTTGGTGCGCCGGTGATAGGACATAAGCTTTCGCTTGCACTTTGCTCGATTGAGCCGCTGGGTGTAGGTACTGGCGGTGTCTGGCTAGGCCTCTCGGGTCGGATCTTGCGGATGTACCAATTTTTTGTCAGATCATTGATCATACGCATAGCGTACCAGAAGTCAGGGTGTGGCCGCTTTATCTTGTCGAATGTTGATAGAGTCTGCATCCGATAGCATAGTGACTCGAGGCAAAGATCCAGGCGAACCCTTTCCTGGGCGGCTTGGGTATCCCAGCCAATGGCCACATGGTTTTCAGTCGGTATGCATAGTTTCGAGACGGTCATGATCACCGCTGGTAAACGCATCCATTCCGAAAACGATATCAAGTGATACTCCTGAGCTGGAAATGAAAGAAGTGTATCCAGGAACATTTTGCCGGCCTCTAGAGCTGAGAGCAAACTATTGATCTGCGATGAACGTACCGACGCGGGTAACTCCGAAGGTGACGGGCGGAGGGCTACGCTGTGTAGTTGCATCTTGGTATACGAGAAAGAAAGTTCGAGCAGTCTTTGTGATGCGACGCAGCTACACTCTCTCTTCCACGAATCGAGTTGTACGTCTATGAATCGTACATGCATCAACGCTCGCCCGTCGGACAGGGGCAGTTGCAAAGCATCAGCTGTGAATAGCGCATCTTGCACTTGGTCATCGATTTGCCGTAAGGAAATTAGGAGGCTAATGGTCTCGTCGGTTTCGTACTCTCGATCCTGCTTCAAGCTCTGCGCCCACTCTGTCATAACGGGGGTATGTTTTAGCAAATTTGGCTTCTGTAAACCTGCAGCAACCCTGTTTTAGGTCAACATGCGACAGCAGAAATTATTAATATGATGACCCACATGGAAGAGAGGTAATAACAACCCAGAAAAGCACGGTGTCTCTCGCGTTGCTCCCTAGGTGGTGGTGGTGGAGCTTTGGGTCGCTGCGGCATTGGAGAACCTATAGGTTGGAAGTCTTGGTGCAGACCAATGTCGAGAGCCAGTCCTATTACGACATTGTGCAAAAAGAAGATCTGCTGTGTTTTGTGGCTGAAAACAAAGTGATACCTGTAGTAATTAGTATATTCTCATGGATTGTGGGCACTGACATACCATGACAGGTAGACTAATACACTTTGGACTAGACCCAACGTCCTTCGCGGTTGGATGATGGTTCGGTTAGCAAATTCCATACGAAATATGCTATCAAGCTGCATCTGGCGTGTGTGGTCTTTCCACGACGACACCAGAAGGACCGCCAGCAAGAGCATAGGCCTGCTCTCATGCAACTGCTTACTTGTGATCTGCGGCGGTAGCATCACGAAAGGGAACGTTGCCGACATGTTTCGAAAGTCATTTAGCAGCACATCAGCTTCACCTGATATGAGCAATTGCTTAACAATGTCGTGTTCGATGGGAGCTTCAGGACGTTTTGAAGGCCTAAAGAAGCCGTCAAGAGCCTGTGGGACATCTTCACGATCATCACTGAATCTGTGTATGCTGCGGATACTCTCGAGATACTGCCGATCAACCTCAGCACTGTCTGACGCGTCCTGAGTATTTCTCTCAGATTGCATGGCGTTGAGCTCGAAAGATGGCGTCGGCATCCAACTTCCCGGCGCAACGTTGAGTGCTCCCCGATTTCGCCAAGCCTCAGCTCTCGTCTCTCCAGGAGTCGGTTGCGATGCACTTGCAGAGTCGGTTGCCACTTCATTGTCAGCAGCCACATGGACGAGTTTAGCTACGAGGCCATCGATCTTCTGCTCGACCTGCGCAATTCGGCTGCCAACATGATAAGTCAAGACCTAAGATGGACAGAAGACGACTTACGAGGGCGCACGCAGCTTCCTGGCCCTTCGTGGCGCTTCGGCCCAAGTACATTCCTTGCCGGCAGAAAAACATCTTGCAGATAGTTAGCATCTTCAAAACAACGGGATCATGTGGAGCAACGGTTGGACTTTTGACACGCTGATTGGATGGAGTGTACCTTTGGCATAGTCCAGATTGGGCGCTCGGCAAACATCGCGTCTTTAGATTGCGACATCGCTGGCAAGCCTGAGTAGTTCGCGATGAACCCGCTCTCGCAGCGGAGGATTGTTCAGTGTCTTCCATCCGATGCGATGGCGCAGGATCGATGCAGGTGCGAAAGGAGGGCGAGTGTCAGACCAAACCCGGGACGGGACGAACGTTAACATCCGTCCCGGGGCCGTTTCGATGACTCATCGACGCTAAACTTCTAGGAGCTCACTGGACAGACCGATAGCCATGGAACGGATACTTTCATCGCAGTTCGCAGTAGATCTCGCGAAACCATTTGAATTAACAGTCCCTGATGAGACACTGACCCTTCGCGCTTTAGAAGTTTGAACGGTTTCTGCCCCACTTGGGCACCGTCGAAGACCTGTCTCTCTGACCCTCCTGAACCTTAAAACTGCCAGAGAATTCCAATTCATGGATGTAAGCGTATGCTCTATGCTACGCTTTGATACAACCTTCAGCCAATTTTGAAGTGTAGCTTTGACGCCAATCGCCAGCCGTACCAGAGCGTTGCTCCGATCGTAAGGAGGTTCAAATGTATACTCATCGCATGGGCCCTAGAGAACGCCCGATTAAGGACCTTCATGTCGTCGCTCATGGTTCTGTTGAGCTGCGCTTTGCCATCGCGAGTTGCTAGTCCATACATCAGCGATCAACGGTCGTTCCAAGTACCCTGTAATGCATACATTGGTGTACCCTTTCGATCATCAATTGTTTTGTTCTTGGCCCCAATACAATCAGATTAAATCCCGCAGTGACTCCAGCAATAACGAGAGTGATCCAATCACTTCTCGCTCCAAACATTGAAATCGGCCCATGAGGCGGAAATGTCGCTACGACGAGGAGCAGAAGGATTGACTGGCTTTGGAAGTATATCGGAAAGACGCGCTTCTGCAAAGTCGTGAACGCTGATCTAGGGAGGGCTTGATAGGCCACCTTGGTCATTACGAAACTCTGATACAGCTCGGTCCCGAGCAGTGTGGAATAGGCCAGAAGATGGGCAGGTGGAAGGATGGCCATGGAAAGCCCAGGCAAAGAATGCATAGCAGCGCCTATCTGGTGTTCGAACGACATAGTGTACCCAGGTACGTAAAGGCTATTTAGAAAATAAAATAGCTGGCGGCATCAGCAAATGTTTAACGTGCGCTGCCGCCTAGCATGACGGATCTAATCGGAAGTCGCATAGCATCTGTACCCGCGTCGGTGAGATCCCTACGACGATTGTGAGCAAGTCTGTACTGCGAAAAGGGAGCTTGTGTAGTCATTCTAGTAGGGCTATTATTCATACACCCACATAGCACTCTTATTGTGCTTGTTCATGTCACGCGGACAGCGGGATGTGTCTAGGCTTCATTCTGGCGATCGGGTAAAGCCGAAACCAAACCATTATTGGTGACCGATGATCGAGGAGAACATTGTCACACAATGGTAGTCGATACTCTTACATCGCTTGCTACACCATGCGACAACAATATAGAGACTTGGAGGATGTTTTTTTTTTCAAGCGCGTTCTGCCCACGACGCCATTGATGACCTCGGGCTGCATTACCGCGAGGTGCCTGATGATTAGCGTCGCACCCCGCAACTCCTTCCCCGTCCATTCCAACTCCACAAAGATCTGCAACCATATCCCCGGCTTCTGGAATTCCTTCCGCGCATCACGAGCGCTTGTAAAACTGCTTCAGGCAAAGTGAAGATGCAATATGGCAACTCAAATTTGGAAGATCTATGTCCTCCATTCCGCCGGCGTTATGGCTGAGCGCGGATAGCTGTCGCACTGCTAACAACGTACATATGTACCTGATGGAGCTCACATTCCAGGATCCCTAGACCCTCCCAAAGCCAATTGCAACCATTCACTATGCGGGTAACACTCTTCTCTCTCCTTCCCCTCGCTTTGGCAGCGCCGGCCACCATCTACAAACAAGCCGAGAAGCCCATATATTGGCTGCTAGCCGGTGACTCCACAACAGCAACCAACGGCGGTTGGGGCGACGCTTTCCTCTCCAAAACCGTTGCGAGTAGCTCTTCAGGTCACAATTATGGGCACAGCGGCGCGTCCACGAGATCCTTCCGTGCCGGCGGCGATTGGGCCAGTGTCACCAAAGACATTGGGACGTACAAGGAGGACTACAGGGTCTACGTGACGATTCAGGCATGGCAACACAAGAAGAGGAAATGAAAAAAAAAGTTTTCGCTAACAACACAACAGTTCGGCCACAATGACCAAAAGCCCACCTCTGGAGTCTCCCTAACAGACTACCGCAACAACCTCGCGACCTTCGCTTCCGAAGTCGAGCAGGCAGGCGCCACACCCATCCTCCTCACTCCCCTAACGCGCCGCACGTTCAACAAAACAACGAACCGCGTCATCGAGAACCTTTCCAACGAAACCGCCATCACACTAGACGTAGCTCAATCCAACGACTTGCACGTCGTCGATCTCAACAAAGCATCAACCGCGTACGTGAACGCGATCGGTCAGAACGGAGCCGATACATACAACTGGGGTGAGAATGGTACAACAGGGACTGATCGAACGCATTTGAACCCTTGGGGGGAGGTCGTGTTTGCGCGCATGGTGAGTGATTTGTTGGTGGCCAAGTATGAGGATGAGTTTGGGGAGTGGACGGTAAGGAATGAGACGTTGAGTGAGCTGATCAAAGACGGGAAGGTGGCTTAGATCATCACTAGTTGATGTGGGATGGAAGAGAAGACTACAAAGATATCCAGGCCTATCCAAGAGGATGGCACTCAAGCGCATAGTTGGCGATCAGTAAATGTTACAAGAGCCCGTAACACACATATATCAGTCACCACTCATCCATACCCCGCTCCGTCGTACCCACCGCTAGCCCACTTCCTCCCTTGCGCCTCACCCTGACCATGCGGATTGCTGAATGTGCTTGTACTCGAGCTGGGCGTATCCCAGGGTGCATACTGGCTACCAGCGTTCGTGTGTTGGCTGCTCTGGATCGAGGCCGGAGACGAGGCCGCACTTTGATAAGGATAGGGTAAATATGGTTGCTGCACTGGATGTCGAGGTGGTGGTGGCGGCGAGGTGTGAGGTGAGTACTGTTGTTGCGGTGGCTGCGGTGGCCCTTGATATATCCATTGCTGTGGCTGACCGAACTGCTGTGATTGTCGGTGTGGCAGTGGTGGCGGATATGATTGATTCATAGACCCAGTGTAGTTGCCTTGTGAAGCCATTAGAGGAGGTCCGAGTTGAGGTGGTGGGGATCCAACCTGATGACCCGGCGCAGCATAGTCGTGCTCAGAGATCGATCGATCCAGGGGTGGCATGGACTGTCGCTGTTGATGGTAGCGGCTAAGCGCTTCCAGATTGGCGACTGACTTGCGGTTGACAGCCTTACTCTGTCTCTTGAGTGCATGATCCGCGCTACCCTTCCTCAAAGGCGTGCTGTTGGGTTGAGGTACACCAGGTACCGATCCGGCTGAGTTGTGCCTTTGTGATGCTAGGGACGAGGCCGAGTATTGCCGTTGTCGATCTTCCATGGGTGATCGCATTCGCTCTGGCGATGATGGTGGAGACTGCACTTTGCCTTGAGCGAACAACGGGGCCGGATATCCAGCATATGATGGAACTGGCGGTGGCGAGGTTGAGTTACTAGCATGAGTTGTAGCCTCTGCGTTATCTGACCTGAGGTGAAAAGGTAAACTCCATGGCTCTTGAGGGTGCTGGCTGTAGGTTGGTCCAGACTCCTTTGCATCGCCCTGTACGCTGGAGGAAACGTACTCCACTGTCGAGGGCAAAGGTGGTACCGGAGGACGGCGGTGTATCCCAATGCTGAGACTTGCTGGAATCTCTCGGCGTTTCACGGTTCTGAACCGCTTCACCGTCGGATTGCGTTTGCAGCGATCCTGTGCCTCTTTCAACAGCTTCCGTATCTTCGCCTCTTCAGACAACTCTTCTTCCAGTTCTAGGTCAGTGACGCTGCCTTCGTCGGTCTGTCCCGCCACGGAGACGTTGTCACCCTCCCATTCGTCATCCTCGGTATCTTCTTCTTCCTCATCGTCGGAATCACCATCGTCCTCGTCATCATCCTCCAAGTCTGAGTTATAGCCTTCTTCTTCTGGAGCATCAAGTGCTTCGATCGCCGAACCTCGAGTCGGGTGTCGGGCGTAGACGTTAGCGCCAGCTTTTAGCAAGGTGTCAACGCAGGCTGATTGACGATAAGCGCAAGCTTCAACGAGCGCTTCATCCAGTAGGTGATCTGGAGGTTTCATCGCAAGAAACTTCTCTAGGATGATCTTGTTGCCTCTGATAGAAGCCGCGGCGATGGCACTTCGATATATCCCGCCTTGAACCCGAAAGTCTGCTCCGGCATCTAGTAGCTTGACAACCACATCCATACGGTTGAAGTAAGATGCAGCTACGAGAGCAGTGTTGTATTTGCCTGCGCGGTGGTTAACGAGTTCGATGGCTCGGTCGAGTAGCTCGTCAATGATAGATAGATCAGCCTTCATTGCCGCTGTCTGGAGAGCGTCTCCATATTTCCCTCCTTTTGCATGCACATCGGCCCCGTGTTCTATGAGTAACCGCATAATATCTAAATCGTTTCCGTGAACTGCAGCAGCTACGGTTGAGCCAAGCAGGCCTCCTAAAGCTGAGGCGTTAGCGCCGTTGCCGAGCAAGCGCTGAACAACCGGTAAAACGCCAGACTGAGCAGCGGCCAGGATAGGGAATCCGTGTAAGCCACCGCTAGCATTTACATCAGCGTGATGCTTGATGAGCAGCTTGACAATCTTCCCAAACCCACCGGCAGCAGCCGCAGATAGCGCGCCGCCAAACTTTCCATTGGCTGGCCGGATATTGACCGCTGCACCATGCTGCAACAACTCTTGAACGATGTCGAAAGAACCAGCAGCACAAGCGGCCTGTAGGGCTGTACCATACTCGCCAGATATGGGCTCGGTAATGGTAATATCGGCACCGGCCTTCAACAAAACGCGGACACTCTCCATATCCTCTGCCCATGCCGCAGCTTGTAATGGTGTTCCGTAGGGACCTCCAACTGCATTGACGTCCGCTCCAGCTTCAAGCAGCACCTCACAACAGTCCTCATCACCTTCAGCAGCTGCGGCATGAAGGGCGGTGCCGTACTTCTCACTTGAGATGTGCACGTCGGCATCATGCGCGATAAGAAATTTCAATCCGTCTATATCGCATGCATCGGCGCAATTGATCAAGGCTGTCGTGCCTCTGGCGCAAGCTGCATTGATGTCTGCAACGTTCTTCAAGACCAGCTCCAGGTCTTCCGTAAGCAAAGTGGACGCCGCCAGTGATATCACTGGCCAATTGTCATCGCCTCCGCGTACGTTGACGTGGGCGCCATGTTCAAGCAAAATCCTAGTCGCAGTGCTGTCGCCTTGCTCAACTGCGGCAACGATCGCATACGAAAAGTGCCCGCCGAACGCATTGACGTCAGCCCCTTCTTTGATTAGAAGACGAATGGTCTCTTCATTTCCAGTGTGTACAGCGGCTTGCAATTCGTTTCCATAATAACCGATAGGCTCAGTATTGAGCTTGGCTCCATGGTCGAGCAGCAATTGGACATTATCAACATCGCCGAACCATGCAGCTGCCTGAAGGCATGTGCCATAATCTCCACCGCGTTTGTTCACGTTTGCTCCTTTGGCGAGGAGAGCTTTCATGATGTCCGTTGTACCGTCATATGCACTGGCGGCTAATGCGAACCCGTACGTAGGTCCTTCCGTGTCCGGATCGGCGCCAAATTCTAGAAGTAACTTCACGGTATCGAGATGCTCATTGTCGGTGGCCTGGTACAGTGCCTCATCTAGTTGCGCTTGATCAATTCCCTTTGGGTGGAGTAACTTGAGCACTTCCGTGCGACCATAGAACGCTGCCAAAGAGAACGCTCTCTGATACCTAATGGTACATGCCGAAAGCTCTGACTCCTTGTCCAGGATGGCCTTGACGATAGGAGCGTAGCCCCGTTGGGCCGCGGCTTGCAGCGCCTGTTCAAGCACGAAAATCCGTTCTTCTTTCTCGAGCAGAACCTGGAAAACTTCCAGATGGTTGTACGTAGCGGCTACGCTCAGAAAGCTTCCATAAGTCTTCATTGGGCGGCTAGGGTTCCATGATTGCGATAAAAGGTGCCGGACGACGTCGGCATGTCCACGGCGGGCTGCGGCACCAAGTGCAGACCCGTAGAAATAATCCTCATTTGGATCAATTTCGGCGCCCTGTTCAATCAAGATACGGACAGCCTCGATATTGCCTGAGAAAGCGGCGATGTTTAGCGCTCGTCGACCAGGCCCACCAATGAGGTTGACGTTTGCGTTACGGTTCAGCAAAAGCTTCACGATGCGGTTTTCAAGGTTGCCAGCAGCCGCGTAGAGCGCCGTTCCTTGATCAGGAGATGTTGCATTGATATCGGCGTCGCGGTCGAGTAATGTGCTGACGATATCGTAGTGGCCGTTGGACGATGCAGCATGGAGCGCAGTCGGGTTGGCACTGCTGCTCGAGAAATCAACGTCAGCGCCTGCTCCAAGCAACGCATTGACAATCTCGTCGCAGCCACCTTCGCATGCGTAGTACAGAGGTTGAAACCCTAACGAGTCTTGTGCGTGAACGTCAGATGTTCCATTGTGATTTAGGATGTGGTCGACCAAGGCAGGAAATTCGAGGATCACAGCGACGTGAAGTGGTGATATGTCCTTCTGATCTGTCATGTTATGAACATCTTCTATGGTCTTCCACCATCTTTGGCGAGCATCAGAGCCTTGCTGCCAAAACGAGTGGTCAAAGTCGATCTCTTCGAGAACGTCCGGAGGGGCTCTCTTCGCATGTTCCATCCAATACCGAACAGGATATCGTAGATCGACATCTAGCAGACCTTCATCTTCATCCTCTTCCACATCTGAGGATGAATCAACATCTTCGGCGGTCTCATCGTCTTCCTGCTGTTCGCTGTGTTGGCTTACGCTATCCTGAACTGATCTGCTGCCGGCATCGGCGGTTTCCGGAACTTCTTCTTCTTCTTCGACATCAGGCTCTTCCGTTGGCTCTTCTTGTTCATCTTCGTGCTCTGAGCCATCTTGGTGTTCGATGGCTTGATATATATACTCCAACGATCGTAAGGCGATGATCCCATGCTGCATATCGTCGAGGTCCAGAGACAGATCGTTCTTTGCATACTTGCGGAGATGCTCTTGTGCAGAGATGTCGATCCACTCAACGGTGCTATTGTCTAGATCCCAGTCGTTGCCTCTCAAGGTAAAGAAAGCTCCACAGCGCACTATGTAAGCTTTGAGTTCTTCCAGATCGTCCCGATCATCCGAAGGCAGTCCAGCCATAACAGCGAGCTCACGCATCGTCGGCGCTACGTACGCCAGAACCCTGCAACGCAATATCTCTTTTGTGTATTCATAACCCTCAGCCTGCGGGTTCAGAACACGCTTTCGCACGTGCTCGAACATATCCGTCAAACCATACGGGAACGACTCTAGCAATTTCCGGATTTCTGCGTGTTGGATACGTCCGGAACCCCAGGCATTCTTGACTTCCTGTATAACTAGACTGACGTAGATCCAATTGTCTTCCGCGCGTGAGTAGATGTGGCGCTTCACAAAGTATGCCAAAGATGACGGAAGCTCAAGTTCGTCGACGTTGGCAGATATGTGCGCTTTGAGATCGTCACTGACCTGCGCAGAGTTTTCCGCATCGTTCAAGTTGATCTCTAATGATCTCGGCCTCAAGCACTTCTCGATGTTCGGACGGCCGCTACGGTTCAGCAGTAGCCATTTGATGGGTTTATACTCCTCTTCGTCGTGCGTCACAGCCTCGGTGTCTAGAGTCTCTGTCATGTACTGCAGGAATTGTTCCAACGACTCCTCTGCAAGTTGCTCCACTCCGTACACCACAACGAAGACATTAGTGCGAGACAGATCCCGCGCCATCTTGTGTAGTGCTACCCATAATGCAGGCACCTTGAGTGTCTCCTCGGTGTCAAAACTTTGCTTCCCAGCGTCTTTGCTGCTCCGGGAATCTGAGAGCAGATGGCGCGCAAGATCTTGGTCCAAATCGATCATCTGGCGGACAACCATTTGCAGCAAACCTTTTAGCGATCTTCTCATAGTATCGCCTTGGTCGCAGAAGAACGATATAATCATGGAATTGTTGCTTTGCATTTGTCCGAGATACTCAAGAGCAGAAGCAGCAATCGCGCCTTGACCTGTACCCGCTTTTCCGTGGATCCAGAGAAGAGGACGTGCAACCGAGTTCTTCCAGGTCTGGAAGCTGTCGATCTCTATCACAGACGACAACTTCGTGCCCTTTACTCCTTTATAAGTGCCCTTTACAGCGGCTTCTACGTCGGCAAAGCCTTTGCTTAGAGCATCCATCATGCTATGATATGTGCGATCATCGACCTGAGCCTGTCGAAGCATGTTTTGACGCGTTTTGATGATGATATCCGCCTTGTTGGCTGTCTCACGGATCTCGTCAGAGACGGAAGTGAAGTTTCCATCCTTTGGCCCCGTGTACTTGTTGAGTTGAAAATGGTCTGACATGAGAGAGATGCTATCGAATGACTCGATCGTTGCGGAAGACTGGTCAACGATGCGCTCTTTGCTCTTTAACCATGAAATTCCCTTGACCAGGTAATTTACCAGATCGCTATCGTTCTCTTCCCAGAAGCAAAGTAGTCGAAACTGGGCCTCTCTTGCCATGAAAGAGAACTCCGTGAGGAGACTACGCAAGATCTCCGAGTCCTTTTCTAGAACCTTTAGCAGGCTCGATGGCGTGCCCCAGCCGGCAACCTCGGCCATGGATGCTAGAACCATTGCCTTGGACTGGCTCGATGTACCGTGAAAAGGTGTACCGAGGAAGAAACATCCTGCGATCCAGGGATATACGTTGGGGAAATCTTTCTGGCGTGATCTCGACATGAGTAATGCCTTTTCGAGGATGATGCCACCTAGACAATGTGAGATAAAGATAATGGGTGTCTTAGTCTCGTTCTTTGGTGTGTCAGTAGGGAGCCATCAGAATGGCGTGCTCACTTACTCTAGATCGGTCAAGTCCATGTAGCAGTTTGTTTGCAACGTTGTCGATGCGTTCGTCAACAGATCCTTTCCCAAACCACTGCGACTGGTATTGGAACACGCTGATCTTGGCATGCGGTATCTTTTTGGGTAGCATGTTCGCATCGCGTAGCCAATGCACTTTGTCCTTCTTCCATGTATATTCAGGATCTGCGCCTAGGCCCGGAATGGCGATGATCCTTGAAGTTCTTAGTTTTCATCTCCCATGTTCAATTTGCGACCACCTACTCAACTTTGATCGAGAACTTTGACGTCGCCTGCTCATCACTGGGATAGAGGACGTTTAGTCCGGGGTTGAAGGACTGCGCTCGTTAATGGGTAGGTAACTGAACATGAACATGGCACTGACCTGCGCGTCGAATTTCGAATGTTGGACCTTCGTGGCCGAAGCCATCGCGAATCGTAGCGCTGCAGCAGAACTGCGCTGGAAATTGAGAACTGATGGCTATTGCGAATGTTGGAACCATCTCGAGAAGAATGCCTTCGGGGTCTGTAGAGCGCTATGCTCCCGCGCATGGCTTTGCCCCCTGCATCCAGGCTTCGCTTTCAACTTTGGGGGCCTTATGTATTGGGGGCCTTAGATATTGGGGGCCAAATTACCGAAAACAGGAAGACGTGGAACATGTGTCAGCGGTGGCGCCCAGTCCTTGGGTACCACTGTATTGGTTGCCGAATATCGAGCGCTTGGGGCTGTTGGCGATGGGGCGGAACCGGGGTCAAGGCTCGCGGACCCGCCTAGGCGACGAGCTCAAGTCTTCATCCCGCCATCGCAATCGCAGTCGTTCTCCATAACTCGGATGTAGTTTCCATGATGATTGACTGCTGCGAGGTCAGTAACAGCCTCACGAGCCTCTGTCAGCACACTGATATCGTACAGCAGACGATGAAGTACCCAGTGCCTTTCCAGACGGCGCCTTTACAGACTGAAAGCCCGGATGGTGGCTCAAAGTCGAGAGTCCCATTGTTGCCAGCAACGTACCGAAGAAACTACAAGATCGAGCCCATCGGCAACAACATCGGTGCATTTCTAGATATCGAGCTGAACGTCCGCCGACTAAACGAGGTTCATGAATGGCTCTGGCTCGTGGGTTTACCAAGCGCACCACGACCTCTTCATTACCAAGTAGTGAAGAAACGAGAGATTGTGGTGACGGAGCAGATGGACCTGCATCTTGTTTGGTCATCAACATCTTCATCGTCGATCCTTCTCAAACCGCTGCCTCGCTTCCTCCTTTGCCCAGACTTCTGGATCATGGAGATTTGCCCACGCCGACACCTGTACGAGACGGCACTGGGCTTTCTATTGTCGTATATTGCGCTCATCGAAAGAGAAGTCGACTATAATCTGGCCATCTACCACGGCCTCATCCCCAAAGAGGTTACTTGGTCTGGGTGGCTGGCGCTCGTTGATGAGGTCGTCTGCGCCTCTGTACAGGCGCACACAATTGGTGCATCAACTACATCATCTGTAGATTTGCTGGAAGGACTTCCGGGCGTTAACCAACGCTTCAACTACGGGGAATTGCGCCTCGGGCGGCTGAATTGGATATATCGCTTGACCATGGGCGAGTTTCGCGGGTACCTCAGCGGCTGCACGACGTACGGAGCCTTCATGCGTGACAACATCAACAGTCTCATCACACTGTTCGCATACACTACCATCGTGCTCTCCGCGATGCAGGTTGGGCTTGCGACAGAACCTCTTGCAAACGACTATTCCTTCGGCATGGCGTCATATGTCTTCTCCATCTTTTCCATCCTGGCTCCGCTGGCATGCATCGTCGCTATATTCGGCGTTATAGCCATAATGTTTGTTATCAATTTGGCGCGTACGCTGAGGATTCGGAGGCATAAGCGGCGTCAAGGTGTCAAGGTGTGAGGGGGCCAATTCGGAATTGACGGGCGAGAAGGTCGGACGCGAAACGCCCTGCTGCTGCAATGACGCGCTCCAGGCCGATAGCCTGAACTTCCCCACCAAACCTCACGACACCTTCAGCACTTACCAACACCACGATCCGAAATGCCCTGTGGCAATTCGTTTGTGGTCACTCTTCAGCGATGAACTATATCTAGAGCAGGCGCTGAGCGTGCGCACAAACGATGGAACGAGGGCCTGCAGGCGACGCACACATATTGCGATAATATCTCAAAGGCACTCAGGCCTCGCGGATATCGCCAATGAGCTTTTATGTCGTCCATGGGCATCGTTATCGGAACTAGTTACCAACGATACCTCCAAAACTACACGGCTGTATTACCAGTAGTCATGTCCACTTACTCGGATTATTTGCGGAATACACGCGATCGAGACTTGCAAAGCCTGGCAAACCACATGCTGTCTTCCCTCGCTCGTTGGCGCGGTCAGCCATACAATTATAAGCATATCCGCTGTGGTGATTTGTCTTTAGGTGTGCTTTCGCAGCATCATTACTTTGGAAACGCGTGACATAGCGACGTAAACTCCCACACTGTTTATAGGGTGACATCTCTAATGCATCGAGTTATTGTGTTGAAGGTTATATTTGTGGCTGGCACCTCTGATTCCCCTCTAAATCAATATAAGCTAGCATCTACTCTAATTGCTAGGTGATATTCGCAGCAACTTCATTCTTGACATGTCCCCAGCTTCAATTCCTCTGTTCATCACCCTACCACTCTTATGCTTCTAGGCACGAAGGCAGCAGCGACTCGGAGTCGAAAATCGGAGTAAGCCTCTGCCGAGGAAAGCCTTTATGCCGGCACTTAGCCTGATCAATGTGCTAGCGCTGAGACTAGATCCTACAGACATCCACAGACTGGCACAACTCCAACAGTCTTGACTCCGTCTCCAGTCTCCAAAGTTTCCCACAAAGCATTTTCAAAACACGACGTGATGAACAAAGAACCAATGGAGCTCACCAGCCCTGGGACTGCAGAAGCGCCAAAGGTTGTAAGCACACCAGAGAACACTGCATCGCTTCCCCAATACCCTCGTGGTGTCCGCTTGGTCTTGATAACCGTCGGTCTTGTCCTTTCTATCTTCCTCGCAGCTTTAGATTCGACAATCATCGCTACCGCAATTCCGAGTATCACAACGCAATTCGGCAGTATCAGTAACATAGCCTGGTATGGCTCGTCATACTCAATCACCAACACTGCGTTCCAGTCCGCGTGGGGTAAAGCTTACCAGTACTTCAACCTCAAAATCACTTTCATGTGTGCAATTGCAGTGTTCGAAGTTGGTAATGTTATATGCGCAACAGCACCATCGAGCGAGGTCTTGATCTTTGGAAGGATTGTGGCTGGTATGGGTGGTGGCGGAGTGATGACGGGAGCGTTTATCATCATCGCGATGACAGCTGGGCCAGAGTATAGATCGGCATATATGGGTGTGTTGGGTGTGACGTTTGGATTTGCAAGCGTCGTAGGACCGTTGATGGGTGGTGCTTTGACAGATGGTCCTGGATGGAGGTATTGTTTTTGGTAAGTAGTCGAGGCCAGGGAGACTTCATAGTATCTACACCAGAGCACTCACTCTATACAGGATCAGTCTGCCAATCGGTTTCGCTGCAGCGCTCACGATGTTCCTTTGCTTTACGAATCCTGGAAAGCCCAAAGACGTACGACTTCGCGAGAAATTCTTGAATTTGGACCTCAATGGCGCAATCCTGCTCTCTGGATGTTTCTCCTGCTTCATTCTGGCCATGCACTGGATCGGCATTATGCCTTGGACTAGTACACGTGTTGTTGGCAGCTTTGTGGGCTTCGCAGGTCTCTTCGTCTGCTTCACGATCAACGAATACGCTATGGGTAGCCGCTCCATGGTACAAGTTCACTTGTTCAAGAACAGGCTAGTTTTAGCCAACTTGCTCTATGCTTTCTTCCTTGCCGGCGCCTTCTTCCCACTCATGTATACATTACCAATCCAGTTTCAATCTGTCAATAACAACACGGCTTCGCAGAGTGGTGTGCGGCTCATCCCGCTTGTTTTGGGCGTCGCGGTCTTCACCATGGTATCGAACGGACTGCTCACCTTCTGGCGTCACTACAAGCCCTTCTTTTTTATTGGCGCTGTCTTCGCCGTAGTCGGCAACACGAAAATACACTCCCTGGATGCGAACACACCAATCAAAGACTGGGTTGGCTTCGAACTCTTGACAGCCATGGGTGTTGGCCTCGCTCTTCAGATCCCGATGATTGCGAATCAAGCTCTGGTTTCCGCTGACGATCTGGGCGCTGCAACATCCATGTCGCTCTTTATGGAGAACTGCGGTACGGTTTTGTTCGTCGCATCAAGTGAAGCAGCGTTCACAAACGGACTGCTATCGAGTCTTGCCCACAACTTGCCACAAGTCGATGCGAAAGTGGTATTAGATGCCGGCGCGACGCAAATCCGCACTTTATTCTCGGGCAACGAGCTCGAAAAGGTGTTGAATGGATACTTGGATGGTTGTAAGACAAGTCATGTCATCACCGTGGCCTGTGGTGCGATGGCTGCAGCGATCAGCTTGTCGAATGCGGGGCCGGCGGCCATCAAAGAGATAAAGAAGAACATCGAAAAGAGTCATGAGAGATAGTTGCTCAGTGGTGTTAGTGACGAGGCTTCAACGTCTTAGATGATGTTTCAACATAAATGACTGGGCTCAACGCCTTGCACCTGGATGAGCTGAATGCTTGCGCTGTAATTCGACATATTTGCATTACTAGTACAAGTCATTCTAATAGGCCAGTGTCATTGCTTTGTGCTGCTCAACGCACAATATGATGAGCTTGGCTGATATGATACCGATAGCTGCACCGTGCTGATGTACTGCCGCACATTGATCGTATCCGAAAGGTGCCATTGCGGCTGTATGAGTTATGCTTCCCTAGGGTTTGATCTATGATAGGTGCTGAATGAATATGCATACCACGCGTCGGGGGAATGTTGCATCATTGCCTGGTGACTTGGTTCGCGATTCGTGAGGCTCAATTGGTGTCGGATGAGAGGTGCGCGTGGATGGAGGCGCGTGACGTAGCATAAGCTTCTAGCCGTATTCGGCCACAGCCAGGGCCGTGCGTGAGGCGGCGACTCAGCCATCGACGCGCTTATCATAACAGTCCCATCTCTCGCCTTGTCGCCTCTCCTACAATGTCCACACATCATGCCATCAAACAAATCGACTCTTAATCATCGGAGCCGGCCCTCCAACACTACATTCGCCTTCGGCATCCTCGCGCAGGTCGCGTTACTCGCCTGCATCTTCTGGACTTACACTATCTATGGCAAACTCCGTGAACCAACCATTTTAGCGGAAGCATCAGCTAAGACAACATCGAGACCAAGCGGCTTCACCTTGCGACATCTTTTGGATCATGGTGCTGGCCAACCTGGACCACGAGCACGAAGGTTGGATGTGACTCCAGAGCGATTTGCGGTTGCTGGCGTCGATTCCCACATCGGGCCCTTTATCATCAAGACAGCACCGGTCAAGATAGAAAGACCTGCGTTGCATGGCTACGATGCACAGATCCCCATGTCGCCCATGTGGATCGCCGAAGATGTACCGGGTCCGGATGTTACGGATAAGAACACGGTAATCAGCTTCGCGAACATGTCCGAGGATGCTTACAAGGTCGGCCGTGATGACTCTGGATGGATGGACGTCGATGGACGTTACAACTCATCAGTTCCTTTCGGTTGGGATGACAGTGGCATCCGAGGTCATGTGTTCAGCGATGACATGAACTCTACCATTATCCTGGCGGTGAAGGGAACGACTGTAGCCATGTTCGAGGGCGATGGAACCTCTGTGCACGACAAAGAAAATGACAACTTGTACGGCTCTTGCTGTTGTGGTCAAGGTGGCACATATCTTTGGCGAAAAGTGTGCGACTGTCAGACTGGTACCTACACTTGTGACGAGCAATGCGTCAAAGACGAGTTACGGAAGCCGAACAGGTACTATGCTGCAACTGTCGAGCTGTATCAAGAAGTTCTCAAGCTCTATCCGAATGCAAACATTATGACGACAGGACATAGTTTGGGAGGCGTCCTGGCATCTTTGATCGGCTTGCAGCACGGTATTCCTTCGGTAACGTTCGAAGCCTACCCGCAAGCCTTGGCAGCTAAACGTTTGGGTCTACCAGCTGCTGGTGACGTCGCTCCACTCAGGAAGAATACAGGCGGCTTTCACTTCGGACATACCGCTGACCCGGTATACATGGGAACCTGCAATGGCGCAACAAGCTTTTGCTCTATTGGCGGGTACGCCTTCGAGACCCTCTGCCATACCGGAAAGAGATGTGCATATGATGTGGTGAAGGATTGGGGATGGAGACAAAACACACAAACCCATAGCCTAAGGTACGCTATTGATAATGTGTACATGAAGTACAATGAGGCAGCAACATGTCAAGAAGAGGACGTTGGGTGCGTCGACTGCTATCTATGGAAGTTTGAGAACGGCACGCACACCACACCGACGACTAGCTCAACAACTGCAACAAGTACTACATCATCAAGGACGCGGACTGAGACGTGTAAGACGCCTGGGTGGTGGGGATGCCGTGACGAGACTACCACGATGGTATCGACCACATCCTCCAGCACATCAAGCTCACCAACCAGTACAAGTACAAGTACCTGTCAAACTGTGAGTTCACAAATTTCATGAATGCGCATTCATCGCTGACTTCTGAAGCCCGGATGGTTTGGTTGCAAAGACAAAACTACAGCTACTATAACTACTACTACGTCGATTGAGCCAACAACTTCTTGTACCTCGAAGGGCTGGTTCGGTAAGTGTCACGATGATGTGCCTGCGACGACCACACCAGCCATGCAAGGCCATGCCTACTGGCGGGCAGCAGCGACCGCAACACAGACGGCACCATAGGTTGATCAAAGTCCCAAACGTTTTGTGCGGGTGGCAGTTGATTCTATACAGTTGTACCTACACAAGAGTAACAAAATAATTAAAACTTTCGCACTCATCGTCATCGTCATGTACGCGAAGTCTTTGTTAAGTCTTACCCCTGTATGTGTTGCGCTAGTTCCATCTGAATGAGTATCTTCTTACCTTCACTACACTTAAGCATTTGTTTCCGAAAAATGTATTCGCGCGTGGGGTAAAAAGACTTTGGCTCCCGAGAATTTCTCAAGGCCGGCACTTGTTTGAACCATTACCGCTGTCATGGTTCCCCGGGTCGCAAGATCGTGCCAGGCACTCGACTCAATGTGAAGACCCCCGGTCGTATGGGTCCTTCATCTTTACATCCTGATGTTAGGTGCAACCTAATGGCGCGATGCCGACGCCCATCCTCAATCAGGAAATCAAGCGAAGGCACTGATGGACCTGGCCTCGTACTTTCGGACGTAACCCGTAGGCTAAACCCGAGCGACATGAGTCATCTGTCAAATCTTTAGGCAGCAACCACCCAGTATGTTAAGGGCGAAATACATGAAGCTCAGATTGGCCGTCAATTAAGCTTTCTCAGCCTCGTTCAAAATGCTTGACCACGACTTCCATCTCGCGACACCGCGCCTGTTCATATCCCACCTTATCCCTACCAACGATGCTCATTGCGATTTCATGTACGATCTGATGCTTAGTCCAGGCATCGCTAAAGAAAGGCCTGCAGCCGATGTGCAGAAGGCAATGAGCGTGCCGCCTCGCGATGCTGGGAGGAAGTTCATCACTGACTGTGTTGATAAAATGGAGAAGACGGGCTATGGTCGCTACCTAATCTCGCTAAAGCCGACCTTAACCTCCGACTCTTCAACACCTGGAAGCATCGAAGTGCCTTTCTCGCAAAGACAACTAGTGCCAATAGGCGTCGTATCAATGCAACACGCGCGCTTCCCGTCCGCCCCTTCAGCACCAACAATCCCAGATGTCGGCTTCGGTTTACTATCTCGATATTTTGGAAACGGCTACGCTACTGAAGCTGCAACGGCTCTGCTGAAGTACTTCAAAGAAGAGAAAGGACAGACAGAGTTTTGCGCCTTTTGTAGACCGGATAACGAGGCGAGTAAAAATGCGTTGGCAAGGTTGGGATTTGAGGCCAGAGGCTTTGGGAGAATAAACGGTGTTGTGGAGGGAGAATTGCTGGGTGCGCTGGTATGGACCATGGGCGTTGGAAAAGAGGAGAGTGCGCTTGAGGCAAGAGGCTTGTAGTGAGTTGTAAAACATCAATTGATGTGGCCGACGGTGAGGAGTATACCCGTAAAGCCTCGTAGCTATACGCAAAATCTATTTTTCGCATACGTCGTTCGCATGTTGTAGCTTGTACAGTCACAGCTATCTTGCGTTTGCGCAAGCTAGTCGTGTTATTCATAGATTCTATAGTGGGTGATGGACGCGTCTAGTGATGATGATGCTGCCAGCCACATACTCGGAAAGAGTGCGCGCGATGACGTTCGTACCTCGGCCCAGAGGCATGCCAAGCCCACTACCAGCCGAGTTTTTTATCCGTCCGACAGCCTCGTCGGAACGTCTCCATCGACGAGAGACGGATGTTCCGTCAAACGGTGAGACGCGTCCCGTTACTGAGTGCTGCAGCACGCTTTGGTTCTTATCCATCCGTACTCAACCGACACTACATTGATCCTCGATATGTCCACACCATTGGATCAGTTAGCGACGCGTCCAGGGAAACGGCGTCGACTTGAGCGCGTTGCTGCGGCCTGCGACCTTTGCAAGAAGAGAAAGGTCAAATGCGACGGCGAACAACCATGTACCTATTGCACGCGAAAGGATCGTGCATCTACTTGCACGTTCAGTGGTCCTCATGTACGCCCTCGCACGCGTTCTGCCGGCCACACTCCTACCCACGGTGTTCGTTCCGACGATATCCACCGTCCTCACGCTCGTTCTACAGGCCATACACCGAATGACCGCGATGGCGATGAGCAGGATGATGCCCTGCGTCAAAGGAACGACTGTGAAGTTGCCGACGTGGGGACATCACTCTCCCCAACACTAAGTAGAGACGATCAACAAGGAGACACAGTCGTGCCCCTTGAAGGTCGCATCCTTCGTGACGCCCAGGGGAAATCCATCTTCATTGGCGATTGCGCTCCGCTCTCTTTTCTGCAGACAGTCAGGCACCTTATCACATCCGAGGTGGATCCAAGAGCCACTGTCCAAGCCACCCGCGATCCCATCATCGAGATCGCACGCCCCGAAACCACAGATGAACATTTTTGTCCTATTATTGACGTGCAGCAAGTTGACGCGCTAGTCGAAGAATACATTGCTGCAAGTAGTGGCCTTGTTCAGCTGTTTGAAAAAGAGGATCTCGCTCCTGAATTGAAAGCCTGGGTAGATAGCAGAACTTCAAGCTCAGAAGACGACGCCGCCGCTGCAGTCTTTTATCTTGTTCTAGCAATTGGTGCACAAGAAAAATCCGAGGAGAAGGCGGAAGCCTGGTTCAAAACCGCTCGGGATCTGCTTCTGAAGCATATGTGCAATAGCATGAACGTTTCTACTGTTCAGGGCTTCGCGCTCGTAGCAATTTTCATGCTTCGAGCATCTCAGCCGAATGGAGCGTATTTGTATTTCTGTATGCAAACAAGAAAGCAAAAAGCCGGCATGCGGGCTAACGTACTTTAGCTTTGGCTGCGCGTGCCGCATATGCAATCGGTATACATCGAACTGAAGTAAACGCTTCTTTTGGCAAGACCATCAAGCTGGTGCGGGATCGTATCTGGAAGAGCATTCGTGTCATTGACCAACTAATAAGGTGAGAGGCGACTATGTTCTGTCCCAAGATAGTCTACTGACCTAGTATAGGTATGCACACTGTTTCGTAATCCTCGCCCCAAGGTGTTGAATATCCCGCGAGGTGCTAGCAGCCCTGCTTTGAGATCTACGCTAATTACTCCGCTTCACGATTCAGCAATGCTTTGGGTCGACCTCCATCCACTTCCGATGTTGACTGCACCGTCAAGTACAATGCCTTTGAGGAGGATATGGAAGCCGACAAGGTCAGTGTACTGGATGCAAGCGTCCAGATCTTCATGATAATTGAGCGCGTTGTCGTCGAGGTGTATTCTCGCAAACGTATATCTTTACGTATCGCCGATTATGTCTCGCGACAGCTGAAGAACTGGGCATCCAAATGGCTGTACAAACTATCCAATCTCACAGCTAGAAGTCATTCTCGCGAAGCACTGGTGGGCGCTTGCTCCACATTGTGCTCCTACTACTATGGCATAATGCTACTCACACGTCCATTCCTTATCTACGAGTTGTATGAGTACATGGGCGCTCCACTGAAGAGCGGGGGCACACAGTCTGATCACCAAGAGAAGCGCAAGTACGCAGACGCTGCACTCGATGCAGCTTCGACACTAGTGGATACTCTACTGGCTGTCATTCGCACAAACCAATTGCCTCGCAGGATGCCGCTGATAGTGTAAGCCACATGATCGTCCCGAATTAGCTGGAGCTAACAAGTATCAGTTCTTGGCTTTTCACAGCTACACTTGTTCTTGCGGTTGGTGTTCTTGGTGACTCGGGACTCATGTTAGTAGACAGCTGCAAGGATGCGATTATCTGCATGGATCACTTTGGTCAAGTGGACCCTCACGCCCGACAATATTCGCAGGTCGCTCAATCGCTACTCAAGATCACCACCGCGCATGCCAAGAAGAGGGAGTTACACTTGCGACGGAAACGGAAACAAGCGTCATCTGAACTGTTTGGTTTATTGGCTTCTGAGTCTACTATTCTGCACGCCCAGAGAGATGAATGCGAGACACAGCTCGGTCCTGGGTCTCTGGTCTCCCGAGACTCTATCCAGCGTAACGTCCCTTCCTCAGGGCCACTCGATTGGACTATATACGATGCCGACTTCTTCGCTCTGCCATGGCCGAGTGAGAATGATCAGGGTCTCCAGGATTTTCTACAGCCAGGCACTCACAACCTTGATGGTGTATCTGTAGCTGACATACCGCTGTTCCCTATACATGACCAACAGATGGGTAGCGACTTTTTTCCGTAGGCTCTAAATGGATGCCTCGGGGCCACGAATGGTTCTTTTCTTCTAGGCATCTTTCAACACGCTTCAATGTACGACTTTTGTTTCGCTGGTCTCGTCTCTTGAAGTGCGTAGGAATGGTATCAACTTGGTACCTCCTGTTCCAACCAATTCTTGCGTCTTCGGCTTTTCCGTAGCCAACTCCGTTGAGGCAGAAGCGATGTCTCTTCTCTTAGGCCCAGTCTTCGGCTTCCCCATCCGGCTCGGTATGATGATGTACCTAGTCACCAGAGCGATGTGCTTGTCGCGGAATCCACTGAGTGCCGCAATTGCTTCGTTGAATGCTGTCAGAAGCTCAGCGTTGTCTCCATGACTGTTCACGTAGCTTCGGATGTTTGCGATCGCCTGGACATCGTCAAGGAAGCGGGCGTGGGGCCCGGGCATGTAACCACGCATCTCTGCATGGAATCCGCCGCTTCGAGAATGGTCGACGGAGAGGACGGCGTCGAAAAACTGCAGCAATGAAGACTGGCCGTTGGATCCGCCCCGATACGCGCGCCATGTGCCTTTTCCATTGCCCTCGTCGTAAAAGACACCGTTGGGTAGACCGGCAGTGGCCATGTTCATACTTCCCGCCAGAAAGGGTCGGATAGTATGATAGAACATTTGCGGGTCGCACCGCTCGTCCATACGTTCCAAAAGGCGGCCAATGCTTTGCATTCCTTGTCGAAAATATCGCAGAGCGTGTACAATTGTTCTGACGTCATCGGTCTCGACCGCTTCGATTGCACCAAGCATGGCCTCGATCAACGGGCCTGCCCTTGCCTCCATGGCATTCGATATGATGAAGAACCACGACTCATCATCACTACCGGTCGCTGTGTGTAGTGCCACCATGTTCTCTGGCTGTGTCAAGTCGGCTTCTTCGCTGAGTGGTGTCCAGTTCCACAGATTCAGAGCCGCATATGTGGCCACCGGATGCACCTCAAGATATTCGGCAGTCTGCAGAAACGGCACAGTAATCGCTGGAGGTAGTCGCTGCATTCTTGTTAGAGCTTCAGATCTTTACAGCACTGTGAGTTGATGCTGACGTACCTCGGATGGCTCGGGACCAGTCCATATGTAACCTTGAGCTATGACAGCCAGTATTGAATGAGCTCTCTGCCATTCCGCCTCACTAGAGAGTTGCGATGTGTCTAGAACCGGCAACTCATCAACCCATTGCCGTATCTGCTGTGTATCGATGAGTTTCGGGATTTGCTTAATAATGTTTTCCCAAGGTTGATAGTAGGTATGTGGTAAGTGAGTTAATGGTGATTCTGCAGGTAAGAAGCCATTCTTTGAGATGCCATAATAAGGGAGTGCGGCGGGTGAAGGGAGAACGGGGATCCTGTGGGGGCTCATTGTGGAAAGGGTAGCGACAGTAATGTTGCACAAATAATATCGGAAGGATACGTCCTTCCTAGCAGCGGCGAACTCCCGCTTTATTGCGCTGAAGAGAAAGGTCCACGCGCAACCAAGGTCACGTTCGGATGGCTGTCGGAACCCGGAACGACGGATGCATTGTCGGAACACTGTCCGAAATCCCAATTGAGAAGGTGCGAGCTTAGTTTGCTGCAAGCCTCAATCAAGGCTCTTGCTTCGAGGCGTAGTTGATAGATCGCGGTACATATATAGTCTGACGCCGTCTACTCAGTTATGGTCTTGGATTCGTACATTACATTGCAATTTTGTTGGCATTTCCCAAGAGACACTCTCACTAACAATACATCACCATGGACGCCGCCGCCGCGATCAAACAACTACGCCAGGGCCAAAAGCCACAATGGCCAACAAATGCCGAGTCGTCCGACTTTGCGCATTCCCTTGACCAAAGTGCACACATTCCTAAGACATTTCGACCGGAATTCGTTGTTCCAAGCAAAGCGCAACTCAAGCGGAAAACCTTGACTGATGACGCACAAACCGCCAACCCAGCATCAACTCCCGACGATGAAGCCATCTACTTCTGCGGCAACTCTTTAGGTTTGCAACCAAAAGCGGTTGGCGAACACTTGAACGCATACCTAAAGACATGGGGATCCATTGCTGTTGGTGGCCACTTTACCGCCCTTGAGGACTCGCCGCTCACGCCCTACCAAGACATGGCTTCTGGATGCTCAAAGAAGATGGCTGATATCGTTGGCGCATCACCTTCAGAAATCGTTGCTATGAACACACTGACCATCAACTTGCACCTGATGATGGCAGCATTTTACAAGCCGACGGAGAAGAAGCACAAGATCATGTGCGAGTGGCGACCTTTCCCTAGTGACTGGTATGCGATCGAATCGCAAATAGAATGGCATGGTCTTGATCCAAAAAAGTCAATGCTGTTGGTTGAACCAGATGACGGATACATCATGACGACAAAGAACATTCTGAGACTCATTGACGAGAACGTCGATGAGCTGGCGCTGATTATGCTACCCGGCATTCAGTACTACAGCGGCCAACTACTCGATATTCCAACCATCACCGCACATGCACGGAAGCACAACATCACTATCGGGTGGGATCTAGCACACGCTGCCGGCAACGCCGAGCTGAAGCTACACGACTGGGATGTCGACTTTGCATGCTGGTGCACATACAAGTACATGAATGCCGGCGCCGGTTCCATTGCAGGTGCTTTCATACATGAGAAGCATGGCAACAACGACCACTACAAGGGACTAAAGGGCTGGTATGGCCACGACAAGTCATCACGCTTCCTCATGGACAACAGGTTCGTCCCCACACCTGGCGCGCAAGGTTTCCAATGCTCAAATCCATCAATCGTCGACCTCACATGCTTAGCCGGATCGCTCAGTGTCTTTGAGAAGACTTCCATGGCCGACCTACGATCACGATCCCTGCTTCTGACAGCATACGCCGAGCACCTGCTCTCTCAAATCGCCGCACGCAACATCAAGGACGGCGCTTTCCCCTTCCAAATCATCACACCAACGGATCCTCGTTTCCGTGGCGCTCAACTAAGTGTTTTGCTACCGGAAGACGTCTTCGATGATGCAAGCGCAGCGTTAGTAGAGAACGGCGTTGTCTGCGATAAGAGGAAACCCGGCATCATTCGTGTAGCGCCCGTACCGATGTACAACACTTTCAATGATGTTTGGAGGTTTATGCAGATCTTTGAGGACGCGATACGGGAGAAGGGACAAGGAAAGGCTCAGGGGCAACAGTCGCAAGGGACGCTGGCGGTTGAGTCGAGGTTATAGATTAATAATTATTAGTTAGAGGTTTATTCAGCAGGTTTAGACGTTACGACAGACATGGAATGATATTGAGAATTTTATACAAGACTTTTAAATGTCTTTCTGATGTTCATGTTCTTTATAACCGCAGTGAGAGTGTTTTGAGTAGGTCGATCCCATACCTGATGGTTTGTGACTGTAGGTAAGCTACGTGGTGCTTCAGTCATGAAGGTCTCTCGTGCCGTCTTCTTTCTCTTTATATCGTGGGCGTGTGAGCTTGCTCCATGCTCATGAATATTAGCTATATCATTTAAAGATTTCGTTGTGTTTGTCCCTCATTTTAATTCTGGGTCTGCCTTCAGCTTCACCACGCAATCACGAGACCTCGAATACATGAACACCGTGCCTTCCAAGTCTTGTGTCTTCAACCTCATCTCAAACCTACAGTTGCAGTATCTACATACATCATTCAACATGGCGGGAGCTGCACGCAAGCAGTTGTGTCTCGCGCTCAAGAAGTACGCATATTGCCAAATGCTAAATAAATAACACGCTTACACTCTCTAGTCTACTCATCTCTGGTGCATTCTCCGATCTCACCGTGACCTGCGGTTCCGACTCGCATAAGCTCCACAAGAATGTCGTATGCTCTCGAGCAGACTTCTTTTCGCGTGCTGTCAAGTTCGGAGGCAAGGTGCGTCAATTGAGCTTATCGCTCTACAACCCTACTGATTTTGATGTAGGAGACTAAAGAAGGCATCATCGATCTCCCAGACGACGACCCAGCTATCATAAAACTCATGATAAATTACATCTACGAAGGCGAATACGACCCTGCACTTCCCGATGATAGTGTATCCGATGCTGCCAGTGCCGCTACCGCTATCCTAACTGGAGGAAAGAGGAAAAAGAGCTCTGACGGGAAGAATAAGAAGGTTGCAACACCATCTGCATCGTTTCCCCATACTTGCTCCGACGGCAACTACGGTTGTTGCAATAACCCATCTGTATGCGCTCATCACTACTGCGGCTCCGATTGCGGATATGATTGCAATAATTACAGGTGTAAGGATTGCCATATTGAAGCTCTGGCCCTCGCTATATCCGGCTCATCTGAGCAGCTCTTGGTACATGCCAAGCTATACGAGATTACCGACAAGTACGACGTGATGGGCCTCAAGGATTTATTGGCTGAGAAGTTCAAGAGAGCTTGCCAACGCTTCTGGAACGAGCCCGTCTTCGCCGTGGCGGCTCACCACGCTTTCTCCACTACTCCCGATTCCGACCAGGGTCTGCGAGATATTGTGTCGGCAACTATTGCGGCACATATGACAGAGCTCGTGAAGAAGCCAGAGGTGGAGGCTCTGCTCACAGAGTTCAATGGGTTGGCCGTCGGTTTGCTCAAGATGAAGACGGAGGCGGGTTGGAAGTGATTGGCTTGACCATAGGCACAAGAGGGTAGGAGAACAGGTGCGAGAGCAAAGGATTAAAAAAATGTGAAGGATGTAGAGGATAAGGTATGAACCAAAACGCCTTACAATGCAATGCCATTTCCAGGACTACCAAACCACATCGATGTCGTATCTACTAACTCGTCTTCCCGTGTACATAGATCATGACACATAATCCACTCTAATACTGCTCAATCGTAACACCTCGTGAATCTACTGCAATCGCACCTCACCCTGCTCCGTCTTAAAACCAAACTTACTTAGCCTGATCCTCGGCACAACACCCACAAGCACCAACACACTAGCCACAATAACAGCCCAATGCTGGATATGCGCCAAGTTCAAGTTATATGTCGTCCACGTCGCCGCGCAGATGGTCGCAAGTCCCAGAACCGCAATGAAATAGCCCGCCATCCTATGGTACTTGTACACGCTCTTAGCGTTATCAATACTGCCATACAGCTGCGGCACATAGTACTGCGTGAAGCCAACAATAGCCTGAATGTACACAAGAATGTAAAAGGTAAGACCGAGACGCGCGTGCGCGGATTCGAAGTGTGCGTGGCCTGGTCCAGCTTTGTTCATCTCGATGATGACAAGGCCGGCTGTAAGCGCCGATGCGCCCACGACGTGGAAGAGGAAGTGGGCAAGGGTGCCGGAGCGCTTCTGTTCGGGGGTGTGCGTAGGTTGAAGGACGAGTGCTGCTTGGATGGCGAGGAGGAAGCCGGCCTAGTAGGGTATCAATGATACGGTTGTCGAGAGGGGGTGACTAGAGTAGTGTTGTGGCTTACGGAGTTGAGGAGCTGTGCGAGCATAGTGGTCAGCTAGTGTTTGAGGCCTGGAAAGGGAGTGGCTTACTGGATGCGCGGAGAAGAAGATGAGTTTGTTGGAGAAGATGGCTCCCCAGATTATGGCTGCTAGCTATTGGCATGTTAGTATATATTGTGTTCGGATCGTCGTAGGTGTGCTTACAATCCATATGCCTGCTTGCGCAATGGGAGCGGTGCCTGCGGTTCCGTTAGCATCTCTTCCTTCTTATCCATTCGTCGCGCAACTTGACGGTACGTACCAATCCACAGGTTATGATAAAGCGCCTGTCCAGATGTTTGGCTAGCATCTCCCCTTCTGCCTAGAAGAGGCTCTTCTTCGCTCTGGCCGCGCGCCGCAGCGACATTTGGCGGTATCCCGGTCGCAGAAGCCATATTAAGAATTTGTAGAACAATGCGCGATGCTACGATGGGTCTGACTAGGAGGAGCGGTGGAAGGACGGCACAGTATGAGCCCACGACAGGTGTCAGAAGGGTGCTTCGGACTCTGGGTGATTAGGAAGCTCAGGCCGACAATGACGACAATACAGCCCCCTGTACATGTCCACCAATCAGCGCCATGGCAATGTCAGGTGCATCTCAGCCCAGCCAATGAGGGTCGAGATGACAAACGGCGGAGCAAGTGGTGATGTTTGCATCGTGGGTTTGGGGGGTAAAGAGAGCGTTTCTTGACGCGGGGATGCATGCTTAGCGTATTCATGTTGGTCGCGTGGGATTTTTTTTGACCCTGTGCATGTTCTTCGCACCACTAGACACGTCGAAAGAGGCCAAAGATGTTAAGCCGATATTGTTGATCTTAAAATATATTCTCGTCTCCATCACATCGTCTCTATCGTACAAGTTCACCCTCATCTCTAGGACTGCATTCGCATCATCATCCCTGGCCATACCCCGATGTGTATCAAGTGCCTGCTGGTATCCCCCTCTTTCTATTCCAAAGCAGAAATTGCCGTCATAATGCCACCAACCGACTATGCCAAGGGGTATGATTCTCCTCCAGCTGCATTCCAAAGTAACAATACGCCTTTAAATGCTCATGCATTCACTCGAAACCATTACGTCCATAACCAATTCAAATGAAGAACCAAAAATAAGGATATAAGATGCGAACAACATCCCGAGGAGGAAAACGCACCTCTAGTGCGTTGTTAGTAAAACGTGGACAACTGTCGTGTCCCATGTGCCTAGTAGCACGTCCCGTGTTTCCTCAACTGCGCCGTTCGCTGATGCAGGTAGGAGCAAAATCGAGTACCATGCCTCGATGCAATGTGTGTGCGTGTACGTGAAAGTAAAGATAGCCGCTCTCACTTCTTCTTCATGAGGGCAGGCTGTTTTGAAGGATCGACCGGATCCAGGAACTTGGTCATGGCAAGAGAAAGCTCCTTGAACTCGACAGGTTTTGTGACATACGAGTTGAAGCCCGCTTCTACGCACTTTGCGTATACATCACCAAGAACGTTGGCAGAGAGTGCGATGATAGGGTGCCGACGGTAGCTATGCTTCTTTTCCCATCGCCGTATCTCTTTGCAAGCCTGGTACCCATCTTTATTGGGCATATGTAGATCGCACTAAACAACGTTAGCATGGAACAAAAGAGACCAACGTCGCTACCTACAAGAACGATAGAGTAGTAGCCGGGTGGCTTAGAAAAGATAGTTTCAGTAGCTTGAACACCATCCTGAACTGTTTCTGTTTCGATCGCGATTCTGGCGAGGAACTTTAAAATCACCTACAAACAATTAGTATGAACAAGCATGCAGCATAAAGGGAGGATGCTAACCGTTTGGTTGATCTTGTTGTCTTCAACCAGCAAGACCTTGTGGTTCTTACCACCCACACGACGCTTGAGTTCTTCAAAGACGAGCTTTTGGCTAACCACCACCTGCTGCGCGCTGTCTTGGTTGCGATCCGTACTGGACTCACGCTCCTTCTGTGGGTCGAATATAATGGCAAACTTTGATGGCTTGAGCGGCCGGTAGATGAACTGCAGGCGTCGATCAAGATGAAGCTGCTCATAATCATATACTGGTGCTTCTTTGATGAGCTCCTTCTTCTGTGACGGATCCGAGACTACGACAACTGACGTGTTACCATACGCCATGGAGCTGAAGATCTGATCCACGATGGCATGCACCTCGGCAGTGTCGTGCAACACAAGGACGACATGGGTAAACAGCACCGGATTGTCACCACCCATCATCTTCTGCGCCTCAATGACGCTAGCCTGGCCTGTCACTTGGTGGGGTATTCCTTGAGGAAGTGTATTCTTGATGTGTCGAATTGTGGCTTCCCTGCTATGTTCCAATGGGCAAACCACCAATATAGAGTACATGGGAGGCTGTAGAGCGCTGCCAAGTGGCGAAAGACTACGATGTGGTGAGGATGCGCGGAGAGTCTGGTCCGACCCAACAGACGTTGAAGAGTCGGGCTTGGGAGCCTGCGGGTCGCTGTCGGATCGCTTGGGAGGCAGAGCTAGTTTGATATCCGGGTCTGGAGCGGGGCTAGTTTCCTGCAAGTAAGAAGACACAGACGACCTTTCCGAACGTAGGCTCGACTGCCCCGTAAGTGCGGCGCTTGTCAAAGAATGGTCCGAGCTTCCGGACGAGAGAGATGGGGATTCACGTGAACGTTCAGAAGCTGACAGGCTGAACGCCGGGGATTTGGCAGGTTCGCTCTTCTCGGACGACACGCTTGATACGCGCTTGATCTGTGCATGCCCTGGATTCTGCGACTGAACGAATTTCTGGAGAGCCGAGGGCTGGGGTGGTAGCGAAAGTACCGGTGGCATCGAAAGCGGAGTCTCGAAAGCTGGCGTTCCTGGGGTTGACACCTGGGGCTTGGGGTAGTCGTCGGCAGTTGGGAGTCCAAATTTGATCGTGAAGAAGAACGTTGAGCCTTTGCCTGGCGCACTTCGAGCATCCATTCTACCTCCATGCAGTTCGACGAATTGCATTGATATAGCCAAGCCGAGGCCTGTTCCGCCATGTTGCCTCGTACTGCTAGCATCGATCTGACTGAATCGTTTGAAAAGGTATTTAGCCTCAGCGTCAGTGAAGCCTTGACCAGTGTCTACAACTTCGAACCGGATCATGGTCTCGTTGTCACGTAGAGGGCGAGAACGATCAGGTGGTTGCAGTTTGCATCGAATGAAGATCTCTCCTTGCTCGGTGAATTTGATTGCATTGCCAACCACATTGAGAAGAACTTGTCGAATGCGGAATTTGTCACCCTTGACTTCTGCTGGTACTCCTTCATCCACAAGGTAGTTGAGTTCAAGGCCTTTCTGTATGGCCAAGCCCATGTTCAAGTCGTTGACTTCCTCCAGGAGCGACGGCAGATGAAGCCATTCCATGGACAGCTTGATCATGCCGGCTTCGACCTTTGACAGATCAAGGATGTCGTTGATGAGATTCAGCAGACTGTCAGTACTGGCTTTGATGATGTTGACATGCTCTAACTGTTCGGAGTTGAGCGTGCTATCGAGCAAGAAGTTGACCATGCCGGAGATACCATTCAGGGGCGTTCGGATCTCGTGAGACATGTTACTCAAGAACTTGGATTTCGCGTCCATAGTTTCCTTCAATGTTTGTTCGAGCAGCTTGTGGTCGTTGATGTCTGTAGCTGTACCATACCAAGTCTCTTCATCACCGTCTTCAGAGAGCGACTTCTCCAACAGGATTCTGACCAGATGCCACCTGTATTCGCCATCTTTGTTACGCAGTCTGACTTCGGTAGAGTAAGATGCTCTCCCGTGCGCGTCCTTGGCAACTCTCAATATACCGGTGCTCGCTAATTTCGACAACTTGGCCTGAGGCATGTCCATGCGATCAGTCGTCGTCGATCCACCAGGGCTGGTGATTGTTCTCTCCGTCTCCGACGAAGCATCGGACGAGTTGGAGTCGGTTCGCCCATGGTCTGCTGGCATCGAAGTAGGGACATTGGCAACTCCGTCTTCATCCAACTGTGGAAGCTTACACTTGATGACATCATCGGGGTGCACGTGCTCTAAAAAGCCGTTGCCCAAGGCCTGGACTTCGCTCTGGCCAGAAAAAGAAATCCACTGGGAGTTGCAGAGCGTCAGGCCCCTCCGATCTGAAACGACAAATACGATCTGCGGACTTGAATTCGCTAGCGCGCGGTATTTGGCCTCTGAAGCAGCAGTCTCCTGTTGCCGGGCCGAATTTAGCTCAGCAGTATGTTGTTCATGGAAATCCATGTTGGTCCCAATCCAATGAACAATCTGTTGACGTTTGTTCTTAAGTGGGGCCACACGGACGTAGAACCATCGATAGCAGTGGTCAAACCTTTGCAGTCTCACTTTCTTCTGCAATTGTTGCCCAGTGCGTAGAGATCTGCTCCACTCTTCTAGGTAGGAGTCGCGATCCTCTGGGTGGATTGAATCCCATGGGTCTTGCAATACCTGGCGTTGATCTTGGCCTCGGTATATGAGGAATTTGGAGTTCACCCAAGTGATGGCCCCAGTATTTGGGGCGGCGGTGAAGATCTGAACCGGTAATGAGTCGGTGATGGTTCTGAGTAGGCTCTCGGAGGGAGGTGGCATATCGGACGTTTCAGTGATGGACGGTCTTCTCACGTGTCCATGCTGACCTTGGGGCCTTCCACCTGGTGTTGTCGCTGCTGGCAAGGATTGGAATGACGAGCTAAAGTCCGCACCGTATGAGTGCAGGAATGAGTGTCCACGGTTTGAGGCGCTTTGCAGTTGAGCGCGACGCTTGCTCAATGACTCGTCTGTCTTCTCGTTCAGGCCCTTGGTAACATCCTCGTTGACCTGTTCTGCAACAGGATTCACAGTCACTCGTTTTGCAGAACGTTTGTCGGTTTTCCGTGCTGCTTGGTCGTGTGGAGTCGACGTCGGCGGGTTCAGTGTCTTGCCGTATTGTTTCCTAGCATCAAAGTAACTTTCAACCGCTTCACTACCTGCGAGATGGCCAGGCGTGCCACCGATGGAATGTTTACTCGAAAACCCGACTGAAGAAGTATCCCAACCTGGAGTTCCGGCGATGGAGCCACCAGGACTATGCTTGGATCGACCAGAGTAGTCGGAAGGGCTAGTAACGCTACCTGCTGCCGAGTTTGTGATATCCTCGAGGTCAAGGTGCAGCAAATCATCAAGACTGTCCGAATCTGATGGCAGGCTAATACCTCCTGAAGTGCCGGCTGTCATACGCCGTTGTCGGACCGATGCGACCTGAGCCTGAGCGTTTGTGAAATGCCAAGCGTTAGAAAATGACGTAGCCAGGTGGGGACCAAGATGCTTCAGTGAGTTGGTGAGGTTACGTGGATATGGCACGATAGGCGACAGTATCGAAAGGATCGCAATGGGAGCTTTTCGAACAAAACCTTCTTTATTCAGCGATGTCGATATGGATTGTTCAGATTGCCGTCGTGTCATAGCCGGCGTTTGTAATGGCGTAGAAGTAGCCGGCGACGCCATTGCTTGCGATAGGATGGGATGTACCAGCGGTATGTGTGTGACGGTGCTAGCTTTGTCAACACCAATGGCCTCGACCATACCATACTGTGTGTAATCTTGCGGCGAGCGCGATGGATTGAAAGTCTCCTCGTCGACGTTTCCCGTGCTGAAGAAGGGGTTAGCATCAGCATCATTCTGGATAGCTGGTGACGGGGCGGGTGACTGTGCCCATGGTGAGCTCGGGTACTGCTCGTACTCCTCATAACGTTGCGGCAAACGGGGATCATTGGTTGCTAGATTAGCACGGCCACGAGCAGCAGCAGTTTTTTGGGCTTCTTGCGCAGCAGCACTGCCCTGTATTGCGGAAGGCTTGGGTTGTTCCAGCTTGTCCTTGTTCAGATCTTCTTTGGATGTTGCATGGGAACTCGAGTAGTCTCTGGTCAGAGTTACTAAACGCCCTCTTTCTAAAACGCGATTGACGCCTGTGTTGTCGATGAGGGCATCTGGTTCATGATCAAGAGCTCGAAGTACGTGATACACTGCATTGGGCGATGAAGGTTCTCCCACACTAGAGAACTCTGGGTCACTGAAAGTAGGACCACCTGTTGGAGTCGATCCAGCAAATGTAGCAGAGGCGCCGTCAAAGGAAGCTTGGGAAACCTGTCTTAATGGATGCTCTGGTCTTGCCGACATGTTGGGTGCATGGCTCGCCGCCCTCATTGGGCCTCTTGGCCGGTTAAGCGGCGCCGGTGTTAGGGTATCTGGCGACGTGTTCGACTTCTGGCGTTCGTGGCCTGCGAAGGAATGATGCGAAAATAGCTTCGGTCTGCGTTCTGGAATCATGGCGGCAGGTGGTATGTCTGCATGTTCATTTTCACGCGAGCCCGACTCCTCTTCAGATGGAAAGTGACTCTGTGAGCCTGTTGCTTCCTGATAAGTAGCTGCGTGGGGACTTCCGTCGTTGGCCGTGGCAGTGAAACTGGTCTTCTGTCCCCATGGCACATTCTCAATATCTGATGCGTCCGCTGGCACTGCCAAGGTCGCTCTTTCTGCTCCGTAATGATCGCGCATGATGGAAGTCACAGCGGTCCACCAAGCAGGAAGACCGGGCTCGGCACCCAGGCGCAATACGACTTCGTAAAGATTAGGACTCGGAAATCGCGGATCCTCGGCGTCCAGGCTTTGGTAATATCTCCCTCCCGGGGCAAACGGTGTGCTCGATGCGGCGGGGGTGCTGCTCTCAGAGGCGATGCGCTCTTGCGGGGCTGCATATTCTCGCGATTGTCCCGCAGCTACTGTGGGCGATAAACTGGTGAAGGGCATGTGAAATGCCGAAGCCCATCTCGGTGTGTTTGGGACAGAAGGGAAAGGGTACGATGGGGTTCGGACGGCATGGGTGGCGGGCGTAGGTGGCATGCTACCACGAATGGTTCTTGCGGACTCTGTGGATTCGGTTGATGTGGTAAGGCCTGTGGGTAGCGGGTTTGGGCTTGGTGTGGGACTGCTGAAGGCTCCCTCAAGGGTTGGCGAGATGCCCGGCATGGGTTCTTCCTTGATGGGCGATATGCGACGAGACCCCAGGGCCGTAGCAGAGGCATTGTTCGAGGAGCTCCGCAGACGCGCACGTTGCTGTTGCTGCAGCATCTTCAACTGCAGGCCGCGCAGTCTCTCCACTTCCATCTCGTCTGGCGAAGCCTCGCTCAGTGGCGCATCGTCTCCGCCCTGCTCTCCTACACCACCCTCCTTTTTCTCGTCGCCCGGCTGGCTCTCTGCCTCACTCATTTCGGTATTGACGACTCCAACATCGCTGCGTTCGCTCGTAGGCCGGGTCCGGGGCGAGGGTAGCGAGGTTTGCGACTGGTATGGTTTCGCGTCGCTGGCGGCCAGTCTCTGCAGTGGCGGGCGGGCAGTGGGTGGCGTCGCAGTGTTCTCTCGCTTGGAATTAGGAGAGGTGGACGGGGCCTTGGTCATTATTGCATTCCCCAGTCTCCCACGTAAAGCGCAAGTGGTATCGTGATGGGGTCGAGGTAATAGGGAGCATAGATGGGATGGTGAGCTATGACGTCGTGGAGTGTGCTCCTGGCAAGAATGAACGGTGTAGAGGCCTCAGCACCATGGACAACTCAACAACACGACCTAATGACCACCTGTGGTACTAAGGCTGTCAATCAGAATGCCAGTCAAGGCCGAATCCCCCCGGGGCGCAGAAGGCAAGCTGGGAGTGCTTGGTGAGTAAGAATCAGGTGGTGGGCTCATGCCAGGATCAGGAGCAGGATAGCCTCGCGCCGAAGGACTTCAACACACACGCCCGCATACACTTACAGAAAGGACGAGGGGACACTCTGGGACGCGTTGGACAAAAGCAGTTTGGATGGATCGTGGATCGCGTAAATGATGTGTATTGGCGCGGGAAACCGTCTTGCTCCTTTCTCATTACAGCCTCCCGCTTGGACGAAATTGATTGTTGGCAGAGAGCCGCCTTCGCTATGATCGAACCTTGGCGCCCGACGTCATCAGGGACTGTAGCCGCGCCTCCGGGTGCCTAAGCCGAGTCTGACAACGACGCCCAACCATTACCACCACCACACCGTAACCTCGCTTCTCACGGGAAATACGCATCGTGATGTTTACAATTCCAATTATTGCGCCACCTGTCCCTGCCCCTGCCCCTGCCACGACCGCTTCTTGACTCGTTCCAGAACTGCTACTTTGCAGTGGCTGATAACTAACGGGATGCCACGTTGTCCCAATTGGCTGGGTTCCCCTGCAACCTTGGAGAAACTGTTTGCCATGTCTGCCTAATTGGGGTTAGCGCTCTGTTCTTTCGTCCGCCAGCCTCGAAGACGCTTGCCGCACCAACGTCCTATACTAAAGAGCCTCACTACTAGTACTGCTGTCCCTCACTCGATTGACGTGTTGAATACGCTATCCCGCAAATTTGGCCGTTCTGTCACGTCTCGGTCCGAAATGCGCGCCAGCCTACGAGTAGCCATAATGGAACCACTTGTGGTGTCATTATGCTCAAGGGCGGACCGCCCATCTGGATCTTGCAGTCTACACTGGGAAGCCTCAGCGGCTTTGGCGCTTCTATTATTCTAGCAACTGTCGGGTGCGGCAGGGCTGTCATTCCAGACAATGTGATAGAGTGCCGAGAGCTGCCATACGTGACAAGCTGCGATCCAAAACTATATCAAACTCTAACCGTCAGCTGGACTGCGGGTACCTGCCTCACGTGCGAACACCACACGTACCCACCATCATGCCCGCTCAATGCTCGGCATATAGATCTTGATACCGGGTAGCTTACTTTCGCGACGGTGGCCTCTATACCACGACTCTGCTATGTCCGCGAGTTTCCGCAATTTCCTTTCGAGCTCCGGAAACACGAACCCGACCAATCATCATCAAACGGTTCTAGGTCGGGTACCTTACAGCGCTTATCACGAACAAATACAGATCTACAGACAATCGCAGTGTCAACACGCCACAGCCGTAGTAAATCAGATCGATCTTCTTGGGAACCACTGGTCCGCGGAGCTCTACATCTGTAACAACCACGAAACGCAATCGCCGATCGGATCGCGGATCTTCGCCCCTACGATAAGAATTCTAAGAACAGCAACAATTTCGACAGGCGATGTGTTGCAAATTACGTTACAGGCATATCAGTTCATCTTTCCTTTGAATTAAGATAAAAAACACCATCAAGAGGCTAGAAGGATTGATCATTAACATGTCTGTTACAGGACTTCCAACAAGCTCGAACCTAGCAAGTCAACAGAACAACATCGCTCGTCCGAGATCCATCAAAAGAATGACCGTGAACCCCTTCGTTCTAAACATTTCTAGCACACAAGTGCAAGATCATCTCTCCTTTGAACTCACTTTCATACTGCTTCGTCGGTTCTAGTTCCCTGCTATCAAAATAGTAGATATCGCAGCATTCCCCTTCGCAACTGATCTCCGGACATGTAGTCGAAAGGCCCTCACAAGGCTCAAACGTCAACATCAGCCCACCCTGGTATCCAGGACACTGTCCCATTTAAGCAGAGTAGTCGGCATCCGTGGCGGAGAAATCGGCGCTGGCCGTATTTGCGAGCATGCCGCAGTTGAGAAGCGAAACGTCATACCAGAGGAGACGGTGATCTTGTTGAGCTTTCGGATTGTGTGTCAATACGTATTCGAACTGCGTGATGTTTTAATCGTGGGGACGTTCGGCCCAGGGTATCTTCCGCGAAATTCCCTGACCCCACAGCTTGTCTGTGTCCGGGTTCCGGCCGTTTGTGGTATCGTCTGGAGATACCCATGCGTTACGGAAGGATTCGCTGTCATTTTCCCCTGGAGCGATAGAGGTAGAAGACTTGTTCTTCTGGTGTGCTATATCCTTCCGTGTCCGCACGGTTTCCGCCCATCGGTTGGACCTTGACGGCAACGTCGCACTGGTTCAGGACAGTGGAGTTGCTGTGTTTGTAGCCCAAGTTGGGGGTATTGACTGGGCCATAATCTAGTGTTTCGTAGGGCTGAGCGGACGTCTTGGTGGCAGTGGGTGAGCCACCCGCACTCGATTCATCCAGCGCAGTTGTCCCATGAGATATACTGACTGAAACAATATCAGAAAGCACGCTTGCTGCTCCCATCGACGATATGGACGCCAAAATCAAACTCATGAATATGGTTCCCGCGACCGCTGTACCCGAATCGAGAAGCGATGCATCGCTCCTCTTGGTTAAGGGACCCGAGTAGGCCTTATGGGGTACTGCAATGAGGACAAGCTAAAAGAGATGCCAGTTTGATATGGGAGAACCCATTATGTTAGTTTAGCGTCGATGACGAGTAAGGTTGATTGAGATTGTACTATAGGCGTTTGTTCGTCTGTGTAGTTTATTTGGTACGGACCAATAACTAAGAATGTAGTACCTCGTGTTTGGAAGATGGTGTATATAGGAAGCTCAAATCAGCGAGAAGAGTTGTGTTTCATGTATAAAGGCTGCCACGAGTCTTTGAATATGACTTCGTGAGACGTGGAAAGGGACTGTTGATGACAGATGTCTACTTGACTCGTACTGTGACAACATCACGCACGTCGCTATGAATCTTCGCTATCCTGTATACAAGAGTCATGACCCTGTACTGGTAGAACATCGGATCAGTTTCCGTCCCAGATTTCATCCAATACCATGCAAATTTTCCACCATCCTGCATCTCGGCTCCAACGGTAACGTCCCCGTCTAGCTCATCGTTCTCTCAGACCTCAAACCACTTGAGCAGCTCGACATTACATTCCTAAACCCACCAACAAGATCTTCAGCGCATACATTCAGTGCTCGTAGTGGTGTAGTTTAGAAAGAGGCCATACGGTTCGCCAAACTCTTCCGCCCTAGACGCAGCCCACTCTCCGGGTCTCTCGGACTCCAAAGATGGGCCTACTTGACAGTGCGCAGCTACAGCGGGTAAGGACTCCTTCCACGAGAGTGCCCTCAAGGCCTGCTTGCGAGCTTGCCATTCTGCGCCAGCCTTTCCGCAGTCATTAGTAGTCTTTCTGAATTATCGTAGTCTGAAATGAATCTCGTGCTGTAATTGTATTGCTTCGTAAGCTTCCTTGAGCACAGTGTTCCCCAAGGATGCCTTCATTCTCTCATGCATCCCGGGAGTATATGTGCTTCATAAATGGAGCCCAAGAAGCGACGAAGACATAGTGAAAACAGTTTCGAGGAATCTTGTGTAGGAGCCCTTGTTGAGCACTCATTGGAACCAAGACTACGACTACAGATGGAACGATGGAATGACAAGGAAACGGCATGGGGAGAGCATGCTGGAAAGACTTGGCGTCGATAAGTCTAAGACTGCGCTTGTTTATAGTGCATGTAAGTCAATCAGAATAGACAAGAGCGGAATGTTACTCCTTAACTCGCTAGAGGCATGCCACATCGCATTCTCTCGACATGTTCATTTCACTTGCCTGTTTATAGGCGATCGCGCTTCGACTACGGGAGAAGTCTAATACAACAACCACAGACCGTTGGAATGGTGAACGGGTTACAAGAGACAGCTTTGCGTCAGACATGAAGGTCATACGTGGCTGGTGTAAATGTGGAAAAGAAGAGAGATCCACAGCATTACTGATTGATGTCAATGTTCCGGGCGGCGAGGAAAACATAGCCGCGCCTTGCCTGAGTCAGCCACCCTCACCCAATCAACATCCAGTACTTGACATCTCCGCTTTCCAGACCCTCGATTTTCCTCCACATTCCGCGTCGGCGCTGTTCCGCCCTCCCGCTTGAAGATGCCGACGCAACCCATACTAAAGCTTCCCGAGGCTGCGACGATACTTGAATGTATAGAGTTCAGAGGGCGGAACATCCCTCCCCACGGTCACTTGTATAATCCTCTCCAGTCTGTAGATTGAGCGCTGTATAACATAGTCTGGAAGTGTGTGCACCTGTACCCAGTCCAGCACAGCATGCCGTCGATATCCCTCACCCTTCGCACAGCGCGAACCTTTTCGCGAAGCACGACAAAGGTCATTCCATATCCCTGGAATCATTTTTAAGCTGTTACTAACATCAGCAGACATATCTTAACCTCTCACGCTCCTTCTCATCATCTCTCCGCCGCAATGAGATCAACAAGGTCTACCCAAGTGCCGCAGCGGCCATCGAAGACATGTCCTCCAACAGCACGCTGTTGTGCGGAGGCTTCGGTCTTTCAGGCGTCCCAGATACACTCATCCACCAGGTGAAAAGTACACCACAAATCACAGGCCTAACTGCCGTGTCCAACAATGCCGGCGTAGTTGGAGGGGGTCTAGGCCTACTGCTAGAAAGCAAGCAGGTCAAGAAGATGATTGCAAGCTACGTGGGCGAGAACAAGGTCCTCGAACAGATGTATCTCACTGGTGAGCTGGAGCTGGAACTCACACCCCAAGGCACATTAGCAGAAAGGTGTAGAGCAGGCGGTGCCGGAATCCCAGCATTCTACACACCCGCTGCTTTTGGCACAGTTGTGCAAACTGGAGAGCTAGCACTCAAGCACAACAGTGACGGCAGCGTAGCGCAATACTCGACCCCCCGCGACGTCAAAGTATTTGCCGGCAAGAGCTATGTAATGGAAGAGAGCATCAAAGGCGACTACGCCTTCATCAAAGCCTACAAAGCCGACCGCCTCGGCAACGTCCAATTCCGCTTTTCGGCCCAAAACTTCAACGGTGCCATGGCGCGCAACGCCAAAGTAACCATTGTAGAAGCCGAGCACATTGTCGAAGTCGGCGACATCCCTCCCAACGCCGTCCACGTCCCAGGCATCTACGTCGACCGCGTAATCCAATCGACGGCGGAAAAGAAGATTGAAAAAGTCGTCAACGCAAAGGACCCCCAGGAAGCAGTTTCTGCCCTGGGCGCCGGCGACGCAGCATCGAAACGCGAACGCATCGTCCGCCGCGCAGCCAAGGAGTTCAAAAATGGCATGTACGCTAACCTGGGTATCGGCATGCCCATGCTCGCCCCTTCCTTTGTCGACCCTTCGGTCGAGGTCCAACTCCAATCTGAGAACGGCATCTTGGGTCTCGGCCCTTACCCGCAAAAGGGACTGGAAGATCCTGATCTCATCAATGCGGGTAAAGAAACGGTTACCCTTCTCCCTGGTGCATCGTGTTTTGGTTCAGAAGAGAGTTTCGGTATGATTCGCGCTGGAAAGATCAACCTGACCATTCTCGGTGCTATGCAGGTTTCCGCCAGGGGCGACCTGGCGAATTGGATGTTGCCAGGCAAGGTCAAGGGCTTTGGTGGTGCTATGGATTTGGTGTCTAACCCGCAGGCTACCAAGGTTGTTGTTACTATGGAACATACGGATAAGAAGGGGAGGCCGAAGATTCTTAAGCAGTGCGAGTTTCCGCTTACGGGTAAGGCGTGTGTTAGTCGGATTATCACGGATCTGGTAAGTTACCTCTTTTCGATTAGACCACTGGCACAGGAAACTAACGTTTGGTAGTGTGTGTTCGATGTCGACTTTACAGAGGGTCTGACGCTCATTGAGCTTGCGGATGGTGTTACTGTGGACGAAGTGCGGTCGAAAACTGGTGCTGACTTTAAGGAAGCGGCTGAGATCAAGCCTATGCTGTAGAGAATCCAACTGGTGCTATACGCGTAGTCCTAAAATTTGCACAATACCAATGTTTCTTCTTGCACAGATGATGCATATCTATTCCTACAAACCCAGGTGCGCTATGAAATGTTGACAACAAACTTGATCCGATGACAATGTGAATGCTACAATCATCATGCAAAAGCAACCTACTCCGTCCTCGTCTTAATGCTGCCACTGGAACCATCAGTCGCAGGATCATACTCGCCGCCGGTTTTCAAAGTACGACTCCTCGCGGGCAGCACAGTAGGATTAGCCTCCTTCAACGGGTCGCCCTCAGCAGCCTCAACATCGCTATCCTCGCCATCAATACCCGCCTCACGCCTCATTCTCTGCCTTTCCAACCACTCCTCATCATCCTCATCCTCACTGTCCTCATCGCCAACAACACCGTATCTGCCCTCACTTCCACTGCCACTTCCATGCTCAGGATCCTTGATAAAGCTATCGATGATCCAGTACTGCAGCGCATTCATAATCAAGGGGAAGATGAACATGACGAAAGTGATTTGTAGCGCCGTGTTTCCTTCGGTCCAGCGGAGTGCCCAGTCTCCTACCCATGCGATCCAGGGCAGGAAAGCGAAGATGGCAAGGACGCAGAGTTTCATGCCGATGAGGCCGAGGAAGTAAATTATGGACTGCTTGAGCCACCAGGTTGCGCGTGGGGGCTGGCCGTAGTTGCCACTACGAATGGATTCTGGGGGGTTGGCAAGCGGCGTTTTGGCGAATGCAGCGTGGAGGATCTTGAGGAGGAGTACGAGGATGGGGATACCAATGGTGGTCTGGAATTGTTAGTTGCGGGATACAGAGGCCTGTGAGAATGTACATACATCAATAGCTAGGTTAAGGAGGTAGAATGAACATGGGTTCGGTTGATCACCTTCTTCGTTCGTTCCAGCATATTGCGTGGTCGCGCTTGTCGTCGCTGCTACGTCGAATTTACCGGAAGACAACATGGACATTAGGACGTTTGCCAGATGTAACAGAACAGAGCCGAAAACCTGCTTGGACACATCGAAGAACCAGATCTTCATCGGCCTTCGTGGAGACTCTCTCAGTCTCTTGACTGCGAGAGAGGATACTGCGAGAAGTCCGAGAGCACCCTGCACAAGCAAGGCAAAGTTCCCAAGGAGATTGCACTCGCCCTTGCCACTCTCGCCATCTGTTGGGCTTCCTTGCGCTTCGGCGATTTTACTAGGCTCAGCAGCAGGTGCTGCAGTCTTCTCAGGCTTGGCCTCTGCAGGCACGGCTTCGGATGACTGTGTGGAGGTAGGTCTCGCGACATTTTCGGGCGTGGCTTCTTCGTCGTTGGAGTTGACGTTATCATCCGTAACGGCAGTCGTTGATTTCGCGGGAGCAGGTGGCGCAGGTTCAACAGGCTTCGCGGGTTCCGCCTCTACACCATCGATGCCCATGAGCTCCGTCTCAAAAACTGCATCCACGGTTAGACAGTCCCAGACTGGCGTCACTAGCCAAACATACTCAACGTCGATCCCGCAGGAATCTTGGTGCCCATAGCGCGGTTTCCGTAGGCCAGATTGGGTGGGATAGTCAACTTCCTTCCTTCTCCTATACACATATCTAACAATCCCTGATCCCAGCCTTTGATGACCTGGCCCTTGCCAATCGTGAAGCTGAATGGCGTCCCTCGGTCATAGCTCGAGTCGAACTTGCTGCCATCGCTCTGCAGCGTGCCCTTGTACATCATAGACACGGTGTCGCCCTTTTGAGTCTTGCGCGTACATTCGGCCGGTTTCGTGACTTGGACTTCGAGATCCTGCGCAAGGGCGAGCGAAGGCAACAGCGCCAACGGGAGCGCCAGGAGCGTGGTGAGGGGCCGCATGGCGGCAGTAAAGCGACGTGATGTCGCGGTCAAAGAGGGAAAGCGAAGGCGGTGCTGCGCGTGTCTCGGGAGGCAGAGAGACGGCGGTAGATTGGTGCACGTGGGCAATCAGTACTACTTAAAACCACGACGAAGCTTACTGCCGGGCTTTCGGGGCTTCTGAAACCTGCGTTATGCGAAACGGGGTGCTGCACGCTTACAAGTCGGACGTTTGCCCGAAATAGAATGCCGTGGGCAAACGGCGAGAGAAGGAGAGAAGGGGTGAAGGCGGACTGACGCTCAACGCCAGATGTACATGTGCTTGTGCAGGTGGAAGTGGCAGCTGTTCTTGACGTGCATGACCCTGGTGAGGCAACTGCGGCCAAGGCTCATGTCTAGACCGTAATTCCGCGGCTCTATGGCGATCACCGAAGTGTCTCCACTGTGGTTGATTGGTCTCTATACTGAGCTACCACATGCACTACAACACGTCGAACCGTACAAACTTGTTCGTGGCTAATCATCACTTGCCCAATACGACCAGGATAAAAAATCAAGTTTCCAAACATGTGAAATAGTTATTGGTGGTACATAGCGAATGTGGTTCAGATGCAATCTCAAGGAAAGGGTATAGTGATCCCACAGCGGCAGTTGCACGCTCGCCTTCCACTACCCGTGTGTCCCAAACGCCTATGATGCTACAAAATACGATAAAATACCCAATGCAAACGCTGAAATCCAAATGATTGCTACACATTTGTATGCTACTCAGTGTCCCGCGCTGTTTTGATCGGGCTTGCTCTCGCTGGGGTTTCAGTTACTGATGCCCCACTCAGTCCGGGCGCAAGTTGGAGACTGTTGCGTACAATGCCTTGTCCTGGTCGCACAACGACGCTACCTCTTCTGTCGCGCTCCAACGGGTCTACGGTATTGACAGGCGCATATACCTCCTGATTCTGGAGATGCGCGTTCATGCGAGCTTCCTCTCTCATCTTCTTGATCTTCATGTAGTTGTATGCCGCGATACTGCCGATCGTGACGACGAGCCCCGTCAGGTTGATAGGCGTTAGAGGGTCCTTAAAAACGAGATTTGCGGTTCCGATGGTAACTACTTCTTTGAAAATGCCACAAATGCTAAGCGTGACGACTGAAGTGCGCTTTAGCAGAGCGAACTCGGACGAAGTCATGAGGAAGGCCAGGACTCCTGGGAACAAAAGAATGCCAATGCCGAGGCCAGTGCCCTTGGTTTCGAATAGGTGTGAAAGACCCTCCATGAGCGCGGAGAAGCCTTCCACGGGTATCGCGAGAATAAGTATGCTGATGAACATGACGGGTGCGAGGAAAAAGATGGAGGAAAATGGGTTCGCCGTGGCAGGGTTGCGTAGGAGCAGAATCTGGGTCAAGGACCAGCGGAAGCCGGATGAGCAGGCTGAGACCATGACGAGAATGAAGCCGAGTGTGTGAAAGGCAGCCTCGCCGGCTACCATCATGACGACACCGGTGGTCATGATGAGGATAATGAATACGAGTCGCCAGGAGGGCTGTTCGAGGCGGAAGAGGAAGGCGAAGATGAGGACAAAGCCGAGTGCAGATGACTTACACATAGCTGTCGTTGTTAGCCGTGTTTTCAGAAATGAGGTTTCATCCCTTACTGAAAAATGTCAACGAGATGAACTTCAAGCTCGTGTTGCCCAAGCCGATATCCATGCCAGTGGCTGCACCACACGGACCGAGTCTGCTAAAGTAGAACCACTTGGTCATGAGCGGCTTCTTTGGGTCCAGGGGCTCTACGCGCGCGCCGGCAGCGTGAGGGTTGAGGGAATCGTGTCGAGGTCGGAAGGAGGGTATCAGGAATAGAACGAGCGATGCGAGCGTGAATTGGACAATCATATGCAGACATGTCGTGAATAGCGGGAATGGGAAAATATTCTTGGTCTCGCCGTCGCCCTTGGCTTCTTTGAACATCCATTTGTTGTAGACAGATATCGATATGGAAAAGAGGTACCTAGACAAATTAGTTCAGTTGGAGACGATGTTGTGTGTGATATCCTACCATAAACAAATGAGAACTCCATTGACCAGCATCGATCTGAGTAGGTTCTGGTCGGCTAGCTTCTTCTCCTCCTTTGTATATGTATCGTCTGGAATGATGCGCTGGTCGAGCAACGTGTTCCTCCTCTTTCTTCTCCGACGTCTCCGCCTGTCTCTCTTGGTGAGGCCCGTCTCCTCGTCATCTTCGAGCCCGTCTGCGCTCATGTCGTCGAGCTCGGCGTCGTCGCTGTCAGACTCTGAATCGGAATGGTCGGCACCCGACGAGGTTTCTTCTCCTTCTTCAGCAATGTGGTCGGAACGGTGCCGTCGATGCTTCTTCAAGTCTGTCTTAGTGGGGAGGGTAGCGCCAGCGAGCGAGGAGGAACGTCTTCGAGCTGCCGTCTGCTCATCCGTCATGGTAGGGGTGGGTGGATGGATGAGTTTCGCGATGTTGGTGCGTGGTTGCGAGACTCTGGGACCTTCATCCGAGCCCAGGTCGGAGAGGGAGCTGGCGGAGGGAAGAGACGGCAAGGTTCTCAGAGGGAATTCATTCCCCGGACTAAGCAGCGGGCCTTGGTGTGTAGCGGTGTCCTGCAACTGCAGCCAGCGAGTTATCCGGGCCCCCTCTGAAGTCATGCTGCTCGACGGCGTGCACCTGATTCGCTTTAGTCTGGCCGCCAAGCCGAGAAGGAGGAAGAGCCGGTTTCCTGCCTAGACTAGCGACGGGCTAGCATCAGGGGCTTAGCGGGAGGATGCGTCAAGGGATGCTTCGACGCGACAGAAACGATGCAGGTACAATTCACCAGACGTGACAATGTAAGCCGTCTGCCGCAGGTACGACGTTTTGATTGTTACGGCCCTGCCATCTGCGACACTGGCTTGGCCGCGAGCTCCGACAGACGACCCAAAGTAGCAGCCAATCATCACCACGTGTCATAGTTAGCGATTAAGCGGGGAAGCTCGCCGCGGGAGATCCACCGCGTGATGAAATATGGAGTCTAGATGTCTTTGCGGAACCGGGTCTGTCCAAACGAGATCCCGACTACAGCACGCAAGCACCTGATATGTATCATAGTATGTAATGTGTGAATGTGCCCCATGTCGGATTGCTCACACGTCTTTACAATCCCTTGGACACCTATTTTTGGGTCTTCAAGGGGTCAGCATGCGCGAGCATACTTTTGAAAAAGCAGAATCACCACGATCCGAATTCCGAGCCCAACGCACTGCGGGCCCTGCATCGGTAAGCCCCGCCCTGCATCCACAACATCCATCAATGGAAAATGCGCCGACGATGCTGCGCCTGCCATGGGAACAACTCCAAGGATATCCAACCTCGAACGCCATCATATGCAAAACCAAACAGATAGACACCATACTCGTTTCCAACGCTGGCTATTGCGCTGTGGGTGGTACAACCGGTGCTGGTGGAAGCTGCTCAATCTGCCGGATCAAGAAGCTCTTCTCGTCGATGAACTGCTCGTCTTCTGTGCGATCGTCTAGAAACGACGGCAGAAATCGTAACAGCTTGTCCCGGTTGCTGATCAGGATTCTTTGCACAGCGACCGATTTATTCGGATTGGCGACAAATACCTGCTTTTGTCAATACATATACACACACACAATCGCATTCATCACCACTAACCTTGAAGACGTGGAAGCCCTCGTAGTTGATCATCTTCCTATCGTCCCGCAGTAGCTTCATGATGATCTTGAGATGCTCCCCAGAATCCACATATTGCGTCATGACGTTGTAGTTTGCCCGGTCGAGCAGGATCTCGCCCAGCAGTTTGATCGACTGGCGCTTCGTCACATAGCTCTCCGACTGAACCAACATCGAGTTGTACTTGGTGAAGAAGGCGTCGAAGTTGGTTTGTAGGAAGGTAGCAACTAGTGGCTTGTGCTTTGTCAAGATTTCCTATCAAGTGTCAGTGGGCACGCTGCTATTCACAACCAGACAACTTACCCTGAAAGTGTTGAATGCGTCAGCGCTAACTTCAAATGCGCCCTTGTCTATCCAGTCAAAGAACTTCCAGAAGACGCCGTTGCCAGAAGATGGTAAATCAGGGTTGACGTTGCCCAAGTCAAGCGTTTTTCCATCCTCCATTGGCTCGTCGTAGAGCAACAGCGCAGCGATTGCATCGTATTTGAGCGCCTCGCGGAGAATGCCACCACAGGGCATGGCGCTTTCTCGCCTATCGTAACCCCGACATAGCGCTATTATGATATCCGGTCGGTATGCGACAACGTGCTCCAATACTTGGGGCGTGGCTTGCCCAGCGGGTTTGTAGCGAAATGCGGTGGAGAAGATGACTTGGGCGTCTTTTCGCGACTCGAACGGAAGCTTGTGTATGTTTATTGCTAGCGCGTAGAGCAGGTCTTCGTTCAGGATGCTCGTAAGGAGCTGGAAGACTGCCTCTGGATTGACTTCGGTGTCTTTGGCATGGTCAGCAGGTTGGCTTGCAGATACATGGTGGAACAAGAAGAATAAACCCACCGGGTGTGCCTTGAAGTCTAATCTTCATCTGCTGCAGGTCCAATGCAAGTCCTTCCTCTAGCTATCACATGTCAGCCATGTCGTCCCAGCGCCTGATGGCAGTCGTCTGGTCGCACCTTGGGGTTGGGCTTGTCCTCCTGCCCGAGCCGCAACGTAAGCTCTTTGATGGAGCGAGTAAGCTCCAGGTTGTTCTTCTGCTTGTTCCGGAACAGGAACGCCATGTTGAGTGGGCTGGCAAGTTTTCTGGGGCGGGGATCGATGTGGGACAGCGGCGGTGTTGTGAGGGGCTGTGACTTGAGGCCAGGGCCGGAAAGCTGCTATCTTGACGGCGACAACATACAGGCGGCTGCAAGAGGGGTAGGCCTTGAAGTCGTTGGGCGGTTATGGGTATACAGGGGGACAGTGCGGTTGTTGCTCTACGTCTACTTTGCCATGGTGATGCTGTTGCTTGTGAATGGCCGAGGATCAACCCTGCGTCACTAGCGCACATTGCGCTGACCTGCACTTCCACTCGCCCACATGATTATTCTAGATTGCAGCTATTCGACCCGTACATCGCTAGAAACACGGTTATATTACTATTTCACTACTATTTACAAATTATGTCATGCACGTGTCAGGCTGCTCAACGCGTGCGGAATTGCCCCGCGCCCCAAGTCGCGTACTAACGCGGATAATCCCCGACGTACGACCTTGTAAAGCTATTCTCCCGACGAAAAGTAGGCATGCTCGAGAACCTGTCATACACAGTTAGCCCATGTCTCCGCGTCTGGCGTGTCATCTTACCTTGGATGCATTCATTCTCGAACCACTCTCATATTTGACTAGATTGCCGACAACATCTCGCTCTACCTCTGAAAGGCTCGGCAGCAACACCGACCAGTCTTGTGGTGGGTATTCGTAGAACTGCACCTTGCCCCAGTCGCGGAAACTTGCTGCTTCCTGCTTTAATCAGTAAGAGTTTAAATCCAGCAAGACACATCAACCCACCGGCCACACATCCAAGTTCGGGGTTCCGAGCTTCTTGAACACGCTCTGTATCAACGCCAAGTCGCTTCCCAGTTCTCCAGAATCGAACAACGTCTCGTGGTGAGGGTCCAGGGCTTCAGCAACTGTGCAACCGGCAGCCCACAGGTCTAAGCTGCAGCCATACTTCTGGTTCCCAAACAGCAGCTCTGGGGGTCGGTAGCAGGTAGTACCAACATCGGTAATCTTCGCGTCCGCCGATTCTGAACCCGGCGCTTCCGGCGCCCATGCGATGCCGAAGTCGGAGAGATATGCTGGCCCGTCGAGTGACTTGAGAAGTATATTGGAAGGCTTGATATCGCGATGGATGATCCCTTTGCTATGGATGTCGGCCAGACCAATGAAGAGGTCTTTCAAGCACGACTTGATCTGGCTCTTGGAGAGCTTCTTGTCCCGCAACAGGTCGCTAAAGTCGTAGCGCACGAATGGGAAGACCAGAACGAAGTGGCTTCCGTTCTCCCGAAAGGTTTCTATCAATGGAATGATCCGCTCTGAAGCCGCCATGGCTAGTATCTTAGCTTCTCGTTGCGAGTCGTGCGGTGGCTCCATCACTGATGGTGTAGTGATCTTCAGAGCCACGACTTTGGTCTTTGAAGACGACGACTCTGCTGGAAAGTAGCTTTCACCGCCGAGCGCAGGCGCCTTGTATATGACAGAGAAGAGACCCTCACGGTGGTAGAGTGCATTCTGATACTTGCCGACGGGCTTTCCGCCCGGTGTTGGGACATAATCTTCGTCCTAGAATACAGATCAGCAAACATGTATACACTTGTTGTGCTGCAACTCCTGACCTCTGGTGTTGGGAAATCGAGCGACGGTCTGGGAAGATTTGTTATCTTGTCATTGCATAGTCTGTCGTAGTCATCCTGCAATATGATCAAAAATGAATTCACAAAGCTCAAGAGATGGTCTGTACCAGAGATCTGGCATCTGCGTAGATGGTCGTCTCAGCTATAGTAGCTTTTTTACGAGCATCGTCTGCAGACAATGATGGGTCCGCTACCTGGTAGGCTGCTGTCCTGCAATACTGTTAGTCCTGGACCACGACATTCATTTCGTGTTGATTGGGCTCATGTGTCTTTTCCATCGCAGGGGTGAATTGCGATCAAGCAAGTATGCCATGCACAAGGTCGGGCCTTGTTCCGTGCAAAGGTGTACCGGGTTTCCCTAGCGCGACAGTATAAACATGTTACTTGCATTTTTGTGACAGCCATCAGGCGAGCAGTGAAGCCCAGGCTCGCTCGCCAGTCCGAGGAAGCCATGTGGCGCGATGGTTTTTTCAAACGCAGGTAGTCAAGACAGGAGTCAAGGTAGGAATCAAGCAGCGGTGTTGTCAAGGCAGGAGAAGAAGAAGAGTCGCCCCGAATCAGAGACGCGACACTACCCAAGCCCACGCGGTCGGTGCCCAAAGACGGGCTGACCGTGCTCACGATATCCCATATTTCATGCAATCGCTTGACACGTCCTGGCGCGCCTCAGGCACCTCTTGAAAGCAGCGATTGGGTCAGGGGAGGCATCTCGAGGTTTAGTCGTTACCAAGGTTACGTCAGACACGCCGGTCCGCGGTCTTGAACTAGGCCAAAAGCGACGAGCCCCAAGCCATGACTGACAGCGCAGTTGTGACAGCTCCACGACACCTGACAAGCTCGCCGAGCTTCCTCTCTATGTAAATATCCCGAACAGCTACTCTGTGGCTGTGCGCCTGTCCCCCGCATACCTCGCCATGGAGCTCCAACGCAAAGAATACCCGGCATTGCTGGTGAGAGCTGTCTCCAAACCCCAGCTATCCGCAACTTCGGCTCACACCATGTATAGACATCGCTTTCGCCCGCCCAAGCCGTGACGGTCCTCGACAGTCGCATGAGACATGTCGGCCAACTCAACAACCACATTGCCGACTGGCTACAGGTGCGTCATCCCCGGGTGTCGCGCATCGTCATAGGTGCTCACCAATGCGCAGGAACGTCGTCGCGTCGAAGAGCAATATGTCCAAGGCCTGCGGAAGCTCGCAAACAGACATCCGCCCGATGAGTCGTCGGATTTGGGGTATGGACTCTGCCCATTCGTCTCATAGCCTGCGAGTTGAGCTAATCCGGGGCAGCATCTTCGCGACGCCATGGCAGAAGATTGTAAGCGCAACCGAATCCGTCGCCCAATCGCACGCGCATCTGGCTACCAAGATCGAAGCCGACGTCGAACGACCCCTGCGCGACTTTACCGCCAGCAACCGAGATGTGCTGGCCATGGGCAACATCCAGGGAAACCTCTCGGCAATCGCAAAAGACATTGACACGGCGCAGAAGAAGCAAGGCAAACTTCGTGATAAGGGAGCGAAGGCCAAAGCGTCCGCCGTCGCCGATGCCGTACAGGATATCGAAAAGGCTGAGTTGCAATGGGACTCGCAAGCACCCTACGTCTTCGAACAGCTACAGGCCATTGACGAGACCCGCCTGAACCACCTGCGTGATGTGCTCACGCAATTCCAAACCCACGAAGTCGACCAGGTAGAGCGCAGCAGGACCACGGCTGAAGAGACGTTGAACGCCATGTTGAACATTGAAACGGCCGATGAAATACAAACCTGGGCATTGAGGATGCGGAGTGGGGATGCACCGCAACCTTCGCGGAAGCCGAGCAACCCAGGAACTCCTTCGAGAAGCCTGGCACCGCCTCCTGTCCCAACATCACCCCCTGCGGCAGACGACAACAGGAGCCAGAAGAGTGGCTCTGTGGAGAAACACAGCTCCAATCCTCTCAAGCGGTTTGGGACCGTACTAGGGCGACGGAGACAGAGTGCACACCCATACGGCAGGGCGACATCACCAGACCGAAACTCTTCATCAAACCTTGGTTCGGTATTCGGTGGATTTGGCAAGGGCAAAGCGAAAGACCGTGACAACCAGGGCTCCTCATTAAGCGCTACTGCAGAACGCCCAACATCGCCCCTACGACGCCTCTCGCAGCGACCCACTACTTCCCAGAGATCCGACTCCCCAAGCCTCACCCGCCAGGCCAGCACCGAGGCTGCCCCAAACGGTACCATACCTGAGTCGCCCGCCGAGACAGATGCGCCAGGTGCCGTCAATGGAACCGCGCCTGCTCAAGATTCTATACCAGAGCTCAAGGAACCCCTGCCACCGCCTCCGGTCATAGAGACGCAGCCAGAACCCGAAAAGGATGCCGAAGGTTTCTCTGTGCCCCCATCCGCTCTTGATGCCATCTCGGAAGCCGAGAGGGAAGCAGGATTGTAAGATTGTACTCTATTCGAAAGTCTAACCGGCTAACCAAGATTAGGGCGCAAAATGAGGGTAATCCCCCTCCCCAGTTCAAACTTGACATCAAGAACGCTCCTATTCAAGAAGAAGATGGTGATGCTGATGCGGCTACTGCCAATCTGGTCAACACTCTGCGCGCAGTAAGTAGTATCGAAAATTTCTAGGAAACACATACTAAAATATGAACAGCAAGCCGCACAGCCGAAGCGGTCAAGCACCTTGCGTGGTCGCCGAGATGTTCGTAACACGATATTCGTACCAAACCCTGCAACACCAGAACTTCAAAGCATAGGCGAGGTGCCTCCACTCCCAACGGGTGACTCTGGCCTTGCTTCTGGTCCTGGTTCAGCAACGTTCCCTACCCCCGCGATTCCTCCTCAACCTACTTCTCCAGCTTTTAAGCCTCCACATCGGTCGTTGCTGTCGGAAGACCATGCTGCATCGGACACACAATCCATCCGATCGGGCCGATCGCTAAGTAGCTCCGCTAGTACCACGATCAGGCATCCGGACCTGCATGAACCGGGGCTCAATGCGTCGTTAGTGGAGACAGTCAGCGCTTGGTTCGAGCAGGGTAACGTTACCAAGGCCATGGTAATCGGACAGGTTGCGCTTGCGTACAACCCTGTCGATATCTCTGCTGGTCCTTTTGGCACTGAGAGCATACGTCTGGAGAACTTCCCCGTACTCGAAAAGGTAGCACCTAACCCTGCCTTCATCGAGCAGTCGACAGATAGCCCAGGTAACTACACCGTGGATCTGTCGAAGATTATGAAGACGTCGGTTGCATTCCACTATCAACTACACATCGAAGACAGCAACATCGGCTCGCTCCCGCCAATTATTCTATCGCCAGCCTGGAAATCAGAACCGACACAAACGTCTGCCATTCTCAACTACTCTCTGAACCCTAGATTCGAGCTTGGTGGTGCGACAAGCATCACCATTCGCAACCTCGTCCTTGTGATCCGACTTGAGCCTGGATCAAAAGCGACATCTTGCCAGTCGAAACCCACTGGCACTTTCTCGCGCGACAAAGGACTCATCTATTGGCGCCTAGGCGACGTTACCCTTTTCAAAGACTCAGCTCCACAAACACTCCGAGCACGCTTCGTTACCGACGGTCAAGCCAAACCGGGCAACACAGAAGCCCGCTGGGAGATCAACGACGAGCAGTCATTGACTCTCGGCAGCGGCCTAGGCGTCAGCATGAGCGCCCCCCTCAACGCTAAGAAAGACGACGGGGAAGCTGATCCGTTTGCCGATATTGATGAGAATGCGCCGGCTAGTCCGGCGATTGAATGGAAGCCTGTGGCTTCTGTCAAGAAGATCACTAGTGGAACATACTTGGGTGTTTAGATAGGGAATGACGTTGGTTTGGATAATAGATAGATGGAGAAAGAGTAGGAAATAAGGATAAGCTTTAATAGGAAGTGTAGACGCAGTACGAAGATGTTAATCACCCCAATCTGCCTAAACTATGATGTCTCCTAGTTGCTTGTGGTTCTGGCTCTCTTTTCCTTTCTCTTGTAGGTGTGTTTTGTACTGGAATATGTTTTTGCCTTGGATTGAGTGTCTTTTCTTTCCTGACCTTTCCCCACTCTGGGTATTTTAGTATCCTTTTCAGGGAAGCACCGAACAACGACAATGAGACAAGCGATGGAAGCATTCAAGACTGGTAGTCGTGATTGATTGACTAACCCTCAAAAGCTCAGGTCAAATGCTAACACGACGCTGATACCAAAGTAGAAGAACAAATTCTAGTTCGGCCCAAATCGGCTCCGCTACTACACTGCCGCAATGACTCCCCCATGAAACTTGACCTGTTCCGGTGGTTGCACCTCAGGTTCGTCAATCTTCCACATCTTGCCATACTCCCTCCACGACTTCACAAAAACCCTGAATATCATTACAACCACAACATAGCGGACGACCTCCCAGAATCGTGGGGCCCAGGGATGCAACTCCCATGTTGCAACCGCCGCCGTTGCCATGACGCACGTAGAGATCATAAAGATCTGGCGCGATTTCGATGCCGTACGGAAAAGATGGTGCGGTGACGCAAAGGTGAAGAGGTGGCGTGTAGCCGAGTGTTTGGATATCGGGACTATACTCTTCATGTCGACAAGAGAGTCTGCGACAGCGTCGTCAAAGTACACGTGTGTATGCATGCGTGTAAATGTGTATACGGTCAGACTGAGGAACAAGAGCACGGTCAGGATCTCCGAGTTGTTGATGTAAGCAGTGTACGGGGCGTCGACGTGAAAGTATCGCAACCAGATGACGTGAATAGTGTTGTCAATCAGGTGGATGTACGATAAACGGACGGCGATGTCGCGCCAGGGTCGGAACATGAGACTGTAGGGACTGTACAGCATGTCTTCTGAATCGTCATCTGTCTTCTCGGACGTGAATCTCCATACAGAATTGCCGCTTCGGTCGTGCACGGTGCGGGTGGCTTCATGGAAGTAGTAGTCGTCGTAAAAACCGAGGTAAGTCCAGTTCCAGCATCCGCATTCGACTAGCAGCCATAACCAGCATATTTTGCCTGGCGAGTTGGAGTTCCAGATCAAGCTCGACCAGGTGGGCTGTGTGGTCCAGCCGGAGAATGTAGAGAGACAGCGGATGGTGGTGGTGATAAGGAAGTGAAGCCAGAACGTGACCTGCATCAGACGCAGTGGGCTGTTGCGATAGACGATGAGACCGAACACGAACGTGACGACGAGAAGTGCGTAGAAGGCTGGCCAGCCGCTGTGTGTGGGCGTTTCGAAGACATCCCGGTTATATTGGCAGCCAGGATCGGAAGCTCGCATCTGACCCGACTCCTCCCAGAAGCACACTGCATATGTTTCCTTGTAGTTGTTCGTGAGGAACCTTGCAGCGGCTATCAGCGACATGGTTGGTAACCCAAGGAGGAGTATGATGTGCAGGTTCGGCGAGTTGCAGAGTATCCACCAAAGAGCCTTGCAGACGGAGGTGCATCTGTGCCAGAGATCGCTCGTTCGCGTCATAGCTGTTATGAGCAAGGTAGCCGTGTTGTAAAAGGTGTTCTGTAGAGGTCTGAGTCACTGATAAGAGTAGATTTTATGTGTGAAAGCGACTAGGCTATGAGATCGGTAAGTACGAGACTGTGCTGCGGTACCATGGTTGAGTATTGAAAGGGTAAGCCTGGATATCTTCGCAGAGTTATTGGTTGACGAATAAAACTTCAGACTACCACGAGGATAGTCACGCATCACCAACTTGGGTCTGATTTGAAAGCGCATGGTACGAAACAGTAACCCGGGCTACTATATCATCCGAGCATGTATTGCAGTGCAAAAGCACGCGTTTGATAGGACCAGTGGCCCCCTACAGTCTACGTGCAACAAGCTAGAGTATACCCTAAAGGCATCTACAGTGATTTTGATCGAGACACTTGTAGTGCATAAGATGATGTGCCAGTCCATGGCAGACTACAAGTGTGAGGTACGGTTTAGAAAAAACGGAGTTATCTGTAGCGTGTACGCTTCCGCAATACCCAGTCTGGTAAGGGCGCCCAAACCTACCGTACCAGGAATTACAAATAGGATTTCACCCACCGAGGCTGCCACAAGTAGGGTCTGAAGCCATTCGCCCAATAAACCTAGTTTAAGAACTTGATGAACATGCACATTGCCGCATACACACAAGGAAGAGAATGAAAAAGTGTTTGAGGTAGAATTTAGAAAAGAGCAAGTACGAGAAACACACCTACGCTGATGCTTATTTCGACTTGTGCCGGGCAATCGTCACTGTGAAGGGCAGGTATTGCCGCACTTACCGTAGATCACTACAAGGCAGCTCGAAAGAATAGGTCGAGTAGACTCTGTCACAGCACGACTAGCCTGGACGGGTAGATTCGAACTGTATGCAACATCACAATTGCGTGGCTGGACCAAGAGAGGTGTGCATTAATACGTATATTCCAAACTATGGAGTTATGAGTAAACTTACATTCAACATGAAAAGAAGCCCTTCCTAATTTGCTTGCCCAAATGAGCGCCCTGAAGTGGTGTGTGTCCGATGCAATGTCGGACCAAGTCACCGAGTGCATAGCGTGATCCTGGATTGTCCAAGTTCGCATGGCAGGCGTGCTTACTCCATGCTCTTGGCAAGCGCCCACAAGCTGTCAAGTTTGGCCCTCCCAAGGGTCTCCCGAGCCTCTCCAGCGGTCTCGCAGACTCTTGAGCCCCACTTCCGGAAGGAGCGCTCTTTGATCTCACCCTCGAAGATAAGAATGCACTTGTTGGATGAATGGTCCTTTACGTCGCCAGTATCGGTGACGGGCCTCAGCCACTTTGGATCATGTGCTTGCTTCTCGGCTTGATTCTCCGTAGGTGGCCCATTCTCATGCCACTTGATGCGTTGGAGCATAAGCTTCTTGTACTTATTGATTGCATATGCGCCGCCTTCGACGACCACCAGGTTGAGATCGGGATTGAACAGGGTGATACCAGTGAGTGCATATTCTTTCGCGTTGTTGTCAATCTGGAAGCGATGCTTTCCGTAAGCGAGTGTGTTGATCTTGAAAACGCACATGTAAAGGCCTTTTTGCGCGTCCTTCTCTTGGTTGGCAGCAAGCTTGGCCTGCCGCTCTTCTTTGGTCAACTTCCGGTCTTCATTTGCAGTGATGTGGTCATCGTGACGCTGCTGGATCTGTGATTCGACGAGCATTTCGACTGCAGTAGGATCTGCAATGGCTTGTTCGCCCATGACACGCATCATGTTTCCGCGCTTGACCTTGGGTGGTGGAGGTGGCTCCAAACCGAGACGAATCTTCGCTTGGTGCTCCTTGAGGTCGGCTGCACGGCGCATTCTTCTTAGCTTCTGTGTCTCCTTTGTGGTGAGATACATAGGCTTCACTTGGACTAAACGCTGGTCCTGAGGCGCTTTGAGCAGAGGGGGATGCTGGACATAGAGAGTGATAATGGAATCGTCGGTCTCAACTTTGACCTTGGCTGGATCGTCCATGCAGTCATAGGTAGGCTCGGCCAGAATGCCCTCGTCCCACCATTCTATGTCCGGAGGAGCTTGAATGAGGAAGCCGCGCTCGCTGTTCTCGTCCAGACCAGCACGGCGGGCTTGGATCGCGAGTGTCTTCTTAATCTCTTCTAGGCGACGTTGCGCGCGCAGCTTGGAAGCCTGGTCAAGGTACTTTCCGTGCTCATTGAAGGCTAGAACACGGGGACCTCTCTTCTTGGCAAGGGCAGCAGCCTTGGGGTCAAAGTACGGGTTCTCTAGCTCCTCCTCCTGTTGCTGCTTCTGCTTGGAAGCGGTCGGCTTGGCCTTCGGATCGGCTTTGGGCGTCTCGGAGCGGCGATTGCCCAGTGTTGTCGCAAATCGAGGGCCGGTAGAGTCGGATGTCGGGGCTTTGGCAATTCCTGAGCCTGCCTTGAGCGCTTCCATCCTCGCCTTCATAGCGGCTAGTTTATCCTGAACGGATTCGCTGGAGCCAGCCGACGCCGATGGAGGAGCCGCAGCGGCAGGCGGCTTTGCGAAACGGGCTGCGATCTCAGCGGCCTTTGCCTTGGCCTTTGCCTTTGCGGCTTCGACAGCATCAGAACCTTTTGCGCGCTTAGCGTCCCCGTTCGGGCCCTGGCCGTCGGGATATGGGCGCTTCTCTGCCATGGTCATGATGAAATGTGGAGGATAAAGGAGTGTCGGTCGTGTGATTTGGGAATGCGGAGGTTCGGGGGTGAAAGTCTGGTTGTAATGGCGGGATATCGTCGCTAGATCGCTTTACAGGCTCAAGGCAGTTCACTACATTCGATGCGCGTAAAATGTAGCCGGCGCGACTGTCGACCCGATGCGGCGAGTGGGGTGTGGTTGATGATGAAAGCCAGTCGCTGCGGAGTGACGCGAAATCAACGCTGCCGCCTCAGCAAGCGTCTTGGCACATGCCGGCTAAACCCTGGCCGAACTTTTTTGGTTCCAAAAAAACTCCCCGCTAGTATCGCGCCTGCTGCGAACATTCACTGAACGCCTTTGCGCGCGGTTTCTTTCAGATAGAAGGCGCAACAGGCAAGTAGGTGCCGTCATGAATACCCATCAGCCAACTTCCTCGGCCATTAATGGCGTCGAGTTTGGTTTCTTGACTACAAACGACATCAAATCGCTCTCGGTGAAGCGCATCACGAACCCGACCACCTTCGATACACTGCTTCACCCGGTACCCGGCGGTCTGCACGATGCTGCATTGGGAGCTTTCTTGGACAACCCGTGAGCTTGATCACGTTTCTGCAAGCTCCGTTCACTCCGCTAACAAACTTCAAGATGCGGAACATGCGGTCTCACCAGCTTCCTGGGCTGTCCCGGCCACTGCGGCCACATCGAGCTCCCCGTGCCCGTATACCACCTCACATTCATGGACCAGCTGCTGCGACTGCTGCGGGGCAAGTGTGCATACTGCCACCAGCTCAAGCTTGCCCGCGTTCAGATCAACGAATTCGTCTCCAAGCTGCGATTAATACGATGTGGACTGGTAAAAGAAGCAAACGAAATGCACGAGCATATCAACATGGACAAGGGCAAAACGAGCACCCAAAATGCAGACAACTCGGAAGACGACGATGACGATGACAACGCCGACATCATCTCACAGCGCAACAACTACGTGAAGAAGTGCATGAAACGGGCTGGCATCTCAAAGCATGATGCGCGATCGATACGCGACAAGAACGAGACCATCTCCGACGCGCGGCGACAGGTGGTCAAGGACTTCTACGCCGACCTGAGCAAGCGCAAGACCTGCGGCAACTGCCAGGGCATCAGCCCAACATACCGAAAGGACCGTGGCATCAAGATCTTCCGGAAGGCTATGAGCCAGAAAGACAAGGCCAAAATGGCTCAGTTGGAGAAGCGCATACAGAACCCGCTGGATGTCTTGGCTCGTAGAGACGCAAAGGCGAAGAGGCAACACGTACACGCGGATGAGGGAGTGGCGGACCTAGATCCTATCTCGGACGAGGACGAAGGCGTTGATATGGAGGACATACAGCAGGCCGACGGCTCGCTCCTTGCTACCGAATCGCGCATGGCACGGAAAGCGAAGCCAGCAACCGATGCTTCAGAGAGCCTGCAAGAGTACGTGAATGCAACAGAAGTCAAGGCAGCCATGACTCTGCTCTTCGAAAGCGAATCCGAGATGATGCGACTGCTTTACAGCCCTTATGGAACTAAGTCCCTTGTCGACGTAAACGCCGACATGTTCTTTACGCAAGCGGTCATTGTGCCACCAAACAAGTACAGGCCGGAAGATAAAACAGGTGATTCTATTGCCGAATCCGCCAGGAACAAGCTCTACAAGAGCATTCTCGAAGCATGCGACACGATCCGACAAATCAGCCAGGAGATGCAGGGCAAACCCAATGAACTTGGATACCGACAACGCAACTTCGACGACATGCAGAGCCAATTCGTCGCTCTACAGGGCTCTGTGAACGCGCTCATCGATCGCGATGCAAACCCCGTGCAGGGCCGCGCGGCAGTCACAAACGCCGACGGTATCAAGCAGGGCCTAGAGAAGAAGGAGGGTCTCTTCCGAAAGAACATGATGGGCAAGCGTGTCAACTTCGCCGCGCGTAGTGTCATCTCACCTGACCCGAACATTGAGACCAACGAGATTGGTGTCCCTCCCGTGTTCGCCATGAAACTTACATACCCGGAGCCCGTCACAAACCACAACTTCTACGATCTCAAAGAAGCCGTCCTGAACGGTCCAGACAAGTGGCCAGGTGCGCATGCTATTGAGAATGAGTTTGGACAAGTCATTTCCCTTAGGAAGAAGAACTACGAGGAGCGACTAGCTTTGGCGAACCAACTGCTCGCACCTTCGAATTCATATTCCAACGGGGCGCGGAATAAGAAGGTGCATCGTCATCTAAACAACGGCGATGTTGTCATCATGAACCGACAACCGACACTACACAAGCCGTCAATGATGGCACATCGAGCCCGTGTTTTACCAGGAGAGAAGACCATTCGTATGCACTACGCAAACTGTAACACATACAACGCGGACTTCGACGGTGACGAGATGAACATGCATTTCCCCCAAAACGAGCTTGCCCGAGCAGAGGCTATGACAGTGGCGGATACCGATCATCAATATCTATCTGCGACTGCTGGAAAACCACTGCGTGGTTTGATTCAGGACCATATTTCCATGGGAGTCTGGCTTTCGAACAAGGATACGTTCTTTACCAGGGAAGAGTACCACCAACTACTTTACTCTTGTCTGCGGCCCGAAGACGGACACACGACCTCAGGTAGACTTGAAACTGTGATCCCTGCAGTACTGAAGCCTCGGCCCATGTGGACAGGAAAGCAAATCATCACCACTGTTTTGAAGAACATCAAGCCTGCAGAATACCAAGAGCTTACGCTCACTTCCAAATCATCAACCAATGGCAAACTTTGGGGTGCCCACACCGAAGAGCAGATTGTCATTGTCAAGGATGGTCAACTGCTTTCCGGTATTATGGACAAGAGTCAGATTGGACCTGCCGCAGGTGGCCTGATCAACGGCATTTATGAAGCTTATGGGGAGACGATTGCTGGACGAGCCCTCAGTATCATCGGCCGGCTGCTCACCAAGATGCTCCACATGCGCGCCTTTTCCTGCGGTGTTCAGGATCTAATTCTTACAGAGGAAGGAGATCGTGCCAGACTGGAAGAGCTTCGGAAAGCAGAAAAGATTGGATTCGAGGTGGCCTCCAAGTACGTCACCATGGATGCGGAAAAGATCGACCCTACCAACCCAGAATTACGGCGACGACTTGAAGCTGTCCTGCGAGACGACACCAAGCAACACGGTCTCGATCTACTCACGAATACTGCCAACGGCAAGATCTCCTCTACGGTCACCGCAGCCTGTTTGCCTGACAAACTCATTAAACCATTCCCGAAGAACCAAATGCAAGCTATGACAGGTTCTGGAGCCAAGGGTAGTATGGTCAACGCCAACCAAATCTCATGTAACCTCGGTCAGCAAGTTCTGGAAGGTCGAAGAGTTCCAGTTATGATTTCTGGTAAAACGCTGCCATGCTTCAAGCCCTTCGAGACGAGTGTTCGTGCTGGTGGTTACATCGTGAATCGTTTCTTGACTGGCATCCGGCCACAAGAGTACTATTTCCATATGATGGCTGGTCGAGAAGGTCTTATCGATACCGCTGTCAAGACTTCGCGCTCCGGTTACTTGCAACGATGTATTATCAAGGGTATGGAAGGTCTTAAGGTCGAATACGACACTTCAGTCCGTGACTCCGATGGTACCATGGTTCAATTCCTGTACGGTGAGGACGGTCTCGACACGACGAAGCAGAAATACCTCAACGACTTTAAGTTCCAGGCGGAAAACTTCTACTCGCTAGCCCAAGCGCTCCACACCGCCGAAGCCTACCCGAAGGTCTCTAGCGCTGAAGCAGCCGAGCATAACAAGAAGGCTGCGAAGAAGGCTAGGAAGGGCGATGTGGCAGCGATGGATCCTGCCACTGCAGTTTATACGCCATCACGGCATAGTGGCAGTACTTCCGAGAAATTCTTGCAAGCTAAGCGCGACGTAAGTTTATTAACCCTATGTCAATACCATATGCTAACTATCATAGTACTGTGATCAAAACCCCGACAAGCTGCTCAAGAACAAGAAGAAGGATGAAGAGGGCGAGATCCTCAAGCGCACTTTCGAGCAGATGCTTGACCTCAAATACCTCCGATCTCTTGTCGAACCTGGCGAAGCTGTTGGTGTCGTTGCTGGCCAGTCCATTGGTGAACCTTCGACACAGATGACGCTAAACACTTTCCATTTGGCTGGTCACTCTGCGAAGAACGTCACACTCGGTATCCCGCGTCTACGAGAAATCGTCATGACCGCTAGTGCAAACATCTCCACCCCATCGATGCAGCTGTACCCCCATCCCGAACTGTCCAAGGAAGACAACGAGAAATTCGCCAAGAGTATCACTCGTCTGCCGCTCTCGGCCGTGCTTGACAAGGTCACTGTGACTGAGACCTCTGGTCCCGGTAGCCAATTTGGCCAGTCCCGGAGCTACAAAATCCGTTTGGACTTCTACCCAGCAAAGGAATACACCAAGGAATATGCCATCAAGGTTCGCGACGTTGCCGAGTCCATCGAACAGAAGTTCTGCCCGCGTCTCCAGAAGATTGTCCGCGTCGATCTCAAAAAGAAGGCCGCAGAAAAATCTTTGTCAACGGCGAAGTCGGCTGCTATCCCTACTATCGGCGAGAAGACTGGTCGGAGTGGAGAGCAAACAGTCGATGAGTCCGAGGAGACCATCCGGGCCGGTCGGGAAGGCGGGGCTGAAGACGATGACAGCGATGATGGTGAGGGTGACAACGACACTACTCATGCCAAGGACCGAGGCCGACGAGAGGACAGCGTAGCTTACGAAGAGCCGGAAGAGGAGGAACAGGCTGTCAACGATAAGCTTGATCAAGAGGATGATGTCAGCGAAGATGACGAGACCTACGGTGGCAGCCCCAAGCCCTCGCGCGCGGCTTCCCCTGACTCCAACTCTGATGACGAGGATGAGCGTATGCTCGTCCCCACCGACGAATCCTCAGAAATCCGCCACGACCGCATCTGCCACAAGAACAACGACATCTTTGACTTCACCTTTGATGACCGCAAGGGAGCTTTCTGCGAGATTACTTTTGAGTTCTCTGCTTCAACACCAAAGCTTCTCATGCTGCACCACGTTGAAGACGCCGCCAACTTCGCCACCATCCACGTCATCCCCGGTATTACTGCCGCCCAGTTCTCAGCCAAGTCAAAGGAAAACCCTGAGAATGTCATCAACACGGAAGGCTCCAACCTCATCGCTATGCGCGAGTACGCACACATCATCGATGTAAACCGTACTACGACCAACGACATCGTGGCCATGCTGCATCTCTACGGTGTCGAAGCCGCCCGTGCGACGATTGTCCGCGAAATGCACGGCGTCTTCTCCGGTCACGGTATCTCCGTCGACCAACGTCATCTCAACCTCATCGCCGACACCATGACCAAGGGTGGTGGTTTCACACCCTTTAACCGTATTGGTCTGAAGGGCAATGTCAGTCCCTTCATGAAGATGAGTTTCGAAACCACCGTCGGTTTCCTCAAGGACGCAGTCATGGAGCGCGATTGGGATGAGCTCAAGAACCCTAGTGCACGTATCGTCGTCGGTAGACTGGGTGGTATCGGCACGGGTGCGTTTGACGTGCTCGCACCAGTCAAGATCAGGGATCCTCTCAAGGGCGTTGCGGAAGAGATTAATGACGTCGTGCTTAACGATGTGCGTGAGAAGCGTGATTCAGACTCGGAGTCCGAGGAAGAGGAAGAAGAGGAGGAAGATGAGGATGTAGATGGTGATGTTCAGATGAATGACGTTGAGATGGAGGATGTGGATGCTGCCGAGGAGGAGGAGGAAGAGGTTGTCCAAGAGTCGCCGAAGAAGAAGGAAAAGAAGAGCAAGAAGCATAGGCGAAGTAGCAATTAGGCGCCGTTGATTTCATCTGCTTGTGCGTTACTACGAGAGGTGTTCTTGGGCATGATTTGGGCGTTTGGAAAAAGGCGGGATAATATTGATGTAGTTTAGCATGTTAGCAATGTGAAATGGCAAGAATACTGCAACTTCGAAGATTCTTTCATGATGGGATACTTGATGATAGGGTGAACTTCTGGAATCTAGTACGAATAAAGTTGCTCTAGTATGTGAAAGCTGTCTGTTGCCGATACACAAGCCTCAACTGCCTCCTGCAAGCTACTGTCATTATGGAGAAATGATAGAACAGATTCCATTTGCTAAAGATAAACTTAGATGATTGTGATCGCGTGCCGCTCGTAGTTGGATGGGCTCGAGTTCTCAAATTTGGGGTATTTGGTGGGCTCCGAAGCGGACCCAATTTGGTGTAAAAACATGCCAACTCTGCAATATGTCTGATTCACAGATTCAATTATTAAGCCCACGATTATTTCTTGTAGTTCCGTGTCTTGGTTCCTTACGTTTCTCATATGTCAGTAACACAGGACGAAATGAAAACAGTCAGTCGCGAAGCGGAATCCATCTACTGTGTAGCCAGAGTCGTAGGCCTTGTACGGAAGACCAGCGAAAGTGAGTGATCGTTGGCTGGATCTTCCCCTATTCTCTACCAGATGACTAGAGATTCATTACTCACTGTTGGATATTCTGCCCGAGTTGAACGCCCCGTCTTGCGACGTGTTCACAAACTCGACATTCGCGACGGTAATCAAGTTAGGTCCGAATTCACACTTTGATACATGCTGTGTTGAACAATAAGCTACTAGACACTTGGCCGTAGCTGTCACATAGTAATCGTTTGTAAGAAGTTTACCCCGCATCCCGAGGTCAGGGCTGAGCAGCCTTTCGTATGCCGCAGATATCATCATCTTTTGCCTCATGCACCCCGACTGATCGGTTCCTGGCATGACAATGGCCTTATAGGCCATTGTAATCCGCCTCATTGGAACAGAGCATGGTCATACTTATGTGATCATGGAGATTCAAGACAACATCGAAGATGAAGGTTAGTCCGGTATCTTCCACAACAGGTTGCGGCATGTTGCCCCGAGAAAAACTAGAATGAGTCCGTACATGCTCCGAAGACATTCAAGTTTGCAGGCTGGGATAGTATCGAAGCCTCATAGACACCTGGCAGGCCAACATGCAGAGCAGCACAGAGCAGTACCCTCAATTATATAGGCGGCGTTGTCATATAAGAGGCACGCAGTCCCCTATTCAAAGTGTACGGCTTGTGACTCTCATGGTCTTGTACGGCATGATAATGGTACCCGTTACATAACCTCTTATCAGCATGTGTCTTCATGTTCATACCGTACTACTCGCTGACCGGAAAGCTGCCGTCTTGCGCAACCGTCACTGCGGCGTTCTCCTTATCCACAAGAACGTATGTCGTCAAACTAGCCTCAACAAACAACAGCGATCTTCGATAAACCGTCCTCGCTTAGCCCGTCGATCCGCCATAGTGCATAAGCACGTGAAAGCGGCCGCTGTGGTGAAAGTGGCGTGCGCATTGTTTATCGCATCCTTCCCGACTGCCCCGCCTGGTCAAGAAGGAATGCCGATTATCGAGGTTTGGAGACAGATGTATGCCGCGGTTGCACTGAGGCTCGGTAGCAGCTGATTGTAGGCGTTGTCACTCGTGATAGCCAAGCCATTTAACAAATGATGAGAGGAGACTTCGTTACGAGCTTGAGCCGCAACGCGTAACATGCAAGCTCCGCATCGGCACGATGACTAAGCTCGTGCAACATGTGCGAAAAACACGATTCGTGCACTAGCAATACGCCAAACCTCGTCACCCACTTTCACATGCGATAGCTCAGCCCTGAAAGTTTCTATTCTATTTCGGGACCTAGAACGGCCTCAACACGTCCCACTGCATTGATATCGAGACGCGCGCGCCGTCCTGCCCGTTGATGCACAGTAAGAGTAGCTAGGCGGCACGTATGACGGATTTATTCCCTGCGACCGTTCAACGGCGGCGATGGCATTGTCGATGTGATAAGGGAACCCAATTGGAAGGCGAGGATCCTTAGCCGTAATGCACTGTCACCAATCGTTCCAAGGTCGCTTTTCAGCGAGCGATCGGAGCCCATCACGATAGCTGACGTGCGAGCGGAGTCGATGCACAGTATCATCAGGATGCGACCAATAGGATACGAAGTGGACCCCCAGCATTCCGTGTATACAGAGCAGCCAAGTTGTCTGAATATCTCGCCAACGGGAGAGCGGCGTGGGTAGGCTTATCTGACGTCGCTACATTTTGACTGGCCAAAGCGCCGTTTCTTTCACATGCCAGGCGCAAGCTGTACGCCCTGCATTCCAACTCCTCAACGCTCTACATGCGCGAGATAAAGTTCGAAACGCGGGGCACACATGAGAAGAGCATACTGCGGCTTGCTTGTGTAATGTTTGGCTTGCATCGGCTCCACACGCTGATTCTCAACATTCGAGACGAGAAGCGGCGCGAGATGATAACTTGGGTAGTGACGTTTTGGTAGGTCGTCTCCGCGCAGATTGACATAGCGCTTGTCGATGGCCACTTTCACATGCCACTGCATGTAATTCACCCCAGCCCACTCAACCACGCCGTTTTGAGCAAAGCCTCCCAACCAAAGACAGTCACATCATAGCGCACCGCCGTATAATAAGGTCGACTGAAATCCTCTCTCTGTCTACGTTACTGTTACTCCTCCACTGCCTCTCAACTCGATAATCATCCAGCATCAACTACAGTAGCCTGCAACACTGCATATCTGCTACTGCAACTAATGGCACCGCACGCTACCGACGACGGCAACAACATGAGCTCTCAAGCACCCATGACCAATGGCGAGACGCCCAGCTCAAAGGCTCTGTCGGTACGTACTACTCTCTTTTCTATGCGCTCGTTCACAATCGCACACACATCTTTCTTCCTCTTGGTGGCTACTATGTAAGCATACCGTATCGCATTGCTGCAACATTTAACATCAACTGCGAGCGACCGCGGGGTTTCGACAACTTTGGAACTGCAATCTACTCGGACCAGTAACACGGCGCACGAATCCCACGATGCAGGCGCGGAGCTTACGGCCCAGCCAATCAATCCACCATTCTCCAAACCTTGTTACAGCATGAACTCTATCTTGCAGAAGCTGTCCGAAAAGCGACCGTGGATACGATCGCGTCTCGAACGTTGACATTCCACATGTGACCACTCAGCTAACGAGATCCAGCATCTCCAATCCTACCCCGTAGTCCACGACAGCGTGGAGACCTTCAAGTCTAACCCCTACGGTTCGCGCGCCCTGAACCTCGCCAGCAACACCTACCAGTCCATTGTCGCACCCTTCCATCCCTACCTGCGCACACCCTACTCGTACATCTCACCTTACCTGGCACGCGCGGACCAGCTTGGTGACTCTGGCCTCTCCACTCTCGAGACACACCTGCCCATTGTCAAGGAAGACACTTCGAAACTCAAGGAGTATGCCTTCTCGCCTGTCACATACGTGCAAGGTACCTGGCAAGACGAGTACAACAAGACGCATTACAACAACGGTGTTGTCAAGATGGGTGTCGCAACAGTCAGCTTCGAACTCAGGATGTTGAGTGATGCGTGCGATGTTGTGTTGAGTTACCTGAACAAGGGCAAGGAACAGACGAAGAAGAAGGTTGATGAGATTAAGCAGTAGAGCACAACTCTGATGTGCGGAGTATGACGGTGTGTTTGTACGATGAGAAGCGAAGGGACTACTGCTCGCTGATCGGAAAAACAAAGGCCAAGGGGCGTCCATCAGTATGGCGTTGTCGGTATAATGTGGAGTAACTTTCTTGCGGCCGTCCGCGCACCTTTCCTTAGAAGATAGACAGATTAATGACCATGATATCCCTGCTGTTCAATCGTTTGGTGTTTCTCGTGCAGATGGAGACTTTACGTAAGTCGAGCCAGCAAGTACTGCTTTGGTATGAAGAAGCTTGTAGACAGATTTGAAGCCTTCTGCTTTAGCATTTCGTCAGACGTGGAAGCAACAACGCGACATGCGTGTTGCAACGAGTATATTGCACCATTATACTTTGGTCGACGGCTCGTAACTTCATTTCGGTAGTATCGTCAAGTCGTTTTTCATCCTACGCTAATGCCGTCAGCACGATAAACTTCACTAGCATCACCCGGTAGTGAAAAACAGAGGCCAACGTGAAGATCATGTGCATTTCATGAAGTTCGTGAATTGAGCCGGATGCCGGATTTTTCATGCTTTGATTATCAAGCCGAAATACACGCCTGGACGGCAGGCCACTTTTGGGGTCCTGTCCTCCTATGATATCCACCGCTCATGCAGCATCTTCCGTATCAAATCATGCCCATCTGCGCCCAGCCGTAACCGAAGGAAAGCTTAGAACTGTAAGGGAGTGAAGAACCACCTGTTCTTTCCGGACTGGTATCGCTCCTCGAAGGCCTTCTTGACCGTCTTCTTGGCCTCCTCCCGTTGCGAGACCTCCTTGAATGTGTCGGCGGAGATGACGCCCTTGAGGTTCTCGAGCTCGATGGTGTAACGGGTGGGCATGATGTGGGTGTCTGCGTCTATCAGCGTCTGCCCAGTGATTGCGTCCTCTATGTCCACATACAGTTGACCTGCTTGACGAAAGGCTTGACCTTGCTCTTCTTGGCCTGCTTGGTCTTTGACATGCGGCGGGTGACCTTGGATGGGTAGGTCTCGATACCGGCAACGAGCGCGTGGGGGAAGGGGTGCGACTTGGTGCCGTTGTCAAGTGGTGAGATGATCACACACTTCTTTCCGGCATAGCGGCCCCGGGTGATGATCTAGGCGGACTGTGAGTGAATGCGAGGGAGCTGGTTCGAGCGGTTTCAACGTACGACAACGCGTCCGACCTTGAGGCTGTGTGGTATGTTAGCAGGTGTCCTGTCGCATGTTGTGGATTTTCAAGGGTGCAGTAATTGGCATCTCGCAGGGCAACTCGTGAGGCATCGCGGGGCGCCAATTTGCATCGCAGAGAGATTCCGGTGTAACGGGGCACTCACAACTTCATTTTGGCTGTTGTCCGGGTTAGTGATGGGTACTTGGTCGCGGTTCGAGGTTGAGGAAAATGGGTGCAATATTCGCTTCCTCGTTGTGTCCGGCGCCGCCACGCTAACGCCTTTGGGGTTGGCTGGCCCCGCCCATGCCTAGAAATCCTCAAGACCCGCCAAAACTTCGCGGCGGCGAGTCTCAAGAGCTGGACAACTACGAAAATGAAGATCAAGGCCCTCAGCCGGTCTACGGCCTCCACACAAGCCCCTGGCTCCAGTGTCGCCAAAGTCACGAGGAATCTCGATCCCAACCTCCATCCGTTCGAACGCGCGCGCGAATACACCAGAGCCCTCAATGCGACAAAAGTTGAGCGCATGTTTGCGCAGCCTTTCCTTGGCGATTTCGAACCTGGCCATGTAGACGGCGTGTACTCGTTCGCAAAAGACCCCAACTCTCTCGAGCATTTTGCTAGTGGCAGTGGCGACGGCATCGTCAAGGTCTGGGACTTCACAAGCAGAGAGGAGAAATGGCAGGCACAGGCGCATGAAAACCTTGTCAAGGGCATGTGTTGGACGCGAGACAAGAAACTGATTACGTGCGGTTCAGACCGTCAGATTCAGTTGTTCGAACCGTATGCGCAGCCCTCGAGAACACCGCCAAAAGCGACATGGCATGGCAATTCGGCCTTCACATCCGTCTCGCACCACCGCTCGCTACCAACTTTCGCTGCTGGGTCTAGCACCATTTCGATATACGATACATCGAGGACGTCGGGGGCTCCTGTGTCGAGCCTTGTGTGGCCATCGGTAGGTCACGGTGCATAGTACATTCGAGGCATATACTGACTGTGTGATAGGCCATCGATACCATTACGGACGTCAAGTTCAACCAGGTCGAAACGTCGATACTAGCATCATGCGCAACTGACCGAGCTGTCATTCTCTACGATGCCCGGACTAATTCGCCCTTACACCGCACCGTGCTCAACTTCCCAGCGAACTGCATAGCCTGGAATCCTATGGAAGCCTACAACTTTGCTGTCGCGTCGGAAGACCACAATGGGTATATCTTCGATATGCGCAACATGAAGCGGGCACTGCAAGTCTTGGTAAGTTTGCCATCTTCACGTCATGGTTACGACCAACCACTAACACTGATTAGAAAGGACATGTTGCGGCAGTCATGTCGATTGAGTTCTCTCCAACCGGAGAAGAGCTCATCACGGGTTCTTACGACCGATCCGTGAGGCTTTGGGAGCGGCAAAAGGGCCACTCTCGGGACGTTTACCACACCAAGCGGATGCAACGCGTCTTCTCCGTCGCGTGGAGTCCCGATAACAACTACGTACTCAGCGGATCAGACGATGGCAATGTTCGCCTGTGGAGAGCGAGAGCTTCAGAGAGGCAGGGCGTCAAGTCATTTGCCCTACGGCAGAAGCTGGAGTATGATGCAGCGCTCAAGGAGCGGTACAAGCATATGCCAGAGATCAAGCGTATTGAGAGACATAGGCATCTACCCAAGACTGTCAAGAAGGCTGGTGAGATCAAGAGCGAGGAGCTCAAGGCTCTCAAGAGGAAGGAAGAGAACGAAAGAAGGCACACAAAGAAGGGCACGGTCCGAAGGAAGGCGGAGCGTGAGAAGATGATCTTGGCAAGGGAGCAATGATGTGTCAACAGGAGGATTCACTACATTTTCTGCATAGCGATGGCGTTCTCGGTATTCAAGTAGAGAACCTGGCATACTGTACAATACACCCAAGGGTGTATATGGTAGTTGAAAAGATATGGGACATGTTAACTTAGCCAGGTTTCCTCTCCAGGAAAAACTGCTTGCTTTCAAACCGAAGCCTTTCGAATATCGATCCACGTGATATCGCGTGATTGCGTCATACCTCGGTCTGCATGTACCCTAGTATGTAGCCCGCAGTACGAAGGGCGTGAGAAGTTAATATCTAACCAGCACCGGGCAATCTGCCTTAATACTTCGACTACTGAACTTCAAACACATTAGATCTTCCCCTCTTGCTCTTCAGCAGCACCAGTCTGACTTGAAGGAATAACATCGCCGCCATGGCATCTACGTCAGCCCTCCAAATCCAAGACTCCAAGTTAAGCAGTCTCGGTCTCTCAAAGTCTGTTGTGAATAAGGAGAAAGTATGCTGCTATACGCGCTCTTTAGAAAACGCAAACAATAAGAATCCCGTACTCGTTCTCATTCATGGCTACCCACAGTCGGCTTACATGTAACTTCCTCCTTCTATTCTATATCCCTAAATTACATATATAAGAGGGACTGACGATAGGCCAGGTGGCGACACTTAATCCCTCTGCTCCCACCCAAAGCACCACTTTTCGTTCCAGATCTACCCGGTTACGGCGCTAGTGCACCGATTGAGCGCAACGACAAACTGAGTGTTGGGACGGCAGTACTAGAGGCGTTGAAGACAGAGGCCAAGAAGAGCAAGAGCACCAACGAAAGTGTGAATATCGTACTCATTGCGCACGATCGTGGGGCGAGAGTTGCGCATCATCTTACCGTCAGCGGGGTGGACGGTGTGAACATCTTGGGTGCTTGTCTTATCGATATTGTATTTCTCACCTCTACACGTGCTCTTATGTTCTTGATGTGCTGATTGTGATAGGTTCCGACTTCTACGCAATGGCAGCATTTCACTTCCCCAGCTACCGCGGCGAAGGAGATTACAGGCTACTTCCATTGGCCATTACTGGCGAACGTCGATTTAGCGACGCGTATGATTACTGCTTTTGGGCCATCTAACTGGTGTCAGGAGATGATATTGCGCTGGTCAGGGAAGAGCAATGCGGGCGTTGAAAAGCTAAAGGCTGATGATGCATTGACTGTCTATGGCGAATTCTTTGCACAGGAACATACACTGAAAGCGAGCTGCGAAGACTACAAGGAGGGCGCTACGACGGATGTTGAGAAAGAGGAGAAAGATCAGAAAGAGGGTAGGAAGATTAAAGTGCCGGTGTTGTTGGTGTACAGTGAGGCGGGTATCGGGAGCAGGTTCGACTTTCCGGATGTGTGGAGGGAGTGGGTAGGTGAGGATGTAAAGATCAAGAATCACGCGTTAGGAAACGGAGTTGGACACTTTGGGGCAGAGGAGGCGCCTGAGGAGTGCGCGGATGTTATCAAAGGCTGGCTCGGAACAGTAGTTGCATAGTTTTTCATGTACCCGAACTACACAAGCTCATACTCCTCTGCTTACAGGCTCAATCTCAAAAGAACATTGCGATGAAGGCACTCTGAAAGTGTCAAACCAGCTGGGTATATCAGCATGTATACCCTGGCGTGCCGGTATCTGTTCTCATCTCAATGCTGCCAATATCCAGGATCTGCTCGAATGCTTGTCGCTCCGTAAAAAGTCGACTCGGATGAATCGGAGACTTGACGTTATGATCATTTCGACCTTGTAGGGATAGTTCATGACCTTTGATGAAGGTTATAGTTCCTCTCGACGGCTCGCGGAGAGCCGTCTCCTTGCCGCCTTGGCAGCTCCTTCGCATACGCCAACCCCTCGTAGTACGGCAGATAGACGCTGCCACCAATCTTCTTCCTGCTCCTGTACGCCAGGCAATCAAATCAGCTCAACCGACTCAAACACACAAACAGCCACACTAACTGTATCCAACGGTTGCAATCGTATGCTTGCATGAGAACGATGCAATCACCGAAAGACATCTCCGCCGCTACGGCGCCCTGGCGCATCAGTCCGTATTCTGCACTCCAGATCGTCGAATGAGCGATGCTGTACGGTATCGACACGCTTGTACTATGGGCTGAAGTCTGTGGTCAGCTTACCGACATTTATAGTGCAGCAATGGTACCGTGAATCTGCCCCACGATCAGTACCTGCCAGATGCCTCGTGAGATTTAATCCAATACACAAGGCAATACGCATGTCTTGTGCCCAATATTTCCCCCAGTCTTCTTTTCTTCATCCTACACTCTCCACTCGAGCGCCAGCACAAGCGATCGATCGGCCAATATGCTTTTTCCTACTGTCGCAGCTTGGCTGTTATGTGCTGTTCATGGCACATTTGCGTGCGAACCTGACAATCTGGAGCTCGTAGTGTCGGCATTGAAGCCGCAACTATCCAAAGATGCCACCATCACCTTTCCATGGGACGCTCGTTGGAACGATCTCCAAGTCCGTGGCTCTTCCCCACGCATATCTCCTGACTACAACGTGGTGGTCGAGGTAGCGACAGAGTCAGACGTGCAAACCACAATCGCATCGGCCAATCATTTCAATATCCCGTTCTTAGTCGTTACAGGGGGCCATGGTTGGACCAAAACGCTTAACGAACTGACGTATGGTATTCAGATCAACATGCGGAAGCTAAACACTACGACACTCAATCAAAATGGCAAGACTGCGATGGTCGGAGGCGGAACATTGCAACATGAGATCACTCGCTCTTTGTTCGCCTTGGGCAAGTATGCAGGTGAGTTCAGGCCTATATCCGCAGATGTACACGCACTAATCGTTCTTACCAGTTACCGGGCTTTCCGAATGTGTGTCGGTAGCAGGGCCACTGTTAGGCGGCGGTCACAGTCTACTTCAGAACCAATATGGCTATTCTCTAGATGGTCTTGTTTCCGCGCGCGTGGTTCTTGCCAGCGGCAAAGTTGTAGAAGCCTCTCGGACGAAGAATGCCGACCTGTTTTGGGCCTTGCAAGGAGCAGGCCATAATTTTGGCATTCTGACGAGCCTTGAAGTAAAGACCTACGATATCCCTTCCAACTGGACCGTCTACTCACTCGTCTTCGCGACCGACAAAGTTGAGGCGCTGTTCAGTTTGATCAACGAACTCGAAGAACCGGCTACGAAACGTCCTACTAAGCTAGCGCTCACAGGAGTGTTCGTGAGGATACCTGCTGTCGATCCTATCAACGTACGTACAGGCCCGCAGCGTAAATCCGAATGCTGACCCTCTCATAGCCTGTCGTAGCATATACTATCGCATACGAGGGCACGGAAGCGGAGGCTGAACCATACGCCGCACGTTTCAAAGCGCTCGGTCCGGTCTCAACTACCGTCTCGACAAACGTCAACTATGTAGAACTTTATACGGTGACTGGAAATAACCTCAAAAGTCAACCTTGTACGCGGAACGAGAATATCGCAGGAGCAGGCGTTTCACTGCCTGCTTGGGATCTTGAAGGTGTTCGCAAAGCGTTTACGATATTCGGTAACATCACAGCCGATCCCCGCTTCAATACTTCCATCACCTTAATGGAGAATTACGGAATGCAAGGTGTACGGGCTATTGAAACAGCTTCCACTGCAATGCCACCCGAGGAACGCGATTATCCGATTCTCGCATCTCCGGTGCTGTGGTGGGCTGGCGATGACGCGCAGGCGACTAGAGATGCATATGTATATACGCGTGCGATGCGAGATGCGCTGTATACGGGCCTCTATAAGAGCAACAAGAAGCGACACTGCTATGTGAATTATGCTAACGGAGAAGAGAGCAAGCCGGAGATGTATGGATACGATGCCAGGCTTACGAAGTTAGCTAAGCTGAAGAGTGAATGGGATCCGAAGAACAGGTTCGGGTTTTATAACCCGATAGTGTAGACAAGAGATATCTTCATGATAGCAGATGATGAAGTGTTTGAATCAGACTGTGTTGCTATACTATATGCAAGTACGGCCAATGACGGTGGCTGGAGTATCTTGCATCGCGTACCAACACCAAACTTCAGCCAGGAGTACTTTGCGTGATTTCCCATTGCCAACACGAATCCAAGAGTACCGCGAGGCTACTACTCAAGCCACTTCCAGACGGCGTCGTTCTCCTCAGCCGCAACGCTACCCTCCGGATCCCAGTTGAGATCCTTTGGCTTAGGCGCCCACAGTCTCACACACTCCTCCAGATGCTTTGCAACAGCATCCTCAGTCAGATCCATCCCTGACTTTACCACCTCCTCTCCCCCTGACACATCCCTCTCCATCCCTTCTCGAACGGGCAGCGCGAAGGTCCTCGCAGCATTGTGGAGCTGCTCTACGGACATGTATGAGGTATTGTCGACCTCAACGCGCGCGAGACCCCTGGTGGTGAAAAAATTGGCCTTGGGCCCAAAGTCGTCCGAAACGTCTTGGTCGGCAATCTTCCAAACGGTAACCTCTTTTTCAGAGGCGTTCTGGTCGATTTTTTCAACGGTATGCTTGCTAGCAGTGACCGTGAGGTGTGCGTGTAGTGATTGGCGTGTTTTTCGCTCACTCGAAACGGTTTCGGCGTTGTTGAATAACCCGCTTTCGACGCAGGATTGGCCCACACCAAGGTACTCTGCTTCTTCTGCCATGTATAGCCTGGCTAGACGCTCAGGCTGAGTACATACGATGTGAAGGCGGCTTGTGGCTGGTAGTGCGTCGCCCAGTACACCCCAGATGTCGGTCCATGTGATGTTTAGGGAGGTGGACTTTGACGGTCTGATGACGATCTCCAGGATCGTGTTCTTGGGATCTATGGCCAGATCTTCCCAGTCTTCTGGGCCCCATATGGGGAATTTTTGGAGAGAGAAGGACAACGCTGTGGCCCGCGCTTCTTTTGAGGTGGTGAGAAGGGCGGATGGTGGGGAAATGCTTGTGACCTGGTATGCGTCTTCGTCGAATTCGACGGTTGCTGTTGTGGGCTTGCTCGCTTGCCAGACGAGGTCGCGGAGCTCCATGGGGAGCCTGGAGAAAGGGGTAAAGGTCGACATTGTAGTGGTGGTGATGGTGTATTTAATGGTAGTGTTGTCAGGAGTTCTGGTAGTAATGGTCCCTGGAGAGAATCCCGACAAGTATTGTAAAATGGTATGGAAAGTGAAGTGCTGGTTGGAAGGAAGAGGGGGTGCGAAGTCTCCTTTTTAAAGCGACTCGAGCGCACTAATTGCAGTACCGGACCACTCCAACGCGAACAGTCATAGGTAGGCTGAAAGTCTTTGCTACACTTCAGGGTCCAATCAGCATACCATTATATCGCGAGAGTCCTTACACTACCCTATAGGACACGCTTTCGCCATGCTGAATACGCGCACCGCACAGTACCAAAGGTCGAGACCCATAGTTCAGCCCGGAGGTATTCGCCGTACCGTATGACATCTCTGGATACATGATTGTACCACGAAGACCTTCAGCCTACGCTATAAGAGTTACAGCTCGAGATAAGAAAAGTGCATACCGTGGAGTCAGTACACAGATATTAAAGCTCAGCGCACTTTCATTGAGTGCACTCTAGGCAGCATTCATTGATGAATACATACTGGCAGCCTTTACCACGGTATGTTACGAAATTCTCTAGATAGACTCGTAAGTTTTGCAAAGTTCGCGATGATTCCATTCTAGCAATGCGACCACTCGGAACGTTCATATTATACGCACAAGCAAGGCCCACTCTACGGCCCCCGAAGTTCACCCAGTTGCCCAGAATTCACCCGGTCGCCCGCTAGCGAGTTCATGTTCGCTATGCTCATACCTTCACCTCACAAGTTTAGATCATCCCACCCTTTATTCCATACGGTTCTGTCTTGCACCTTCTCTACCCGTACACCGCAGCTCTTAGCCTGTCCATAAATCGAATCATCCACCTCGAAGAGTTGCCGCCAGTCCTCGTCATCGCTTTCGCTGGTGTCCTCATCGTCACTCCCATCCGGATGTTCATACAAGTGATCATATGTACCCTCGCCCAGCTTCACAAGCTTCAAATTTGGCCACCGTGCCCGGTTGTCCAGAATATATTTGATGTAGCGCTTCGTCTCGTACGTTGAGTCAACAACCCCGATGCTCTCGATCGCTGCAGGAAGATTACAAGTCTCGAAATCCTCATCAGCAGAGAAGAAAGCTTCTTGTGGAGCCGTGATATTGCGTAGATTGGGTAATCCAGGAAACGAGGTCATGGGCTCCATATTGTGAATGTACTCTAGGACAGACTCGGCCATCGTCTCATAAGCGAGCTGATACGCCGTGTCTTCGAATTCCAGAGTCAAATGTGTTAAACTGCGGTTCTCCAGCCTCGAGGTAATATGGGCATACGAAATTTGTGGAAGGTCGTTAGAGTCATACCCGTCATCAAAAGGGTCGTTGAATAGAATGAACAGATGGGTCAGATTTGTAAGACCACTGATCATGTTGGTTAGATACCTGTGCATGCTGTGCACAGGAGTGGCTGGATCAGAACAGACTGCTCGAAGATCCGTTTGGATAAACAGTCGTGTCAACGACGTAGAAACAACTTCGCCAGGCTTTATTTGTGACCGAGTGAGATTAGCTAGATCTTCTTCGTACCCGTGGTCGTTGAGCTGGCTTAGCCTGGCGGCCTGAAGCTGGGGTGATCTCAACAGATGAGTCGGTGAAAAACCTCTCGTGACCAGCCGAGTAAGGCTAGGGAGGCCCCCGATGTTGTGACTGCTTGGACTTCCAATGAATTCGTCAAAGCTGACATACTCTCCATATTCAAGTGGTTCGACACCTAGTCGTGGAAATATACTAGTATCCCAGTACGTCAAGGTAAGAGTCCTAAGGGCAGATGTGATACACAGGATCAGTCGAGCAAGAGCCGCGTCCTCTCCTCCCTCTAACATGAGAGCCCATTTCTCGTTGTGAATCGGAAGACCATCTCCTGCTTTGGCAGTGCGTAGAAAGCTTATACAACAGTACAGAAGCTTCCTGAGACCGCAGGTGCAGCTCTGCTCATAGGTAGGTACCCAATGCGCGCAACTATTGGAGTGTTCGCTTCGCAGACCAGATACCCCGATGTGAAGTTCTCGTACTTTGATTGCGAGATCGGGCCGCTGCAAGACGGTACGGGCGAGACGTGCGACACGGGTTGGACCTTGTACCTTCTGTGGACACACGACAGCGACTTCTAGGTGAAGGACCTCTTGCGCGATAGGTTGGAGCTTTCGGCAACTCAACGCAAGGTGCTTGAGATCGCTGTATCCAGCTTGGAATGTGTTGGCGTCGCCTCGTAGGCAATTGGCGACTACGAGTAAGAGTTCGTCTGGGAGCCCACATAAGTCGGCCATACCGGCTAATGCGCTGCTTCGATGCTTTCCGTGACGGTCTCGACTGAGGTGAGAGGATTGCAGCCTCGTTCGGAGTAGGAAGTTACAAACAAGCCTAGTCTCGACTAGGTAAGCAGTAAACGCGTTACCATGTGATCTTTCTTTCACTGACGTGTCGCCTACGTCGTGATATGTCCAGACCAGTGAGCACGCATCGCCTGTATTAGTCAGTCTATGCGGAAACGTCTCAACGTTAGGCCATAATTCCCAGAAACGATCGCGTAGTGCTACAATGCGGCAGTACCTAGGTGAAGCATTGCACCACAATGCTAGCCGTAGTACTGCCTCGCCGATACAACTTCGCCAGTCGAATTGCTCTCGTCTATTCAGCTCGTTCGCGCAAGTCTAATCAATTGCTTTTCCTCGCAAACTACTCGACTGATATGGGTGCAGCTCTTAGACGGTGCGGTTAAAGTCATCACAGTACCGATCTAGCAGACAGATCAGTTTGAAGTGGAAGCGGCGACTTCGCAGCATTTCAGGTCGCACACTGTCGTCGCTCCAGACGCACCTACCAGTATAAACGGTGCAAGATGTCCCTGCTATGACATGGTCACTAGTGGTTTACCCTCATTCGTCCACCACGTACTTACTTATGAGGTACGCCTCTTGACTCAACGTGCATGGTATCGCCCATTTACGATACCAGTTCTACTCATATGCGCGCCTTGTCGATTGCTTCTTCCTTTGCGTGTACCCAAATTTCTAGCAAGTCACTTGTCGTTGCGTCGACCTTTAGGGTTTTATCATTCCCTCCTCTACGATAAACTCCCTTGCTGACATGAGAGGGACCCCCGCATTTGACCACTCTATGGGTGTACGACCGCTAGTGCGTGCGGTTATTGGTTACAAGCCTCTGGGCAAGGCCGCTAACCAGATCAGCCCCACCGGGCAGGCAACCATCAGCCTAGACCCAATACTACAGTTCTGAAACTACAGTGCATACACTCCTGATATCCTTCAAAAGATTTCCGCGATTGTCCTCAATTTTACTTCAAGTGGAAACCCTCTACAGCTACCGTAATGACGTCTAGTCCTATCTCTCCACCCTCCAACTTCCAACTGCAAAGCCCACTATTTAGCGTTATACCGGGCGAGATTCGTAACGACATCTTTGAACTGGCGCTCATGCAGGATGAAGACAATGCAGCAGCGTATCCGGAAGACTCGTACTGGTTCAGGCCGGGCTTTTCAGGGCCGCTCAAGGGTAGTAGTGCGCTCTTGCGCACATGCAAGCTGGCGTATGCGGAGGGCCAGAAAGTGTTTCTCAGAGAACTAGAATGGGCGTTTTGGTTTAGTATGCTAACTCTGTCTACGGGAGAATGCCGAAACTGACATGCATGGTATAGATCGTGGACCCGATGGCCGCACATGCACCCCAGCGTGCGAGAAATTCTTCCGAGACCTAACTCCGCAAGCTGTGCAGTCACTTCAAAAAGTGCGTTTCTTTACGCAAATGTTCTGGCTCGAAAACGGCTATCAACTCTTCTATCTCTTCTCGGTACCACAGTTCCGACCCACTCAACTTACCATTACCATCCGGTACTCAGATTGGTGGTTCTGGGAAGACAATGAGCCACTCCGCATGGATGAGGGGTGGCTACGCTATTTTGAGGCGAATCCAGGCTTGCGCGTTCTGAAGGTTGAGTACGAGACAATCAGTTGGAAGAAAGCAGAGATGATGCGCATCATCGAGCGAAACAAGAAATGGAAGCTGCCCGTGAGAAGAGAAGGTGGGAGCTTCCAAGCAAACGAGCTTGAGGGATATCTAAGTGCCGAAGGTACAGCACTAAACGAATGGAAATGGAAGGGCACAAGCAAGCTAGGTGGAGAGAGATGGATTCATCATGGTACCGGAGACAAAGTCGAGTATGTCGTCGTGACGGATACCTGGAGATTTGTGGAAGGCGAACTGAGCGAGAAAGAGATGGCGGGCCGATTAACCTCAATGCCGCGGGCACCAGAAACGATACGACATGTGGAACCAAGACACCGGAATGTAGGTGCATGGCGTGCAAGGCTTCGCGAGAGGAGGACTACGCGGGATGCAGCTTAGTAGAGAATGCATCTGGTGGTATACGCTAAGCGGTACCCTCTTCCCAAACCGTGGTAATGATTGGTACGCATACGCTGAACAGATACATTTTACTATTGATCCATGATTCGTGGGACATATCGACCGAGGCGTCATGCTTCCTACGTTCACAGCCAAACTCGTGATCAGTGTGCCTCAGCGTTCGATGATCCTCAACTCCAACTTCTCCGGTCGTCTTACATGCAGCAGCAGTGGATCGGCACACGAGTCCATTAGAATACCCACCACCTTCTGCCTGGCCATCTCCACGTTCTCATATTCCTCGCACATTGTTTCCACCCTGACCCTCTTCAAAACGTTACACATTACACCACAAAACTCCACCTGACTGAATCTCATTCCAGGACAGATTCTCGGTCCAGTACCCCAAGCGAAAAAACCACTCCCACTCGCCGGGTGCTTTAATTCCTCAGCAGATAGCGCATCGGAGAGGGCTATCTTGGTAGTCTCAAGAGGAAGCAGTTGGATCCAGCGCTTCGGGTTCCACATGAGCGGATCAGGGAAGTTTGCAGACGAAGTTTGAGAGGCCCACAAGTTGAGCATAAGTTGAGTGTTAGCGGGTAGAATTATGGACGGACTACCTCCCTGGACCCTGGTATTTGTTATGGGGATGGCGGACTGTGATTTTGCGGGAAAAGGTGAACGAGGAAGAGGTGGTGAAGGGCCGTAGAGGCGTAACGTTTCGTACTTGCAATATTGTCAGCATTCAACTTTGGGTTGTAGGTTTCAAATAGCAAGAGCTATGAAGGAACAAGGACGTACCATGACAGCCATGACCCTCTTCAACCGCGGAAATACTCTCGCATACTCCATACCATCATTAACTTTCTCGTTCAGCACATTATCCAATTCATCCATTACCCAGTCCTGAATCTCGGGATACACAGCCAACAAAGCCAGCGCATACGATAGTGTGATAGACGTAGATTCTAGTCCACCAATGGTAAATATGAAGATGTTGCCTCTGAGCTCAGTATCGGAAATTGTGGCTGTCGTCACTCCACTGTCAGTCTTGACTTCGTCGTTCGCTTTAATAATTGCGCTGATGAGAGTAGGGGATTTGGATTGCCCGCCGCCTGATCTCTTCTGTTCTCTCGTAATGGTTTCGTCCATGTATTGTCGAAACTCGTGCATAGCTAGTAGTAGGTTCTTGACATTGCTTGGGTGTAACAACCGGAGTATCGGAAGGTTCAAAAAGGGCATAATACCCTCCATAGCCGGAGACATTGAAGTACTCATCACCGTTACCAGAGCATCACGGAGGGATAGTGTGTGACCCGTCGTTGGCTTGTTGACTTTCATGTTCTCGAAAGCGACTGAAGAGATGACGTTGAGTGCCAGTGTACTAGTATCCTTTGTCATGTTGTTCGATCTGCCATTTGGTGATGAAAGCCACTGCTCTATCATGATACTTGACTGTCGCAATGCTTCACGCCATACGATAGCGGAGGCTCGCTCGTTGAAACAGGGCGCTGTGAGTTTGCGATGACGAACCCAATCATCGCCGTTGGACTTTGTGTGTCAGCTCGTACTCAAGTCCATGCGAAAAGGGTAAGTAGGATCGCTGATGTTGAAAGGTCAAGGTGCATACCGTATCGACATTCTGTCCAAACGTGCCCAGGATCTCTAGAGTCATCGGTGAGTTTCCTATATAATCTCTATTCGTTACTTGTCGAAAGACTCACCGTTAACGTTATCAGGCTTCACGAACTCCCTCCACTTCTTGAGCACATGTTCAATCGCCTTCGGATCACTCGTACACAGTACATTATGTCCTGGCGCCACAACGATGAAACAAAGACCTAGCTTTTTATGGAACATGTCATTGTCTTGCCAACAGCATGTCCAGTCAATAGCCCTGAACCACCCATATCGTTGCAAGTACGACCCACAAAGACTGGCAGCTAGTTGCCATTGAAGGGTATATGGGGTAATGGGGCTAATGATAATGCGTAAACCAGACTTGCGTGCGGAGAGGTAGTTGCGAGAGAGTTGATAGATAGGGTTTGTGACGAAGAAGTGTACGAGGAGGAGACAAAGTATGGTTACGATGATCATTATAGTGAACTTCTCTCGACGATGCAGAGTTGATGTGCTACGAATACGTTGATGGAGTTGAGAGAATCTTGAAGGTCTGCAGTACAGGCGGTTGCGCGCTGAAGCGCATATCACGCGGGGCTACCCATGCATCGTGCATATTGAGGAAGGCGTGACTTGATGTCTAACGAATAAGTGAGAGTTAAATTTCAGATTCCTAGAGACGTCAAATGCTTGCGAAGACAGAAGATTAGAGTCATCATCTCGTTGTGTCTACCAAGTCCACATCTCTGATTTTAGACGAGCTTGACTTTCCACCTACAGGATAATATGGCCTATCATTTAATTCCAACAGTAGAGCCATGCAGACGTCATGCGCACTGCCAGACCGAACATGCAGGTACATATCGTAGACGTGGTGTCACCCAAATACATGTTTACAACATCCATGAGCAAGGTTGCCGCTGGATAATTCCTGCGACATCTGAGAAACGAGCAAGCCTGCGCATGCGCGCCTCGCCGAGGCACGTCTGCAATGCAGACACGCAGGGTAAAGCACATACCAAACATGTCAAAACTTGCAGAGCCGGCCCGCGACGCACGTCAATTACTCGACAGGAGGGATGCATCCGTCCTGGTTTCGGACATGACATCGTCAAGTTTGCAACGTTGAGTGTTTGATCTGCAACATGTGTTCGCAGGAGATTGCAGATGGGGAGTGTGCTGGACTACGATAGTACAAACTTGTGTTTCAGACTTTAGCCTGGCTTGTTTCACGGATCTAGTACGGGAGTTCGGAGTGGGTTGGGGGAAGCATCGGCCGGCTGTATGGAATGATGATGTTGCGATAAGAAGCATAATCGAAGCCAAGGTTATCGGGAAATGTTACATTCCGCGAATGGGAACAAAGTTGCCAATGGCGATGTTGTTTTCCAAAATCACTACGTGTCGTCAATGTCAACAAAGGAGGGCCTTGGGACCCAATGCGTGGATACACATTTCCTGCATGTACGTTTGAGGCAGGACAGTCCCTACGTGTGGGGAAAAGTCGGTGGTCAACATCCGACATTGCCGTCTTTGGTGCGGGGTCAGATGGCATAGACCTAGTATTGGTGTTCGCAGGGCGTGTAGACGTAAATTTACATACGTGCCCGAAAGTAGTACGACGCTATAGCACCTGGTACCGTGGTTCGCATCATGCGAACCCCAGCCACAAGCAGGCGCAAGACTCAAACAAAAATGAACGTGACTGAATGAACTACGACCGTTGACTGCGACAGGATCAAAGCGCGACTTCCCTCGGCCCGCAATGCATGCAGAGATTTTCATAACGGATCAGCCCATCTTCTCCTGCCACCCCAACGTATTCCGGGATGGCTGGTTGAGCACGTTCTTTTCGGTGTATTCGGATAGCGATGGAGAAGCTCGAGGATCTCGCGAGTGGACCAATGTTGACGCGTATCTAGCGTTTAGTGACGCTTTGGCGTGGAGTAGTCTGGGCCTGGGCGTCGTAGCCCGTTGGATTCGGTGCGTAGTCCGTTCGCATAGCCACGGATTAGAGCTTCGGCCAAAAGCAACTCGGCTTGAGTTTTTTTTTTTCATTGCTCGGATACGACAACACTACCTGCTAGTTCGGATTACCTATCAGCATACGCTAGGCGATTCACGGGCTCTGAAGGAATACGGATGTGCTGGAATATGGCGCGATTCTCTCTACCCTCGGGCAGGATCTGTAGAATATCGTCATATTACCGATGCTTCTGAAGTATATTGGCAATGCTTTTAAGCGACTGTGATAATTTATCCAGCCGCCCGCTACCAGTGCCGCGGATAAAAACTCTTTACTTTCTTTAGCGAGATGGACATTGTATCCAGAAGACAGAGTAGATAGCGTGTTTTTAGTAGATAACGCAATAGTGCTTGCACGTGTTATCTGTTCGCCTGTTGCCCGGCGAAAGTGCGCCTTTGGATAAAAATGAGTAGATCTATGGAGTGCCATTACTGGGACCAGCCGTGTGAGTCCGCATAGAGCCGCTTTTCGCAATGGTATACCGGGTCGTTATGCGTCCGTACAGCTGGGTTTGATGGTCAATGCATGAAGGACTCCGCGGTAAGCTGAATGCACCCGTGGGAACCCATCGCTGCCTATGCATAATTGCGCTGAGGCCATTCTTAGAACGTGTGTTCTTTTAGTCAAGTTGTTCTTTGATAGTCTCAATGCGTTTTATAGCGTGGGGCATACTGTAGTGTACCTTGAGTTGTGACGAGACATACTCTCGATGCATGTAGGTATGTCGTGCGGATCAAACGCGGCACTAACGACAAGCGACTCTGCTGCTGCGAGATGGCAACCTGCCTTTGGCCGCCGTTGAGATGCTGCATGGAAGCGGAAGTCGACAGATGTGCCTACCGTCCGCTTCCTGACTCGAGTGACAACTTCAACACGTCGCTGCCGGCATTTTGGACGTACAGTGAGCGTGCGGCGCAACGGGGGAGCACAGCCGCCTACTTCACCCTAGCTCGCCATCAAGCTTTTAGATTGCTTCAACATGCCATTGAAGATCAGAAGCATAAGAATAGAAGAGCGGTGAGGGCTTCGCTTGTGAAAGATGTTTGTTGCCGGCAAAACGGGTAGTCGTCTCAACCGAGCAATGAACCCCTCACTTCGATTGTTCATTGTTGAACTTTGTTGAGCATCGAAGAGCATCTGGAGTGTAATCGAAAAGACGCTAGAGAACGTCGCAACAAGCGAATCGTCCGCAGAGCGTGACGAGGAGTGGGGCCAAAACCAATGGAGCAAGACCGGTGAGCATATCGACTGGCCAATCACAAAGTGATGTGGCACCCCACGAGCTGCAAGGAGCGGTCGTGGCTTACTTACTCCGTCGATACCCCGATAACGGCTCTGCTGTTTCCTGACGTGGCCGGTGGTGATTGGCAGGCGAACGCCTATCCGAACGCTCGAGCGAGGATGCGATGCTGATCAATATGGAAGCAAAGGCTCGAGATCGACCGTCGCGGGAGAATTCGATGTTTCCCAATGTGTTAATGACAGTCGCTTCACACTCGTATACTAGCAAGGGAAGACGTGAGATCTGTCAGTGCAACCGCACGTGAATGCCGTCTTCCAGCAGTTCGATCAGCTACGATCGTGGACGAGGGAGGGGCATGGGCTTGGCTAAGACTACGCAGGGATACCCTATATCACATGCATATGCAAGTGCGGCTTGCTGCATACGCGGCTTTATCCAATCGACGGCTAGATTGTCCCAAGCGTGGCCTCATCGCGGGATTGCCTCACGCTGCAGGAACGCTCGTACAGGTGTTCGAGATCGTCTTTCAACGTGGAAATGTAGAGTATTTTTGTTTTCTCGTTTCCTCATGAGCGATCTTCTTGAACAAGAAATAGATCAGCTTGGTAACTGTTGTAAGACGGGCGTATGGCAACGCCCTCTTCCGAGGATACAGAGCTGTGGTCCGAGTCCAGATTGTGCTTTATTGCCAGTTGGACAGGAATGTACACAGACCCCACTGCGTGGCCACTACACGAGAACACGATGCTCGAGGGAGCTAAGGCTGATACAACAGTAGTCGCCCTTTCCATGATCCTTGTCAGAGGATCGAGAATAGAATGTTCGTATTGTGCTGAGAGGTCGACACCTCTGGGCCCTTGTCTCGATCGGTCAAGGGCTGTATTTACTCTGACACGCTGATGTTGCCATTTCCGACTGCCAGTGTGGTGGTGGTGGTGGTGGTGGTGGTGGTGGTGGTCAGCAAGCAAGAGGTAGAGACAGGCGCGGGCCTTTCTCCACGATCCGCTCCCACATCGCGCCGGCTGCACTGCACGTTTATTTACACATGTGCATATCTGCTAGACACGATAGTCCACGCGGCGAGGGTGTGACTGCGCCTCAGTGAGGAGATAGTGCGCACAGCTCGTTGAATGTAGACTTGCACACGGTAATACGATGCGGGTCGCTTGAGCTTCTGGTCCTACCTTTTACCTCTAATGTGATTCAAACACTAGCAATTGTGCCACCGGACTGTAATGAAGTTCCTGGCCTGGTCTATCGAATGTTGGCTAGGATCGACTGATGATGCGATATGCTCCGACAACCCTCATCTGATACTGTCATTAGTAGTACAGGTGTGTAGGAAGGTTGCTCTCGACCAGACTTCAGACCACATGTTGCAAGATAACATGGGGAGGATTGGCCGTAAGAGCATCAGCGTACGCTCCGCGGCTAGCAGGGGGATCAGATGGATGCGAACAGTTGGTTTGGCGCCTGAGGCGATAACATGAGCAGGACAGGTGCCAACTGTCAAGTGGCTGGCCTGCTTTGAGTCTCAAAGTCGAGGCTGTCACCGTTCGCATGGTTTGAGCAGGGATGAAGACGGATTCTCCCGTGCGCTGCGCTGCGAGTCCCGTGACGTAGTGACATCGCAAGGCGTTGGTCGCTCTGAGGATGGCGGCGAGGGAGGCGTCTTCCATATCGCTGTTTCAGCTGGCTGAAAGGAATGCCCTTGTGGTACTCCACTAGGTGACGGCCAGGATACTGGGTCCAGAGATTCCGACCGCGAGCCACGACGATGAATGTTGAGTCGCACTCATAGTGCGGTAGTGCGGGTGGCTGTTGAGGGCGAAGTAAGAAAGCGTGACCCTAGCTTGGCAAGGCTGTTTATGGCTAGCGTCGCCAGCGCATCTACTCACCGCACCTAGTGGACATCCTATCAAACTCTGCGGCGTCCACATCCAACGTCGAGCCCAAGCCTGTGTTACCGTCGGCACGTTTGTCAATTGCAGTGTGGAGGTCTTTCAGCATCGATAGACGACGACGCCGCCGCCGACATGACATGGTTGTCGCACTCATTCGAGTCTCCACGTTGCACCTGCTTCATATGCTCGCTTCATGTCTTGCGTTTCCAGGCTGGCGAGTGGATAAGCTCATGGGAGTGATAGACGCTGGTCTCAGTCCATACCGTCGACTGCACAGCCAATCATACTTGGTCTGACCAATACCAGACAGGCCAGCCAGCTGGCTTGCACGGCCCACCGTCCGTCTATCCCGCTCGCTCTCGGGCGTATCCCTGCGACAGTTGGATGGCGCCCATTTAGCCTGAGCAGGGAATCTGCACGGAATCAGGGTGTCCAGAGACACTCGGGAAGCTCAATCTCATTTACGTCCTGCCCAAAGCATCAAGTCCCGCCGTGGAAGAGGAAGAAGTGACGAAGATGATGGTCAGCCCGGCGGCGTGCCGCGGCAGTTGAGCCCGTTTCAGAGCGAGCGTGGCTGGCCGGCAGCGCTGCAGTGTCTCTGCTTTTTCGTCTCAGTGAGCACTACCAAGCGTCCCGCTCTGACTCGCAGCAGTGCAAATCATCGCGCCAGCCGGGCCACTCAGCACTGCCAGCCGACTGTGCGTGATATGGACCCAGACGTTTGACCTGGGGCTTTCCGATCGCTTGTTGGTATGCGTTTCTGGACCATGCTCCGCATCAACGCGGTCCGGCGCAGCTTAGTCAAAGCCTGCAGCCACTGCGAGACTGTTCCCTATCAATTCAACGCTGACTAGGTGTATTTGCGCAGCGCGTCAAATATCTCCGGCTACTCTGAATGGCCCCATCTATTCAGCCGTCTTATCCCCATCGGGGGCCTATCCGATGCCTCAGGAAGCGGCACATTGGTGAAAAAAAGTAGGCGCCCGCTAAACTTGGAGCCCACCATCCTTGCCATTCATATCATCGTCACTGTCTAGGAAATGTATCGAGGGGGATGAACAGTAATAGCATTCTGTCCTCACGGTCCCTGACATGTGCCCGTCGTAGTAAGCTTGCAAGACGACCCGTCTGCTGTTGTGTTTCTCAGGCCAGGGTAGTGGCTGGCACAAGAGTCCTACCACATTACGCTCGCTTGCGTGCATAGTGGTCGTCGTGGTATAGCCTCACAGCCCTGTCCCTGTCATCTCGTTCTCCATCCAGCGCCCTTGTCAACCGCACCGTCGGCGGATCAGCCCAGTCAGCATGCTCCAATTTGAAGTCTGTGCACCTTGAGCGAAACGGCCTGCCTTTCACGGGATTGTTGCTCGCGGGTCCAGGCTGGGTGCGCAAGCCGGGCTACCCCCATGCCATCGTGTCCTCTCACACTCCCACCAAGCCCGATGTGAATTTAGATTGTGTGCTCGCGGCGGCTCGTGTGTGTGCAGCGCTGAGTCCCCAGAAGATCTCCACCACCCGTCTCTAGGTACAGTACAGAAGCTGCACCTTGGGCGCACCGGTTTCTGGCTTCACGCGCTGCTGCGGCTTCATCTCGACTGCATCGCCTGGCTCTTGAGCCGCTTCTGCAAACTCGCGCCGGCCCGTTCACGCAGCTACAGCTTGTCTTTACGGAACAACTTGCCAGCGACGCCCATCACGCACTGACAGTGTAGAAGCATTGGACACGCCGTCTGCAAAAGAAGCGGCCACCTCGAACAGACTATCCTGCGGGGCGTGCGTTGCTCGCCTGTCTCGGTCAGTCCTCTTAGCTGCGGCCTGCCTGCTGTCGAGCGCTGCAGAGAATCCTGCAGCACCGCCGTCAAGAACGACTTCCTTCTCCACACGCAAGCAAACCACCAGCGTCGTTGTTGTCCAGCACCCTTCGCGTTCGTTCGTTGAAGAATTTGGTGAGTAAAAGGGTCTACACCACTCTCTTCTTTTCTGTCAACCCAGTCTCGAGTGCTGCCGGACTCGCCGCTTGCGTTTTCCGCGCTCTCGCCTATCTGTCGCCTTGTGGTTGGTCCAGCACTAGCATCAGAGGTCCCATCCCAACCACCTCCGCCTCTAAACCCTCCGCCTCCCCACCGCAGTCTGCGAAGTAGCCTACCTGTTGGCTTTTCTTGTTTACCTCTCATAGACGGCCGCTTGTTTATTACACAGAACGCAATTCATCTTCTTTTGTGTGCACAAGCGAGTACTGACGCGTGTTGCGCGTAGTGTTTTCTTGCAGGTGCAGCGGTTATCAGTATCGATACAGCTCGGCCCGCATTAACGAAGCGCGACGACGTTACGACCCTTCACGACGAGATTGCCCACGCCAACCCTGCAGCACATGTTTCGAGCCCGAACTGCCATATTCAGCTATTCTTCCAGGCCGGCATTTGTCAATTCGTCCCTTTGCGTGTTTTGAAAACCAGCATCAAAAGCATTGTCGACTACCAGCTTTCCTGCTTCACGACTGCAACGACATAACGACTAGCTTTTTGAGAATCCAGCATTGTTTGCAGCGTTTGATTTCATCCTGCAGCTTCACTCGCGCTTTGAGCTTTGCGTCGCGTCTGCCCGCCGGCAAAACACTCTGGTCAGTCCATACATTCATTCACCCTCACCAGCACTGCATTTTCACCCCCATCCAACACCTTTACCTAGACTGTTCCAACTGCACTTTCTAGGCTGGCCTTCTAGTTGGTTTTGCTTGCACACGTGTGTGGCCGCGTCTCGTTGGTTCCCGCTGCAGTCGACCGACCTCACCTTTGAGAAGCAAACAACTAACTTGCGGTGAAGATTATTCGTCCCGTCAACCTTCTGAGGCAATCTATAACATCAGCAAGCTATCTCCAGTCGGATACGTGCGCAGATTCTGCAATCTAGTCTTGTCAGCATCGCCAGCTTGCTCGTCCACAGCAATCCGCTCGGTTATCGAGAGGACTGACTCGAGCATCCTCGCGAAGAGCTTCTCGAAGTTGAACACAAGATACATACACGCGAAAACACGTCAATACCGTAAAGCTGGAGCTCCCATCGATCTCGTCGGTCCACGCCCGCGGCCCCGTTGATACTTGGTACCAATCCCACTACACGCCTAAGCCTGCAGTATCGAACGAGCGTCTACCAGCCCTGCCTCAGATACAATCGCACCCTAGCGCCTCGTCCAACTCCTCTTCACCTCGAGGCGACTCTATCAGCTCTGGATCAGTGGTTGGTGGAAGCACAGGTTCCCATACATCTTACGCAGCGTCGATCAACGGTCAAACCGCGGGGTTCAAGACACCGTCCCCCGAGCAGACTCCTCAGTCTCTCAATCGCGACCCTCAGTCCGTGAACACGCACTCTGTACAGAGCTCACCGTTCGGAACCCAGGACGGATACGGTTTTGCTCCAGGCGGCTACAACAGCATGAACCAGATGCAATCATATGCTGACGTGCATCAACCCCACATGGCTACCGCTACACACGCCCCAGCTTCAGCCCCCCCCTCGGGTCTGTCGCATTACTCGTACCCGCAACAGCAATCTTCAATGATGCAACCTCAACACCAGTACAGCCAAGGCCCGCCTGGATATCCGTATGGATACCCTACCGGAGTCCCCTCGCAAATTCCCGCTTCTTCTTCAATGAACCCTGGAATGGTGCCTTCGACGCTGCAGCTTCCAGGTGAGTTCAGCACCAACCCCGCCATGCAGATGAGACTAACCCCTCTAGCCATGTCGTCAGGTGCATCCGCGTCATCGCTACCCGGTTCGCAGAGCTATCAGTCTCAGACTTTCGATCACACCGGCCAAGTCGCTCCACCAGGAATGAAGCCTCGTGTGACTGCCACACTGTGGGAAGACGAGGGCAGTCTGTGCTTTCAGGTAGAAGCGAAGGGCGTATGCGTTGCTCGCCGTGAGGGTAAGGAAATTCGTCTACGTTGTTGGGGGATGGCAAGCTGACTTTGGTAGACAATCACATGATCAACGGAACGAAGCTTTTGAATGTCGCGGGAATGACGCGTGGTCGTCGAGACGGCATACTGAAGAGCGAAAAGACGCGCCACGTTGTTAAGATTGGTCCAATGCATCTCAAGGGTGTTTGGTAGGTGCTACTACTCTAGATTTTAATGTTGCATACTAACACGAAACAGGATTCCTTTTGAGCGGGCTCTTGAGTTTGCCAACAAGGAGAAAATCACAGAGCAGCTGTATCCTCTGTTCGTTCACGACATTGGAGCACTGCTTTATCACCCCTCGAACCAGACGAGGGCAAGTGTAGGAAGCGCTGCCATGGCTGCTGTTGACCGGAACCGAAGACCTGACCAGATCCAGACACATCAGCGATACCTGTCCGGACCAGCGGCATCGCAACCTCCATCGCTCCATCATCACCACTCCATGAGCAACCCTATTGGTGCTGCTATGTCTCAGCCGCCGCATGCTATCCAGCCGCACCCCTCCTCAGGTCGCCCAGGTATCGACCGAGCTCACACATTCCCCACTCCTCCCACAAGTGCCTCAAGCATCATGGGCATGGGCAACCAAGGTAGCTCCTATGAATGGAACGGTCAGAATGCCCAAGGCGGTCAACCTTTGTCAATTGACACAGGACTGAGCAACACCCGCTCTGTACCAACTACACCTGCAAGCACGCCTCCTGGAGCTGTTCAGCAGGGAATGTCCTACGCTTCCGGTCAGAGTTTCGATGGTTCCAGACCCTTGTACTCAGGACCGCCCTCGCAACCAGGTCAGTACGCGCAGGGACAGCCTATGATGGCATACCGTCAAGATGGCTCCTACCCAAAGACAGAGATGGCACCACCATCCCGCATCAGCGATGTGCCAGATGAGGGTGACGTGAAACCAGCGGATGGCATGATGCCACAGGGCAGTGAACAGGTGGCTCCTCCTCAGGCTGGAAGCGAGGGAGAACACGACCACGACAATGAGTACACACACTCTAGTGCTCCATACAACGGAAACAGAGGTCCGTATGGATACACCTCCAATGGTGCACCTGGGGCCATGCACCCCGATCACGCCCACCTGTCTCCAGAAATGACGGGATCACCTCACCAAAACGGGTCCGGACGAGCCACGCCTCGGACATCAGCCACAGGACAACCCCAGTGGAACTCGGGCTACCCTACGCCGCAGCGTCAGGCACCACCGTCGAGTAACCTCTACAATGTCATGAGTGATCCCCGAGGTGGACCTAACGGCAATGCCGCTCACGATGCTTACCAGGGTCCTGGTGCCGTATCACAGTATCCCACTCAAGGGTATCCTCCTTCAAACGGTGTGAACAACTCTGGCAAACGTGGTCGCGATGACGAAGACCAGGACCCATACCGCCCCGACAGCGTCCAAGGTGATGACATGGGTGGCCTCAAGAGACGCAAGACAATGGAAGGTGGCGCAGTTGGCGGAAACTACGCTGATCCTAACCCCGGCATTCAGCGTGCGCATACCATGACAGCTCAACGTGCCAGACGGTAATCGAAAAGGCTCACGCAATCATTCGGGTGGTCAGCTGCCGGTTCCCACATTAGAAGGCGGTTTGGCCTCCATCTCCAGCGATTTCGCGGCATTGAGCGAGCGGTCTTTTCAGAAGCAACACAACATGGTACCTCGACATTTACCAGCAGGACTCTGCAACCGCAACGCAACGGTTCGAGGCGACCTAAACGCCACCTCGTCCCTCCCTCATATTTCCTTGTGTTTATACTTCCTTCCCATTTTGTCTCTTGTCTACATTTCAACACGTTTCGGCATTCACGACTTTTACGACCATTTGTTTCGTGGAACTACTGTTCCTTTACACCATGTCCTGGGCTTTGAGTCTCATGATATATGACTTTTGCATGCGGCACGAGCACGTGCAAGTCTTGTACATTCTACAGTCACGTCCTTTACCTTTTTGAAGCTTGAGAGAGTGCGGGAAGGAAGCTCTTCGGTGTCGGTCGTCCTGCCACCTCAATAATCCTCTCGCTCGACATGCGCCAACCCAACCACCGTTAATACCGGACATATATACGTGGCAGTGCGATCGACGACGTGAGCGACACTACTCCAGTACTCTCTCTAGCTTCGAAATCAACGGCACGCCATGTTTGACGAAAATGCAGGCGTACACGATGGGATGTTCACGCAATGATGATGTTGATCTTGGTGGACATGTCCAAGAGCGGACATGTCGCCCTGTTGGTGTTGTTGTTGTTTTTTATTTATCTAGGTGGTGCGTTTGGCCTGAATAGCATGCGGACATCCGTCGAGCCACTTTGAGCTTTTTGGGAGACGGGATGGCTTTAGTGTCTATCTTCCGTGGGACGAGCCGGCGACATGGACCTTATGACGTTAATGAGGGAATCAAAAGCTCTTTTTCCACTGATGCACTGTGCGATTGATGTTTGAATGTGATGTGTTGTGTGAGGCTTTTTCAAGTAGACACTAAGGACTGGCTCTAGCGACGAGTGAGGTGGCAATGGACACCGCTTCAACAACTGGGGACCCATGGAAGGCCTTGGGCATTGGAGATGGATGGATGGATGGATGTTAGCGCAAAGATGAAAAGCAACTGCGCGTCAAGAGAATGATAAGGTTGTCAATACATGCGAGCAGTTCATGTCACGGAGTTGGGTACCTGTGAAGCGATGGCAGCCTAACACAGGGGAGAGAGGTGAACGTGCGTACGTAATCCGGGATCAGGATGCGACCTGCCCCTCGAGGTGTCCGTCTTGGCGGAGCCCCACGTCGTCATCGGGTAAGCAAAACAAGAGGCACGAAGTGATCGAACGCGCAACCCAGAACGAGGCGGAGCCAGGCAGTCACTTTGCCGCCCAGTATATCCTTTTCTTCCGCATCTGACTTCTGTTCACCTGCATCGCCAACATGAACATCATCAAGCTGCAAAAGTACGTGGTCGCGAGCTCCCTTTCGTAGCATCCGTTGGGTTCCACTGTAGCTAACAAGGCATTGCGCACAGGAAATACCCCCAGTTCGAGCAGGGCGAGATCTTTGGCCTGCAAGATGCCTTCCGGAAGCTCGACATTGACGACAAGGGCTACCTCGACGAGGGAGCAGTCATCAAGGCCGCGCAACAGTCGGAGCACCAGCCGTACGACGTCGTGCGACAAGCTCTAAAAGAGGTGGAACTAGATAGTTCGAGGAGAGTAGAGCTCGACGACTATGTAGATGTACGGATTGCAGTGCACTATGCGACGTTTAGAAGCTAACCGCCACAGCTCATCTCCAAGCTGCGCGACTCGTCTCCTGCCCAACAGCGCATGTCAACCGGCCCAACCCGACCGCGAGCTGGCACAGCTTCAAGCGTCAACTCGCCCTCCAACCCTGGACACGCCTCCAAAGGTAGCGTCGGTGGTGGCAGGATCCAAGTTCAGGGCTCTTCCGCAAACGTCACCCACACCATCAACGAAGATGAGCGAACCGAGTTCACGCGCCACATCAACGCCGTCCTTGCTGGCGACGCAGATATCGGCGACCGCCTGCCCTTCCCAACCGACACCTTCGAGATGTTCGACGCCTGCAAGGACGGCTTGGTCTTGTCCAAGCTCATCAACGACAGCGTACCGGACACCATTGATGAACGTGTGCTGAACAAGCCGGGCAAGAAGATCAAGTCGCTGAACAACTTCCACTTCACTGAGAACAACAACATCGTCATTGAGTCGGCCAAGGGTATCGGATGCTCCGTCGTGAACATTGGCAGTGGAGACATTATTGAAGTGCGCGAGCACTTGATTCTGGGTCTGATCTGGCAAATCATCCGGAGAGGTCTGCTGGGAAAGATTGACATTAAGCTACATCCTGAGTTGTACAGGCTATTGGACGAAGATGAGACATTGGAGCAATTCCTGCGTCTGCCACCGGAGCAGATCTTGCTGAGATGGTTCAACTACCACCTGAAGAACGCCAAATGGCACAGGACGTACGTGGAAAAGGACATATTTTCAGCGTATCGACATGGCTAATTTTTTCAGTGTTTCCAACTTCTCAACCGACGTCAAGGACGGCGAGAACTACACCGTTCTCCTCAACCAGCTAGCCCCCGAAACCTGCTCTCGCTCGCCGCTCCAGCAAACCGACCTCCTCCAGCGCGCTGAGATGGTTCTGCAGAACGCCGATGCCCTCGACTGCCGCAAGTTCCTCACACCCAAATCTCTGGTGGCTGGAAACCCGAAGCTCAACCTGGCTTTTGTTGCCAACCTCTTCAACACACACCCCTGCCTCGACCCCATCACCGAAGAGGAGAAGGCTGAGATCGATGACTTTGATGCAGCAGGAGAGCGCGAGGCTCGTGTCTTCACTCTGTGGCTCAACTCTCTTGACGTCAAGCCGGTCGTACAATCTTTCTACGAAGACCTCAAGGACGGCACAGTTATCCTGCAAGCATACGACAAGGTCATCCCAGGTAGCGTAAACTGGCGACACGTGAACAAGCCACGCGAAGGCCAGGAGCTGATGCGCTTCAAGGCCTTGGAGAACACCAACTATGCCGTCGAGCTCGGCAAACAGGTCCAGTTCTCGCTACCAGGTATCCAAGGTGCTGATATCACCGATGGCCAGCGCACACTGACTCTCGGCCTGGTATGGCAGCTGATGCGCAAGGACATTGTTTCTACCCTCAACGGCCTTGCTCAACGCCTCGGCAAGCGCGAGATCTCTGACGCGGATATGATCAAGTGGGCCAACGACATGGCGCGCAAGGGCGGCAAGGGAAGCCAAGTCCGCTCCTTCAAGGACTCTTCTCTCGCCAACGCCGTCTTCCTGCTCGATGTCCTGGCCGGCATGAAGCCCGCATACGTTGACTACGACCTCGTAAACCAGGGCCGCAACGACGACGAATGCTACCAGAACGCCAAGTTGGCCATCAGTATTGCGCGAAAGATGGGCGCTACCATCTGGCTTGTACCTGACGATATTGTTGCCGTACAGAGCAGGCTTATCACTTCTTTCATTGGTAGCCTGATGAGCACGCATGAGAAGATGGGTGGACAGTAAGCCGTTGGAATCATTTCCGATTGTGCGTAGTTTGGAACGAGTAGATGATGTTATGCCCTATGGGTGAAGCGTGCGAGCGTTTTTGAAAATAGTTTATCACTGATTGAATTGAAAAACTTCATCCTTGTCAGTGCTTAGAATTGTTCGTTATGAGTTTGGTGTTGGCCACAGTGCGCGGGTGGGCTTTCCTTGTATGTGCACTCACAACGTGGACGACTCGTCGCTAACGCTGATCCCTTCTCAGATGGTAACTCACACAAGTTGTTGTTGCGACCACGGCGTCGACAAGGTGTTCGTTCTTTTGCGGTAACGCCAGACTGAAGAGGCGCGCTGATGACCATGGCAAACTCCGAAACGGGAGCCACTTCCAATCCCGCAACAATGAGTGCTGGTGGGCTAGATGATAGCCCATGGCACGGCACTGAGGCTATGACCCTCAAGCCATAATCAGTGACCTAGGAAGCTCTCAAGTAACTGGCACAGGTGACAGGAAACAAGACAGCCCAAGCACCCATAAGACACTGGCTGGGCCGCGCAATGTGCAAACGACCGGCCCCACAGGCCTCCTATCTGATGTCGATACTAACTCTACTGAGGTACCTTTATGACGCTTGTTGACATCGGACGCTACGTAAAGACAACAGGGAAGATACCGACTGACGGTTTCTTGTCGCCGATTACGACAGGTTTCGATAACGAGCGCGCATTAGGCTCACACTTGAGTGAAATTATCAATCATGAGCACTTCGGTGGCGTATGGCAAGGCACTTGTGATCAGTTTCATTCTTCCATGAATGAGGAAGTCCTCGTCGAGGCCATCGCTAGCAACATTGGTCTTATTTACCTGAACAGCCAGACCGCTGGTACCGATGTTGCAAAGTATATTGACAGACTGCGAGACTGCGTTTCAATGCAACCTTTGTGTTATGTGCGCCCCTTGAGTGACACTAACAGCGGCACGATGTTGCCTGATCACTATGACCAAGTACTAGATATCGCCGAGCGCTCTTGTGGGCGGGATATGTTACTCACCACTGGAGCATACAACATCGATTGTATAGCTGGCAATGAAGAAGAATCTCAGATGGTGGGTTCCCAAAAACGACACTGCCTGGTCTCTTGATGATAGCAAGAAAGAGATATGTCATCACGTCTAGACAATAGCCAACGCATTCTCGGGGAGCTGAGCGAAGTGTCTTCACCCCTGGCTCGCAGCTGGCCAAGCTCGCATACGCCACTATCGAAGCCGAAGCATTGGTCTAGCACCCCCAATGCAGTACGTCGGATATGAATTGAATGCCACGACACAGTGTAAAGGCCACGAAAACCGAAACTCGGCTAATCGGATCAGTTTGCTTGTGAGTAAAGTATGTGAGTTCCAATGGCTTGTTCGGTACAGCCTTAAGTTCTACGTGATCTGCTTGTTCACAGATAAGCCAATGGGACAGCCCTGCGAGGTCGTTCTCAGTCGCTATCTACACGCATATACCGTGAATGGAGGCCTCGATTCTCAAACAACAATGGGCCGAATAAAAATACTGACCCCCTGGCGAATGCCAGAACTGAAGCGAAGCGGCGTCGCGCAATTCATGAATCTAATTTCAAGAGGAAGACTCTCTGAAAAGAGAATAGCTTGACGCAACTCCAGCAGAACAATACCGGTATCAAGAGCTTGTTCGACCAAGCTAGAGCAGCCATCGACCACATTGGGGATGATGGCGGCGAACTCGACGTTGAAGAGGATTCTAGGGTTAAGCTGAGAAGGAGTAAAGTGACACAAAGACGTGAAGTGAGATTTGATCCCTTCTACATATATAGGTAGAATGTGGCCGTGATGTCTATTGCATTTTATTGTTCCTGAGTAGGTAAAGGGCGAAAAAGGAGAACGTAGGTTGGCTCTCATGACGTCTAAAAGGACGCAGTTATATCTAATATTCTTTCCCCCCATTTTTCTGATGGGAGTGCTGACTGTGGAAGGTGTATACGAGGTTGAAAGTCGAGAAAGTATGGATTTTGATACTCGCGTGCGGAAGAGATATGCACACGGACACTTACTCCGCCGTGAGATTCACAGTTCTTCAGAATTTAGTGGCATCTGATGCGGTCTTCAAAGGAAAGTAGAGCAGAGACTGATTCTTCTGGAGAGGGAGCAAAGGACGTAAGCCATAATTTGGGTGATTCTAGGCGAATGCTATAGCTTTTGGGTCGCAGGCATCGTCACGACCTGTAAACAATGAATGCGAAATCCGAAGGCGAAAAAAGGGTCCTCGGTATATGTCCGGTGACTTTAGAGAGAAGAGGGCCATGGAGGTTTCCGTGAAGATTCTAGAGAAGCCGATGTTTCTTGGTATATGAAAAAGAGCGCAAGGTGCGAAGCGTTGGCTACCTTTTATATTTGTTACGTCGCAGAGGATGAGGCGGGAGGCAATTAAAAACGATGACATGGCTTTGGAGACTTCGGATTGTGGGAAAGTATGCCACAAGCAGAGACAAAACTATATTCAATATTGACATCGGATATGAACGCAGGAGAGGGTTTACATCTCGCGCATCCTCATTGTCTCATTACGTTCTCATACCCCCGCTTCTCATGCTTACTCCCTCCGTCCCACCACTCTTGTCCCATCCATCTGCCTTCCTCCGTCCCAGCGCCCTCCGAAGTATCCATTCTTTCGCTGTAACCGGCTCCTCCACATCCTCCGCCCCACCTTCTACCAAACTCCTCAACACGACATCGTCCTCAGGTCGACAAAAGTATACAAGACTGTACCTGGTAACACTGCCCTGTTCGCCTGGCGGAGCAACAACACGATGTATATTACTCCTCAACGTCCCGTTCGAGAACTTGACAAGCGCATCTCCAAGGTTAACGATACAGTGTCCGGGTAAAGGACGTACATACGTCCACCCATCTTCACACAGCTTCTTCTCGACGTCTGTAGGCGGTGGAGATGTGGACGTCGGTGCAAGAGGTAATGTATGTTCTGGCAATCTGACCTGCAGGCCACCCAAACGATTGAACAGAACGGTTACACTGCCAAAGTCTGTGTGTTCACCTAGCGCCACACCCTTGAGCGATTGTTCCTGCGGTGGCGCCTTGACGAAGCGGATTTGGTCCCCTGATGCAGCGTTCAAGCGGTGGATCGCGGGTAGATCGCCCGCTTCGCGCACGTCCTGTTTCAAGGGCAGGCGGGAAGAAAGTAACGAGGCGATGAGCATGCAAATTGCATGTGAAGAGGTGATGTAAGATTTGTACAGGCCGCGGTGTGGGTTTAGAACGGCTGGAGAAGGAAGAGGTTTGCTGATACCAAGGATATCGTCTTTGGAGATCTGGAGGTGGCATGTCAGCAATTGAAGAGTCTTCGAGATGGAGATGGGAAAGTAAGAAGAGGCAAAACGTACATTGTAGAACTCATTCCTATCTTTCGTCCCTTGCTTGTCAACGATGCCTTCGCCGTATCCCTTGTAACCAAAGTAACTGCCCTGGTCTTTAAAGTCGTATTTGAACTTCTCTGTGACATCTAGATCGTAGAAGTCTTGCATCACATTGAACAGCTTGTCCACATCTTCAAGTAACGCATTGCCATCGACGATAGACGAATGGCTTGCATTGCTGTTGTTATTATTGTTATCATCGACGCGCGTGTCAGAGGTGCGTACGTCGAGGTAGAAGAAACCTAGCTCGCAACAAGCCTGCCAGCACCTGTTTTGTTCTTCGTCGTCGTGCTCAAGGAGCTTTTGGAGAGAAATACGCAGTAAAGGCGCGGTGGGTACGTTGTCGGGAAATGTTGGGAGATCGGGAAATGACTCGCGCTGTGGGGATGGAGAGTGGTCTGAGTGAGGCATGGTTAGCAATGGTCAGTTGTCTCAGTTCGCGAAGTTCATCGCGTGGGAGCGCAGGGTACGCACGTCGTTCGCATACAGTGGGGCGGTTATAGCTGTTGGTGTTAAGATGTCGATGTGGAGAGTCGCGTGGAGAACGCGGGGTAGCCTCGGATAGCTAGACGATGCAAGATCGTGCGACCAAACACACGGGTGGAAGAGGATTGATCACAACAAGGCAAGGATGAGACAACATGTACACCAGATAGCATGAGGGAAGTATTAAAGGAGACGCAATTCATTAACTATCCACAGATGTAGCTCCGATATTTCCACCACCCAAGCAAGCAGACATGAACGCGCCTCAAACACCGAGAGCGATGGACGCCGATCGATGCCAGAGTGCGCCATACTACCAGTCAAGTGACGATGCAAAAGTTATGAACACAATTTATAAAAGGTGGCCGTGAGCAAGCAAACGCCTAAGAGAATTGATTATTAAACGTTTGAATGAGACCTGAGTAATGTTAGATGATGAGCGATGATGAGTGTTAGTGGTGATGATGACTTACCATTGACTGGATGTTTCTACAACCTGGATCCGTGGACAACCTTGTAGTCAACAGCCATCTCCAAACCATCGTCATCGATGACGAGGATGCGGACGCTGCCACGGCCGTTGTCGAAAGACTCTGTCAGGCGGGAGATAAGACCGCTCTGGTCAAGGACGGGAAGACCCTGCTTGACATCACCAGACTCAGTCATGGCAACAACGCGACCGTCCTCACGGATGTCGAGAACACGGTACTGCTTGAAGACAGGACCAAGCATGTTCTGGACAACGACGGAGGGAGCCGGGTTGGAGATGAAAGAGGACTCCTCATGGAGCTGCTTGGTGAACAGGTCAACACCGAGGTAACGGTGCTGGCCAGTCTGGGAGGAGGTGGTGATGCGGATGACCTGGCAAGGGCGGCCTTGGAGGATCAGGAGATCGCCAATGCGGATGTGGTGGCAAGGGATGGTGATAGTCTTGGAGGAAGCCATCTTGCGGACTGGACGAGCAGAAGCTTGTACACGTGCGATAGAAGCTGAGACGGGAGCAGGAGCAGGGGCAGGGGCAGCAGCAGAGACTGTGGACCTGGGAGGAGAGGGGTTGGAGTGGACGCGAACGACCCTTTCAACAGGAGCTCCGGATTGGACGGGGCGGCTAGGGGCAACAGAAGGAGTAGCTGAAGTGTACTTCTCCTTGACAATTACCTCTTCACGGTCGTCGTCGTACTTGGCACCGGGGAAAGAGTGCTCGTGAGAGTGGTGGTGGCGGTGAGGGTGGATAGGGTGTTGGATGCGGTCGGCAACCTTGTGAGCGGCGTGAGAGATTCCTTGACGAAGCGAGTGGTATTGGCCCTCGTTGTCGTAATATCCCATATCACGCTTGAACTTCTTGGGGGGTGCGGTAGTGGAACGAGCAGATGTTTCTACTCGAACCTCAGATGGCTGGTGACTAGCAACACTCTCGACGTGCTTGCTGCTAGGGAAGGTGTCGTGCTTGGTGGTGTAAGTCTCCTTAGAGTAGCTTGCACCGGCGACGATAGGACGGGTACGTTCACGGATCTGACGTTCAGTAACGTCGATTTGAGATGGAGCGTAGTCGGTGGCAGGGCCGTGGACTGTATTGAAGTGGCTATCGTAGGTTCTGTCCTGAACCTCGACGTGGGAGTGTGTAGAGGTAGGAGGTTGGGGGTGAGGTTGGTAGCTGAAGGAAGAAAGGAAGGTCAGCTTTAGTTGGGCAAGGAAGAGCTTAGAGGAGGTGAGAGAAAAGTGGAGACTGCATGTCGCTAGGACAACAACAGATGAAAGGGGTTAGCGGCTAGCGCGTGGCTGGGTGCCGCTAAAGTCAGGGGGTTGGTCTGTTGTGCTGATCCGTGCGAAGATGCGCTGGCAAAACAATGGATCGGACTTACCGGTCGTGGGATCGCTCAAACTCTACGCGGTCAGTACGATGAACGTGCTGAGAGTGAGGCTGGGGCTGCTGAGACTGTTGAGGCTGCTGCTGGGGCGACTGAAACTGCTGCTGAGGTTGTCTGTAGCGAGTTTGCTCGTGGATATGTAGCTCCTCACGGTGCTGGGGAGGCTGTTGAGCGTGGAATTGCTGAGGCTGGGGAGCCTGCTGGAACTGCTGCTGGGGTGGCTGGGGACGACGAAGACGCTCTTCTTCGTAGATATGGACCTCTTCCTTGACGTGTGTGTCGTGGTGTTGGTGCTGCTGCTGTTGGTGCTGCTGCTGCTGCTGGGGAGCCGGAGGAGGAGGTAGGACGGTAGCGGAGAAGGATTCGTGGATTTCTTCGTGACCTTCCCGTCCGTGTGAAGCCTGTTGCTCAAACTGTGCTTCCTGTTCTTCTACCTTGACGCTGGTAGTTTCCTTTAATTCCGCGTTCCGATACGCAGACGGGAAGACACTGAAGGGGATCGGAACCTGCTCGGATTAGCATAATTGCTTATACACTGGCAGTGAAAGAGCATACTCGTGCTTCAAAATCCAGTTTGCCGGAGTCGGGTCGCTCTTTCTCGAAAACCCTTCGAACCGTTCGAAAACAATTCGAAAGGAATCAAGAAAGAACTTCTTGGCTCCTTTGAGGGTCTCACTTGGAGATTTGAAGTGATTAAAGATCTACTGAAGAGTCGCCAGCTTTCTGGTGTTGACGTGCAGCAGCTTGAAGATGCGTAATTGGATGCAGTAGCGGGGTGTAGGTGGAGGAGAGATGGAGTCAGGATGGCCGAGGAGGGGATCAAGTAGATTGGCGGTCAGTCGGATCACTGTTGTGTCGGCGTCTCGATGATCGCAGGGTTGTGGAGGCTGGGAAGCTTTGGCAGAGCTGTCCAGGAGTAGCCTAGTCTTGTTGACACGGCGCACTAGCGCGTATCAGCTCCCCCTTTTCTGCCTGTGCCATGGACCGATTGACCCCAGACAGCACATCGCATCCTGGCGCTTCTCGCACCGAGGTAATTTCGGACGCGCAATTCACCTCAGCACGGCTGTTGACCGGGCAATGGGCATCAATTGGTGTCGCAATCCATAGTCAAATCGCATTGGAGCTCCACAGAGCTGCCGGGAGCTTCCCCGACCTTGCTGCAGCTCCACGAACGTGTCCATTGGAAGTGGGCTGATCCCAACTTGCGTGGTATAATGCAATTGGGGCCCGACAGCCTGCCCATGCATCATGCGGCAGCTCCTACGTGAACAGAGGCATTTTCAGCTGAGCTTATCCATGTCGCGCGCGGCCAGCTGTTGATAGCTCCAAGCCTTTCCCCAGCCTCCTAATTTTAGTCGCGTAGTCTCGAGTCGTCATTGGCCAGAGCTCCTGGATGCCGCAGCCTGAAAAGCATAGCTGCAGCATGGGCCGGCGACGATCACGGCTCCGCCGGACTATCACGTGCAAGACTGTCATCGATCGCGTTCCAGGCGATGGCCATCGACGCCGACTGGGCGAGTTATCCGGTCGCTTGCAAACTCGACGCATGTGAACCGTGGTTCTCAACGGCGGTCCGCATCGTCGTCCCCACGGACAGCGCCCGCGTCTGACATGCAGCACCTGCCGCAGTGACGGTTTCGTGATTGTGGAGAACTCGATGATTGGTGTGCTACAAGGACTATGTGGTCTGTCAGTTTCATCCAACTGTTCTCTGCTCTTGTTCGCACTGATGGTTCACTGAGCGTATAACCAGACCGGGATTGTATTTCTGACAGATACAATCCTCCACCAGCAAGATCCGACTTTTTCTTCAATAATGCGCCGTCTGCCAGATCCTCCAACACCATACTGATCGTAACTCAAAGGAACTAGAGAACGGAAAACGAAGACAGGAAGCCCACAGTCAGTTAGTTAGGATAGGGTGTGGTACGCATACTTGAGTGACGTTTGCGATCCCGACCAGCTCATCTAGCCCCAGTGACAATGTGCAATGTGCCTTACAGGAAGAGCTGGGAGGCCAGACGTGGATTTGGGTGTTGGTTGGCCCAAGAGAGGGTTAATGGCATATTTTGTGGTTGCCGTTCACTTCTTCTCTCGCTGTTGTTGCATTGCATCCTGGCTACCAGTATAAGAAAGCACGACTACAGGATCATGAGGAAGCTACCTTCCACCACCTCTTGACTCTGTACTAGCATCCTATCCTGATGGTTTTCATTGCACGTATGTCAGTTTCTTATTCGTATACGCTTTTCTACTGTCTTCCCAAGGCTCTCTGCAATCGTCATTTCCCTCGTGGATCAGGTAGGCTATGGCACAAGAACCAGGCTTCCACCATGCTCCCGGACACGAAGGAATAATTACAAATTACGTTCTCAGACTGAGTCGTAATGATGTTGATTTCTTACTCTAGTTTGGCAATACTCTTCATTATGGCATCCCAGACGGTGACGTGGGTGTATTGATGGCTACACGCGACATGTACGGGCCGTTTAATATATGCCGACATAAGTGAAGAGCCAATGCTCGCCCTTACATTTGTGGGGAGGAGGATCGCATTCTTGCAAATACAGTATTCCATAGACCTTCTAATTGTCTTTCAATAAACTGGACATACATCGCCTTAGGACATAGGAACTGTCAGTCAGGAAGCGCTTCTTTTTCTTCAAAAGGGGAGCTCACTCAACAGAGACCGGTAGGTGTGCATTGTTAGTAAAATCGTAGCAGAGCAAGTAAAGAGGAGGTTGTCGTGGTCTACATGACTCTAGAAGAGCCAGCAATGTTCCTTCCATTCCAGGTATTCTCCAAGCACGTCTAGATCAACAACATCACTCATCGAGGAAACTACGACGACAAATTTGGCCCGAAGACTTGACCTTTTCTCTTCTCTCAGTCCCCCATTTAATTTTTTACGGCAACATCCATCGGTTGGCGTTCTTCCATCCGATTGCTTGGAATTCTTCTAACCGACTATCCATAGCACGTTAAGCATACCGTAGTCACCCCAGTACGCGAACTCTGTCCGCGGCACTCCTGACCTCGGTGTTACTTGCAGTGTTAGCAAATGTTCCTTTTGTGATGTACGTAGACGAATGGCACCCGACACGTCCCACCCAATCCTCAAGATGGAGCAGACATAGACCATGTTATTATTGCATTCGCCAAAGCCAATGCCACAGCTACGTTTCAGCCCAGAGTTCCTATAAACACGATCTGGACCGAGTACTCCAACGTGAAACCACGATTGCTGTGGGAGGCTGAGGTGATGATATTAGATTCTATCAAATAACACAGTCAGATGCGTCGATGCAAATGTTCGCTACCAATGTTGCTACTATGCTTGTCAATACTGGGACTGATGTAGTCGGTGAGTACATCGTTCACTAATATCAATAAGCTATAGATATTAATAATGGAAGACGTCGATTGCAGATATCTGGGCGGCAATGGTGCAGATTATAAAGAATTGCGCAACTTTGACAATATTCGTCAGATCACCATGTTTCCTATACTACTAGCTGCTATTCGTGCTGCGATTGGAGACAAGCTTCTTTCAATTGCTGTGCTAGGAAAGCAAGGCCAGTCGGTTCTCCCATCTTTCAAAAGCATGAGCTTACAAGCAATATGCGATATGCTTGGGTACACACAAAAGAGTGGACCTCAGGTACGGCCGTCTGTTGACTTCATCAACGTAGGTTATTGTTCACCCTCACGCAATCCATCCATCGGGTATCTCAACCTAACTCCAACCAGGTGATGGGCTACAACCTGATGAACCGCCATGGCAAGATAAAAAAGCATCACACTTCTGTTGTCAATTCGAAAACAACAACCAAGGACTACCTCGCGAGAGTTGTTCCATCCGAGAAGCTCAATATCGGTTTCGCATACTACGCAAAGTACTTCACTATACAAGGCAACTGCAGTTCCAGCCCCCTCAACTGCCATATCGCCATCGTCGAAGATCCCTGGTGCCATGGCACGTTCACATCTGGCGCCTGGATTTTTGAGGAGTTTCATATGCACCCCGTCGATACCCCGCAATAGCTGTATCATGGGACGGTACCTGTGGTCCAGAGAAGGGGACTAAATGCGGCGCAGGTTGTTACTCCCAACATGGCCACTGCGATACCACGCTTAAACACTGCCACGGCGCCTGCCAACACGCGTCTGGAATGGGATGCACCAACGACGACGTAGCAGGACCCTAGCAGCTGGTGGCCACTACTACTTCGATACTCAGAACCGCCTGTTCTGGACATGTGATACGCCCCAGCTCATCACGGGGAAGTTTGAAGATATCGTACGCAACTACAAGCTTGGTGGAGTCATGTAATGCAGATGGCTAGGGAGATTGCAAAAGGTGGACATTAATTGGCGACAGCCAGAGACTACACCAAGCCGTCCACTCTGCCTGCCAATGGCAGATGTAAGAGGGCACATATGGCACGGAAAGACTGATTTGGGAGAGCTTGTTTGGACGTCTAGTGAGCCGTTTCGCGTTTTAGTTATTGTTGGTTGAGTGTGCAAGATGGACCGTCAAGAGGTTCCTGACCTAGGCAACCCCATGACACGACATTCCTATGGCTGTGACGTAGCGTACGATTAATGAATTACTACTCTTTTCTTACAAGACACAGGTGCCTCATTTTCTTGTACTATACAATCGTCTCGCATGCCCCGTTATCCAATGCCCAAGATACTTTCGTACCCATTCTAACCCCAACCCATATTCCCACCCGCAACAGCCTATGCCTTGACAGTACTCCTCTTCATACCCTTCCTCGCGTTCTTCTCCCTCTCTTTGTCCAAGAACTTGCGCTGCTCATCAGCACTCAGTCGGCCCAACTTGGCATCTCTCTGCTCCTTCTTCAGCTTGTCAGCGGCGAGTTTCCTCTCCTCTGCCTTCTCCTCGTCATCCGCCTTCTTGATCTTAGCGATTTGCTCGTCACGGGTTTGCTTGATGCGGCGGAGGGCTTCAGGGCGGAAGTGTGCGGACGAAGCGAGTTGATCGGGGAGGCGGAGGAAGTACTGGAAGATGGGGAGGGTGGTGGCGTAGTCAGAGGCGAACTTGAGGGAGAGACTGAGACGCTTCTTGGGCTTGGTTTCGTCGAGACTGGGACATGTTAGCTTGGTTCAAAAAGCGACGTACTTTGAATACTGTTTGACTTACGTCCTGGGAGCGTTGATGGGCTGGTCGCTGACGATGATGGCTTCAAAGTTGTCTCCCGCGTCGTTTACAGCCTTGATAAGCTCAGGGGTGAGCAGCATATCCGTGACCTCAGCGCTCTCGCTCATAACCGTGGTCCAAACTGGCAACTTGGCGTGGTCGCGCGTGGTAGTCAGAGACAGGTCGTAGCGCTCATCGCGCATGCGCTTCATGATATCCTTGTGTACAATTGCGAAGACGAAGCCATCGAAAGTGCTGTTGGTGACCTTCTTTGACTCGCCCTGACCGTATGAGGGCGCGAACTTGGTCTCACGGCCATCGAAGACGTAGGCCGTAGCCTCGAGACGCTCGGTGGGTGGAGGGAAACTTTCGAAGAACAGGGGAAGGACGGTTTCACCCAGCCACATGAAGGGGTTGAAGCGCTTGTAGAAGGTCAACTTGAAGTCGACAAAGGCCACGTTCTGACGTCCAGTAGCGTATGTCTGGTACTCGTCGGCCTTCTTCTCCTTGAGCATGCTGTCCACGTCTGTAACCGCTCCTTCTCCACTTGGGCGTGTATGACCGACTTGGACGAATTCCTGGGACAGAACGGGGGCGTGAGCCTTCATCCATGTCCTAGCCTTGCTGCGGTTGCGCTTGGTGCCCCAGAGGTGAACCGCGATGAGAGCGAAGAGGAAAGGCAGGATGTACATCTCCAACTTGAAGTCATCCATGCTTGTGCGCTCCCACACACGGTACCATGCCGTGTATGGTCGGTTGTCGCCCAAGGCCGTAGGAGCTGCTTGCGCTGCGCCAGTACCGGTCGTGAAGGGCGAGATGGCAGCGGGTGTAGGCTCAGGAGCACCTGCGTAGTCGGCGAAGTCTGGTCGTTGTCAGCGCATGCTATTGATTTCGTATATCTACAAGCTCTACAATCTCCGAAGATACCCTCACGATGACTTCGCGCCTTCATCTCTTGTTGGGAGATTCGAGCATCGCGCAAGGGGTCTCGTGTGTGGTCCCGCATCCCCAGGTCGCTGGGCTCGCGATCGCGCATGCAATACAGTGTACGTACCATCATCACCAACAACTGGAGCCTGTACTGGCTTTTGCCCACCGAAGAGACCCTTGACGAAGTCTGCCATTGCGTCGATGCTTCACAATGAACAGGTGTACGTGGAGATTTGACGGCGCGGGAGGTGGTTTGGAGGATCTATGGATCTCGGCTCGGTTCCTCGTTGGTGGCACTGACCTCATTTTACAGCGACTAGCACGCATGTGGAGGGGCACCTGGGCAGCTACCCCAGAGCTCGATTGCATTGGGTCGAAGCGAGAATTGACATGTCTGCTGCGTCATGTGTATTCAGAAGGTTAGAAATAAGACATATTCACAGCTCAATATGGATATGGTTGCAAATGGCTGTAATCAGCCAGCCCTGCTACTCCTTCAGAAGTGATAGCTGAATGGCTGCATCATTCTGCAGCCAGTACAAATAACGAAAAGAGATGATGATGATGATTGTTCTATGCGGCCGGAAAAAGAGATGTCGTGACGGGTAACGGCTTGTTGATTGATTGTACAGATGCAAACGACTCATCCTGGGCCCCTCCTATCCGAATATCATGTTCGAGGTGTGGATTTCTAGTTCTTGCCAAACCAGGTCTTGTGTCCCTAGTCACAGTTAGTCGCGGCAGTGTGCTCAGTTTAGCCAAGTGCAACTTACAAGGACGAGACGTCCCATCATGTACATGCTGGCACCCAAGCTGCTGAACATAATGACCTTGAAGCCGGGTACGAGGTACTTGCCACGGGCCTGAAAGAAATCTGTCAGCATGCATCCCCGATTATGATGGTTCCTAGGCGCCCTGTGTCCGACACCCGCTTGCGCATCCTCTCTGACCACGTCATATGCACACCATTGATCCTTCTCTTCCGTGTTCGGTACGCACCTTCTCCCAGGTCCTCAGTCCGTCGTGCTTCTGGAACTCGCGTTGCCAGTAAGGCACCTTGTTCTCGCGCATAACCCAGCTGCCGGCTGTCAGTATCGAGCTCTGTGCGAAAAGGCAGAGGAGCGTGGGAGGCCGTCGCGGCGCTGTATAGAGCCCACAGCTACGGCCACAGCTCCAGGGTGGACGTACCCTGCCATTTTGAAGTGTGTAGATGTGTATTGCGCGGCTTGCGGGGGCAATTGTTAGTTTCGTGGATTTGGCGGTTTCGTGATGTCGCGAGGTCGAATGACCCGTCGGCGAAAGGAAGTCGGGCGCCAAGGCCCTTGTCCACTTTGGGCGCAACAACTTTCCGCATTGTCAATTCAAAGTGAAACCATCGCGACGCCAATGGACTGATTTCGCCCTTCGCTCTTGTCTTGTTGATGCCACCGGCCCTGGACAGGCTCCTTGCCAGCCCGTCTGCCCTGCGACTCCTGCGCTCCATCGTCAATGCCCCCGAATTTCCTGCAGCATATTCTATAGCGACAAATTGCTGCTCTTCAGTAGCAACCCATCGCCACTACTCGTACCAGCCGAAACCCCAGTCGAAGCTACAATGGAGGCGAATGAAGGATGCAAGCAAGGAGGCGGCAATTCGAGACCAAGTGCGAGCAGCACTCCAAAGTGACGACGCCAACCATGCCCTCGTACCGACCGTTGATATCTTCGAGAACGGCCTTGTACGTGTAGCGAAAAGGGAAGACGATCCCCGGCAACTCGCCGTCATTCTTGCAAATGAAGAGAGGTTGCATGGGCCCAAAGGTGTCCGCAATGTCTGGCGAAACATCCGTCATCGAGGGTACCGCCTACCTATAGAAGACACACCGGATGCCGAATATCTGTGGGGGACCTTCGTCAAGAATCACCTACTCGTAGAAAAAGTGATAGAGCACGCTGCAGAGCTATTTCATGAAACAGGCCAGAAATACCCTCATCTCTATCATCTAGTCATGAGCCACTGGCTTCCGAGGAGAGCAAAGACAGCGTTGAGGTATCATTATTCGCTGCAAAGGAACCTAAGATGCCAGCGGCTTCCCTTACGGCAGTTGGCACATCTGGGACGATCGACTCTCAAGCACGCCGCATACGAAGCGCTAAGGGAGATATACGAGCACAGCAACGAGCGGGATCTCTACGACGAGGTAGTACCTGTGCTCATCGAGAAGGGGGATATCACCGCGGCACGTCAATGGCATGCGCTTTGTACTCTTCGTAATGACATGCCGTCAGAGTCTGTCGCATCACACCCTGTCGTTCGCCTGTTCACCGTCGAGGCATCAGCTCGTGACGTCTACTTTGAGACAAAAGGGTCGAAGAAGAAATGGAAGCGAGACTCGGCCAGGTACAACGAGGATCTTCTGCGTCGCTTGGAAGGCCCTGACACCGCACCCGTCCGATTCGAAGACTCTTTTGTCGCCCGCATGTTCGCAACACGCACCTTTCCAGCGGCTTCCATTATACAAGGGCTCTCCATGGTGGGAGTGAACGAGATTGGGCCTCAAGCTTTGCTCACCATGGCCCTGCAAACACAACCAGTCGAGGAACTACCTGAAAGATTTGAAGAGCTCAGGTCAGCAGGCATTGCTCTACAGGGCTGCGTCTTCTCTTTAGCACTGGAGAAGTTTGCAATGGAGCAGAAATGGCAACTGGTGCGCAGTATGTTGGAAAGCGACCAGCATCCGGATGTCTTTGGCGACGTGCAAGTACAACGCAAGCTGCTCGAATACTATCTCGATAACGACGACTATGAGCAAGTCCAGCGCACGCTTGCCATTCTGACGCTCTTCCATAACGATTCCAGTCAAGAGTCCTGGAACCTGCTCTTGCAAACCTATATCAAACGTTCCGGGCCGCAGCATGTCATGGAAGTGCTCCGAGACATGCGCGCACGTGGCGTTATGTTGACAGCCGAATCGATCATGGCCATCCGCGGCCTACTACGCCGCCGGCGATCAGGACACAAACCCGTCGGCGACCGTTTTGACGACTTGCGTTTTGTCGCGCGTGTGTTCGTGATGATTCTCGAGAACGGCCTAGGTGCCATTTCTCCGCTACTTTGGCGTGAGATCATCCGCAGATTTGGCATGGTCGGGAGATTCAGGGAGCTTAGGCGACTTTTACTCTGGCTTCTCTGCTGGTATGCACCGAGGAGCGGTCATCAATTCAACAACTTGCCAAAGTCACCATTCTTGGAACCGGCCACAGCGATACTGCGTGCTGCCCATCCCGAGCGTGCCCATTATTTCCACTTTCCAGCGACGGTAACACAGCGCGAGAACTCATTGCATCCTGTTCGGCAGCTATTCCCTCCGTCCCTCCAGCATGGTCTCATCGCCTGGGGCTTCAAGGCTGGACTGCTACCAAACGCTCATCTGGAACAGTCCATGCTCGGGTCTACGCTTGCTAAAAAGCACTATCGCCGGCAGTTGCTCCAGCGCCAGATCTTACGTCACTTAGGGTGGAGTACAGGTTTACAAACTGTGGTGTTGCTACGAGATCTTGGCGTCTTCGTTCATTATCACACAGTCCTCAAGGCCCTGCAAATGCAGTTCGTCAACATGTTTGGTCATGGCCGATCTAGCAGGAAAGAAAACAGAGTAATGGAGAGAACGAACACGTTGCCATATGCTCGATACGTACATGAGGTCAACAAGATATGGGGCAGTCCGCTATTGAGAGAGCCTCAGCTCTTCGGCAAGGGCATGGTGCATGACCATATGTGGCACCCACGCATGAGGCGGAATATTGAACGCAGAGCTTCCATCAGTCTCGGTGAGATTCTGGGCCAAAACTGGATGGGCCGGGACAAAGAAGCGTACAGTGTCGCCAAGGATGACGAGGCAGCGGCCCTCGAGCAGCTACAGAAGCACTTCAGAATGCAGGCCAAAGCCATCGAGCCCATAACTGAGTCACATCCTCATACAGTAGCCGATGACGCGTTCAATGCAACAACGGCGGGAAGAGAGAAAGCATTACGAGCGCCAACAACTACGAAGGACGACCTCAAGGCATAGCCTCGCCATCAGATCTAAAGAATATATACCACAACTCTCCTCACTTACTCTGACCTCGTATTTGAACTAGTGCTTTCGATGATACCATTACTTTGCTTACACTCGTTCTCCATACTAGGAACTTTCCCCGACTGTTTTCTACAGCCATTTGTGATCTGAGGACCCAGACTGGAGGGGCGGGCGGTTGGAGCCGTCGCTTGGGGTGAGGGCGGGATGATGCGCTAGTGCGCGGGTACCGAACCGCTCAATCTTGCGCTTTCACAGCTTCAGTCTCGATCTCTTCTCGTCTGCGCCCATTATCGGCTGAACCACTATCCGTGCATTGCTCACCGCTATTTCGAACACCACAACGAGACTATATCTGACCTCACGGGATGTGCTGCTCGTGTGGCCACAAACAGGTCTTCCAGCACACTTTCTCAGCCTTTCGGCTTCTCAGCTCTCAAAACCGATGCAGTAGCTGACCATTGCCGATCTCCTATTCGCTAGATTAATTAAACCCCTGCTGAACAGCTTTCCTTTTGTCACAACCACTTTCCAGTTACAAGGCTGAGGATGGATCTAGCCCCTCCTAATGCCATGAAGCGCTCTTCCGCGGCGCTTTCTATCCGCAAACGTGCCTGTGATCAACTTTCAGGTACGACCCTGGGGATATGCGCCAGGGCTGAGGACTCTGCAATGTAATATTGACGGCCTGTAACCGGGTTTGACGATCGACCAAAAGACTGATGGTGGCTTTCACATACCTCTGTTACTCGCTCTTTTTCATGGCACGAGTTCGTACGCGCCGTGCGTGAACACCCTCCACCCACAGGCTTCCTACCGAACGTCACCCCATGCCCAATCATGCATTGAACGGCAGTTGTATCGATGTCCTCTGTCGCTTACTCGTACTTGAACAGTCACCGAGATCATCTGGGGCGTTCGCTTGCTCTAGCCACCCTGAAGGAGGTGACCTCCAATTTGTAGAGGGGCTGACGAAGAAGGCTGGCATCCTGCCTTGCGAAGCGATTATAAAAGGGATTTATGTATCTCATTCACTCAATACGAACGCTTTGAGTCCGATGTTTGGTCTTCTGCATTGAACTGTCTGTTTACTATCTTTTCAGAATGAGCACCCCTGACCACGACTCATCAGCTAGGACGGGAAAGAAGCCCCTCGAGCATAGCACATACCACTACGACAGCTTGCCACGCAGCCAAGGGGCGATACGAATCCTTGAACTTTTGCCCAGTGAGACTCCCGACGCTGCGATCCATTGCGTATTGATCACTCCAACTGGAGATGAAACGCCGCAGTATGAGGCTCTATCATGGTGCTGGGGCACAGCAGGCAAGACCGATTACATCAGGATTCAGCGGAACCGCAAAACGTACATGAAAGCTGTGAGCCCAAACCTTGTGGCCGCTATGAAGGCACTTCGCTATCCGTATCGCAACCGTTACCTTTGGATTGATATGGTCTGTATTGACCAAGATGAGTATGTTCGTCTCTTGTGTGTAATGGTCATGCGCTGATTAATGTAGCCTAAACGAGAAGAACCACCAAGTCGAGATGATGAACATCATCTACGGAAATGCTTCTCGAGTTTGTATCTGGCTTGGTGAAGCAACTGAATCCAGTCGGATGGCGCTGAGTTTCATCAAGAACGAGGTCTTGCATCTACAAAGCTTCGACACACTCTGCGATAGCAAAGATGCTAGCAAGAAGTGGATCGCGTTACTAGATCTGATGCAAAGGCCTTGGTTCTCGCGACGATGGGTGGTTCAAGAATTGGCACTGGCGCGAAAGCCCATCATTTACTGTGGGAACGACAGGATATCATGGAAGAAGTTCGCTGTCGCAGTCGAACTTTTTGTAGAGGTCGAGACAGCAACGCATCGCCTATCAGAGGTCATGAAGAAAGACCGACAAAATCAGTATATCCCCAGCTACTTCGATTACGTCTCCGCGCTTGGTGCAAGCTTGCTTGTTGATGCCACAGAACGTTTGTTCCGTGATTGGAAGAAAGTCGAAGTATCCCAGACCAAGACAATTCCATACGCGCGAGTCGAGTCAACGATCGACTCAGATAGCGACAGTGAGGACGTCGACAGCGAAGATAGCGATTCATCAACACCTCCTTCTACAAACGATACGCACAACATCCCCGGCGATTCGAGGAGTCGTATACAGCCTCTTTTGAGCCTGGAATATCTTGTGTCAAGCCTCACCATTTTTGATACAACCGTACCTCACGACACGATCTATGCGCTGCTTGCAATCGCAAAAGACACCACTCCACGCGCTGTGAGCGCTCGCACTGTTGTTACATCCAGAAGTGCTCAGGAAGGACTAGAGGTCTACACGCAGCGCAAAAGCTATAACGTAAACTACAAATTACCGTACGTAGACGTATGCAAGGACTTCATTCAGTTCGCTATCGAGCGTTCTCTGGACGGGAATGCAAGTCGTGCGTTGGACGTCATTTGTCGCCCATGGGCGATCGAAGAGAGAAAGCTACAAAAGATTCGAGAGGCCAGGCTGAAGAAGCTAAAGAAGGAACAAAGAATTGAGATGAGGGAGAAAGCCCGAAAAGCGCGCCGGCAAAACTACAGAGCACATCAGTCCCTCCCCCAGTCTGAAGCTACTAGCTCGGCAGCCGCGGTTCGGCCTGAGAGTGCATCGTTAGAGGAGGCAGCTGCATCTACTGAACTTGAAGATATAGGGTTGCCTTCCTGGGTGCCCCAACTCTCGAACGCACCATTCGCTATGGACCAAAGACCCGGAACGAGTGGCCCTAAGATGAGCCGCATCAACGCAGACCCTTTGGTGGGTCTCCCTAGTTCCACACACCGAAATTACTCTGCCGCTGAGACCAAAGGCGTGGACATAAAAGCGCTTAGGTTTAGGAAGCGACCGATAGCAAAGCAATTTAGTATGTACGTACGCGGCTTTCAGCTTGACGTCATCACAGAAGTCGCGGAGGTAGCTCGTAGCGGGCATATTCCGATAGAATGGGCCGACCTCGCAGAGTGGGAGGATGCCGAAGGATTTCCGCCAGACGCATTCTGGCGAACGCTTGTCGCAAACCGTGGTCGAGACGGTAAAAACCCGCCCGTATACTACTCGCGGGCTTGTGAAGAATCATTCAGAAAAGGTGGTCTCCAAAGTGGAGCTATTGATACTACTGCACTTATCGAATACGAACGCAACTCGGTCGTCGCTCAATTTTGTCGGCGTGTGCAGGCGGTTACATGGAATCGTGCACTTGTGCGTACCCAAAGCCAGAAGCTAGGTCTGGTCGGCAAAGATGTCCAGAAGAATGACCTGGTCTGCATATTATACGGATGTAGCGTACCGGTCGTATTGCGCGAAAGCCCCAGGAAGACTGAAGAGGAATTCGAAATCGAAATGGAACAGGAACTAGCAGATGTCAAGAATACTGTGGCCAAAAAGTTACAGCAGTACATTGCACGCAAACGACAACATCAAGCTTGGAAAGACAAAGAGATGGCAAAACTCTGCAGAGAATGGCTCAGAACTACCGATTACACGCGAAGGCACGGAACTACCGATTACATGCGAAGGCATGGCTTCGACCCTACCATGTCTTCAGCCGAAGATCTCAGAAAAAACCTTTTGCGCATCTTGAAACAATTCATAGTCGATTTCAAATTATGGTGTTTCGAAGAGCGCGAGAAAGCATGGCCTGAAATTGAGAGCCGCATTGAAGCGGAGATGAAAGAGCGGGAAGAAAATCCGAAGAAGAAGGTGAATAGGCCAGGTAAAAAGGAGATGGATGAACATCTACGCAGGCAAGCGGACAAGCAGGCAGTGAAGAAGCGGGAAACGGAAGCTCGCGCGTCCCGAAAACGGAGACAATCGCGGTCCGCCGCGGACATACTTGAGATCGCTCCTAGCGCAGCGGTAACTACTGGAGGTTCTAGCTCGGGCGCTTCCAAAGAAACATCAGGAACAGCCAAGAAGAAAAGGCCACAGGTAGATTGGTGGGAGTTTGAATACGCACTTGTTGCCGGTCGGCGCTGGAAGCAGGTGGTCAGACAAAGAAAGGAAACCCGCCAAGAAGAATGGAGGCGAGATGTGCTTGACCGGTACGAGGCTTTGAAAAACAGGAGTACGAGACAAGGAGATAAAAATGTAGAAGAGACGCCCACGACTGAAGCGATCGTTGTAGAGGGAAGTTCCGTTACCCACGATGAACATGCAGGCACCGATGGGCATACGACGAACAAAGAGCTAGGAAGCGATGACACAATGGCGAGAGATGGCGAGCATAGCAACAGTCATGAGGACGGAACTGTTCAAAGTCATGGAGAAAGGGATGGGCCTGCAGAAAACGGGGAACATGCACATGTGGAAAGATACGAAAAGACAGGAAAAGAGGTAGATGCCAACAGCGGTGATCACGAGCCCAAGGACGAACTTCCCAGAAATGGTCATATGCCTCTGATAAGCGCAAGCTCATCACACTCGGCGTCTTCTGCTGCGCATGTGCCGCCTGACTCTTCAACGGGGCGACGGCCTAGCTGGTGCCGTAAGGTAGACAGGACTAAATTGACGTCTGATGATGTTGAGGATTACGATAAGAAGGTTCGAAACAATTTGCGCGAACGACTCGGTGAGGAAGGCTATTACTCTTACACACTCCTTGGCGAGTGCTATATTCATGGAATGATGGACGGTGAGGCAATGCAGTTTCAAAACGAAGACGCCGAAGGGGTTATTCCTTCGATGGTATTTGAGATCCGCTGATGGCTTTATTCTTACTTGATGTAGCAAAAATCATTCTGTACAGATTCGAAGCTCATGGTGTCAATTTGTCGGAGTTGAGAGCGCAACAGGATGAAATGATGATGTTTCCAGATTGAAGAGAGATATTGTGCCCCCACGTGCAGACGCGTCGCCGCTAGTTTAAATTAGGCCATGTTTCAGCATCGAGACGCAGTGGTGGGCGATCTGTAGTATATAGCTACATAGCGTCGCCAGAACCGACTTACGACCACTCTATAATTCGGTTTTATGTGACACTTCCCTGCTGGACCCCTCACCCTCTTTTCCACCACCGCTTCCAGCTAGTCTCACTGCAATAGTAGGCTTGTGCACCAGCGTCTGCAGCACGACGCAATATCGTTCCGTCAACTTGCCCAACTTGTCTACTTCTTCTTGACTGACTTCCCTACCGTCTTCCCTCTCGCCGAACTTGACCGCAAACTCTAACCGTATGCCTGTCATGCCGACGGGAGCCGTCTTGTCCACACCAAGTGTGCCCTTGAAGTCCAAGTCTCCTTCTGCGGTGACGGTGCCAGATGCGATGGGTATGCCGAGTGCGGTGGCGACGGCTTTCAACGTGACACCTGAGCAAGCTACAAGAGCGTCAAGGAGCATATCGCCAGAACATAGTTCGCCTGAGATGGCTGGGTCGTCGCCGCCAGCCTTTTGGTGCAGGCCGGCTACCCTGTGCGCTTCCTTAACTGCAGAACTGTCGGACAGCTTGCATGTTATTGAATGGTCGTCGAGCGAACCAGTAGATTTCAGGGTGACGACGGCGGAGGAGGGGTCGCTGCGGTAGCCGTCTTTGATTGGGGCTTGCTTTTGGCGGAGGGCTTGAGCGGCGGACATGTTTGCGATGTATTGAACAGCAGATTGATGAGCGAAGGATTTGCCGAGTCCTGTGTCTACTGTAGCACGAACAGGATTTCTATCAAAGTACCGAAAAGTTCGGAAGTCATGGTCGGCCTCGACACCGTTATGAAGCATACCCCGCAAGAGGCAGGTCGATGTTCCACAGCCCCGCTTCGCCGCTGGTGCGAGCGATCAAACAGGAAGGAGGGGACACTCGATCGAGACGTCGCCTAGAAAAGCCATGTCGAGGAACCGGAAATCTTATGCTGATGAGCGTGTTTGAGTTGGATGAGATGAAGAAGAGATGGCGCGACCTGCGCGAGTCCAATGTACCAACCGACACATGCAGCTTCGAGATAAGCGACGCGCCTGCGGCACGCGTCTTCCGACCAAGTCAACGTCATTTCCCGTCACGCATCTCGACTTCGTACGACCTACACTCCACCTAGATATGAACCCATTTGTATCATCCCTTCTGAGCATATGAGCCCTCCATCGTCCATACGTCACACATCATAAGAAAGCATCGCACGCTGCATTCGAAGCACAGCGTTTGTGTAGCAAGGGATTATAAATTGTCTGTTCTTTCTACACTTCCTTCCTCATGCTGGCTCCTAGGCATTAATCCTTCCATATCTCATCTCATGTCACTCTGGACGTCGCAGCGGTCTACAGAACCAGCCCCTTCTAATGGCAGGCGTGGACACCGAACTCGCACGATCAGCCAGTAGGCTCTTTGAGCTCGGTAACTCAGCGCCAGGTCAAGGCAGCTCAACGCCAATTTAAGCGTTACGTTGACGCGCTGCATTGCGCGCTGCAACAGCATCAGAAAAGTTCAGAGCGCCGTCAGTATTCATGATTCCTTGTGGCACTGACAAGGCCAAGTTCGCGCCTACGGCCGGCGTCCTCACAGCTTGATTGCTCGCAAATGCTACAGCAGTCGTTCTTGTGGACTGGCTAGCTTGTTGGGCAAGACTTCTCTGCGACTCAGCCAACAGGCTCCCATGTGCCTGCTGCTGTCGTTGCATTGCTTGTACTGACTGCCGTTTAGCTTCATCCCGGCGCCAGATCCGAAGCCTCATTAATGATACCTGGATGGTATCAGCTTGCGGTAGCATTCGCGACTGTGGCTGCGGATGCGTATCTGACTGTATGAACGGCTGTGCCTGTGGGGCTGGTACCCGACTCTCTTGATCAAGCACCAAAGTTGCTCTATTCGAGCGCAATCCAACCAAGCCTGTTGCTGCTGGCCTCCCGCTTGGTGGTGAGCGGCTTGAAACTCGACCACGCCCTGGAACTGAGCCAGATGATGCGAGGTGGGATGAGCTACGGGCATATACAGGCGCACGATCACGATAGCCTCCGTAGAGTTGGAATTGCTCCCTTTGCGGACTCCGCTCACGTGTGTCCCGATTGCGGCATGAACCAGCGTATGTTGGGTATTCATTCTCATCGAACGTATGCCTATGGTCAGCATAGCTACCTTGAAAGCCGTAGCGGTTGTTTGTGTAACCGGTATGATAGCCGGGCTCTCGGAACCCAACATAGGGCTCACTGAACACTTCTCGATCGTGGGAATAATAATGGGGCGACAAGGAAGTCTGCGAATTGAATTGCGCTTCGCTTCTGCGCTCTTGCTGCTCTGCTCGGTACCGGGCGTCTGGATCATGAGCTGCTCCACGAGCTGCTTCACGCTCAATTACCAGACTCTCATTCACATGTGATCTGCACCATTCCTGGTTGGCGGTTTGCATCAGGTCTGCGCAAATTTCTCCAGTGTGCCTGTGGACCGGATTGATAGGGCAGGCACCGTTGCACTCGCGCCAATTCTCGCGATGGACTTGCGTCGCGAGCTTTCCACACTGAACGCACAATGTATGGTGCTCCCGTACGCCTGCATCTCGCATCGTTCGCAAAGTCTTATTTGGATTGACTCTCTCAGTGTAGTGTCCACGGTTTGGGTCTCGAGGTCGCCTCTCGTTCGGCGGGTGATCATCACTATTACCACGGTATTTGTCAAAACTTGGCTGTTGCTGCGGTCGCAATGAATTGTATGCCATGGCGATGTTGATATGCTGGAGCTATGTTTAGGAACATCTATGCGTCCAAGGCTGTGACGAAGGCGATAGTGTACTAAGCGCGTCTCCACGTGAGCTGATTGACCGCACTCCCTGGACTCTTAACTCAACAGCAATTCCAGCCTATCCGGGATTCAATTCGCTTCAGCCGTTTCTAGTTTCTCAACACAATTTCCATTGCACACATTCACCCGCGATCAGCCACCGAGCGGCTGCGCATCAAACAGTACGCGATCATAATCTTGTCTTGACCTGCGCTCACTCTTTCTACCTTGTCAACAGACTGAGTGATTGCCCCTCGATTTTACTCATGAAAACCGCCTGGCTGACCAGTCGACGACGCCCCTCCGATCAATCTTCCTGTACCTTCGTACCGTAAGCTCAGAAGACATCATGTCACCCACTAGCTCCGCCATTATCCTAACAGGTACCGCCAGAACCAATTTATTCAATTTTGTCACTCTTCCTCTCGGAATCAAGGAGTTATGTGGACCAGCAGCTGTCAATCGACTTGATGTTCGTATCATGGTTGGCGGCGATCTAGTATGCACGTTCGAGCCTCGAGACGAATAGTAGATGCATGGACATGGCGCGATGTAATTACGAGAAGACAGATCTCACTACAACTTTAGGCAGTAGAGTTCTCAGAAACTTGAGCCTGTAAGAAGAGTATGAACTATCAGAAATACATCTCTTCGTCCGTACTAATAAGTGCTTGCACACTTTGAGGTATTGCCCAACTGTTATTCCAACATCCACGTGAATGAAAGTCTAAGAGCGACTGAAATTCAGAAAGATCCGAACCCAATGCGTCATATGCACGTTGCACAATGACCTTCTCAAGCTCATGATTACAGCTAGTCCCAGTAGCATTCGACAGATTTGATCTTGTCCTGTGTATCATTGTCAGTCAGCAGACCCTTATCGAAAGGCAGCATATCTCAACAGTACTCACATTCCAGCCAATGTTTGCAAGATTAGCAACAGAGCCGCGGAGATAGAGGGATCTCGCCGTTGCTTCACAAGCCCCCGTCCTAATCTGCGTTAGTCTCGTACCACTGACCAGTCTACCTGAAGAGACGTACCTGAAGAAGAAGCAATGGAACTTCCGGCCATGGTTTGGCGCACCGTCAGGGCAATCTTTGAAAGTGATCGAGGAGGCCCCAAAGGGTATAGGACTGTGAAGTATCAGTAGTTGTAGATTGAGCTTACTCGGTGCACTTGCTCATTGTTCAATAAGGTCATGCAACTGTTTATGCCATCAATACAGCGGTAGGACGTCATCACATTGCCTTGGTAGTTGATGTGGTCGTGGAAGTGAAGCTGTAGTGGTTAGAGGAATGGACGAAAGTCGATAGCGCGTACGTACATTGGACGCAAGACGGTCCCAGTTTGCAATATTGACGTCAGCAACATCAGGATTGCTGTGGATGTTGGACTCGGTAACTGAGGCACGCGCAGGCATGATCACGTTGCGGAGATCAATCACCGTGGGCTGGTCGCCGAGCTCGATCGTAGTACCATCGGTCTTGTTGAGAGTAAGGCCTACTACCGCCGGAAGCAGCATCATGAAGAGAGTGAGGAGACGCATGGTTACTGGGTGGAGTCGTGATGTGACTGTGGGTTGATAGTTCAAGTCGAGAGGCAGTGGCTTTGAGTTGTTCGTGAAGAAATTTGGGGAATTGAGAACAACAGTGAAAATGCGGAAACGTGAATTAAAAGGCTGGAGGTAAAATTAGACTGCGCTGTGAATGATTAACTGCCCGTTTGTTCAACTGCCATGCCTAAGGTGAGGCCTAGGCCTCGGAATGATTAGGTCACGTATGAGGTCGTTTGACCGCAGCCAACCGCGCCACAAAAAGCCTTGATCACTATATACACTGTCCTGTTACTTTCACGTGTCGTTGAACTTCGTTTGCAACCATCTCATCAACCGGATGGTCAAACTGATCCGTCGTCAATACTTGCAGAAGAAAGGCTAAAATCCTAGGAGCGCTGATGCGCCGAACATGAATGTTTTCTGTCAAGAAGAACTTCATCTTACGAGCGTGTCTTGATTGTAGATTATCTTCTCATATCACCTTGCTTTGTGGAGCGATCAGTGCTAGCCTCGTCAGCGAGACGGGTGAACAACGAAAATTGTTACATTAGTAAGAATTGTCCGAAGCAGCACGAAGACAATGCCACTTTGTGAGGCGCGATCGTATGCTTCGTTGAGACACTGGAAAAGAACTTACAAAGCGAGTAGCCTAGAAGCACTGTTTCCTTAGATAGACCAGATGTAAAGAAGCTGCATAGCGAGTTGAAGTTCCAAAGCTGGCGAGGCGGCCACGCGGGTGACCGGCGCTAGGTAAGGCCTGATTCGGCCTTGAATTCTTATTGGTGGCCTCCCACCGCCGCCTGCACGCGTAGGTAGCGACAAGTACCTACAAACCTCGAAACTCACAACCTTCGCAAAAGATACTTCACAATGACCATACATCCATCAAGGATTTGCAATCTGCTTACTATACTCCCTCAACCTCCATGGACACAGCCACTTGATTGGGATCTTGGGATAAACTGGCACTGCGAAAAACGTGTATTCTTTTCGGCCTACGTGAAGCAGCCTGAAAACAATAGCCCGTCGCAACACTCGCTCAGCAGTTTCCCTCAATTTCAGAGACTTCCTGCCGAGCTGCAGCTTCGTATTCTTTCATGCTGTCCAACGTCAACGCTTTGGCAGCTCATGCGCGCATCTTCTATGCTACGCATCGAGTCCTCAAAACTGTTCTGGGCACACCCAAGCGCCTCATTCCTTCTATCTGATACCTGGCTTTTAGGAGGTGGGCACGCCGGCCGTACTTGCCACGACCTGGTATTTCTTGGCTATGCACAGAACGTAGAAATTGAGATCAACTGTCTGCACGATAAGCTTTGGCCGGAGCACGAAGTGGATGATCCGTCGCGTTCTAAAGACATGCGGCAGGATGTGGTGGAAACTATGTGGACTGCTTTGAGAAAAGGATGTCCAAGAGTTAAGAAGGTAGTGTTCAACCAGCAGATAATGTCTGGGACGGACGTAGAGGGAACTGGAAATGTGCCAGAATGCTTGGAAGTGTTGATACGAACTTGTCCGAAAGATATTGTTGCCGAAGCATTCATCGTGGAGGAACGAGAAGGACGACATTGGAATAATGGCACGTACAGCAACTTTTACAAAGTAGAATGCAGGACAGCACATTATCGGCCTTTGGAAGGTGGGAGCTGGGAGGAGCTCGAGCCAACAGCCAAACAATACGCAGTGCTGGTGCCTGGACGATTGTTTCGCGGTCCAGTTGGGCACTTTGAAAAAAACTACTTTCTTTTTCGAAGAAGGGTCGTCCAGGAATACGCATTCTGGCCTCTCGCCATTGAAGCTTTGGACCGACACCACTTCGATGAGGGGAGGAACAATGCTTTCCAATGCCCCAAAGCAGACTGCGACGTGGTATTTACGAAACCTGGTGAATGGACAATACATGCAGCGACTACGAAGCATGGTTGGGCCCGAGTAGAGGATGATTTATTCGACATACTACCCACAGAATTGCGAACTGTATTTGAGGCAAAGTACAACCAGATGGAGGCTAAGAGGGAGGAATTGAGCGAGGAGTCCATTAAAACGTTCAACAATTGGAACGACGGAGGAGAGGAGAAGAGAAAAGAGATGGAACAAGAGTTCCTTCAGCAACTAGAGAATGATAAAGATTGGGCGACAGGGGAGCAGGCGGTGGAACATCAGATCTGGAAGAACTTTATAAAAGCGATGGATCCTACATGGAATGGACAGTGAATGTGCATGGCAATGTGCCGAGGACGTGATCTATCTACGAAGGATGGGGCCCGCTATAGGTTGAACCATGTGGGTGCCTTGCTGCGGGGGCGGCGTATAGGACAAATGATCGGTCGATCTCGACTCGGTGGTCGGAGGATGCGTCTATCTGTGGACCTTGAATCTTTCGGAGTCGCATGGACACAATGTTGCTTGTGTATTATCAGTGATTCCACGTCGACATATCAGCAGGCGTTGCAAGATCTGGCAATGTATTTACTCAACAAACCCTAAATGTTACCTTACTCCACATGGGATGGGTCCATACTTCAGCGCGTGTAGCGAAATAGTCGGTCGGACACCAAATTTGCGATCTTGAACCATCGGACCGTAAAACTCCTCATTGGTCATGCATGCTACCCACCCAGTGTGTCCGTCTGCAAAATTTTAAGCCTCATCCCACCCAGAACGCGTCTCGAGGCACGCGTGGGCCATGAGGAGCGACCGGACCGCCCAGAAAAGGCAAGCCGACCGCCGCTGTAGCGTGATATCGCGTACGGCTCGTCTCAAAGTTAGCAGCGCGCATGCTCCACGTATCGAAGTTGGGGGAGGTCGGAGGTGGATCGAGAAATCGGTGGTGGAGAGTCCGCGGAGGCGTGAGTCGTGCCATGGGGCAAGGCGCAGGGCGTTTAGGACGGGAGCCGGACTGACGTCATGAGTGGCATTTCAATGTTGGATAAACAGGCTAAGACGCGTGGCGTGGCTTGGCAAGAGCGATCCGCGCAGCTTGGTGTGCCTTCTTCTGATGCTTGGGGGAAAGGCTGGGGCTTATGTTGGAGGCTTAAAAGCCAAGTTGTGGTTTCGTGAACGCTCCATGGTATGGGAATATAATCTCGGAAAACGCAGAAGGGAGTCGAAGATGATGTAGCGCCACTTCTCAAACATCATACACCGAGAAGGACGGTAAAGCGATCTGCGCCTCTTCTTCGAAGTCAAAAACACCTTCGCTTCGGCCGATATGTGCTTAGCATTTGACCCGGTTTTAATGCTACATCGCCTGGCTTGAGAGGTCCGTGGCCAGTATCCAACGGCCTCTAGCACGAACGCGCCATAGCGCCAAAGTCCTGTCAGCGTGAAAGATGTGATATGACGTCTCAAGGATGCGAGCGCGTGCCTTGTGATGCGCACAGTATGCGCGGCGTTGTCTGGGGCGTGCACCTCCGCATCTACATTCACTGCAGTGTCTTATAAACTGCTTCTTCCGCTTGCATGACGTCTGGATTTTATCACTCAACCCCAGCTTTCTTGACCCAGTCCCCGCAACTAGTCCCCTAGGTTGACTACCTCGAACCAATAACTGCCCAAGCGCATTGTTGTCGACAACATGGCTTCTGCGGCAGAAATCAAGCCTGATATCCACGATGCCGACATTGTCAGCAAGAACGAGGCTGGCGACATCGAAAAGAAAAGCGTTTCCGACAGCGACCATCACCACGCCGAAAACCCTACGGATCATGCACTCACTGCTGCCGACAAGGAACACTACGAGAAGTATGGCACCTACGACCGCTACGAAATCACAGAGGAAGATTGCTATGACGAGCTTGGATTTTGCTTTCCAACATGGAAGAAGTGGACCATTCTCAGCATCGTCTTCATGGTGCAGGTCAGTATGAACTTCAACACCTCGCTGTACAGCAACGCCGTGACAGGTATATCGGAGGAGTTTAGCGTTAGTGCGCAGGCAGCGCGTCTGGGAGCGGCCCTCTTTCTAATCGCGTATGCGTTCGGTTGTGAGCTCTGGGCGCCCTGGAGTGAAGAGCTAGGACGGTGGCCCATCCTCCAGCTCAGTCTGTTCTTTGTCAACATATGGCAAATTCCCGTGGGCATTGCGCCCAACTTCGGGACCATCCTTGCATTCCGCACACTTGGTGGTCTCTCTACTGCGGGTGGTTCTGTGACTCTTGCTATGGTGGCTGACATGTGGGAACCGTGAGTCTTTTACCCATTCTTTGCGTTATCAGGCTAACAATTCCAGTGACAACCAACAATACGCCGTCGCTTTCATCGTCTTCTCCTCCGTCGGTGGTTCAGTCCTCGGTCCTATTGTGGGTGGCTTCGTCGAACAATTCCTCGCTTGGAGATGGAACATCTGGATTCAGCTGATATTCGGTGGCGCTGTCCAAATCGCCCACGCCATCTTCGTCCCCGAAACCCGTACAACGGTCCTCATGGACCGCATTGCCAAGAAGCGCCGTACAGAAGGCGAAAAGAGTGGCAAGCCAAACAACATCTGGGGACCCAACGAGCTCAAAACGTTCAAGGAGCGCTTCAGTGTACACGAGATTCTCGTTACGTGGGTCCGTCCCTTCCGCATGTTCCTCACGGAACCCATCGTGCTTGTCCTCTCCCTACTCTCCGGTTTCTCTGATGCAATCATCTTCATGTTTTTGCAGTCTTACGCGCTAGTATACGCTCAGTGGGATTTTCCTGCATATGCCATTGGCCTCACTTTCGTCGCTATAGGTATCGGATACTTCATCGCCTGGTTCTCTTTCTTCCCAGCTATCAAGCGCAACGAGCGCCTCCGACGCGACCATCCTGACGATGAGCGCTCTCAATACGAAGCCCGCCTTTGGTGGTTGTTGTACACTGCTCCATGCCTTCCTATCGGCCTCATCATCTTCGCTTGGACAAGCACTGGCCCACCAATCCACTGGATGGGATCTCTGGTTGGATCAGCAATCATCGGCATCGCCAACTACGCCATCTACATGGCCACCATTGACTACATGATCTGCGCCTACGGTCCATACTCGGCGTCTGCGACTGGTGGTAACGGCTGGGCTCGTGACTTCCTCGCAGGTGTTCTTACACTGCCCGCTACACCCTTCTTCCAAAATATTGGCGGAGATAAACATCTCGCATATGCCTCGACGATTCTCTTCTGTATATCCCTTCTTCTCGTAGTTTCGGTCTACGTTATCTACTGGAAGGGTCCTGAACTCAGAAAGCGCAGTCCTTTCGCGCAACAACTCAGTGCTGCTCGTGATGAGACTGGTGGTCGCCGTGTCAGCAGCCTTCCAGGCATCTACGGCTCTCGCGCAAACTCGTTGGCGCAGCAAGGCGGCTTGATGCCAGAGTCTCGCAGGGGCAGTGTGGTGCGCGGTGTTCCTGGTGGTGAGAACAGGTACGAGATGCACCGCAGGCAGAGTGCGCGTAGTACTGGAGTTGCTTAAGCGCTGTTCGCGTTTTTCATCTCTGTGCCGATGATATAGTTTTATGAAATGTCAACGTTCATGAATTGATTGTGTTCTGAACTACAATAATGAGCAGCGAATGGCTTTGCCCAATTTTTGCATCTCATGCCAGTTATGTAAGCACTGAATTTGACTCAGGTTTTGAAGCTCGCCGCCGACACAACTTCCTGTCATGGCATCTCTGCACAATTCTTTTTCGAGCAAACATAACCTCTACCATAGTTCAGAGTTTTCCCATCAATTTAGTAGTAAGGCGGCCGATGCGATGGCATGCGTACCTTTTGTGCACGTAACAGCGGGCGCGACTACTGCGTCCGTACTTTTGTTGCAGGACCCATCAAACCACCGGCCCTCACTCTATATCGCAGAACAACACGTCCCAACGCGTAATTCGAAATGTGAAGAGTCTTTGTACTTTGCATCTTAACGTTATGCGACTGCATTCGGAACAGTCTTTGGTGTTATTTCTTCTGGATTTACGAGCGCGTCTGCACCACCTGTGGCAGGTAGCCTGCCCTCTTCAGGAGTGCTCTTCTTTGAGAAGAAGTGTATAATGTTCTTCTCAATATCAATGCCCTTTGCTTGCCATTCCGAGCCCTCCTCGAATTCATCGAAAGTCTCGCCAGCTTCTTTCGCGCGCTTACGGATTCCACGAGTTCGGAACAGCCAGATCATGTGTGAAGCAACCATGCTCATTTCGATAGCGCAGCTAAACATTGTCAGCCTTGGGATCGGATAGTTGCTGCTAACAGAAGCACCTACCATAGTGCGTACATCGTCCCAAAGAGCACATCGAACTCGTTCTGGGCTACAAGAGCCATCAGCGAGAAGAATGCGCCGTTCCAGTCGATAGCCAAGAATATGAAATCGATACCTACAACACGACCACGCCTCTTGACAAGTTCAAATGGGATAGGCATATAGCCTGAGATGAGAGTGAGGAAAGCGATGATGCCAATCAACAGGACTGGCCACTCTAACCCCCTCGAGTATGGCTGTCGAATAGCATATACAAGGCCGATTTCTATCCCTGCAAAGGCAATCAGAAGAGAGAGTAGCAAGAGAGATGCTGTCCAAGTCCGCCATTTCCTAGCTTCGGTTAGTCCTACATTCTTGGAAGGCAGGACGATCTCAGTGTTTAAACTCACCGGCTGTAAATAAGACACTGCGCCCAGCTCACACCACACAACACACAGAAGCACTGCGGTTGGACGATAAGAGGGATGTTGAATTGCTGTACTATAGCATATACCCCAAAGGGTACACCGCTGATTGACCAAAGAAGCATCATGGACTCTGGTAGTCCTACAGTGGACTTGGTCCTCCAATTTCTGTATATCTGGGGTACCAATTGTACGCACCAACATATTGTACCGATGGTGCCAAGCACGTTGGCAGCTAGCGGTATCGAAGTTTGCGGCGCCATCTTAGGAGACAGACAGGATCCGAGGAATAGAAGAAATCAGCCGTGAAATCACTGGGGTTGCGTGAAGTGAAAGTAGGTCACAGCTAAGACGAGAGATACTAGTGTCTAACAAGTATCAGTGGCGAACTAGCACGATAAGATATATGGCCGTTGCTTAGCTTCCAGCTTATTCGGTGACAGCTCGGATTAAAGAGCGGGCCATCCACGGAGTCGTCCATGAGCACATCGTAGCAAAAATCGTTGACCGTCTGCTAGTTATTCCGCTCCATGCGTGAATGAGAATTGCATGGCTATGACTGGTGTTTACCGCGTTCGCTTGATCCCGTGCGGCGAGTAGAAATCAGCACGCTACACGAGTCTGGTAGAAAGATAGCACGCCGTGCATGATGCGCTAATCGCTTTCTCCGCTAATTTCTCTAATTGACAATCCAGATTGTAAACGCTGGGTATGCTACCCGACGCTCGGTAGGCTGACCGGGTAGCTGTTGACGCCAGTGGAACGGTTATTTGCACGAACTTCTCGGCAACTCGATACAATGAAAGTTGTGAGTGACTCAACTCAAGAATGCCCTCGATATGTCGCATGATTGTTCTATCAGCTTGTTCATGTCATGAGCCATAAACATGCTTCCCGGTTGGTTCCCAAGGTCTGTTTACCATATAGGTTTTGAAAGAATGGAGCGGTCTATGAAGTCGTAAGGAGTCCTATTAAGCGGCTGAGGCCAGCGAATATTAGATCAGCATTGAGGAAACAGATTGGTCGTTCTGATCGTACCCGAGATTTAATTTGAATAGGTAAACTAGGCACACCTGTTATTCTAAGATCACTTCCTATCATTGTCGCTCCCTAGATCCCTTCACTTTTGTATTTCTTTTTGCGCCCAATCCGCTACTAAATGATAGCTTGTCTTGCACCACTTATACGGCTGCTCATTTCTTATGACAATGAGCATTATCAGCGCTATCTGAGCTAGTGAAGAGGGAGTGAAAGAGACGTATTTTGTCTTTACGGGCGCAATGCTCTGTGTACGATTGCTCGCGGAGGTCTCTTGTAGATTTACATTTTATCGCTCTCTACTTACTGTACAACACGCTTTTTGAGCCGAGCGCCATTCTCGATTCAACGCTTATGGCAAGCACATGATAGTTCCGCACAAGATGACCGCACCAACCAAGCTTGTCGGCTTTCCATCTTTCCATGTTGAGCTACAAATCAGGGTCTACAAATGCATTCTCGCCGCCGCCCCCAAAGAACCTAGTCCAGGTAACCTTGCACCATACGCAGGCCTTCTCCTCTCGTGCACGAAGGTCGCCTCTGATTTCGAGCACGAATAGGCTAAGAATTACAATTCCCGCCTTCAGCATCTTTTTAAGGACGCGAAATTTCACCCGCTGATCATCGAGAAGTACCGCCATGCAGCTCATCTTCGTATCGTTGTCCCGCTAATTGACCAGTGGCCCAAACGGTTTCATGTGCCGGAATTGATGGAAATGACGAGTTTCTACACCTTTAGATTTTCATACCCGGCCCATGATCTCACGATAAGCGTTTTCCTGCGATCGACTCCATTCTATCACCTTATGTCCCTGTGGGAAGACATTGCCGCATCTGGCACGACCGCCTCTCGCATTGACTTTGGGGCGCAAGAATACATTGTCTTCCGCGCCACTTCACCAAGGCAACCTGTGAGGGTGATATGCTCAGTGCTTTGGATGGCGTTCCCGGTGAGGTGTATTTGAGGATAGCGGAAGAGATGCTGAGCAAGGATACAACTACAAAAGAGCCTCGTGGTGTACTTAGTGAGTGGAACCAGTCGTGTCAGTCGTGGCGAGCCCTCTTACGTTTCCTATCGTACATGGCACAGTTTAACGTGGGTGAGCACACGTTGTAGGAGATGCATAGACGGACATCAATGTACCTGTTAATGCTAATGAGTAAACGGGTCAGCTGAGAATAGCTAAGAGCGTAGCCAGACGCGAATAGGAACGAAAAAGGAGATAGCGAATCCATCAGTTGCCACCCTTGCGTTCATTAAAGCATCACATTGCTACCAAAGATCTATTGTTATTGTCTTGCCGTTGTGGGTGTCCAACTGTTCTAGCGTATTAAAGAATGCATCCATTGTTTCTGGAAAAACAGAATGTTGCGTTGCTTTTTGAGCCATGTTTTGAGGAGAGAGAGAGAGAGAGAGAGAGAGAGAGAGAGAGAGAGAGAGAGAGAGAGAGAGAGAGAGTGTGTGTGTGTGTGTGTGTGTGTGTGTGTGTGTGTGTATATAGAAATGCCACCATTTAGGTTGTATCAATACAGCAGCGAGGAAGTTCACTTCGCTAATTACGTAAGGCATGTCCAGCACTAGCGGAATCCATGCCAATCTCGACACACGCCACAATTCCATCACCCCACGTACATGTTGCTTGTCTAGCAGTTGGACTACTGAGTTGTTGATACTAGACTTTGCGATTACCTTTTCCCAACGCAATGACGATGGATATAAATGACAACTGGCAAGTGCGCTCGGCCGGAGGCGCTGCTGAACATGAAAATCACCGAGATCCGCAGCTTTAACCCACGCGATTACCAGAGAGTTCCAACGATCGCGGTCATCATCAAGCCTCGCAGCAAAGACAGTTTTGGCTGATGTTGAGGAGAAGCAAACCAAAGCCACCACGTCTCATGTATGGCTTGTCCAATCAACACAGGCGGACAGCGTGCCCGCCACGCATCCACGACACGATCAACGTCATCAAGTGCTGTCACTGCTCAAGGCATCTCAAGTGGTCCAATTCGATTGTACTGTACGCAGTCTTCGTGTTAGCATGTATAATGTTGTGCAACGGTCGAATGCCACCGAGATCGGAAGGCCTATCAGCGCATAGCACACGCGTCCATGGTTCCCGGTCGACACCGGATCCTCACATCCTAAACTTTGTGGGGTAGCGCCACCGGCTCCGCGATTCCCCCAGTAGTGCAAGCCACCGACCGCTGCAATCAGCGAGATTTTCTTGATAGCCTCAATAGGCTCCACCTGATAGCTCACCATGCACCTCACGCCATCCGCACCGAATGCCTCCTAGCACTCCTCATGGGCGAAGAGTTCGCTCCACCTCCAGGTTTCGTTGCTTGGGGTCCCTTTGTCCGCGACAATTACACGCTCATACGTGTGACTCGCGCAGATCTGGCTGTAGCGGCTGCAGCGTTTGGTCTGGCCAACTTCTTCGCCATAATCGGAGCTTTCATCGCCTTCAGACAGACAAAATCATGTCGATGCCCAAAGACCAGCGTATATATCTGGATGATCTGGTTAGAGATCGCTGCTTCGGTGGCTATCTCCGTCGAGTGCTTGTTGTATTTGTTAAGGATTATAAGGCCCAGCTTCTACTTTTTCATGTCTGTCTGCAAGTATTCCCCGGCCTTGGCACTCGTACTTGGCTGACATCAGCAGTGCTATGCTGGGTTATTCAGATTCAGCTGCTACCTCAGATCATCATCAATCGTATTCGTATCATCCTCCAAGACCGGGGACGGGGACGGCGTCTGATAATAGGCGCCGCAATCTACGTGACCTTGATCAATATCAGCGTGTTCATAATCTGGATACCTGCGCGGCTTCAGATCAGCCCAAGGTGCGTTTAGTGATTCGAGCGTCGCGAATTTTGCTGACGATGACAGATGGGTTCACATCAACGCCATCTGGGATCGTACCGAAAAGGTGCTATTCCTTCTCCTTGACGGGTATCTCAATTGGTACTTCATCCACGTTGTAAACGCAGACCTGGTGAAGAATGGCTTGAGCAAGTACAATCGCCTGGTTCGTTTTAACAAACGTATGATCGTCGTCTCTCTCCTGCTGGACGTTATGATTATTGGTGCGATGAGCACACCAAATGGATTTGTGTAAGTCTAGCTCATGCCTTGAGCCTCTCCCAACCAGTTCCGCTAATTGTTGAAGCTACGCTATGTTCCACCCGCTCGCATACCTAGTTAAGCTCAACATCGAGATGTCGATGGCGCATCTCATCAGGACCATCGCCTTGGGCCATCCTCACCCTAACAATGACCCTTCACTACTGATGACTTTCTCATCTTCACCCGGCGAAGACATATTTAACACCAACATGTTTGCGGAAGTACCGCAACAACGACATTCGCTCATTCGGGGTTTGTTCGGCAGCGAGCATGTCATTTTTTCGCAGGAAGATAATCGCACAAGAATTGCCAGAGACAGTTCGACACTCAGCGCATCGATGCCTGACTACGAACTGCCATCTCGGATACCTAGGATCGACAAGGAACCCGACACTATTGCTGGCGATAACCCCAGTTCTAATGAAGACAAGAGGGTTAACAAAATACATGAAGATTACTGTGGCTGGGACAGCGGCGTCTCGAGCAGGACTAGGGATACGGAGGAAGGGCAGGACGTTCCTATGCCCGAGGCAGCTCACCTACCTGCTCGACATTATATGTCGGATCTAGACTGAATTTTGCTACCGAACTTCAACGTTGCCGAAAGAAAACTACTCGTGTACCTGATCTACGCGGTCTAGCGACAGTGCTATTTCTTGTTTCCAGCCGCACAACACGCATTCCTAAATGTTCAACGCCAAAAGAAGTCCGAGATGATATGAGCTCAGCCCGCTTCGCGATTCTACAGGTAAATTATAAGATCTGGAATAAGGAGATGAGCTTGAAACCAGCGGCTAGCACCTTTGTCCGTGATCACTTGTCGTACAAGACGCACCGGGCAATATGCGGGAAAGTCACGTTACGCAGCGGCGCAGCTTCGGATGAGCATACGATAGTCATTATCCACAAACCCGTCCTTTACGAAATTTGAACTCCGCAAGGGTATCAGAACGTTGCGCAAATATGTACCGTGCTTTCATTCAGGCACTCAGGCCTGGTATGGATATGCGCACAAGAACTAGGAGCTAGACCATTCACTTCGATCATAGCATGGAAGTCAAAAGTATCGTGGCGGAGTCAATCAGAGCCAACGTGTGGTGAATTGGTTCTTACTCCTGTCAAGGAGTTATCTCAATCCGGAACTAAACCAACGCCAAACCCTCATTGAGTCGTGGGTATTGATTGTGCAGCGACACACTGCACGTGTCACGGGTGGCTGCTCGGCCGTACGCTCTCGGGGCTACGGTACCAGGTTAAGTTCTCACAGACTATTGTGATGAGTTGCAACAACGCATACGTACCGCAATACCCCTGATCTAAACCTTGCTTTCGCAGATGAGCCAATCAAACATGTACCTACTAGTCAAAGTCGCTCGTACAAGCGCTGTGGGTAATCAAGGTTGTGGAACGGTCATGCTGCGAGAGGAAACACGCGCGTGGTATGCGTAGCCGACAACCGAAAACAATGGACTAAAAGAGAACATCTTCCCGTCTGGTGCCCTGTACCATCCTCTGTCCCACGTTGTCGGCTAGTGAGATATAGGCTCAGCCTAGGTATCATAACGGGACGAATAGGTGTGATGTCTGATGCTTCGGTATAAGTATCGACATAGCCCCACCACACCACGCTGCTTGATACTTTGATACACGTATCTACAACTCTCCGAGAATCACTTTTTTGTTTGATTCGAGCAACCAAAGCAGTGCTATCTACAAACACGACAAATTCTCAAGATGAAGTATCAGTTCTCTTTCATCGCCTTCGTCGCTTTCGTCACCGCGCAAAGTATTCAAGACGAGACGCCATCCGAAGTCCACGATGAGGGCGCGTATCCTACGTCGATTTTGTGTATATAGACACGACCTACTGAATGAAGTCATGGAAGCTTATACCTGCAGATTCGGTTCCCACACCCTCCGCGGGCCATCCCGAGTCATCCTCTGACATCATCGTTCCCAGCGCACTGCCCAGCGAAGTCACCTCTGATGACTGGTGCTCCACGGCCCTCATCACTATCACGACTACTCGTACCGTATCCGTAGTCACTCAAATCCCTTCCAGCCTCCTGACTGTGACTGGCATTGTCGAACTGAGCTCCTTCATGCCCTCTCAGCCGCTGCCTCCAACAAGCGCGACCGGCATCATCCAACTCAGCAGCTGGGCCGCTCAGCCATCGAGCAGTGCGGTCACAATCATCGTTCCTGGGAACAGTGCTACCTATATTGGGGAGAGTGGTGTTTCGCCTCCACGAGTCCCCTATCCTACTGCTAGTGATAAGCCAACCCGCACTACTACCGTAGGAACGACTTCATACACGTCTGCATCGGGTCTACCGGACTTTACTGCTGCTGCTAATGCGGTCAAGGTGCCGGTCGTCGTTGCTGGCGTTCTTGGGTGGGCTGCGTTGGTGCTGTAGGTGCAAGTGTACACGATGATTACGGTATGGAGGAAGGATCAGGTAGTGATGTCATACGTAGAGTCTGAATCCATCTAGGCCTAATCTAAGGAGCGTGTTTGCGTTACTATGCTAGATACCTATCATTTGTGTTGCTCACTATGAGAGATTGATAGTGTCGTCCATTCGAGCAACGAACGTGAAGCGGCTGGAACTCGTCGTTATGCAAGCTTAAGTAGCTGTCTCTCGGCACCATCACCGACAAGACGACTTGAATGCCAGCCTGACGACGCCCTTCTATGCTTGCCAGTTACCATCCTGAGCCTGGAGAGCACGAGCAATAGCCTCGTCATCAGCTGACTCGGAATCAGCCCCAATTTGCGCCTCCTCGCCGGAGAGGGCAATGGCACCATGCCTTCTACCAGACATGCAGCAAGAGTAGAACAAGCTAGCCCAAAGGAAGACCCTATACACACACACACATATCAGTCAGCATAAGCAATTTTTGTACTTGGAAGTGAACGACCTACCAGTTGAAGAAGTTCAACCAAAGCAACAGTCCCTGCCACTTATTGATCTTGATTCCGCTGATCCACAGCCCCTGCTCTCCCACACGATGCTCGTCTCCTTCCGCCGGCGTACTAGCCACATGGCCAATGAAGCCTATGATGGACATGCCGAATGCAGCAGCCATCTTGAAGAGCTGGTACTTGACATATTTCTCCTTGGAGAGAGTACCGGCGGCGGCGCGTCTTTGCTCCCGGACGATGAGAAAGATGGTTGTTATGGATGTCAAGATGGGTGTGTAGAGGAGACTAAGGGTGAAGAGCTTGCGCTGAACAGGGAAGATAAGTGTGATAAAGAGGGCGAGGATGGTCAGGGCTGCGATGGTGATTTGGCAGCCTTGTATGATACGAAGACGGGGGGAGGCGTCGCGGGGGAGGCCGAGGCCGAAAGAGGGCATCTTGATGGACGGCATACCGAGTCTTTCGGTGGTGGTTGTTGTAAGAGATGGGAGGACACAGATGTAAGCAGACGATGCGGGTTGCAGCGCTCTTTATCGTGGGGCTAGCACCTTCACCGGTTGCGCCTTAGGAACAATAAGGCTGCATACCCCTGCAGCCACAAAACGTCCAAACTCCCAAATTTGGTATTTTCCTATACTCGACTCGTGTGCTCCTTGTTGGGGACGGTGTGCGATTGGTTTGGGTGCCTGGAAATGGGGCGCGCGTTGCCGGAAGCGTTTCGCGTAGTTTAGGCGGGCAGCATGGCGTAGGCGGAGACGTCGTGTCAGGCTGTCAGCACACGATCTGAGATTTGGCGAGAGAGGCCAAGAGCGTGCATGTGTTGGTGTATTGAATATGTAGCCCGGCGGTTTGCATGACGGTGGTGAGTGGTGTAAGCGATTCGCTTCTCAAAGACAGTTCAGGTGTTGAGCCGTCAGCAGTGCTTTCAAATTCGAGGAGCGCGACGAAAGTGTCAGCCGTCTTTGTGCAATCGCCACTACTCGAGCTATCGAATCGGACATTGTCATAAGATTTGCTTGCACTTCCCGCTCTTGTAACATCTGTATTCACTTTTGCGATTTGAGAACGCATTGTATCTGCCAGTACGCTATGCTCCTTGCGACTAAGGTAGTCATGAATAAGTTGTGTCGGACCATTGGTAGCGATGTTGGCCTCAAAAACAAGCATTAACATCAGTTCGTTGGTCTCGGTCGCTTGGTCGATGTCGCGCCCGGTGAAGATTATGACCAAATCGCATGCAAAGCGGCTTCTCCTCGCCAGGCAAGGTATAAACTGAACTGTCCTTTTTGTTGGATGATTGAGAGCATATAGATACTCGGCTGATGTTCAGGTTCGAGTGCGCGACAGCGGTGCGCGCGTTGAAAGCCCCGGAGGCATACACGCTCGGTAAGGTGCTCGTGGGTCCACCAATCGTTTAATCCATTCTCATCCACGATGACAGGGTCGATCGATCCCCATAGAACGAGAATGTCATGTTGATACGGGTCTGCTCAGGTTCGGAAAATGTGCCAAAAGATAGAGAAATGAATGGTGATGGGGTGCGTGCACGCAGTGCGCTTCTTATCGCATCCTAGGCTGGATTGACATGTGGGGTACGCTGCCGGTTGTTCCTGCATTTCTCCGCATCCATCTATCTCATCTCTCATTCACAACCACACCTCCAGGCCCAAAACACCCACGAACTCTACAAACCGTCATTCACGTCGCCATGTTGCTGATTTGTGAAGATACAACGAACGATTAGCAATCCCGGGCATCGTCGGATGATGGCGACCTGAAACTGGCGTTACCCCGGCCTTGGTCGCCTAGAAAACCTCCCAGTCTCATTTCGCCACGGCGCGGCGCATAGCTGAATGGCTTGCTCCTCGGACCGCGAAGCCGTTCTCAGAAGTATATCGGACCTACGGACAATAACAATGAGGAATGTTTTCACTTGAACCTATGCCCGAATAGAGCTGTCACATATTCCAAAGGTATCTACTGTACTTTACATGCATATTCCAATCAACTAGAAATATATATGCCTCAAAGGTCACGACGCGAACAGATGAACCTCTCAGTACACCCGAGCTCCGACCTTCGGATATGGACTTGCCACGAGTCATTAACCCGAAAACAACAGCATCTAGAAACTAAAGATGCTCCATCTAGTTCGTCCCACCGGCAGTATGGATATGACAACGCCACTGATGCTTGCTTCCGAACCAGGTTTCGAAATTGATTGGCTTAGAGGTTTCGTTCGAAGGCATAGTCTCATTTCCCACGAGTTGGCCCACACGGCTAATGCAGATCAACACTAGCCTGGAGGTATTTTGCGGCAGCTAGCAAAACAAGCTTCACTACCAAGCTCAGGGGAAAATAAAAAGAAGCAATGCGCCTCCTCGTAAAGGCGTCTGCACTACCGTCAAGCCTCAGTTCCTCGTATCGTCACTCTTTTTGCGATCACACACTCCTTTATACCCAATATAGTCATTCGTTACACCCGCAAAGTACATCTACTGTACCCTAATATAATCCTTGCTTTCTTACGAGACCCACCAAACCCACAATGCGTCAATCCATTGCTATCCTCTCCATCCTGGCAAGCGCGGCTTGTGCTCAAGACGTCGTCAGCTTCTTTTTCCCTGGTGGTACGTCACTCTAGTACGAGCACCAGCACAGATCATGTCTAATTCGCGTAGGTTACGATGGCGTTGACCCTGTCGCGACCATCAACACCGTCAATCCCTCGACTACCGAGTTCCATATCGCTTGCCCTACCGACACCGACGACTCCGAATGCGGCTGGGGCCCAGGCCTCGACGTCACCATCCTCTCCCAAACGCGCTTCCAAGCCCAGATGTCAACCGACGTCGTATCGATGAGCCTCGGATGTGACTACAATGAGAAGGCGGTTGAAATGACTTGCACGGTGAACCAAGTGGGCGGCAACGACGACACTGGCGGTGAACCCATCACTGCGACGCTTTCCAGTGATGACGTGCAGTTTCTTTCTGCTACTGTTGTTGCAGGAAACAGCCTCTTGACTGATGCTGGAAGTATGGTTCCTAGTATGACTGGATTCGCGCAAAGCAGCAGCACCATTGCCACTGCAACAAGGAGTGCTAGCGCGGGTTTGATGACTCCTAGTGGATCTGTAGCGCCGACTAGCACAATGGCTTCAGCTTCAGCTTTGGCTTCGGGTGCTACGTCTGCTGCTAGTGGCTCCTCGTCGGCGTCTGTCTCTGCGCCTGAGAGCACTGGTGCTGCTTTCAAGTACGGTATCGAGGGCTCTATGCTACTTGCCCTTGCTGGTGCTGCGGCGCTGAACGCCTGGTAAATATGTCAGTAGGGCGGTTGGTGAATGACAAGTAATTGTTAATGAGATGCATGATCGGGGATGATGATGTGATTATCGAGCTATCAAATTACCGACCGTGATTTTCATGTCAAGATGTAGATGAATGACCATAGTCTTGAATATTTCCCGTACCACTTCTGCTAAGTTGTTCTTGGACGATGTTGAGCGTCCATGAGCCTGTGTCTACGAAATACCGACAAGTCTGCATATCGTGAATAATGATCTTAGGTATAGAGATATCGTGAGAGTAGAAAGTAACTCCGTTGATAAGAGGCTGAAGAGGACAGCTTAATTGCATAGAGCGTTCAAGGGGACTTTACATAGTAGTGAACTAGATGATGCATTGATGATCCATATTGTGTCACAATTGCAGTGTTTACCCAAAAGCTGTGAGAGATCGCGAGAAAGTGACGACGGCAAAGATGAAGGAAAAAATACATGTATGTATCGTAGTGTTGCAGTACCTAGCCGTCGTGTCGCGAGAGAGTGATGGTTTGCTCTGCCCTGTCTGTTGTCGAGCACGCGCCCTGACATCATCACTGGTCTCCACACGTTCCATTCCTGTCGCCGTCTTCTCCCATCTGGCCCCCCACGATACCGAAATCTAGACCCTCTGGCTTTCTGCATCCCCAGCTTTCAACACCTCCACACACCGCCATACGAAGCGTATTCCGGTTGTCGGCTTTACATATGACGACATGTTCGCGATGCTGCGCAGGGGCTGTGTGGGCGCGCGCCCTTTAGCTGCTGCGCACCCGTTCACCACCACGATCCGCGACAGGGGCTCAGCAGCACACCCGTTGCTCTGAAGGCCTAGATTTCCGTACGACGAACTCGAGATGACGTCGGTCGAAGCCCTAAATATACCGAAGATATGGGGGACAGAGTTGCTGTGCTGTCACCGGCTCGCACACTATAGGCTGCAGACGAATAGAAGGCGCATCTCAAGGTCCAGACCGTCATCGTCGTGTCTACAGTCCCTCGGTGTGATGTAGTTGTGGTGTGTTCAAGGTAGATCAGGCTCACTGCGCGCGCAAGGCATCTATTTTACGGTGACCTTGTTGTGCAGGAGCAGGTGAGATGAAGAGTGTGGAGAGTTTTTGATCGCGATGAGAAAGATCTGGACTCTTCAGACCATAGCTATGCCGTTGAGGAAACCTCTCTGTATAGCTTACGTCTCGTAGACCAGAGGACATAAAGGTAGTGTTGTACACATACACTGATATAGAGTAGGTTGTCACTATATCCAGAATCATCACGCATTCAAAGCCTCACTGCGCAATCGATCGCATACCAGTCTCTTTTCCTTGAACATGTGCGAACCCGGATGTACCCCATTCACTGCGACCGATCCCCGTACACGAAACGATCCAACCGTATCTTCCAAAGTCGAACCCAATACTGCTACAACAGCTCAAAGCAAGCCCAAGCGTCGTACGAAGAAGTATTGCGCGATCGAACGTCCTGACGGTATCATCGTTGAACATCCTCGATATCGACCAATAGACTCGTCACAGAAGCCAACAAGGAGGTTCGAAGCGTACTCGGTTACTTCAAACCACATTGGCCCACAACATGAACGCAAAGAAGGGGCAAGCTCGATTAACACAGGACACGATCTTATGGGCATTGGTATGTCTTTTTGTGCTGTCTCCACCGATATCATGGGCAACGATGGGTATATTGGGTTTCCAGGAATAGGAAGAGGAAGAGGAGGACATAACGAGGAGCCTACACGCGAGCATAAATCCTTTCATGCTACCGCAAGTAGATCTGAGCAGCAGCTCTGTCAAGAGCTTACACCGATGGCTCGTTTCCTAGGCGAGCGGGGGCCTTGGAGTTCTTTCTCTCTCCAAGAGGATTCAAAAGAACTCTGGGGACCCCAAAGATTCCAACACCATCAGGGTCGACATGGTAATGCTGCGGGGTGAGACTCGGGACTGTCGTGCCTATCATCCGTATCGAAGCTCTCTGGTTCTTGTCCATGCATGCCACCAGAGCCAGTTCTTAAGAAGCTGGTAGCGTTGTAGACGATGTACATTACCCGGTCGTCATATTATCGTATGGTGCTCGGGCACTCACAATCAGAATCCGAGTGTCTAACCGACGGCGGCTAAGTAGGAATGTTGCGGCCGGGATGGCGGCCGGGATGGCGGCAGATATGTTTGCAAGATTGGCTGATAACCCCTTGGCGCGGCTGGAAGCGATCTGCGTGTGGTAACACAACGTCCGTAGTAGTGCGAATACGTACAATGATCGTGTCACAAACAAGTATGCTCGTCAATTTCCTCATTCGCCACCACCGTAACGCCTGTTCGACATTGAGACGCATCCCGATCATGTCTGTCCCCGCATCGAGAGAATGCGGGGCGCCATGCCGTAGTCCAATTTAGTGACTAACACCAACCGTAGATTCTCTGGGCTGAGCCAAGTCTGGCAGGCTCGAAAAAACGCCACAAGACGCTCGCAAACACGGTGGTGATGACGCCACGGCTCCACTGGTGTGCATTGGCGCCCGCATCTGGACTACCAGCTCGACAATAGCCAGCCGTTCTGCGCTTATTTAACGACTGCCTGTGCTATTTATCTCAGGCTTACCCGCTTTCTATTCGCAGCACTAGAAGGATTGGACTGTATGATAAAAGTGTGTGTTTGCTGGCAGCACAATAATCCAGCAAGATGGCGCTTTCCGACGTTTTCGACCGATTTGCAGACACCAAAACAATCCTCCTCTTCTTGGTAGTCGTCCTGGTTCTCACAACATGCGCTACTGTCTCGCTACCTTACTCGCATCGCATACCTGCGGACGCGCCGCCTCAAGTCAGCGATGATCTCCCCATTGTTGGAGCTCTTGGTTTCTGGACTGAGCGATGGAACTGGTGGAGCGGGCGACGCGACCAGTCCAAGACTGGCACCTTCTCTTTCCATGTCGGGCCAAACATGGTCGTTGCGCTCTCAGGAGATAAGGGACGTCGGTTGTTCTTCGAGTCGAAAGATTTGGGCTTCACTGAGGGCTACGCTGTGCTATTCGGTTCCACGCCCAAGTCAACCAAGGAGATTACCGACGAGGATAAGAACCTTGCCTTCGACGCCTGGTTCCATCGCCGTCTTACCTTCCTCTTGAAGCAAGAACAATTCCGGCGCAAGCTGCCTGTTCTCATATCCGATACAAAGGAAGCTCTAGAAGCCATCAAAAATGATGTTAGCGGCCGTACGAATCCCTTTGAGAGCCTTTATCGCATTGTATTCCGCCTCACTATCCGTATGGTAGGTCCTACTGAGATCGCCGAAGATCCGAAGAAGCTAGAAGACGCCATGAAGATGTTCGAAATGATCGATAGAAGCGCGACCGCTACGTCAGTCATTTTCCCAAAACTGCCTTCACCAGCTATCCTGCAACGGACATATGCAGGTGCGCGACTTTATATGATGATCGACAATATTATCAAGGAGCGTGCCGCGAGTGACAAGAAGCACGACGATGCCCTGTAAGTAACTCCCATGTACGAACTGCATGTGAGACAAATACTGACTGTGTACACCGATCTTTAGACAACACATGCTAGACCAGGGCGACCGCGCTGTCAGAATCGTTGAGTTCATAGTTGGGGCGTTGTTCGCTGGATTGCTTAACAGCGGTATCAATGCAGGTTGGGTGAGTGGATCTAGATCTGCATACAGTACAAGTTTATACGGAAGCTAAAGTCTGCTAGGTAATGTGCTATCTCGCGACGTCACCCGAGTGGCTCGCCAAAGCGAAGGACGAGATCCGCAGCACTGCGGCGAGGTACGCTAGAGATCCGAACGCAGCCTTGCGGGACCAGCTCGATGACGTACCTGTCGAAGCGTGGGAGACGGAATTTCCGGTCATCGGTAAATGACCCTGTACGAACTGCATGTGAGACATACACTGACTTCGTACACCTGCATTTAGATATGTGTCTCCGGGATTCCTTGCGACTGAACCTTCTTGGTACAGCCTTCAGGCGGAACATTAGCGGCAGAAGCATACCCACAGGAAATGGCAATGAAGTCATCCCACCCGGCGCATTCGTTACGTACGCCACGGGCGATATTCATTACGATCCAGACGTCTATACTGACCCGCACAAGTGGGATCCTGCTCGATACCTACCCGAACGCGCTGAGGACAAGAAGAAGGCATCGCATGGCTTTATCGGCTGGGGGTCAGGACGGCATCCGTGCTTGGGCATGCGCTTCGCCAAATTGGAGCAGAATATCATCACCGCTTACTTCATCGCGACGTTTGACTTCAAGCTTGAAGACGAGAAAGGCAATCACCTTACAGTTGCCCCTTTGGTTGACCACAATCGACACTCAGCGCACAAACCGGCCAAATTGCAGTTCCTCAGGGTTAGAACGAAGGAGATATAGGCGGTATACTCTCGGGAGTCCATATGAATGCATAACTGGGAGGAGTAATACATCCTGTTGCCGTAGTTTGAGGTTGATGGACCCCGCTTCTCAAATTCGGGATGAACTGGTGGGAATGTTGCAGAATTGCTTTACACTTGAAAACACCACGTAAGAACTGCATTCTTCTATACCCGAGAACACGCACGTAGCTATGATTTCTCGTCTTATCAGTGTGCTCTGGGACAAGTCACTTGGTTGGAGGCTAGCGTCTTGGCGTGGACGTGTCACACTCCCACCTTAATCGACGAGCGCAGCCAGGGACTATACCGCACCATGAAATCTTCTTCCTTGCTCTGAAGTGCAAAACCAGATCCGCTTCCCACGATCTGGGGAAGTTCTTCAGGTAATTACCCCACTACATTCACTCTATTACGTCACCAGACAATTGATCACATGCAGGCACCGCGATTGCCGCAGTCGTGACTGGCCCGCAGTACCCACATGCACACATAAACCTGTACTCAATTCATGACCATTACGGTACAATAATCGGCGTTGCAACTCAACCATATAATTCAAATCTCACTCTGAAACCATATCGCAATGGCGCCAACGATGCCATCCAGTTCTGGTGCGAGAAAAAGACGCGTAGCGAGTCCCGGAAGTGGAATAGAGACTCCGACCCTCCCACGGGGACCTGTGATACCAGATACTACTCCTGAAGTCTTACAAGACGTGTACCAGCAAGATACGAAGGCGCGATCAGACGAAGTTGATACTCACCACCTCCTCCAGGATAGTGGCCTACTTAGTCTACCATGTGAGCTTCTTGAGATGGTGGCCTCCAAACTCATCGGCACTACGCACATTCTCAATCTCGGACTGGTCAACAAACGGATTAGTGGGATCGTTCAGCAGACCATCGTGCGAAATCTGGTCGTATCGAGGAGGAACATTAGAGGATTTCTCGGGTTGCTCTGTAGCCACGCTGGGCTTGTCAGCAACATATCCAGTGTTGATTTCGGAGATTTCAGATGTAGCCACCATGGAGACTACCTCTGCGCAGGCACGAAGAGCCTCTGCCCAGATTTTCTTGAAACTCTCGGCACCGCCATCGCTGCGACGAGCGGACGTGTCATCGATTGGAGCCCGGTTAGAGAAAACAACAACTCAGTCGGCCCCGTATGGAGGAAAGATCCAGCCTTTTTTCTTGATATTCTTGCAACGTCATGTCCGAGCATCAGGTCAGTGACTGTTCAGCTACCCGAAGCTAGACTGTTTCACTTAGGCCAACCTCCACGGCCGATCTCCCGGGCTCCATTAACACTCCCTGCGCTGAATCCAGATTTACTACCCGTCGCCCCATTCCAAGGCCCAGCGTTACGAACGTTTCGGACGAAGCTCGAAACACTCATCATCTCGGAGAATACCAGATGGAAGGGTCCTCCCACTGTCGAGGTTCTTGAGTCGCACAATCTGAAGTGGAGGAACATGGGAACGCATATCATTACGTTGGCGAATTTCTCAAGACTGAAACGACTTGATATACCCATGGATCTTTTAGGACGTCCGAACGACATTGTTTTCTCCAATACCTGTAGCCTGAATGTGGCAAAACATGATGTCGCAGCGATTATGGATGGTGCGATTACAGCCGACAAAACATTGGCGAAGCTGCGTTCTAAGGTCTTACCACTTACTTTGCAATACCTACACTTGCGGTCCTGCAACAAGTGGACGTTTGCCCTTTTGCAAAGAATAAACGAAGTTCCAGTGGAAGACCTGAGACTGAAGCACGTCGAGCTGTCTTTCGAGCCATCACCTAAGAATCTCCTTATACAGTGTGATGCTACAGATCTGGGTCGACTGGATTACTCTCGGCTACTCACAGATCTTCATCGTAAAGGAACCAAGATCACCTTCTATACTGGTTCTCAAGAAGTACAAGTCGACATGCGCAAAGAGCTTGAGGCGCTTTCCTGTTTGACGCCTACCGAGGTCTGGCGCTGTTCAACTACGCACGCACCATTCTCTGTGTGGCATCCCGAAGCTAGCAAGAAGCGTCACTTGCTGAAGATGGGCTTTCGATATTTCTTACGGCACGCGGACCATCACTCGCAGCTCCTCAACAGCCCCACTTTCAACCTGGAGTCGTGGATGCAAAGCGCCTTCTTCCACGGCATCAGGAATAGTAAATGGGATCCGCAGCTTCAAGATTCAAAGATGAAGGTACAAACAATCGGGTCTAGTGGATGGAACGATAGGGCTCTTGGGAAGCGCGCATTGAAACGACGACTTTTACCAATACTGAGTAAGCTCTGATTCAGCGTGGGGAGAGCAACAGACTAATCAACACCGTAGATCTGGACACTTATCAGTTCAGTCTCTGCATCGAACAGACACTTGCGCCATTACCTAGAGAGAGCAAATTCCTTGGTGCTAGCTTTACCACCATGGACGGCATGCGCGCGCAGCCCTCAGATCAGCATCGAGACACAGCGAAGAAACCTCGTCCGCACGAAAAGAAGAAGAAGAAGCGGTTGAAGCAGGCTGACTGCACCAAGCCTGCATCGCATACGAAGACCGAGGTTTATGATTTGGAGGACGACGTAGAAAGGCTGCGGCTAGGTTCCGCCAACGATCCTCCTGAAGCCTCCCAGTTCAGCGCAACACTGTGGGCTGAAGTCACATGGAAGTTGTTTCTGCAACCAAGGACGGCGAAATTTGTTACAGAAAGTCTGGAACAGTTTGGCGACATGTGAAGATGGGGAAAGGGGATGGTGTGTAGATTATACGCCCATCCTTCATAAACATATGTTTAGTGTAGATTCTTCTAGGGCTATCAACTGCGCCGTGTCCTTCCCAGACACGAACCATATCTTATAGATACCGATCATATCATGTGTCGGATAAATCAGCGGCGCTATATCCTACGAGTGAAAGGTCCACAGCACGTGACATGACTGTGCGCTTCCTCGACATACTGATCGCCCTGCATCCGACGTACTCACTACAAAACTTGAACTTTTCTATCAATGTCTGGATTCATAACACGCTACTGACACTCTACCGCTGCCTGTGCGCAAGTCAACCACTTATCGCCGCTGCCTATCTTCGCATCGCTGCCTTGCGCCTACCCCGCCATATCACACACCACAAGACCGTTATTCAATCCCAGCGCAAGTTTCTCTAGTTCGCCCACCATGCTCCGATCGCCCTCAATCTCGTCCTCAAATTGCAAACCCACGACCATCAATGACCTTCCTGAGGAACTGCTGCTCAACATCGGCGCGCAATTTACAAATCTGAACCGCAATCGGGACCTTGCAAACCTTGCGCTTGTATCCAAACGATGGCATCCTATCGCGCAGGAATGGTTACTCATAGAGCCGAGGTTTAACCTCACGTTCATCGATCGGTATATGTGGGAGATGGGCCATCGGTCCCACTTGCTGTCGCGCGTTAAGAGAATGGAAATTTGGAGCAGCAGTGAAGGACGAACAACAAAGACGAGATATGTTAGTCGCACTGGAGTATACATATACCTCGCCGACGTCACGTATACTCCGACACCCGCTCCAGATCGCATAACGCAGGAAGCTGAGTTCATGGAGGTGTGTAAGACCATGATCAAGCACTACGCCACCACTAAACGACATGCGAAGGATTGGATATACTCCCTCCAGGCGGACATTGTTCCCGCGCTATTCGGCGTCCTTCTCTGCGCGCTACCCAATCTACGTGAATTGAAGGTCGGCGACGCATGGCTGATGGACTTCCCTTTCTTCGCCAATACGCGTTCTCCGTCCGCCATCGCGAACAGTCCACATCCATGGGCATGGGAACACAGCTTCCTCAGCGGCGCGCTTACAGCCACACTACCTCTTCTGACAGTCTTAGAGGTGCCGAGTGATATGACGGCTTTGATTTTCGACCATAGCATGACCACGCTTTTTGATTTCCGACGTTTCGAGAACCTGAAGGAACTCACTCTCACCATGAAGGCGATTCAAGGGCACGGAACCTTCCGCCAAGCAACCCCGCTCGCTGACCCAAGAGAAATCTTCCCGAAGATACTGGAAATACTACGCATTAGCGAGGCGACACATATCACAGCCAACTTCCTCAACCAACTCTGTCTCGCCAAGAAAACCTCCTATTTCCCCAGCCTAAAGCGTGTCGAGGCCTACCACATGGAACATTTAGAGAACACCAGATTCAACGCCAACCAGAGGAGATGTCTAGACCCAATAGATGATGTACGCACCATGTTCCGCGATGCTGAGGTTGCGGTGTATCTCTACTTCCCGCCCTGGACCATGACGACGTGGGAGTCGGAGGGTGGTACGCCGTGGAGAATGAAGACTGAACCGGACGAGCTACATCGTGGAGAATATACGTGCTATAGGAAAGCGATGGGTCCTTTTGGAGTACCCCAGGAGCCGATGAACAGGGTTGAGATTGAGTGGGACGCTGAGGGAGATGCAGTCATGATCTAGGGTGTTGGGAGATGCATATACGTGGTAACGGTTGGATTGTACAGTAATGTCTGGCTATAGTCATGGATATGTGTGGTTATTCGGTTTTGTTAGCGAAGTCTTGCCGTCTGAGCAGATGGGTTCGAGCGTTAGAAAAATATAAGAAAGCAGGTGGGGTCTGGATCGTGTCTACAAATTGGCGTAATGCCATTCAACTTGAAGAAAATTCCAATTCACAATGAGGGCATGGATGGGTACAAGAGCAATGAACTGAATTGAGGATATCGTGGTTGTGGAAGTCCGAAAGAGTGATTTAATCAATATATAGCTAGACTGTGTATCTATACAGACGTCACCTCCGTAACCTTTTCTCGTACCATATCCCTCCTCAGTCCTCTAAATCAATCTTGATTTGGTACTGCGTTACCGTCGATCAAGGCGCAGCGACACAGTGATGATCACCGATACAATGCGTGCAGCACGTCTTCATCTGGCCCGGCGGTGCGGCTCTTCCACAAGGATACCAACTCGGCAAGCACTGCCCAGTACAAAATGTCAGTTCAAGATCCGTTTCAGCCCCGCAGCTCTTGACCTGACTACCAGCGGGCGGCTTTCCATACCCCCACTCAATGCTCTCGCAGGTCTTGTCCGTCGGCTTGAGCGACATAGTGCTTCCGGCAAAACCGTCGCCGAAGATGTCGCTCATATCGTACCAGATCTGGTTGACGTCGAGGTTGTATGCGAAAATGGTTTGGCTGACATTGGGCTTGAAAATACCGCCTTCGATGGGTGAAATCTTGAGTGCGATCCCACCAGATTTGGGATCAGTGTAGAAGTGCTCGCTATAGGAAGTATCGGGATTGATGACGTATTGGTCGCTGATGCTGCCGCCAACGGACCAAAGGTAGATGGGTCCAGGGCATTGGTTGGTCACGATCGCACGACCAGCGGCATGAACGCTTGCGATGATAGACATGACTGTAAGCGCGTTGAACAGCATCTTGAAGTACGTTGTCAGCCAGAACTTGGATGTGGGGATCTGGAGTGAACAGCTCTTGCATCAACAGCCATAATGGCTCTCTTATACATTGATTGCACTCAGCACACAGCGTAACCGCTCCTCGTATCCACAGCAACTATCTCGCTGCTTTTATGTATACTGGAGAGAGCCGAATGCATTGGTACGACAGAGCAGCCAACAAGAGACGAAGTCCTTCGTTAGGAGTATTGGTGGCGGTCGCGTTGATTGGCTAGCTATTTTCAGCCTCCAATGATATGCGCCGGCATACGGATACCAATCACATGGTCCCACGTTTGAAGATCCACTAACTGGTATTCTAATGTCAGCTGCTACATGATCAGTCTATCTACCCCGTACCGACTTTTTGTACGTCGATTTTGTGTGATGTAAGAGCTCGTATTCGCAATAAACAAAGCAACAGCTGTGTGTAGCGGTGGCTGACTAGCAAGTACCTGTTAAAAGGTGCGAAGAAGTGCGACCATATCGCTTCTATCGCATCGAGAATATGGATGCAGATGTTTGGTATACGAGCGTTACACACTGGCCGTTGTGAAGATTCTTGCTTGGATAGAACGAACCCGAACGTCTCCGCGTCCTGCTGAGCTGAAGATCCTGTGATGCTAACATATATTGACATTACGATGCTTATGGTATCTCATCAAAACTCTTGACCACCTTGGTAGGTGTGGCGTTCACAGCTTCGCACTTCTTCCTGCTCATCTCATAGACCGTTCTTCTCAAGCGGTTAATGCTACCCAGTGGTCGATGCTCCGCCTGCCCATCCCATGGGTTCAATTTCATCATGTCTTCCCAGAATACTCTTCGCTTAGCACGCAGGGTATCTTACGGGGGAAACTCGACTGCCGCGATCGTTTGGTATGGTGCGGTAGCTTCATCCTATACTACTGAGCCATCTTCAGTCGGATGATGATCAGGTGAGGTACCTAGCTGAATCTAATCGAAATCAACAGAGCTACACCAACGGGTATGTTGTTACGGACCTTTAACTCATACTTGGCGCCATCTTGAGCGAAGTATTCTGACAGCCAGTCTCGAAGCACCTCTCGCGAGTCACTGCTTTTCACCTTCCCGGCTCGGTTCTTCATGCCGTCGAGCACTGGAAATAGCACCATATGACCATACCAATCCCCAAACCTGAAAGCGCTTTGGCTATACAACGAGTGGCTGATCACGTTGGTGTTCGGAGGCATACCTACCACTATGAGCTAATGAGAAGTGCTTTGCGACAACATATATCCTACCAGGCGCGCTTTGTTTGATTGCATCTGCCCTCAATTTCGTCGCTACAGCCAGCTTCAAAGGGCTGTCAAAGTACTACTTCCTCAATTCCACAATCTCAAGACATGTATCAATGTCAGTCAATTCGATTGACGGAGCGTTGTTGAAGAAGAAATCCTGAGTATTGGCCTCAGGATCAGAGGTTTTGAGTCTTTCGCCCTTCACCCCAAATACTCGCATTGCCAGACTCCGAGGTCCAGGTTCTTGGTCAGCTTGAAGGAAGACAGGTTCATTAGCATATCGCGCAGCGATGTCGTACGTCTTCCCCAGTGTCTTGAAAAGACGTTGTTGTAAATGTGTCGGCAAGTCCGGAAGCCCGGTCAACTTGCCCTTGACGATACCCTGCGTCTTGACGTGAGTCGCCCGATAAGCATGCCGGTGTTGATCAAAACTATGCTGTTGCATCCGGTTCATCGTCTCTCCGATCTCCTTAGCCGTCTCATCCTCGTTGGGTTTTGGTGTCTCCACACCGGGCGCATCCCATCAAAGGTAGAAGTCGTTCAGCGGCGCTGAAGAAAGGGCATGCTTTGCGTTGTTATATGCGCCTGAAAGAGACATTTCAAAGTGCGACATCCATCAACCGTCCAGGACCAAAGCGATACTTTACATGGGTTTGATCGTGAGTGCCACACTAGTTTTAACATAGACGTCATCGATGCAACATGAGCCGCGGCGCTTTCGATAGGACGCGAATCGACACTAAGATAATTAAAGCTCGGGTAACGTATAATATTAGCATGGATGCCTGTAATGGTTGCGTGTGATGATCGTTGAGGCTCAAGCATCGCCGGATTGCAACACCTTTTTCGCTCGACCTGCACTCAGAGCGACTAGCGCTAAACTATATACAGCCACTAGCGTCTACTCGTACCTTAGAAAGGCATAACGTCTTGACTTTGTCGCTTGGCATCGACTTGGCCCACGACAATGGTAATGCCAAATTGACGTCAAGCAATATAGCATTTGCTTCGCTGTCACTGACAATCCCTCATCGATAAGATAGCATGTCTCCATCACGTCCGTCGTCCTCCCATCCCGAATCAACGAGTTCTTTGATATCCGGCTCCTCCTCCACCGACAATATGACTTCCCGCGCCAGACCCATCAAACGGCGCACACGACCCGCGGATAGAGAAGACTACAACCCCACGTATCTGCCGTGGAAAAAGCGCTTGGACCATTTCACCTGGTCATGGTTTGAATGCACCATGTCAACCGGCGCCATCGCGACGCTTCTTGGCCAACAACCATACAGCTTCCACGGACTGAAGACTATTGGGAAGATTTTCTTCCTTCTGGATATCGTTCTATTCCTTACGTTTAGTGCCTGTATCACCTACCGCTTCATACACAATCGCGGATCGCTCAAGCTCAGTCTGCATCATCCACACGAAAGCTTCTTCTTCGGAGCCTTCTTTGTCTCCATCGCACTCATCATCTACTGCATTGAGCTGTACGGTGTACCATCCTGTGGACCATGGCTCGTCAAGACGTTGGAAATACTATTCTGGCTATACGCGGCCATTGTCCTCTTGGTTGCCGTCTTCCAGTACCATATCATATTCGACCGACGTGAACTTCCTGTTACTGACGCCATGCCCGCCTGGATTCTGCCGGTATACCCCTTCCTTGTTCTCGGAGTCTTGGGTAGTACACTCTTGAAGAGCCAGCCACCCGGGCCTGGATTCAACATCTTTATTGGCAGCGTTACCTTCCAGGGCCTGGGCTGGACTATCGCATTCCTGATGCTGTCGCTCTACTTCACACGTTTAGTTAACAGCAACCTGCCTGAGATCCCCAAACGCCCCGGTATGTACGTAGCTGTCGGTCCAGCTGCATATACCGCCAATGCTTGCATCGCGCTTGGTTTGCAGGCACCGAAACATGTGCCTGAGAACCTATTGGGCATTACCTCCTTCCCTGTCGGCGATGCTTTTAAAGCTTTCGGTTTTATTATGGGTGTCTTCCTATGGCTCATCTCCTTCTGGTTCAGCGCCATCGCTACAATTAGCATTGTTATCAGTGCTAAGGAGTCGCACTTCACGTTAAATCACTGGGGTTTCATCTTCCCGAATGCCGGGATGATGATCGCGCTTATTTATATCGCCAACGCGCTGAATAGCCCAGGGATTAAAGGAGTGTGTAGTGCAGCAACTATTATGTTAGTCACGCTATGGATCTGGGTGGCGGTGCTTAATGTCAAAGGTGTACTACAGAAGAAGGTGTTATGGCCGGGTATGGATGAGGATATGGAGGATATTGAAGGACATAGTCACAAGCCGGGCTCGGACCAGGAAGACGGTGATGGGGAAGTATAGAGAGCTGAAACTACTTGTGTGCGATATAACCCATTGAAAGTAGTTTATAGTAATATTACCAATGCAATTAGGTGGTTTCTTCACTAATGATCTACCTTCACAGACTGCCAGCGCACCCTCATATCTTTCCTGCAACCCTTCCCTGAAACCATACCGTCAAGTCGGATACCAATCACGTATTGTACATTGTGGCGCAACAATCGTCGAGCAGAAGCAGTAGATATCCAACCTGCAATCGGTGGTATAGAAGAATCAAAGAGGCGCCGAGAAGCAATCGCTGAGTTGGTATTGTTTGAAGAAGTTACCTCTCGTTCCCGAGGGGTTTTGGGGCTTATATTTAGCTACAACAGGTCAGGTGACCTAATACTACACCACAACATGTAAGCTCAATGTCATATTGTAACATCTACCCCGAACGGTATGGAAATGTTTGCGTGGCTAGCCAATGCCTTTTACTGTCCTGTATCTGGTAGCGGCGGTCACGTATATCCAGAAGGAGATTGTGAAAGACTATTATAGCAAGGCTCGGTTGCGCTTTACGAACTCCTGAAAAGGAGATGGGCGACCGGGGGATGCTGATGTAATGCCGATGTATGGGAGGAAGAGGAAACGTTCGTTGAATGATGATGGAGGGTGGGACAGGCTATAAGAGAATTCTGCATGCATGAGATCATTGTCATGAAGACCGGATGTAGGATTAACATATATAGCTAAAGCGATGAGAAGAAAACTAGTTCTGAAAGAGCGTTGTACTATAGACTGAGGCTTCGACTCCAAACGCCCTAGATATTTAAAACCATCAATAGTGTACAAACAAGATAATGAAAAAAGTGCGCATAAACGATAAGCAAACCGCCGACAGCCTGTAACACCAGAATCAACCTCGACTATTACCACTTTGCATCAGTTACATAGCATTCGAGCTCTGTTTCCTCTTGAATCCAATCCTCTTGGCGAGCGACCCAAAACCACTGGCCCTCCTCTCCTTCTCTTTCGTCTTCTCCTCAACACCAATTCTTGTCTTAGCCTTCTCGCCCCAAGGGTTCTGCATCTCTCTTTCGATCTGCTTCTTGCGCTCTACAGCGAGGATGCTCACTTGATCAACGAACACAGACTTATCAAGCAAGTCTTCGACCCTAACTCTTAGGCCGTCTTGGTCGAGGATAGACGCGACTTGTGCCAAACCCATGATATCGCCACCCAGCTGGAAAAAGTCAGAGCCAAGGTCAATGGGTATCGGTGAGCCATGTTCATCGTGCAGAATCTGCTCCCAGGCCGATCGCAATGTCGTGGCGAGAGTACTGGTCTCGTGACGCGAGAGGCCCGTGTCGGATGGTAGAGCAACAGGCTGTTTCTCTGTGGACTTCTTGCGCAGCTTCTCCGAGCCCACGCTAGTCGAGCTATTGGAGCTGAGCTCCGAAAGTGATGGAAGCAGACTGTGCGGGTTCTCCGAGAAGGCGGCAACATTGGCGCATAGCATATCGAATGCGTGCTGTGCAAACTCTGCGGTAATGGTGCTGTTCGGGGCGTACGTCAAAGTGACATCCATTTGGTTACCGCGAGAAGTGGTGTGGATAGAGAAGTCTGCAAAATCTTCTTGCGAGCCTACCGCGCCGATAGTGTACTCGACATCGCCTAGCTGCATAGTTGGCCGATCGTCCTGGATGTTTTGGTCATGTTGCAGGACGCTCGAAAAATTTGTCCAGTCGGGCCACTCCGTACAGTGTCGTGTGATCTCGCGGAAGCCGAGAGACTCAAACGGCATATTCGCGATTTGCTGGTCTTGAACAAACTTGAGAAGATCCATGACGGTCCACTCGGGGCGGTACACAATGCGAACAGGCACCATATTCAAGCAGGGCCCAACGATATTCTCAACGTTAGCAACACCACCGTTGCGGCCTGAGATGACATGACCGAAGACAATGTCAACCTTGCTCACGAGGTGCGAGAGAGTTGAAGCCCAAGCAGCCTTGGCCACAGTCGCGCTGGTGATATTGACGCCCTTCAACTTTGGCGCATCAACTCTCTTCTCCAATGTGATCGATTGGCCAGCTGAGCGCTGGTAGTTAGGACCGAATCGGTTCACAATCTCGGTCATCTTGGAACCACGAAGCACTTCTCTCCAGTGGTCGTGGGCACCCGATACGGTCTTGGCAGTTTCTCGTACAAAGTTGCCGAAGCTTGGAGCAGACGAGACAGGGAGGCCATTGTACCCATCTTGAAGCGCACCCAGAATCTTTGACATGCAGACTCCATCGTATTGGGCGTGAGACAGTCGCATGAAGATACGGTATCGTCCCGTTTGCTTTTGCTTCGCAACGACGAATTGGATGAAGGCTTCACCGAGCCTAGGTCCATTCTCGCGATCCTTCTGTCGCAAATCCGTGGTAAAAGTTTCGATGTCATCGTCCGTTTGATGGTATATAAACTCAGGTTGAAGCTTGCGCAATACCACCTGTAGGAAGCGGTCACCGTACGGGACGAACACGGTGCGGAGGATATCGAAGGCTTGTACCATGCGGTAAGCAGCTTGCTTCAACTTGCGAAGGTCTAGTGGCCCGTCGCCGTCAAGATAGAAGTAGTTGAGCATCCACTTGGACTCCATGAGAGTGCCGGTGATGGCGAGCGATTGGAAGTCAGTCACGGGGAAAACATCCGAGATGCCTCCCTTGAATACTTGCACTTTCGAGATGACGCTATCGACATTGGGATCGCCAAGCATCGATACTGACCTGTTAATAGAGCTCTCAACCCCTTCCTGGATTGTATGTGTGAACAGCGACTTCTGGCTCACTTTGCGCGTGGCGGTAGGCCTCGCTTGGTTCGTCGTAAGCCCTTGCCATCTCTTGAAAATCGTTGAATCTCGACTGTTTAGCTCCGGATCGGCGGGCATCTCACTAGGAGCCATGCTCTTAGTGTCGGCGTTGGGGTCTGACACCATGTCCTGGAATTCACTCCAGATCGATGGGGCTCTGTCGTGAAGGCGAGACCTCGACTGGCCTCCGACGCTCCTGCCTGCCACTGATCCGCCGCCAGCTCGGGACATGACTTCGTCAATGACTTCACCGGCAACACGCACGACCCGAGCCATGTCGGCGAACGTCGGGTTTTTGAACACATCAGCCACTGTCATCGATAGACCTTCCTCCCTCGCGGCCCCAACCAGGCGCATTGCGATGATACTGTCGCCTCCGAGTTGAAAGAAGCTATCATCCTGCTCGATTGTTTCCTCCACCATTTCCAGCAGCTCGCTCCACAGATTGAGAAGCTTTTTTTCGACAAAGTCTGGTGCAACTTTGCTAGAAGTCTCAGTAGCCAAAACGCCAAGAGTGGCAACCATATCAGCTGCCGTCTGAATTCTGTTCTCCGCGTTACTGGCAATGCTCATCGCGCGACGTGAACGTATGGATGCTGCTCGTGTAGAACCTGCCTTGATAGAGGCTTCATCGAGACTTGGTCGCCCACGTTGTGACATGGAAGTCTTTCTTGTAAGCATGCCGGTCATTTGTGTAGTCATCTGATCGATTGTTGCAGATGTGGGTTCGGTAGGTAGCTTGTTCTGCGCTACGATCTGCTCGACAATCTGGGGGACCATCTCGCTGACAATGGACCTGATGAGACTGCTCCAGTCAGGTGTTTCGGCTGGCAGCGGAGCCGCTGGAGCGAGATCAGGAAATGTGATCCTTGGTGTACGAGGTGGCGAGGTCGACCCACTGGATATACTCGAACCGGATCTGAGAATGGAAGGACGCGGCTTGGGTAAATTGAGACGTGCGGCTGTGGGCTGTGCAGGTTTACCCTTGACTACAAGATCCAGTTCTGCAATGGTTTGCTTTGCGTTGCTCAAGGCCTGAACTAATATCTTTGCCATGAGAGCAGACACGTTCTTCGCCTCGCCATCGGTTACAGCATCACTCCAATAGGTGAAGCGCACCCCTTCATCATCACGTGTGGCATCGATGTTGACCGTGATAGCAAACTCGCTCGGATCATGGCCATCAAGCTGCTCAAACTCAATACCAGAATCGTCCGAGACGGGCTCTTCGGCATTGGAACGCCTCTGGATTGAAACGGCGGTGTTAAAAAGCGACTTTCCGGATAGCCCAAGATCATGCTGGAATTGGGCAAGCGAGCAATGCTGATGGGGCATGGATTCGCCGAAGTCGGACTGCACCTTCTCAACGACGTCGAGAAGCGACGTTGTCGGTTCCAACTCAATACGAGACACCAACATGTTAATGAAAGCGCCGACCGCGCTCTCGATCTTATCGATCGGTACATTTCTTCCTGAGGTAAGATAACCGTAGCACACATCGGAAGAGTTGGTGTAGGATCGGAGAACTAAAGCCCAAGCTGCCAGGAGGATGTTGGCAATAGTAACGTTGTTGCTCTGCGCAAGAACATGAAGCTCGTCGAAACGGGTAAAGCGCATGTCCAGAGACCGAAGCTGTCGTGGTTTGCTTGGATCCCGAGGTGTGGTCGGGAAGTAACATGGGCTAACTCCGAGAAGCTTGGCTTTCCAGTATTTTATCGCATCTTCTGCTGGCAGTGCGCGCAAGTACTTGATGTAATCGCTGTATAGCGGTCCATCCTCGGATAGACGCCCTTCGTATGCTTCCTGGAGATCCTGACCAATGACGCCCAGTGAGCCTCCGTCGATGACGGCGTGATTGACAATGACCTTGACAAAGATTTTCCCCGACGAAGTCTGAACGACCGCGGCCTGGTGCGGAAGAACAGGTTTCTTTTTGCCGTTGAGAGAGCTGTGCTTGATAGACTCGAGTAGTGCAGCTAGCTCACCATCGGCGCACTTGTAGGTGACAATGCCAGCATCAGGATTCTTCACCACAATCTGATCGAAGACACCTCCCTTGCAGACACTGTCGATGAAGATGGTGCGTAACGCTGGGTGACGGGCAACAACTTGCTTCCATCCGTCGACGACCTTGGTGGCATCGACCGGGCCTCGCTTAGATCTGACTTCGAATGTCGTAGATGACCAGTATGATTCTGGAGACTTGATCTGACTCAAAATCATACCATCCTGTATAGGGGAGCAAGGGTACATGTCTTCTACCTGATCGAAAGACGGAATACCGGCGTGCGGCAGAGTCTTCAAGACACGATCAAGACGACTGTAAGACTCCAGTGGTAGTAGCGGGAAATCGGCCATTGTGGGTTGTGGTTTATCCGTCTTGGCCAGCTCCGTGGCAATCTCCTCCAGCGTACGTTGGCATTCGGCAATCCACCTGCGAATGCCTTTCTGGTTCTTTGAGTAGCGGTTATACATAAAGCTGAGCTGGATTTGACCTTCCAAGACGGAAGCGGAGATTTCGAAGAGTGCCATACGACTAGTCTTGACACCAACGTCAGATGTTTCGTCGTCATCACCTTCTACTTGCGCAGGCTGTAGAAGCGAATCGTTATGTCCAGACTGTTCTTGCCGGCCAAGGTAATTGAACAAAACTTCCATCGGCGCATGGTTCGCAAAGCGTTCCTTTCCATCTTCTGTAAGATAGCGATGCGCAAAGTAAGGTCGTCCATTGCTTGCAACCTTGCGACGGGTATCTTTGACTTGACGGAGCGTGTGCATGACATCGTCTTCATCATCACCAATAGGAACAGTGACTGGATATAGTGCCGTAAACCATCCAACAGTCCGTGATAGATCAAGATTGCTCGCATCCCATGCTTCCCGGCCATGTGATTCATTAAACAAGGTAGGGGCCTTGCGGTTGATGAACACACGAGAGAACGAGTGTAAGATGGCCGTCAAGAGGATGTCAACGAGGTCCGTCCTGTATACATGATGATTATCGAAAGCCATGGCGGAAGTTTCCTTGTCGATCACGAACTCATCCCTCTCGGAGTCACCATAGACGTTTGGCCGTACATCCATACCCCAGAAGGCAAAATTCGCGGGTTCAACAGCGAGCGGCTGTTGTTGTATGGCCTGTTGTTGTGTAATCTCCGAAGCATTCGAGAATTGCATTTCGCACCAGGTCTGGAAAGGGAGACCTCTTGGAAGCGTTGTGACTGAGCCCGACGCAAGCAGGTCTTCCAAGTCGCCAAGCAAGATCCCCCAGCTCACAACATCTATGACAAGATGGTGTGCAGCCATGAAGAGCATCTGATGACCCTTCAGGTTGAACAGGTTGACTGCAAAGATCGGTCCGGTGCGAATGTCGAGGCTCTTTTGGGTACTAGAGATAATGGCTCCAGCAGCAGAAGCGGTCGCAACATCGTGTGCCGTGAAGGCGTATGACCCAGAGATTTTCGACGTGACAAGCTGCTGCCATTGCCCATCCTTGCCCTTGGAGAATCGGGCACGTAACATAGAATGGCACTCAACGATAGAATCCAAAGCGCGCTGAACTATGGCTGGGTCTACGTATCGCGAGATGCGCAGCGTTGACGACTGATTGAAGTGCGTACCATTCTCGATGCTGCCGGTGTCGAAATAAAAGCGTTGAATAGGAGAGAGTGCGAACGGTTTATCGGTTTCTTCTTTCTCATGGTCCAAGGTGACCACAGATTTGACATCGGCAGCTAAACGTGAAAGAGACTTGGCGCGCAGCACTTGGTTCAGAGTAAGGTTAATACCTTCGCTTCTGCATTTTGCGAGAAGCTTCATTGCAGAGATCGAATCACCACCGAGTGCTGATAAGTGTTAGTAAGATATAGCGTGCTTGCCATTGGGGGTACTCACACAACCAGGATTTGGACGGCTTAACATCTTCGACAGGGCAGTCCAGTACCTTGGCCCATATGCCTCGAAGCACTGTAAGTGCGGCAGCACCAGGTCCCTCCGCTTCTTCCGGAAGTTCAGCTCCCATGATGCGCTGATACGTTGCATCATCCATACTCTCCAGCCACAAGCCAACTTGCTTCTTGTCCAACTTCGTTGAAGCCAAAGCTGGGATACGAGGCACGGCGATCCAAATGCTGGGTACCATGTACGATGGTACCAGATCAGCCAACCTTTCTCTTGCACGATTGACCCGGGAGAGCGTTTCTGTGTCTGAAAGGATCGTGCGCCAGTCCGAGCCGGCATTGGAAGCAGCAGTTCCAGGAAAGGCAACGACGGCGGTGAGCTTCTTGGTGCAAGGTCCAATCTTGGGTAGTTGCACTACCACTTGGTGGACGTTGTCATCCGCATGCACGACAACCTCGATCTCATCAAGCTCGATTCGTTGACCAGCAAGCTTGATTTGATTGTCCCTTCGCCCAATGTAGTGAATAGAACCATCGGCAGTGTACTGGACGAGATCTCCAGTACGGTAGATACGTGATCCTGCACTCGGAGAGAACTCCTTCAAGAACAATGGGGCTTCGATAAATGCCTCTGCAGTACGCTCGGGATCATTAAGATAGCCTCGAGCAAGTAATGGTCCCTCAAGGCAGAGTTCGGCAGTGGCACCAACTGGTGCAAGCTCGTGAGGGTTATCCGAGTTCGTGAGCCAAGCCCGACCGCTCTTCAGGGCACGTCCAATGTTTGAGGGATCTCGTTGGGCTGAGACATGGTCATTGGCAATAGCAAAGACGGTGCCCTCGGTAGGACCGTAGCCATTCTGGAGTTCGACACCGGTCGCCCATTTGTCAATCACATCGGATGTCATAGCCTCACCACCAGCTACAAGCGTTTCCAGTGTGGGTACAACGCTCGGACCTTCCAAAGTGCTAGCTACCGATGGGGTCAAGAAAGCCCAATTCGCGTTCAGATCTGTTACTGCCGCTGCGAGATCTGTGGTACGTTGTTCATCTGATGGTACACAGATAGTTGCGCCGCGTAAGAGAACAGCAAGGGTTTCGCCGACAGAGACATCGAACAGGAAGGAACAGAATTGGAAGACTCGAGAAGTAGGTGTAACATGGAGCCCTTCGCAGATGGCGGCCGAGCTGGAAGCTATACTCTTGTGCTCAACGACCACACCCTTCGGTAACCCTGTACTGCCAGAAGTGAAAATGACGTAGCATATATTGTTGCCCTTGGCACGCTGCGACAAAGACACTGAACAGGCGGGCAGTCGTCGGATTGCGGTTTCGCTGACAATGAACACATGATCCACCATCTCAACGAAACGGTGTGCGTAAGTTGGCGAGCAAAGAATGATAGAAGCTTTGCATGCTTCGACGATATGCAGATGTCGCGAGGCTGGATCTGCCGAAGACAACGGAACATAGCCGGCACCGGAAATGAGAATAGCCATGATGCCGACGATCGCCCATCGGGACTTGTCCACGCAGATGGGGATCAAGCATTCAGGACCAGCACCAAGCTTTACTAACTCTTGCGCTAGTTGTGATGCAAGGGTATTAAGCTCTCCGTATGAAAGTTCGCCGTCAAAAGCGGTCACGGCTGTCGCATTGGGCTGAGATGCAACTTTCTTGAGGAACAGCGAGGGCACAGTGTCATCGATCAGCCCAGGCTCATACGCATTCCATTTACGCACAAGCTGCTTGTCTTGGTCGCTGAAGACAGCCACATGGCGTACATGAGTTGCGGATTGGAGCTGTACCAACACTGACTCGAACTGGTAGATGAGGCGCTGAACATGCCAAAGCGAGATGATGTTCGCATCGAAGTGGGCCAACACTTCCGTCTTTGCCGACCCCATCTTGCACTCGATGACCAAAGGATATGTGAAGAAGTTGCCTTGCTCTTCGTTGTCTTGAACGGTCCACATAGAGTTGGTAAGCTCCTCGTTCTCCGTCTGGATAACTAGAAGGTTCTGAAAATCGCAAGCGGCTACCATGTCGTCGCCGAGTGCTTTGATAGCGGAAATGCCATGGTGCTGATATGGTATGCGGTCGGTGACGTTTGTCGCTATCGTGTTGAGCAAATCACCAACGGTGGCCCCGCGATCGATTTTTACTCTAGAAGGAACGGTCGTCAAAGTAGGGCCACATATATCTGTTATACCAACCACGGCTATGTCTCGCCCGGCCAAAGTCTCTCCAAACACCACATCATCGCTTCCGGTATAGGCGGCAAGTAGTAAAGCCCAGGCAGCTCGAATGACATTTGCTGGCGTGACTTCCGTGTTCTTGCGGGGCGCAAGCTTTATAGAATGTTGGAACATCTGTCCATTTGGCGATGCAATCGGAGCAGCATGCGACGGCTGAGGAAATTGGTACGCGTTGATTCCTGTCAAGCTCTTCTTCCAGTAGAGATTCGAGGCATTCACATCTGTACTGGAGAGGTATCCCACAAACCTGGCGTATGGTGTCTGTGGCATGGTTGAAGCTCCCTTGAGGTAAATTTGCTGCACTCGTTGAAGCATTAAATATATGCTCCAACCGTCATACAAAGCATGATGCAGGGTCCACACAAAGTAGCGTTCTCCTGAAGGCGCAGTGACCAATGTGTACGCTGCAAGATGTCCGCCAAGATGTGAGGGGATCTTCATCGTGTCGTCCTCAGTACTCTTGAGTGACGTTGCCTCTCTCCAGTTGACAGGGTCATTCTTTAGAACAGCTTGCACGAATGTACCAGATGGTAGTTGTACGATTCTAGTGCGGAGAATGTCAATCTCCCGAATGGCTAGCTCCCACGCTGCCTTGAACTTCGTCATGTCCAGGGACTTCGGGAGCGCCAAGACGTGCTGCGCGACATAAGCACCCGCCTGCTTTATGGAGAGGGTGAGAAGCGCATCTTGAAGTGGACTCGTGGGGTAAGCATCCTGTAGGTCTTCTTTGGAAACTTGGCATTGTTGCACAACTTCGCTCGTTACCTCCGGTCTTGGGAGAGAAGCCGGTAATAGATCGAAAGGCTGGATGGTCTTTTCGGGCTCGTTAAGTTTGCTGGTCCGAGCACCGATTCTGGCTAAGTCGGAGAGTTTGGGGTTCTTGAAGATGTCGATAAAGGACAGCTCTAGCTGTTCAGTATGAGCCATCGCAACAAGACGCATGGAAGAGATGGAATCGCCACCAAGGCGAACAAAGCTGTCATCGATGCCTACTGCCGAAGATGGCAGGCCCAGTACTGAGCACACAGCCTTGTGGATCTTCTTCTCCGCCTCGGTGGTGGGCTGCTTCTTGTTTGCGATGCTTGTGAGCCTATACATAGCCATTGTCTCGCGACTGAGGTTCTGTACTAAGCTGCGCAGGCGGTTGCGGTCTAGCTTACCTGCCGAAGTCCAGGGCAATTTCGTTACTGGAATGAATATGGCAGGTATCATATACGATGGCAGGGAGCCAGCCAGGCCATTCTCGGTGTTCTTGCACATGTCGCGAAGCTCGTCGCTAAGCGGAAGAAGTAAGTCGTCAGCAGCTGGTAAGTCGACTGAAGCAGGCTGTACAGTTTGCGCTCCATCGACGGCTTGGTCTTGGACGACGGCAAAAAACACGGCCAAGGCTTTCGCCGAGCTTCGGTTCGAGGGAGCGACTAATTCCACTGCGGACTGTACGCGCTCCGGGAAGTTTTTCCCTACATGGAACTCGATCTCACCTAGCTCAATCCGCTGGCCGTTGAGCTTGATCTGGGTATCCTTACGTCCAATGTAATTCACCGACCCATCTGTGTTGTAGCGGACAAGATCACCGGTCTTGTACATGCGAGCAGTTTCGAACACATTGCTTCCGGAAGAAATAGTCTTCGCCCAGGTTGGGTCTTGGATGAAAGCTTTCGCAGTCTTGGCTTCATCATTCAGATATCCACGAGCAACGGTAGGGCCTTCGATGACGAGTTCGCCTACGCTACCGACAGGCATCAGTTTGTCGTGGTTTCGGGGATGCACTATCCACAGTCGGCATCCGCTTCCTGTACCTATAGTTCCAGGCTCAGACACAATGAGCTTGTGGTCGAGTGTGGACTTGTAGGCGGTAGCAGCTACGACTGAGCACTCGGTAGGTCCATACGCTGTCAAATGTTAGTATATAGCCTGACAAAGGACGAAAGTTTTCTATGCATACCGTTGATGAAACATGTACTGTTGCCCCACTTCTTGAGAATGGGTCCAGGAAGCGCTTCACCTCCAGATACAAGCGTCTTCAGGCCGGGGACGCGCTCCGGTTCGATAGTTCCAAGGACGGAAGGGGTCAACAGCGACCAGTTGACCCTCAGCTTACGGATGGCGCCAGCAGCGTTGTTCATACGATCGTCTTCTGTTGGTACACATACTGTGGCGCCTACAGTCAACGCAGAAAGAATTTCAATGCAACTGGCATCAAAAGTGTACGAAGCAAACTGAAAGGTGCGCGATGTTGCGTTGATATTCATACGACGAGTGAAGGCCGCTGCACTTGTACAGAATGCTTGGTGGGGAATGATAGTTCCCTTCGGCTTGCCGGTAGTACCCGACGTGAACAGGCAGTACGCTGCATTGTCGGGAGTTGCTGCAGAACGTGGCTTGCTAGAGACCGGCACTCCTAGCTTCTTGATGGATCGCTGATCAACAATCACGGCTGTCTTGGCGACCTCGCTCGCTTTGGTGTGGTGGCTGCGCGAGCATAGCACCACTGAGGCGCCAACATCCTCAATGAGTTCGCGAAGTCTGGTTTGAGGATGCTTGGGGTCTAGCGGTACATACGCACCACCTGCCTTCATGATGGCAATCATACTGACAATGGCGTACGAAGACTTCTCGAAGAGAATGGGAACGAAAGTCTCAGTGGTGACACCGATAGCCTGGAGATGAACCGCTAGCTGATTGGTAATCTTGTCGAATTCTTGATAGGTGAACGATCCGTCCCAACCTTCTACCGCTTTTGTCGTACGTGGTCTTGTGAGTGCTTGGTCGTGGATGACATCGTGCACGCAACGGCGAATAGGCAGAGGAAGCTGCGGGTTCCATTCCATGATCTGATGAAGGCTGCTTTCTGTGAAAACGTCGAGTTTGCCAACAGTAAGCTCATCAGCACTACGAGCAACGATACTTTCTAAGATCTTCTTAAAAGTGTCTGCCATGTTTTGTGCTTGGGACGGAAGAATCCTGTCTTTCGAATAGCCGAAGTCGACCGTAATGCTTTGATCTGTCACATCTGCATTGACAGTAACGATGTATTCACCGGAATCTTCCGCTTCCATATCTTCATAGATAAGAGCAGTCACCTCTGGGTCGCTCGACAGAGTGCGTCTCTGGAAGGTGAAAGCAGTGTTGAACAGTGAGGGTAGCTGCAGCGCGTGCTGTATATCCGCAAGAGAGCAGCCTTGGTGTGAGAGAGCTTCTGTAGAACCTGTTTGAAGAGCCTCGAGAAGCTGAGCAATAGTTGTATCATCCGAGAAGGATAAGCGCGAGACAACCATATTGACGAAGCAACCAACAGCCTCGTCGATGTTGCTTACAGGAATGTCACGACCTGAAGCAACCAAGCCGAATGATACATCAAATGTGCCAACATAGTAATGTAAGGTGAGAGCCCAGGTAAGCTGGAGCACATTTGAAAGAGTGACGCCGTTGTGCTTGCAGAACTCCTGGATACGATCTGTGCTGCCTAATTCTATGTCGACTGAACCGGATTCTGGGGAGCTTGATATGCCATCGTTGAGAGTAGGGAAGAAGCAGGGCTCCATTCCAGAGAGATGCGTTTTCCAATAGGCGAGATCCGCATCGCCGGATCTGGAAAGCATGTAACCGATGTAATCAGAATAAAGCGGTCCAGCATCGGCCCTGGTCAACTTTCGTGCATATGCACGAGCAAGATCAGTGAGAAGGTTAGACACTGAGGTGCCATCATTGATCGCATGGCTAAGCTCAAGCTTAAACCATACTTTGCCGGTCTTTGTCTTGCATATACTCATACGGTGAGGTGGTACAGCTTCTCGGAAGTCGATTAGAGATTGATCTCGCAGAAGTTTGGCAACCTGACTATCGTCGCAGTCGGCAAGAAGTTGAACTCTTCCAGCTTTCTCCTTGACTACAATCTGATCCTTGGATCCATTCTTTGCAAGACTGTCGATGAAGATAGTGCGCAAGGCTTGATGGCGGTGCACCACGACTTGCCATGCTTCGGCGAGGCGGCGTGGATCTACCGGACTGCCGTCTGCAGATTGTACTTGCGACACGGTGTGGTAAGCATACAGCTCGGGACTTCGTGATTGCGTATGAAGCATTCCTTGCTGCATAGGAGATGTGGGATATATGTCCTCAATATCCGTGAGATGGATACCAGCAGGAAGAATCGCCGACAGCCTAGAAGTGCCGTTGTAGAAAAGGGGCAGGTGCTTGAAGTTGCTGACGCTGCGCTCTTGTCGTACTTGCAACAGCTCTTCTACGGCGTCCACGAGTGTCTGACGACACTGTGCAATCCATGCACGGATCTTCTCTTGTTGTTGCATGTTGCGGTTCCATCCAAAAGAGAGTTTGATAGCTCCCTGGGATATGGCTGCCGTGATATCGAAAAGCGCGAGGCGGGGAACGTCCTCCCCAACTTCGCAAGAGTCTACATCATCGAGGGAAGTGAACAGCCCGTCTTTAGCGTCTTGGTTTTGAAGCCTTCCAACGTAGTTGAAGACAGCTTCCGCTGGCCAATGACTGGCAAACCGTGTCTGTCCTTCTTCGGTAAGGTTTCGATAGGCGAAGTAAGGACGTCCTTTGTCCGGGGTTCGGTTTCTGAAGTCTCGAACCCAACGAATCGTACTGATCATATCTGTCGCCTCATCCGAGGGGACAGGGAGATGAATAGGTGTTACGGTGGAGAACCAGCCAATTGTACGAGATAGATCTTGGCGAGCGTTGAAGGTTTCACGACCGTGACCTTCGTTGTGTATCGTGATGGTGGATCTGTCGGGGAAAACTTTGCGGAAAGATTCGAAGAGAGCGGCTATCAAAATATCGAGGGTCTCGGTAGCTAAAGCGTCCTGTGCACCGAGGAGAAGCATAGTGTCTCGTGTAGACAGCTGCACATCTCCCTCTACTACATCTCCGTTGAGGTTTTGTCGACCCTCCATTCCCCAATAATCGAGATCTCCTGGTGTGATATCACCAGCTGGAAACACTCTCCTAGCGCTCTCTTGTTTGGCCTGAAGTGATTGCTGTTGCAACCACATATGATATGGCAGACTTTGAGGCGCTGGTTGAACACCCTGAAGTAGACCCTGAAGGTCTTCGAGGAGTATACCCCATGACACCACATCAATGACCAGATGGTGAGCGACAAGAGCGATAGCTTGGGAGAATGTTTCATCGACGTCGAAGAGCTCGATTGCGAAGGTCGGGCCGTTGGTAACGTCCAAGGTGGCCTGGCTGTTGTCGATAATGGGGCGTAAGTTGGCATCATTGCCGGCATGGACTCTATGGTGACGGAGTCTAAACGAGTTTGGCGTGTCCTTCTCGATTCGTTGTTTCCAGACTCCTGCTTCGTTCTTAGAGAAGCGCCCGCGAAGCATAGGGTGAGTCTTGGCGAGGACCGTCAGTGCTGATCGAAGCTCTTCGATTTCGACGCTTCGTGAGAGACGAAACAGTTCAGTCTGATTGAAGTGGTTGTGCTTATCACCAACAACATCGAAAAAGACCTTCTGAATGGGCGAGAGATCGAATGGCAAGTCGAAGTCGATAGCTTCGGATGCGACTTGTGAGCTTTGAGTAAGATCGACTTTTGAGGCCATGGCCGAGATAGATTTGGAGCGGATGATGTCTTGTACGCTTATTGGGAAACCCTGCGCTCGACACTGCGATGAGACCTGCATGGCAGCGATCGAGTCACCGCCAAGATGCAAGAACGACTGGTTGAGACGAACGTCAGCGACAGAAAGGTTCAGCACCTTGGCGAAGATGGCCTGTAGCTTCATTTCAATGGGATTTCCGTCGCTGGCCTCAGTATTGTCCGTCCCCACGGCTGAAATAAGACGATACGTGGCCTGATCCATCTCTTCCAGCCACTGTATGGCGCGTCGGCGATCCAGCTTTCCGGAGGGCATTAATGGGAACCGCTCGACTGCAATCCACAGAGAGGGGATCATGTACGCAGGCAGGCGCTCGCAAAGACCGTCTCGAATCGTGGCGATGTTCAGCGATGCACTTTCTTGTGGTAGGATCCTCAATCTGTTGTCAGTGTCAGTCGTCGTGACCGCCATGTTCTGAAGCGAAACGATAGCGACTAGTCGCTTCGCGCAAGGTCCAGCCGTAGGCACTGAAGCCAGGGCGCTTTGCACGATGTGATCTTCCAATAGCTTGTGTTCAACTTCGGACAACTCTAGCCGTTGGCCTCGGACCTTTGTCTGTAGATCTTTGCGGCCGAGATACAGCATAGTTCCATCCTCGTTGTATTTGACCAGATCCCCAGTCTTGTAGATTCGCACCGGTGCTGAGGCGTCTTCGCATACAAGGTCTGCGAACCACTTCACATTTCCTACGAAAGCTTGGGCGGTCTTTTCCGGGTTATTAAGATATCCGACCCCAACTCCACCACCTTCGAGCAAAAGTTCTCCGATAGCACCAATTGGCGCAAGAGCATGATGGTTGTTCCTCGAAACAATCCAACCTCGAGCTGACACAGCTCTACCTAAATTATTTGGCTTCGTGTGAGGCGTCATGATATTGGACGTTGCAACGCAAGCGCATTCAGTTGGTCCGTAGCCATTGCCAAGTGTGACCTTGTCAGCCCAAGTGACCAGATCTTGTTGTGACATGGCCTCTCCTACAAGAACTAGGGTTTCGAGCTTGGGGATTTGCGAGGGCGATATCGTACGGACGACTGATGGGGTGAGAGTTGCCCAGTTGACATTGAACTTATTGATAACCCCAACAAGATCATTCGTGCGGGAAGCCTGATCAGGCACGCACACTGTTCCACCCAGCATGAGTGTGCTAAAAATCTCGATCAAGCAAGCATCGAATGTGTATGAAGAAAACTGTAGAACTCTGGAGGTGTTGGAGATCTTCCAGCCTGGAGCGAACGCCGTAGAACTGGTGACAAAATGGGTGTGCTTTATGACAGCTCCTTTTGGTTTTCCAGTTGAGCCGGAGGTGAAGAACGCGTATGCTGGAGAGTCGCTATGAACTGTAGGAAGCTTTTGTACACGATCGACGGACGCTTCAGTTGACTGCCGGTCAACGATCAGAGTGCTGCATGGTATGGACTCGCAAAGTTCCTGATACTGTGGCGCACAAAGAAGAAAGTCGGCATCAAGGTCGGAGACAATCTCACGAAGGCGCAGCACAGGTGCTTCGAAGTCCAAGGGAACAAATACCGCTCCTGCTTTGAGTACAGCGAGGATGGCCACGATCGCCCATCCTGACTTATCGAAGCAGAGAGGAATGAACTGTTTCGGCTTTACTCTAAGACGAATCAATCGGTGTGCGAGCGCAGAAGATCGCTCGTCAAGTTCGCGATACGACATGACACCAGTATCCCAGGCGTCGATAGCAGATGCGGCAGGACGAAGCGCGGTTTGATCCTCTGCAATGACACTGTGAATGCATCGAGGGATGACTGGCACTGGCTTGCTGTTCCAAGAGCTGATTGTCTTGCGATCCGCAGGATTGATCAAGTCAAGGTCAGCCAGCGTTCGCGTAACGTTGTCGGCGCCGTTCAGTTGGGTGAGAATGAAGTCGAATTGCCGGACCATGCGCTGAGCAAGCCAGTTTTCGACGACGCGATCGTCGAACAAGGCTTCGACTTGTACACCAGTCGCATCGACCTTGCAATTGAAGACGAACGCATAGCTGAAGAAGTCGGTTCCAATGGTGTTGGCGCTTACCATGTGCCATAGCGGGCTCTCAGCGTCGAAATCATCGCCCGATTCGATGCCCAAGAAACTTTGGAAGTCGCAAGCTATTGCTGTTTCGGAACTGAGTTTGCTGATGTGTTGCAATCCTGCGAATTGATATGGGAGAGAGAGTGACGACTGCTTCTGAGTCTCCTTGAGGTAGTCGTGTACTGTCAAGGTACGGTTGAGCCGTAGTCTGACGGGTGCGGTTGTGATCGTAGGACCGATGATGGACTCAATACCAGGGACAGAAGCCTCACGGCCACTGTTGGTCTCACCCCAGATCACGTCATCTGAACCTGAGTAGGTTGCAAGAAGGATGCCCCATGCTGCGCGGATCATAGAAGGAATGGTGACCTCTAGGCTTGGATTGCGTGTGAGTTGCACAGTGTGCAGCAACTGGCCGTTGGCTTCTACACGGTGGTCTGGAGACGGTAGCTGAGGGAATTGTGCAGCTGCGACATTGTCGAGCTGCGAGAGCCAAAATGCATCAGACTGCTTCTGGTCGAGACTGGAGATATATTTCACGAAGCGCGAGTAGGGCACAGTGGCGGGAATGTTGTGAATCTCGCTACGATAATGGGCCTCGACTTTGCGAAACAAAGCTGTCCAGCTCCAACCGTCGTAGACGGCATGATGGGCAGTCCACACAAAGAACATTGAATCGGTGTTCTCCCCGACAAGCGTGAATGTTGTCAAGGACGCGCCGTTCTTGGCCGGAAGCTGCCTAGTAGTTTCATTGATATCTTGGATATCAGGGAGGGACTGCCACTCGACTCCTTCGCGAACTACTACCTGCAGGAAGCCATGCTCCTCGGAGTACACGATGCGAGTGCGCAGAGTTGCCTCGGTGGCAATGACAGCTTTCCAGGCCTCTTTGAAGTGCGAAAGGTTGATGTCGGCAGGCAAGCGGTAGATGGGCTGTACGACATATGTTCCTGGGTCCTTGTTGGTGAGCATGATGAGGCCTTCCTGGAGCTTGCTGCATGGGTAGATGTCTTCAATGGAGTCAGGAGAGACGCCACATTCAGATGCAGCCAACGCCACAATGGCTTGGCGGGAAGATGTAGGAAGCAATTCCAATGGTAGAGTGTCCGCTTCTGGCTTCGCAGCGTCATCTGACGAAAGCATGGTTGCGGAGGCAGCCATGTCAAGTAGCTTAGGTTGAGCGAAGACATTGGCGACGTTGAGCATGACTCCATCTTTTCTCGCCGCAGTGACGAGCTTCATAGCAGTGATCGAGTCACCACCAAGGCGGAAGAATGTGTCTTCTGCGCCCACTGCGCCCGCATCGAGCTTCAGCACCGACGCCCAGAGACGCGCCAACGTGACTTCAGCGTGTCCAGCAGGTGCGCGACCGCTTTTACCCGCTAGGCGGAAGGGAGTTAAGTGCGACTCAGGGAGAGCAGCTGCCAGTGCGCGTAGGACCTTCCGATCGAGTTTACCGGACGTCGTCATGGGCATGCGAGTGACCGGCATGAACATGGAAGGGACGTAGTAGACAGGAAGCGCGTTGGCGAGTGCGATCTCGACCTGCTTTGCCACTTCTCGTACCGGCTCGCTCATCTCGCTAATTGCAGCTGGACCGTCATCCTCTGCTAGGCACATGAACGCTACGAGCGCCTTGGTTTTATTGCTGTCGTTGAATTTGACTAGCTCAACCGCCGATTTGGCTCCGGAAGGGAGATTCAGCTTGAGGTGATGTTCGATCTCGCCTAGCTCTATACGTTGTCCGTGCAGCTACATGAAGTCAGTCAATGAACATTGGGTAACAAATGCAATCAGACACTTACTTTGACTTGGGAGTCCTTCCTACCCAGGTAGATCATGTCGCCATCAGAGGTGTACTGAACCAAATCACCAGTGCAGTAAAACCTTCGTCCTGTAGGGCCCATGACACGAGCCCACTCAGGATCCATGATGAAGGCCGCGTGTGTCTTCTCGGCGTCGTTCAGATAACCGCGGCTGAGGATGGGACCTTCGAGAATCAACTCTCCCTTGCACCCAATGGGCATCAAGCGATCACGATTTTCGGCATCAACCACCCATCCAATACAGCCGATTGCCTTGCCAATATTAGTGGCTTCGCCGCGACCGTCACTGAAGTCCTTGAAGGCCGAATTGATGGATGCTTCACTGGGCCCGTACATTCCAACAAGGTGGACATGCTGACTCCAGAGCTCTATCAGCGCTTTGGTGAGAGGCTCTGCACCAAGGCAGAGGCTTTTGATCGAAGGAACTTGTGCCGGCGTGAGAAGCGCCGCCACCGTCGGGGTGAGATCCATTTTATTCGCCTTCAACCTGGCAATTGCGCCAGGAAGATCATTTACGCGGTCAGCCTCGGAGGGTACGCATACACAGCCACCTCGCTGAAGAGTAGTAAACATCTCTTCTAGCGAGTTATCGAACGTATAGGAAGCGAACTGTAGCATGCGTGAGTCTCGATTGATGCCGAATTTGGAGCCGTGAGCTTCTGCACTGGTAGCTATTGCCGAGTGCTCGAGCACAACACCTTTAGGTCGCCCAGTGCTACCACTGGTGAAGATAACGAAGACAGGGTTGTGAGGCTTCACGCTTGGGCAAGCAGGGCCTACGACCGCGGGCAAACTTTCCAAAAGTGCAGCATCTACCACAATAATATTAGGCACGAGACCGTCGAACTTCTCTGCGCGCGAGGCAGTGGTTAGCACCACTTGAGCTGCAGCATCTTCTAGGCGTGTCTGTAGCGCTGGAGCAGGGTGCGCTGCGTCCAGTGGCACAGCAGCACCACCTGCTTTGAGAACAGAGAGCATAGCGATGATCGCGAAAGCACTCTTGTCGAAACAAGTGGGCACGAAAACCTCAGGACCAACCCCGAGCTGAACAAGATGATGTGATAGACGATCTGTAGCGGCTTTGAGCTGGCCGTATGTGTACTCGCCATCATGTGCGCATATTGCGGGTTCTTCTGGCTGGGATTCGGCCCATCGAGCGAATATATCGTGTACGCACTCGTCAACGGTTGGTGGCATGACGTTCCATTCCTGTAGCTGTTGCAAATGCCTTGAGCTAAGGTGATCCAAGGCTGAGATTCGCCGCTTGGCATTGAAGACAATGTTCTCGAGGGCCTTCGCAAATGTGTTGGCGACGTTTCTGGCCTGCACGGCGGTGAGGTGGTCGGTCCAGTAGTCGAGATCCACGGCCGCAGCATCATCTCCAACCTCGATGTTGACGCTGACTGGGTATCTATGCAACAAGTCAGTGGTGTTTCTCAGATAGCTTTTGGCAGTGGTTCGTCTTATGGAGTTAACTTACTCAGTGGGGTCGTAGATTGGGCGAACCTCCCTAAGATGGACGTCCTCTTTCTGGTAGCTTTGTTCCTGCGGAAGACGGCGATAAGAGAGCGCGGTGTTGAAGAGACTAGCACCGGAAAGCTCAAGCACATGCTGAACGTCAGGCAACGCTATGTGGCGATGTGGCAGGGCTTCCATATAGTCTCTTTGCACATCCTGTAGGATATCCAAGAGACAACGAGAGCCATCCGATAGGTTCACACGGCAGACGAGTGTATTAATCAGCGGACCCACGATACTCTCTACTCCATGGACTTCTTCCGCATCACGCGCGGAGGTGAGATAGCCGAAGGTCACATCATTACTTCCGATGTAGCAGCTGAGTGTCAGTGCCCATGCAGTGTGAAAGACGTTAGATATGGTGATGCCGTTGGTGTTGCAGAAATGCTGCAAATCGGCCAGACTGATACTGGTAAGATCGAGACGGATGGTGACGAGTTCCTTCGCCACAGTTTGACCTAGTCCGTCGTCAAGGATCGGGAAAGAGCAGACCTCACTGCCTCCAAGGTAGGATTTCCAGAACTCAAGACTAGACTCCTCGGGCTGTTTTGCAAGCCATGCAATGTATGCGCTGTATGGTGTGCCTTCGAGAAGGGAATGGCCCGCACATCCTTTCCTGAGTTCATCGACTAACAGACTCATGGAATGGCCGTCCATGATGGCATGGCTGATGTCCAGAGAACAGTAGATCCTCTGATCAGCTGTGGTACAGATGGTGAAACGGTGGTTTGGGCATCGGCCGTAGTTGTAGCTTACTGAGCGTTGTTCCTCGATCAGTCTGATAGCATCTGTCTCGTCCGATGCATCAAGATACACAATATTAGCGTCGATGTGCTTAAGGACAACCTGGTTATAAAGACCCTTTGCACCAACATTTTCGATGAAGACTGTGCGCAACGCTGGGTGTCGTTCGACTACTTGTTGCCAGGCATCAGCAACTACCTCGGGCGCGATCTTCTCATCCAAAGTCGTGACCTCGTGAAGAGTAGCCGCAGCGTAAAACCCGGCGTCTTTACTCTGCGACAATAGCAGCCCTTCTTGCATTCTTGAACAAGGATAGATGTCTTCTACGTCGGTGTCTAAGATATCCATGGCTGAGAAGCTGTCAATCATGGTCGAAAAGCTTTCATCTGTCAATGACAGTAGTGGAAAGTCGCTCAGGGTTGGCTTGGGGTCTAGAAGGGTAAGACCGCGGATCATGTTGGAAATGGTGTCCTGGCATTCCGAGACCCATCGTTGAATGAGCGGTTGATGGCTCATGTGTCGATTAAAGGTGAAGGCAACCTTGAGATGACCTTTGAAGACGAAGGCGGAGATTTCGAAGAGGCCCCACCTGCAGGTTTCATGGCCGAAGTCGGACGTGCCGCCAGCCTTGCCTGTCTCACCTGCCATGGTGCCTGATGGCTGAAGGAGAGCATCAGCCCTCTCAAGTTGCTGGGATATATGTCAGTACATGTTTTGCAGCAAACCTTCACGCAACATACCTGATACTGGCCGAGATAGTTAAACAAGATCTCCATGGGCCAATGTGTCTGAAAGTTGTCACGGCCATCCTCAGTAAGACATCGTCTAGCAAAATATGGTCGTCCGTTGCCAGGAATGCGGCGTTTGAAATCTTTGATCTTGCGAACAGTGTCTGTAGGATTTTTCGATGGTGACACAAGGATTGGGGATACTAGCCGGCTATTAGCGCATTCTGAATCGAGCATCACAGAGCGATCTGGATCGAGGAGGGAATTCCATATGAGAAGCAAAAAGTATACTTACGTGCTGTGAACCACCCAACTGTCCGAGTGATGTCAATTTCTGAGTCCCATGGTTCACGCCCATGTCCTTCGTTGAAGATAGCAGGGACAGGCCTGTCTGTAAAGACATGTGACCATGACTGAATTAGAGATGCAAGCAAGACTTCGACCGGCTCAGTCTTGTAAGCGGCGTGACAGTTAGTCAGGAAAGCGGAACTAAGCTCCTTATCCAGCTCAAAACTGGCATGACTAGCATTGCCGTACGTGTTATCTTGATGCTGGATGCCCCAATATGTAAAGTCCATGGGAGGAACGTCAACAGCAGGGAGGACTTCATCAAGTTCGAGAGACTCAGCATGATCACGCTGCAACTCGGCCCACTTCTGAAATGGAAGGGCAGGTGCAAGTAGCTGTCCACCTTTGAGGATCTCCTCAAGCTCTTCTAGCAGCAACCTCCACGTGACCAGATCAACCACTAGATGGTGACCGGTTAGGAATGCATACTGTTCTTCTCCAAAATCGAAGAAGTCAGCAGCGAACAACGGGCCAGTGACGTGGTCGAAGCATTGTTGCGAGTCCGCAATCTGAGTATCGATCTGAGCTTGTGATGATACTGCCAAATGACGAAAGCGATAAGAGCCGTCGATATCATCTAGGATTACAGTCAGCAGCGCACGGGCGATCTACATTCCCTGCAAGGATAGTATACAATGTCATGGAGGTCGGAAGATTGATGGGTATATGGTTATGCAGGCTGACTTACTTGTAAGACGTTGCTGCCATCCATGTTCAGGCGAGTGGGTGAACCTTGCTCGCAGCATAGAGTGGCGTGTCACGAGTTGTTCCACTGCCGATTGAAAATCGCCGGCGTCGGTCTTACGCGCCACTCGTAGATAAAAGGATTGGTTGAAGTGACCGTTCGTGTTTGGACGTTGGAAAAAGAGTGACTGAATGGGTGAGAGGTCGAAATCCTCGTCAAAGAATTCCTCGTGGTCGTAGGCTGAAGTTCCGACTTCTTTGACAGAGGTGGATAACTGTGTGATAGACTTGCTTCGCAAGACTTCTTGAACGCCAAGACTCATGCCTTCTTTGCGACATTGACCCACAACCTGCATAGCAGAGATGGAATCGCCTCCTATCGAAAGGAAGGACTGGTCGAGAGGAACATGGGGCAGGTTGAGGACATGAGCCCAGATGGACTGGAGGCTCTCCTCGACATTAGTGACGACCGTTGATGACATCTTGGGCCGTGTGTGGTTCCTAGCGGACAATGGGTGAGCAAATGGATATGGTGGTCAGTGACCAATGTGATGCTAGGTGAGGATATGGACCGTGTAAAAGATTCCTTTCACGTTAATCGCGCGAGGCAACATCGTCGCCTGCACGAAAGGCGTGCATGGAAAACGGAGATGGCACTTACCAAGATCGAATATGTTGTATTTGACGGAACTGCTTATTAGCAACAATGTCGTCAAGTTCACGTACCGTAGTTTACAACTCTTGCTGCGTACGAGAAAGGTGAAAGATGCACAATGGCTTTTGTTCAGCTAGTAGAACAGAGTCGATATGGCAATCAGAAGATTTTAGAATTGGTCACACGGGAATGTCTGAGATGGAAGAGATGGGAAGGCTCAGTACGGGCCTCAAGTTCAGCTCCTGCATATACCGCCTATGATCGTCCCTCGGAGGCAGAAAGATACTCCTGAATCACTAGCCACCCAATACGGGGGTATCGGCATTGCAGTGAAATCATTACAGGTTATTCTTGTCTGTTTCAAGCCACATGGTCTGGAGAAGCATGGTATGCGAAGGCGAACAGCCGGTGCCTGCAGACAGGCATTGTCTTCGAGAACGAAGAAGCACTAGTCGCAAAGACCCGCAGACGACCAAGGACATATAGGGGATGTTTGTGATTGGCGACGCCTGCGCTGTACAGAAGGAGACGACCTGGACAAGGAGCGGTGGACACCATGGCGAGTTTGTTTTCCAGTTCCACCAACAGTAGTGCGGACCAGATTGCTCGAAACCAAAAAGCAACGGGCGGCTCCTTGGTCGCCGAGAGCCACGATCGCCATGTGCATTCGTCGCGTGTCCGCGAGGCTGGCTGTGACGCGGTAGAATTTCGGTGCGCTGTGAAGTCTCTGCAGAGGCAGCGGCAGGTTAATGGGTACATATTGTGGCTTGCGTGCAAACACGAGAATTCCTGACGCAGTGGAGGGTATGGATGCAAGATGAGGTTTGACGCGTCGGTGGCTCGCTGACTCCTGCTGGTTGGGGCAAAACGCGCGAAAACAGAAATGCGGGGCGCTTATGTAACTACATGGCGCTTGACTGAATTTGGTCTTGACCTAGCCGAAGCGTAATCGGATGCTCTTCTCCGCCTTGGAGCTGCCACGGGGCAGGCTTCGCTCCCCGTCTCTCATGCCTTTCTCCATTCGCCCTGCGCCTTCGCCGACGAGCTTAGAGCCAGGTGTCACTTGTCACCTGCCTAAGAGGAATTTGTTTCGCGCTGTCACTACCGCCAGTCAATCGTGATCAGCCTGAGCTTCCGGAACCTCTAATGCCTCCACGGCACGATGCCGGCACTACGAGTAACGCTCTGCTGTCAGTCGCCCTACGGTATTCCTTATACGCCACGTCCCACCTCTTCATTTCCCATGGATGAATATGTGGAACGGCTGCTCATCCCGGTGCCTTCACGCTCCAAGAAGTCTCGCGTGCCGCTCCCGCGGAGCACGCTCCAAAGACAAGACTGTAATGGTGGGGTGGGTGCACCTCCAAGGCCCGCAACACTTTTCAAAGTCCCGCTCGACTTGATTAGATCCGGTCCAGGTAGTCGAGTGTGGATGACGACTATCCGGCTCCTGCCGCTAAGTACCAGGCCACCGGTATCTCCACCCCAGGGGCAACTCTTCCTCATGCACCACTTCCCTGCGACTGATCATGCCACTGCTGGACTGTCAGCACACGTCGCACCATCTGTCGAGATGTGCTCGTAAGCTGTTGAACACGAGCACGTTTCCAAGCGCTCCTGAATTACAAATCAACGAGCCACTTGTCGCTATTCACTTTACGGTCTTGTTCAAATCACTCTACTTCAGCGGGTATGAAGCGGTCCGATTACAACACTGTATCGCAGTATTCAGCTGCCATTGTGGGGTCGACAGCGCTTCCAAGAGATGAGGAGCATGCATGCAGGTCCCCTAGGAAGTCTGATATTATCCGTACGGGCTACGCAAGCCATGACCTTTACCTGAGGACAAACTTGCAGCTTCCAGCCAGTAGTGGAATCTTCCGGCGCGTTTTGGAGCGTTCTTCGCCAGCTACACCAGTCGATCAGCACGTATGCGATCGGCGGTTGCATCGATCGTCAACGAACCAGCATTGAAGCTACCAACCGGTATTAGAACCTATACGGGCATTTCCATGAACTTCCAATACCGACAGAGATCTCCCTCTTCCCAATTTAGTATCCTTGCACTATACGGAATCAGGTTCCAGTCACCCATTCTTCAAGCTCGATGGTTTTGGCTTACTGGCTCACAGCCTTGAGGACCGATGTGGCACTGCATCGGCGTGCGGTTTCGTAGACTTCAAAAATTCGTCGTACTAAGTCAAAATGTCTCCGGCATTCGGTCAATGACGAACCACTCTCAGCTTACGGGAAGTCGATCCTTGATAAGTTCACCACCACTGGTACTGGTCGGATGCTTTCCTTCTCGGCTTGAAAATCCTTGTATTTGCGAGCGACAATTGTCGTGGCCATTTGATTGACTGCCGCGTCATCAGGCTATTTGCCAGCAGCCACCGTTCTTGGTTGCGCGGCTATGGAATTATCATCATGATGCTGTCACTTCGTTTTGGTTGTTCGCTGTTACTCTGTGCATGAGAGCGAAATCCTGATTTCGTTTAGCCAACCGCATGGATGCATTTCCATTCCCATGATGATTCCTCTGTTATGACGTGGGGTACATGTGATACCCATAGCTGGATACGTGTGGCAAGCAGCTCCGCCTTGGACACCCATTTTTCCACATGGCCAGCGGGCGAGAACCGGCAGAGCAAGAGGAGTGTTTCTCCACATCGTTTCCTTAGCCTAAGCGTCAAGTGAATCTCGTTCAGCAGCCACATTCCCATGTGTCTTAATACAGGTCAATTTCCAAGTCTTAGTGACTAAAAGGCCGATGAGCAGCCGCAAGCGATGTCGGCATCTTTTCCGCGACTTTTGCATGTCCAATTTTGGCACTCAACGCAACTGAAACAGGAAAGAACACCGCCTTCAAACGCTTTCGATACCCCTAGTCAAGAGCACGGTATAACAACAGCAATGTTGCAGCGTTAGATGCTACAGCGTTTTGGGTGTGATCGGCGGCATGACAGCGCCGATCTCCAAGCCACAAGCCACGAAGTCGCCGCTAATACCGTGCCAAGCCAACAGCCTGGTTGCGCAATTAAGGTTGAGGATCCCTTCCCGTGCCGCCGTCAACACTGTTAGTTAGTACGCAGGGTGATGAGAGTGGCGCCGGTCGTTGCTGCTAATCCGGGTGGAACACACGGCTAAACCCAATACGAACAGCATGTGATACCCCTGTCAGTTCGAACATTTTCCAACACGACACATGCGACCTGCATGCACTGAGTTTGCACCGGCTTACGGAAAGCCTAGTCACCCACCCTACTACCGGTTTACGCTCAGCCATCACTTCCCGGGTCTGCAAGTCGCCCGCTTTAGTGCAATATGACGACGATCAAGGCAAGCTAAGTCAATATCGTGCTGTAAAGATGGCAATTGAGAGACGTGTTCAGCTCGTAGTGAGTATGTAGGGCGCTATTAGCAGCCTCCTGACGCAAGAAAAGGTGTGTGTCTGTGTTACAATGCCGAGCATTGGTCTCTTAGGGATCTTCCAAACGTACTACCGCGTTGTTCAAGCCTTCACCGCGGGTAGTCAGAAACATCAACGCAGGGAAATAAAGAAAGCATTATTCTGCCACCGGTCCACATGATCAGCGTAATCATTAGAACCATTCGGGCAATGCTGGGGTTCTCATAATATCAGCTCCCCTATCCCATTTCTACTTCCTTTAATGCTCCATCTACATTGCTAAAACTTTCGACGGGTTGTCTCTCGTTAGCAATGGCAGCAAGTATGGATCGCGATTGTGCCTTGACCGACGACACTTTTGGTCCTTATGCTGGCGCCGACTGCCGTGGCGGCTTCGATTTCACTCTCCTCTTTTCCGAGGTGTTTCTCTCGATCATACCTCTATCGTTGTTGATAGCTATCGTACCTTACAGAATCTATCGGCTCTGGTGGAAGGAGACGAAGGTCTCAAGGTCAACCTTGCTATACACTAAACTGGTATGTAATTTAACTCGAGCTGACTCTGATGTATCTAACTGTTGTACCACAGATAGCATGGGCCGTCTTCGCTGGTTTCGAGCTCGCCCTCCTCATCATTTGGTCGAATCGACAAACGCGTAAGAATCGTGCTGAACTCCCATCAGCTGTCATCAGCTTCATTGGCGCAGTCTTGTTAGGACTACTCTCCTTCGTAGAGCATATGCGTTCGATCCGTCCGTCGTTTCTGCTCACAGTATACCTACTCTTCACTAGCGTGTTCGATATCGAACGCTCTCGGAGCTATGCACTCACTCCCGAACTGGACCTCGTTGCCACAGTCTTCGCACCGCGCCTGGGTCTGAAAGTGTTCCTCGCTATAGTTGAAGCCAGAGACAAACGACGACTCCTCCTCCCGGATTTCGCCAACAGTCCACCGGAGGCTACCAGTGGTGTATACAAGCGGGCAACGTTCTGGTGGCTGAATTCACTGTTCAAGAAAGGGTTCTCCACCTCATTGACCGTCGAAGACCTCTTCCAGTTGGATAAACACTTGCAAGCAGACTATCTACATCACCTGATCGGGTCGTCGTGGGCCAGAGGTAGGTCATCATTACATTGTTTCGTTATCCACCATCCACTAACCTGGAAAACCATAGTCGCGAATGTTGGTACTCACTCTCTCTTCGGAACGACGTTGAGAAGATTGAAATGGCCTATACTGTCAGTCGTTCCACCAAGACTGTGCTTGATTGCCTTCAACTTTTGCCAGCCATTCCTAATCGAGAGAGCGGTCAATTTCTCTCAGGAAGCTGAGACGGCGCAAACGGCCAACATCGGTTATGGATTAATTGGCGCGTACATTATCGTGTTCATCGGCATTGCAGTCAGTAGACGGTAGAAATCGTACATCGCAGACGGCTTCACTAACATGCCTCGCAGGTGTCTACTGGCCAATATATGCATCTCACGTTCCGATTCATCACGCAGATGCGAGGCGGTCTCATCTCGATGCTCTACAACAAAGCAACGGAAGTCACGTTGACAGACATGGATCCAGCGTCCTCAATCACGCTCATGAGCGCTGATGTCGAGCGTATCGTCACTGGCATGGAGACTGGTCACGAGATATGGTCCAACACACTCGAGATCTCCCTTGCAATGTACCTCCTGGAGCGACAACTCGGTGCCGCATGTGCCATCCCTATCGGCGTTGCCGTTGGTAAGTTCCCCCACGACACCAGGCCTTATCCGCACGCTCACCACCATGTCAGTCTCCCTACTCGGCTCCATAGCAGCCACCAGCCTGGTAATGCAACGTCAAGCACTGTGGCTCGAAGGCATAGAGCGACGTATTGCAGCCACCAATTCCATGCTCAACTCGATGAAGGGTGTCAAGATGGGCGGTCTTACCGAAGTTCTACGAGATGATCTACAGAAACTCCGGGTCGATGAACTCAACATTTCGAAGAAGTTCAGGAAGCTCCTAATCTGGACCATGGGATTTTGTACGTCGTCGCCAGTTTGCAGTTTACGTCCACACACTGACCACTTGTAGCCTACATTTCGCCTATTGTATCACCCATTCTGGCATTTGCAGTCTTTTCTATCATCGCCCAAAATAGCGAAGGCAGAGAGACACTCGACACTGCAACTGTTTTCACTTCCCTCTCGCTATTCACGCTACTCACAGAACCGCTCGGGTCACTCATCATGGCTCTTTCTTCACTGATGGGAGGCGTCGGATCGTTCAAGAGAATTCAAGACTTTCTTACTTTGGCTCCACGTGACGAGCAACGTAAATTTCCTTCTATCTACGGCGGCAGCACAGCTTGCCTTTCAGTGGCAGGCACTGAGTCCGAGAAAGGGTCAGAGACTTCTCAAAAGAGCCGATGCTCCATCGAGTTGAAGGAGTACAGTGCGCTTGGCTCTCAAGCTATCATGATCGAGAACGGGTACTTCGGATGGGATCCGGTTAGGCAGCCATCTGGTACCTTGCAGGAGATCGATATGATCGTTCCACGTGGGAAGATTACCATGGTCGTGGGACCGGTAGGGTGTGGAAAGTCGACCCTGCTTAAAGCAGTGTTGGGAGAGTTGCCTGTCATGGGTGGCTCCTTGCAGGTGTCTTCCCTGCGGATCGCCTTGTGCGACCAATCTGCATGGCACGTCAACGGCACAGTGCAGGAGAGCATCATCGGCGCTGCCGTGTTCGATCATCGGTGGTACTCGTCCGTTGTTCGGAGCTGCGCATTAGACGAAGATCTACGGCAATTACCCCAGGGTGACCAAACCCAGATTGGTAGCAAGGGTATCGCATTGAGTGGAGGTCAGAGCCAGCGAATCGTGAGACACCCTAACATGCACCCCTCTTTCTACTCTTGAACATTACTGACAACCACCGCTTTACAGGCACTTGCGAGAGCAGTCTACGCTCAGAAGGACATCATCATCCTTGATGACTGCCTTAGTGGCCTTGATGGCCAGACCGAGAACCACATATGGCACAGTCTCTTTGGGCTCGAGGGGCTACTCAAGCGGTGCAGAACCACAGTTCTTGTTGCATCATCATCAGGTATGTGGTGTTGAGCCATTCCTCCCCCTCGTGAATCGCGCTAACATCACTCTCCTACTTCAGCAAAACGTCTGCCTTACTGTGATCACATTATTTCTCTCGACAAGAACGGCAGAATCTCGGAACAAGGTCCTTTTGACAAGCTGACCAAGTCGGGAGGCTACGTGTCAGGCTTTGATCTTGCACGTCCCGACTGGGACTACCGCGCAGAGAAGCACATCTACGAGGAGCCGCCCAGATACACGGAGCGTCAAGCCACCGACAACCAGCTCACCGAGGATGACGTTCAAGCGGAAGCAAATCGCCGCACTGGCGATACAGCCATCTATCTCTATTACATCGGCACTGTGGGCTGGATTCCAACAATCATCTTCATCATTTCTATCATCATCTTTATCTTCGGTATCTCCTTCCCTACGGTTTGGGTAAAGATGTGGGCGGAATACAATCAAGAAAACCCCAACGAGCGACTCGGATATTGGCTAGGCATCTACGCTATGCTTGGTGGGCTGGCACTCGTCTTCTTGATGGTCAGTTGCTGGCAGCTGATCATCACCATGGTCCCTCGCTCCGGTGTCGCATTCCACAAGAGGCTTTTGGATACAGTCCTTGGGTCGCCGATGTCTTTCTTCTCTACTACTGATACCGGAGTCACACTCAACCGCTTCAGTCAAGATCTCATGTTGATCGACATGGAGCTGCCCGTAGCCGCGCTAAACACTTTCGCTACGTTCGTTCTCGTCATCGGACAGATGATTCTCATCGCCGTTGCTGCGCCTTACGCAGCCATTTCCTTTCCTGTCGTTATAGTCGCAGTCTTTTTCGTCCAAAAGTTCTATCTGCGTACATCGCGCCAGCTTCGTTTCCTTGATTTAGAAGCCAAGTCACCGCTCTACACCCAGTTCAACGAGATACTGGAAGGCTTAGCCACCATCCGTGCATTCGGCTGGCAGAGTTTTGTTGAAGACAAAGCGAAGGCGCTACTCGATCGTAGCCAGCGACCCTTCTACCTGCTCTTCGCGGCCCAGCGTTGGTTGACGCTCGTGTTGGACTTGGTCGTTGCAGCTGTTGCAACGATCCTCATAGTTTTGGTGGTTACCCTGAAGGGGAGGCTAAGTGCCGGATACGTTGGCGTAGCACTACTGAACGTAGTACTCTTCTCCCAAAGCATCAAATTGCTTATCTCTTTCTGGACCCAGCTCGAAACGCACATCGGAAGTGTAGCCAGGATCAAGAACTTCACCGCCGATGCCGTCGCAGAGGACCATGAAGGCGAGGACCACATTCCGCCATCCAGCTGGCCAAGTGCGGGCAAGATTGAGTTCAGAGGCATCGAAGCATGCCATCGTCCTGGTGAGCCTGTCATCTCAAACTTCTCTCTCTCCATCAGGCCTGGTGAGAAGGTCGCCATCGTCGGTCGCACGGGTAGCGGAAAATCTTCGCTCGTTCTTTCTCTCTTCCGTATGGTCGAGCTCTCCTCCGGCAGCATCACCATCGACTCTATTCCGCTCACACGTATTCCTCGCCAAACCATTCGCAGTCGGCTTATTGGCCTGCCTCAAGACGCGTACTTACTTCCCGGTTCGATTCGCCTCAACGCCGATCCCTTGAAAGAGTCAGATGACAAGGCTATCATGGCTGCGCTAAAGGACGTGCAACTATGGGACATCATTGTAGCAAAGGGCGATGCCGATAAGTACCCGCATCCGCTAGACGTCGAGGTCGAAGACCTTCACTTCTCGCATGGACAGCGCCAGCTCTTCTGTTTAGCACGCGCAATGCTCAAGAAGGACAAGTCGACCGTTGTCGTCATGGACGAAGCCACCAGCAAGTAAGTCCATCGCTCGCTTTCTATCAAGTCATCAATTGCTAATAGCCACTCTTCAGTCTTGACGCTGCAAGCGACGCCCATGTCCAACGCCTCCTTCGTTCCAGGTTCCCACACCATACCCTTATCACCGTCGCCCACAAACTCGACACAATACTTGACTTTGACAAGGTCGTCGTCATGAACAAGGGTCAACTCGTGGAGTACGGTTGTCCTCATAAGCTGTTAGACCGCCAGGGAAGCTGGTTCAAGAGTCTATATGAAGATGTTGCGAGAAGAGGTGATGTAGACGAGGATGAGGATGAGATCACTATCATCTAGTGCAGGTCATCTGACAGGGTAAATACGGGGTAGTAATGGAGGGTCGTATCATTCTTTAAAAAGTATACCTTACGGTATACGCATTCTCCTTGTGTCAATCTATAAGTAGTCAAAAGGCGTCGAGGTATATCAGAGCGTATTCATCTCTTTCCATATCAATATTTTAGATAGAGCTAGAAAGCCTTCAATATATAACTATAAGTTCATCTCCTTCCTCGAATTGCAGTATGTTACAATCCGCATCTCTCCAACTTCTCAAGCTGCAAGTGAAAGCTCCACTACTATCTCCCGGCCTTGCTCCCTGAAGCCTTGCACCAACCAGTTCCTGAGGTTGGTAAGGACAACCTCAAGATTGCCTTCCACAACGAAAGCAGTGACCATTTCGCTCTTGATGTAGACCAGACGGATGTACTCCAGAGCACTGCTTCTGAAAATCAATGCCATACCATATCGGCCGGTGATCTCAGAAACTGATCTCACTCTCCTCTCTTTGGCCTGATCGGGATCAGTGCGCTCCAGCTCAAAAAGCTGCCTCTCACCCCACTTCGAGTCCGTCATCATGGAAGTGTGGAGGGTGAGATGCATCTCCCTGAGTGAAGGCAGATTCGAAGCGAGTACCATGAAGGGGTTTGATCTGCGATTGTCGGAGATACCAGAGAACCAGTGGAAGCCACTTATGTCGATCTTGAGGATGCTGTTGACGAGGCTCGGAAGAGCTATGAGCATGGCCCCAATGAAGAAGACGTCCGTGGTCGAGGCGACAGTGAACGAGAGTAGACGAATATAGGGGAGGACGGTACTGTTCCATTCATCCTCCTTGACGGCGTTTATAGTAATACTCTTGAGAAATTGAGGTCGACTAGGGTTGGCTTGAGGAGTGCTACTCTCAACAGCAATATCGATGGTAAAAGGGCCTGTGAGGGTCAAATTGTTAGCATAGGTGATTGGTATCGAAGAGTGAAAGTGAAAAAGACATGCCATCGCAGAGGATGTTCCAAACGGCGATATTGGCACCAGCAGGTGCAGGAGGAGGTACAAGTTGAGCGACAAAGCTATCCGCATCGGCATTGAGAGGCGCTAAACTAGAGTGTTAGTGTAAATTGTATTATATCAGAGGAAGTGTAAGCTTACCGCAATGACCATCTAATGCCACACCCTGGAGGTTGCCAGTGAAGTCGGTGTTTTTGGAGTTGGCCATTTCAATGGTATGTGTATTTTAAGGGTATCTGTATAGGTAAAAAGGGAGTAAGGATTATAATGTAAAGTGTGTCTGGCTATACTATCGTGGACTACGGAAAAAGAACTCAGGTCTGGTAGCAGAAAAGATTCTTATATACATTCCCAGTGAGAATAGACAAACTCACGCTTACCTAGTGTCTTGTACAGGAGCGTTTGCCTGATGTGAAGGAGAGATCGATGACTTTGCCATTGCGTACAAATCGCCCAAGCGTTACAATGAGTATATCGCCGGAAGGAGACATCAGGGGCTACGGGCGTGTGGCAAAAGTCTCTCATTGCCGTTTGTACTTCCACGCACGTCTGCTCAGCGGACTACACTAGATCCGCTGTCGACATGGAAGCGGTGCGGCAGCGGATGAGTTGATACACGCTATCCTGCGAGTCTCGGCCCAGGCTTCATCTGATACGACTTGGAGGACTGCAACCACGAAGTATTCCGCATCACCACCAGCTGGATCAGCTTAAGCATTATGAGACGGCCTGGCCTGGAAATTGATGAAGACAACAGAAGAGAGGCTAAAATGCTACGCAGCCGTCAACTCCAGAGTGCGCGACTTACCATAAGCCTCGCGATGGCTGACGACTCAAAAACATAATTATGTATCGAGCCAACATCTGCCACGCTCTAGATGTACATTGAGGGCCCCGTCCGGAATATCAATGTGTTGTGTTGTATGCGGAGCACTGGATGCGGGGCGGAATCTGACAGGTTAAACTTGGCTGCTGACGTAACCTCTTGCGGTATCTTGGAGCCTTGGACGCGGCCCTCGACACTCGGCGTTCGAAGGATGAACACGACGCCCCGGAGTAATCACGGAGTCGTTTCACAGTCCCAGCGTTGTCGCATGTGACGAGGCTTGCCTTCATCACCTTCCATAACCTCACGATGATATCTAGCTAACGGTACCTATTGATTCTTTGCAGCTTGCTTACTGCCCAGGTGCATCCCCTTGTCCTAGCTGTCGCGTTACTCTGTCGCATCACTCGGGCCCGTTGGCATACGCGTCAGCAATATATTCGCTCTTCCTCGCAAACTTCGCAGTACATCTACATGCCAACGTCATGGCATTGCCGTTAAACCTACCGCGAGAATCAATTGAAGAAGACGACGAAGCGCTCTTGTCTCCAACAGAGTCGGCCTACCACGCACTGCCCAAAGCAACGAAAAAGCCATGGTTGCTACTTGTCGTCCTAATCTTCATCATGATCGCCTTGATCGATGTTGGTGCCTACCTCGCCGAAGCGCCCATGACGCGCCTTTACGAGGCGAACCTCTGTCTTAAATACTACCGTGAACAAGACCCTTCGGTGGTACCTGACGATGAAACTATACCGGAGCAGCTGTGCAAGGTGGACGTGGTGCAGCAGCAACTAGCGAGCATATTTGGCTGGCAGGAAATGTTTAGCGCGCTACCAGGCATTCTTCTAGCGGTACCATACGGAACTTGGGCGGATAAGGTAGGTAGGAAGTGGATATTCATAGCGAGCTTGGTCGGAATAGAGCTCGGCTTTGTCTGGGTGCTGCTGATATGTAAGAGGACAGACAACAAGATATAGGCACCATGCTAACATACAGCTAGGTCACTTCAGGTTCCTCCCTCTACAGTTGACGTGGCTTTCAAGCGCCTTCACAGTAATAGGTGGCGGCCCAATCGTAGCCATGGCGATCGGCCTGACCATGATCTCCGACATTGCGCCCCCAGAACAGCGTACAACAATTTTTCTGTACCTAACAGCCTGCGTCCTTGTCGCGGAAATGGTGGCACCCATAATGGCAGCGAGACTCATGGAGAGCGGAAACTGGTTGCCTCTACTGCTGTCACTGGCAATACAGATTGTGGGTGTCATCGTGGCATTGTTCATTCCGGAGACGTTGCATCTGCGTGACCTGCCCGAACCCAAAGACAGCGACAACGAGGTTTTTGAGCTACAACCCACAACCAGCGACTTTTCAGTGCGAGCACAATTACGCAACTTCCAGGCTGCAGTACGTTTCCTAAAGAGCGATTGGACATTAGCAATGGTCGTCTTCACTTTTCTGGCCAACAGACTGGGCAGACAGTGCATTTCACTCCTGGTTCGCTACGCATCGAAACGTTATAGTTGGGAGATAAAAAATGCTTCCTACTTACTATCTTTTCGCGCAGCTACCAATCTTGTGGCCGTCACTATCTTGATTCCTCTAGTCAATTTTGTTCTTTTGAGGAAGCTGCGGTTTCCTGCGCACTGGGCGGACCTGTGGATTGCACGGGGATCTATAGTCCTTACCACCATCGCCTTCTTCGTGATGGGTGTCGCAGCGCATCCCTCTCTCCTGATCATTGGGCTCCTTCTTTACAACATGGGGACCGGTTATAACGCTGCTATGCGATCTGTCTCCATACATGTCGTTGGCGGCCAGTCGAGTCCCGATATCGGCAAACTGATGAGCACCATCGCCATGGCGGAGAGTATTGGCGCAATGGTCGCTGGGCCACTACTGAACGAGTTGCTTCAACTTGGCATAGGCTTTGGTGGCGCCTGGCTGGGTTTGCCCTTCTTGAGTTCTGTCATAGTGTTCGCGTTCATGACTGTTGTGACATGGATCATTCATGTGGGAGACAAGGAGCTCGCTTATTTGGAAGTGCGTACCGAGGATGAGGAAGAGAGACGGATAAGTGCGCTCGAAGGCGAGGAGCTTATCAGACATAGGGATGTATTTTAGTTGTTACGATCCAGACTGTAATTCTACTGTACAATTGGGCGGATCCACCTTTCGTGTCAGCAATGTGCGCAAAAAGGCGTTTTCGAATCATTCCAATTAAGCACGCAGGCATTCTTTGTAGAAAAAACAGCGTGTAGAGCAGGAAACCGCATCTCAAAGAATAGCGGTTGTATCTTGCCACACGAAGCCTCATGTAACTACTTCTTTCAGGTTAGGAAGCGGGCACGTAGAACACTGCGACTGCCACTAGAATGTGTGGCTGCTATCTCCTTCTCACATGTTCAGACAGACCACTCCCCATACAATACTGTTGGCTGTGTCTCATTACTGCTGTTTCTGCTACATGCCGTCAACAAGTCTTTAACACTGCTTCGCTAAGTTGGCCGCACCCTCTGACCGCTCTACTCCAACAGACCATAGTTTTATCTCACCATTGCGATGCTTGCTCGTGCGAATAGCGATGCAGGCACCCGTCTCCGCCGGTCCAAGTCCGCATCTACAGCTCACAAACGTCCCAATTCCATCACCGAACCGCTGGATCTGGATACGATCAAGCAGCAGGCTCTAGCTGCGGCCACCACTGCCTTTGCTCGAGCACAGGCGCAAGATGCGGCAGACCGTACCGCAAAACGCAGCTCTGAGGTAGCAAGGTCCAAGAGCAATGTCAGCCGCAAGTCTCTCACGTCCCAAGGCAGCTACTTTCCACCGCGTGGTTCGAGCTTCAGATCTCTGCAGCGCTCAAACGCCGAGCAGATCAGAAGTACCAACCGCCTGTCCCAGTCCTCGACAGAGAGTATGGAACAGAAAACAGAGCAATTCCCACCTTTGTATCCAACTCCCAGCGTTCATGGGTCGCTTTCTGTGCCACGTCATCTATCGACGCAGCCTTCTATCACACTTAGTGAGAATACTAGACCCAATTCCCAACTAAAGTCATATCGACAGAACACTTCGTCCTCGATTACCTCACAACGGATACGGAAAGCACGTTCCATGTACTACGCAAGCAGTGTTCAGACCGGATCACCAATCGCTCGACCACCGTCTAAATATCTTACAACACCATCCCCGGGTAACATAGGTCCAGCGTTGGAACCCTCGTCTCTTCCTTTGCCATCCCGAACACTTCGGCCATCACCACTGGCGGGCCCACGCATGCCTGTTACAATTGGGCCCGACACCACACTTGACAAAGTACGAGATGAATATCTGCAAGGCTTCCAACAAAAGGCATTGAAGCACAAGCCATCTATGTTTCTGGCGCCATTCAAGAAAAGACAGGAGAAAAGGAAGGACAAGGGCAAACGTGTCGTATCGGAAGCACATTCCTTCCCCACGAGTGACCGGCAAACACCCGACGAGTCGACGATGGACCCTGCTATTATCGCATTCATGCCAGCCCAAGAACTCAAGGAGAACCGATCATTCTCTGGTTCTCTCAAAAGTAAGATCAAGAAAGTTTTCCGGCGTACATCGGGCAAGTCAACCAACCTTCCTGTTCAGCAGATCGATGCCAGCCGCGACTACTTTCATACTGCATACTATAGTCCACCGTCCGCCAAGGATACATTGGGTATACCAGTTCCCAATGAGGAAACGTTGCAGCACATTCGTGCCCGAACGCCATCACTCGAGGGGACCTACCCTATCTTTCTACGATCTGGGTCTAGAACTGATAGTACTGGAAGCGGACGGAGCAATCGTAGTCTTCATAGTGAAGCGAACGCTACAAACGTGTCAGCATCCCGAGCTACAAGCTGGGGAACATCCACTACAAGCGATACGTTGACGCAACGGGCCATGAAGCGCATGACTGTTATACACGAGTCCAAGGATAGCATTGGAAGCGAAGCAGATCGTGTTGCTTCTGTGTCTGCCTCGAGAAAGAAGTCACTGCCTCTCCCACCACTCGCCTCTTTCCGTGACCCAATGCCCATGGAGATCCTTACCGAAGAGTCACTAACGCCTGTCGATCCCAAACGCATCTTTTCTGCGCTCATGAAAGAGATTGGGTCGTCAAGATCACAATCGCCTCCAAGCCCTGATAAACGAACACCTGGCGCAGAGAGCGATGTATTCGAATCTAGCACGACGAAGCTATTTTCTCACTCACAGGAGTTGTGTTCCAACAGCAGCCACAATCTTCGAAGCAGTATCGACCTGGGCCATCGACCACCATCACGGAGACCTGCCACATCCCAGAGTGCGCAGAGCAAGACTAGCACAATCAGATCCTTTGGCAGGGCGATTAAGTCAACCATTCGCACCGTCACACCCATTGGGCAGCATTCGACGCCCGCTCCAGACGCCAAAAATCGCGTGCACAGTGCCAAAGGGGAGCAGCAACGAAATGGTTGGGTGCATTCGTCAGCCACTACTCCAGAATCCGACGATAACCAGAACGAAAGTGATGGTGATGAACGCAATTGTGCTGTTCAAGTGTTTACGCCATCTCCCTCACAGATTGAGAAGCGCGTAGAAAAGGCGGAAGAACGTTGGAAAACGCCTCTCGAAGCAGCCGAGCACCTCCACTTTCCGCGCGAAACAGACAGGACTTACGAGTCTACAACTTTTGCTCGGCGGACTCAAAAACAGCTCAAATCCTCTGTTCAGCATGATGTGAAAGCCGAATCAGGGCCTAGTGTTGTTGGCCACAATATGAGTAGGTTGCCCATATCTCCCGAAGCCTCCACGTCACCAGCTTCCCGCATTGCCATGACGCCAATGTCTCCCAGCATCTATTCACGAGATACGGACGGTGTCAGCATCCTTCCAAACGATAGCATCATATCTTTCGGAGGACACAGTGAGCTTGATCAATCCCACAACGGTGGCTCAGCAGTCATCTCAACTAGTCAGTCTGTTAGAAGCTATGTAGTGGGAACACCTTCCCCTCAACGTCGTGGGTCAACGCGTACGAGTCGGGATTGGAGGGCTTGGTTTTCGCATGAGATCTCGAGCATGGAGCTTAGCAGCCAAGAAGATCTGAGGATTCATGATCAGTACACTAAGCCATCTAAAAAGGTGAGATCGATTTCAATCCGCACGTCCCACACCGAACACGAAGATACGACAGTGGTCCTTCGAGGATCTCTCAATGTAACAACACCACGACCAGACGCCGAGCACTCAGCGAAGACGATTGACCTACATATTCATGGTCGCTTGGATAGACCAGCGTCGAAGCATGGAGAAAACCACGGCGTCAAAGCAGCCAATTCACCCACTGAAAAGTCCCCGTCCCCTTTTGACACTCATAACAGCAGCACTCGCAGCTACACTCCAGTAGGCCAGATATTTGACACGACAGGGCACCAAAAACCAACTCTCCATGAATTGACGTCGCTTTCTGATAAGAACCGTCCGCTCTCAAGACTCAAAAGTCAGGCATCCATGCCACTCTCTGCGTTTAAGACACCCAAGTCGCCTTCAATGAACGACCGGTTTCCTTTTCTTGATACTGGTCGACACTCGAGCAGCAACAGCCTATCTTCCCGGCATTCCAAATCGCCTACTGTTATGCATGTTCCAATAAGGTCTCAACCCTCGCCCAAGTTGACGCCTGGTTCCAAAGCCACCACTAATGTGTCCACCCCAGCCACAAATGAAACCTCACAGCGTGTACCAAACACTACACTGAGGGGGACCGATGCACAGGCCAAAAGGAAGGAGAACGCTACTCCCCCGTCAATACGCAGTCAAAAGAATCCCACAGTCTCACCGTTGGGCTTGTCTACGCGACCGAACTCGCAAAAGCTGCTGTGCTCGTCGACTACCCCACGCCACTCGCCTGGCATCAGCCAGCACCACACACCCGAGGGAAACGAAGTAAAGCAAAACCCCAGCCCAGCAGCAATACCTTTCCGTCCCCGTATTCGTGCAACCCTCCGCCCGATGTCTCCTGAGAAACTCGCCCGCAGATCCCGAAGTGCATTCGACCTCCGCGGCGCCCACAACATGGGCCGACCTATCGTCATTGATCTAGCTAAAGTCTCTCCACTTCCTAATTCAGACCCACGCCATCCAACGCTGCATCTTACGACCTCGTTGAGCACTCTGGCCATGAGCAAGGAACCAGATCCTGATAGTATTTCTGTTGGCAGAGTCATCGACACCGTACTCGGTGGTGAGCGCAATGGGAGCGTTACCCCTGGTCAACGGATGGCAGACCGCTTTTTGATGCAGAGGAAGAGTACATCGGCGTTGGATGGTAGTGCAAAGAGGTTAAGAGGTGGATTAGTATTGGTTAGAGAAGATACGCCGGCTTTCTTGTGAATTGGCCAGCAGTGAAGAAGGAAGAACACTAATATATGTACCAGAGTTGGAGGTCGGTAAAAGGAGGATTGATGAGCATTTTTGGGTACTGGAGAGTATGGGTTTGACTTGTTAGGGAATTGAACGGTAGGGCTTTTGGATGTTGCTTCTGGTTGGTGGATTGGCGGGAGGGCTGTGTACTTGTTATGATATATGGCTGGTATTTGTAATTACGGTAGTATTAAGCTCAGGTTGTATCCTTATTTTCCCGCGCATCTGCAGGCGTGGGCTAACCATGAGAGTTTGGAATAACGCACTACGAGTGTATAGTAGCAGGGTATAATACTGGAGATTAAGTACATGCGGGTGTTGAATATCGCTCTTTAGATTGTGTTCGTTTGATCATAGCATCTCGCCCTCTTCGTCCAAGCCCCCTTCATCCTCCTCGTCCCATTCTACGTCTGCCGCCGCCTCATCAGCCCGCCTTTGTACTTCCTTTAGGCCACTCATCTCCTCCACCCACCCTCTCTCATTCAACGCTCTGGAGACAAACCCCCATGGGTCTGCGTTGTAGGCTTCGAGCACTCTGTCGCTACACGCTGAGCAGCAGTCGTAGGGTTTGCCTTCCACTTGAAGGTTTGAAAAGGTTGAGAGATAGCCTCGTATCGTATGGGGGATGATACCGAGGGGATGTTGGAAAGGTGGTGGTAACGCAGGATGGGACGGTGCGGGCGCTGGAGTAGACTTTGAGTTTTGATGTTGTGGAGGTGGCGCGCAGGCTTTTGAGGGGTGTTGGAGGATAGACATGAGGAGTTCGACAAGGAGGCTGGATGCGAGGGGCGCAACGCCAGGGCGGGTTACGGTGCATTGTTGGTCGAGGGTGGCGTTGCTTAGGGACTGTTTCGGTTGGATTAGCAGTGTGTCTTGCTCAGAGTGATGTGTGGTTACTTACATCTGCAGGCGCAACAACGTCGTTGCAGAAGTAGCATCCTAGCTCCACCTCTCCCTCTTGTGCCGCCTTCAAGCCATGTCGCATGACCACATAGGTGTCGAAGCCCAGCGCAGCATTAAGGACGATCTTGCCGTAGGCCTTGCCCATGACAGTTGGTAACCATCTACTCTCTCGTGTGTCCATGAGCAGGAAGATGGCGTCGTGCTCGCTGATCAACCTTTGCAGCTTCTCGAACTCGATCTTCGTCTTCGCGCTGTCAGTCATCGGGTGGCCGAGCATCGGTACTTCCATGACATGCCCTGTCGCATCAACGCCTGGATAAATTTCTTGCAAAGCCTCGGCGGCTCTTTCGGCTTTCTTTGCGCCACCCTGCAAGCAATCGTTGAAGTTGAAGAGAGGCTGCCGCACAGGGTTTGAGAAGCTGACCGTGGCGTTGTCGATGAATGTGATCTTCCTCACACCCCATCCCATCAGCGTTCTTGACACATAGGTGCCTAATGTTCCCGCTCCGAGCAACAGACATTTGCAGTTTTTGATGACATCCAGGTCGATGGTAGGAGCTATGCGCCACTTGATCAGCTTGAGGTTGAGATCGACCGCCTGGTCAGCGAGTTTGCGCTCGTCCATGTATTCGGAAAGGTCTACATTCCGAGATGTCAGCTTGCCTGCTTCTGTCCGTTCCCAGCCCGTCACTTTGGGTAGTTTCGGTGTTTGTGGGCGACTGTCTGGTCTTTCTGAGGTGGGTGCCGCCTCAGGAGTAGGGTCTGAACGCAGTTGCAGGATGAGAGAGTTCGGTTGGTCGCGCCGTGTATGAGTGTCGCGATAACACATGATCTGGGCGTCATTCAGGTGCCATCGATGCCGCATCAGTATGAGGAGATTGCGAAGAGGCCAGCCAGGATTGGAGTCGTAGGTAGAAGGGTCTGCAAAACATATAAAGCGATCTTTGCTATCCGTCTTGTCAAAGAAGCCCTTCTCATAGGCTTCTAGTCTGCCTATGGCCCATGTATATCCGAATTCCTCAAGTGGCGAGACTGGTGTCTTGGGCCTCTCCTCTGGGTCGCCGCCTCCTTGTATGCGCTTTGCCAGGAAGAAGCCTCTTTGACGAACATCGGAGCTGTATCGCCATGTCTGCACCGCGTCCACCAGGTATGTAGTCTCCCTAGCCTGCAACCTTGTTGCTTCTCCAATCTGTTTCCACGGTGGGTCGGACTGTATCGCGGGGAAGCCAAAGTGATAGGTAAACTTGTATTTCTTGAGGTTGGCGAATATAATGGCTGTAAAGGAGGAGAGTAGAGAGGGGCATTCGTATATCGAGCCGTCGTGTATCGCATCCCATATCTGTGCCGAGTTAGCGTTGCTGATGGCGAAGAGCGATGAACATACTGTTTGGGCGCATCGTTCGAGTATGGCGGCGCGATCAAGGTTCTTGTAGTCTTCTATGGTGTTGCAGTTCTTGATGATGCCTTCGGCGCGGCAGAAGGTCGGAGGGGTGCTACAGGGGTCAGAAGAGGCAGATTCACTACAGTTTTCAAGACATACTCGTCTGAAGTCAGCGCATTTGGGTGTATTTGTACGCGCATAGATCGCGACGAGTGCTCTCCCGGACGGACTTCATACAAGCCGAGCACCTTGCGCGCGGAATCGTCGAGTTTGTCATGGTTGATCTTGATATGCGCTAGAGCGGCATAGAACTGTACATCGACGTCACTCATCCATGGCGCAAATTTGAGGGTTGACATGATGGGAGGTGGAGGTAGATGGAGGGGGTTCGACAAGGCTGCGGAGAGGCGTGGCGATGGGTGCAATGTAGTGGAATCTTGGTCTGGCGGGTATATGATGATGTCCTAGGATGGGACGTTTATGGCAGTCATGAGTACAAGAGACAAGACACGTGAAGCGGTCAAGAGCGCATGCATGTGACAGTGAATGTCCTAGTCATGGTCGAGGCAGCGGCATGCTTCACCCCGCCATGTCATGGGTCCAGGCGGTGCCGCGCTAAGGCGCGTTCCTGCAGCCGCTCTAGTGCCGCACCGCGTGCTTAGGCGCGGTCAGTAATAGCGAGCTTGGATTCCGTTTACAGACTCGCTCATAACCCTCAGCCCACCTCGCCGACGTTTCTCGCTATGCTTATTGGATTGTGCGGAGGCAAGCACCGTCAGAGATGATGTGAGGAGATGCTAACCGGGCTTAGGGATATGCGCGGGCAAGTCGTCGATAGCTTCGTATCTTGTTGAAGAGCACCAGTTCACCCGCCTACGCCTGGCACGAAATGCTGCGACGCCTCCAGAGGAGAAATCTGCGTCGAATACGCGAGTTCCTTCCCCAGTACAGTCGTCTGTTGAGCCGGGGCGAACCTTCCAGGACATCGATTCGTTGCTCGATTTCGTCACGTTGAGATGGAGAGAACGATTCGTCACAACGGACATATGGGACGAAACGGCGGTCGATGCACTTATGAAGCGCCCGTTCTTCCTTCTCGTCAGCGTGGATGCGCCTGTCAGTGTGCGATGGCAGCGATTCAAGGCCCGCTGTGCTGCCACTCAGCACACACCGCCCACTCTCGAAGACTTCGTTCTACGTAATGACGAGCACTTGTTCGCGCCAGAGACAGGCCTAAGTGCCCTCTGCCAGAGAGCACAGCTGAAACTACTCAACACCTCATCCGACATGAGCTCCCTCCGCAGCGCCATACTACATTTGGACCTTATGGATGAAGCACGCGTGCGGCCGAGCTGGGACCAATACTTTATGCAATTGGCCGATCTGGCAGCACGTAGGAGCAACTGCATGAAGCGACGGGTAGGCTGTTGCATAGTCCGCGAAAAACGTGTGATTAGCACCGGGTACAACGGTACACCACGCGGCATGACCAACTGCAACGAGGGTGGATGTACGTTCACACTTTCAGAGCCTGAGAGTACACCACTGACGACATATAGGTCCCCGCTGCAACAACGCCGCCCAGGGAGGTGTCGGTCTCTCCACATGCCTCTGCCTACACGCCGAAGAAAACGCCCTGCTCGAAGCCGGCCGCGACCGCATCGGCGAAAACGCCATCCTCTACTGCAACACTTGCCCTTGCCTGACCTGCAGCGTCAAGATAACACAAGTTGGTATCAGCGAGGTAGTCTATAACCAAGGCTACCTTGTGGATGACCAGACAGCTAAGATATTTGCTGAAAGCGGCGTCAAGTTGCGCCAGTTCTCCCCGCCTGCCGACGGCTTGGTGGATCTGAGCATCCGCGTGGGTGGGGAAATGCCAAAAGTAGACAAGGCAGAGGATGCCAGGGAACTGCTAGATGACATGAACTTCCTACGGCCCTTGAGTTAGGCAATAGTCAGATCGTAGAAGCTCACAAGTGGCGCGTGGCGGCATTGTTCCACGCGAACGCCTCTCACGAGGTGCAGCCAGCTGCCATAAGTTGCGCACTTGAAACTTGGCTGTAGTCAATTTTCATGACTCCTGTTACATTGCGACGTGCTGTGATCCGGAACTCGAAATCGTGAAGCATGTTGGTGTTGAGGGGTCAGAGATCAAAGGGATTACTACGGAGAGGCTGGTTGCGATGCAGCCTCGCTACCACAATCCACAGCGCACGCGACTGTAAGCAAGCGTTCGGTTATCCCCGTGTGGCGCTTTATCATCCAACGACCGCGATAATGCTCAATAAACCTCTTAATCGGCCCTTGGTGTTTGACCTTGATTTTCGTCGCTTACTTCCCATTTCCCGGCCTAAACAAGGTCGTCAAGCTTCGGCCCGCCTGATGACGCGCAGTATTCTATACGCCGAATACTGCTGCCACAGCGGTTGAGCGCCACAAGATAGCTACACACACATTTACTAAAAGGCTTTACGAACTCACGCAAACGAAACATCGCGTGCTATCACGTATGTACCTACGGTAGCCGGGCTCACGCTACTATCACACACCAGTCCACAAGCTTGACCAAGCCTTGACAAGCATCCGCTTCCGAGGCTTACATTTTGAACTGGGCTGGGCACGTAGGATGCACTAAACACTGCCGCGTCGAATCACAACCCAGCAACACGCATGACTCTCGGCCTAATCTTCGTACACAAACGCTTCAGGAAGGTGCGTAAGGTTGTGCCATCGTTTTCTCTGCGTCATCTCGCATCTTCGCCCTTCGGCTATGAATCTCACCCTGATAGCACAGCCTGCACGACCCAGAGAGTGGCGTTTGCGATGTTTATTACCGAGCCTTGTTCATGCTCCGCCAACCTCCTGCTCTTCCGGGGTAAGCGTCAGGATATGTATACAGAAATGCCGTCACGTAGCAAATGTTCAAATAGAGCCCTTGGTCCCGGTTGTTCCGTGCCAGCTTACAGCCGCATTCATCTGTCAATTCCAAGATGAAGCTCCTTTCAGTATTCGGCTCTTTGCTGTGTGCTTCCACAGCTCTTGCTGGAAGTTCGCCACACAAGCGTGGTGTCTTCGAGAAGGTCCGGCCTGCTGTTGAGAGGCGTATGCCTGGAGAGTCTTTCAAGCACCCTGAGATTCAGAAGCGGGCTGAGAGCTTCTTCTTGACCAACAAGACTGAGTGTGCGTATCCTTGGCATTATCTGTGACGAATATTACTGACCAACCTATAGCTTTTGCTGTCAACGGCACTGGTATTCCAGAGGTTCCTTTCGACATTGGCGAGAGCTACGCTGGTCTGTTGCCCATTTCGGATGACCCAGAGGAGACGCGAAAGCTCTTCTTTTGGTTCTTTCCTTCGACCCAGGTTCAAACCCCTGAGGAAGTGGTTATCTGGTAAGAGAATAAACAGCATTCGATATCTCCGAGTGACTCCTAACATGATTGTAGGCTCAATGGTGGCCCTGGTTGCTCTTCGCTCAGCGGTTTCCTCACCGAGAACGGCCCGTTCACGTGGGAGTCTGGCACACTCGCCCCTGTCCAGAACCCTTACTCATGGACCAACCTGACCAACATGCTCTGGGTTGAACAACCCGTAGGTGTTGGCTACTCGCAAGGTACCCCAAACATCACCGACGAAGTTGAGCTCGGCAACCAATTCCGTGGTTTCTACAAGAGCTTCGTTGATCTCTTCGGACTCTACAACTGGAAGACTTACATCACCGGAGAGTCTTACGCCGGTTACTATGTTCCCTACATTGCCGACAGCTTCATCACTGCCGACGATGACAAGTACTTCAACCTTGCTGGTATCTCCATCAACGACCCCATTATTGGTGATGAGACCATCCAGCAGCAGGTTGTCCTTCTCCCATTCGTCAACTTCTGGCAGAACCTGCTGTTCCTGAACGACACATTCATGGAGGAGATCACCCAGCACCACAAGGAGTGTGGCTACACCGACTACATGGACAAGTACTTCACGTTTCCCCCACCACAGGGCGCTTTCCCCGTTCTTCCAGACCCATACAGCTCGGAGAACTACACCTGCGACCAATTCGACAACTTTTACTCTGCCATCCTTGAGGTTAACCCTTGCTTCAACATCTACCACATCACTGAGACTTGCCCTCACCCCTACTCCCAGCTCGGCATAGTCAACACTGGGGACTACTCTCCTCCAGGTGCCGAGATCTACTTCAACCGCACCGACGTCAAGCTGGCGCTCCACGCCAACGTCAGCACCGAGTGGCTCCAGTGCACCAACACCAACGTCTTTGGCAACGGTGATGATGAGGGCTCTGATGCTTCCCCTGGACCCGCCAACAACGGTGTTCTCCAGCGCGTTATCGAGTATACCAACAACACCATCATCGGCTCTGGTGACCTCGACATGCTCCTCAGCACCAACGGTACTCTCTTTGCCATTCAGAACATGACCTGGAACGGCGCCCAGGGTCTCTCCGAGTACCCATCTACCCCTCTTTACGCACCTTACCACCCAGAGTACAACGGTGGTGCGCTTGCTGGCGCCGGTTACCAGGGATACTGGACTGCTGAGCGTGGTATGACCTTCTACACCGCCCGTCTCGCCGGTCACGAGCTGCCTGGTTACACTCCTGGTGTTGCTTACCGCATGTTGGAGATTCTCCTCGGAAAGGTCAAGGACTTTAGCAGCACCGAGAACTTTTCTACCCAGAGCGGCCACTTCACCGGTAATGGCACCATCTACAGACGTGGTCTTGGTATGGGTAGCATGTCCTTTTAGGTATATGTTGCAGAGTAATGACTATATGAGAAATATGTAGATGGAACTACAGATATTCAATGAAGGTACGATGCATTTTGTGCGATTACCATGTCATGATGTCTGAACTTGCCTGTGGTGGTCTATAACAGTACATTTATATCAAATAAAGCTCCATAAGTATGACGCATATTGCTCCCAACTCTCCTACTAGTAGACACGTCGAGATCACAGCGAGGCGGAGACAAGACTTGAAGCTGCCGGGCAGATATAGATATCGCAGAATGGTATTGTCGCAAAGCTTCAGATCTTCGGCCTGGTCTTGAGCCCCGTGTCATATAGAGTTGCCAGCATAGCTGGGCCGGCCTGGACTGATAGGATGAAATGTAAATCAATAAATTCAAAGAGAGTGAGTTGTTATCTTTAAATATTCTTAGACTCCAGCAGGTTTTGTCATCAGCCAAACGAGCGACTGTGACACACCTTGCTAAACAAGCGTAGCCAAGGAAATAGGCCGTCGAAATCTCAGTTTGCTTCGCTTTCCGTAACTCCTGTGCAAGTCTCATAGCAGGTTACCATGTAGTCAGCATCCTCAGCATCTAGCAGTTATACTTCGCCTGAAAGTAGACCGAGCCACCACAAAAAAATGACTGATGGTTATCGACACAAGCATGGTTGAAAGAGCCACCACTGTTATATAGCGCAAAGTTGGATGTGCCACAGTTCTCAGTGTTCAAGCAATAAATAGGTAGTAGTATATGTCAGCCAGCCAGGTTCTTGGCAGATTCCGTTTCGTTCATGATTAGAAAGCCGTATGTTTGCATATTGTAGATCCATTTCCCCAGCAAATCGGGGTTGGAAGGTATTATGCGCGAGTCTATGTGTATCGTCCGCCTATCCTCAGATCCAGAAAGGGGTGGAGAGAAGATGACGACGTGTGAAGAATAGGAGAGGCGCATTAGGCGCGACAACCATTTCCTGCCGCTAGTTGCACACATTGGTATAGGCACTCTACATTATTGGAAGTAGCAGACGGCATGCATCTTCTGGATACGATCTAGGATGGTGGCCCGACGGCATCGGTTCGTCTCTGTGCTTGGTAGAAGGGAGGAATTAGTGGTATGCAGTAACGGGGCGATGCCGCATCTTTCCAAAGTTGACGATAGTTGCCAATGTTCGGCATCGTCGCGTAGACATTGGCGTCTATGGGCCTGCACGTGGGCACATTGTTAGTGGTGTGATAAGAGAAAGTTTGTGAGTGTTGCAGTGGTCAAGGCGTTCCAAAACTGGTGGTTGGAGACGCAAGGTGCGAGGTGTGCGAGCGGCCAAGCGGAGTGCTTCCCGCAGGATTCACGACACCACATAACTCGCACCTGCAGTTCGCGCCTCGATGGATATCGGGATGCACCCGCGGACCGTCGACGTGGAAAACTAGGTACATGGTCCTAGAAAACCGGCCTAGTCAGTACCAGAAAGATTACCGGAATAACTTGCTTTTGATGTCCTGCATCTTCCCACCTTGCATGAGGCGTTTGAGGGGTGCCGGGACATGAATCCTTTGCATATGCCTAGCCAGACAACCTCACCCGAGAAAGTACATGCAAGACGTAAAAAGCACTTTTCATGCATCTCGGACGTGTTCCTTATCGTTACTGTTACAAAACAAAAAAAACCAACCAAGAAGTCGCATTCCCAAAAAACGTCTTGCATGCATACCTAGGCACCGCCCATACCTGCATACGACCGACCACAACCATCTAGAAACAGCAAAAAGTAACTCTCCAGCGGGGAATTGAACCCCGGTCTCCCGCGAGTTGCCAATGGTTGGTGACAAGCGGAAATACTGACCACTATACTACTGAAGATTGACCAACCTAGAAGGTTGAGTAGATGATTGGTGGAAAAACTGACAAAACTACACAAAATAGATCAGAGCGTTTGAGTAAAACAAGCCTGGAGTAAGTGCCCTCTGTATTTCCATTCCTTTGAAATCAACTGCTGGATAATGTTGGTTGGGTAGTGAAAATTTGTGTGAGTGGGTCGTAGGCGGCTATTGGACCTGACTCAGTGGTGCATGTGGAACCTGGAACAACGCCAAACGAAGTCGCGGACGGAATACAGTATATCAGCCAGATTCAAGGACATAATGGCATTTACTTTGAGTTTGTAAGTAAACACCAAGCGCAGAGCGGACTTTCCTTACGTTGTGATGATACGGCACGTCGGCCTCGAGGATCACTATGACCTCTGTATCCGGCCTGCTAAGTCCCAAACATGTCTGCGATTCACACACACAACTCCGGACGAACTGTCCTCTGCTCACGATGATCTTGGTCCACCGGACGAAATCTCCTCTATATTGCGATAGCTCGTTGCTTCAAATGGCCGCACTCTGCTCTACATCGGAACAACTTGGTCCACTGAGTGACCGAGAGTCCTGGCTCCTGCTGGCAGCGCCAACGCAATGTCTTCTATCGCGATAATGGCAGGCTTATATGTAGTCCAGACGCCTACGGCTAGTTTGTCTTCTTATACAACTTGCTCAATACTGCTGTAACTACACATCTTTAGAGTCGTTCAAGATGGGTCTCAAAGTTATCATCGTTGGGGGGAACTTTTCCGGCCTATCGCTTGTGAACATGCTGGAAAAGTTCGACATTGACTATGTTCTTCCCGAAGGGTATCCTACTATCGCGTCTCAGCTTGGTGCAAGCGTTGGATTGCTTCCGACCGGTTTGCGTATTCTGGACCAGCTTGGCTGTTACGACGAGATGGAAAGAACGGTCGGAGATGCCAACTACAAAGCTGGTATGAGTTTTTTGGTGGGAAATCATGGGTCGATTCGGAGGACAAAACAGTTTGTCAGAAACTAGAAGAAAGGTGGGTGTCTTGAAGCACAAGCTGCTGTTGCAGACAGCCGTGACTGATTCTTGCAGAATTGAGTACCCACAGATATTCATCGATCTCCAGGCCGCACTCCAGATTCTGTTCAAGAACCTCAATACGTGGAGCGCATTCTCACAAACAAGCGTGTTTTTCGAATCGAACATGAGCCAGATGGTGTCAGAGTATTCACTAGAGACGGATCGACGTACAAAGGGGACTTCGTCGTCAGAGCAGACGGTATTCATAGTATTGTTAGACGAGAAATGTGGATGGTTGCAGATGAGGAAGGGTCGGGTGTTTTGAAACCAGACCCACTTCGATGTTGGTATTCGCCGAACTCGTGTCGACACTCGACTGACAGTTTCATAGACCTTCAATGCGAATACAAGTGCATTTTTGGTATCTCCAAAAGACCTGCTGGCCTTGCAGCTTCACCTCTGCAACTGAATGCATTCTTCAAGAACTGCAACTACCTAGTCATATCCGCCCCCCGAAGACCGTACATACTGGTTGTTGATCACTGAGACACCGAAGGTATTTAGCAAAGACATCCCTCGGTACTCAAAAGAAGACGAACTGGCGCTGGCTGAGCAGCAATTCGAGGACCGCATTACAGAAAAGGTTACATTTGAGGATCTGTACGCGAATTGATTGCAGACAACGCTTCTAAGCGTCGAAGATAATGCATTCACGCGTTGGCACTACCGAAGGATTATCACAACATGTGACGCTGCCCACAAGGTAAGTCAAGATAAGAGCAACTTGATACGGTATCCACTGACACTGACTGCAATAGGTACATCCGCTCAGCGCCCAGGGTGCAAACACTGCCATCGAAACAGCCGCCGTTCTAACCAACACTCTTCTCGCGGCAGCACGAGTCCAAGAAACCGAAAAGCCATTCACGGAAGAAGAAGAAGACGACATCATCTCCATCTTCACAGAAGTTCAAGCTCATCAGTTCAAAAGGGCCGTCAAAGCAGTTGATCAAGGCCGTATGATGAATTACATGACCGTCAAGGAAACCTTGCGATCACGCGTCTTCGTCAATTACTTCTTCCCCCGCTTTGGACAGAGTACGATACTCAATCCCTGGGTCAAAAGCCCCCTCAATGGCCCCATGATTAACGATCTCCCCGTCCCAGCACGATAAGTGTCTGGCCTCGATCAATACGCAAAGGCTTGTTCCCGAGGTCGGCGCTTCTTGTGGAACTTGATTCCAATGGGTATCGGCATCTTCGTTGTTCTGCTCTCGACTATGAGAACGGGTAGGGCTTAGCAGATGTTGTCTACTGGTTTCTTTTTTCAAGTTACTGTGTGGTGGTTGGTGGTTTTTTGTCCGTATTGGGGTCACGCCATATACCAGTTTCGGTCATTACTTCCCATAGATTTGTCATTGTGTAATATAGTTTTTGTCATTACCATCTGGGGAATCTATTATTGTATGCAATGGTCTCAGATCTAGGACGTAGCTACAATCTTCTCATGTATCTGTGATAGCCGGTTATTTGCAGGTGAAGAAGTTCATGAAATACGTGTCCGAGACATTTAATGCATACAACATCGATATCCAGAATGTAAAGTAAGACCTCGGAAGAAAAGGCACAGAGGAGCCATGCGAACATGGTCAAGAACTTTGGAAGGAAAGTTTGTACTGGACACACGTCCTACTTCCTTTCTGATCTGAGGTAACCCGGAAGACAAATCCAAAAAAAACGACATGCAAAATGTAAGTCAGTAAAAACTTATATGGCCAAAGTAAAGAGCCAGGCGACCGGACGCCGCACGACCATGGTTTCCAAAAGTGGTGGTGGTGATCATCATGATATATATATATATGTACCCAACGACCATATATCTCAGTCGTGTTCCTCCTACTATCTACGTATACATTCACCTAAAAGGCAATATCTCCTCATGTACATGACAGTACTCATTAACGTCGGATGCGGGCCATTCACGCATACACCAGCCATGTTCTGCCGCGAGCGCTTGATGTATACAGCCAGTGCGCAAGAAGAATCCATCAATACCAGTACTGACAACACCAACACCAACCACTATGCAAAACGACATTCAAGAAGTCAAACAAGACAAAGATGACGCTGACACGCTTGCTCATCGAGAGGAGAAGAGGAAAGAGAATGTAGGATGAACACTCCTACACGCTATAAGAAAGTGTTTGGATTTCCAGGACCCTTCTCGAATTCCTTAGGATCTCTAGGGCTCAGCTCCGACATGTCTGTGTCCACCCTGCGTATGGGTGGTGGCATTACCCGCGGCCGCTCAGGTGAGTACCCTGGACTTGAAGTCCTAGGCATGTCCCAGTCATCTGAATAAACTGGTGGTCCTACCAGCTCATCACTTCCGCGGCTGGCTATAGGGAGGAGATTTGTCGAATCGCCTTTGACAAGCCCAAGTCTCTCTTCCTCGGTAGCAGTAGTTGATGCTTTGCCTTCTCTGCTGCTCTTCCGACTATGCCTACTAGTCGGCCGTTTACTACTTGACGCTTCGCCTGTAGAATCGGGACGGTTTCGGGAGAAGACATTTTGGAAGGAGAATTGGCGTTTGGCAATGTGGGCAGGTGGTCTTGGGGGAGCGAGTGAGTCGCTTGAATCTTGACGGCCATGGCCGTGACGGGGCGGATCAGGAAGCGAGGCGAAATGTATGTGGGTGTCGATCGGCTTGTAGGATGTATCTTGCGTCATCATGGTCTGCTTGTAGGATCCGGCGTCTGATTCGCGGTCCGAAGCGCCATCGGCCTGTGGGATAGACGGCAGCGTCTGCATGCCCATGCCCGAAGTTCCTGGAGCATGTGAGCTACCGCGACTACTAGTCGACTTGCCCCGGGAGCGCAATCGTTGGAAGAAGCCAGGGTGAAAGCTATCGTTGTCATCGTCGGAGTCGTCGGTTGGGAATTGCGACATGCCGAGGGGTGGATGGATAGTTCGTACGACGGTAGCACTGCGCGTCGGTGGCCGACTGGGATCGAGGACCGTTTTCCGTCTTCGGAGACCGTCGAATTCGACCTGCTCCCCTTCACCAATCGGTTCCATGTGCTCTTCTTGGATCTTTTTAGCCTCAGCGAGCTCTTTATGAGACCTAGCCTTTGACAGTGACCTGAGGATTGCCGCGCCACCACGAAGAGTGTCAGCTCGGGGCTCGTATTCTGGTTCCTCCATCTCCGCGACAGTTCGCACTTGGTCAAGATCGCCCTTGAAGACAGCTGAGTCTGGTACGTCTTTTGCCGACTTGGAGAGTTGTAACAAAACGACGCCAGAACAAATCTGTAAGAAGCCCATGATGACAGTGACAATCTGTAGGGGCGTGCCCTTGAAACCCTGGAACAAGACGGCCGAAGTGACGATAGTGGCAGACGTGAAGAAGACGTAGTACGTTGGTGTGACCAAGGCAGCGTTGAACAAGTTCAAGGCTTTCTGGGCAAAGCTTAGCATTCTCCACATGGCTAAGCAAGAGTGATGGACTTACGTTGAGGTAGATGATCTCGGTCAGCAACGTGGCTACAACAAAGACGAGCAGCACGTAGAGGAACCATTCCTTAAATTGTCCGCCGTATGTGCCAGAGGCTTGCGCCACTACAGCAGCACCGAGACCTTGGGTTGCGACAACACTCAGTCCTCCGATCAGACTGCAGATGGTAATGTAGACCATCATAGTCTTCTTTCCGTACTTGGGGCCGAGCCAGAGGGCAATGACAACACATGCGACAATGATGACGCCTGCAAAGCTGAGAAAGCCTGGTGCAATGACCCATTTCTTCATATCCTGGATGCGCGCAACAGACGACTGTTCGGGCGCGTTTACCGCGATAACAACAGATCCGATGATGCAGTTGAAACAGCCTACTTTTCCGACAAAGCTCAAGCGCTCCTTCAAGAATATAGTGGACAGGATGGCGCATATAACGACGGAGAGGGCGCCCATGGGCGTCACGAGGATGGCGTCGGTAAAAGCGTATGCGACAAGATTGCTACCAGGTGTTAGCAAGGTATCTGGTTTTGATGCTTCACAGTGTGTACCATATTTCTCCAAGAATCATGAGTGTCATACCGAGCCACCACCAAGCGTTCTTGAGGTAGCCGTAGCCTTCTCCCGCCTCTTCATTGTACTTCTTATTCGCCTGTAGTAGACCATGCTTCTTTATCACGAACGACGTCCCGATAAACACTCCCGATGCGATGGCTAGGACTAAGCCAATGATCTTGTACGAGCCTGGGCGAGTTCCAGTATCACCGCCCATGCCCCCAGCGCGGGCATTCAGTTGGTGGACGGCATAGAGGACGTGTGCGGTCGAGTCCATGGCTTGGGGTGGGTCGCTGTGGATGTTGCCAAGCGCTAGTGCACCGGCGACTCGACCTGGTGGATATGATTGATGTTGAATTGCTTTTTACCGTAGAAGCATGAATAATACTATTCGCGATTTGAATGCTCAGGTGAGGTGCACGAGACTGGGCACGTGGAGGAACGTTGGATGGGCGGAGGCAGGAACGCTTTAGGAAGTCTGTTTGGACAGGGTCCAGGGCACCACGGAGATGAGCAAGAGGAAGGCGCAATCGCAGTTGCAGAGTGAAGTCGCGGGGGGCGAAGAGGAAGGCGCGAGTAGTAAAAGGCCTTGTTTTGTTCGAGTACGAGGAAGGCGCAGTTTCTCGGTGTAGATGCGGGCCGTTGGTGCGTAATCGTGGTGCGTACAGCTGAAAGGCCTAGATGCGAGGGTGATTGGTGCGCCGAGTGGTGGTGTTTACACAGCTCTTGGGGGCTGAAGCCGTGCCGCAGACAAAGGCAGCCAAACGTTATTATACAAAGCTTGTGACAGAGACTGCCAAGGTAAACAGGAACATGCGACGGTGGAGGCAGTTCGGCGTCGTTCCTCGACCGTCAACATGTAATCTTGCTGCAGGGGCAACGGGTGCATTGATCGTTCAAGTCCCGGGCCCTGAGACGTCACCGGCCAAGAGATCGGCGCACGCCCACCAACGCTTGACAGCTTGCAGCTCCAGAAATAGATGATCAACAGTCGACAGCCAGTACGCGACGTTTGACATTGCTCCGTATCTGCACCCTGACAGTAGCATGATTGAACATGGCAGTTGACATTGACAACCATCAAGACATTTTCGCCGCTGCCAGCGTGGCTCAGATCCATGAGGCCCTCAGCCAATTGCATGACCACGAGGCCAGCGTCACCCAGCGCCTAAACGCCCTCATCGCCTCGCAGAAGGATCTCTCGCGCGAACTCGGTCGCCTCGATCTGCTCCGCGCCCACCTCGGCACCCAAGCGGTCAATACGCGAGCCATCAGTAATGGCATACTCTCCGACGCCGCCTCGACTGCGAACCGAATATCAAGCGCCGTGAAGCGATTAGACCAGGAACAGTCCAATGTCAAGGCAACACTCGAGGTGGTGGAGCAGGTGGCGGAACTGAAGGCATGTGTGCTGGGCGTACATGGATCTATGGGGGCCCCGCAGGACTGGGAAACTGCAGCTGGCTATCTGAGCCGCGCCGCGAAGATACCTGACGACGTTGTAAACGGCAGCTTCGCAGAGGAGATTGTGCCGACTGCTGAGGTGCCTGATCCGCCGCGCGTGACACTAGATGCAGCAGCAGAGTCGCTATGTGGCCTCTTCTTACGCGAGTTTGAAAAGGCAGCGCAAGAAGGCGACGGCTCCAAGGTGACGAGGTTCTTCAAGCTGTTCCCCTTGATCGGACGGACACATGTAGGCCTGGACGCATACGGTCGCTATGTTTGCCAGGGAGTAGCTTCACGGGCGCGGACAAACTTCAACTCGGCTGCGCCAGCCCAGAGGAACGAGGGCTTCTTCTACGGCAACACCATCACAAAGCTGTTCGAGCACATCGCCCAGATTGTCGACGGTCATGAGCCGCTGGTAGAACGCCATTACGGGCCAGGCATGATGCAGAAGGTCATTGAACGTTTACAAATTGAGGCTGATGTGCAAGGGGGTATCGTGCTCGACACATGGCATGAAGAGCGCCACATTGACCGCAAGCTGACTGATATCAAATCATATGCCTTCTCCTTCCTTGTCCAGAGCTTTCTTCCCTCACAAAAACCTGCTTCTGGAACACCCCGTTCCAGCTCGCCAGCTAATGGTGCTGGTCGAACAAGCGAAGACGAGGGAGTGGACATGAAAGAGATTGATGGCTTGCTTGGAGAGGGCGCACTGATGCTGGGTCGGTATGCGTTGTATGCGCGCTTCCTCTCTGACAAGTGTGCAGTAAGTGACCAGTGTATATATTTCTCTTCAACGACTTACTTCTGTAGCCCCCCGAACCTGAAGACCGCATCGACTATGGCTTGGTAATGCCCAACTTCTTAGTCACCAGCAACCTCCACAAGAAGGTTAACAGCCATCTCATCGAGCCTGTCAATGCCATGACAACCTTCTTCTTTCGTCGATCAGTGGAGAAGGCTTTCCAGCTGGACGAGCCACCAGCAGATCTTACACTGAACCCTACCAAACCTCTTGGATCCAATCCACCTTTCATCACCTCTGCTGTAGACGATGTCATGTACATTGTTAACCAAGTCATTCAGAGGACACTAGCAACCTCACAACGTGCCGTCGTTTCTAGTGTTGTGCCTGCGGTGAGCCACATCTTAGGCGCAGAATTCATCGGTATGATACAACGCAAGATGCGGGACGAAAGCTATCCCAAGCCTGTCATTCAGGGCGGTCTTCCTCCAGAGGACAAGGTCATAGCTTTCCTGGTGCTAATCAACAATCTGGATATCGCAAACGACTATGTTAAACGCATAGTTCAACAGCAACTGGGCCGTCAATCGCAAGCTGGCGACGAAGATGTGAAGTCACCATTGCACGACCTCTTTCCATTTGGGCACGACGCGATATTCGTTGAGAACACACTAAAAGCGATGGAGAAGGCCTTTGCATCTAAGAGCGGAGATCTTCTCAACGACGGCATTACTGTCTTGTTTGCCAACGTCCTCAAGCCTCGCATTCGACCTATCCTGGCTGAGGCCTTCCGGGACATCAAGTACGACCCGGAGGACGATGAGAACGAGGATGAAGAAGAGGAGGATGTTGATGTGGTAAAGTCACGCTTTGACCGCGGTTGGGGAGTTGTGATCCGTCCCATCAAGCGCATCTTGACCTCCGCAAACTTTGATCGTCTCCTTGCTCTGGGATTAAACTCTCTCGCCTCTTCGCTCGAAAAGCGCATTAAGAGCTACTACGGCAGAGTCAACGAGCTGGGTGCTGTCAGGCTCGAGCGCGATGTCGCTGGTATCATCACTGCAGCTACAAGTGGCGGCGCGTATTCACTTCGCGATGTTTTCCAGAAGAGTACTCAGATGACTTTGATTCTAAACATGGAAGACGATGAATTCGAGGAAGTGGCGGATGATACGTCAGGCGAGTCGGGTATACCCTGGGTATTGGATGCTGAGGAGAGGAAAAGAATAAGAGCTATTGTGAAAGGCTGATGGGCTCTTGTCAATTGGCATTCGGAGGTGGGGCGCAGAGACTCCGTAGTCTTGACTAGGAAACTCTTGGCATTCAATCTATACAAATGAAATATTCTGGACTGCCTCGGTAGTGGATATACTCCGCAATTCATCGTGTTCTTTCTTCCGCGAGGGGGTTTTCGTATCGCGACTGCTCCTTTTGTACACGGTCCATATTAATGGCACGCTGCTAGCCGTCGCGGCCGAGGACCTGTGGCTCGTGCCGGCTTGGCTTGGCTTGAACACCTTTCACTAGAAGCATTACACGCGATCAACTACTCCTCAACGTGTCGGCGACATCTTCTAATCGTTATTCATTTTGTACCGTGTTACTAGGTTGCTGGGCGACCATCGGCCCGCCATCCACGCTATGCGGCTGTTAACCACAAAGATCCTGCTCCCTTGCGTCTCGCTTCTGTTGCCATCCCTGTCATCGGCCCAGTGTCCGCTCTATCAGAATTACGCTGCCCAGTACCATGAGCCTTACACGGAGGGAACATGGAATCTAAGCTACGCCAGACCGATAATACCATGTCGAACATTTCTTTCGGAACAGGTCGAGAATACGATTGAGCGGTTACGAGGCGTTATTAAGGACCCTGATCTCTTTCGTGTAAGAGCATCGCTACTGTATCGACATGCATGCTGATCTGATCGCAGATCTTTGAGAATTCATGGCCGAGTACATTGGATACGACGATTGGATGGCGAGGATGGTCAAACACAACAAGCGACCTCAACGAGCTGGAAGGCCCTCTCATGAGCATGAAACCCGAGGAACTAACATTTGTCATCACCGGCGATATTGAAGCAATGTGGCTACGCGACTCAGCGAACCAACTTCAAGCCTATGTCTCCGTATTGAAGAAAGATGACAGTCCAGACAGCCTAGCCAGTCTATTCCGAGGAGCAATCAACCTGCAAGCACGCTACATCCTCGAAAATGCGTTTTGCAATGCGTTTCAAGCGCCCGACGAGAGCGGTGTCGTGCGAAAAAGCAGCCTGAACAGCGACCGCATCACGCCCTTGTTCGACTACTACAAAGTCTTCTCTTGTCAGTGGGAGTTGGATTCCCTAGTATCCTTCTTGCAGCTCTCCGTGGACTACGTAACCGCAACCAGAGACTACGACTTCTTCCAAAACTCCAGCAACTGGACCAAAGCCGTGGAAGTTGTGCTCGAAACAACAGAAAGTATGATGATCGACAGCTATACTGAGGATGGCGAGTGGCAGCACACGCCTTACACCTACTGTGCACCCTACGGCGGCACCCCAATCAATAACTGTAACGGCAGTCCTCACAAAGGCAACATCGGCCTTGTACGGTCTTTTCACCGCCCCAGCGACGACGCGTGTACATATCAGTATCTTATTCCTTCCAACATGATGTTCTCTTCCGCCCTCAACACCTCTTCAACAATCACATCGCGTATTATGCCTCGCACCAGCGGCCTGACCGCACGCATGCAAGCCCTAAGCACAGCCATCAACCGGGGCATAGAAAAGTACGGAATCGTCTCGGACCCTACATACGGCAGAATATACGCCTACGAAGTTGACGGCTACGGCTCTGTAAACATCATGGACGACCCCAATGTACCTTCTCTTCTCTCAGCTCCGTTTCTGGGTTATACGACGCTGCGCGATCCCATCTACCAGAACACTCGACGGAAGATATTAAGCAGGGATAACCCCTACTACGCTGTCGGACCCGTGATTACTGGTGTGGGAAGCCCGCATACGCTGCCTGGCAGGCCTTGGCCAATGGCGCTAATCATGACGATATTGACGAGTGAGGATGACACGGAGATTGTCCAGAACTTGATGTGGCTGGTGCAGAGTACGGATGGTTTAGGCCTTATGCATGAGAGTGTGCATGCGAGGGACAAGGCGGTTTGGAGTCGACAGTGGTTTAGTTGGGCGAATGGCTTGTTTGGGCAGATGATTTTGGATTTGGAGAGGCGGAGGCCATGGATTTTGGGTATGAGCTTTCAGTAATGGTTTGGATCACATCGTGGGACGATTGCCATGATTAGGATGCTTGTTTGGGTGTTGATATTATTTCCTGTTGATACGTTCGAGCAATAACTTCCTCATATTTGCGATAGTTCACAATCGAATTTCTTCATAGCGTGAGCGTTATAACGACTGAGGATTAGAAGTCCAACGGCACTTTCAGAAAGTACTGCACTCCATTAATGAGAAATCACTCTCGCTGCAATGTAAACTGTATGATTCTGTTACGAATTCTCGTTCTAGCTGCCGCGTTCAAAAATCATCTACAACCCTGAGTCTCATGCAAAAAAAAATGCAGCTATTCCTGATTGACCCAAGAATCTCTTTACTGCAAAAAATGACTCAAGCGAGGCTCGAACTCGCGACCTTTCGCGTACTCATGTGAGGCGAACGTGATAACCAACTACACCATCGAGCCGATGTTGTATGCTGAATCAGCAAATTAAATCGTATATATTCCGTATTACCATGCAGCTGCTGTCATCTTCTACTAAGCCATTAGTCTATTCGCGCTAAACGCACGGGCCTAACAACAACGCAAGATTACAAGATAGGTATCTTCTGCAACACTATACAACTCTATTAACATAATAAATAGGTATTAAACAAAACGTTAGGATTAATTCAATTGGCTTACTGCCCTTGATTACATATCTAAACATAGTTCTACAGAGTTTTATAGCTTTAAAGTTTGCAATAATAGTGGTGTTAGTGGCCCGAGCGCATGGCGCGAACAGACTTCTGGCACCCGATTGTATGTGTGAGGTGGGGCCTAACCGCGGGGTTCGTGGTATCTCAACCCCTCTCACAAATGAGAGACGTGTATCCCAATGAACGATCCAGTACAGACCGAGGTCGTTTCTCTTGCTGATGTTCTCGATGACGTGATCATGGTTTGTAACCTGTTGTAGCCGTGGTAGGATTGCGTTTGTGTAGCCAGTGTACCCTGGAAGGTCCTGACAAAGGGCGTTGCTGACTCCCACACTCCATTTAGTATAATATCCGTCCCGACCTTTCTTGTCTATCAGCTCATCTTTTCGTTCCCAGACTCCCTCTGAGGTGTTTCCCGGTCTGTAATGTCGACGCTCAAGGAACAACTGCCATGGACATCGTCGCCGCTAATCGTCAACGCGCCCATGGCGGGGTTCGCAGGCGGTGAGCTCGCGTCAGCTGTAACACTAGCCGGCGGCCTTGGTATGATTGGAAGCCTAATGAATATGGAAGACCTAAGGAAAGAGCTGGGTATCGCCGTCGAAGCCTTCAAGGACAACCCGGCACTATCGGCATCGCGCACCCTTCCAATCGGTATCGGATTCCTCCCTTTCGTACTCAAGCTCGAGGAAGTCCTCCCGGTATTCGAGGACTTTAAGCCTTGTGTGGTGTGGTTGTTTGTTCCGAAATCACTAGATGACTACGCGGAATGGGTGTCAGCGATACGCAAAGCCTCACCGGACAGTAAGATCTGGATCCAACTTGGTAGCGTGACGGCAGCTCTTCACGTTGCAAAGATTGCACAACCAGATGTTCTGTGTCTCCAAGGTGCGGATGCCGGTGGTCATGGCTTTGAGAAGGGCGCAAGTATCGTCTCGCTACTACCAGAGGCGTCAGATGCACTTGCCGCGGAAGGCTTCTCCCACATACCCCTCGTTGCCTCAGGTGGTATTACCGATGGACGCGGTGTTGCTGCTGCACTGACACTCGGTGCGGAAGGCGTCGTCATGGGAACACGTTTTCTCGCTTCTAAAGAGGTAAACGTCCATCCGGTCTACCAGGCCGCACTTCTGGAGGCGCAAGACGGCGGACAGGTAACGACCCGTTCGAAACTGTTCGATCAGCTGCGCGGCCCCAACATCTGGCCGGAGCTGTACGATGGACGCGGCTTGGTGGCACAGAGCCACAGAGATTTCGCGAATGGCATGAGCCTAGAGGAGATACAAAGGCTGCACAATGATGCTGCAGCAGGTGAAGACAAGGGATTCAAAACGGGCTTGCAAGGGCGCGCAGCAATTTGGGCGGGCACTAGTGTGGGGTTAGTGAAAGAGGTGCAAAGCGCGGAGGAAATTGTGCAGACGGTGCGACAAGAGGCGAGAGATATTTTGGTTAGGATGGCGATGTTGTAGCGGGAAGGAGCAATGGTGTGTATAACAGACTAAGCCGGAAGGGAAAAAAAGAGAACGCGACTTCCTACCTCAGGAAGGAGCAAACATTGGATTCATGACGTCACGTATCTAGTGGCAGACTTGGGTAGGAAGCTCCCCAGGTGCGTAGTGTGCAACGTTCGATATTTCGTTTCGCCAGTGCTTTTCTATGAAGTCTATCAAATCAGTTTAATCACTCGTTTTTCGCGTTGACCCATCCCCTCAATGGATCAGTCATTCATCTCGTCCCATTCCCGGTGCCGTTCCTCCGAAATTCGGTTCCATTCCTCCTGTCATATCTGGTACCAGTCTTCCCGTTTCCCGGATATCTTAATGTGTGCTGAGCGATATCAAAGAAAGATTGGAGCATCAAAGTAATGGTGAGCAAGATTAAACCATAAACAGCGGTGGGTGTTTGAAGAATCGAAAACAATAGAATCACAGTAATGGTCCAATTAGACAAAAGCCCATTGCACCCACCAACAAGCCCAGCATACCCCTCACATTGGGCACATGCTTGGCCACAGCACCAGTGAACTCTGGAAGACCTGTCAGCTGAACGGGCACGGTGCTCGCATTGCTTGGTACCAAGAAGCCAACCGCCATAGTAACTACTGGTGCTGGTGCTGGTAGATTCTCAGTAACGACGGGCGATACGGATACGTTTGATGGAGTTGAAGCAACGTAGGACAAAGGCGATGAGACTAAAGTCTTTGAACTCGATGTGTTGTATGCTGGAATGAAGGATGAAGATGGACATGGTGATGAAGTCTGCGATGCCGAATATTGGATAGAGGTTGAGTTACTCGTCGTAAGTGTCATTTTAAGAGAACAAGAGGTAGAAGTCTCTGTAAACAATGGAATGCTCTCAGACGCAGGCACGGTGATATAAGTTGTTCTTGTGACTAATGTCGTCGAAGTGCTACATGATGTTGTCGTAGTGCTGGGCGATAAAGTCGTTGTAGTGCTGGGCGATAAAGTCGTTGTAGTGATGGGCGATAAAGTCGTCGAGGTGCTACATGGCGTTGTAGTAGTGCTGGATGATAATGTCGTCGAAGTGCTACATGGTGTTGTTGTAGTGCTGGCTGACGAGGTCGTCGAAGTGCGCTGCAACAAAGTTGTGGATGTGATGTAAACATACACTGGTATTGGTGTAGTAGTAGCTGACGATGATGTCACAGAGACAGCATAGCTAATCAGTGTCGAAGTGGAGTTTGGCAGGGAGGTAGTACAAGAAGTAGAGACCGTCTCACTCGTCATTGTCGATGTGGGGTATAACAGAGAACTAGTACAAGTAGTAGAGACTGTCTCGCTCGCCATTGTCGAAGTAGTGTTCAACGAAGACGTTGTGAGCACGGTACAATATACCAGCGTCGAAGTAGTGTTCGGGAGAGAAGTTGTAGACCTAGTACTACTCATCGGCGTCGACGTAGTGTTCATGAGAGAAGTTTCAGACATGGTATTGCTCATCGGCGTCGAAGTAGCAATCGACTCCGAAGTCGAAGACACCACATCGCTAGCGAATACGAAGGTGATGTCCGACGCTAAAGTTGGAGCCGCCGCCGCTTCGCTAGCGATCATGGCTGTAGTAATGATACGTGGTATTCCCGTGGTAACATTCAGTATCGGTGTCGCAGCGGCCTCGCTGGCTATCGATGGAGGGATTATAACGCCTATAGCCTTATTAAACGCAACGTCTTCCCTCGAGATCGCAGCAACATCCGTGTTAAAGTATGCGATCAAGAAAACTGCAAAAGCGCCGCGAAGGCTGGAAAACTGCATATCGCGCGTGTATAAATCGACAAACAAAGGGCGAAGGGGAGGCGTGTAATCTGAGAAGATATCTGCAGGAAACGACACCCAAGCAGCGCACGGGCAACGAATGAGAATCAAAAGATGTAAGAAACGAACGGCAGTCAAAGAGCGTGTATCGAAGTTCAAGATCCTCGCCAGCGAGTGTAAACGAAGATATAGAGAAACACCCGCGTAGAGAATCCACAAAGAGGAAACGGAAGATACCTACCCCTACAAAGATCGGACAATACCAACTCTAATATCAAATCGACTCATTGCACCAGCATAGCCAAGCAATACCGAGCTTCAGCCTCCTAGGGAAACCAGACACGGTACCTGCATTTTTGCCGTAGGCAGGTTGCTTTCGCGAAGCGGGTTGCACCACGCGTGGTAGACCTAAGCTCCTCGGCCGGTAGTTTGCGTCGCATATTCACGCGTCAGGCTTAGTCTATCGTGTATGTGGCGCACACTGCATGCGCTACAGCTGTCATAGGTCCATCGAAGCATAAGACAGCGGAGTATTGGTACGAAATGGACTCTCAAACAGGAAGTGTGTGAAAAACGGTTCTGTTTGCCTCAGGTTCTTGTCCAGGCGGGCGGACCGTGCTCGCGTTGCTAGCGCGCCGCACTAATCTTCTTTTTGTCTTTTGCTGCAACGACCCCTGAGAGTTTCCTATTCGTATCTAGATATGGGGGAGGTTCGGATCTTTCCGCAGTTTGAAAGGGCCTTTTGCCTATTGGTAGAGGATTCTTGAATATCAGATCATGCCGAATGGTAAATTGGAATGCATTCAGAGAAGTAAGGCGCATGGCACGAAGGAGCTCGTCGCCTTGGAGTTTGACTTTTCCTCATTAATAGCGTAACATCAAACCACAAAAGGATGGAAAGCTTCGTATCATAAGTCCGAAAAAGCCTCAAGGGTAGTGGCGCAGGCTTCAGATTGTTGCTTTGACATTGTCTTCACCTTGAGAAAGACATAGCTCGAGGTCGAGATTTGTAACACGTGTTGATGCGCTGGTTTGACATTGCTATGGCTATTCTTATCTCTGCTCCTCACAGTCCAGATTTTATACATCGTTGTACAAACGCGACAATACCTTGCTGAGATACTTTGTGCATTACGAAGCACCAATGCCCTCTCCGACTGGGCAGTTTGGTACATTCGCCTGCCAAGCGATCTTAGCATACGCTGGCAGATAGCTGTTCGTGGTAAAGCTCTTGTCAATGTAGTACGACACCTGGTTGAGCGAGAAGTCACCACCAACATCGGGTTGATTCAGCGCGTTGACGATGTAGCTAGCGATGAAGTCCAGAAACACAAGATCTACAGTCTTTGGCATGGATCCGTCAAGCGGGAAGGAGGCGTTTGCTTGAAGATCGTTGGGCTGCGAGTAGTCCGGGATAGCCGAGTGTATCGTGTCATCACCGTCAGTGCCGAAGTCATCCTTAGTCGTATAGCCTGGATTGGGAGCAGTAGATTGGCGACGGATAAGACGCCCACCTTGCTTCGATCGGCGGGTAAGCCCTTCGTAGTGGTGCGTTAGTGGCGGATCGATACAGGTGTCTCGGTCTGCGAGGACGGGGCTGAAGCCGAAGTCGGCGGTCTCGAGATCCCGCTTCTTCTTTTGGAAAGCACCCGCATTCAAGATATCAATCACCTGGGAAGCCTGCTCGTAGGGCACATCAGGGATGAACTGGAAGGCGTCATCGAATGGAGAGACGATGAAGGAGTCGTCGTAAGTGAAAGGACCTTTGGCAAGATCAAAGCGAACAGATCCAGTGTTGATGATAATGAGTCTTGGAACATCCTTGCGCGTCTCATTCACGACGACTGTAGCCAATGCAGTCTGTAGTAGTCCGAAGATGTTACCTTCAGCCAGGAAAGGCTTGCAGTACTGGCAGTATGTCTCTGGTGCGCAACTGTTGCAGACTTAGTCCATATCCCAGACCATGCAGATAGTCGATGTACGTACCCATATAAATCAGTCAAGTTGAGCTTGCTTCGGTCTGAAGCGATATCGGAGCTAATGCTGGCACCTGCAGATGTGTCGAACGTGGCGTAGCGTTGACTGTTGGCGGCGTGGTAAGCGAAAGTATTACGGTTCCAATCAAGATATCGTCGTGCATAACGGATCGTGGAGTTTGAAGTAGAAGTGGGCAGGTGTGCGCTTGCAGATGCAGTACCAGTCTTGGCCGGTGCTACCGCGCTCCGTGTGGGGTTTGGTACACCTTGGGGGTTGTGTTGCGCTTTGCAAGTCGTTGATTTGATACCAGACATTGCAAGCCAGCCCAGCGTCTCGCAATATCGACCTAGATGATATTAGCTGGATTTACCAGACTTTTCAGAGGTCCTTACCAGACTCAAGCCCCGTAGCTTTGTTGTCGTATACTGTAAAGTCTCGGATGTGAGTATGCCCACCAAAAGCTTGAATGGGTACATCTGGTTTGATGCTGCGAATAGCCTTGAAGACAGTGCCCATCGTGCTGCTCGAGACGCTAGTCCGCACAGGGTTGTGCCCAGTGATCACAAACAGGTCGATCGGCTCGGTGTAGTTCACAGCTTGTTGAAACCATGGCTGCTTCACCATGTCAGCTGCTTTGATGACCTTGGAGACGTTGCTGTTTCCGGTGAAGTCGAAGAGGACACCGAAGGCCATGATGCGAAGGCCTGTCTATATCAGCATATGATCGTTCCTACGGGCTCTCAACTTACCCTGCTCTGTGGTGAAATAACGGTAACGAGCTCCGATGTACTCGAACTGGCCAGTAGCTGGGTTCATGATCTGCACATTGCTAGTGAGATACTTGTCTCCGTAGACCTTGGAGAAGTTGTTAAAAGTCTCGTAGGCGATCTCGGTAACATAAAGCTCGTGATTGCCGATGGTCAACAAGTCGTAGTCGACGTTTTCGAAAATGACATTCGAGATGTTGCCATTGGGAGACGTCGCATCGCTAAGTCCCGCGCCATCATGTAGGTCCTATCGCAAGTCAGTAAGATTGGCTTTTCCCCCAACCACATGCGCAGCCCTACTCGTCCCCAGGGCCTGATGGTAGACACTAACCCCGGTGTCCACAAGAAGCAGATCGACGCCGAGGTTTCGAGCTTTCTGCTTCATGTGCTTGGTGAAGCTGACGTAGTCGCCCCAGTCCGCACCGTAGTTCTGCTCCTTGATGTGGCCTTCAAGCCATCCATGAGTGTCAGTGGTATGCATGAAGTTGATTTGGCCCCATTCTAAAGGCGCTTTCGGTGTTGCGGTCGCATTCTGCGCGTCCGGTTGCATACGTCGGACGTTCCTGGTCAAGACGACATCATCTTTCAAAGGTCCGTAGCAGCTGTGATAACCTTCGCAGGCCAAGACCGGCGCTACTATGGAGACGAAGGCGCCAAAGGCAAAAGACCGCATTGTGGGAAGAGGGTGAATGGCAGTGCGCGGCGGTAAGCAGGTAGGCCGCCTATCTTCTTATACAGCCTTGAAGGCAGGTACGCGTATGTAGATCCCCCCGGCTGTGCCACCCATGCCGTCAGACAGAATCACACGCAGGGGCGCAAGCGGCAAGATCGCACGTGTAACTGTCATTGGAGAAGAAGATAAGCTTTCGACTAGGCCGTTGACAAGTCTTCGATGCTGAATGCCAAAAAGCTTGATCTGGACTTTCTCCTGCCTGTTGGGTGACAAGCGCGTCGACTAGCGTTCCGAGGACCGGGACGTGTCATCGCACCTCTCCGACGGTTCTCCTCAGCCATCTCCCGTATCTATACACCACTATTCGCCAGCCTGGTTTCACCAATTCGTTCGGGATGCAGTTCGTTTTGCAGTATCCTTGAGAAGCTCTACCACCGTTGATGATTGCTCAACTTGATCAGTGCGTATAGCAGTATCAATTCCGGGTATCTTACTGGAACGCGAAAGACTATCTATGGACATCTCATCACCACGAATCTTGTCTTCGGTCGTTTCTGCCATGGCTGGCTATTTACCGTCGTGAGGTATAGATTACCAGCAGTTGGTATTGCTCGAAACCAAGTTCTGTTCTACATACACGAGTATTGCAGCGTATCGCTTCCACGAGTTATCTCTGGGCTCTAACCAAATCTGAGGTTTCGTCTTCTCACTAAATCATTCCACGTTGTGCATATAGTCAGATCTGTAGACGCGCTCTCATTTCGTTTTCAGTAGACACAAGTGATCATCGAAGCTGAACAATGCACAGTAGCACTGCATCGGCTACAAAAGAATCGACCATCAACTGCAACGCCGCCCACCTCCTTCAGCTGTAGCCATACTCTCAACCAAAACTCCTCATTACACCTCGCCATCATATCGGCTGAGTCAATTTCGCAGCTATGGTTAGCACCAAACGTACCTCCTGCAAAAAAGCTACGAACAAGCCAACTTAAACAAGGCCACATACCGACTCTGTCTAGTATAATAACCCGCTACTATCTGATGTTACTATAATATTCGGTATTGATGGTGAAAAGAAGTTCGACGGCCATCGCCTCATCCTTTGCTCTGCAAGCGAGTGATTTATGAAGGCATTTGGAAACTTCAAGGAAGCCGTTAATCGGAACATTCTTCTCGAAGGTAATCATCCGGAAGGTCTCGAGGCGCTTTTTCAATTCGCGTATCACAACACCTACACAGAGATAGCAGACGCTCCAAAGCAGCTCACGCTTCTACAAAAGCAGTTTCAGCAGCGTCTACGTATCTTCGTAACAGCTAATAAATATCAAGCGCATGTCTTAGAAGCCCAAGCTTACTGTTGTATCAGAGACTTGGTTGATCTCTACACCAATACGAGACAGAATAGGAGCCACGAAGATGCAATGATGGCACGTGAGTTCTTCAAGTGGACGATACAACAAGTATACGAGCAAGGCGAACAATACTTTCCAGCTCTGGGCAACGGCTCGCAGAAAGCTGAACAAGTAGCGGAAGGCGCTTTGCTGCCAGCTTGTATTCCTGCTTCGTCAGCACACTCCTCTCAAACCCCGCGATACAACTCCTCATCCCGTAAGTATGCTTCTGTAAGCGCTATGTCTGCTCTGACATCGAAGTGTTGGAGACTTGTACCGAGAACTGCGTCGGGTTTTTGAGAAATACGAGTTATTCTACAATATTGGTGTATCCATGACCATGTGCTTGAAATTAGACATATTCTTGAGAGTTTGATACATTTAGTCCGCCAAGATGATAGCGGCGCAGCGTGATGAAGAAGATGGAGTGAAAGTGAAGTTGGTCGAAGATTCTCGATGACGAGAGCTGTGGCCCGAACGCGACATCCCACTTCAGCCCCGCAATCGTACTAAACGACGTGCAGCCTCGAGTAACAACAAGAACATACACCTGTAGCACACGGCTCAGATCTCGACCAATATGGTGATCAACTACAGCAAGTGGGTGAGTGATGCGCTTCTGTAATTCTGCGGCTGCAGCTTCTGAGACTGTATTAGGATAACCTGGAGCTCTCCGACGACAGCGATATCGAAGTACACCCCAACGTTGACAAAAAGTCCTTCATTCGCGCGAAACAAGCACAGATCCACCAGGAACGTGACCATCGCCGTCACCAAATACGCACCCTCAAGTACGAGCGCATCATCAACGATGGCCTTACCGAACGCGTCGATCGCCTCCTCACCGCGCTGAAGTCGCACAAGGATAAGCAAGCGGAGGGAAATGGCGCAAACGATGACCAGCTCGTCTTCCAGGCCATGATGGAGAGTATGATGGATATGAAGATTGATAAGGATGGAGGTGCAGATCGGCCGCCGCCACCACCAGAAGGCGTGCATGAGCATATCAAGGACAAGCCTACATACCCGCAGATGATGGCGAGTCTAGTAGACGCGGTCAAGAAGGATATTGACGAGCAGAAGAGCGACGAGCCACGGTATACATTGTTCATACAAGGGCTGGAGAAGGAGAAGGCGCGTATACAAGATCTCCAAAGCCAACTACTGGCAAAGCTGGACGAGCTGGAGAAGGAGGACAAGAAGCACATCACGAGCGACGACATCCATGATGGCTTCAGCTACTCCAGCGTCAAGAAAGCCGAGGAAGAGAAGAAGAAGTCCGCCGCATCGTCTTCAACAGGAGCGAAAAAGGAGCCCACAGTCGAACTCCTCAACAACCCGCAACGGCCTGCAGCCACCCGAACAGATACAGGGCAATCATCGGGAGCAGATGGCGACATTGAAGAAGGAAGCATCGTTGAGGCCTCCCCAGACGACGACGATGACGATATCACCGCCTCACCTCTTGCGCAGCAGTTTGCAAAGATAAAAGTAGGGGACTGGTACGCATGCCTACAATTCCTCATGGCACACCCAGAGATCCTAGCAGAAAAAGAGACCGACGGCCTTCTCGTCGAAGCCTTCAACTCGGAACTTGACGGCAAGCCCAAACACGCCAGACAATGCGTACACCAAGGTCTCCTACTGCAATACTGCCGTCAACTCGGAGGCCGGCAAGGCGTAGAGCTATTCTTCAAGCGCATACAAACAAAGGACCACCAAGCCGGCAAAATGTTCAACGACGACGTCGACTCGACATACCACCGCATCAAGACACGCGCCGCTGAGATCCTGAAAGAACGCGCTGAGAACCCACAATCGGAAGGCGCAGGCGTAGAGCAAATCCAACTCCACGCCGTAGACCCCAACACGCAAATCAACATTTCCGTTCCGCCCAAAGAATCTGTAGCTACCGATCCCCAGGAGAAAGAGGCAGAAGAGCAGGCGAGGCAAATCTTCGAGAGCTTCCCACCGGGACTGCAGCGAGCGCTTGAGAGCGGAAAACTAGACGAGGTGAACAAGGTTCTGGCGAAGATGAGTGTGGATGAGGCGGAGGAGGTGGTGGAGAAGCTGGGTCAGGGCGGCATGTTGAGTCTAGAGGAGGGTGTTATTGACGCGACGACTGAGGAAGGTCAGCAGATTATGGGCGAGATTGAGAAGAACAGGAAGATGCCGGGACAGGCGTAAGATGTCTGTCTGCGTTGAAGGGTTAGGATGTCAGAAGGAACGAATATGACATAGTGATGGGATGATATCGGTGCTGTAATTGTACATTATGATGGGATCATGGTATATTCGAATAACAGTTTTCGACATGACACAAACAGCCTTCCGAGCTAATTATGTACGCTTCCATGCATCTCGACGGTCTTGGCCTAGAGCTATTCGTGGATCTGTTACGTCGTCCTTTTGATGGCTGCCATACCTCGGGCTTATATCCTACAAGTGTTCCTTAGTGTATGCCACGTCTGCGACTCAGCCTGTTCCTTCGATATCACATGGGGGGTTTTTTTTTCTTTACCGATATCACTGGTATTCCCTCAGATGAGCTCGGCAAAATTATCGTCGATACCTGCCATGTCCCTGTCGCCGGCAAAGGCCGCAAAATCGTCGTCTGCCGCATTCCTGCTCATCTTCCTCTTCTTGTGCGCGTTCTCATACGCTTGCTGACCGTAGACTCCACCTTCAGCTCCTGGTCGCGCATGTTGTAGGCTCTTGAGGAGATCTGCAGCTGGGTGCTGGTTCGGCTCGCCGATTGCGGTTGCGAACTCGGGCTGGGTCGTGTGGTGCGCGGGCGCAGGAGCGGTCTCTGGTACAACGGGATAGGCAACGGGCTGTGGCATTTCGTCGTCGCGGATGGCGGGTACCGGGTCGTTCCTGGGTGCGGGTACTTGCTGTGGTGATCCAACAGGCGTGAAGGACTCCATAGGCGGAGGAGTAAGTTCCTCTACCTCGGGTCGTTCTTGCGCGGCTGAGAAAGTGGCAGCGACCGGCGAAGTTGTAGCGACTGGGAGAGGCGCGGTGGAGATCCTATTCTGCTCGGCCGCTGAAAGGCCTTTGAGAATGGCTTCCTCGACTGCGCGCTTTCTGCTTTCTATCGCGTCCTTGCGCGTCTTCAGGTCCGACTCCTGTGCCTCTTCGTCGATGAGTTTTCTCTTGTTCGTTTCGAGAAGGTGCTCAAGACCGGTGATGAGGGCTTTGCGCGCCTTGATGCTCTCTGCGACGGCACCTTCGGCCAGCGCAAGCTTCTTGCAGAGCGCAGCGAGCCCTGCTGCGTGCATGGGTGGAGATGGAATTGCGGCATTCGGGTTGGTAAGCTTCTCGTAGTCCTGGTTCGCGGCCGTGACAGCGGGTTTCGTCGCAAGATCGGCTTTCTGAAGGGTCGTCGCAAGGGGCGCGACGGGTGTGAGTTCAGGTGGAACAGTGGAACTGGAAAAGAGAGATCCACCAAGAGCAGGCTTGCGCGTAGACTTGGATCGATCGACGTCGTCAATCGACCTTTCAACTGCCTGCTGTACAGCCTGGTTGAAGATGTTGCGCTGCCTCCAAACCTCGACTACTCTTCGGATCTTGTTCTGTATCTCGTGGGGAGAGCCTTTGTAGGCTACCGTGGTGCCTTCGGCAAGGATGGGTTCGTATGCGCGCAAGAACTCGTCCTTCTTGCGCATCTTGGAGGTTTGCGTGATTTCGTTGGCGAGATAGATCAGGACCAGCTTCTTGTTTGGCGGCGACTCCTTCATACGCTGGAGCCATACGTGCGCAATGCGCTCGGCATGTCGTCTGTACACGTGACATCAGTATATGGTCCATGGAGTAAAGCATATGCATGCAGACAAACTGATTGCACCAACCTCACTATTCGGTCTTGGCAGAAAATGGGAGGCTTTACCTGTGGAAGAGGATCCATTGACCAACAGTGGAGATGGCGTCCTGCGTCTCATTGAGCGATGAGAGCTTTGCCTTGAGGCTGTCTTCGGTGAAAGCCATGTTCAGCGTCTTCACGAATAAATGCTGCAGCTACTGAAAGACGGCGCGCACGCGACTAGTTTGACAATCAACCCGCGGAAATGTACGATGTATGCCAACAGAGTCGATGAAGCCTTCAGTATGCGATATGCTCCTTGCGAGTGCTCGCGACTACAGTGATGACGTGTGTTGGGGATAGGAATGGGGGAGAGAGAACTAAACATGGAAGGTGAGGGAAGCTCGAGAGGCTAAGTGGTTTGCGGCTAAACGTGGCTCGGTCGCGCCAAGCAGCTCCCTGGTCCGTCACCGACGGTAACTGTGCCTGACGCAACAACAAGACACTTGTAAGCAATCCATTGTCGCCAATCGTATATTCTCTCCTCGCACTACATCCTCCACAAACTCGACATCCACAATGGCCGACCGATTCCCCTCATTAGACGAGATTGATGCTGGTGAGCTCAGCCAGTGAACCCCCGAAGCAGCTCCGCATCGAATGCTAAACTCCCCAGGCCAAACCGAAGCGCGCGGCGATGCGGCAGACTTCGATATTGCCGGCAACTCCAACGATGCGAGCAACTTCCTCGACCGTGAACGCGCGCTCCTCGGTGACGATGCAGACCAGTTTGCTTCGGAAAACGACAGGGCTGCGACTGTTGAGGATGGCGACGATGACCTGCTAGGGGGAGACTTCAGCCAGGCCAACGTTGGCAGCCAGGAGATGAGCGGCTTCGAGAGCTCCTTCCCCGCCATTGACACGACCAACGATGTAAGCACCGCCTGCTTCCTTGATAGTAGCTTGGGAAATGTTGCCATCTGGCATATTCGATATACGAATCTTCGATGAGCCAGTTGGAATGTGACCCAAGGAAGGAAACAACCATGTTCCGCTCAATATACTGACTCCGGCAGCACATGGCTCCTGGTGGCACCATCACAGGCTCCGGCTTGCCCTTCCTCCCCGGCCAACCAACACCATCCTTCACCCCACAACGATCAGACTCACCCGAGCCCGACGTCATTCGGGAATGGCGCGAGCGCCGCGACCTCCAGATCCAGCACCGCGACGAGGTTTCCCACGAGCGCAAGCAGAGGACTATCCAGGAAGCGCAGCAGAACATTGACGACTTCTACGAGAACTACAACAACAAGAAGGACAAAGAGATTGCCAAGACACGGAAGGAGGCGGACGAGTTTCTCGCAAACCGGGACGACACCACCGCAGGCGGTACCAGCTGGGAGCGCATCGCAAAGCTGGTCGATCTGAGTGGAAAGGGTACCAAGGGCGGCGCATCAGGTAGCGAAAAGGCCCGATTCCGGGAACTACTGCTCAGCTTGAAGAAAGACGAGAAGGCACCAGGTGCCACTGGATACTAGGGGAATCATGACATGGTAGATGGCCAACTTTTTTTTTCGAGCTCAGGGCATGGTTTTGGCATACTCGAACGTCTGCGGCCATAACTTGGAGTTCATGGATAGGTTGCAGGTTACTTCATGCAGCTGTGTTAATACTTACTCTCTGATTGCCTACAATTGCTCCTGGACTTCAGTATTGAGTACGAGCAAAATACGTGTCTAAGCATCTCGAGCAAACATTCGATTTGTTAATGTATCATGTAGGTACGGACGCGTTGGCTACAGAAGTCTAACGTTCAGCCGTCTCATGAGCGCAACGCAAGCCTCACCAACGCTTTCTCTATTTTCAACAGAGCTAGGTGCTGATTACACAGGCTATACTCACTCGCTAACTACGTGAGTTAAGACAACGTCGGCAATCATCCCTTCTCGTCTCAGTCTGTATTACATCCTCGCTCTAACACGGCAAGCGGCCTGGATCTACCATCACTATTTCTATCCGAAACGTACAAGCTGTTGAAAACATGCTTGCGAAGAATTATCCGGCGAGGATGTCGTGAAGAAGGCGCTGGCGAAATTGTGTTGGAATATCAAGACTTCGCTACGTGTATGTTGGAAAAGGAGACAGTGAGCGTTGCGTTGGGAGTGATATTGAGCGGAGGGGCAGAGTGTTATGAGATGTGATAGATTTATGCAGACGTGCGCTTCTATAGTATAGTAATGACGGTGTCACCTAGACACTCGACTCGGCATGGGCTGTCTGATTCCAATTTGACCAAGCAGATAGAGCCATGAAATTCGTCGGATTCCCTAATCCACATCTTCTGGCCAAAGCCAAGATCTTGTCCAGCGCATCGCAATCTAACATCGCGCCCACACCAAACCATCCTCAACCCCCCGGGCCGCCTCGCAACAATCCCGCAGCAATCAATCTAAGGCGTTCGGCATTGTGGCATCGTGACACAACGTCGACCAGCAACCCGGCTTTCCCTATATAACATACAGATTAATTTCTCCGACGACGCATGATAACCCGGTAACAGCATCCGCAATCACGTGTAATGTGATCTCTAATCTGAGACAACGACCAAGCATCTAATCATGTCCACCAATCGTGAATCGCAAGCGTCGTTGGCATGTTTTGCATGCCATGTTTCAAGATGGTCCCGAGGTCAAGACTCCACTCTAGTTCGCCAGCAACCGCCGCCCTGTGGCGTATCGCCCACAATTCTGTTTCTTCACAAAAAGCATGTTTGCATCTACTCAATAGAAATGACGTCTGACAAGAGACTCGACTACCAACACTCATCTCGCTTACTTTCAATATGTTCCTTTACGGGGAGAACGGCTAGATCAAGCTACTCCTCGCAGCCTCGAAGAGGAACTGTGGAGTCACCAAGACCACCATGTGTCGCTAGCGTGCCGTGATTAATCTACGCACCCTCCTTCATGATCGCCCCCAGCATGCATCATCATGGCAAGTTTCAAACATTCTGCAATCCTGTGTGACGCGCAGCAGCCCTGTGTCGTGGAGTAATTACCACCGAGGAAACGATGTGTACTATAAGAGCCGCAACCTCGAGCAATCTATTCCGGCATTCAGGTCACTCAGTACCGATCGCATTGCATCCATTCACTCTTTTTATCCCAACTTAAAAAGTCATTCGCTTCTTCTTCAACTTATACCACACTCATTACGCAGGATCGTATTTTCAACAAACCTTTCACTTCTTTCTTCAACTCTATCGAATCGAACATTTCCACGATGAAGTACATCACCTCCGCCCTCGCTTTCACTACCGCCGTTGCGGCTCACGGCTATGTCAACAACGCTACTATTGGTGGCAAGGAATACGTCTTCTACCAGCCTTACCAGGACCCTTATATGACCGACGTGAAGCGTATCTCGCGTCCTATCCAAGGCAACGGACCGGTTGAGGACGTAACCATTTCCGATGTCCAATGCGGCGGTTACGCCGCTGGCGGTATCAACGGCTCCAAGCCCGCTGCTCTGCATGCTGAGGCTGCTGCTGGCTCCGATGTTGAGCTCTTCTGGACGCTCTGGCCTGAGAGCCACATGGGTCCTACCATCACTTACATGGCCAAGTGCCCCGACACTGGTTGCAACAACTGGATGCCCGAGTCTGCGTAAGTGTTATTTCTTTCTCATCTGATCTTCGTCGTGCTAACGTTGTGACAGTGCTGTCTGGTTCAAGGTCCAGGAAGACGGCCGTCAAGGCACTTCAGACGTGTGGGGCTCCGACGCTCTTCAGGTTCCTGGCGGTTCCGTCACCTACACTATCCCCAAGTGCATCGCCCCGGGATACTACCTCGTCCGTCACGAGATTGTTGCGCTGCACGCCGCATACCAGTACCCTGGTGCCCAGTTCTACCCTGGCTGCCATCAGCTCAAGGTCACTGGCGGTGGAAGCACCAAGCCCAGCGGTCTCGTGTCCTTCCCCGGCGCCTACAAGGGCTCAGACGCTGGCATCACTTACGACGCATACAAGGCCTCGACCTACACTATCCCCGGTCCTAAGAAATTCACCTGCTAGACGGGTGACTTGCGGATCAGCAACCCTGAGATGAAACACACTTCACTGTAAATATTCGCATTCGTACATAGCTCTCATCATGAATGGTTCTCTGCAATACCCCCAAGAAATCTTCTGTCTCTAAGCTTTGCCTTTATGCCGTGTTGCCCATGCGTGACCACACCCGACGTCTGCAACGAAGTTTCATTACACTCTTAGTGAAGCTTGTCCCGTCGGCTATTACATTGGTGTACGGTTACTCGATGCGCTGAGAATGATGCGCCGCGTCACAACTATCATCTTGTATGACGTGTTGGATCCCATGTAGATGAAGAAGCTTTTAGCGAGCGTATCGAGCAGGTATCCAGTATGACTGGTGTGTAATTACTGCTGCAGCTTATGTCTCGTGAGGTTTGCCAAGTAGGTTTTCAGTGTGTTCAGTGGTGGCGAGATCGGCTTAACTTCGAGTACGAGTCCCACGATATCATGGTCGCCCCTCTCTTGGTCGCAGTACTTTTGCACGGGTATTGTTACTGCTCTGCCCGATGCTATTCTCCTATACTTTCGTAGTGGATCTCGTATCTCGAGCTTGTGTCCCGCGGTCGATTTGTAAACCTTTCTTTTTCCTCGTAAGCGGTATCTTTTCTAACCCTCGGTTCAAGGCGCGCTCGCATGTCTTCTTCACATGCCTCTGGCAGACCAATAGGCCGTCCTACTTCTAGAGTTTTCACTCTGCGGAGACAGAGCGCTTGTTTTTACCTTAGGTGTGGACGCAGAGTTCTGGTCAGATGAACAACCATCTCGGGCCTTCTTTGTTTCCTTTTCTATGCTGTGAAGCGTTCTGGACTTGCATTCAGCCGTGTATCCGCCACTTTACGTGTTCAGTTCTGATCTGCGTTGTGGTGTCTGCTGCCAAAGCATCTCGGCTGCACATCTTTCTTAGAAGCGTGTGCTGGATACGATGTGGTTGCGCTTGCCACGGTACTGGCGGATGCAAAGCCTACCTGAGCCAACGATGCAAGATGCTCTTGGATTGGTTGCTCCATCCTAGTTTCTGCGTTGTCGGTGTCGGTTATACTATAGATTCGAGGGTGTGAGCGAAAGTTGTTGTAGATGACTCAAAACGGTAGCGCCTTGTACGATCGGTGAGGTCTGATTAGCGCTATGTGCTGTCGTCTCTATGGACTTGCATGAAGATTAGCCAAACTTTAGATCCAAATTTTTGGTGTTGAACAAGTCCAACATCCTTCTGTAGGATATGGAAAAGAGCGCCACTATCCGATCAGTCTAAACAGGAATTAGCTGAGTTACTATACTAGAAATTGTACACCGTATGAAGGTAGAAGCTGCCCAGCGTGGGCTTGCGCCAATCTGGTTGCCAGGCTGATCGCCGGCCTAACGGATGGGTCCGCACATGGCTTCGGCACTATTATGAAACCGCCGAAAGGAAGAGGCATCTTCTAGAAGGGATATCAGAGTCGTTTTGAGAAGCAAGACGAGTCAGTTTACAGCCGGACGAAAGGCGCGCTGCTTGCGCGTGATGCAGGAACACTTGTGACGATCCTTCTTCGTAATGTCGGCAATGCTTTGAAAAGGCAATTGCTAATGGGATTGCGATTGGAATCGCGGTCAGTACGACGTGAACAGCAAGCGGTAGCATGATGACTGGCGCTGCAGCTAGCAATGCGATGATGCCCACAGTGGGCCCCTAAACATCGGCTCTGCTCCTTCCCCGACTCACATCTGCGCCGTACCAAACTAACCATTGAGTACTAACACGACCGACAGCCCGACACGAGATGACGGTATACCCATGTCTACCGTCTCTTCGATAAGGCAGCTTCAAGCGATGCCGGTATACTCCATGGCGGAATCTTGGGAGCATCTCCATCTTACGACGCATCATCGCCTTCCGTTGCAACCGTGAGCGCTTGACAAACGTTAAAGACCAAGGTTTTCTGACAATTCGTCCAACGGCTCTGCTTTGTGCTGTACTCCGTGTCAAGCGGACTTACTCGAGCAGGAGGACCCTGGAATAGCCCCCCTTGGGTGAATAGCCGCGAGCTTCCACCGCTCTTTCGATCTTGCCAACCTTCTCAGACGTCTAGCGAGTATCTGATGTCCTGGCCTGGGTGACTTCATCATGATCACCTGGCCATGTGCATGCTTAGGCGATATTGCGGATCCATTCTTCATCGTGGCTGGTTGTAGCAGAGACGATCTGTGCTGCTGTTCAGAACGGACCCTCGAATGTTCGTGGCGCGCATGAAGGCGCGCGACTAACCACGGTTTACGAAGTGGGAGAGGCCCAGCGCAATGGTAATGAAAAGCAAATCTCCGTGGGCGATTTCGCTGGGTTCGTGTTACATGTGCATTGGTTGTCACAGGCAAGACGCGTGTGTGCCACATCGCAGGCATGTGTCGCTTATGCTACTCGTCTTGGAAACGTTCCACTGCGTGGGGTTCTACGATAAGCTGTCGACCAGACTTTTGCTTCGAAAGTATATCGTTGAACATACTGAACAACGGACAGATACTGGCCGACATTTCAGGCGAGTGTCAGGGATCAAGGCCACGGATGAGAGCTCCCGTCGCGGTTCATGGAGCGACTCCGAAGTCTGGGTTCCGTAAGAGCCCAGCCAGAAGCTTACAAAATTCCTTGATATCATGCTCATTAGCTATGCTCCTCGGCCAGTGTCAATCGTAGCATAATACCCGCGCAGCCAATGAACTTCTCCCTCTTCACCGCTTGAATGAAGATTTCTTAGAACAGCCAGGGGGAACCGGTTACTGGCAGACCGTAGTAACGCCCGAGTCGTACCGCTCGTGAGCTCACGCAAAGCAAGCCGCACTTCCACCTGCCTGCGTCATAGCTCCTGAAGAACGTGTTAGGCCGCGGCAGTTTCCTGCTCGGACATTGAGCATGAACTCGGTGTAGGCGATGCGCGTTGAGTAATCTACTGTGCTTCGCGACACAAAGGCGAGACAACCACAGAAAATTGTCAAGAGATTTACCCACGCCGCTTTGACAGGCGTCACAAGCGTCTCATGAGGTGGGTTACACATTATTCCCAGGGCTGAGTATACCCCAGTCAGGAATGCAAAGTAAACGGCCCGCCACTTTGGGTCGCCGGAGCGGCACCAGTCTTCTTGGCTCGAGCACGCTACTTCCTTCAAACGTTCGGCACCAGTCTTCGTGCGCAAATGACAGTACCGTAAACCCACAATCGCTTCAGTGTCTCCAGGATCTGCCCGTCTGTGGAAAGAGGCTGATTGCATGCTATTCGCTGCCTTTTTGCACCCTGTCGTCCCACTCCTTACTGCCCTTTTCCACATTCACGCCTCGAGCACCACACTCCGCACGTGTCATCATGGCAAACGCTTTGGAATTGCTACCCTGATTGTAGGTTGCATCTCGCAATTTGATACTACTGGACCGTTTTCGGCACCGTTCTCTGCAGAGCTCGTTTTACGTAGCCAGGACATCATATAATCCACTACATGTCTCCCATGTTTCTACCACCATTTACCCGACCACCCACCCTTTCCATTTCGAGTATCAACTCCCCGGTAGCTGGGTTTGTGGGTCTACGCTGTGGCTGTCAATCCTCCTAGTGTGTCTCCGCCGACGGCCCACCGTCTTTTACACCCTTCTAAATTCCTTCTACGCTTCCTTCGCCGAGACTCTTCTTGTTTCTTTTCAACACTCTCATGCTGTTTGTTGATTATTGACCATGGGCTTCAATCCAGACTCCAAAGAATTGGGACCGAATGCGCCACAAGTTGGGGAAAGAGCGCTCCAACCTACAATCTCCAGCCGCTCAAAAGCAGCAGAAGCAGCAGGGAACAACCATAATCGAAGCATCATGGCAACAATCGCAGACGACGACGACCGGCTACTGGTGCGCATTGGATATACTCCTGTAAGCACTCCAAGTCTTCCACTCGAGCATTCACCAACAGTCTTCGCAGGTGCTACAAAGACATTTCTCAAGATGGTCTACCGTCTCATACGCCATCTCAATTCTAGGAGTGTTGGGCTCGGTGCCCGCAACCTTCGGAGCCCCAATGAGTTCAGGCGGTCCAGCAACGGCAGTATGGGCGTGGCTCATCGGCAGTGTCATGGCATACTGCATAGCCAGCTCAGGTACGTTCGAAACACATCTGAGAGAGCCCTAGTTAACTCCTTGTCAAGTTGCCGAGTTAGTATCCGCATATCCAACAGCTGGAGGAATGTACTATGTCACAAAACACGTTGTACCACCTAAGCACGTTGCAGCGTGGGCGTGGATCATTGGGTGGTGCAACTTCCTTGGTCAAGCAGCTGGTGTTGCAAGTCTGGCGTACACAATCTCCCAAATGATATTGGCGACCGTTGTCATGCACACACTAGACAATGGAGACTCTGCCTACGTGCCGTAAGAGATACCCCATTTGTACGACATGCAGCAGCTTACCGACAGAAACAGGCAAGCATATCAGACCGTCCTCCTCGCTATCTTCGTACTGTGCATGTTTGGCACAATCTGCTCATTCCCTACGAACTGGCTCCACCGCATTATTTTGTGGTTTGCCCCTATCAACAGTAAGCCAAGGAAGGAATGAATCTCAGCACTATCTGACAATAAGCAGTCATTGCATCAATCTGCATCTGCATCGCTCTTCTAATTCTCACACCGAACAAACAAAGCCCGCAATGGGTATTTACAACCGTCATGGACGGCTCGGGCTGGGGAAGCAAGGGCTTCTCGTTCCTTCTTGGGTATGTCTGAACCAATGCATGCATACGGACACGTCACTAATCATACACAGTTTCCTCTCTGTTGCATGGACGATGACAGACTACGACGGCACAACACAGTAGGTCAGCCCTACCGCTTGCGTATCAGCCAATCTAATCATTGTTACACAGCATGTCGGAAGAAACGCACGATGCCGCTATTCGTGGCCCTGTAGCAATTCGAGCGGCGATCCTCGTTTCCGGTGTTGTAGGATGGATGCTAACAGTCACCTTCTGCTTCTGCATGTCAGACTACGATGAGATTATGGCGACACCGACCGGTCTTCCCGTCGCCCAGATCTTCTTCAACGCCGGCGGCAGAACAGGTGGAACTATCATGTGGTTCTTCGTCATGTTGGTCCAGTTCTTCACTGGCTGTTCTGCCATGTTGGCAAACGCGAGAATGGCTTGGGCCTTCTCCCGTGACGCAGCCTTCCCGTTCTCAGGGTTAGTCACCGCCTCCAATCGGCGCTATTATCCCGGAGCTGACAGTGCATAGTTTCTGGAGCAAGGTCAATTCGTACACGGGTACCCCAGTCAATGCAGTATGGCTCGTTGTCATTTTCTGCAGCTGCCTCGACCTAATCGGAATCGGAAGCACCCTCACGATCACGGCTATTTTTAACATCACCGCGCCCGCTCTGGACATCAGTTACATTGCAGTCATCATCGCACACCGATGGTACGAAAACACTGTCGTCTTCCATCCTGGACCATACACCATGGGCAAATGGAGCAAGCCGGTCAATGCGATCGCAGTCACATGGGTTATCTTCATTAGTGTTGTGTTGTTCTTCCCGACCGTGAAGCCAGTGAGGGCCGACAACATGAACTACGCTGTTTGTGTGGCAGCCTTCATTGGCTTGTTTAGCACGGCCTGGTGGTATGCCGGGGCAAGGAAAAAGTACACCGGCCCGCGCACCAGCGATACCATCGACATGCTTCCACCCGAGGATCCAGAGGACATTCTCAGCGACTACGATACAGTTTAGTGGACGACTCCGCGTCATACTCGCCTGTTCCTATTTTGGAGGCGTATCGCTAACTAAATACCCAACGACTTTTACGACCTCAGAAAATATTGATAGTTGGTTTCATCTTCTAGGAGTTTATACGGAGGTGGACATCTCTTCATTCTTTAGCGTTGCCTACTCTCTGGGTTGCTTTTTACTTTCATCATTACTTCCGAACATTTGGAGTCACCACCTAGACGGGAAAACATCAGAGGACATTCCCATTCACTTGCGCAAGATACCTATAGATCGGATGATACCCCCCAAGACGCCACCCGCGTACTGGAGAGCAGAATTATGCCAATATTCTTATCATTCAGCCCGATATACTTGATTAATACCATTCGTTCCCCATTTAAAGATTATCCTTCCCCCGCTCTGTGCCCATGTCATCGCATGAATATCAATGGTCACAACCCTCTTCCACTAGCGTGCATGTATGCAATGCAGGTCATATCTGGCCGGTAGATCCGCAACTAGTCTCACACCACCAATTACAATAAATCCGGGTTGTTTTTTCTTTTTGTACTTTCTCTGTACCTACTAATTGGGGTTAGAGAGGCATGTGAACACGGCTCGCTTGCTTACATGACCCCACGCTGCGAAGCTACTTCATGCGTGCAATACTAGCGTTCCAGCAACTACGTAGATGCGGTGTACTTCGCACAATATTTCCCCTTTCGGATCTGATCTGTGGGCAGGGACAATGGAGATTGTTATAGAGGAGATTCGCTGGGTACGTAATACGGCGATAAAGAGATTCATGGTTGCTAAATCGTAGCCGTCTAGACAATTGAAGAGGCGACCGTACACGCGGTGCGTGAACCTGAAACTATGTTAGAACTACAAATCCTGTATGGACTCCTCTACATCACATACATGCATTGAGTTGCAGCACGAAAGGAAGAGTTCCTTTATGAACCAGAAACTTGTAGAGTCTTACAATAGACCATACCACAACGCATTCATCCCACTCACCAGAGAACTCAGTCCACAGAACACAATAAGTCCACCATAACCACTTCCGTAACCGCCAATCGTGTCTCCCTTCCAAGGCATCCCATCAACGAGCGCTTCGCTTAGAGGGCCAGAGACGATATTGCCGATCCCTCTACCAACACAAAACAGTGAAAAGATCAAGATAGTATCTACATGACCAAAACCCCTAGCCTCCCCCGTCTCCGCCATCTCCCTCATAACAGCCGGCCAAGCAGCAGCAAACCCCCCACCAAATAAGCCGAACAAGATGCAGAAGACGTAAAGAATAGCAACGCGTACAGCCAAGCCCCAGAAAAGGAAGACAGAGAGAGTAGCACCCACAGCAGAGATAGCAATGCAGGTCCGGGAGTTGAATCGATCAGTCATATGGCCCATGATGATGAGTCCCATCATAGCAGACACGTTCAACAGCATAAGTGAGAGCGTAGACAACCAATCCGAAGTGCCAAAGACTTGACGAGTGAAGGTAGGTAGATAAATGCCCGGCAGATAGTAACCGGCACCCTGAACGAGATTGGCAACCTGATGAAGGAGGAAAGACCGGGAACGGATCAGTCTCCAGTTCCAGAACCGCTTCTTCGTATCCGTGGCCGATGGTGGTAGTCTGGGTCTCACAAAGTAAGCTAGTGGGATGCCAATACCGAAAAGTATAGCAGCCAAGATACGCATGGTAGTCTGAAACCCCGTTCTGGTAAGTAGGGCGTTGATGAGGAGAGGGAGGAGGAGACCCCCAAACCCACCTCCACTGCCTATGATACCGAAAGCTAGACCTTTGCGTTTGTCGAACCATTGGTCTGCGAATATGAGGAGAGGACAGAAGGCGATACTTCCGCTGACGCCGAGAAGTATGCCCTGGGTGCCGATAAGCTGCATGATGCTGTTGCAGAAAGAGCTTGCTATGTTGGAGATGATGCAGCCTAGGATGCCTGCTGTCGCCATCCAGCGTGCCCATCTGGGTTTCCGACGTGCGAGTTGGACGATGGGAGGCATACAGATGAGGATGAGACCTTGGTTTAGAACGCCAATAACTGCGATGTCCGCGGAACCTAAGAAGGGTGGTGTGGTGCTGTAATAGTCTTGGAAACGACCGTAGGAGAAGGAGAAGCCTGTGTTTTACGGAGTTAGTATGAAGAGGTGTTGTGTGATAGGAAGGGCTCACCGATTGTCAGGGCTTCGATAGCAAAGGCTGCGATAAGGAAAAGCCATGCATCTTTTCCTCTATCCACAGGCGGTAGGTGGAAGGATGTAAACTCGATCGTGCTGTCTTGGGACTGCTCAATGCATTTTTCTTGAGAGCCCGGCCTGGTGGGTAGACCTTGGTCAAATGGTTCAGTAATGGCATGTGCGCTTTCCACGCGCTTCTTGGACATCTTCGCGTTCGCGAGCCTAAGCACCGGGTTGAGCGGAAGAAATCGAGGAAATGATGAATTGACCATACTCGAGCGATTGTCTAATGGCTTGCTTCCAAAAAGCTACTCTCTCAAGAGACACAGTTCGCGTGTACTTGAAGCAAACATACTCCTTACCCATCCAATGAGTAGTGTATTCTCCGCATGCGCCTTGCGCCCACACGCCTTACGCCTACGACCCTTCCGCCTCATACACCCCTCCCGTACGCAGCTTGGCTCCCACGCCCTACGCATCTGCAGGCCAGTCTTGGCAACCATTCATCCGCCATTTAACCTTCTCTGCCACACTATCATCGCAAAGACGGCAATACCTGGACGTCGAAAACGACCGGGGAGGGAAGAAGCTGACTTCGATGGATTCCGACAAGAAGAGGATTGGTTATGCTTCTTCTCTTATGATGCAAGGAAGCAGAACAAGGCCGGCGAATCGTAACAATACCTTCACTTGGGCTTGCAGGCGGCGTTTTAGATTGCATATAAACTTGTATTGATGCATTTCAGGCTTGACTGAAAATGGGGTATTCTAAATGGCGCAACATGACTAAAAAAGAGGTAGATGGAGAAAAGGAAAAGTAGTTGTAAAGAATGAACATATCGACATGAAGTGGAACAAATAACTTTTGGTCACCCTTCCCTTGTTTCGTCGATAGTTGTTTTGGCGTTAATGTCGTTGCGTTATATTATCTTTCGCCCGCTGGTGTTGCGAAGCGTGTCGTGCTCTCCCTGCGCATGGCGTATATATTCATGTGCGACCTCCTTACGGTCTGGACACATGGTGTGCTCCAATGCTGTGTAAGGTATCACTTGTCGCAAGTTTCCCTTCGATCGGACTGTGATGCTGTCTTGTTTCTCTGTCGGCCTGGTCACAGGCAAACACCCGTCTATTATCGTTGACCATGTAGGAACGTAACAAGCAGATGAGCCCGAGAGAGTATTTACGATCGTCCAGTTCCCATACGACCAAGCTCTTTTATCCGTATAGCAGGCATCTTGCTGAAGCGCTTGCTACTTGTTGTGGTGGATGAGTTTGCCGAAGACGGTGACGAGGCATAGACGTATTCGCCATCGACGTATTGCGCTTCGCTGATGAAGGTAGTACGTTTCTCACGGCGTGTGTAGCGTTGTTCGAGGCGGTATAGCTCGAGGCCTAGAGTGGACTGCTGTTAGTCGACTGTCTCAAGTCGTGAAGGATCATGGCCGGGGTTGGATAGTGCGAAGCGAGGTAAGACATACGAGCTTGAAGCTTCTCAATGAGACCCATTGTGTATTGTGTGGAATTTATTGTGCCTGATTATCCGCGCGCCGAGAGATATTGCGTTTGTGTCGAAGAAGGAATACCGAGGAGAGGCGTATCGTGGATATGGCACGGTTGTAATGTCGCAATGTGCTCGCCAGCCAGTTCCCTGTTGCACTGTTGCAAATGCCGTATCGGATTGAGGCCACACCAGGTATTGATTTGTGTTGTTTTAATGATGCGCTTCACTTGTATAAGATTGTCGCTCAAAATAAGTGGGTGGAAATATAGGTGGTAAACGAGTGTCGATGCAGGGCGGGAGGGGAAACGAGTGGTCAAAAAGGAACAGAATGGCTGGTAAAAGACGGGATCAACGACAACGGTACGCAGTTCCAAGAGGAAGGAGGAACATCCCTCGGGTAGGCCTGTTGGGGCGGGACGACTGCTAGGCATTCCAGGTTTCATGCACTGGCAGTTCTCGAATCCCAAGTTGCATGAATGTGGCCTAGTAAAGCCGAAAGCCAAAACATACCAGACCTAGACGAGCTATCGTGCCGGCGTTGCGGAATCGTGAGTCGTGGGCCGTCTTCGTTCAGTGCGTGTCACGTAAACATGGAGATTACTGTTGCGATGTGCAACAGACTATCACTTGGTGTCCTGGGCGACTTACGGGTACCGCGTGTTGCGGAAATCTCTCCGAAGGGTTCTAAAACCCCAACATTTCCAATGTTCGCATCCCAAAGGTGCCTGACTCTCGAGTCAGGTTCTCACGTGGGCATCAGGGGTCTTGGGCGAGGCCCTAAGTGCCGACGCCACTGCCTTGGCAACAGACGCTCGTCCCAGGGGCGCATTGGTAATCGCTATGCAGCAGAATCATCCACCGGGTAGCAATCGACATCGTCGATTACAGAACAGAAACGTTTCTCACGTAGTAGGATAAGGAAAGCTTTCATGACATAGGATCTGGTTGCTTCTTCAAAACCAAGTGCTTAAAAACCAAGTGCTTAAAAACCCCCGGGATCGCCATGCTGCATATCGTAGATCTATAGCCTCACTATGCTCCGTGCTCTATTATAGTTGAAATTGCTTGCCAGTACCTCCTCGCCCTATGACCTCATGTAACTACCCGAGACTCAGGAACCGTCCCATCGACAACAGCAATCGCGCCAACGTTGCCTGCATCGGCTGATCCGTTGAGCAACGAAATAACTGAAATGACATCTGAAGGCTCGACCAGATGCCAGCTCGCCAACGTTTGCTTCGAACTAGCGCCAACAGTGACCGAGAAGACGTGATCTGTAGGCAGTTTAGATTGGCGCAGCGATCGGAACATGTCTATCTATGTTAGCTGACCGACTGGGAAACTACGAGTGCAACACATACCTTCGTCTGTAAAGTCGTCGCCCATGCAAAGAACAAACTCGGGCGCATTACCGCTACCTTCGCCGTAGTCCTGTACGAGCGTCTTCGCGATCTCGCCCTTGTTCACAAACTTCGGACGAACCTCAAGGTTGGCTTTGCCTGTCATAACCTCGACATCGTGCTTCTTTGCGACAGTCCTCTCGAGATGTTTCTGGCACTCACGCGCCTGGAACGCACCATACTCGGGGTCGGCTCTCCGGTAGTGCCACGTTAGGGCGATCTTCTTGCGTTCGATGAAGGAGCCTATTCATCTATTAGTGCTAGACTATTTGGTGAGGGACGTGGAAAGCTCACCTTGAGTTCTCTCTGTGTAGTGTTGGAACACGTCAATGACTTCCTGTTGCCAGCTCATATCGGTCGTTTCGGTGAGATTATGCCATTCCTGACTGCGCGGATGCCGCATAAAGCTGCCATGCTCAGCACTCAGGCCTAGCTCGGGAATGTGACCCATCCATTCGTCTAGGAAAGCCTGATCTCTGCCGCTGATGATCCAGACAGCATTGGCAGGGTCTGCTGCCAGGGTCTTGAGAGTACGGATGACACGATCAGATGGGATAGCTGCTTGTGGGTCCTTGACAATAGGTGTTAGAGTACCGTCGTAGTCGAACATGAAGAGTCGCTTCTTGGCTTCACGGTATTGGAAGAGTAGCTTAGCCCGATCCAGTGCCGGCGTGGCGAACGCTTGGTCGAAAGATGACAGGTTTCTCATCAACCGCTTCAGGTAGTTGTTTGACCAAGCTTGAACATTGTTTTCAACGACGTGCCTGTAGAGTTGAGCGTGAACATTGGCACGATGTTCGTCACTCTGTTTCAGAGCGTCGTTAATCGCATCGGCGACTCCACCCATATCCCAGGGGTTGATGTGACTTGCGGCGCTGAGGGAACTTGATGTACCAGAGAATTCCGAGAGGATGAGTGGGCCGTGGTTATCCTTTTGGCAGATGATGTATTCCATACTTGTAGTGTTCATGCCGTCTCGCACGCTAGTGATGAGGCCGATGTCTGCAAGTCGGAGCAGGGCAAAGTATTCCTCTCGGGAAAGGTACTGTGGGAAGTGACGGACTGGGGTGAAGTCAAGTGTGCCGTATGTGCCGTTGATCTTAGCCGCAAGGTCCGAGATCTTGTTAACTACCTTTTCCTGTGCGCCATCGCTTCTGTCCGTGTGGACTCCGCTTGGGCTTGTAACCTGAATGAGTACTACTTTGCCTACCCACTCAGGATACTTCTCGAGGAAGAGTTGGAACGCCTGAAGCTTCTGAACTACTCCACGGACAGCATCTAGCCTGTCACGACCAACGATGAGTTTCTTGCCGGCATACATCTCGCGGATGTCTTTGAGTTTATCGTCAATCTCTGGGTCGCCGAAAGCCTGTCGTTGCGTGGAAACTGCGTTGATGCCGATAGGGAACACATCTACTGCCACATGAGCGCCATAGGCATCGACTCCCGTTGAAGACGAATCAAAACCTAGTATCCTAGTACAGCAGGACGAGAAGTGTCGTGAGTAGCTGTAAGACTGGAAACCAATCATGTTGGCGCCTAAGACGCCCTCCAAGATCTCTTTCCGTCTGCTCAAGCAGCGGTAGAACTCGCTACTAGGGAAGGGGATGTGCAAGTAGAAGCCAATGTAGACACCTGGCAGACGTTGTCGAAGTAAACTTGGCAAGAGCATCAGGTAGAAGTCGTGTACCATGATGATATCACCCGGCTTGTAGATCTCAAGAATCCTGTCTGCGAAAAGCTTGTTCATACGGTAGTAGTCGGCCCACGACTTCCGTGCAGCGCGTCCATCAGCCGGTTCGTTTTGCTTGTAGTGGAACAGAGTGTAGAGCTCGTTTTCTGCGTACGTTCGCCAATGGCTTTGGTTCTTCAGGATGTACTCGTCTTTCCCGTCGTCGACTTCGTCGACCAGCCAGACTGGCACGATTCTACCTCCATGATCGCGTTCGAGCTGTCTATCTAATCGTGCTCGGTCCTCAGGGCCTATCCGGACGCTATTTGGAGCCTGAGGAGCTTGTTTCGGCTTTTTAGGATCGACGGGAATGGGCGCGGCAGCTTTGTTCATGGGTGCTTGCGCGGTCGCGACGGAGGTCGCCTTCGCGTTCGAGATCTCGCCAGTCCAACCCACAAGTGTGTGGTTCCATGGAGAGGAGCTAGAGGCTAGGTACGAGAAGGAGTCGAACAGGGCCGAAGTTCCGCGTCGTGGATTCAGTTCCCATTCGTTGCCCTGGGAGTACCCGATAGCATAGGGTATGGCAAACGTCGCACTGATAACACGGCCACTGAGATTCAAGTTAGGATGCGCAGCACGCGGATCTACGTCTGCCAAATCACTCTTGCCATCTGGGTGGGAAGTATTGCCCAGTTTGCTTTTGACTTGTTCATCAGTTTGTGCGCCCGCTGCCTTCTCAGTCTGTGCGCCAGCGTGGTCCTCCCTTTGCTTGTTAGAGAAGTATGAGTTGGCGCTCCACGATGGGCCCGGGGTGACAGTCTCTGGATCGAAAGGTAGGCTGCTCGTCTTCTCGGCAGCAGATTCGTCGAAGTAGGCGGTCTTGCCAGAGAGGTGTACACCGGGCGTGACGGGCACGTTGGTAATTTCGGGATTGAGCGCGGGATGTGTGCTTGCTTTGGAATCGAGCTGAGGCCTTTGTGGCTTGTCATCTGTAGGAGGGGCCATGGCGATTGTAGGTTGGGTGTGTATGTGCTGCTCTACATGGAAATGTTAGGTGCTTGTAGGCGAGAGGATAAGTGATGGGAAAATAAGAAGTGAGAGAGATGTGGCAGGTAACAGGTGAGCGGCACAATCAAGATTGATTATTAAAACATTTATTACCTGGTGTCTTGGAGTCGCTGTCTTGGGTAGGTACCAGAGGAAGGAGCTCCGCAAAGGTCTTGCGCTGCGGCCGTCACAGAACGAGGGGATTTTAGGGGACCACAACGAAGGGATGTGGAAGAAAGAGAAGGGTTCGAAGACACCACGTGTGTCGAGAAGCTGATAGAAGCTTGAGAAGGGCAATGAGGGAAGAAAAGCTGGCCGTGGTGGGATGGTTCACGCCCCACTAAGCCATAGCTGTGACGTTGGAACCGAACAGCTCGGGCCTCACTGTCTCTGCTGCAAGCAAGGATAGTAACGCACCATTACTGACTGCTCGTGCTTCCACACGCTCCGCTTTCTGACCGCTTCGCAAAGTTTTGTTGAGACTGTCAATATGATGTCAGGCAGTTTTCATATCGGACGAGGGTGTGGGCCTGAGCAAGTGCTGCAAGTGGGCCGCCGAAGACAACATCGTGGGCCTCTGCCTGCGGGGTACTGGGCCCAGTCTGGCCGGCTCACACATCTTCTTCACATAGGGGACATGGCAGATGTAGGGCTAACAATAGACGTGTCAAACGCTGGGTACATACAAGAGCGATTGGTAGTGCAGCATGTCCGCGGGAGTGCCTTTTCTCCGCCGTGGCCTCGTCGACCCAAAGCGGACTAGATGCTTGGCGCGATGCACGCGAAGACGCATAGAGAAGATTCGTGTAGAGCGAGCAAAACTACCACCTTGACCGCATTGCGAGTCGTCGTTGTTACTTCGGGCCTCATGCTGCCCTCGCATACCCGGCTAATATGTCGCGCCCATAATCGCTTCAATCCATCAATTGCCCTGTGGCAGCACTTTGTCCAAGCCAATCCGTCCAAACCCCGCGACCGGCGTCAGCTCTCCACTGCAACACCAGCTGTGCAAGATGATACCACCACCGATAGCAAGCATGTCGAACCAGAGTCCCCAAGTCCTCCAGAGGCTCGCGACCCTCATGGATCCGAAGCAGAAACGGGAGAGGTGGCAGAAGAGCCGAGCGCAGAGTCATGGACACTGAGGAAGATGACAACAACCAAAGGGCAGTGGTTGCCCAGTAAGGCCGACGCGTCAATTGCAAAAAATAAAGAATTGCGATCCGCAAGTCCAAAGGCCTTGCTCAAAGAGCGTGGTAAACTGCTGGCCAATGCAAGAAGCGCGTTCCGCAAGTCGAAGAGTTACACAGGCGTCATTGTGAAGCCCATGATGAACGAGACGCCTATCAAGGAAAGCACGCTTCCATGGTGTTTGAACAAGGCGGACAGAGCAATCCCAGGAATGCAACGGTATACCTTGAAACCGACCTCCAGACTCGTAGTGCTATACTAAAGGGATTTCCAGGTTGCAGTCGGAAATTACAAGATTTCACAAATACACAACGCCCGATCGACACGAAATCCTCGCTAGGAAACATCTCATCCAACAGGTGCGCAACCACCTTGGGACATGGATTCCAGAATACAAAGTTGAAGTGTTCGGTTCGGAACGAACTGGTTTAGGCATGCCCTTATCAGACATCGACTTCAGGTTGGTACCGGAGTCGGAAGCGCTAGACCCCGCGCAGGCCAAACTTCCACCAAGTGTGGAACAGCGAAGGGAAAATATCAAGATACTGCAGAGGTTATACAATAACAGTCTCCGCAAAGACAAGGCGTATATATTGCCTGTAGTTCGTCACGCACGTTATCCCCTCATCAGTGCGCAGGATCGCCGTTCGGGCTTGGATATCCAGATTGTACTTTCAAACGACACGTCAATCTCGAGAGTTATCATGCAGGGTTACATGGACGAGATACCCTACTTACGGGAATTGTACTGGGTGGTCAAGACCATTTTCGACACAAGGGGCTTATCAGACGTGTTTCGGGGCGGGTTTGGGTCATATTCGCTATTTATGATGGTTGTCGCTAGCATAAAACATGCGCCGGAACCTCCAAAAGATTCCGCGCATGCTCTCCTCAACTTTCTCCGCTTCTGGGGCAGTTTCGACACGACGAAGCAGGGCATCTCTATTGAACCCGCTTTCTTCTACGACAAGGCGGAGTACCCTGTCCTTACTGATACGCAAAGAGCCAAGCTGAAGGTATAAAGTCACCCAGTTCTTCTTCTTATTCTTCTTGATATACATGCTAACGACCATCTAGAATGGAGAAGCTAAACCCCTTCCCGACTACATGCTCTCCCTCCGTGACCCCGCCGATGAAACCAACGACCTCGGTCGCAAAGGCATAGCCATCAAGCACGTCCAAGTCACACTCCGAGATCTACACTATCAACTCGTTTTCGACACAAAAGTGAACACACGACCATCTATACTCGGTCCTCTCGTAGGCAGCTCGTACATGCTGCAACTCGAACGCCGTCGCAGACTAAAAGGGTACGGTCAGTTTCTAGAGCAACAAGAACAGAGGACGCTATCTCAAAAGGCAAAGGCGGTTAGAGAGGCGGATCGACTGGGGCAGTCGATACCAGAACAAGCTATGGATGAAGGCATTCAGGAGACGGACACTGAAGAGGAAGAGGCTCTAAAGAAAGAGATTGCAGAAGAAGAGACCAAACAACGGCTGGCAAGAGAGCAACGGGATAGGGAATGGCAGCGGCTTGCAGATGAGAGGAACGAGCGGCTAAGAAACGAAGCAGAAAAGACATCAGTGCTTGAGCACGGTGATGCTGTGGCTTCTATTCTAGGTATGCCAGCAGTCGAGGAGGATGCACAAACCAAAGACAACAGTGTACAAGGACAAGGGGACGAGTTGAAAAAAGCTTAGTCTGCCCCATGCAAAGCTACAAAATGTAAAACACCATAACATGAAATCTTGACATGAGCCCATCTTCGGTGAAGAAATCAAGCCTGTTTTGCTAAGAGTGATGATAGCCGGTGCTATGAACCCAGTCCAGCATGCAAGCCGTGTACAAGAAACCCCTAACAGCCACTATGCCATGAAAGTCGGCCCTGACCATCCCATCGCAGATGCTAACGAAACCACACTCCACGCCAGTCTTGCATCCCTTCAACCTAGATGGCGTACTTTCGGGTCCACTCGCGCGCCGTCGATTCGTAGCGGGACCGGTCGGTCTTGTAGACGTGTGCAATCTCGGGGACGAGCGGATCGTCAGGGTTCGGGTCTGTCAACATCGAGCAGATACTCAGTAGCACTATATTTTCCGTTAGCATAGTCTATGGCTTGTAGTTTTTTCAGCATGGCGTACCCTTTGAGATGGTGAGAGCTGGGCTCCATTGGTCTCGCAGAATGTCCAAACAGATGCTGCCGTTTGAGTTGATGTTGGGGTGGTAGATGCGGGTGGTGAAGTTGACCTTCGGGGGCTTGAAGGGGTAGTCGGTTGGGAAATGGATCGCTAGGAAGAAGACACCGCCGGAATATGGTGAGTCGCCAGGACCCATGATGGTTGCTTGCCAGTGAAACTACAGCACAGTCAGCATGTGTTTGGCGTCGTCTGCCTCCCACGACCATATCGGCAGGAGCGCCTCAGCCGCGGGAATCTTGCACAAAGAGTGACGTACCAGATCATCTCCAATGGGACCGGCTGAACAGGAAGAGGGAGGGTCTCTAGAGGTACTATGTCAGCCAAATATTCCACTTGGAATGATATCGCGAGGCAGCGACGTTGCGTGCAGTCGTGTGGCGCCGCATTTCGTCGCTGCCATGTCGCTGCCCATGCGAGCAAAAGAGCAAGCGAGCCTCGCCGTCGAGACAAGGGACATTACGTACCGGCCGAGATCGGTAAGCTCCTTGTTGATGCGCTTGAGAGCCATGGCTGTTGTGTGTATGTGTGAGGTTGGTATAGATGGGTATCGCGGGTGTTGCGGTAGAGAGAGTTGGTGTTGAAGAGTTGAAGTGGGATGTCTGCACAGGCAAGGCGGTTAGTTAGCGGGGGTCCAAAGAAAGCAAGTGCGGCGTGTCAGCGCGGAAAGCTCCTCCGCCACGCCCATTCATTCACTCATTCACGTACCTTTGACTCGCTACAGGTGGAAGGCAAGCAGCCGAGTTGTGCAAAGAGAAAGTCTGCAGTATGGGGCCCGAGCAGGGGCATGTGTATTTATCATGTGTCAGAGCCAACCGCAAGAGGCGAGGCAAAGCTGACCGCCCAACTGCACAGTGTCGCTGCCCACAAAATTCACCGAGCGTTCCTACCCTATGCAGCAACCGCGCTTGGTGGCAACCTATCGAAGGCCCAAGAAGATGCGTCAAGGCTGACATGTACATTCACAGTTAGTTGCCTTTGACTTCACTTAGTCACCATATATTGGTCATTATCTGAACCTTGACTCGGGTGGCAAACTGCACTGTGGATACGAGCAATCAGAAGTGATACTTGCCGCGTTCGAGGCCAACTCGGGAGTGTGCATCGACCTTCACATGGTTTGATATGCACTTGCTTCTAAATAGACATTGCCTGCATGCATAACACCTCTAAGCGCCTACAGCTGGCGTGCTACTTGTGATTGGACGCGCTTCTCATACTTTTGTTAGTAATACAGCAACAGCAACTAAGAAAGACCCAAGTACAAGCAACCTCTGATATTCCTTAAAATCAGCAGAAGGCTTGTAATCCAGTGATTGCTCGACCGAGGATCAGTGCTATTTCAGATTAGTCAAAGTCATAGCAACATTCCTCATTACACTCACAGTGGATGTCGCTCTGGCCTTCGTATGTCTGCGTCACAAACAAGTTGGCGACATGCCTTCCAATTCCGTACTCATCAGACACTGCGTTTCCGCCGAACACTTCTTGCAGTCTGCTCACAGTCAGTACATGTTGTGCATGTGCTTGGTATAACTTACGTTCGCGCGTTGATCAATGCCCGGTCACAGTTCTGTCTCTTGATCATAGAAATCATCTCTGGTGCAGCCTTACCCTCATCCTTGAGGCGTCCGACTTGGTAGGCAGCCAGGATACCGTACGCAGCATCCGTCGTCGCATCAGCCAACTTCTTCTGCACAAGCTGGTACTTGGCAATGGGGTTGTTCTTGAACTGCTTCCTCTCCAATGCGTACTCTCGGGTTCTCGCGATGCAGTCTTCGAGAGCACCGATAGTACCCCAGGCGATACCATATCTGGCCGAGTTGAGACAGCTGAAGGGTCCCTTCAACCCTTCCACTTCCGGGAACATGTTTGCTTCGGATACGGGGCATTCATCAAGCTGGATCATACCGGTAATGGATGCCCGTAGACCGTTCTTGTTCTTGATTGGCGGGGTTTCGAGAGTGCCGGGTGGACATTGATCGCGCTCAATGACAAAGCCACGGATCTTGCCTGTGCTCTGCAGCTTCGCCCAGACAAGGAGAACATCAGCAATCGGCGAGTTTGTAATCCAAGTCTTTGAACCGGACAAGGAGTAGTAACCCTTCTTCGTAGGATGAGGCTTTGCAACCGTCTCCAAAGAGCCAGGATCGGATCCGTGGTTGGGCTCAGTCAGACCAAAGCAACCGAGTAGTTGGCCCTTGGCCATCTTCGGTAAAAGACGTTCCTTCAGTTCCTCGGATCCAAACTCCTCGATACCTCCCATGGCAAGTGAACTCTGAACCGAGTAGCCTGAACGATAACCCGAGTCAACTCTCTCCACAGCTCTGGTGATCAAACCTGCTGCGACACTGCTGACCCCGGCACACTCATAGCCTTGTATACTTGCACCTAGCAGTCCCAATTCACCCATTTCTTCGATGATCTTTCTGTCAAAGTCCTCATTGCGGTATGCCTCTGAGGTATGTCAGCTGGCTGTAGGAGCTGGAACAGTGTCTCGCATACCTAGCACTCTCGGAAGCATGCGCTCCTGGCAATACGATTCTGCAGTTTCTGAGATAGCTTGCTCTTCTTCTGTGAACAAGTTGCTTGTATTCAAAGGGTCTTGCCAGTCAAACTTTACGGGAGCATGTAGGTATCGTTTGCCGAGAGCCGCGGATCGGAGTGGAGTGCGCAATTGCCTGGTGGCATGTCTATATGTTGGTCGCAACATGTTGAAGTCGTGATCAAGAACGAAGAAAGTCTTTCAGCTACACAAAAGTTACTGTTATACCCGGCACAAAACGAAGATATCCGTAATTGGACGACGTTGGCCTCGGAAAACCCCACGTCAAAAGAACCGCGGTTCGGAAGCACTCCGCGGTGGCAAGGAAGCCAGCATCATCACATCCAGCACGCGGCGTCTGGGGCGTCTAGGGCGTCTAATGAGATCTAGGGAGACTGAATGCAAGATTCGAGATGCATCCACAGAGAATGCCTGCTGAGCCTCACTAAGCGATGACGGGCAATATCTGGGGTAGCAGCGCCAAGAAATGTAGACCGTGATTGCGCGCGACACGCGAACGCGTCGTGACGACGTTTGGCGTCATTTTCTCCAGCCTCCACGCAGCTGTCTGCTTCTACACACACAACACTGCAGGGCCGCGACACGACCCCGATTCCACTTGACACACAATCACGTACTAGAGCAGCCGTCAAAGATGGGTATCAAACACCTTTACCAGCTCATTGAGGAGCATTCGCCTGAGGCAATCAAGAAGGGCGAGATCAAGAACCAGTTTGGACGCAAAGTCGCCATAGTACGTCCACGCCATTCTCGCAGTACTCATTCACTTACTAACTTGTGCAGGATGCGTATGCACACATCAAACCTCGCATGGCTTTCCAAACCTAACGTTGTGTAGATCTATGAGCATCTACAGTTTCCTCATCGCCGTCCGATCCGATGGTCAGCAGCTCATGAGCGAGACGGGCGAAACCACATCACATCTCATGGGTCTCTTCTATCGCACAATGCGCATGGTCGATAACGGTATCAAGCCACTATACGTCTTCGACGGCGCTCCACCCAAGCTCAAATCTGGCGAGCTCGCGAAGCGGTTTCAGCGCAAGACGGAAGCACACGCTGCGGCTGAGGAGGCAAAAGAGACGGGTACGGCGGAAGACGTTGAGAAGTTTTCGCGGCGGACAGTTAGAGTAACGAGGGAACACAACGAGGAGTGTCAGCGTCTGCTCAAGCTCATGGGCATTCCGTACATTGTCGCGCCGACAGAGGCTGAAGCCCAGTGCGCGGCGCTGGCGAGAGGCGGCAAGGTGTACGCTGCTGCTTCCGAGGACATGGACACATTGACCTTCGATTCGCCTATCCTGCTGCGACATCTGACCTTCAGCGAGCAGCGCAAGGAGCCTATCCTGGAGATTCACCTGGATAAGGTGCTCGAAGGCTTGAACATGGAGCGGAAACAGGTACGGCATCTAAGCACTACTTGCAAGTTATAACCTACTAACCACCTGCTAGTTCATCGACCTCTGTATCCTCCTCGGCTGCGATTACCTCGATCCTATCAAAGGCATTGGCCCCAGCACTGCTCTCAAACTCATTCGCGAGCACAATGACCTTGAAGGCGTCGTTGAACACATCAAATCTCAATCTTCCAAGAAGCTCACCATCCCCGACGACTGGCCATTCGCCGATGCGCGTTTGCTCTTCCTCGAGCCAGATGTGCGACCCGCCGATGACCCAGAGTGCGACTTCAAGTGGGAAGCACCAGACGTAGACGGTCTCGTCAAGTTTCTGGTTGAGGAGAAGCACTTCAACGAAGACAGGGTCCGCAACGGAGCAGCCAAATTACAAAAGAACATGAAGACGGCGCAACAGAGCAGACTAGAGGGTTTCTTCAAGCCAATCGAGAAGACGGCTGAGGAGAAGGCTAGTCTCAAGCGCAAGGCAGAGGAGAAGCTTGAGGAGAAGAAGAAGAAACAAAAGGCTGATGCGAAGGCGAAGAAGCAGGCCAAGGCTAAGCCAAGGACTGCCGGTTAGGGAAAGTCGCTGCTGCTGGGAAGAAGTCAAAATTTTGCGCGTGGGAAGCTGGCGTTCATGGAAAGTGATACCTGCGGGCTCATGGCGTTTTCAAGGCATACACACTAGGTGGTATGTTGGAGTGCTACAATGTTTAGTTACTACGTGCACGCTACTGCGTCTCGACATGTAGTTTTCTTCCATAACAAACTACAAATCCATATATTATCACATCATAGATGATCTACAAGTTACGCGGCGAAAGGCTTTTTTTATGTTTTTTTTTTCTTATAACTTGGTGATTCTCTTATTGTTTTACTGTATGGTAAATGTAGGCCTTGCTCACTACATGCACTTCATGGTCTTCTTTCGCATGTTACTCCTGTGTCATGTTCTGATGTACATGTGCTGCATTTGTGTCTGAAGATTTGGAAGAAATCCCGCACCTCAACATACTTGATAACCCGTAGCTAGTTAGTTCACTTTTGGAAAGCAAGCCGACAAGTACTATCGTTATGCCTGTCAATAACAATGAGAATTCCGAGAGAAGTGATGACAATATCCAATGTTCTAACTCACAAGCCGTACAATGAAATCGCTCAAAGTTACCTTGTTCATATGCCACTGTTAAATTACTGCATCACAATTGCACCATAACTGTACTTCCATGCAACACGTCAGTCAAAGACACTGGATATCATTTCTTTTTCATCACACACTACCTTGGCATATAATTGCCTGGACTCGAGGAAGGATGTTCCCATCACGCATCACCAGCGCACATCACAGCCGCAGTTCCGGTTCAAAAAACAACAACAACAGCAGCAACAACACACAAACTAAATAGCTGCGAGACCACGCTTACTCTGATTCAAGGCACAAAGAAGTACAATAAACATGTAACGATAGATTCCCTAGTGGAGCCATCACGGTTTACCCCAAAGGGATCATCCGCCGTCGGGCTTCGAGTCACGCAACAAGCCCACATGAACCAATACGGAACTTGGCCGGACAGTCAGGGTCCACGGCTACTAGTGATGGTTGAGCAACCGCTATGTTTTTCACGGTTGATATTCGGAGGTTTCAAGGAACCGAACGAACCTAGATCTGACTGTTCTGACAGATACAGAGTTCACGCCAGTGGTTTCCAATGGCGCGCCGTTAACGGAAGCATCCGCTTTTGAAAGGAAAATAATAATAATAATACTAATACTAATAATTTGACAGCACTACGGTGGTGAAACGCGATCGGCTATCCTGAACAAAATATTGTGCGCCACAAAGCAACGGACAAAAAGCTTCTTAGTTGAAATCTTCTTCTTCCTTCTGATGTGAACTGTGATAGCGGAATAACGCTAGTGCCTAATAGGCCAAGTCGAGCCGCCGTTGCTACTATTGTAGAAACAGAGTTCGGGACTGGGAAACCATGGCAGGTATGGCGTGAGTAGCAGAACTAATGACTCTGCGCGAACATGGCGCCTTGTTATGGCGCCACTTGGGGTTTTTCAAGGGTTTAAAAAGGTTATGTTGTTGATCGACGTCGGGCCCGACTTCCCCAGAAACAACGTTTCAGTGAAGAGAAGTGGATCATCGCAAGCCCATGTGATGCGGTTTCAAGCACCGAAAGTTTCTTATCGTCCAAGGGTCCATTGCAACACAGGCTTCTTACCCTATCAAATATGGCATGTTCTATATTCCTCTTAGTTCTGGCACGTCAGGTGAAGCTTCCACGGCAAGCCTCGTCGATCTGCGAGAGTTGCCGCAGAGGGAAACTGGCTTCATCCCTGCTCCTGCTTTGAACTTGAAGCGCCCATTATGCCAAAGATGCTGTTTTGAGAACTGGGCGCCAGTTTCAGCGGCGAGTAGCGTGACTCTAGGAGGCGACGGTTTGCTTTGATACTGTCTAGGACCCTGCGCATGTCAATTGAGGAAATGTCACAGCGGGTGTTGTGCATGAACTCTGATTGTGCGCAATCGCATGTGAAACACGGAAAGACGTGGGGGGAGATGTGCAAAGCTCACTTACCATTCTGCGTTGATGAACTTGACAGCCTTGCCGCCTGTCCTTGCGATCTCCTTTTGGATCTTGGTTGCAGCTAAGCCACCGCCTGCGCCGCCGCTCGCGTTTACTCTTCCGAGTATAACATGCGTTACGGTTCGACGGGCTAGTGATATCGACTGTCTGGCGCCGTGGGCGGCGCAAAGCTGCTTGAGCTTGTGGTCGGAGACTAAGGGAAGGGTCGAGCCGTTGAGGTAGAAGCAGAGTCCGGCGAATATCTGTTTCTCACGGGGCTTTGACGAAGCTTCGAAGAGATCGCTGTTGGCATGTGCATCTGAGTCTGTTGCTAGATCATAGGGCGCTGGCGCTGTAGACGCACATGTCTGCCCATGGCTGGACACATCTTGCGCATTCATTACCATACCCTTGATATCTTTCTCTTGTGACTGCTTCCTGCCTACCTTGCTAGCAGCCCATATTTCGGCCAGGCTCTTCTGTCCCCCAGTCCGGAGACCTTTTGCGCCCTTCTCCCAACTGCCGTTGTCCTTGCGGCCATCCTTGCCAAAGTCCTCACTGCCTGCACCGACCGTGTCGGCGACCCTTTTACCCCCGTCTCTGCCACCCTTGAACTGCTCTCCAAGCTTGAGACTCCGTGAGACGCGCCATGACGTAGAGCCGGAGAGGCGATTCTCTGCGCGCTGATGGCCGGTCCTAGAGCTGTTCCAAGGGTCGTAGAAACGTCTAGGCGGTGCGGTGGCGGCGGCTGGGGACGTTTGACGAGGCTGACGAGGCTGACGAGGGTTGGCTGTACGCGTCGAGGTCGTGATTACTTCGGTTAGGTCAGACGCGTGGGAAGGGCCGCCGGGATCGCGGGCGTCGTAACAAGTCGGTTCCGCATTCGGGGTGGATGAGGCCATATCGGGTGCTGATGTTGCTTCACGGTTAGCTTCGGGGCACCTTCATGCCAGGGATGTGATCAACTGCATTTTGCATGCCCGTCGAACGCACGTGAAAGAAAACATGGCCATTGACGTTGCAACGGGCACCCAAAGCCGTGCTCCATGCGGCAAAGTGTGGCGGGGGCGACTTACCCTGATGCTGTTATGCTTGCAGATGCATGTGGGAACAGCTGCAGGCTCAGTGGGCAGTGTGATTAAAACAAAGTTTACCAAGGCCAGGGTCTTGAATCGCCATTCAATTGGTTTTGCAAAACAAACTTTACAATACGGTGTTATGAGCTCTACGCGAGGGAAGCAATTCTCCATATGAGGCGGACATGATCAATAGGGAAGGTCAACAACGGAAGCCTCGTTCCTTGCATCGTTGTTTCTCGCCTGACCGCGAGCGCCGCCAGTAACATCAGTGCAAGTCGGCGCAATGCTGAAACAATGTGATTGTGATGTGTATTATCCATTACTCTACCATGTCAGAAATGACATGATCGCACTAAAGATTTCGGATATCGAAGCGTGTTCCGCATCAACGCAGTCGCGTACCTTTTCGTATGTACAGCCGAAGAAAAGAAACATGCCAGCAAAAACAATCGTGTACTACGCCATTGCCATGCACCCAGTTCCTGAACGCCATGCTTTATCCATCATAGATCACATAAGCCCTGATGTACTAACATGAGAATAGAAATTTTGACCCGTGAAGGTATTGCTTCTGATAACGCCCGCTAAAATCATAGGCCTCTCAGCCTTGTAAGAAAGAACAATGGGTACTCTAATAAAACGAGTCGGAGCCGGCGACAAACCTGCATGCTTTTGCGACGATGCGACGTCTCCGTCCAGGGATCGCGCTGCGGCATCGGTCCGAATAGTGCTTCTAACCATCCAATATTCGTGGGCGCATGTGGACATGCTACGTTGACTCGTTGTGAAGATGCGAGTCGTCGTGAAATCGTAATGGCCATCGTAGTCAGCTGCTCAGCTGTCTACGCCTGGCTGGTGGTGCTCTTGCTGACCGACGCCTCGTATATCATTCGATGCTTCTTCATCTCGTTTGCGTCGAATGGCATGGCATCGCTGCCCTTTCTGCTGGACAGAGACGCAGAGCTGCTGTTGCCAAACTTGAGATTTGCTAATGATCGGGCCTTCTTGAGCGACTTCTTCCCAGCATTCTCACCGGTCGGGGAGACATGGTCAGCAGCGGCCCGCTGGTTGAATTGCGTTATCTCTTCCACTTCGGGCCGGGGCTTGACTCGCATGCGCTTGAACTCGCGGGTAATCCTCTCGAGCTTGCTTAGGCCCTTGGGGGTCGGGGCGTAGCTTTGCATGGGCTCAGACGCCTGCTCACCATGCATGCTAGAGCCTACACTGGGGCGGCGTTCGGAACCAAAGCTCACACCAGAGTCATGCTTCTTCTCTTTTCCAGGTCCATTCATGTAGCGATCAAACGACTCTGGTCCGTGGGTGGCTATGCAGTCTTGAATCATGTTCTGTGCAACGCGGAGGTACTTGTCGACAATCCTCTGGACAGAGGGCCAGCCGGTTCGGTCTTCAGGACGCTTGTCCCTGTTGATGAGTGGGAGTAAGACATCGGGCCCCCTTCTTTGCACCTGGCTGATAAGTTCGAAGAAGATCTGACGCTCTTCTTTCAATGATTCGTGGTTCAAGAACTGTGAAGGAAGCTTGGTTTGACCATGAACAGGAGGGAATAGGGTGTTGAGGTAGCTAATGCAATTGAGCTTGTTGAACTCTTCGTCTGATAGATGGTTGATCATGATCTGCCAGCGCATGTTAGTTGAATCACATTTGAAAGGAGTTCGCATAGCTTACCCATCGGCGGAGGCCGACCCAGAGCTGAGCGTAGTACGACTCAGCTTTCCGGTTCTTGCCCTCGAGATTGTTGATCCAGAGCGCAATGCCTGGTGCCTTTTCGGCTACACGGGCCATGTCGACATCCCATGTGTCCCTGTGGACGTCAAGGGCCTCAAAGGTGGTGGCCATTTCCCTTCGTCGTCGCGTCTCCAGGTCTTTTAGGTAGTCGAGAGCTGTCAAGGCTTGGCTCCAATCGACATCAGCTGGCTCAGGCATAAAGGTCCGGGTGACAAAGTTTACGATGAAAGCGGGTGGGAGTGCACTGGTTCGCGTGGGTAACGCTTTAAGTTGATTCATCAGAGACGAGGTGAAGCTCATGGCCGCAGCTTCTGTGCTATTCCACGCGAATTGGCTAGAGACTGGTGACGTGTTGCCGGACTTGGCTAGGCCTTTGGGAAACGGTTGGGCGCGGTCCACACGATTGAGCTCGTACATGGTTTTGAGGGGGATGTCGTAGCTTCCGGGGTATTGTAAGACGTGTTCGAGAACGTAGGCCATTGAGTTGTGGTTCTCGTCGGACGCGCTCCGGGAATGATTTGATGCCATGATGGTGAGCACGTGAGTGCGGTAGGGAGATGAAAGGGTCCAGGCGGCGGCGCAGTGCTAAACTGGCGCGTATCGCAGAGAAGCAAAGACGGAATGCGATGCCCGGGGAAGCGAAGGTTGAGAGTGTTGTGGAGGAGAGAAGGCGATCCGTGGGAGAGAGCTAGTGGGCGCGTGGGGTTTTGGTGGGGTGGTCGTAGCGTTGACGAGAAGAAAGGAAGGCGCGGCCAGCAAAGGAGGCCAGAGAAGAAAGCACGACGGTAACGCTGCAGGGGAAAGGTGCTACAGCTCTTGTTTAATCCACGGCAAGTCGCTCCAGGCAAGTTAGTTGGCGGAGATGGTCGAGGTTGTGTTGCAAGTGACAAAGGTCCGGTATCGTCAGCGTTGGGATGTGCAACCAGGCAGTGATGGTGGTATGAGCACGGTAAACAAAAAAGAAGGACAAACACGACGGTGCTCAAGCGGAGGTGGTGGTGGTGTAGAACGGGATTATGAGGAGCAGACGGTCGCAGAGGGCTGGAACGGGAAGACGTCGGGTAGGTATACAGAAAGGGTTTTGCGTTTGCTCTAGCCAACGCTTCTTCTCATGATCCCTGAGCGAGGGCCCGTGATGGTCGCGTTCGCACTTGCATGAGTGGCGTCAGTGACAGGGGCTTCCAGCTTCCCCGAGAACCATGACAAAGTCGGCCTAGCTGTCTAGCGACAACGCCTTTCAGCTCGAGTGCATCAGGCTCCGTGCCGACCCCGCCCCGAGTCAGGCACGCTGCTCCTCAGTCCATGGCGTACGCTATACATTTGCACTTGACGATTTGCAACTCTAGCCCTCCCCTGGAGACCCTGAGACGTCACCCTCATGGCGGCAGCAGCTGTACCATGGTCGAAAACATGGAGAAAGCAAGTGTGGCACAAGCTAACCCTGAACGCAAAGCGTCCGCCGTTGGCTGACGCTCTGCTTCACTGAGTCGTGGTACGTCTGCCCAATCCTACGCCATCTCTGCGCCGCCCTAACTCAATTCACCGTCGACAACTGTTAGTCTGCAGTCTCCACATTGGACTCGACCGCATCATTCTGGAGCCGATGCAGTCTCCTCAGGAGCACTTGGACCTTGCAGACTGCACATGCACACGCAGCCCGAGTACAGATTATTCCCCACTACCAATAAGGAATATCGTCGCAGCTGCAATTGTCACGATGCCAGGATAAGCCTGTACCGGCATTTGTGAGCGAGCTCCTTCGCTACAATGCCGTGCAAAAAACTTTGTCGTCTCGCACGCCACTATCGCACGCAACCATGACGAAAGTTGGCCACTTGTGAACTTTGCACCAAATCTTCTTGAGCCGCATCATCTCGACAACCTGTGGGAATGTGTAGCGAGGCAATGAGGATTGCGGCGTAGCAGGGCCGTTAACGATGAAACCTCAAAAAGTTGGCCCTTGTAGCCTAGACTTACGACTCATACCCTTGAGCTTCAGCACAGTCGCAAACGAGATGTACCTTGCAGACTCGGAGCTGCAGCCATGCGAACTTGTCACCTCCCACGCCCCCTGCCCCCGTTGTGCAAGCATGCAGCTGAGTGGGGTGTCTGCAGCATCGATAAAAGATTGCTCATATCACAAAAAGCACCATAACAGTGCTTACATCAATAAACAACGCGACGCGCTCGACATGTCATAACTACTGCCTCCGCACACTATGAGTTGGAACATGGTCCGCAGTGTTCATCGAATTGTCGGACAGCGTCCGACGGACGTGATTGAACCCCCTCAACTACAACCACAAGTGTAGAATATGCACATCAATGACTTTGGGCCGCGGTGCAGCAGCACGGGACGCATTCGAGATCGGACTCGTACAGGCAACACAAAGGATCGTCCTAGCAGTCTTGCTAGCCTCAGTGCTCCTCTTCGCTTGAAAACCACACACCACGAGGTCGAGGGCATCCCCATCATGGCACCAGCCGAGATTATCTCATTTAATCGATCGGAATATTGGAATCATACTGCACATCGCTAGATTGACGAGCTTTTGGCTCGTTCGTGCTGGCCATGGCGTCGCCATACCGCCTAACAATCCCCTCGCAGGCCGGTCGGCCGCGGGTACAAACGCCGGCGTGTGTTCTCAACACTCCCCAGCCGCGCAGGTACAGATGCAGCTAGCCAAGAATGCCAGGATGCGAGTATGAATCGATAAAGGCCGTTGAAAATAATCTCCGCGTCGATCTGCTCGCACCTGGCAGAGTATGACCAGTATCCTCCGTTCGTCTCCACATCTAACGTTGCAGTTTCTCATTCGTCGCAGCCCAAGATTGCTTCGCTTCTGAGAGCAACACTATCGTTGCAACAACAATTATGCGCATTAAAGATCGACCTCAGTGCGCCGCGGAGATGGCGAGCAGCTGAGGTGAACACAGGGTAAGATTTGGAATCAGTTGTTTGCCATAGCCATGGCCATGCTGTCATACCCTTTCTTGGTGGCGTAAGCGGACTCGAATCTGGAATCCTAGATATGTGTGCTCTGAATTTTGGTACAACCACAAGAATTTGTGATCAACTCATCATGTTTAGCGCGAAGGTTTCCACTATACTCGCTCTTCTCCGTAACATGAGGGGTCGTCGCGCGAACAATTAGTGGAAGTCCGGCAAAGGAGTGGCAGAACTCAACTTCCTCATTACCACATTGCTGGACATGTGCGGCAATTGCAGACCTCCTGAGAACTTGAACATGATACTATATCCAGGCACACTGCTGTATGCATGTGGTAGGGTTGACCTTACTGTCAAGCGTCAGGATACTTCGGGCAAGCCGGAAGGACACGTAACGTCGGCCTAATGTTCCTTGGTTGGTGTTTGAACAGCAAGAGCACAGCCTCACGAACGCAGCCTCACCATCGGTCACAAACACATACGCCAAGGCCGAAGGCTGTGCTGTGACCGAGATAGTTGCCAGCGCTGTGTGTATAACGCCGTATATCCACAATGCTTGGCGGGCCAACTTTGGTACTGTTTCCTTGGGCTGCCGCAAGACTTCCATCAAACTGATCGGTGAGCATCACGGCGAAAGATATCTCAAATCAAACATGACAGCTTCAGGCCCAGAGCATCACAAAAACTTGAGTCAACACCATAGCGGGGTCGCGAAATTAGTCAGCGCAGAATGCAGGTGTTTGATGAGTCACCTGGTCCATGTATTCACAAAACAAGAGCGGTGCTGGACACCAAGCATCAAGTGCTCATCTCAGAACAAGCACCTCTGATCTTTTGAAACATGGCACCGTCTTCTCAGCTCGACTTCGTAACCTTAGACGTGTTCACGTCGCAACCATACGGTGGCAATCCGCTGGCCATTGTTCGCATCCCGCATGACCGGACACTAACTCAGGAACAAAAGCAAACCATTGCGCGAGAGTTCAACCTATCGGAGACCACCTTTTTGCACGAGAACGCGGATGGTGCGACAGAGGACAAATGGACCGTCGATATATTCATGACATCGCAGGAACTGCCGTTTGCGGGTCACCCAACCGTGGGCACGGCGTGTTATGCTCTAGGAAGAACGGCTCGGGAGCGTGGTATCCACAGCGGCGTCATGGAAGCGAGCTTTAACCTGAAAGCCGGGTGCGTTGGACTGCGGTACGATTGCGGCAAGATGACAGCGAAGGCTTCCATCCCTCATGACGTGTAAGTGCTGAGTTTGACACTTTTTCCTTCGGCAGGCTTTGGAATTCGAACTACCAGTATTAGCACCCAGTGTTCCAGACCCACTGTCTGAGATCGATTCGGCGAGCTGAAGTCCAGTAGATGTATGTAAGCTGACCAGTGCAGTCATATCCACAAGAAGAGGTACACTAAGGACGAGCTATTCGTACTCCAGCCCCGATTGGCAGAAGCTCACCAACAAGGCAAGTTCGGGGTCAAAGATGACCATTCTATTGTCTCAATAGTAAAAGGCATGACCTTTGTCCTAGTCGAATTGGAAAGCGAAGAAGCTCTGGGTATGGTGTCGCTAGCTGGCCAGTCTCTCAAAGTCGAAGGCCTGGATCAAGGCTGGGACCAGACGTTCATCGGGACATATTTCTTTGTTCGGACGGGAAAAAGCAACGAGGGTGCAACGAAACTAAGGACGAGGATGATCGAGGGTCCATTAGAAGATCCGGCTACTGGTAGCGCCGCCAGCGATTTGGCAGCATATCTCTCGCTGATGGCAGGAGGAGAATATAAGACGTTGAAATTTGAAATTGTCCAGGGCGTGGAGATGGGCAGGAGAAGCGAAATTTTCATCGAAGTCGAGATGACCGAGGAACGAACTGTATCGCAGCTATTCCTCGAAGGCGGCGCAGTGCAGGTCATGGAGGGCCGATTGACCATCTGAGACTATGGAAGACAATAGATCCGAAAGAACGCATGTAAGAACACTCCGAATTGTTAATCAAAGAACCCAACATCGAGGATTCACGTCAGAGAAAATGGAACCTGAGAAGTTTCTGCGGGTATTGGTTACAGATGTAGATCCCTTATGCCTAAAGACACGTCTTGCCTCAGGCATGCCGAGTGACCCGCAAACGTCCCACTACATTGGGAAGTCCTGATTCCGTAATCTTTGACGACGCTGGAGAACCGAACGTGTAGCGGGGTTTGACATGAGCTGTCTCAGTTCCTTGTGCCGGGGGCACGGTCTTTGGATGTGGGCCAAAGGGGTAACTTCGCTTGCAGAGCCGATGGAGCAAGATGCAGATCCTCGAGAATGGGTATATACACTTCTGTTAATGGTGGAGGAGTACGCTGACTTTTCGCCTGGGCGCCGCGCTCACAGTGGAGCTGGTGAGTCGTCTTGACCGGGTAGTAAGACGACTTGGCAAGCAACGACAACATTCCAAACAACAAACATCGCGTACTCCCGATCGTTATGGATCTCGGATGGAGGATTGCCGTCATCGCATGTCTTCGCAAAAAGAGCAACTCAATGATGGATCCCAACAAAGCGCATGCAGTAGTACGGCGCAGGATGCGTACTTGCTACTCTATAGTCCTGCTGTCACCTGTCACACCCGTCGAAATCGAGACAGTGACAGCACGAACTAACCTTGCTCGTGTATGTAGCACAGCACCTCCGACAATTCGGTGAGGCTCATGGGGGAGGCGTGGGTCACAGAGTGGGCTACAGCAAGTAAACCAATTTCCCGCTGGTGTTGCGGTGGTGACGAACGGCTATCGGAATCAATCACATATTCCTGCCGTGCATTCGGCTGCTCTATGGCGCATGGTAAGGCATCATAGGAGTTTGAGCACGCCCTCCTCAAAATTTAGAAGATGCCTGGCTCTGTCCTGGAAGGTGCTTAGCGTATCCTGTTCGGGTTAGCGCAAAGATGGTTCTTGCACACCTCATACACGAACCGTTTCTCGGACCTCCTCTTCAATGCCTGGCGCACTCTTGTTCCGGAGAGGCTGCCATGACAGCCTCAGTCAATAGTAGGGCGCCAGTTGATGCCAGCGCCCTGTGCGCAACCTTAGAGATGCCGGTATGAGTGGGTTTGAGACGTCTCTGCCTTCATCGTGGGTTTCATGCCCGAGGAACCACGAGCCGCCTTACCAGGTTACTCTTTGCCTTCTACGTCGCCAAGGACTTAAGGCAATGCGATTCCTCCAAGATATCTAGCCTTCTCACCATCAATCAGTCGCTTGTCCTATTACACTCCGGTTCTGCAGTTGAGGGTTACATTCCTTTCTCTTCCTCTTAATTCTTCATCCAGATTGCGTTGAACGTGTCTGCCTTATTTGTAATCCACCGCTAGCCGGATTCCACTCTTTTTACCAATCTTACTTTTTGTTCTTCGAGCAGTCATCATGCGCTTCTCTACCCTCGTCCCTTTGCTGCTTGCGGCCGGTGTTGCCAACGCCCAGTTTGGTGGTCAAGGCGGCGGTCAAGGCGGCGGTCAAGGCGGCGGTCAAGGCGGCGGTCAAGGCGGCGGTCAAGGCCAGAACAACGGCCAGAATGGACAAAATGGTGGTCAAGGCGGCAACAACGGTCAGAATAACGGACAGAACAATGGCCAGAACAACGGACAGAACGGAGGCAACAATGGCCAGAACAATGGTGGCAACAACGGCGGTAATGGTGGTAACCTGGCCCTCAACGCTGATGTCGTTCAAACCGCCAGTCAATCCGACGGATTTGATCAGGGTCAGGAGGATGGACAGGCCGCATCTCTCACGTACGTTGGCACGCATGTTCATCTACAAGTTCCCTACTAATGTTACCAGTGACCAAGCCAACTTCATCAACTTCTGCCAGGGCAAGACCCTCACCAACGGTCTACAGGTCAAGGAGGGCTCCTGCAACGGCATTGGTAAGCCTCATACAATTGAGTCTACTTGAGAAGAAAGTTACTAATTTCTAAATAGTCATGGGAGATATCCCTGCTGTTGGTCAGATGATCTCTGCAGTCTTTACTAACCCCCAGAACGGAGACACCAATATTGCCGCGAACCAGAAGATTGACTTCTCCGTGAAGATCAACAACTTGGAGGCTGGATCTTTTACAAACCCTGACAACACCTACTACGCTGCTCCACAGACGCTTCAGGGTGGTAAAGTTGTCGGTCATACTCATATCTCCGTCCAGGACATGGGCAACAATGCCAACAACCCTCCCGACGCTCAGACCTTCGCTTTCTTCAAGGGTATCAACGATGCTGGCGATGGTAACGGTCTTCTCACTGCTACGCTTGACGCTGGACTCCCCGCCGGCAACTACCGTGCCTGCTCTATCACTTCTGCTAGCAACCATCAGCCTGTAGTCATGCCAGTCGCTCAGCGTGGTCCTCAGGATGACTGTGTTAGATTCACAGTCGGCGGTGGCGGCGGCGGCGGCAACAATGGTGGTAACAACGGTCAGAACAATGGCCAAAACAACGGCCAGAATAACGGTCAACAAGGTGGCCAGCAAGGTGGCCAGCAGGGCGGACAGCAGGGCGGTCAACAAGGAGGACAGCAGGGTGGTCAGCAAGGAGGCCAAGGTGGCTTTGGCGGCTTCGGTCGTGGACGCGGACGTGGACGTGGACGCTTCGGCCGTCGCAGCTTCGCCACACGTGACTTCGTCGCCTAAGCACTTTACGAAGATTGGGAGAGGTGTATGGTTGATGGCAAGGTTTGGAGATGGCATGGTTTGAAGTTTGAAGCGGCGCACGCTATAATGGTACTTTCCTCTTTGATGACAATTACAAGATAGAACGTACTTCTGTCCCTAGAAGGGCACGGAAGGTCACTCTACGGAGGTTGAAGCGAAGCGCTTCATTGGACTGGTTCTGAAGGAGCTCTTTTTTTCTCGGGCGCCTACTTAGTATTCATGGAATGTAAAACTATTTTATTACACCACCTATCACCTATGAAGCTTCAGCTGGACCGTTGCTTGCTTGTGCATGAATGCATTGAAGACGCCGAAACGTGGATGTCTCAGGACACCATGTGTCGATCAGGCAGGAAGATGTCGCAGTACAGATCTTGTAACAATGACAACGTCATCCCAAGAAACTATCGACCTCACCCAATGTTGGAAGGCTCGGCTGTCCTTCTGTGGATTGTCCACTTCGGCATAACAAATATGAGTGATTGTCACGCGTTTCTCTGACTAGAGAAGTGGCAGCCGACAAAGAACACTTGACTGGAACAATCACGATCCACATTAGCAATACCATTGTGTGTTGAAGAACGTACATATCATCGTAAGAACATAAAGATAGCCTTGGGGTGGCGCTTGCATTCGCTGAGTCGGCGCATCATCGACCAGGCCACCCATGACTCATGTGCCATCATCCAACTTATAATGGGATACGCAAGAAGCCTACTACTAACATTACGTCCAATTTTCTTTCGTTCAATACAGTGCGAAATGAAAACTCCCATTGTTTTAGATTAACGAATCGGCCACACGCAATCAACACCACTGGCTTTGCCTACCGAGCTTCGGCTGCAGATTTTGGAACAAGCTGATCCTCGCGATGTGTCTCATCTCTGGATTACAGTACGTTCTGTTTCGCCGTAGTTCAAGGACTATGTCGAGCGACATTTTATCTCCGTATATCTTCCAAACATCACAATCTCCCTTGCACTTCCGCGTCGCGATCCCGCAACAGGTGCTCTGAAGTGACCTGGTAATCCCATTCCCCGCGCAAGGATAATATTCTCTTTCGAGAGCTTAATGGCCAATCAACAACGCATCATTTTGAAATCGCCCAAGTCTCCTGGGCCGCCAGGGGATATGAAGAGCGATGATGAACTTAAACGCACAAGGATGTTACCGGATGAACGACTGCGAGAGGCGCCACCGTGAGTTAACATCGGAAAGAATTCCGTGATTGGTTTAATAGTGGTTGTGAAGGGAACATTCCATTGGGACGACGACAGGAAGGTCTGGGTCTGGGAGGTGAATTGGAAGAAGCTGGCGACCCACTTCTACCAAGCAAAGACGCTCAAATGCGAGTGTATATCTACTGGGAGACAATGAACAGAACGTTGAAAATTCGACTTATGTAGCAAATCGCTTATGTTGCCACCAAGCGCGCATCGCCTCTCTGAGACGAGAGGCGTACTCTAAGCTTAGTGGAGATTGCTTCAATCTGACTTGACGAAAGGTCCGGGTCAATACGTCTTTGCGTTTCTTCGGACAGCCCATGTAACAACGTAGCCAATGCCGAAGATTTCCACACAGGAGCCTGGGTCCGCCGTCCTTCCCATATGGTCGCGCAGAGCAGGACCAGGCTTCCGACGAGCAAGATAGCAGGTAAGGTAATCCAGACCCAGCGTATCTGAACAATTTTCTCCGATTTCCATGCTGTACCCTCGATAGGAACGGTGCCTACTCCGCGCGATTTCATGTTGTTCGTTATTGCTCTAGTGAGGTTTGAAAGACCACCCTCAAAGTCGTACGGTGGTACGTGGTGAAAGTTCCATATGCCCATATCAGAGCCGAAAGGAAATTCCGGGTTTTGGGAGAGTATAGGAGGCAGATCAGAAATAATCCAGTCGCGCAGAATCTCCGTGGTCTGGTTTATGATGTTGAAGGTCTCATTAGGCCCAAGTGCGGCAACGATTGGCGACGACGCGCTATAGCTGTCTGGCTGTATTGTAATAGTGTCGACGACTGATTCTTCGAGGGTGCCGTTGTTGACTCGAGCCTGTAGAGTCTTCACGCACCAAGTAAGCAGACATTCAGAAAACACTGGTGTCTCGTTTCTCATCACGGCTGCTGGTCCTCCAGGAGTGTATCCAATGTAGAAATCTACAATGGGCAAAGTTGCGCCTCGAAATTTGGTAGAGTTCAAAAATGGATCGAATCGTGCCGCGGTATTCGAAGTGTTCACAATCAATGTTGTCAGACTGGTTACTCTACGAAAACCCACCACTCCAGTTGAACCAACCAGGAAAGTGTTGTTGATCTTGAATCCGCAAGGATCAGATGCCTCTCTGAAACCTGTTGCACGATCCAAAGATGTGTTGTTCTTACAATGATACTCGAGCGAAGAGGACACATCCTGACATTCGTGGCAAACACCAAGTGTTGAATACGAAGGCCAGGTGCAGTTACCTGTGGGACACGTGGCTGTGGACGGTCTGATCCCGATCTCTGGAGTATTGAAAGCAGCGTCAATCACTGCAGACATTGTCGGGTCTGAGCGGGTGTCTGTGCAAAATTTACGCAGTATAGGCGTATAGTTTGGTACAAAACTTCTTGCAGCCCAGGTGATACCCTGCTGGGTAGCAGTCATTCTTTCCGGGTAGGCCACAATCTGCTGGAAGAACGGCTCAAATGCGAGCGCAAGAACAGTTACCAAGGCACCGAGAGATACTAAGTGTCTGAATCCACATCAGCGAGTGTGAACAAGGTTCAAGCTTTATTTGTACTGACCTGCACCTTGTCTTGATAAGGAGCATGGCTGCACCCCAAGGCCCACGACTGGCGGCGTCATAACTCTGGAAATCCCATAGCGCAGCCTCTTCCTGAAACCAGACCCACTTCAGCTGCCCAATGGCTTCCGAAACAGGTAATATCAACGCTGCTTTGGATACTGCAGCAAAAACAGAGACGTATGCGTTGAGCGTGATGCCTGTTACCAAATACTCCGGCTGTCTTTTGCCATCATAATACCAAAGTACACCTATGATAGCAGCCACACAAGCGAAACTAACAGTCCAGCTGAGTAGTTCCCACCACCACCAATCGGTTACGATCCGATCGTAGAACGTCGTTGATGCTCGAATAGGGGGCCGGTCTTTGAGGTTGTTTTCCTGCTCTGGGGGTGTTGTAGGCGCGGAACGAAACATGTTTGGGATATGGAGGTTTGTTACCTCGCCAGGAGAGTAGAACGAAAAGTACGACGCATTATGTCCTCTTATTGATGTGGTGTATTGCCACTGTGCCGCAACTCATGGTTACATGCATGTAGGTCAGAAAATGCTAGCAAGTGTCGTATCACTTCGCGCCTCGCTCGCTTACGACAGGTATTTGATTCATCCGGTAGTGAATCGATTGGATGATGGATAATCTAAATTCGCAAAATCGCTGTCTCAAGCGCCGAAGGAGGTCGTTATTCATGTAAGCGCCGGCCGCAGGGTCGCTCCACAATAAAGCACAATAGCACTTGTGAGAGAGACCGGGAACTGTATGTCTCTCCGCGATCTTATGAATCGGTCAAGGCGCTCGTCATGTAGTGATGGTCCTCCCCCAGTTATGAACCGACGGCCTTTGCAGAAGCCATTCGTTGAGCGACCAAGCTAAAGACGGCAATGGATGACATGAAAATTGCAAGATTATAGAACTGTGTTTGTGTCAGTTGGGTATTTTATCAATGTTGATAACGCTAGAAAGAGCGTACAGCTTTCCTTGAATACGCGCTCTCCTCTGCCTCGCTGCGCGCCTCTACGAACAGTCGACGTAGATTAGGCAAGTTGGAAGGCTAGCATTCCACATTAGAATTCCAGTGTACACGGGCCGCTATCCTCAACTTACCATTTTGCTATTTCGACGTGACAGTGAACGCGGCGGAAGCATCGAAGCATTTCAGGGCTAGATGCGATACATGGGTGGGGCCCCCCGGGCGCACGGGCCATATCCTCAAGGTGGCAGTCTGGCAATCGCGAAGCTCCACGAACATTGACTTAACCCGCATATTCACTCAACGACGCCACTTGACCCAGAGACACCGACTTCTGGATATTCTCATAAAAACTCCAGAACGACTGCGCCTCGAATATCCCGGGCCTTACACTACAGGTTCAAGACCTCGCGAGCCGGAATCGGAGGGGTTTGGCTGAGCGGTCGACCTCTGCGGTCTTACGAAGATGGCTGTTAATAGGATAAGAGGCGCATTCGCGCCTCCGCGCAAGGGAGAGACGTTTGAATTGAGGGCAGGTCTGGTGTATGAGGTACCCCAAGGACCAGTATAGCTGTTCATAACTGACTACTGCTCTAGTTCCCAATATGCCTACGAACGGTGAGCACCTGAGATTATCGCAAGTATTTGGATTGGATACTAAGACTATGGCAGAAAAGAAGCCATCCAGAAAACTATCATGTCTATGACGCTGGGCAAAGATGTCTCAGCACTCTTCCCTGATGTTCTGAAGAACATTGCAACTGGGGACCTTGACCAGAAGAAGCTGGTGTATCTATACCTCATGTGCGTATAATTCAGATTGTGACACAAGCGGAAGCTGACGATATGCACCAGGAATTACGCAAAATCACATCCTGACCTCTGCATTCTCGCCGTAAACACTTTCGTACAAGACTCCGAAGACGCAAACCCACTTATACGAGCATTGGCGATCCGAACCATGGGGTGTATCCGTGTTGATAAGATGACAGATTATATGGAGGAACCTTTACGGAAGACACTTAGAGACGAGTCTCCATACGTACGGAAAACAGCAGCACTGTGTGTGGCTAAGCTCTTCGATCTCGCACCGAACATGTGCATTGAGAATGGTTTCCTGGAACAGCTGCAGGAACTTGTGGGCGACCCGAACCCCATGGTAGTCGCAAACTCGGTCACTGCGCTGGTAGAGATTCAGGAGGCAGCACCGGAAACCAAAGCCCTGGTTATTTCGTCACAACAACTGAAGAAGATGCTTTTGGCGCTGAACGAATGTACAGAGTGGGGCAGAGTCACGCTGCTTACCACTCTGGCAGACTACAAGCCAGTGGATGTCAAGGAGGCAGAGCACATTTGCGAAAGAGTCGTTCCGCAGTTTCAGCACGTCAATCCGAGTGTGGTGTTGGCAGCTGTTAAGGTTGTGTTCCTGCATATGCGAAACATATCTCCTGAGATGAACAAGTCGTATGCGAAGAAGATGGCTCCGCCGTTAGGTATGTTGAGGACCGAGACAGAACGGGCTATCACTAACAAGATACAGTCACGCTCGTATCTTCCGCTCCAGAAGTACAATACGTTGCGCTCCGAAACATCGACTTACTGCTCCAGAAACAATCGGACATTCTCAGTAAAGAGATGCGCGTTTTCTTCTGCAAATACAACGACCCGCCATACCTGAAGATGCAAAAGTTGGAGATAATGGTGCGGATAGCGAACGATAAGAACGTCGATCAGTTACTGGCCGAGCTGAAGGAGTATGCTATGGAAGTGGATATGGATTTCGTGCGACGAGCAGTAAAGGCCATCGGACAGGTCGCGATCAAGATCGAGAGCGCAAGCGAGAAGTGCGTCAACACGCTGCTAGACCTCATCAACACCAAAGTCAACTACGTTGTTCAGGAAGCGATCGTGGTTATCAAGGACATTTTCCGCAAATACCCTGGTTACGAGGGCATAATACCGACACTCTGTCAGTGTATAGATGAGCTGGATGAGCCGAACGCAAGAGCGTCTCTTATCTGGATTGTCGGAGAGTATGCGGAAAAGATCAACAACGCCGGCGAGATCTTGTCAAACTTTGTGGACACATTTGCCGAGGAGTTCACTCAAGTATGTTTGAAAAATGTATGACGAAGTACTACAGGAGCTAACGTATGCCAGACACAACTTCAGATACTCACAGCCGTTGTCAAGCTTTTCTTGAAGAAGCCAGATCAAGCACAAGGCCTGGTGACGAAGGTCCTACAGGCTGCTACTGCAGACAACGACAACCCGGATATCCGAGATCGGGCATACGTATATTGGCGACTGCTGTCCAGTGATCCCCAGATCACCAAGGATATCGTGCTCTCTGATAAACCCCCAATCACTTCCACAATACGATCACTACCTCCTCAACTACTAGAGACTCTGCTTACAGAACTGTCAACTCTGGCTTCAGTCTACCACAAGCCACCAGAAGCCTTCCTTGGACAAGGCAGATTCGGCGCAGAGGCGATGCAACGGGCTGCCATTGAGGAGCAGCAAGAAGAAGCAAGAGAGAATCCGATTGCTGCGGCAGCCGCAGCAGCAGCAGTTGGCGGACAAGCGCCTACGAATGTGGAGAACCTCTTGGACATTGACTTTGATGGCTCCGCACCTGCTTCAATGCAGAAGCAACCCACACACGGCTCGTCAGGTCTGGAAGGACTGGGTGGAACCCCTCAACGTGTCGCGTCTCCAGCAGTAAACGCTCCCGCGCCACAACAATCAAACATGGACGACTTGTTAGGCTTATTTGGAGACGGAGGTGGAGCCGCCGCCGCACCTGCACAACCCACGCAAATGAGCAACGACGATATCATGAATGGATTCGCAAGCATGAGCATGGATACAAATCAACCTCCACCACCGACACAGCAGTTAGGCGGCGAGCCGAGCAAGAAGAGTAACCAGGACTTATTGGACTTGTTCTAGGTAGCTAGTATGGATGGTATCGTTGGTTCAAGTGTTTTGTGTTAGCGAAAAGTATATCTAGTGAGCATCGGCTGGCGCTGGAAACATGCCCTGATACGATGACATGTATACAAATCGAGAGTTGGTAATGAATGACAATACCACAACGCACCAGTACGGTTTCTTGTTTGTATTGCTGAGCGACTGACTACTGAAGTCACTGCTACATCGCGTTAATGCATGCACGACAAGGTCCAAGGTGAAGCCTCAATCCACAATATTGGTTCATTAACCGTTTCCATTCCATTAAGCATTACACTAGTAATAATGTCCCTTTTCCGAGGCAGTAGGCCTAAACCAGCCATGTATACCACCTATCCCGAGTCCAAGATCAATGCAGCATTTGAACAAATGCATTTCCTTGCTTCAATTCATGTCCTCGACATCATCAGAAACCCCCTATTGCAGACGTCCAGCCGCTCAAAAAAAAAGTATGAGAAAAGGGCGGCGGCCGGGCGCTGAAGCGAATGTATACAACACAACTGTAAAAAGCTTTTTTTTACAGTTCTAGAAAAGCCAAAGTAAGCGACCGACTTGGGTATCAAAAATGGGGTACAATAAACCGCGCACTGTGGCGCTAGTAAGGGATATCCACGAGAAGAATGGGTGTGGATCCCTGATGCATGTTGCAGCGTCTTCTGCTGACGCCAGTAATTCTATGCCGTCAAATCCATGATTATAAAATGGACCGCTGAAATGCTTCGCAAACAATAAAACTCCGCTCCAATGCATAGGTCGTAAAGGCCGTCACCTGGGGATGTATGGTGATGTGCGAACGTAGGGATGAGTATAAGTTTGTGGCGAGAGATGTAGATGTAGATGGTTGTCGTCTTAGTCTTTGCGGAGGGTGTGTTCGGTATCGGATCCGACTGTGTCGCCTTCCCAGAGGCTTTGAGAGTCGTCGGTGGGCGACCGAGCGCCGACGGGGCTCCTACCACCGGTAGAGTAGGATGAAGAGGAGCCGCTCGCCCAGTCGTCAGAGTCGGAGTGGGGCTGGAACTCCTCGTAGATGTCGAGCATGCTGTAGCCAGCACCGTCCATGGGGTCACCAATCTCGACGTAGTCGTAGTCCCAACGGAACTCTTTGTCGGATTGCGGGCGGGGCAGGAACTTGGCGCGACCGAAGAAGTAGCAGACACCGGCAACTAGAAAAGATTAGCAATAGTAGAGATGCAAGTAAGAATGGCAACTTACGCAGACTGCCAGCTACCAGGTCAACGGCGTAGTGGTGAGAGAAGTACATGGTCGACCACCAGAGCCACATGGTGTAGAAAACGTATACGGGGAACAGCCTGGGGAAGACGTGTCCCATAAACAGCGTTTCCAAAGTAGCCCATCCCGAGTGCAGTGAGGGGAAAGCACCAAAGACCATGGGCGAGGCGAGGAAGGTGGACGTGTATATATCAATTCCAGTCAGCCTGTCAATTGCCTTGAGCCCCGCAGCATCTCCAGGGATACTATAGTTGGCGGGTGCCAATCCATACGAGTTCTCATACCAGGGCGGCGAGCATGGGAAGACGATTTGGATCAGGACAGCTGTGATGTTCATGTATCCGAAAGCACGCGCCCAGATAGGGAGGGTGCCAGGAGGACCCCAAATGAACATGCATCCGCTAACAATAACAGGCGATACATAGTGTACTACTCCGTAGGGCAACCAAGCGAGGATGTCCAGAACTGTGTGCTTGTGTGCGGATAGGATGTTACTCAGGTTGGCGCCGTAAAGGATGTTCTCGAGAGCGGGGAGGACGCGGACCCAGATTGAAGGGCGGTAGTCAGCGGAGATGTATCTAGGGTGAAGGTTAATATAGATGTACATATCGGATAGCAAAGACAGTACGTACTTGCAGCTCGAGAAGAGGAAGAGCCATGTAAGAGTAGGGAGTAATGGGAGGAGAAACTGTCGCGTGATGGGCAGACACAGGCCCGTCATGAGCAGCGTCGCTATAAATGTCTTGGCAAATGGCCCTGGCGCCTCGCTCACGGAGAGGGAGAAGATGGCGACGATGGCGAGGAAGAGGTACTGGGCATCGTATATGGACCAAGAATGGGTTCGCAGAGAGCGCAGCGTGTCCGAAGGGGAAAAGGACGTCTCGAGGCCGGCGATGGATGATGTTGGGGCCTGGCGACTGCGTATCCGCGACTTGGTAGCCCGCCACTTTCTGCGGACGCGATGGGGGATAAGACTGGGCAGGGCAGATAGGCCCGGGACCGAGGTGCGCGACAGCATGTCGGAAGCGGTGGTGTTGTCGAGAAAAGCGAGGTAGCTCTTGTTGGTCATGGTGGAATAGTGGTGAGAAGGGCTCGGTCGCTCGGGGGATTGTCTGTGGCGCAGTTACAGGGCAACAACACACGCGACCAAAGGCTGGTGGGGGCTCGTTCGCGGCGAGGGAGGTCGTCAGGTCGTCTTGTCTGGAGAGCTGCGCAAGACGGTGGGCGAGCGAACAAGAGGGAAAGGAAAGCGGAAGAGGGCGGACTAAGGATTATGAAAGGCAGCCGTAACTTAGTGGAAGCTCCGGATGGCTGAGGCTTGCACAGTGCCGGGGGGTCAAATTAGGTCCGCGACGTGAGCGGCTACGACGGAGCTGGTTAGGGCCCAAGTGCTCTCAATTTCGTTTACAACAAGACGCTGTGTCTTTGCACCAGGATTCGCATCAATGTTTCCATGTCTTGGCTGTCTCAGCAGAGGAATGTGGGTAGTCGTCGTTGACTCTACTGTTTGCACGGCTTTGTTGCGGCTTGATAGTCTTGGATAGCATGCCCACACTCAACCATGGTTGCTGACATGCGACACACAGGGCAGTGTATCTGCATGCATGTGACCCTTGCAGCTCTCATCGCTATCACGTTTCTCGGTGCTCCGTCGCACATGGCTTTGTCATCGCGTACGGGACCCATCTCTGCAAAACTGCTGCTGGTCTGGCGCCAGCGCCAGCGCCATGCAGCTGTGTGTTAGACGCTTGGTTAAGCCCATCATGACATCAACATACAGGTTACCGCATCGTGCCGTCAAGCACATCGTGAAAGACGTAGACCCAATCGACGACCATCGACATGCACACCCCTGTCGTCTTCTTTACGAGATACGGGCATCTGCTGGTAAGCCTCGTTGCGTTGTCGCTGTCACCATTGTCTCACACACAAGGCCACCACCCCCCAGCCTCAAAGGAACACGAAACATGCACTGCATCTTCATCACCTGTCCGCCCCGGGCTCCACTGCATTGCTAAACCTTCTCACCTCTTGCACGCTACTTACCAATCGCACCCCTCCACCTTTGACTGTGCAAAAAAGCCACCGCTGACTGTACTCTGCCGTATCCTCGCGACGTCGTCTGAATAGGCGCCCTCGGCATCTCGTAAGATCCGCAAGCCGTGCTACCCTTTACCCTCTTGGCTGGACTGCCAAAGCCCGCTCTTCCCATTGCCATGGTTCCACCCGACGCATCTGAACGCCGTCTTTCTCGTGCGATGCGCAATTTCCTTTTTCCTGTCCGATCCGCCCGCTGCCCGATCGCCGATGTATCTTGCCCTCTCGGACGTAAGTAGGGCGGAGCCTCGGACGAACACAACCTCCACGCCAACGCTTCACGACATTCGCCTTGTCCAAGCTAATCAGCGGTCAAGAAAAACCTTTTTAGCGAGTCAAGGAAAAAACTCAATTCAATAAACCTCGATTAGACAGAAAACGTTGCATTTCAAGGCTAAATCGCAAGAGAAGAGTCGAGATTGCGACCATCGCAATTTCCCTCTCCCTTTTTGCCTAACTCTCTATACCCCTTCTCCAGCAATGCCATGTACATCCCCTTTTGACATTAACAATGCCATAGCATACCACGGTTACGTATTGACTCAGTTTTCCCCAACAACAACAATGTGCAAAACAAAACATCTGCCCGCAGTCTCTCCGCTCGTTTGGCGCGAAGAACAAAGCACCGGCATCAACGAGCGTTTCACTAAATAAAAAAATCCAGCAACGGTCTTGCATGCGAGGAACAGCACACGCGAAAAATGTCGCGCAGAACCCCAGTAGTCTCGTATCCCGCGTATTTCAGCCTTTGCTTCTCTTCTTTTCCCGCCCCAACTCTCGCAGGCCGCCTCGGACCCCGACAAGGCCCGAGCTCGCTTAAACCGTCGCGCCCTGCAAAGGCGGGAGTCGGGTAATTTTCCTTCCCCCCTTGCACCTAGCTTTCTTGCCGTCTCGCTGCCGTTCGGCACGCGAGCTTAGGTTGTCGCTGATCGCCATGAACACTTCAATGTTGATCTCGGAAGCCTCGGATGAGGCAATAGGGAGGCACGGAGGAGACTCCACAAAAGGCCATGTGGGTATGATGTTCAGGTACCAGATTGCGCGGGGGGGATGCTACGGAACACCCTTGTTCTATAGATGTATTCCTTGGCCAGAACATACTGTAGAGTTAACTATAGTCGTCCGCTTGCTGGAAAGTGTTTTGCATCACAAAATCTTCTCGGATCACAAACAAGAATACTCCAACTTCTTCATACTATCAGATGCGCTAAGACATGCTATGTAATGACAACGCCGGATGTCTTTGCAGAACAATGCAATACAAAACTCTCCCTACGAACAAGGCCGAAGCTATACATGGCCTTTGGAGAAAAGAACCCCCGCTCAAAACGATATGCGAACGCCATGCCCGATCGTACATCGTATCGCGTGCTAACATGCATAAAACGCATCCTCCACCAAAACATCAAGCCATGTATATCCACCGTCCTACGGCGTGTCAATAAGATCCTCCAAGAACTCGTCGAGTTCGATAATCGTGAACTGTTCCGCCCACTTGGACCTGAACTGCCGTTTCCGATACCCACCATTGATTTGCTGTCCCCAGCTAATCAACTCCACCTTCCAGCCCCTCTTCAAAGCCCGCTCAACATGAGCCAGGAAGCCGTCTGACATCTCCGCAACAGCCCCATCGCCAGTTGCGAGAACCATGGTGCTCGGCACTTCGGTATCAATAATGCTCTGACACATCTTCAAGTGAAGAATCTCGTCAACACCCTGCTCAACCCATTTCGGGGCTGAAGGGGTCTTGGGAGCCGGCGGACCCGTTTCAGAGTCGCTGCCGCTCTCAGCACGCATTTGAGTAGCCTTGTGCCAACCCATCTTCTTAACATCATTGAAGAATTTCTTCTTCTCTGATTCTTCGCGGACAATGAGCACCTGCTCTTGCATGACACTGTCGTAACCGACTGCCTTGGAAGTTTCGACCAACTTCGCTACATGTGGCAGAGGATTGGCTTCACGGTGTGAGCCGGCAAAGAATCTCTTTGCTACGGGCCGACGGCGTTCCATCAAAAGTGCAAGACTATCAAAAGACATGTCGTAGGCATCGTGCCGCAATCCGTGGTATCGGAGCATGTCCTTGAGGCCAATCATGATGTTCGAGGCATCAACAAAAACATGCAATCCATGAGCCGACTCTCGTTCATTGAGAAGTTGCATAGGCGACACCAGCCACTTTCGATCTTCAGGAAAAGTGTTCAACAACTTGTTAAACAGGTGGTAGTGACGCTCTACCTGCGATCTAATCGTGAGCGGTGGTCGTCGTCCGCTAAACGAGCTAACATTTGGTGTAGGAGTAGTAGGTGGCTGCTGAATAACAGCAGGTTGGGAGCAAGTCCTTGGCAAGGTAACAGGTCGAACGGTCCGGGGAACGAGTCCGTGATGTACCGGTGTGATTGCGCGAGGCGGTTGCTGCGGCTCGGCCAGAGTGTACTGGGGCGGTGCAGTTGCGCCGAGTGTTGCGTGTTGGGTCTGAGTGGGTGCGGGTGCAGTGGAAGGGATGATAGCAGGCGCTGGTTGAAGAGGCTGAGGAGTTACTGGTTGTGCCGCAGAAGGCCGCTTGAGTATACTGGGGCGAGGCTTGGGCGTCCTGGGCTGCTTCTGCTGTGCCCGAGGGGCTTCGGTTGTACCATGTCCTGGTACCGGGGTAGGAGTCGCAGGCCTGATCTTAGCGCCCACGTTGGATCGTGAGTGTGTTCGGGAAGGCTTGGACGGCGTTTCGGGCGAATTGACAACCTCAGTGGTATTGTCGATGATTTCGTCCAATTGCTTCCGCAGTGACGCTTGCTGTGCCTGGTGCTGCCTCTGCTTGCGATCTTCCGCAAGCTGCGCCAAGGTATCCTGAACAGCCTGTTGACGATTTCGTTCTTCTTCTAATTCTTTCTCGGCACGTCTGCGAGCCTTTTTCCGTTGAGTCTTGGTCAAGCCTGTGTTTTCTGTCGGCTGCTCGTCCGAAGTCTCGATATGCCTGGCGGGTGTCTTGGTCGATTCGAGTGTGGGGGATGGTAGTAAAGCCTCATCAGAGTTACTCAGTTCGGATTCAGGATCGAGTGGCGGCAACGGTGCGGGGTCAATATCGGCGAATCCTAAGCTTTCGAATAGCTTGGAGAAGCTTCCCAGACGTATTCCTCCATCTTTCAGCGCGGAAGCCTTAGTTGGCGCCCCAGGCCGAAGCGTTGGGCTGCTGACGTCTTGGGCTCCCGAGTCTATCAGATCGATAACGGAGCTGAAATCCCAGCCAGAGTCGGGCGGTTGCGAAGGCATTTGGTTATGCTAGGTGAATGAAACGAGACGTTTGGCTTTCGTGTGTGTTTGTCGTAAGGAATCGGGTGCTATTATGTAGAAGATACTGAGATGATGTAAGTTGTGTGAACGACGAACCATGGTTACTGGATTCAAGGCTACCGCCCGCACCAGCGTATGGTACAGCCTGATAGGCTCCTCAAATTCGATGTGCAGGCTGCGCAGTCGGTATCGCAATAACTGTCAAACATACCGTGTAACTGATCTCGAAACAATCGCCTCAATCGCACGCTCATGGTCTATCGCGACAGGTCAATGACAGAAGTGTCACCAGGCTGGATCAAGAGCTCCAGACACGAGTGAAAAGGAAGAAATGAGTAGTATGAGAACAATAAGAGTTGCGCGAGTGTAAATCTAAGTGAGTGAGCTCTGGGTGGCGGCGGGGTGAGGGTGATCGGCTTGTGTCTCAGCCTCATAAGGTCAGTGCTCCATGAATCATTCGGGTCAGGTCGACATGCCAACGCCACCACGAATGACACACACCATCTGCAGATTATTGGGTCTTCTTCCACGTCAATCTAGATCGGGCCTTAAGCCAGTCTTTACGACGAACTGAAATTATCAGAGAGACAGTAAAATAGTACGGTCTCTTCGTCTATTGCTTATTCGTACGTGCTGTCAGGCATGCGAACGACGTCAAGCGTCCCGAGCGAAACCAAACGAATCGCCAGCAAAGCAAACATGATCTGGGCAATCTACGACGCAGATTGCTTCTATCTCTGTTTCTAGAGTTAAACTCACAAGCACCTTCAGTTAAACCTCGACATCAGTCAGCCTCTGGTTCATTACGCTCTGCCACCCAACAATGTGTACGACAATAGACGAAATAACGAGTGTTCGTGGATCTTCGCCATGTGTAGGAAGTCAATAGCCACATGAAGTACCTAGTAGTGTAGCCATCAACAACATGCTGTATGAACATCCTCGAGATCATTGTTTACATTGACAACCTCTCGTATCCTATGCCTCGGCATCTAAACCTCGCGCCCCACAATCCGCATCTCTCCAGCAACCCTTCCCCAAGTACCCCTCCAACTTCCCTCACTAACCCCTCTCCCCAAAGACCATGTCCGCAGACTTCTGGGCAGGTTACGTATCCGGCGCAGCAGGTATAATAATCGGAAACCCCCTCGACTTAATAAAAACGCGTCTGCAAGCCGGCAAAACAGCGCAAAATGTCGAACCTACAACAGCAACGGGTGCGGTAACAGCACCAAATAGCTTCAAAGGACATTTTGAAAATGCTGGGACGCTCGTAAGAGGTGAGTGAATACCACAAAGCAAATTGATATCAAAAATTAGTAGGCTGACTTGACTTCTCCAGTATAGGCGCAACAGCACCCATTCTGACCTATGGCGCGCTCAACGCTCTCTTGTTCATGACATACAATCGCACTCTCTCCTTACTAAACGATTCGCCCACATCACCTACAAACTTCTCCAAAGTCTTCCTCGCTGGCGCAACTGGTGGCCTCGCATCTTTCGTGGTTAGCGCACCTACGGAACTCGTAAAGTGCCGCGCACAGGTTGCTACGAGCGCGACAACAACGTCGTGGAGTGTAGCGAGGGATGTTTGGAGGACGGAAGGAATCAGGGGGTTGTACTATGGAGGTGGCATTACTAGTGTGAGAGACGCAGTGGGATATGGTTTTTAGTGAGTAGTTACCAGGCAGGGCGATTGGAGAAAGACGAAGGATATCGACTGACCGATTGCATAGTTTCTGGTCTTACGAACTTTCCAAGCAAGCCTGGAGCTCACCAGACGACTCGGATAGAGAAACGGCTATGAAAGTGCTGCTGTGTGGAGGTCTGGCCGGAGTGATAACCTGGGCGTCCATATTTCCATTGGATGTTATCAAGACGCGGGTTCAGACGCAGATACTACATGCGCCGGTACGAGATGGTGAGCAGAGTGCGCTGCTAGGGTCAGAGGCACCGAGAGCGCGGTTGAGCTCTGTTGAGATCGCTAGGCAAGCCTACCGGACAGAGGGTGTGGGCGTTTTCTTCCGCGGCCTTGGGATATGTAGTGTACGAGCATTTGTGGTAAATGCAGTTCAGTGGGCTGTCTATGAGTGGATGATGAAATTGCTGCAGCAATAACAAACACCATTCCCCATTACTAGTAGCTCTTAGAACATGCGTGGACAGTAACAAAAAGCAAAGATATGGGGGCACAGTTATGAAACCATTAGGTTACGATTCGATCTCGTAGCCACAGCTCGAAAGCTAGCCTTTTTGAGTAGATAAGAAAATTTTGGTCCGCTACAAAGACATGCCCATGACCAAGACCTGGTTGCATAACCTCTTCAAAGCTCCGTCGTGTGTGTACATGTGAAATTGAAGAGCAAATTAGTTCCTAACATGACAATGCTCATAACAGAAGCAGATAGGAACCCGTGTGCATCGAACCTTTGATGCTTGCGCTTCGAGAAAATACCATAAAGGACCGATCACATTACATGATCTGATCCTGGGTCAATCCACCAGTGTGCTCGGTACCCTCCATGGCATCGCTGTTGCCCACATTGGTGTACTTGACATAGGCCAAGCCAAGGGGCCTGCCACCGTACTGGTAACCAGTGAACTTGGCTGCGTACATGTTAGTAAGTAGGCATCAATGAGCATCAATGAACTTACCAATAGAGGTCTCGGCATCTGCAGCCTGTGCAAACTCGACGACACCGGTTCCGCGAGAACGACCATTGGGCTCATACTGGATCTCAGCACGTTCGACCTTGCCGATGGTCGTGAAGAGCTCGACAAGATCTTCGTTGCTAGTCGACCAGGGTAGGTTGCGGACGTAGATGGTGTTGCTGGGCTCTCCGCCTGCAGTAGCGTAGTCTGTGAATGGGTTCGGCGCGGGTGGAGCAGCGTTGGGGTCGAAGGCAGGGCCACCAGGAGCACCGCCGCCAAAGCCACCACCACCACCGTAGCCTCCACGGCCTCCAAAGCCACCGCCGAAGCCACCACGGCCACCAAATCCTCCACGACCGCCGAAGCCACCGCCAAATCCTCCGCGTCCGCCGAAGCCGCCGCGACCACCGAAGCCACCAGGAGCGCCAGCAAAGCGATCCTCACGAACCTCTAGGTTTCGGCCCTGCCAATCGTAGCCGTTGAACTGAGTGATGGCATTACGAGCATCCTCAGGTGTCTCGAAAGCCACAATACCAGAGCCCTTAGGGCGGCCGTCAGGTGCGATATGGACGTCAGCGCGAAGCACTTGGCCGTTGTTAGCGGCCTGGCGGAAGAGATCCTTGAGGTCCTGCCAGCCTACATTGTAGGGGAGCTAAACGACTGGGTCAGTACAGGCTGTCGAAGTAAGCATTGGGGAGTATGAAAGGGGGTACAAACATTGGCGACGTAGACCTGTCGTCCGGCACCGCCTCCAGCAGCAGGGTTACCGCCAAAGCCACCTCCGTAGCCGCCGCGTGGGCCCATTCCGCCGCCAAAGTCACCGCGTCCGCCGCCGCCGGGGGCGCTGAATCGAGGCTCGGCCTCTCGGTCTTCGCGAACGTATACGAGTCGGCCCATGAGGTTTTGGTTGCTGAGCGATGCAACAGCGTTCTGCGCCTGCTCCCGAGTGGCATATTCCACGATGCCACAGCCCTATACCCAAGCAAAAGCCAGTCAACCTCCATCCTTCTCACGATCAAAACAAGCCATCATCCATTACCTTTGACATTCCGTTCGGCAGCAGCAAGACGTCTGCGAAGAGGACCTCTCCAGCTGTTTCCGCATTAGTCCAGCTCTTGACGCGGCGCAACACATCCCGTACCTTGGCGCATGAAGTCCTTTAGGTGGTGCCACTTGACATCGTAGGAAAGGTTGCCGACATAGACACGGCGGTCTTGTTGCGAAGAATCCCTAATACTCTGCATCATTTCCTTGTTCTCGACGGGTCGCGATGAAGCTCCTCGGCCAGCACCGTAAGATTGGTAGCCTCCAGCACCTTGCGCACCACTGTTAGGGGACCGCGAGCGGCGTTCAGTGCGACGATAGTCCTCTCGGCTGCGCGAGCGGCTACGGGGAGAGTAGGAGCGTCTGGAGCGTCGCGGTGAGCGAGATCGTCGACGAGGTGAGCGGTCGCGCTGATCATAGTTGTCAGTTTCGTACGACATGATTGCAAGAGTCAGGCAATATGTCGAGGTGGCGGCGAGGTTTGGTAAGATTGGGCGATGGCGAGCAGTTGCGGGCTCGCGTGGTTGATGGGGTTGAGGAGAGGTTGCGCGAGCGGGTGAGGATGAGCAGCTCGGAGCTTGGGCAACGACAATCCGCCCGGCGGCAGTTGCCGACAGCGACGATCACGTGACGGAGCCACCCCCAAGGCGTGAGTGATGAACGATGGATTGGCAGGTGATGGCTGCCTTGGGGGTGTTCAGAGGTAGGTACCGTCACTCTCCTCATCGTCGTTCCCCTCTACTGATGCCCGGCAATGCGCCAGCATTGCTGTTCACCTGACCCCGGGGAAACAGAAAGAAGGAACTTGAGTACTTACTCGGTCGCTTGGACGATAGTTGTCTCCTGCAGAGTCTGGTGGGTAGAGGTCAGCAGGCAAGGTGTCGAGTTGTAAGAGAAAGCAGAACCGTGATGGCGCGGAGGATGGCAAAAGCGTTGGACGGCCAGGGAGGGGAAGTTACGGATGCGTATATAAGAGGGGCCCACTTACCCATCCTGTGTATTGAAGTAGCTGCCGGTGACACTTGCTTCAGGCCGGCTTCCCTGCCAGCTGAAGGGCCAAGTGGTGCAGATATCACGCTGCAGAGGAATTGCCCTTCTTCCGTCCACGCCTCAACGATGACGCTGTATGGGTCCTCGACAGTGCAAGCCTCCCCACGGCACAGCGTCCAACCAGCCAATCGCAATGCAGAGGCGCCCACCGCGAGCCTGAAGGATGTCCCAGCAGTCTGGGTTGGTCAACGGAGGTTGAGGTTGCAAGACCGATCGGGAACGTGTCGGTAAGCCTTGGATATAGCTGAACCTGTCGTGAACGGGCAGCTGGCGTCGATGCGACGACTACGACTGCAGTTTAGTTTGCGTTCTCCAGGCGTCGTGGGCAAGCAGAGGACTGGCAAATAGCTTCCAAGCAAACACCCTGATGGGTGGTTGGACTGTGATGGAGGGCTGCCTGTGGGTCTGTGGAGTCGTTCGGTAGTGCCTTCCCCCACCATTTCGGAGGCCGTGCGCCTTCTGCGGGAACGGGTTCCTTAGCCGCGGCTTCTTCTGTTTGCCTACTATCCTATTCAAACACGCGAAAAATAACCATCACATACATCAATCCAACTTTCAGAGCCGATCCAGGACAGCTGTGGGTACGGGATCCAAGCAAACACTAGTAAGCCGCCGTGGCCTGGACCCTTGACTATGTGCGTCGTTACATCGTTAGATCTTCATCATCGATTTGGCCGATGTCGTGACACTAACATGCAGTCCATTATACCCGTCCTTGCAAGACCAGTTCACCCGGTCTGTACCCTCAGGTCTGGCTGCACAACGTAGAATTAGACTTGGGTTGAACATAGCCTTTGCTTCTCGTCGTTCGCACATCCATGAATGCATTTACTTCAAGGCAACACATGTAAGCTGTCCGATCAAGTGTGGACTGTCAGGCGCTTGCGTGCTTCCGCGTGGGAAGCAGCGAGTTTATTGTTTTACGCTCTTTTCCAGTCTAATCCAAATTTCGGATGTTTCTGCTCGTGAAGTTTCCCTTCCAGTCATATCACATCTGTAGATGCTTCGTTCTAATCCTCATACGTTTTTAAGAGTACAGATTCGAAATCACGATTGGGATAAATGTGCTCACTAATAGGTCAAGAAGTTAGGAAATAGCAAGTGTATGACTAATTCCGAGCGCCACGGCGATAAGAGAAACCACTGTAAGATTCGCGCTATTCCATGTTGTCTTCATACTTAATGATGGAGTCTGGAGTGAAAATGGTGCAATAAGATTCGGCAATAGGGTCAAAGGGTAAACGACGTCATGAGGCTGAAAGCCGAGGTTCCCCACAACAAGACATCTTCATGCATCTCAAGTCCATCCACGTATTAATCTGCAAGTCTACTTTATATTACCATGTACGCTATCTCATAGCTGCCTAAAAGAACACCTTCCAATAAGAACCGTGCGCCTAGCATTCCTCTTGCCTACTATCGAGCCCAAGATGCCTACCAAGTCGCCATTTCCCGATGTGGAGATCCCGAACATCGACCTCTGGAGTCTGATGTTCGACCGCAAAGACCGCGACTTCCCTGACAACAAAGTCATATATCGCGCCATCAACTCTGACCGAAAGTATACATTCGCCGATGTAAAAAGCCACGCGACATTGTTCGGTGAAGGCCTGAGGAATCTCTGGGACTGGCAGAAAAACGATGTGCTCGCTTTATATGCGCCAAACGATGTCGATGTACCGTCAGTCATCTATGGAACATTCTTTGCGGGTGGCATCGTCACGCCTGCCAACCCAGGGTACTCAAAAGATGAGCTGGCTTATCAACTAGAAAACTCTGAGGCTAAAGCACTTGTTACAACCAAGGCTTTCCTAGATACCGCGTTAAAAGCTGCGGAGAAAGTTGGGATCGCAAGTGACAGAGTAATCTTGCTGGGTGCTGAGAAGGATGCGACGCATCGATGCAAGCATTGGACTAGCATCAGAAAGACATCGGGCGCATTGCGATACCGTAGAAGGAGGGCAAACCCTGAAGATCTAGCATTCCTTGCGTACAGTTCTGGAACCACGGGACTGCCAAAAGGTGTCATGCTTAGCCATCGTAACATCGTCGCAGATCTACTCCTGGCACAGGGAGCAGTCGGAAACTGGTATTCATCTGCAAAAGACAAGTTTCTCGGAGTGCTCCCGTTCTTCCACATTTACGGTCTTACCGGCTTGGTACACCAAACACTCCATCGCGGTATCGAGCTCGTGGTGATGCCTGCTTTTGACATGGAAACCTTCCTGCGGACGATTCAAGAGCACAAGATTACGTTCATCTACGTTGCGCCTCCAGTCATCGTGCGCTTATCTAGGGATAAGATGGTGGACAAGTACGACCTTTCGTCCATCAAGATGATTACAAGTGGCGCGGCTCCGCTTACGAAAGAGTTGGTGGATGCTGTGCACAGGAGATTGAAGCTCAAGATCAATCAAGCTTACGGATTGAGTGAAACGAGTCCAATGACACATACCCAGGTACGTTTGTCTCCGCAGAACAGGAAAGAGTAACCTGCTAATACCCAGCCAAAGCCGTGGGACGAATGGTACAGTTCCGTCGGAAGTGTAGGAAAGATGTTCCCGAACATGCAAGCAAAGTACATTTCTGCCGATGGCAAAGAACTCGGGCCCGGCGAAGCAGGCGAGCTCTGGCTCAGCGGTCCCAACATCTTCAAAGGATACTGGAAGAACGAATTGGCAACCAAAGAAGCCATTACATCTGATGGCTTCTTCAAAACCGGCGATATTGGCTTCCAGGATGAACAACACAACTTTTACATCACCGATCGTGTCAAGGAGTTGATCAAATACAAAGGCTTCCAAGTCCCGCCAGCGGAACTGGAAGGAAAGCTATTAGAAAGTGAGCTCGTTGACGATGCAGCCGTCATTGGGATCAACGACGAGCAGCAGCATACTGAAGTGCCTAGAGCTTACATCGTAGCATCACAGGCTAGTCGCGCTGGTGCTGGAGAGGCGGAAGCCAGAGCGATAGTGGAGTGGATAGATAAGAAGGTAGCTAACCATAAGAGATTGAGAGGAGGTATTGTGTTTATTGACGAGATACCGAAGAGTGCGAGTGGTAAGATTTTGAGACGGGTGCTCAAGGAGAGAAGTAAAGACGATGTGCCAATGGGTGTAGTCTCAAAGGCGAAACTGTGAATGAAGAAGACTCTTAATACAATTATTCATACCTTTGTCACTAAGCATGACCTGGGTGGATTAAAAGCGACATGCGATATGCGAGATAGGCAGTCGGTTGCAAACAATCTGCAGAACGAGTGAGAATTGAAGAAAAACTAGCCAAACTCAACACAGGTACACTATTGCACATATCTATTCACCAGTAGTCCTCTTATAAGGTATCAAGTATATATACATTTAGGTAAGCTACCCATGCTGATTCATATCCGTCGTAAATACTCGTGCTCAGTAAACCTTGTCCACCACATTACCGGTAGAAGACTTGCCACCAGAAATTGCTGCTGTCTTGTTGAACTCCGTTGTTCATGAAGACTGTATGGAAAAAAGAATACTCCAGTAAGAAGAAAAGTGGAAATGAGATGACACTCGTCATGTATTGCGCCAACCATGTCCGTTCGACAGTGTTAAGCCGAAGCCAAGGAGACTTTTTGTATATGCCGTGGAAGATGGAGGGAAGGATCCATGTGAAAGAGAACACATCCCGTATGCAAGTCGACAGAAACGCTAAAAGTTTTCCAACCCTTTTTGTTTTTGTAGAAATAGAAAACAAATGCCTTGGTTTAGGTGTCGTGAAAATATTGCTGGTAGTAATCCGAGATGAGGGATTTAAGCACATCTTCTTCTACCATATATTGAGTGCATCGACTCAAGCATTACTGCCCCAAGGTCCCGTTTCTTTTCCGAGTCCAGATGAACCAGTAGTGCGATGGCCACCAACAGGAGCAAAGCTCGGGCTGGCCTTACCGCCGCTGCCCCAGGACAAGCCGCTCAAGCGCTTGTTGCTCGTACTGGAGGTAGTAGAAGCACCATCTCTGCTCTTGTTGAGATCATCCTCTTCTTCCATACTGAAAAGACCCTGCTCTTCCTCAATCCTCTCGCGGTTGATACTGCTACTACTCACAGCACGATCAATACCAAGACGTCCGCTAGAGCTACTGATGCTGGATCCCGAGGTAACTCGGTTGATTCCGGGATGGACGGGGTTGCTGGTGATGCTGGTCTCATCACGAGACGATAGTCGAGTTCGCTGCAGTTGCTGGCTAATCATGCTCATAGAAGCTTGACGGGGAGGTGAGGCTAGATAAGGGCTCGTGTCGCCAGTGGTCGGTCGGTTCATAGCGCGTAATGAGGGGCTGGCTCCCGGATGGAGGCTTGAGTTGCGAAGTGGTGAGCCGACATGTCCGAATGCTGACTGACCCGGGAGTGAACCTGATTCAAATCCTTGCTCGTAAGTCGGTCCTCTCGGCTTGGCCCACATGGACTGGAAACGCGAGGGGGAAGCGGTTGCGGCTGATGGTGATCCATACTTGAGGTCCGATGCCGTTGGCGAAACACCAAACCTGGATTGTGAAGTGCGGTTATCGCTCTCGCCCTGGTCGCGCGAGAAGCGGCGCATCTTTTCTTGGGGCGTGAGAAGATCGCTGAGCGAGTTTGGCAGTAGATCCTCCTCGAATTTGCCAATCATGTCTGTCTCATCCCATTCCTCGTCCTTGTACGTCGGCCGCGCGCCCACACTCGAAGACATGATACCCCGTGACCGGTTCGCAGCAAGCTCGGAATGTAGCATTCTCCGCCCAACTGGCTGCTCAACCGACTCTGGTGGAGAGGATCCCAGCCCCGCAATACCTCTCCGTAGCCCATCTCCAAATGCGGAGTCGTGTAGGTTTCGAAGAGCAGGCGAGTCGGCTTGGTATGAGGACGGCGGAGAGTTTGCAAGGAACTTGGCGGGTACGGAGGAGGCGATGGGGCCATATCGTGCCATTGTGGAGACACCCTGGCTGTCGAACGAGGCCGGGAGTCCTACATCCATGACACTCAAGCCCTTCTGGGTTGGCGATATTGGAAGTCGGCCATTCTCGTTTGGCGGTGAGCCATAGTTGGAACCTGGGTGCGAAGAGAAGGTGGTGTCGATGGTCGGAATCATGTCGTACTGGTTCTTCTGGTTCGCGTATTCGTCGGGCATGGCGTAAGGATAGCCGGGCTGCATACCGCCCATGTGTGCCTGCATAGTAAGTAGTGAGCTGTTCATAGGCATCTCCTGATGGTGTGGGATGTTCATGCGGCTAAAGTGTCCACCGCCGTTTCCGCGGTTCACGACATGGCCGTTGGGAAGGATGTGGGCGAGGGCGCATTTCTGGCCAAACTTGCAGTTTCCCTGGGTATGGAATTAGCGAATCCTTGGCCATCTCTTGTCAGTATATCTCACCTTGGTAAAGTACTTGCAGGGCGCTCGCTCTGTCAGTGGCTCATCTGAATGCAAGAACGGACACGCCTTCCCAGCCTGACATGCGCCTTGTCGGTAGAACTTGCAGGGCACGTGTGAGGTATCTGCCCTTGTTAGCAGATGCCCGCACGGTTTCATATTGCCTCGACCTACTCTTGTTGTTTGGCGGACTGCGCGGGCCGGCAAAGCCCATCTCGCGCAAGTTTGCTCGATGCTCTTGGCCGTTGATGCGCCCGCCAGGCACTGCCATGGGCCCATGACCGTTTGCGCCCGCCATTGCGCCGTTGGAATGCTGGGGCCGGAGGTCGCGCGAAGCTCGTCGTGATATCTGCGGCGGATTCGAGGTATATTGCGCGATTGGCGGGTTCAGTTGATGGGCAAAGGGTCCGTGTTGGAGATGCTGTGGTGGGGGCTCCTGGTGGGGTTTGTCGCCGACGTCTGAGGGAAAATTAGTAGGCGCAAGGGTAGCCATAGCTCTGAAAAATGGTAGCGGGCCTCGGGCCTGAATCGGCGGTCTACCTTCGGCGACAGTGAGAGATTTCTCTCAGAGACCAGGAAACCCGAGAAAGAGACTGCTATCACCCGTGAAGAGGGCAAGCTTGTCGGGCAAACGCTAGTATCTACGTGGTAAAGGCTGGAAAGCGGCAGGTCGCTTGTGGCGGACTACTGGAGCGAGGACATGCGACAATCCCGCGCCAGCCACGGTGCAGTTGGTAACGTTGGAGTTTTGACAGGAGACGAATGAGAGGTGCTGTGAGAACTGGAGAAAGAGAAAAAGGAAAATGCAAGCAGTCTTGGATAATGATACGCCGGCTATATCGAATGTCCGTGGTGCTGCCGCCTCAGCGGTTCGCGCGTGATATGTTAATCGTCGCGGCCGCGTGACGCCATAAGAGGACCCTGGACATGGACGGGGAAATCGCCATGGGATGCTTGCACCCACGCTACGCGTCGTTCCTTGGCTATGCCATCCGGAGTGGACTGCCGACGCGTATTCGACTCCCCATCAGCTCACATGGCAGTTCCCGCCTGAAACACATCTCGGACGACCATTGCTGTGGAAGACGGCACCGGCCAATCGAGCCCTTACGCCTCATTGCACTTCTCGGATCTAACCGTCACCTGAGGCTGCCATCATGGTCATCTGCAGAAAGAGTGGCGAACTCGTTGCAGACTAATCTGTACAATTCGATGGTCTAGACATACTGTTTACCAAAACATACTACGCTAGTCTTGTTAATCATACCAGACTTCTTGATATCCTCCCACAATGCAACATATATCCAGTGAGATAACAGAACCCCCCGCCATTCGAGTGATAGCGTATGTCGATACGTTAGCTATGTCCAATGCGTAGTATACCCGCTGAACAGGTGTTGTTGTACCACTCCATCTGCAGGTCGTCCACCATGTGCACTTGTGGTATGTTCAAGAGGTATGTGTAGGCATTGAACTGGATACCCGAAAGCGCCCGGAACTGGTCGTTGAAGAAGATCTGCGTAAGGTGGCAGTTGATGTAGCCCCAGCATGCTGGAAGAGTCGCATTCTGTTCGGCAACGAGCACCTCTTCTTTGAGGACAGGGTCATAGCGATAACCAGACACCCGGAGTGTGCAGGGTTCCAGACCGCTGAGAGCGCAACCGAAGTAGGCAGAGTACGCGTTGAACCAGTAGGCGTCAACCGGAGCCCGTGGCCCAGCACCGAGCTCACCAGGAAGCATCATGCCTGCAAATGGCGTACTGGGAAGGAGGCGTCCGGTCAGCGGCAGGAACATTGCAACGTTTGGCTGCGACATGGCGGGGTATGGCTCCCACTTGTCAGGTACATATGTATATCCGTTGGCATAGAAGAGGTGGTGATACGGGTTCGTCATGCCATTGGCAACAAGTAGTATGCTGTTGTCATCGCCGACGACTGTGTCGTCGAAGGTCAGTGTGAAATTGCCCGACTCACCGCACGACGAAGGCCCTGGCAGATCCGGAAGCGCTACGGTTGTCGTCGCAAGCATGGTTGTTTCCAGGATTTGGGTAGGCTCAACCTTTGTGATGGAAACGTCCTGGCGCCTCGTTAATGCTGCCGTACTCTCATCGCTTTCTTCGAATATCGTCGTCACTACTGTCTTGAAGCGCCTGGATCTGGATGAAAAGATCTCAAAGGAAGGAAGAGCTGAGAGTGGAGTCTGCCGCTCAGTCCGTGTTGTCAACGGTACAGTTTGCAGGTCTAATGGCAGCGGTCCAGTCACCGTGGGGTATAGTCCCGTCCAGTACGAGATTGTCGTTGTGATGTTGGGTGATGGGAAAACGAAGCTTACCGCGGCATCACCAAACGATATTACCTTCGTCACAGCACGAGCGAGGGACAAGGATGTTTCGTTCAAGCCTGAAGGAGATGGTGATGTCACCATCGGGGAGGTAGTCGTGGTCAACGTCAATGTCGAGGTCAGGGTGCCTTGCGAAACAACACTGGAGCTTGGAAAAGACACGGATGCGGTAGTGTCTGTCTGGATGCTCAAGGTACCATTAGACGATGTCAAGCTGCTGGCCAAGGAGCTCGAGTCAACAGTAGAGGTCGTTGTCGTAACCGAAATCAACAGCGCAGAGGAGGTCGTCGAGTTTCTACTCATTGAAGACGAAGAGTTTGTACTGAGAAACAGTGTGGGGAAACCAATTGAGGTACTTGGAACCAGTATGCTGGTCAAAGATGTACTAAAAGACTCCAACGATGGCGTAGAGCTTGAAGTAAGAACTGAAGTGTGTGAAGAAGTAGATGGTACAGAGAGTGACAGAGTGAAGTCTGTCGGTAGTGTGATCGAGGAGCTTTCTACGCTGTTGGTGAGGACTGGATTTAGACTGGTTGGAGTCAAGCTGCTTGATAAGATGCCGGAAGTTGTAACCAGCGATGAAGTAAGACTCCTTGATGATGTGACTGAAGAACTGCCTATACTGCTAGTCAGGCTCAGACTTGCACCGAGTCGACTTGAAGTGCTTGACGATACGCCGACAGAAAGAGACGATCCTGGAGAAGGCTTTGGTAGCGACACAGTGAAGCCATCGCTCCGCGTAGGAGAGAGTACCGAAGAGCTGCCAACAATCGTTGTGCCCGTGGAAACCGTGGTCAAGCCATCCGATAGACTTGCCATCAACGTTGTAGGAGCACTCGAAGTCAATAGTAGACTAGACTCAAGAATAGGCTGCGAAGATATGCCTCCTGATATACTCAAAGGTAGATTTGGATTCAGACTAGATAGACTGCTCGACAGGACGACAGACGAGAGGCTAGTACTTGAGGGCGTAGAGAACGTGGAGGGCAAAAGAAAGGTGGATAGCCTAGTGACGGTGGTAGAGAGTCCACTGCTGATTGTGACAACGGTAGTCGATACGAAATACGATGGATATGGTCTCTGTGGTTGGTTGATCGGTCGGCGTAAGCTTGACGTCTCAGACGATGTTGGGCCGAACAGAGGCAGACTTACAGACGATAAAGCCAACGAAGAAGGTAAGGGACTGCTTCCAGAGACACTAGTACCAACCGACGATCGAAGTGTCGAGCCAGAGGTCAGTGACGATGTGAATGTTGTGTCTGATCCAGGGGTAGAAGGGCCAGGTATAGACAGCGCACTGGTAGTTGATGTCTGCGTTGATGATACAGTGGCAGCACCAGAGGAAGATGTCACTGTGATCGACAACGAAGAAACAAGAGGTGTAGTATCCGCAGTTTGGGTAACGAGAGTACTGAAACGACTAGGCGGCGCGATGCTGTTGAGCCATTCTGTCGTGCCGTTGATGACGGAGAAGTAGTATGTACCTCTTGCAGGGTTTGTAGGCGAGGCACCGATGAGCGAAACTGTAATGATCGGTCCAGGCACAGTGACATAGACGATACTGCAGTTGCCATCCAAGGTTTGAGCGGCGACGCCAGGCAGTGCTCTGAGCAGAAAATCCAGTGTTACGTAGAAGCCAGCGATGACCATGCCAATCAGGGCCAGGGTCAAAACTAGATCCTGGAAAGTTTGCTGATCAGTCCAGTGTATCCGAATCAAGGCAACGAAAAAGTGGTATGTCCATTGTAAGGCGCGACATGGCCACCAGCCGCCAGGCTTGAATCCCCACAAAGGCTGCTTCACGGACTTCGTCTTGCATTTGGACTGCCGCCTCGGGCCTTCCCAGCTGCTTGAAATGACTAAATCTCGTTTTTCTCGCGAGACCTTTCTACGCGAAAAAGGAGCAGAGGGCGAGGTTCCGGAGGAAGGGTCAGATGTACTTGCGTTCATGGGTATGGTGGTAGCTGGTGTACTGAGGTTTCTTCGAGAAGGTTTTACTAGTAGATGCCGGCGATCAAGCGTATTGCTAGTGGATCTGGTTATGACGCTTCGGTATGCAGATGTCGAAGTCGAAGTCGAAGGGAGGCTGGAGCCACTGTTGTCGCTTATGGAGGTCTTTTCTTTCCTCGTTCTGTCCTTGCTGCGGATCTTGTTCTTGCCCATGATGAGAGAGGAAATTTTGTTGCTATGATACACTTGCGAAGATGTTGCTGATATGCTGTTGTGCAAAGATTGTGTTGCGCAAGGTATTCAAAAGTGCTGTTGTTGTCATGGAGGATAGCGATAACAGACTGATGCTTTAAAGCCCAGCGCGTCAAGAGTGTACCTGCCATGAGTGTAAGGAAAACAGAGTAAGCATAGACGATCGATTGATGGAGTGGGAACGATGCGAGCTGTTTGCAGGGCGTGCGGAAGGTGAGAAGTGTAGTTGTTGACTGCTCTTGTCTCGGAAGATTGCAGCAGTCGATGGTTTGGCATGTAAAGACCCGTGCTTGGTTAATCCCTTGCAGATGTGCAGCTTGCTCATCACCATAGTCACAATAATTCGCTCCGCCCCTTCAAATAGTACAAGTAATTTTTCCCTACCACATGCACTTGGCATATATTATTGGACGACGAAGTTTGTTCAAGCAGTAGCGACTTAGTAGCTTCTGATTGCGTCAGCTCTCCGACTATGCTCTTATCTCCCACATCCTGATATGTCCAGCTTCATTGGCAACTGCCAACTGCGCAAGGCTTCCTTCTTTCTCCTCCTCTTCGGTCGGCCTTCCCCACGCCACTGCTGTGATTCTTCCAAGCGGTGTCTTTTCTGTGGGCCAGTTCTTGAAAACGGTAGCTGATGGGAGGTGCACCAGCCTCATCGCGTTGTTCTTCCAGCGACTCGCCATGGCAAGGACTTGGCCGTCCGCTGTGAAAGCGAGATGTGAAATCGGCGTCGTCAGATTCTGCAGGTCGCGTAGCGGTTTCGGTGCCCTAGGGATACCACCGTTTAAATCACTTTTCGCGCCGTTGATTGACGGGTCGTTCTCGCTCCATGCTCGCCGATCGTAGACATTGACCACACCACTTGAGCTTCCAATGGCCACCCATCGATCACCGCCCAACCAGCTTTCACGTCCGCTCTTACCACCAAGTGCAATGGTTGTAGTGCCAACGGCGCCCTCGTCGTTCCATCGTCCAATGACACCCTCCTCGACACTCCACTCAGTCACCTCTCCGTTCTTTCCCGCAATGCTCATACCATTGCCATCGCCCCACCACGCGAAGTCTGCAATACCGCCTCTTGACTCAATCCGCACCTGTGTCGCCCATTGAAGAGTTCTTGCGTCGAGGATGTTGACAACACCACCACCCTTTCTCGAGGAGCCCCGGAGAGCCATGTATTTTCCATTTGGTGACAGCGAGAAAAACTCCATTGTCCGTTGTTCGTGCTGATGACCGTAGACACGCGACACCTTCTCAACTCTGCCTGTTGCGATATTCCAGACATGGAAGTAGCGGCGTCGCGCGCTGAGGAAGATGCGCGAGTCCGAGGGGGAGGGATGAAATGCTGTTGTTACCAGTGGGGTGCGCTTGATGTGCAGGGATGTAAGAAGAGGGTTCGGGTTAGGCGGGCTAGGGTTGACGTGGTGAAGGTAGAGCGTCGAGCTAGGACCGGAGGAGAGGAGTAGTGGATACGCAGGATGGAAGGAGAGGGAGGTGATGGCAGACTAGAAGAGTAGTCAGTAAGAGAGTCGTGTATGACAGTATTGCGCTACTCACCGGCCCAGCCTTTGCGACGTCTTTCAGCCGCTGAATGTCGATGGTGCCTGCTTGCAACTTCCTCCGCTTCGCCATGCTTCTCGAAGTCCGCGATAGAATATCCGCATCCTTGAGCAGTAGAGCCAGTGGCTGCGTAGAGAGATCGTCTTCATCCACGTCCATGTCGCTCGCAGACTCGTCACCACTCTGGTCGTCATCCATGGTCCGTCGCCGCTTCTTGTTAGCTTTGCCGGTCGCATGTGTCGCCCAGTCTGGCGTAGGGTATAGCCTCTCGTATTGCTTCCGTAACCGCCGCGAATACTCCTTGCCGTTGACCATGTCGTCATCTGCCGTTTCTCGCAACTTTCTCAGTTGCGGCACCGACGCCAGACTGACAACCAATCTTTCGTCGTCGCTGTCTTCCCAGGCGGGTTTGCCATCCTCCTCGTCTGATTCTGCCGCCTTTGCAGCAACGGCGCCTGCGGGTGCAGGGACTGGACCGGCATCAAAGAAGAATAAATCTTGGTCGTCCACATTATCGAGGTCGGCGTCTTCCGCTCCAGACTCGTCTGATGAATCGCCGTATGCGCCGGCGGTGGGATCGAGCGAAAAGTTCTCCAGACCTTGACGGAAGCCTTCTGCGTCGCCGAAAATCATGCGCTCAAGCTCCTCTTCCTCAGCATCCTTCGGCAGGACGGGCTTTTCCTGCTTAGGCTCCGTCTGGATGTCTATGCTCTCAGCATCGCTGTCTTCGTCCTGTGCTCCATCTCCCCTAGTTTCTTCCTCCGTGCCGAACCCTTCAAAGTCGTCTTCTTGTGGTTCCTTTACCGGCTGCAGTGCGCCTGCATTTGCATCGTCGTCTCCGCCCTCGAGTTCGGATTGAAAGCGTGCGGGATCCTTCGCCTTCTCGGGTGCATAGCGCTGGTGACCACCGGATTTGTGTGGAGTCGTCTTTACGGGTGCCATTGCAGTTTATCGTGAATGTGCAGAGAGAGCTGCTGGCGCGCCATCGCAAAACTGAGGGAGAAATTGTTGCAGGGATAGCCCTGGTACGCGGCAAGGATAGGCGAAGCTCCGCAACCAGCCCCTCTCTCATTCCACCACCACGACGAGCGACATGAGACATACCATTGCCCAATACCAATCATATATCTTCAAAAGTAGAATAGCCTTCAACAGCGAGATGAGGACCATTGCGTCGATTGACTTTGACCATGTTCAATCTCTCGGCCTTGCTGCAGGCTACTGGTCAAACCGCGCTTTCGACATGCTCTAATTGCAGGAAACCGTTGCCCATTGACGGTCCACGCAATTTAGAGTGAGTATATCCGCCCACTTACGTCGAAGGCGCGAAACGGGAAGTGTGACGCCCGAGTTGTGGCTATGGAGAATCATACGTTCTCTTCAGCAAGATGCTTCGGACTACCATTGGCTGACTACTCCGATTCCGACGTGCGTCCCGGGCGATACTTAACGCGGCAAGGTTCGTGTGACTCTTTTTAGGCAGATGGATGGGAGTACATAAGCAGACGTCACGTCTCGACGTATCTCTTGGTACTCACACACGTTCGATTGTCTACTACTATTCTTGTAGTATTTTGTCGTCTCACTCACGTCGGAACCTTTCACGTTTAGGAAACCAGCAACATGCCAGATCCAAATCTCGCCATCTCACTTCTCAAACCCGAAGAAGCAGAGCAATATATGCGTATACGGCACGAAGTCTTTCGCACTACCGTTAATAACATTCTTTACTCTCGGGGCGAGCCATCTCAGAAGACGCTCGACAGAGTAACAGAAGATACACGCGATGGTATAATCAACAAGGGCATTCTCTTCCTCAAGTGCGTCGATACCTCCACCGGTGAGATGATCGCTGGAGCACGTTGGCGCTATGTCAAGCCAAACGAAGAAGGTGCAAAGGAACGCAGCTGGGAAGAGGTCGATGCCGGCTTCGTCATCCCCGAACCATACGACGAGAGTGATCCAGAACTGTTCAAGAGTCTGTTCAATTTGTTCAACTCGAACAAGCGGGAGATCTTGGGCACCAGACCTTACTACGTGTTGGATACACTGGTTACACTCCAGGCCCACGAGAGAAGGGGAGCCGGAAGCATGCTGGTTCGATGGGGCTGTGAAAAGGCTGACGAGGTTGGTGTCGAAGCCTTTCTCGAAGCGAGTCCCATGGGAGCGCCGATGTATGCGCGTCATGGTTTTCAGCCCGTCAAAGAGGTTCACCTGGATTTGAGACAGTGGGGTGGAAAAGAGCAGATGACTTTCATCGTGAGTCCATGTTCGAGTTACAACTTGCTTTGCAACACGTCTAACATCCTGGTAGCTTATGTTGCGACCTGCAAAGCAGCAATGATCACTAGAGAAATACATATTACGCCAGTGCCTTCTCTCATTCCTGGTTTCTTTGTTTCTAGATATACTATCATTCTACCACCATGTTGGAAGGTGATATGCGGATGTTCGTTCAAACTCTTTCCAATGTCGGTATGATTGGTGCTACCGTCGCCACGAATCAACAGCCGCATCATTACTTGAAATTTGGGCTGGTGCGAAGTATTGCGACCCACAGAGAGATCAAGATGATTTGGGCTGCTCTAGCATCAGCTTGAATAGTGCGCTAACATCACATGTGAGAATTGTTAAAAGAACGAGTATCGTAGTAGCCGTCCTTGTCTCCTACCATTTGCAGAAGAGAAACCAAGACATAGATCAGAATAGTCGTATAAGCCTACTGGTTGTCGCAGACATCAGAAGCTTAGATACGCTGCAATTCAGGTTCGTTGGCGGGGACGAAAGCGTAATAGCGCAAGGCTTTATTACCAACATCTTCAATAAAGAGTACTCTACATACTTTTCAGTGTTCGTGGTAATCATATGGCCCAGAATGAGCTGTTTAATATCCAAATGACTTTACTCTTCGCATATGTCACACCTGGCTTGCTGCACTATCAAGGATATCGTTTGAGGACCGAGTTATACGTGGCAAGAACTCACCAATTGCGAGTATCCACGATATAGCTGCGGATCTGCGATGAGCGAAAAGGGCGACGTTGGTTGACTTCTTCCGACTGCAAGTGGGGTTCAAGGGTTCAAGGCCCCCAGGGTGGCGCCACATTTAGCCTGACAATGAGTAAGCCCCAGGGTCGTTCTCCTTTGCGTACCCCGTCTTCGCGTCTAGCGTATGCTTCAGTGATTCTGTGTCATGACTGCACACTACACGAGTACATGGAGTCTATGCTACATCAACGCCCGTCAACATGGTCTTATCGTCTTCAGATAACCCCTTGGACACATCTTCTCGCCCCGTCGATACTACTGCTCAGGAGCCAACAGTTCATAAGAGCTTCTCGTGCATACTATGCGCTCAACGAAAAGTCAAGTGTGACAAGCGGCCGGATGGTTGTGCGAACTGTGTTAAGGTCCGGGTTCGATGTATTTACAAGATACCACCTCCAGCTCGGAGAAGAAAGAAGGGCGTACGCGAGATCGACCTAGCTACTAGGTTACGTGTGTACGAAGACGCGCTCCGCCAATTCGGAGTGGATCCAGAGGACTTGGTCAAGCAACACTATGCGAAGGTTACACGCGGTGAAGAGCAGGTGGTTGGGTTCAACGGTTTCCTGGAACCACACGGTCCTAGTCGGGCGCGAAAAGCAGACGTCGCATCCGAAGTTGGTGTCCTCGTGCTGGAAGAGGGTAAATCGCGATACCTGGAGAACGGATTATGGACAAGCTTGCAGGCCGAATTTCGAGAGCCCAAGGACATCCTGGATGAGTCTTCAGATGAAGAGGTGTCCGGCAGTAGCTACGACGTCTCACCATCCCCGCCAGCCACAGATGGCGCTGCACTGGTCATGGGTGTACACGCAACGTCGAGCAAACTTCTACCTCTACACCCAAAACCGGTTCAGATCTTTAAGTTATGGCAAGGCTATCTTAAGAACATCAACCCATTGATCAAGATTTGTCACACTCCGACGACCCAGCAGCTCATCCTAGACGCAAGTGATAACCTCCATGCTCTTCCTCGAGATGCTGAAGCCCTTCTCTTTGCTATCTACTGCATAACTGTAGAGTCGTTAGAGGATAATGAATGCCTGTTGATACTTGGAGAGCCGAAAGGTACAGCTACTCAACGATTTCGACAAGGTGCTCAGCATGCCTTGACCAATGCGAATTTCTTGAGAAGCTCCAGTGTCATGCTGCTACAAGCTTTCACCCTGTTTGTTGTAAGTTTTTGAACAGTGATGTTTGTATTTATGTGCAAACGCTAATGCATAAAAGCTGTCTCTCCAGGACTACGACGCCAGAGTGATCTGGATCTTTTCTGGTATCGCACAAAGAATAGGTCAGCGTATTGGTATTCATCGCGATGGCAACACACTAAAACTACCGCCATTCGAGGCGGAGATGCGCAGGCGTCTCTGGTGGCAGATCATGGTGCTTGAAGGCTACTCCCAAAAGCTCGCTGGAACTGGTACATCTGGTATGATTCTTCGAGGCGATGTTGGAATCCCATCCAACATCAATGACAGCGACCTGTTCCCAGGAATGAAAGAGATACCAAAGGAACATGATGGTGCAACCGAGATGATGTTCTTTCTCATCCGATGCTACGTTGGAGATTTTCTCAAGCGATCGGCTGAGAGCCATACGACTTTTGACGGCCTTTGGCATCGACTTAGTACAAGCGCAGTGCAGGTGGCTACCAAAGACAAAGCCATTAATGAGCTCGAAGCTATCTTCCATCGGAAATTCTTGTGTTACTGCGACCCTTCCATACCTTGGCACCTGCTGTGTATGCATCTCGCCAAGTCCGTCCTTTTCATGATGAGGTTCATGGCTCATAGCACCGACTCCTATAATGTTGATTTATCCCCCAAGGAAAAGGACATCTTATTCGATTTAGCTCTCCAAGTCTCCGCTTCGCAAAACCTGGCATACACTATTAAGGGGTTGCGTGGCTTCCGATGGCACGTCAACCTAAATTTCCAATGGAAGGCATTCATTTACCTCATCTCCGAACTTCGTTATCAGACTGAAGGTGAGCGAATAGACCAGGCCTGGGCCGAGGTTGAGAAAAGCTACACTTTCCACCCCAATTTCAACAAGGACCTCTCGAAACGAGCACTTCCTATTGCCGTTGACAACCTCACAATCAAAGCCTGGGACGCCTATACAGCAGCTCGGGGTGTATCGCGTACTCCTGAGCCGCGATTCATTGAGCTCATACGCCAGCGGCACCAACAACGCCGTCCTTCAAAGTCGACTAACGCTACCAATATCAGCGCAGCCACGCCGACGATGGCCTGGAATGGCGAAAAGAATACGGATACGTATAAGAGTCAAGAGCTGCCTAATACAATTGATGCGCAATCCTTCGACTGGGCTGAATTCAATGCTAGTTTGGGTCCGCCGGACGATGTAACGGATTTGGCGTCCTTTGAGTTTCCTGAGCAGATGACTTGGTCAACTTTGGATGATTTTTTGGTTGACTTTCGTAATACTAGTGATCTCACCACTGATTTTACGGCTCCCGGAAACGGTGTGCCGTGATCTTACCGCAAAATAAGGGCCTAGACAATAGAAGCCTTGCGGCCAGTGTTCATCTTCACCTTCACCTTCAATTCTGTACGATTACCTAAACGGGATCCGACAGATAGTTCAACCTAACTTCAGAGCTTGTTTCTTTGAATCTACTTGCAAGTGCTTTACACCTTGTATTACCACATGGAGCACATTGTAAACACACGCAGACATGGCAGGAGCTTCGTCTCTTTAGGTCGTGAGCGCAGTCAAATGGCAGGTTCTCTGAAGCTTTGCGACACGATATCAAATCTAACCATCCTCACAGCTGTCTTGTATCAGGCGAATACTTAGATCTTACCATCAAGTGCGGAGATGACGTCTACAAAGTTCATAAGATGATTGTGTGCACACAAGCAGGCTTCTTCGCCCGAGCTATCAGGTTTGGCGGCAAGGTATGAAAGGCCTGTTCGTAGGATGACAACATCTGACGATCAGCAGGAAGCAGAAGGAAACATCGTCAATCTCCCTGACGATGAGCCCAAAGTCATCGCCTCTCTTATGCAATATCTATACTCAGGCGAGTACAATAGCGAATTCCCTGGCACCGAGGATGCTGAGCCCGCGAGGCCACTCGATGCTTTGAAGATCATCATCACGCGCACCCCCACTTGTTGTTATATAACAGATCGCAAATACACATATGGATTCCCGCACACCTGCAAAAAGCCATGCGAGGGACGTACATTATGCCCACATCACAACTGTACCACCGACTGCGGGTCAACTTGTCAAGCCTTTTTGTGCGAGAAATGTTGCTTAGTTCGAGGCTCCTCTTCCCAGCTCCTCAATCACTCGAAGATGTATGCAATTGGCGACAAGTACGATGTATCTGGGCTCAAGGAGTTGGCATGTCAAAAGTTCACGCGTGCTTACGAGATGTTATGGAATGACGATGCCTTCCCTATGGCCATCGAACATGCCTTCTCTTCAACTGTTTGCACGGATATTGGTCTGAAAAGCATCATTATTGGGGCCATCTCCGGTCACATGGCCATTGTGAAAAAGGCAGAGATACAGGCATTGGTTGCCAAGCACAGCGACCTGGCTATTGGTATTCTGCTGAGGAAGGTTGCTTAAGCTGGTCGGATAGAGAGGAGGTATAGACCGCCCCATCTGCCGAACATATGGGGACACACTGTGGGTAGGATGCTATATCAGCTCCTCAGCACCGGTATCTGGATAGGCTGTGTTGCTGAATAAAAACTTGACGTGGATGGACACTTCTTTTTTTGGCAAGTGAATGGTCCTGTTACATCTTAATCGTTTAGGCGGTGGTCCAAAAACTATATGATACTGCCCGAGCGAGACTGAGGAGAATTGTTTAGAGCAGCTTGGAGTTAACAGATTGATTGAAGTTTTGCTTGAATTGCTAAGTCTGTTCTATAAAAGCCATTACATTAATCCGATACACACATTACGTAAGATCTATCATTTCTTTCTCATCATTCATACATCAAAGGCGTCTAGTTGTAAGTGTAAACAGGCGAGGCAGGAAGAGTGCCAAAGTCACCCGATCCGAAAGGGCTGCTGGGAGAAACCTTCCCACCATTGATATCCGAAACACCGAACCAAGCAAGCTCATCACCCTTGTTGACTGTGATGACGGCGAAAGCGGGTGCGGGCTGCGCAACGTATCCCCAAGAAATGGTCAAGTCAGATCCAGTAGTGCATGGCTGGTTGGCCCAGCTTTCGGACGCGGCGTCGGAACCTGGCATGCGAATAACGGTGCAGCGCTCAGTCTTGCCATCTGTGGTAACAGCAAAGTTGTAGTCACAGCCAGAGTTGCCCTCAATGCAGTAGCGGGTTAGGTCCGAAATGGTCCAGGTCTTGCCCTCAACGGGCTTGGGGTTGGAGCCTGGCGCTGCTGTTGCAACAGGTGAGGCAACGGCGGATGGTGTAGGGCACGATCCAGGGTGGGCAGGGTTGCAACCTCCGGGAATGCCGGGGATGGATGTGAAGGTCGCGGCGGGTGACTTGGTCGTTGTGTCAAAGTAGGAAGAAGGGCATGAGCCTGGATGAGCTGGGTTGCAGCCACCGGGGATACCAGAGATGGATGTGAAAGTAGCGGCGGGGGCAGCAGTAGTGGTATCGAAGTATGAGGAGGGGCATGAGCCTGGATGAGCCGGGTTACAGCCACCAGGGATGCCGGAGATGGATGTAAATGTTGCAGCAGGAGAAGCGGTGGTGGTGTCAAAGTACGATGACGGGCATGAACCTGGGTGAGCTGGGTTGCAGCCACCAGGAATGCTTGAAGCGACTGGGGTAGCAGCTGAGGTCGACTTGGGAAGGGCGGCGATTTGGGAGGAGCACCATTCGCGAATGCGGGCGGCATCTTCACCGTAGCAAGCAGTCCGATCGCATGAGCAAATGACTTCAGCAGTGCCTGCGGCAACACACGCGTTGTAGGCAACTACACATTTATCGTCCTGGCGCGCGCGGAAAGTGGGAGATGCAGTTGCAGCTGAAAGCATCAACGCGATGGCGGCGACTTTGGAGAGCATGATGGCGAAGATTCGTGAGTTTGGAGTGAGAAGGACGTGTATGGAGTGTTGAGGAGTGGCTAATAGTGGTGTTTGCTTGTCGATGGAGGAAGTGAATGAAGCCAATTGTGACCGCGATGGTTGAGCTATATAACTTTCATGCACATGGCTACGTCGATGTCATTCCCAATTGCTCGCGGAGTCGAATTTTCGGAGAAAGCATAGCCCATTACGACCTTGCCTAGTCCTCGTACCACGTTGTGGCACTCGCGAGGCTGTCGGAGAGGCGAATGAAACCCCATTGGCTCGAGAACGGAGCTTCTACGATGTTCGGCTCTTATTGCGCCGCAATACGAGGCTCAGTCGTATGAGCGAGAATCGTGACGAAGGTGCGCTTGACACAAGTGGAATCCTATGGTTTAAGGGTCTTTTTCGATAATTCGGAAGCCTTCCGGCGAGGATTTAATGGGCAGCTATCGACTAGTCGCTCCATAATTAGGAACACGCTAACGGCTAGCAGATGTCAGGTGAGCTCAGAGAAGCTTGAAAGGTGATCGCCTCGGCTATCGCCCAAGCAGCGGTGACAGAAAAGATACGGTCGCAAGGAAAATCCACATATGAAATCAATATCGGGACGCGCATAGTCCGAATACGACTTCACTAGAAGTCTGTGGGTTGTGACGTGGTTATCGACTAGCGGTCCTCCCCCACAAGGGTAGGTCCGTTCTCAGACCATCGCCGAACGGCTTTACTGGAGTATTGTGGTTGTCGTGTGTATCGATGTTCGCGATAGGGTACATCCGCAAGTAGAGGGCCAAGATGAGCGATGTTGTGGTAAACATTCATCGACCGAAGCAAGTCGTGTTATGCGTTGCGCGGAAGGTCAGAACCATGACATTGCCCAACAGTATCGATATTCGCTTGCTTTCATTCTTGGACGTTCTTCCCAAGGTAACTTCTTGCCTTCTCAGTCTTGGTTTCGGATATTGCTATTCCTATGGCGAAGATTGTGCTCGCGAAGCGGCGTGCAAGCAGATCGTCGGCGATATCAGGCTCCCAGGAATGGACTCCCGTGCATGCGAAGTAGGCATAATGTAACTTTTCGAGCAAAGCCTATTCATTTCACCGCATAAGAAAAGATGCTACGCGGTAGCCTGAGACAGGTAGACGAACATCAAAGGTTGCGAAAGGTGGCGCACTGAGGCACTGGTGCTATATCACATCTGCACTAGCCTTGCCGTTAGCGCAACGCCAGCCCGCTCATTCCCCTGTAAACGTCATCGTCAACAAGAGGAGGCTGGCATAGCGGGTCAATAAAGCTTTACCAACACCACATACTTCGGACCAAGATCCACAATCGAAACTTGAACTATACAACATGGCTCCTTCCGCTGCCGAGCCTTCCGATGTGGACAGCCCACGTAACCCGCCTACAGCCGAGGAATTGTCGGAAGCGCTCAAGATTGATGTATACGACCGAGAGGGCAAGACCAAGTCATTAGGCGAGCTCACCAAAGGCCAGAGAACCGTGCTGGTGTTTATTCGGCATTTCTGTAAGTGTTACCTGATGCGACTAGTGGCCACCCTTGGGCCCACATCATGTGTAAAGACCATCGACCACTACAATCCACCAGAGAGACTCGAAGGCTAGGATACGAGAGAATAGAAAACTGACATCTTCAGGGTGTCTGAATTGCCAAGCATACGTCCGCTGCATCAGCGAATCTATACCTCCATCTAAGCTCCCTCCTAACACTCAAAGTACGCATCATCAATACAAAGCCACAGGAAATGAATCTGACAACAATCCCCAGTTCTAGTCATAGGCTGTGGCTCCTATCAGCCCATCGACACATATGCTACAAATTCTTCCTCCAAATACCCTATCTATACTGACCCGACACTCCGGCTACACAAGCTCTTCCAGTTCAAATCAAACCTAGCTGAAGGGAAAGCCGGCGATGAACAGCGAGATTACATGCGTGATGCGGGTAGCACCATGTCAAGGATCTTCGGTGGCATCAAGGGTGCGTTGGGGAACTTGCAGCATGTGAACTCTGTGGGACCGAAAGCGTTGAATGGCGGTGAGGTGGTTTTGTCTGCCGGTAAGTATCATTGGAGGTTGACTTTGTCGTGATTTCTCGATTACAGTGCTAACGGAGGTAATTTGTAGATGGCGAGTGCGAGTACATGTACCGCATGCAGAACACAGTCGATCATACCAACATCTCGGAGTTGGCAAAGATGATTGGAGCTGAGTATACACCGGTGAGTAGCGAAGAGAAGCAATAGCAGACGTGAGATGACCCGGCCGTGTGAATGTTTAGAATCAACAACGCAGTAGGGAGTTTTCCTTGATAAGATTGGCTTTCCCTAAGACCACACAAACGCTCCAAACATCTTCTCATTGTTCAATGCTTTTAGGGGTCTCCTTGTATAAACGTTATCCATACACTCGTGGAATAATCAACTATGCACTCAGCACAGCTGAGATCTATTCCGCGTTCTTGAATGAATAAGGCCATCCCTTCATATGACGCTCACGGGCATCGTAATACTCGAGTCTTACTTTCTTCTCCTCAACCCATTTATTGTGGGCATCGCGGTAATCTCCAATGGGTAGATCACACCCAGAGTCCATGTTGCATTAGGACCAAGATGCGCTTTGCAAAGATACTCGAGTTCTCTTTCCCACATTCTGGGTTGCAGTTCAAGGTTGCATCCTCCAACTCCAACACGTCTTCACCACAATCTTCCTTCACCTTCAGCACAGCAATTCGCGAACTCGACATGCAGCCAAACCATAATAAGAACGATACGAAAACCATCTATACAAAATAACATTGGCAAATTCATGGGTATATCTAAAATGTGTCTAAATCTAGTTCGTCATTACTTGCATTCCCGAAGTCTATATTTCCAGCCCATTAGCAGACGCATCCTTGGCTTCATTCCTCAACCTAGCAACCTCCTCATGCTCCCTCCTCAACGCCCTCCAGTCAAACTTCTCAAAGGCAAAACTCCACGTCTTTTCCGCCACACTCAACATCCACTTGCTCATCGTGCCAATGTCGTCACCATGGAAACTCTTCCTTCCCACGTGTTGGACCAGAGGAGGTGTGACTGCATATCTTAGCTCGCCTCTCTCGTTGGCGAAATCCTCTGTGATGACGTCCATGTAGCCTAGATGGCGTTCTTTGAAGTATTCAACGAGTTCGCCGGCTTTGACAGTGGGGAAGACGAAGGCTTGGCTGCAACATGCGAAGCGAGGCATTTCATGGACACCGACGGCCATGGGTTGGACGGTGATGCGACCGAGGCTGAAATAAGTAGCAATGAGGACGGCGAGTATGGTGTACATTGCCAGGAAAGTACGCGGGGTCATAAGGGCGAGGGTGAGTTTTGTAGTTGGCTGTGCGAAACGAAGGAGGAGGATGGCGACGGTGGGTATCATGGCCACGTACATCGAGTTCTTCAGGTATGTTCTCCACTCTTCGGCATTCCAGCCGAGGAACTCTTCGGTGTAAAAGAGGCGCAAGTAGAGGAAGTCGGGCTTCGCACGCTGCAACGCTGCCTGTTGCTCTGCCTCGTGGATAGCGGAGAGGGTACGGTGGTACCAACCGTCCACGGCTACAGTGTCGTCTTCGAATAGAGCAACATAGGGTGTGAACTTTTCGGTACACTTGTCCAACAGATATTGGTAGTCGAACAAACCCTTCTCCACAAACTGGTTTCGCGCCTCCATGATACGAATGTACTGCATGCGGTCAAAGCCATACCCGTAGGTCAGCACCTCATCGGCAAGACCAGACAACCACTCCTCGTTATACGCAGGGTGGGCCTCGGGGTTCGAGTGCGGTATGAAGACGATCAGGTATATCTCCTGGCGTTCTTCGGGCGTGAGACCTTCGAGAAGCGAGCCCACAGTGTCCGGCAGGTATTGAGCGCCGTCCCGCTGGTATGAAGGTATGCCCACACATAGCTTCCTCTTCTTCTCGTCACCGGCCTTGGTTACGTTGGCAGGGTTGTAGGACGAGACATAAGACTCGGCTTGTTGTCGTCTAATGGCGGAATAGCGTGGGGTATAGCCCTTTCGTGGGTTGAAGAAGACGGACGTGGGATCGCGTGCGGATATCGAGTTGATGGTGTAGAAGAAGCTAACAGCAACGAAGACGGCGATGCCTATGACGAGGCGTGAAGGCGAGAAATGCATAATGTGGGAGCAGTGAGCGAGTGTGAAGATGATTCAGGGCTAGTATCGCATTGCTAATCGAAAGGTGGAAGTGGAAACGAAAGTAAGGTCGGAAGGCAGGTCATGTCATCGTCAATGTCAGTGTCGTGGTTGACAAACAGGACGAGGAAGAAAAAAAGATAGGAGCGACGCGCGCTCAACATGAGGCGGCGTAAGCGGCCAGAGCTGAGGCTCCACCCAAACGGCGGATCTTGCCTTACGAGGATCTGCCGTGGCTGACGAGAGGATAAAATTAGCAGGCCAGCATATGCATGGGTCGGTGCTTGCTGCTCCTGGCCATGACGGAAACTAGGACGACGCGCAAGATTACCATGGCTGCAGCTGAATACGCAACAAATGAAAGCCATCAATGCCGAGTCAATAGGGGGAAGAAGGAAATAGCAGCATGGCAGGCTGGGTGCCAATCGGCCATGTCGGCGTTATTCGCGCGTAGGTGGCATCCGTCGTGTCATCTCATACTCTTGATTTAAGAGATCGCTAGGAGAATTTTGAGGAGGAGGCACGACGGGTTGAACCGATGTATTTGAATCCTGGCGCCTGTCTAGCGTCACCGTGACAGACGGACTCCGCTTCACCCTTCGGTACCCGGTAATTGGAACAAATTTGGCTACACCATACGGTTCGGTCGACGATAAGATTGCCGAGGGTCTACTTGATCTTTTGCTATCTTGCCCGCTTTCCTATGTCCAGGACCAGCACTCCCACCACAAAAGACATTAGCACCTGCATGACATGGTCGCTGTGACACGTGCAGGCGTGTTCGCGCCACAGCCGAAGTGGCGCGATGACGATCGGAACATGTCCGCATCTGATATGCTCTGCGCATGCATCGCATTGAGTCACACCCACCACGCAACCCCATCGTCGCTGCTTTGTAAACTTCCTACCAGGGCTTGCAACAGTCAGGCCTCTTTGTTGATCCAGTCATAGCTGTTTGACTCATCCGCCTTGATCCTCCGCTTACCTTGGAATTATTCATATAGCGCACCAGATAGCTTCCGTCTTCACGCGCATAGCCTTGGAAGCTGCAACTCTCGCTCGGTGCCATGCCCAAGAAGCACACGCCCTCGTATACAACAGCCAAACCCTCCTATGTCCACCCCTCACTGCAGAGTTCGCGTTCCCCCGCATCCTCTTCCGCGCCGTCTGAACCCCAAACCGTCAATCAGCGTATACAACAGCTGCGGCGCGAACAAGCTCCAAGAGCAACACCCGAACAGCGAGATGAGCTCACATCGGTAGTAAGCAGCCGTACTGTTCCGCCAGAGTTGCGGCGCATATTGCATATACCCGAAGTTAATGCTCCCAAACCAAAGGCGAATACAAGGACGCGAAGGGTCATGGGTGGCGTGAGACCGCCACCCGGTCCTGCCGCGCCCACGAGCTGGCTGCAGACGAGTCGCCATGCACCAGCGTATATGAGGAAGAAGAAGGCTGAGGCAGACAAGGGCGCAGCGAGGTTTGGCACGCTGGCCAGAGTCACACACGAGGAATTGAAGGTATGGTGCTCCCCAGAGCGTGGCTAGCATATTTGGTCTTCCAGGCTTAATGGTCCAATTCAGGCTTCTTACTCATGACAGCGCCTGCCACCACCGCGAAGCCTCGTCCACCAATGTCTACGGTCGTTTGCCCAACATTGGGAGGAGCTCGCCGAGTACGAACAACACTACATACCATCTCTACCCATATCACTAAAGGAGGCACTGCTGAGCTATCTGACACTATATGGAGAGAAGGGGAGCCTAGACTTCAAGTCGCTTAAGATATTATTCCAGGATGAGGAAGGAACGGGCACAGCAGGGTGGGAAGAGGTCCAATTCCTCGATCTCAGCGGACTATTGAGCGACCGCTTGAAAATCAATGATCTTGGGAAATGCGTCAAGCGTCCTAGTGTTATCACCACTGTGGATCTTGGAGCCCTTCGCGTCACCGACGAAATTGCCGAATCTTGGGAAGAAGAGGTTCGCGAGAGCGCGGTGGTACCAGCGATGACGCTCCAAACTCCTTACTTCAGCAACCTGAGCCGGCTCTCTCTCGCCAATCCTGGACAATGGGCGTCATGGCCCGATCTACTTCGCATCTCGCCCAACCTCAACAAGATCACGCATCTCTCGCTCGCCCACTGGCCCCGGCCTACGATGACACCAAACGCAAATACCACGTCCATGGTCTCCAAGCAAACCAGTGTATCACTGGGAGGATCACATTTCTACTCAGATCTCGACGACGATTGGCACGAAGCTACCAATATCCTACGTCGCTTCTCCAAAGACACATACTCACTGCAATGGCTCGACCTAGAGGGCTGCAACTGGCTCAAAGCCTTGACGACTCATCCCGGCCGCACGCCAATAGATGCAATTACGAGCACGGAATGGAATACGCAAAACGGGATCCCAGGCCCCGACTGGAACGACGCCTGGCGCCGTATAACCTATGTCAACTTCTTTCAGGGCTGGATCCCAAGCGATAGCCAGAGTCTGCAGAATATGCCTGCGGGTATTGTACCTGTGCAATTACTCCGCTGGCTGAGAGAGAACAAAGACAAGGAAGATGTTAAATGGCGGCTGAACCCAGAGGAAACTGGCCATGCCGTTGCCGAGTGGATGAATAGAGAGAAGATTGCTAGACTGGTCGGGATGGACATCCAGGGCGTCCGTAAACGAGGCGAGGGCGCTTGGTGTCGGATTGACTTTGGATGGGGCGCTTCTGGCGAGAAAGGTGTATGAAGCGAGTGGAATGTATTATATTTCTGGTCGTTCAATGTTGTTGTTGTTGTTGTTGTTGTTTTTCTTCCTGCCGTATCGCGGCGTCGAGACTGAAAACGCGGCATGTAATCATCTGGCTGCTGCCGAGCCACCTGCCGGCATATCCGATTGAATCAGTTGCAAGCAACAGTGCATTCATTCACAAAACTCAATCTCCTGAGCCCCTTTAATCACCGTCGACATTTTCATCCTTGTTGAGAAACTACTCCTCGTATCGACAAGATAAGGCTAATGAAAATCGCATATCCATATTTCGTGCTAGCTGACTCGCTAACGCAGGTACCTCTTCAGTCAAGTAGTCAATGGGTACGTGCGGCTACACAAGCATGGCTGGGCATGGCGCGCTACGTGAACAAGATGGAGGACCGCCCTCACACGATGAATGCTTGCTGATGTTGTAATACGGCCTATGCGATACTAGAGCGAGCGATGCGCAGTTTAGAGCTGGGGAACGCTGACAGAGTTAGCTCTACACTGCGGATGCTACTATTGATAGATTGCGTAGGTCTTGAGCTAGCTACCCTTGTATCCATCTGGATATGGATACTATTTTTTGTAGTCTATACAGAGCTCCAGGAGTAGCACAGCCACATACTGGATGCAGCTGTGGTATAAACAAAGATACTATATTGGTCACCCTTTCGTTTGCTAGTTTAGTACTTGATGTCACAAAATACGGTACGGTATTTTAGTTTCAGCTGCTGTTAGTTCCCAGACAGTGTGTTTTGCTTCTCCCGCTTCAGCAACCGTCAGCCCTAAACGGCATGAACGACGGTGCGCGCCGTTTTTGCTTTTCAAACCCAAGACTTGACCACGGGTATGCCTAGCCGAGGAACGGGGGCGTTTCGGTAGAAGAATTGTTCCCCGCGGGTATCTGAAACCGTGACACGTGAGGTTGTAACGTTTTGCGCTGACAAGAGTTGGAGGTCAAGAAGCTGACGCGTACAGTACGGGTATGCAAGTGACCGAAGACTGGAGTTTTGGTATGAAAAGAAGTATTGAGATCCGCGTAAACGTCTTGAAAGGGTAGTTTCCCAAGTGGGTACTGACGCCGTTGCTTTTGTACAACCGTTATTTTAGGGTTTCTGGTAGATTACTATGATATGCAGACGTCGTCTCGTCTCCATACAAGTCTCTGGGTTCGAGAGTGAGGTGTTAGGCTGGCGGGCCGTTGTCCACAAGAGGGAGGCATCCTAGTTTGTAAAAAGACAATGGTAAGCCCCTCGCATAGTGTAGAGGTTGCAGGGGTACTGTAGCCTCAACCACGGATTTGTTGTAGTCGCTATTCGTAAACGTGCTTACGTTGCTGCCTCGTATTTACAGCGATCTTATCTCTTGGTAGAGCAGATATCGGATTCAATACATTAATAAGTAACGTTTCTTGCTTTGCTTCTGATAGCAACCGGAAGAACTTGTAGGCGTGGTACTTGGGTCAAAGGTGGGGCTAGTTTAGTGAACCGCGCGGGCGGAGAGGGTGGAACCGAGATAGAGTGTCGATGACGTGGTGACGGATGATAAACCTGCGGCTGCATCGTCGCGATAAGACGCAAGTCGAGACTTGGACCAATAAGCCCGTGAAGTGTAGAAGCGTGCTGTAGTTGATGAGCTTAGCCAGATAGGTTCATGCAGCTACAGCTGCCTACAAAGCAGAGTGCAGACCGGTGCAGGTGGCCAGCCAACGATGTTTGAGCAGCAGTAGATGGCGCGGGAGGGCTATGCTCCAAGAGGCAGGACGCGGCGTTTCACCTAGTCCTTCCGAGCCTGCCGTCAACGCGCGTCTGGACGACGTGGTAGAATCAAGGCGGGCCAGATTCAAACTTCGAGGCAGAAACGGGTGCAACAATCATAGTGTCACCATGGCTTCTAGAACCAGCTCCCCTGAAGCACAGTCAACTGCGAGAGAGAAGAAGGCTGTATTCTTAGATCATCGGACGATGCGAAGATGGCGTTCACGGCCGTTGCCATGCATTGCGCCATGTCGTCGCCCAGGCAGGGCGTGAGTGGACGGGATTACTCACGACTGATTAGCTGACATGGAAGAGGTATACCTGTCATGAGCAGTCTCTCCACCCGGCATACACGAGAGGCGTGGATTGCGTGCGTGAAAGATCGCCCCAGCGTCGTAATGAAACCGGTGCACCAACTGATTTGGACCAAGCTTTGCCGCCATGTTGAGTCGGCCTTGGAACATTCGTCAACGACAGGCACGCTAGCCTCTTAGCGCGTCTGCAAAGGTGAAACTCGGAGCACCCCTGCTTGGCGTTGGCCCTTTGGGGGTTCTCTTGCAAAACCCCCGTGGTATCGCCGCCGTCCATGCCTTCTATAGCCTCTACAGCCTCCATTGTCCTCAATGTCGTTCGTTCTTCCCTCGTGTCCGTGAATTGCGCGTTCCACCTCTCATTTCTTTCTCACTACCACAACCACTAGTCGCTTGTCGCCGACAAGGTCAACACTTCCCTAAACAGAGAGTCGCATACCACATTGTACCTCACAAACCCGCCAAGGGCGTCTGCTCTGAGATTATATCTTCCTACCTAGGCCCTATCGAGTTCCACCTGTGGTCACCGTCTCTTTCACCGAGAACGCCTCCCCTCTTCATTATTCGTCTGGCTCTGCAACCGCGCCCGCCACCATGCTTACCTTCAAGAAAGCCCTTGTGCTTTCTCTGGCCTGTTTGACCCTGTTCTTCATCTTCAAGTCGCAGCACCACGGTAGCACAGCCCCCAACTTCCGCAATGCAAAGGAGATGCCCAGGCCGACTGCCTGGGTGAACCCGGCGGAGAGAGAACGCGCAAAGCTCAAGGAGAAGGAAGCGAAAGAGGCGCAGAAGGCGGCGGAGAAGGAGAAGGCAGAGAAGGCGGACAAGACCTTTGATACACCCGATGCGCCACCGCCGAAGAAGCCCAAGACCCAGATCAGCATGGACGAGCTGAGGCAGCGCCCTCTCAAGGAACAGCTTGAATATCAGTTCCCCTACGATGTCGACGCCAAGACGCCCGCATACATCTGGCAGACGTGGAAGTACACACCGGCACAGGGCGAATTTGAGGAGATGTTCCGCGAGCCAGAGGCTAGCTGGAGCATTCACCACCCTTCTTTCGTCCACGAGGTCATCACCGACAACGTCGCCGTACACCTGATCAGACATCTCTATTCCTCCGTCCCCGAAGTCATCGAAGCCTACAATGCTCTCCCCGTCCCTGTTCTAAAAGCCGACTTCTTCCGCTACCTCATCCTTCTCGCTCGCGGCGGCATTTACTCCGACATAGACACTTCGGCATTGAAGCCTGCGTCGGATTGGATACCTTCAGACGTACCCGCCAACACCTACGGAATGGTCATTGGCATTGAGGCTGATCCAGACCGCCCAGACTGGGCCCAGTGGTACTCCCGCCGTGTCCAGTTTTGCCAGTGGACTATCCAGTCTAAGCCTGGCCACCCCGTTCTCGTTGATGTTGTTACAAACATTACCCAGGAGACACTTAACCGCAAGCGCGCTGGCAAGCTCAGCAAGGACTACAAGGGCATAATCGAGTTTACTGGGCCCGCCGTCTGGACCGACACCATCTTCTCCTACTTCAACAACCCCGATTACTTCGATATGAGCACAAGCAAGGGCAACATTACGTGGGAAAATTTTACTGGCATGAAGGCGCCTAAGAAGGTTGGCGATGTCATCGTCTTGCCCATCACGAGCTTCAGCCCCGGCATTAAGACCATGGGCGCTGGCGAGGATGACGATCCAATGGCTTATGTCAAGCACAACTTTGAAGGTATGTAACACTTTTGCCTTTCCATTACGTCCGCCTGGAGTCCCTGGTTCCCTCAATACTGACTAGTAGCAGGTACCTGGAAGCCCGAAAGCGAACGTCACATTGGCGAGACCTTCAACTGAACGAACCGTGTCCGCGAATCGTCTGTACCGAGCTCACTACACCGCACCACATAATTGTATACGCATATAGTGCACATCATATCAAGTTGGGGAGGAAATGGACAACAGGGAGTTGCGCAGCAGGCATCGGATAATGCCGAGTCGACCCGCGCGTGAAGAAATACAGCTTTCGGGGGCTACAAGCTAGCGGATAGGGCACATGCGTAGCAGTGAGATGCCGTGCTGACAGCTAGACTGTCATTGTCGAATCGCATCCGCTGTTACCTCGAGGCTAGCAAGGATCTTGGGAAATAGTATGGACACGGGATATACCTTGGTACGGGTCCAGCACTTTCAAATCGGCTTCAAGCGCTGAAGTACGAAAAGTTTCTGTTTTGAGGTTATATTGGCTGCATTACTACTTGGCGTATGACAGCGTTTCATCCACTTTTCATGCAAGAGGCGTTCAAAAGGGTGGTCGCAGCAACATCAACTGCAATGCAATTAGATAAATGATCTTATCCTCTTCCGTTCGCAGAGTATATGCTTGATTTCCTGATGAACATGAGTGCAAAAAAAGGTGATTAGACTCTGGTCTGGTCATGATTTCATTCATCACATCATAGCGCCAGATTGGCGACTTGCACTATAGTATATATACCACGAAATGAGAAAACAACAATAGAAAAAGTATAATGGGTATCACAATCCACAACCCACCAGGATTTACACATCACCACTCCTGAATGATGACCAACAAAACTACCGTCTATCTCCCCCAAGTAACCCACCAATCTTCCCTATCGTACTCAGCAAACTTCCTCCCAGTGTCGGTCTCCTCTCTACTTCCCTCTCCTTAGCGTACCTCCTCTTGTACTCCCTTTCCGTCTCAGGATCCAGTTCCCCGTAATGCTGATCGTGATGTCTACGATGCTCGTCTTCGTATTTATCCTCTCCATCCGCGTACGCATGCGCATTGTGTGCATGCGAGCTGTGATGGGAGTAGTGGCTTTGTTGCGAGGAGGAGCGTGCGTAGATGGGAGGTGCCTGGGGCGCGTACGTGACGGGCGGCGGGTAAGAAGTAGGGGCTGGAGGGCCCGGGTGTTGGTATTGGTATTGGTATGACTGCGGGTCGGGCTGTCGAATGGGAATTGCAGGGGAGCCGGGTTGGATGTGTGTGGGGCGTTGGCTGTTGTAGGATGAAGAGGAGGATGTGCGCCGGTGTGATGGCATGTGAGGTTGTGGCATTGATGTCATCGCACCGTTGCCGTAGGGGGATGTTGGTGAGGACGAGTATATGGGTTGCTGTTCGGGGATCGGTGGGAAGTAGTTTGTCGGTTGCTGTGGTGGTGGTGCAGCTCCGGGAGTGGTGGGGTAGGGTGGCTGTTGTTGTGGGTATTGCGGATGTGGTGGGTATCCTAATCTGGTGGAGTCGTAGGACGACATCGTGATGCCTTGAGGATGGTAGATGGGCAGATGGTGGGTTTGCCCCATGCACGGGATCTGGTATCCTTTATGTCTGTAGTCCCTCTAACCGAACAATACTGATTGTAGCCTTGCGCTGAGTGCCCTTGGCTCTGTTTCAAGGTTTGGTGATCGGCAGCGTTGGATGTCGTATGCGGCTGGTTGTGGTGCGTCTTTCACAGGAGTTGGAGTTGATAACGGGTAAACTAGTCGCAGCTCGGATTTGTAGTTGCAACAGTCTTGAGTTACATCAATATTTTTAATCGTTGATCGGCTGCCTTGGCTATTATACTTCCATCGCAGGCCTCCATCGGTCCACTTCTCACACCGAGCCTTGTGTGCACATGCACTAACTAAGTCTTTCTCCGGTGAACTAATGCGCTCCGGAAGGCGCTCCTCACCAATTAGTGCTCATCCAAGATCCATTCCGGTTACCAAGCCATGCCCGTGATGTACAGACGGAGGCGAAAACATGAGGGGCAACATGGATTACTTACTATGATGTCACGCTCTTAGCCGAAGGTTCACCGGCAGGTTGGGTTTAAAGTCAGGGTGCCTGGCGTTAGCGATCTGAGATGGTGTGCAATGAACTGATGTTGTTGGTGGAGAAGTGGAGGATCGCCGATCGTTCCTCGAAGCTCGCATTGTGACATAAGCTTGGCGCAGCCTTGCGCCAGCGTGAGTGGCTGAGGAAACTCATTCAGAAAAGCAGCCTTGCAGAATGCACTTGCAATTTATCGCATCATCTGTGCCTTTTACCTTCCAACGTTGCAAAAGATTTCAAGATGTTCAGAACGATTCAGGGCGCAGTCTTCCGGTCTAGAGAACTCCCAAGCTGCGGCAGATAATTGCAGGATCATTCAAGTGCCAGAAGGAACGAACGCATATCCTACAGCTCATTCACGCTTTCTCTACACAGAAATGAGGCGTGACTTGGAAGTGACTTGAAATGTGCACTGTGTGTAGACTGCCTTTACAACTTGAGTCTGTCCTTTATAGGTCATTGCAGCTGAGCCACAAGCATATCTGGAGTGTGGCTTCATTAGAGCGTGATATCAATTTCGACTACATCCATTCGCCCGTTGTTGCACTTCGAGGCTGTGTTGTTGCGATATGGCTTCTTCTTTCCCAATTAGCGTGCATCGCCACGAACCAACCACCCGTGGACGACTCCATCACCAATCACACTAATATTAGTTGGGCATCCGACAGTGGCCGCCTTACTAAACCACACGGCAGGTGTTCGCATTCCAGCCACTAAACCCGATGGCTGACGCCAAGGAACATTCTTCGTCATGAGCCAAACTGATTCTTGACTTTACCCCACCACTGGCAGGGCTGAGCGGTAGACTCAGCCACTGTGACTTCTGGCGCAACCATTCTTTAGGAGGCAGACAGTAGTCGCTCCTCTTCTCCTTCTCATACCGCCCACCTTGTCCGAGTCGTACATCGATCTTACCCACTCTCAGCGCTTATTCTTGCACCACCTTGCCGGAATCACAGCTGGAAATGTCCTACAACTACAACCAACCAGGCGGTTATCAGCAGCCGTATCCGGGCCGTAAGTCGTTAGGCCCTCACTTTACAGCCCGGCGATCATTGCATCCTTCCTGCGTTGCAATACTTGGCGCTGACTCCTGTTCTTGTACTAATATCTTATAGAAGCCCCGCCGCCCCAAGGGTACGGTCAGCAACCCCCACAGCAAGGCTATCATCAACCACCCCCAATGCAAAATCAACAGTACGGTGGCTACCAGCCCCAGCAAGGCTACAGCCAGCAACCACCGCAAGGCCAATATGGTGCGCCGCCACCGAATCAATATGGCGGCCCGCCTCAAGGCCAGTATGGAGCTCCTCCGCCACAGCAAGGTTATGGCGCTCCTGGACAGTATCAACAACAGCCACCTCCGGGCCAGTATGGTCAGCAACCACCGCCAGGGCAATACGGACAACAGCCACCTCCAGGACAATATGGCCAACAGCCACCACAAGGACATTATCAACCTCCGCCTGGACCACCACCAGGACAATATGGCCAGCAACCACCCCCAGGGCAGTTTGGCGCGCCCCCACCACAGGGCCAGTTTGGGGCTCCACCTCCTCAGGGTCAATATGGGGCTCCACCTCCTCAAGGCCAGTTCGGTGCGCCGGGCGGTTTTGGCGGGCCACCAACTCAACCTTCTCTCGGCTATGGTCCGCAGCAGGTAGCCAACATCGACGTTGGCAGAGACGTCGAAGCTGTTCGAAAAGCGATGAAGGGATTTGGAACCGATGAGAAGGCGCTTATTGCAACACTGGCGAAGAAGGACCCCATGCAGATCAACACCATCCGGACACAGTACGATCAGCGCCTGATGCGAAACATGGTTCAAGATCTTGAAAAAGAGACCAGTGGCTACTTCGCAAAAGGACTAGTCGAAATCGCACGAGGACCTTTAGTATCTGACTGCTACAACCTCATGGAGGCAATGAAAGGCATGGGCACAAAGGAGGTCATCATAGACGACGTCCTCATTGGACGAAGCAATGCCGATATCAATGCCATCAAGCAGAAGTACCAAGAACTGTTCAAACGGCCACTACAGAAAGACCTCCAAGGTGACCTCAGCGCCGGAACCGAGCAAATGTATGACATGATCATCTCCGCCCGCCGCGCAGAAGACTCGTACCCCGTTAATCCACAAGAAATTGAGAAAGCTGTCACCGATCTCCAGGCTGGCATGGGTGGCTTTGCTAGCAAGAACGTTCCTCAAGTATGCCAGATCCTTACGAGCAAGAATGACGCTCAGCTCAAAGCCATGGCGAATCTCTACCAACAACGCTTCCACAAGTCGCTCGACAGTGTGCTGAAGTCTGCGTTCTCTGGTCACATGGAGGATGCACTCCGTCTGCTTGTGCATCGCGCTACTAACCGACCCGAGGCCGAAGCTGTCCGCCTGGAGGAGGCGATGGCTGGTTTGGGTACCAAGGACGAAATCCTCGTACAGCGCGTCGTTCGCTGCCACTGGGATAGGAATTTCATGAACGCTGTCAGCAACGCGTACAAGCAGGTCTACAAGAAGGACTTGGTCAAGCGGATAGAAGGGGAGACTCGGGGCGATTACGAGAAGCTTATGGTTGCTTGCGTGAAGCCTTGAAGTACTGTAGAGGAGTTACGAGAGTTGGTTTGGTTACATGATATCACATTTTCCTTTCTTGTTGCTTCGGCCTGACGCTGAATACATCGGAACCAGATATGATAATTATTCTCAATGCATCACCCCTAGTTTCCATGCCTGAACCCTAGATTCGCTCTTACTTCCAACTTCCCTTTCGGAATTTTCATGCTGGCACTGCCTCCGTCAACGCCCGTGTTACTTCCTTTCTCCACTTCCTTCCCGTTCGTCTTCATGTCTCCGTCTCCGCTCCTCCGCTAGACGAGCCGCCTCATACATATCCCACGTCCAACCACACATTGAGCATTTACTCGTGCCAGCGACGAGCCAAACACCCGCGTTCATTCGGCAAGGACAGGTGTATAGACCGGGATCCGGAGGCATGGTCGCTTTGGAGTATTGAAAGTCGAAAAGAAGTAGATGGAATGGCTGGATAATTATGATGGGTTGCGAGGTTTGATTACCTGGAAGCTGGATGTACGATTAACGCTAGTGCTGCGATGCTATAGCTGAATGATCAAGAAGATGTTTGTACAAAGCCCTGCTATGAGCATGAGAAGTTTGCATGTCTACTGACTGTGTTTACGTTGCTTCCTACGTGTTCGTCGCCAGCAAGTATCATTCCTACGACGGATCGTTCACCTTCACAGGTTGAGATGCCATTAGGTAGTGGTATAAGTTACGCCATTAGGGTATGGCCAAGGTGTTCATATAGATTATCTGTAATACGGTGGTGGTTGCTCCGCTGCAGACCCGGTTGCACCCACATCACGCATCATCTCCCCCAGTATAATGCTCTCCTCCGAGCCACTGAGTGGTGGCACCTCTTCTGGTGGTCCAAGATGTCCGCCGGGTCTAGTCATAGGCTCAATAGCCACATTTTCCATGTCAACTTCATGCTCCGACTCTTTGCCCGCACATTCGAGCAGCAGGTCGTACTTGATGTCGTAGTGAAGTGCTACACCATACGTTTTGAACGTCGGAGGCACAATGTTGTTGATCCCGAAACCTTCCAGGATAGTGTCCGAACCTATTTCTATTCCAGGTTTACTGTATCGTTGGTTGAAGAGATCGAACTTTTCAATGCTCTCTTTTCGTACCTCTTCGTTGGGTGCCGATGCTAGCGGAATGCGGAAGTTGATGTGCGCTATTGCTTGTGCGCGAATCCCGCGGAGGTACACGGGCGCTGGCTGCGTATCGCCATCACTTAGTGTTGCTTGGAGTGATAGCTTGATCTTGCTAGTAGCACCGACACGATACTGCGAGGGCGCACTGAGTACTAACAAAGAGGTTGAAGATGCCTCTTCTTCTTTGCTTCCGCCACGTAAGCCTGTCTTCAGCCGTTTCAGTGGCGCGCGCCGCTCCTTGGATGGTTCTGGGGTCGATGGTCTCGACTTACGCTCGAAACGTATTGGTGGTGCTGGCACAAGGGCAGTTGTGGGTAGCAGACCCTGTTCTGGTACTGATGGACTGAATCGTAGCTGGTGCACGACAACAGGGTTGAGCGTGAACGAGGCATTTTCCGTGACGTACTCTGCTCTCAGGTAGTATTCGTTGCAGATAGTACTCTCATTCCACCAAAACGACGGCGGAAGCGGATGACCCCTATCATGCTCAAAAAGACGATCTGATTTGAACGGTGCGTCGTTTTGCAGCCTTGCATCATTTTCTACTGCTTCCGGGAACCGAAATTCGAACGGGTACTCTACCCGCGAAGGTGGACAGGTCGCGCTGGGCGTTTCTCTCCGTGATAACGTCTGCTCGCGGCAAAATAGTTTAACCTCGGAGATATGCTGATTCGCAGGATTGCGTTCGCTGGAGATACGACATGTTGTTTTGCCGACAAAGCTTATGGTGACGTATTTGATTTTGATCAATGACTTGACATGGACGACTCCTTTCACCAGGTCGTTGTTAGTATGGATGCTACGACGACTCGATCTCGTGAATGCGATGGAAATAGGTCCATCTGGGGTGTTTTGTCGATCTGGGTGATGACGATCGCTATAGAACTGTGGTTGATTGATATAACTGTAGAGCAGACGAGGCTGTGGTGCTTGACTCGCTAGTGTGTTTGCCATAGGCTATACGATCAATTCGACAACAAGCTTGCTGGTAATGGAGACTATAGCAATATGTAGGCCAGATGGTTAATTCGAGGTTTCTGGTGCTTGGCGGTTGCAGGTGTCGCGTGGAAGCCTTCTCGAATGAATATTACCAAGCAGAGTGATGAGGATACCCCGCTTCTGTATTACTCAGGCCAGATGACTGACGGAAGCCAATGCACCTCTTGTCCACGCTGTTCCGGACCATGTCCGAGTCACCTGACTGCTAAGAGCGATGTTAGCTAGTTGCGGTCGCATTGTTGATCTTTACAGAGTCTGGCTGAACCTTCCATTTAGGTAAGCTGAAGAGAAGAGACCCCTTATATTGCTAGGCCGTTTCAGATCCTAAACATTAGAGTTCCGCAGTGAAGATATGAACGGCGACATTGCTAAAATGATGCAGTGATAAACATGGGTAGATAACCAAGGGTTGGCACTGTAGTTGTTCAGCGCTGGAAGTCTCCACTAGACTCGATACGGAAAGCTCCGCCTCCTCCTTGATCCGTTCTTGCCGGGCTGAGTTGTCGTGAGTACCAGAGCCCAAACACGAACGACGACAAAACTACAACTCCTGGCTTGAGAAGCTCATCGAGCTTTGTGAAATTTATCCTGCCATGAACAACTGCAGATGGTAAGTAGATGTAACGCTTTGTGTGGGAGGAAGGGGAGAAGGTGTGCTGGCTGGCACTACTGCCGTCATCGAGCGATCTTGGACAACACGTATTGCTTCCTGCTCTGATCGCTACCCAGCTGCGACGCTTGATATCACGGAGCCATTTAACAAGTTCGGATTAGATTGCCACCTTTAGCGTTATGCTGCGGGGGTGGGCTATAGCAAGTCCTCTATGAGACGACCCCACATCTAGGCAACCATCGAGAAGTCAGCCTGAGGCGGACAGTCTTCCATCCACACCACCCACCACGACGCATTATTCGGCGGACAGTATCATCCAGATGTTGCGCTCCTGCACCCTTTCCATCCTTCACGGGTAGCGAGTACCTTTTCATAGACCAGAGCCGCACAAAAGCCCCAGGGGCGTGGCAAGGGCGTGCAGGGCTTTATTTCGACTTCATCTCTCGCTTGAGTCCGTGGCTCACATCAATCTTTCACCATGGCGCACCGTGGGGCTGCAGAGCAGGCAGATTTTTACACCGTGTTCAGGAGCATGCCATGCGCTATCTTTGCGGCATTTTCTGGTGTTGCTGCCTATAATGTGAAGCGTGTCGCGCACGCCGAGCGTTATTAAGCAAGTAAGCGTACCCTTGATAGTCCTTCGTACTGCGCATTTGAGCAACTCGAAAATACATAAACAAAATCGAACGCGGGATACTCGTCGTCCTATGAGAGGATGTTGGAGGTCAACATAAAGTTTCCAAGCGAACCGCTTTCACGCTTTGTGACGCCTGCACGATGTCTCGGAGCTGCAAACGCGGGTCACGAATATCGACCCTGGCCCCGTTCAGGGGCGCTGACCGCTTTGCGAACCACAAATATAAGGCAACGAGTGGCAGGAGCAAGGATATTTGCCCATAGCCGACTCAAGGTATGCCTCGTCCGGCCCTCAAACGCCACAACCAGCGAGTTCGCCTTGGGCGCCATCGCATGTCACGAACAAAGCCTGTAAGGTTTTGCTCGGTCATCAATTTGTTGTCTTGGGCTTCCATGCTGAAGCAGGCACAGCAGCTTGAGTCACGACTGAAATCCGTTGGATGCCATTATGTGATATCGGAGGGGTAAACGATGGGGACGTTTTACGGTATAGAGATGTATTGAGTACATTGACTAGTGATACAGGCAAGAATAATGGAAGGACGCAATGCTATCATATGCTACGCTTGAACGCACGAGGATACTACCGCTATCCATTGATATGACACACACTGCACTGGAAAGTTGGCGCGGTCGAACAAGACATTTGATATAAGGACGGAAAGGATTGAAGAAGAGGATTACACAAACTCCCGAATAACACAACGAAGAAAAAGACCAGTCTACCAAATACGCCCGCCAACAGCACTCGAAAACGCACTGAGAACTCATCAACCATTGTGGTACGCCTTTGCAATATCAATACCTACAGCCGTCAGCAAGAGCTTCATGGTAGTTGAGAATGAGCACTCACATAATATAACCGCCCTCTGCTTTACTGTCAAGTTCGCTCCAACAACTTAGCGACGATTATTAGCGTCGTAAACGTAGCAGCAACTACTCCTCCAGTGGTTGCAGCAATTTGCGCAACCTTGATCGGTCTTATAACTATTATCGCCGCCACATCTGCAACACTGCCAACGGTACACCGGCGGGCGCTCTGGTCGTTGACCATAGGGAATATTGCTAATTGGAGATGCTGTAGATGAACCACCACCAGACGTGTATGCAAGTATATTCTGTGCGCGTCCGGTATTCTCCCTGGTGCTCACACAGCGGGAAGTGTGTGGAGGTGGGTACGCATGCAGTGTGCGCGCATTGGTGTAGTAGCTGTCCGAATTGGATTGTGACGAATTGTTCTGAGGAGCAAAACAAACAGGACAAGATGGAGCATAATCAACGTTATTCGGACCGTCGCCACAGCTGCTGCAGTAATAATACGTGGGCATGGTTTTCCTGTGGTGATTGTTGCTTGAGGTGGACAGAAAGAGCTAGCAGTTGATGAAGTACTAGAAAGAGCAAATGTAGCTGAAGAATTTGCGGTCTTGGAAGAGTGCGAGAGTTTTTTGTGCTTGCGATGATGAGTGGGTATCTCAGTAAAGATCTAAAATGAAAGAGAGAACAAGTGCAATGTTATACACAACACCAGATGGTCCTCTCGTCCTTTGGCCTGGCTCTAAACGCAGCACCGCCTCAGGAGAGCCCTTTGCCCCAGCTAAAACGTACATTGTGACCTCCGATGCCATCATAGCTTCATTTCCGCCTAGGAAAGACCCACTTCTTACCACGACGTCCCTCGTTTTAAGGCTTTAAGGGCCTCTGGTGGCAACTCAGAGCAGAGAAGGACGATGGCTGAGTGCGAAAAGCATTACGCGTTTTCTGAAGAATATCACAACGATAGAAAAGTGGATTTCATTGGTTAGGCGGACAGAGAAAATGTCAAGGCCTGAGGAAGCTCGGAGGTGTGCGACCGGAAGTTTAATGCTACACAAGACTGCTGAGCCACAATCTGTGCAACGGCTGGATAACCGGGATATTCAAGCAGGCAGAAAAAAAAAGGCAAACATGATAATGCTCTGGTCCTAGCCTTACACGCCTCATCGCCTGGCTTCATGAGCTAGGCCGGTACTTCTTGGCGGAAACGTCCTCCACCGCCAACCTAATCGGGGTGCAGGACACCGCTTTTTCAAAGTAAGTTGGTCAGTTCATTGGCTCAAACTAATCACAATGACGCTACGTATGATTTGGTCCAATGTTATACCTTTGCTCACTGGCAGAATTCTCGATCTCTGGACCGGCTGCATGAAACACTTTCCTGAACGGGCTCTCCGTTTCTCATCGGAGGGTGTGTAGACCGTTTCAAAAGTGCCGTGTACCTGCATTCAGATGCTAGATGATCTTGCATGCGACAACGAGCCTGGTTTGCGGGGATCAGGTCGCACTTTTACTCACCATGCGGCTTCCCATTTGAGCGATGGGGGAATATGGTTCCAACGTAGATGCAGGACGATGTATGTAATCCAGATGGGAAAGTGGCAAGGGTGGTAATAGATTGAAGCAAGCAATGACAGGAATGTTTCTATGTTGTGATGAATTGCAATACCGAACTCCAACGCAAACTGATACCAAGAAGAGAACGCTTTCCAAATGGTGACAGCCTGCGTCGGTAAATCTAAACGAAGGCCTTACAGATACAATGGGCGACAATACAGGTAAGCTCTAACAGATTGCTGAAGAGGTCCGCCAAATGCTGAAGTGGTAACGCCGTGATAAAATAGCGAGTGAAAATATAGGCCTATACAATATATGCCATGACCAAAACGAGAGACGCCAGTAGATAACCAAAAGAAAACCGTACAGGATATAGGAGTTCCGTGTGATGCTGCGTAACAGAAGCGACGGATGGGCTTCTGCATGGTGACTTGTCGTGTAGGGAGTGTGGTGAAACCATACAGAACGGTGGCAGTGGGCGATGTGAGAGCGCTCATTTAGTGTACTCCACTGTGCAAGAGACACACTTTACATGGGAGCATGCTGTGCAAACGTTCTGCCAGTCACCCAGGGGACCATCACGACAGTTCGAGCAGTACCAAACACTACCGCCGTCTGTGGGCGCTGCCATATGATCATGACCCTGCGAAGGGCTCAGATGGGTTTGGTCGTAGTCATCGTTACCGAAGAGAGGGTCCAACGACAGGACGACACCGTGAGGGTGTAGCGTCGAAACAGTCTGGGTGTTGTCCGTGACGTTTACTTCCGCATCAATCGCAGCGAGAAATGTATCCGCAGCCGAGTATTTGGGGCTGGCAGGCATATCGTGTTGTGGACGGAGCGTTGGGAGGGCGACCATATTGAGTGTTTGTTTGGCTTTAGGAGGGGTAAAAGGCACTATTTGAAGAAAGAATATGTGCTGTGGTAGTGAAGTATCTGATTGAGTTTGTGTTATACGGTGATGAAGTGGAATACTGAAGCATTTAAATCTTGCTTCCAAACCTAGCTCTCATTGAGAATGCTGCGCCTTCTCCGTCCCTTGGTGCTAAGCACTGCACAGACAGTCCCGCGATGAGACATTAGACAAGATGCTCGAGCGCAGATAGGGTGGTGGCCAGTGTGAGGCATACATGCCTGAGGAGGTAAAGTGAAGCAATACCAATCGGGAGGCGGAGGATGATGAAGGACCTTCCAGGGTATGGGAAGCACCAGCCACTCTGGATGATGATATTATGTAGACACCTTTGCTCGTGATGTACATTAGGTGGCGATGATCGTCCTGAGATTCAAAGCTAACACTCCGTTGAACTCCATTGGTAGTTGGTCTGTGACCGGGGATCGAACGAGAAATAACAACTGGATAAGACAGGTAGGCTAATTCATCGACTGCGCAAAGCAACAGTCTGGCTACAGGCAGCAGAATCATAACCGTTTGAGCAAAAGCATATCGTATGGTCATCCGGTATCCAGATCTATGGGTCCAATGGCGCGTCTCGATGTAGTTAGGGGTGCAGTATCCCGAATAGGTACGTCACAGTATCCGTCTAGTATGCCTCTCCAAGTAAAGCACGGCTGATTCGGTGTGAGCTGGCGAACGGAGATCTAGAAGGTGCTCTTATCCATTCCGTCATGAGCAGGTGAACGAGTGTGGGCCCGACTGAATGCTCGCCTGGACCATTGTCGGTGATGCGCAGCCCAGAGGTTGGTCGATGCGGAGGCTGGAGGCCAAAGGGACTACCGGCCAAAGGAATGGCCACCAACGCTTATTTCTTACACAATGCACACTAGTGCTACTCTTCTATTCAGAGCGACAGCGGAGAATGGCAAGAGCGGTCGATTGGTTCGACAAGCACGGCGGAAACAAGTACATGTGAAATCGACAACGAACGTATCATTGGTACCGAAAATCTTGGGCTCGGATGAACAGTGTGATTACAACATTTGGGAATAAGTACTCGGTCCTGTCTGAGTAGGTAGGGCCGCGATCGGACTATGTTAGCCCATGTTGGGCTGTCCGTTTACAGAGTCCAGGTCGACCGGAAAGGAACCATTGTGTACCTTAGCTGAGGGCACAGCCGGTTTGGCATAGGAAGACCGGCTCTTTTGCTAATCCGAGTAGTCCAATCCCTCATATCTTAGGCTATTCGGATAGCGCAAGACTGAGCTTCATGCGAACCCTATGTGTCACCTGCAAGCCTTTGGGAGGCTGAGAGGCTCCTTTAACACCATAGTCGTCATATACATCCATGGAAGCCAGATCTAATTGGAGTAGTCGTATGCAGAAACCCATTCCGCCAGTATAGAGACGCTTGCCGGCTTCCGGTGCTTGTGTTTTAGAGACCCAATATGCAGCCTGTAATTTTCAGCTGTCAACGATGATTGTGGCTGATCACCAGTAGGCTAGGCGTGTTCCTGGGGATGCCTTGACGCCTAGTAGCTGGAAGGTTCTTACTGTCGTGTGCACTGTGGGGGGCAGTGTTGAACGGTCCGTGGGTTGACCGGTTATGGCAAGAAGTTTGTCTCCGACGGTCGCCTACGGTTCTATTAGGGTCGCGGCCAAACGTCATAGCGCTGTGAGCGAGGCAAGGTTGCAAGCGTGTTGAGTAACACGGCTAAGTAACGTAGAGATTCCCGTTCAGTGGGGTTTGGAGAACAGTGCAGACTCACTTACATGAGCTGGGACTGAGCGTTTGCCAGTTGCGGCCTCAACCCCAAGGCTTTTTCCATGATCTGCCTTAAAAATACGAGGCTGGCCATTTGGCCAGCAATCGGCCGCTAGGGTTACATTGCTGCTACCGGAGGGCCGTAGAAGAATCGAATAGTCTATTCACCATCTTATGCAGGGCGCAGCATATATAACCTAGACAAAACCGAAGCCTCGTCAGTAAGAGCCGCATAAATTTAGACTTTGCGTTGTACATCCCACAGTCTCCTGGTCCCGATACCCACGTATCGTGATAGTGTCTGGCCGCAAACAGCAAACGGTGGTGGTCCTTTGGGGCCACAAGCCGACGGCCAGCGTGTCAAACGGCGAGCGAAGCGTGTTGATAAGAGGCTCTGCGAGGCTATCATATAGCCTCGCCAGGCCGGTCAGTGCCAATGCGTTAGCTTCAACAGAGTTTTGCGCCCATGATACCAGCACACCGGCGGTGAGTGGTGAGATAGACGCTGTAGGTCCAATGCAATTAGTCTTCATCCTGCTCTTGCCCAATAAACCCCCCAAAAAAGAAGGCAGGAAGACGTGAAGGTCATGGAAGGCTGAGAATCAATGTGCGGGGTCTTATTGTCGGTCATGCAAGTCGATGCACGTTGGCCATTAGTCAGTAAGCAGCCTATGCTTGACTTCGTGTTGCTGAGAAAAGCAAAACGTGGGGTAAATCACTGGCAATCAGTTGCTCACCAGTCGCGAAGAGCGCCGCGGTAACATTCGTATCCCAATTGATATATGACGAGAGACGTTGGTGTTGTGTCGATCCCTTTCTCTGTATGACGTCGGCAGATGCCGCGATTTCGACCGATTGGACGAGACACGCGCTGCGCGTCGCTGTCGGTCGTTGAAAGGAGTGCATAGAGATGAAACCTACATTAGATGAAGCAATCATTATAGAAGGCTGTGATGTGATAACGTGCTACCCAGTCTTCCGTTTTGGCAGACGAAGATGACGTCTCTCGTGTGCTAACAGGCCCCAACCGGGTAAGCGCCCCAACCACGTGCGCCATCTTGGCTGTGCGGCATCACGGCTGTTGTGCAACACCAAGGAACGTCAGGCCTTCTCGAAGGCTTCGTCGACAACTTGTCTCCGCGCGCGATCGCGGCCATATCAATCTATCTGTCTTCTTCTAGCCGCGCTCGAGTTTTCTATAATCCCACGCGATGGCGCCCCCAGCAGTTATCGGTTCCCAGAAGCCCGGCGCGACCGATACCACAGCGATGGAACAGAAGATTGGCCAGGCCACCTCCGTTGTCCTACCACTTCTAGAATTTGGCGCACTGGGCTACGAAACATATGTTGTGGTCTACTTAATATGCGTCCAGTACCTCATGAACCCTTCGGAGGACATACAGCGAGATTTCGACATTCGGCCACGGCGCTCCACCGGAATTGCACTCATCGTCGTATACGCTATCCTCCTCCTCTTCCTCACGATAGCATGGCTGCGCCTCATACAACTGATATGGTCGAAACCAGACCTTATACCCCTCGGCGACCCGTCGCTGGAAAAGGCAGATGCGAGTACAAAGGGCTTTGGGTTCGATCAATACGATGCGTATATTTGCGATTATCAAGGAATGCCACTCTGGTGTGAGAAATGTCATAATTGGAAGCCGGACAGGACACACCACTGCAAGGAACTAGGGCGCTGTGTGAAGAAGATGGATCATTACTGTCCTTGGGCCGGCGGAATCATCGCAGAGACTACGCACAAGTTCTTCATGCAATTTGTAGCGTACGCGTCGCTATACACGACATTCACTTGGATCGTGGTAGCTATCTTCTTTGCAGAGAGAAGTTCCAAGGTACGTTGAGAGGCAGGACGGTGCATGTTGAAGCAGGCTAACATATCACAGATGGGCTCACGGCCAGGAACCTGGATCGGCGCCCTTGCAACCGCCGTTTTGTTTAGCATCTTTACGTTCACAATGACCTGTATGACAGGCTGGAATCTGATGATAAACTTTACCTCAGTCGAAGGCATCCAACGCGGCGGCATTCACAACATCGCCTTCCTCATATCCCATTCCCCTGCGAACCCCAATAACGCAACTGCACTCCCTGCGACCCCGCCAACGCCCTCCAGTAAACATCATGATAAGAGATCTAGCAGAGACATGGCGGGAGAAAGAGAAGACGAGAAGGAAGACTGGCCGATCCTGATTAGCTTCACACGCCCGTCGAACCGCTCCTACGTCGTAATGCAAACCAAACCCATGGAACACCCGTGGTATACAACCCTCATGCAAGGATGGAAAGACACCATGGGCGCAAACATACTGGAGTGGCTACTGCCCTTGCTCCAATCTCCGTGTAAACAGAAAAGTCACAAGGGCGAGTTTGAGTGGGGCGAAGTGGTTTATGATATGGCGAGAATGTACGAGGAAAAGCATCCTGGAACCAGTCTTGCGATTCTTGATGAGAGTAGGACGTCAAGGAGGCGACGTTGATGAAGGGCTTGTTTCTACACTGTTTTGTTTTTTTCGGCAAGCGACTTGGGCGTTCTTTGTATATTCTTTTCTTTTATAATGTGATACCCAAATATGTTGTTGGTAGCAAACTGTACATAATGCTCCGGTGGAGGCAATGTGATGACCATACTAGTCTTGCTAGAATACGTTTCTTTTACCGTCAACGTCACCTCATTCAGATTCGTCACATGTCCCAAACATGGCAGATCTACGCATATCTTGAGGTCCTTTCTTCTGAGCGCATATTCTGTTCATTAACTGACGTTGTCCTCGGGTCGCACGAAACGCAGTTACACAAACACCTCTCCACGTGGCCCAACCCCTCTCTGACCCAATCAATGAGCCAACACTACCTTCTCTGTGATAGGCCCGTAGATGTTTGGTACACGACCGGCAATGCCCTGCCGATCCTTGGATGCGGATCAAGTTTCCAATGCGGGTAATCGAACTTCGCGAACCAAAGTCCAGCTCATGCCCGATATCGCCAATTCATGTTACTTGTTTGGGCCTGGCGACTTGCGCAGTGCAGTGCAAAGAACTACCAAGGCTGCTATGTGGATATTGATGTGCAGATACTGTTGATCTGGTCTAGACATTGAACGATACTTTCCTGGCGAGGTTGGGAAGATGCTTGCATCATGCGGGGTTGTGAGCAGATCATTTGTGATTACGAAAATCCTGATACGCAAGGATGGTGATTACTTGAAGAGGAATTGGTCAGTCGAGCTGTATTGTGTGGCCACTACGCTTGCTTCGTCAGGATGGGATACGTAAACTTGGCTGAGAGAGTGGTTGGTAGCTGTGCTATCTGTATTGTGTTTTGCCATATTATTGGTTACATCTTTGCAAGTGTTGCTGTATGCGCGCTTCCGCCTGGACTGGGCGTGTGCGTATGTATGATGACGATGATGCTCAACCAGGCTTCAGTGCCGCCAGTACACAGAGTCGCATGGCCATCATGATCCTGTATAAACTTGGCATGATTGACCATGGTATAGCTCGGAGATTTACCGTAGTATCAATCTTGGCTGAGCCAAACAACGATGATCCTCATCTTGATCATCTTGATCAACCCTAGGAAACTATCCTAGGCTTCCAAGTAAGATCTGCGCAGGGGCAAGTAGATCGTCATCCTATTCTATGAATCTGAGACCACACTCAACCAGCGTGCTGGGGACAGTAAATTGATGCTTACACGTCTTTATCCGTTGAGACTTTGACAGCTTCCGTGCCTGTTCTGCGAGCAGTGCGCTGTCAGCGAGGCTGCCGCTTTCCGGATAACCGTTGATCGTAATTTCGTTCAGAGACGTTTCATGTTACCATGGTACTATTTATGGAGAAAGCATCCCGCAGGCGACACGTCTGAAAAGGCGAGAGCTTGAGCCGGGTGCTTCCGAGTTCGACCATGTACGGTGTGTCAGGCCACCCAATCCGTAATGGGAAGTTTACAAGTTGGGTAGTTCACGCGAGGAGCTGCTAGGGGAAGAGTTAGCTGGCTTCTCAACTTTTTGTCACCACGCACAACATAACTATCAGCCTAAATACGTGTCAGTGCCAACAAAGTGCACCACTTCTACTCCGGCGTCACACTTCTCATATTCTCTCAAGGGCGACGGGCGTAATCCCTTACAGTCCGGGCCGCTCCATGGTATCCCTACCAGGAATCAGTTTGGAACACGGTCCTTGGTTTTCGGGAGAGTTAGTGTAGCGAGATCCGCAGGGCAAACCCTGGCTCTGATCCCCCCAATGATGTGCAGTGTTTCCCGAAGTCAGACTGTGAGGGGTCAATCCTGGAAGAAGATCGTGGCAAGGGTCTAATGCAACTTCACTCACCGGACAGTGGAGCCTCTCTACGAGAAGAGCCGGTTACCAATTCCAAAGACTAAGTGGAGCAGGATAGGCGTTAGTGGATGTGGCGCCCCATATGTTTGATCCTTCGAGTCTGGCGAGAGAAGCTGATTGAGGTTGGTGGAGGCCTGTTGTGTTGAGATTCGATATCACGAAACATGTCAGGGCTCAACTTGTTCAGACATGTTGCCGGGGCCGTTACTTCCCGAGGGCACGAACCCCCAGCCAAACGGCTATTGTAGCTTGTCAATCACTACCGTTGTGTGTCATGTTTTAACTCTGGGGGTTTGAAACACCGGAACTGTCAATGGCGTTTCGAGCCTGGCCGCTAAATTTGGATCCGCGGAAACCAGGAGAATGCGCGAACAAACTTCCGCATTCGGTCTTGCGTGGGCTATGAGACCGAATCTGGCCGTTGAGCATAATTGCAGCATTGGAGAGTGCACTAGGCAATCAATAGTTTGCTGAGCTGGGCCATGATTACAGATACGGCGCCACTTGCCAATGGCTGGTTTCACCATCATCGTGCCTGTAAAGTCTTTTTTAGTGGTTGCAAAGGTTTCATGAACTTTGCGTGAAAGTCGAGACAGGAACGAAGAATGTGTTTGTGAATGTTGTAAGAAGATCGCATTGTGATTAGACTATGTGGAAAACAATCTTGAAGGCAGAAGCCCATCAAAAGAACGCTACTGCAGTCCCAATAAGCTGCAATCTTAGCGCAATGTATCCCCAAACTCCGTTTCCCAAGACGCTGATGTATGCTCCGTTTTTGGTCCCAGGGTATTTGACTGAAAGAAAAGTAGGAGGTCGTTTATGCAACCAGTGAAGATTGTGACATCTGAAAATGTCCACAAGGAGCGGCAGTGATACCAGCCGACCGAAGAATAGAAGTATGCAGATGGCTCCAGCCCCACCTGGCCGCCGATGGCAGAAATTAGAGCGGGTAATGTGCGTAATCAATCTCATCATGATGAATTCGAGTGGAAGATTCCGATGGGACTTGTGGTTGCTCGCTGGTCGTAGCCTTTTTGGATGAGCGCCGTTACGCTGAGACTCCTTAGGCTTCGGGGCCATTAGCCTCGCGTTCCCGTTGTTCTTTTTGTGGAGCACGACGACGAGCGTTGATGAACCAGTTGGATACCTGTGACGTATCAGCACGTTGTTCGGTACAGAGATGTGAAACAGTGTAGATGCTAGCAAAAGAATTTGAGGGTAGCAAAAGGACCGACAGCACGCTGTAGTCTGGAAATGACACTGAAGGACAGGAATGGCAGATGTAGTGAAGGTGTCAAAATGAACATTGTTGCTAAGACGTATCACGTACCTGGTTGAGACTCAATCCAGTCCGATTGCAAAGCTCCATCTTCTGGTCTTCGGTGGGATATGGTGATGTTCGGTTGGCGGCAAACCAGTCTTTTAGCAGGTTCGTAGCCTCTTTTGGCAGATTGCCTCGGCGCTTCCTGTTGAATGCGTTGTGGTCAAGGCCAACATGCTGTTGGAAGCGAATGTCGCTATAGGATGTGTCGTAACTTGGATAGCCAGCGCGAGCGAAGTAAGATTCGGTCGGTCGGTCGTAGCCGCCATAGACAGCTGCTTGGGGCTCGTGATAGTAGCTATGCCGTGCCTCGTACATGGCGCCTTGCTGAACCATGGGTTGCTGGAAAGGGCTCTGTCCGATAGGTTGTTGGAGAGAAGGAGGCGCGTAAGACATGTGGCCTTGGGGGGCTGGCGATGACTGGTGTCGCATGTGCGGGTTCAGAGGCATGGTTTGCTGTTGTGGTGGCACGTATGAATGACTCGAACGGTGATGCATGCTAGATGCGACGGGCTGTACTGCATGCTGTTGAGGTATGTGGGGGGAGTAACCGGCAAGGGCAGGGTCAATGGGACCGCTCATGCGGCGGGCCTGCACTACAGGCGGCTCATAAATGTCGCCGAGAGTGTCGACACGCCTTCGCTTGCTCTCAGACCAAGTTACATCGTCAAACTGGGGTTGGACATGAGGAGAGCTCTCAGCCGAATCATTCCGACGCTGAGGAGTCCGGGGTGGCGTGGTAGTCCGTGTAGTATGGAGGAACTGAGCAAGTCAACCAAACGGAGCTGCGACAAGAGAATTGCGAGACCACATACCTCCGAAAAGGACGGAAGTTTGCCAGGGAAGTTCTGCTCCCCTGGTTGAATAGGTGGAGAGCTGCGCATGTGGTGATTCTGTGATTCTGTCAGAGTGTTGCTCGGATGTACAGACGGTCTAATTTCGTCGCGATTGTCGACGATTTCATCGGGAGTGACGGTGCGCAGGCGGAACTTGGGCAGCATTGTCGACTCCTGCGAAGGCGATCGGCGACGAGTGGGTAAAGAATACGAGCGAGTTGGGGTGGGTGAACGGGCGTGATGGTCAGGTGCGCCCGTTGGTATCAAATGGGGTCGACCTGAGTAGTGGGAAGATGCATAGGCGGAGGGTTCGGACGCTCTTGCTTTCATAGGCGCGTTCTTTCCATGGCTGCGGAAGGGATCACGCAGCACAGGCTCGAGAAAGCGTGGAGGGGAAGGAGCGGAGGCAGTAAGAGGGAAAGGAGAATCTTGTTCTTGACTTACCGCAGCGACCATGTTAGCCAGCGGCCGTTCGACAGGATGTGAGGACTTCATCTTGCGCGAGTGCAGCGGTTCACAATGGCGGTGCGGAATATCTTGGAGAGTAAGATATTCCATGTGTGCAACGGCAACAGTGCTTAAATACTCTGCAGAAAGCACGCGTTAGCGGATAGTCACTTGTGTATCAACGTCTCCATGGTGAGTGGGTGGGGTGCTATGCTCGCCCATAGTTGTTGACAGCTTGGTACCAGTGTTTGGCTGGCACCGTCGAATGCCATCAACACGAGCGGGGTTCCATATGATGCTGGTTCAATTGGGCGGTATTACTTACCCAGGTATTATGGTAGTGATGTAACAATTAGACTCGAAAGGGCAACCAAAGGGTCCGATGCAGGACTACTGAACCAAGTATTATATATCGCAGATATACGAGTGGTGAGGCGGCGAAGAGGATTAGTGGTGGTTGGGAGTCGGGGACGAGTGGTGACAAGTAAGCCGGCGCAAGCACTCAGCGATTGGCAAGAAGGTAGTTGGGGTCGTGATGACGGGTCCGAGGCGTTTAAGAAGCAGAAGCACGGTGAGCGAAGGAGGCGTTTCTAGGCTAAGAAGGACTGCAACGGGCCGTACACCAAGCATACCCTCCGATCTTGCAGCACCAGAAAGGGCATCAGGGGTGATGCCAGTTAGGGCCAAGGAAGGACAGACAGGCGTGTTTAGCACGACGTCTGTGGACTTGACAGGTAAGGGTTAAAGTTTGGTCTATATTCTCCGAGCGTGACAATGCATGCTCTGGCCGGACGCAGGCCGAGCGTAGGAAACAAGTTGTCGCTCAGCCTAAGTCGCAGATTTCGAGGCAGGAGCCGGTGCTGGAGTCGCGCCATGTGCTGCAGACGCCATCGAGCGTCGCCGGTGTCTCCACTGCTCGCATCGTCGCAGATCCTCGCTGTCTCTGACTCGGCGCAGGTAGGCGCAGGGGTGCCGAATGCCTCTGGCCCATTTTGTCGCACCCTGCTTGTCGATTACCTCATCTGCACTCCCACACACTGGATGCCGCAGCAACCTCACAACGTTCCGTTAAGGCGGCAGCAGGCTATGGCCAAGCATTGGCCGACGTGCAAGTTATGGTCTGGCGCCTCGCTGCTTGCCAACAACCACAAGCAGTAGTTCATCGACACCAGCCTCGCAATAGGTGGCTACCGCCTTGTCCAATGTCAAGCCTTGCGCCCACGAGCAAAAAAATATGGTGGTAATTGCGTCGAGACTAGCCTGCAGCGCAGTCTCGTAACTCTACTAACTCTACTCGCAGCTGGACCTGAGTTGAACTCTACCAGGAGCCGGTGGCACGGTACCCTTATAATTGTTTTTGCCGGAGATATCTGAGTCGGCAGAAGCAGCACAGCATTGGAGCCCATCATTGGAAGGCAGGTGGGGCAGGTGTAGCAGCATCAAGGACATGGACGCGGGTTGCACCTCTGTCGAGAGCGGAGTCTAATCCGACGTTAGGAGGGCTGTCGTGCACGCCAGAGCCACGCTGACGGCGTGTATGTGACGCAGCACAAAGTACGATACCCGGCAGACAGGTGGTGCAGGACAGAACCAGGCTGGTGGCTGGCCTTGGTGGACACGTGTGTGACGCAGCTTTTCCAGCGTCCAGGAGCGCGAGGGCTTTGTGTCGTGACGGGGTACAGAAACAGCTAGTGCTGCAACAGCGAGCTTTGGGAAGGGAGAAGGAGGCGTTCGTCCGGTGGGACAGGAATAGCAGCTAGAGCGACGACGTAGGAGAGCGGGAGATGATGCACGGCGTTCGATTCTCTACCCTGTGCCAGGCACGACTAATTGGGGAGCCGTGGCCTGCAGACCCTGAATCAGTTGGCGCGTAGCGCATAAACAGTGCTGGCGAAACAATTCACGTGTGCAGGCTGCAAAGCCGTCAGTGATGATGATAGCCAGATGCAGACGTCGATTCCATCGGCAAGTGACTGCTGGTTGTTGCAGCGGAGAGCATCGCGGTGGAGAGCCCCCCTTGGAGTGCGGGTGGATGACAGATGTCAGGCTCATGCAGACGACTGATGGGGGGGCATCTTGGGAAGAGGTGCGACCTGGTCAGCGCCGCCATGATTGGCACAGGGATAGCTGGCACCTTCCCGCTCTCGGGGTCGCGCCTGCCCGAGTCACTGATCGCTTCCCGCTAGCCGGCCGATCAGACCTCGCCCTCGACCTTCAACACCCGCCGTCTCGCGTGCCGGAACGCTGCCGTCGACACTGAGACCTTCTCCACGCTGCCACTGTTTAACCCACGCCGTCCTGCAACTGGACGCGACACTATAGCAAACTCTGCGCCGCCCTAACCTGTGTCTATCGAAATCTACGAAACCTTGTCGCGCGCGCCGCTATGGCAACCAGGGTGCGTCATGTTTCGCGCTTCCAAATTGACGTCGACGCCTGCAAGGCTTTAGTCTCAACTTCTGTGCTTTGCCATTGTCCTCGGCAGGCGTGCCGATAGTGCACCGACGCCATGATTTATGCTCCGGCGCCACACCGACAAAACACCAAGCCTGTAAGCTGCTTGCGTTTATGCTTCGTTTGCCTTGACCGCTGTTCAAAATCATTATCCCGGCTCAAGGGTGAACCTGTGGCCCGGGTTCCGCGTCGTTACAGACCCCCTAGAACGGCAACCACGAGCCCAGCAATCGTCCTACCAACACTTGTACAAGCCCCGCTGCCACTGTGGCCATCTATCGCCGTAATCCATCGTTACACAGCAGCAGTTGACCGCCTGACAGTCAGTCAACTCTGCTTCAGGCGGCTGCCGTTCGTTGTTGTGTCGCCCACTAACTCTGTGCCATAGCCCAGGGGGGCTGTCAAACTGCTATAGTGCGGCACCACTTTGATACTAACAGCTAGTACAGGACGCCTCTCGATCCCAGTCAACAGTCTTCTCAAATATGCCCTACATCCAACTTCATCTCGGCATCCCATGTGGAGATGGTGCCGTGGCTCCTTGCTGGCGATGATTTGTACCGGGGGAGCGCTTGCAGTCAGGTCGCGACTTGGACTCCATGAAATGCAGCTATGGTGACTGGCGCCGTTGCAACAGACGGAAGCCACGAGCGCCATCCGTTGCGCGCGCAGACCTCGAACCTGGTTTCCAAATGCCCCACGCACGCTGCACCTCAACATTTGCGTCTCGCGACAGAAGTCACCACCAGAGGCATAATCGCCTTCTAGCGTTCGTCTGGAGCTCCATGCGAGGAGTCAAAATCGACACTATCGGGCTCTAGAAGCCTATAGGGTCAGTTCCGTATTTCTCGAGGCCCGTGTCAATGGTTCCGGATGATGCAACACTCAACGTGCTGTACATGTATGTTGCTGGTCTACTAAACCGCCTAGCTACCATGATGCTCACCGCGCGATTCGCAACTGAACTCGAACCAGTCGGACCTGGTCTGAATAACCCCATCGGAAGAAACAGATTGGAGCACAGTAACATGACGATAACTAAACAGCGGAAGGGTTGTATCCATGGCACCTGTACGAGGCTCGCCTCTCGCCATAAAAGCGGTCCTGTGCCCAGAATCACGGAACCTCCATTGTCATGCCGACGAATACTGTACATGAAGTTCGTGTGTTGACTGTCCGTTCCGTCATGCGAAAGACTTGATTCAGAAAGAGGGGTCTGCACACACTGTTGCACAACACAGGGTGGCGTGCAGGCGCCCCATGCCCCACTGTTTCTTCCGATATACCAGTCTTCAGCCCAGCGAACTGATCGTTCGCCTTGAATAGATACTGCAGACTCATTTACCTGGTATCTGGGGTTCGCCCAGCAGTGGTGCGTATCGTAGCTGCACTTGCTCATGGATCAGAAATTGAGAGGGCATCTAGTCCAATGGTCGTTCTTCTAGCTCTGGAATAGTGGAGGGCGAGTCCACATCTGCTAAGGAAGAACTTTACCGTAGGCTCTTAGGGGTTCAAGGGTCCTGCTGTCACATCTCTTACATATCTGGATTTATGCCGTCTTGCCAGACCAAAATTAACTGGATGAAACAATAGGAGGTAGGCACTCTAGGGCGAGTGTGACGCCTCGGATCCTCTGATCGTCGATTTGAAGAGTTTCAGGAATATACTTCAAAACGGTGTACTCACATCATCATGGCCTCCACTATGCTCCCGAGAGACAAGCGCGTCATTTCGCCTGAAGCATCCTGTGGTACAGTGGCCTATTGAACGCTTCCGTGACTATCATCATCACAATATACTTTCCAAGGCCCAGCGAATCGGTATCGCTCCGCCAACTTGGAGAGGGTATGACCTTCATTCGTCCGTGGCTACCAAACATGGTGCTAGCCGGAGTAGCTACGATTATGGCGCATCATTTAGATCCTATATGCCCGGCCCACTAGTATTAGGTACTATCGGAAACCCACAGACCTGGATGAGAGATCTTGTAGATCAAGCCCTATAATCTCGCTGCAACGTGCACTAGATGCACCACTAGAACCAATTGGACTATTTACATGCGACCCACGATGCAGCTTCTAGCTGCAATTATCGTTATGCGCTAGACATGTTACGTGCAAGCAGTTCCAAAGTGTTCGTAGTTGAAGAGGGAACCTATTGTCCCTGTTGACCAAGACGTCGCACTGGCTTCTGTTCGCACTGCATGCGCAGATTTGCAACCACCGAATCTTAAGCATGCTCACAGTGAATTTGCTACTATACCT